AACCCCAACCCCAACCCCAACCCCAACCCCAACCCCAACCCCAACCCCAACCCCAACCCCAACCCCAACCCCAACCCCAACCCCAACCCCAACCCCAACCCCCAACCCCAACCCCAACCCCAACCCCAACCCCAACCCCAACCCCAACCCCAACCCCAACCCCAACCCCAACCCCAACCCCAACCCCAACCCCAACCCCAACCCCAACCCCAACCCCAACCCCAACCCCAACCCCAACCCCAACCCCAACCCCAACCCCAACCCCAACCCCAACCCCAACCCCAACCCCCCTGATTTAATTTTTATAATATTTTTATGTTTAGAGTTTAATATCTATTAACAATAGGTTATATTTGCAATTTAGTTTGTAGTTTTTTGTTTGATTATTTTAAATAATAAATCATGTCTAATATTTATTTTTATCTCTTAATTTATATAATCAATTAAAAATTTTATTTTATTATTTATATTTTTATAATTAAAAGTATTATTTAAACTTACATTTTATATATTTTTCATAAAAAAAAACTCCTAAATTGAATAATAGAATCATTTATTTTAAAATAAAAATTATTTTTTATTATGTCTTTTATAAATTTATTGCTTTAATATGGTTATAGCTAAATCCAAATAAAAATTTAGTGATATCACTATTTTTTTATTAGTTGTAATTTAGAGAACTTTGGCATTTTTTAAATATTTAAATAATTTTGAAATACAAGCTTTTTATATCTGAATAACAAAATAATACTTAAATTTACAAATTGGTAGTTTAAAATAAATTGTTTATTATTTAAAAAAATGAATGAGTAATTTTTTTTGTATACTAAGTGCACTGTAATAAAAAATAAGTTCTAGTCATAAACTCTAAATGCAATTTCATGCACGCTAAATTTATATTCAATAGAAAAACATAATTAATGAATATGTCTATTCATATTGCTAATAAATCATAAATCTCTTTCTGTAATATTAATGTCTTAAATAGAGCTCATATCAATGATATTTCTCTTTTTACTTGATGGGTGTGATATTTAGTCAACTGTTAAATTATTTTCTTCAAATTTCTTTGCAGCAGCTCTTTTTCTTAGGCAAATATATATTATTAAAACACATATTACAACTGCAAAAGAACCAAGTGATATAAAAATAATATCAGAAGTAGATAATTTTGAGCTTTCTTAATTATTTTAGCAAATCGATTTGTTAATGAACTAACAATTTTCATCATAAATTACCAAAGTGTTTTAAATAAAAGAGCATATTATATTAGAATCATTAGAATTAGAAATTGAATTAACTGATAGTTAAGGTTAGTTATTGATTTAATCAATTGTTAGACAAACAAATTTTGAGATATCTTTATTTTTAGTATTGATTGGGATTTCAATTTTCTGTACAACATTTGCTTACTAAAGTTGTCTTTTCTTAGAAATATAGTTAAATGTAACATAAGGAATGAAGTTATTTTATATCGAATTAAAAGGATTAGATGTTTTTGAAATTATGACTGAAATAGATTAATAATTAATTTATTCACACTCAGCTTAATCAATTTTATTTAAAATTAACTATGATTAAATATTACCTTAATTATCAAGCTTTATTAGACAATTTAATTTTTAATTTTGATTTAAGGTTGTCATCGTTAAAGAGTACTTTTCTGATTATTTAACAAGATACTTTTAGTTAATATTATCGCTTTATGATTATTATAATATCTTGATTGACTTTTAAATATAATTATAGTTTTATACCTCACTTACTTTATCGTTTTACAAATTCATTATAGTATCTACATAATTAGAGAGTTAAGTAATAATTGAGTTATTGAACTAATTATTATTATTTGATTGAATATTATTAATTATTACATTAAATTATTTTTCTAAATCTTATGAAGTAATTTAAGGTATCATTTCACATTAATTGCTATTAATATTACTAATTTATTAAAAGGGTGGACATTAATCTAAGCAAAATTTAGAATCAGCTGAAATAAATTATTTACCAATACAATTTTAAATATTATCGCATTTTCCAGTAATGCTATTACCAATTTAGTTATTAGAACAGCTCAAAACACAAGAATTTTAGTTATAATCAAAATAAAATAGATTTGAGCATTCACATAAATGTATCTCTTATTTAATTGATGGCTATTCATTAATACCACATTAAATGAGGCATTGTGTTTTATCTAAGCTGAGGTATGGATATTGGTCAGTACACTTTTCGCATTAAGTAGATCCTGGAAGGTTATTTGTTTTACCATTTTAACACTAAATACAACCATTACCTTTACCATCTTAATCATAACCAGAATTACTATAGTAACCTTTAGGGCATAATTTAAGATTCAAATCGCAAACAGAATCATTAATACCTTGTGTTTATACTTATTTTGTTGATTTACCAATACTGCATGGTTTACATCCATCACCTTATCCATTATTATCAAAACCAGTTAAGCTATAAAATCCAATTTAGCATGCTTTCAAAGTACAAGCTAAATTATCATTTCCTGCTGTTTATTATTATTTAGTAGTATATCCACTATCACATGGTTTGCATCCTCCATTATTTGTATCATTGTCAAATCCATCTGTGCTGTAAAATCCTTTAAGACAAGCTTTCCTTTTACAAGCTGAGTTATCTATTCCTATTGTTTATTCAGATAATGTTGTATATCCACTGTCACATGGTTTACATCCTCCATTATTTGTATCATTGTCGAATCCATCTGTGCTGTAAAATCCCTTAAGACAAGCTTTCCTTTTACAAGCTGAGTTATCTATTCCTATTGTTTATTCAGATTATGTTGTATATCCACTGTCACATGGTTTGCATCCTCCATTATTTGTATCATTGTCGAATCCATCTGTGTTGTAAAATCCCTTAAGACAAGCTTTCCTTTTACAAGCTGAGTTATCTATTCCTACTGTTTATTCAGATAATGTTGTATATCCATTGTCACATGGTTTACATCCTCCATTATTTGTATCATTGTCAAATCCATCTGTGCTGTAAAATCCTTTAAGGCAAGCTTTCCTTTTACAAGCTGAGTTATCTATTCCTATTGTTTATTCAGATAATGTTGTATATCCACTGTCACATGGTTTGCATCCTCCATTATTTGTATCATTGTCGAATCCATCTGTGCTGTAAAATCCCTTAAGGCAAGCTTTCCTTTTACAAGCTGAGTTATCTATTCCTATTGTTTATTCAGATAATGTTGTATATCCACTGTCACATGGTTTGCATCCTCCATTATTTGTATCATTGCCGAATCCATCTGTGCTGTAAAATCCCTTAAGACAAGCTTTCCTTTTACAAGCTGAGTTATCTATTCCTATTGTTTATTCAGATAATGTTGTATATCCACTGTCACATGGTTTGCATCCTCCATTATTTGTATCATTGTCAAATCCATCTGTGCTGTAAAATCCTTTAAGACAAGCTTTCCTTTTACAAGCTGAGTTATCTATTCCTATTGTTTATTCAGATAATGTTGTATATCCACTGTCACATGGTTTACATCCTCCATTATTTGTATCATTATCAAATCCATCTGTGCTGTAAAATCCTTTAAGACAAGCTTTCCTTTTACAAGCTGAGTTATCTATTCCTGTTGTTTATTCAGATTATGTTGTATATCCACTGTCACATGGTTTGCATCCTCCATTATTTGTATCATTGTCGAATCCATCTGTGCTGTAAAATCCCTTAAGGCAAGCTTTCCTTTTACAAGCTGAGTTATCTATTCCTATTGTTTATTCAGATAATGTTGTATATCCACTGTCACATGGTTTACATCCTCCATTATTTGTATCATTGTCAAATCCATCTGTGCTGTAAAATCCTTTAAGACAAGCTTTCCTTTTACAAGCTGAGTTATCTATTCCTACTGTTTATTCAGATAATGTTGTATATCCATTGTCACATGGTTTACATCCTCCATTATTTGTATCATTGTCAAATCCATCTGTGCTGTAAAATCCTTTAAGGCAAGCTTTCCTTTTACAAGCTGAGTTATCTATTCCTATTGTTTATTCAGATTATGTTGTATATCCACTGTCACATGGTTTACATCCTCCATTATTTGTATCATTGTCAAATCCATCTGTGCTGTAAAATCCCTTAAGGCAAGCTTTCCTTTTACAAGCTGAGTTATCTATTCCTATTGTTTATTCAGTTAATGTTGTATATCCACTGTCACATGGTTTACATCCTCCATTATTTGTATCATTGTCGAATCCATCTGTGCTGTAAAATCCCTTAAGACAAGCTTTCCTTTTACAAGCTGAGTTATCTATTCCTATTGTTTATTCAGATAATGTTGTATATCCACTGTCACATGGTTTGCATCCTCCATTATTTGTATCATTGTCGAATCCATCTGTGCTGTAAAATCCCTTAAGACAAGCTTTCCTTTTACAAGCTGAGTTATCTATTCCTATTGTTTATTCAGATAATGTTGTATATCCACTGTCACATGGTTTGCATCCTCCATTATTTGTATCATTGTCGAATCCATCTGTACTGTAAAATCCCTTAAGGCAAGCTTTCCTTTTACAAGCTGAGTTATCTATTCCTATTGTTTATTCAGATAATGTTGTATATCCACTGTCACATGGTTTGCATCCTCCATTATTTGTATCATTGCCGAATCCATCTGTGCTGTAAAATCCCTTAAGACAAGCTTTCCTTTTACAAGCTGAGTTATCAATTCCTATTGTTTATTCAGATAATGTTGTATATCCACTGTCACATGGTTTGCATCCCCCATTATTTGTATCATTGTCGAATCCATCTGTGCTGTAAAATCCCTTAAGGCAAGCTTTCCTTTTACAAGCTGAGTTATCTATTCCTATTGTTTATTCAGATAATGTTGTATATCCATTGTCACATGGTTTACATCCTCCATTATTTGTATCATTGTCAAATCCATCTGTGCTGTAAAATCCTTTAAGGCAAGCTTTCCTTTTACAAGCTGAGTTATCTATTCCTATTGTTTATTCAGATTATGTTGTATATCCACTGTCACATGGTTTACATCCTCCATTATTTGTATCATTGCCGAATCCATCTGTGCTGTAAAATCCCTTAAGACAAGCTTTCCTTTTACAAGCTGAGTTATCTATTCCTATTGTTTATTCAGATAATGTTGTATATCCATTGTCACATGGTTTACATCCTCCATTATTTGTATCATTATCAAATCCATCTGTGCTGTAAAATCCTTTAAGACAAGCTTTCCTTTTACAAGCTGAGTTATCTATTCCTATTGTTTATTCAGATTATGTTGTATATCCACTGTCACATGGTTTACATCCTCCATTATTTGTATCATTGTCAAATCCATCTGTGCTGTAAAATCCTTTAAGGCAAGCTTTCCTTTTACAAGCTGAGTTATCTATTCCTATTGTTTATTCAGATTATGTTGTATATCCACTGTCACATGGTTTGCATCCTCCATTATTTGTATCATTGTCGAACCCATCTGTGCTGTAAAATCCCTTAAGACAAGCTTTCCTTTTACAAGCTGAGTTATCTATTCCTATTGTTTATTCAGATTATGTTGTATATCCACTGTCACATGATTTACATCCTCCATTATTTGTATCATTATCAAATCCATCTGTGCTGTAAAATCCTTTAAGACAAGCTTTCCTTTTACAAGCTGAGTTATCTATTCCTGTTGTTTATTCAGATTATGTTGTATATCCACTGTCACATGGTTTGCATCCTCCATTATTTGTATCATTGTCGAATCCATCTGTGCTGTAAAATCCCTTAAGACAAGCTTTCCTTTTACAAGCTGAGTTATCTATTCCTATTGTTTATTCAGATAATGTTGTATATCCATTGTCACATGGTTTACATCCTCCATTATTTGTATCATTGTCAAATCCATCTGTGCTGTAAAATCCTTTAAGACAAGCTTTCCTTTTACAAGCTGAGTTATCTATTCCTATTGTTTATTCAGATAATGTTGTATATCCACTGTCACATGGTTTGCATCCTCCATTATTTGTATCATTGTCAAATCCATCTGTGCTGTAAAATCCTTTAAGACAAGCTTTCCTTTTACAAGCTGAGTTATCTATTCCTATTGTTTATTCAGATAATGTTGTATATCCACTGTCACATGGTTTACATCCTCCATTATTTGTATCATTATCAAATCCATCTGTGCTGTAAAATCCTTTAAGACAAGCTTTCCTTTTACAAGCTGAGTTATCTATTCCTGTTGTTTATTCAGATTATGTTGTATATCCACTGTCACATGGTTTGCATCCTCCATTATTTGTATCATTGCCGAATCCATCTGTGCTGTAAAATCCCTTAAGACAAGCTTTCCTTTTACAAGCTGAGTTATCTATTCCTATTGTTTATTCAGATAATGTTGTATATCCACTGTCACATGGTTTACATCCTCCATTATTTGTATCATTATCAAATCCATCTGTGCTGTAAAATCCTTTAAGACAAGCTTTCCTTTTACAAGCTGAGTTATCTATTCCTGTTGTTTATTCAGATTATGTTGTATATCCACTGTCACATGGTTTGCATCCTCCATTATTTGTATCATTGCCGAATCCATCTGTGCTGTAAAATCCCTTAAGACAAGCTTTCCTTTTACAAGCTGAGTTATCTATTCCTATTGTTTATTCAGTTAATGTTGTATATCCACTGTCACATGGTTTGCATCCTCCATTATTTGTATCATTGTCGAATCCATCTGTGCTGTAAAATCCCTTAAGGCAAGCTTTCCTTTTACAAGCTGAGTTATCTATTCCTATTGTTTATTCAGATAATGTTGTATATCCACTGTCACATGGTTTGCATCCTCCATTATTTGTATCATTGTCAAATCCATCTGTGCTGTAAAATCCTTTAAGGCAAGCTTTCCTTTTACAAGCTGAGTTATCTATTCCTATTGTTTATTCAGATAATGTTGTATATCCATTGTCACATGGTTTACATCCTCCATTATTTGTATCATTGTCAAATCCATCTGTGCTGTAAAATCCTTTAAGGCAAGCTTTCCTTTTACAAGCTGAGTTATCTATTCCTATTGTTTATTCAGATAATGTTGTATATCCATTGTCACATGGTTTACATCCTCCATTATTTGTATCATTATCAAATCCATCTGTGCTGTAAAATCCTTTAAGACAAGCTTTCCTTTTACAAGCTGAGTTATCTATTCCTGTTGTTTATTCAGATTATGTTGTATATCCACTGTCACATGGTTTGCATCCTCCATTATTTGTATCATTGTCGAATCCATCTGTGTTGTAAAATCCCTTAAGACAAGCTTTCCTTTTACAAGCTGAGTTATCTATTCCTATTGTTTATTCAGATAATGTTGTATATCCATTGTCACATGGTTTACATCCTCCATTATTTGTATCATTGTCAAATCCATCTGTGCTGTAAAATCCTTTAAGGCAAGCTTTCCTTTTACAAGCTGAGTTATCTATTCCTATTGTTTATTCAGATAATGTTGTATATCCATTGTCACATGGTTTACATCCTCCATTATTTGTATCATTGTCGAATCCATCTGTGCTGTAAAATCCCTTAAGACAAGCTTTCCTTTTACAAGCTGAGTTATCTATTCCTGTTGTTTATTCAGATAATGTTGTATATCCACTGTCACATGGTTTACATCCTCCATTATTTGTATCATTATCAAATCCATCTGTGCTGTAAAATCCTTTAAGACAAGCTTTCCTTTTACAAGCTGAGTTATCTATTCCTGTTGTTTATTCAGATTATGTTGTATATCCACTGTCACATGGTTTGCATCCTCCATTATTTGTATCATTGTCGAATCCATCTGTGCTGTAAAATCCCTTAAGGCAAGCTTTCCTTTTACAAGCTGAGTTATCTATTCCTATTGTTTATTCAGATAATGTTGTATATCCACTGTCACATGGTTTGCATCCTCCATTATTTGTATCATTGTCAAATCCATCTGTGCTGTAAAATCCCTTAAGACAAGCTTTCCTTTTACAAGCTGAGTTATCTATTCCTGTTGTTTATTCAGATAATGTTGTATATCCACTATCACAAGGTTTACATCCATCACCATGACCATCATTATCAAAGCCACTTAAGCTGTATAAACCTACTTTACAAGATTTAAGAGGGCAATCTTTAGATGCTTTTTAAGAATTACTTTATCCTTAATAATTATACAAAAATTATTTTTTTAATATTTAAATATTATTTTAAATAGTTAAAAAATATTTAAAATTAAATGAATTAATAAATAAGCTTAAAAATGATCTATATATTGTTAATAGAGGTACTAAAATATAAAGAACTGGATAGAATTATATTTTAATATCTGAATTTAATTTAATTTAAAATGAAAAAAAATAAATTAAAATATTTATGAAAAAGTAAGTAAAATCACTATTCAATAAAATTGAATATAAATTGGTATAAAAAGTATTCAAATTAAATATTCAAATTTTTTTCAAATTTTAAGAGATAATATTGATAAAATTTTAAACTTAATATTTTATATTTATTCTATTTTTAAAAATTTATGGTATTTATTAACTCTAGTAAGTTTTTAATATTTTTTTTAATCAAACAATTAATTAATTTTAAATCTATAAAAAATAATATATTAACTAAATAAAATTAAATTCTAATATCAAAGTTTAACTTTAAATGATTTAAAATGATTAATTCTTAGTAAAATAAAATTGTTTAAATAATAAAAAAATATTAATTATTATATTTATTACCTTAATCACACTTTTTACAATCTGATTCATTTCCATCAGTATAATAGCCATTAGTACTAAAGTAACCTATATCGCATTACATATAAGGGCAATCTGATGATCCTTCAGATAAATTATACTTGCCGCTAGCACATTAATTACAACCTCCACTATTTCCATCATTATCATAGCCTGTTGGACTAAAATAATTTATTTTACATTTTTAAGTTATCACACTACAAGAATCCTTTTCATTTCCGCTAGTTCCTTCACCTGGCGTACAATAACCTAGATCGCATTTAGAGCATTATCCATTATCGTCAGTTCCATCGGAACTATAATAGCAGATAGGACATTAAGATTATAAGGAAATTGCAAATAATTGAATAAAAACCAAATTTCTAATTAAAATTTTCTACATTTTTTACAGCTTTTTAAGTAGAAATATTTATTTATAATTTGTAATTACTATTTATTAAGAGTTAGATTTTTTGTCTTTGTTGTTTTGAAAATCTTAGGATTAAAGTGAATTTTGAAGATTATCTTATTTCAATTTTTTTATTAAATATTAGGAAAATACAATATCCATTTAATAAAAGTTTTTGAGCCACTTTATTCTCACATCAAAATAGAAACCACTAAAAATCTTATGAGTTAACAAACGAGTTTATTTCTTATCTTATTAATAAACTATTTACATATTTTATTAAAGAATAGTGACGTATTTATAAACAAAACATCAATTAGTAAGTGTATTATAATTTATCATGTAAATATTTTTGTTACTTAATTTAAATCTCTATTTTTTTCTTCTTCTACTTAATCTAAACAAAATAATTTTTTACCACATATATGCAAATCTGAAAGTATATGAATAATAGAATATTTAAACCACAAATCTTTGGTATTATCTTTCTATATAAGCACCTCGTATTTCTTTAAAAAGCCCAATTTTATGCATATATTTAAAATTACATTAAAATAAAATTAAACATGTTAAAGCTTATATTTATTTTTGAAATAAAATTATTTTTAAAGCTATTAGAATATAAATTAAATTTATTTTTTTCTCAATAACATAAGTAACAGAATTCATAATATAATTTTGTAAACAAAAAGCTTTAATAAAAACTCTTTGAGTCACTAGTTCTCACATCAAAAAAACCACAAATATTAATAAACGATCATTATATATTTTTTTATTAAAAATAGTTTTTCATATTTAAAAACAATGCTTCAATAATCTGTAAGATTATTATAATTTATTACGTATTCATTTTTATTATTTTTAATTTAAATATCTATTATTCTTCTTCTTCTAAACAAAATTAATTTTTACCTCAAAAATGCAAATTAGTATAAATTATATGTTTCCTTATAAATATCATACAATTTATAAATAATAAACTTTGACACAATCTTTCTATAGATGTCATTTATTTTCATTTTAAAAACTTCATTTTAAGAATAAATTTAAAATTATTTTCAAATAAAATTAAATGTTGAAATCATTTGTTTATTTTTGAAATAAAAACATATTTAAAACTTAGAATATAAATTAAATTAATTTTTTTCTACAAAAATATAAGTAGTAGAGCAGAATTCATATTATAATTTCATAAACAAATAATTTTAAGAAGTTGATAAAATTATATTTTTTAAAATAAATTATATTATAATCACAATAAATACAAGTATTACTTACTAATTCAAGCTAATTAAATAATATATTTTTTTATTTAAAAAATTAATCAATGTTATAGATATATCAAATAATTATATATTTGAGAATATCAAAAATAATAAAATTTTTGAAGAAATATCCTTATTAATATCTGAATCCACAATTTTGATAAAATTTTAAACTTAATATTTTATATTTATTCTATTTTTAAAAAGTTATGGTATTTATTAACTCTAGTAAATTTTTAATATTTCTTTTAATCAAACAATTAATTAATTTTAAATATATCAAAAATAATATATTAACTAAATAAAATTATATTCTAATATCAAAGTTTAACTTTAAATGATTTAAAATGATTAACTCTTAGTAAAATAAAATTGTTTAAATAATAAAAAAATATTAATTATTATATTTATTACCTTAATCACACTTTTTATAATCTGATTCATTTCCATCAGTAAAATAACGATTAGTACTATAGTAACCTATATCGCATTACATATAAGGGTAATCTGATGATCCTTCAGATAAATTATATTTGCAACTAGCACATTAATTACAACCTCCACTTTTTCCATTGTTATCATAGCCTGTTGGACTAAATTATTTATTTTACATTTTTAAGTTATCACACTTAAACAATTATTATCATGTCCTATAGTTCCTTCACCTGGCGTACAATAACCTAGATCACATTTAGAGCATTATTCATAATCGTCAGTTCCATTGGACTTATATTAGCAGATATGACATTAAGATTATAAGGATATTGCAAATAATTATATAAAAACAAAATTTCAAATTAAAATTCTCTACATTTTTAACAGCTTTTTAAGTAGAAATATTTACTTATAAGTTGTAATTACTATTTATTAAGAGTTAGATTTTTTGTCTTTGTTATTTTGAAAATCTTAGGATTATAGTTAATTTTTAAGATTACTCAATTTAGATTTTTTTATTAAATATCAGGGAAATACAATATCCATTTAATAAAACTATTTGAATTACTTTATTCTCACGTCTTAATAGAAACCACTAAAAAGGTTATGTATTGACAAACGATTTTATATATCACATAGATATTTTTGTTACTTAATTAAAAACTTTATTCTTCTTTTTCTAAAATAAATTAATTTTTGCCACTAATATTCAAATTAGAAATTATATGAATAATACAATTTATAAGCCACAGATCTTTGGCACAATCTTTCTATAAGAAGCAACTCATATTTCTTTAAAATACTCAAATTTAAGCTTTCATTTAAAATTATTTTCATATAACTTTAATATTTTAAAGATATGTTTATTTTTTATATAAAACTAGCACTTAAATATAAATTAAATTTATTCTATCTATTTAAAAATAAGTAACAGAATTTATATTATAATTTTGTAAACAAATAACTTTAATAAAAACTTTTTGAGCCACTAGTTCTCATCAAAAAGAACCACAAATAAATGAAATGAGAAATACAATTTTATTTCGTATTTTATTAATAATCGATTATTTTAGATTTTTTATTAATAGAAATCCATATTTAAAAATAATACATCAATAATTAGTAAGATTATTAGAATTTATTACGTAAGTATTTTGTTATTCAATTTAAATCTCTCTTCTTCATCTTCTAAACAAAATTAATTTCTACCTCAAATATTCAAATAAGTTTAAATTATTTGTTTCATTATAAATTTAATACAATTTATAAACTATAAATGTTTGACTCAATGTTTCTATAGAAGCCATTCATTTTTCATTTTAAAAACTCTATTTTATGCATAAATTTAAAATTATTTTCAAATAAAATTAAATATTTGAAAACTTACATTTATTTTTAAAATAAAAATATAATAAAAATTTTTAGAATATAAATATTAAATTAATTTTTTTCTATTAAAATAAGTAACAGAATACATATTACAATTTTATAAGCAAAGAACTTTAAGAAGTTAATAAAATTATATCATTAAAAAGAAATAAAAATCTCAATAAATAGCAATTATTTACTTACTAATTCAATCTAAATTTTTTAAATTAATTTTTTAATTATTACTTTTTAATTTATAATATCTAACTATGTAAATATTCAAAATATATTTTTTATTAAAAAATTTATTAAATATAATTTTTGAAAAACTTTGAAAACTTTTTTACTATTTTAAATTTTCTTTTTTCATATTAAAAATATTTTTATTACGTTAAATGCATATTTTCTACTCACAAAATAATTATTAGTGAATACAAAGCATTTTTTTTAGGTAAGAAACCTAATACTAAACCTTTTTATTATTATTTTATTAAATATATATTAACTACATGTTTATTTATAAATTTAAAAAACTGTAAATTTTTGCTTAACACAATCTTTCAACAGAAGCAGTTTTTATTTTAAAAACTTAATTTTATGTAGAAATTTAAAATTATTTTCAAATAAAACTAGATATTTATTTAAAAGCTTATGTTTATTTTTGTAATAAAAATATTTTTAAGACTTATAAAATATAAATTAAATTAATTTATTTATAAACAAATATAAGAAAAAGAATTCATATTATAACTTTGTAAAGTATACAACTTTAATAAATTTAGAGCCACTTATACTCACATGATAAAATAAAGGACAAAAAATTGATATGCATTGAAATAGGATTTTATTTCTTATTTAATATTAAATATTATTTATTATTTTTTATTTAAAAATAGAGATCCTTATTTAAAAATGAAGATCTATTAATAAGATAATTATAATTTATTATCTAAATATTCTTTTTACTTAATTAGAAACTCTATTCTTCTTCTAAACAAAATTATTTTTTGCCACAAACATGCAAATTACTTTAAATTTTATGTTTCTTTATAAATTTAAAAACTGTAAATCTTTGATACAATCTTTCTATAGAAGCCATTCATTTTTTTTTTAGAAACTCAATAATATGCATAAATTTGAAATTATTTATTATTAAATAAAATAAAATATCTTAAAGCTTATTCTTATTTTATTTTTGAAATAAACTATTTTTAAAACTTTAAGAATATTAATTAAAATTTATTTTTTCTTTTCAATAATAAGTACTATAATACATATTAAAATTTTGTATACAAATAACTTTAAGAAGTTAATAAAATTATATTTTTAAAGGAAATTTAGCTAAATTTAAAAATTTTGATGTAAAAAAATTATGTATTTTTGAAATTATAATAAATTAAAATATTAATTTTAATTCTATTATAAAATATAAAAATCTGATTTTTTAGTAAATAATTAAAAAATCTATTTCATTTTAAGTTAATTCCAAACGACGGAATTTTTTAATGGCATCTTGCTATATTTAAAAAATAAAGTAAAATCTTGTACTTTTTAATCTAAGATTTAATTAAAATTATATCTTAAATTAAGAGCTAATTATTGATAATAAAAATGACTAGTATTAAAGATAATATTTTGTGATATATATTTTATAGAACTTAAAGTTCTATCAACTAAAATTATAATCAAATAAAGATAATTAAAAGATATGTTGTTTATAACAATATAAATGTATTTATTATCTTTAGCATTCCACTCTAATCATATTTTGCTATTTAAATTTCATCATTAACTTATTAATTAGTTCAATAAAAAAAATTATTTAAATTTGATATAAAACTTAAAAATCATAAATGTCAAAATAGCAAAATACAGAAGAAGTAAATCTATTAAAAAACAATAGAAGTAGAAGCTATGAAGAGTAAAGCTTATACGAAAGACACAATGACTCTTTAATGATTCTTTTTTGGCTTGTGCTAGTAATAATTTAGTGGAATTGTTTGAGTGAAACATTAGATATCATCGAGCTTAAAGATTAGAATTCAACTCATTTATAAGTTGGAATAATAGGAGAAATTATTATAAATCTAATCTTTACCTTTGACTTTTTCTTTTTCAAAAAAGAAAATTATAAGTCCTTATAGCTATACTCTGGGCTATATCTTGGGATAGACTTCTTAGCAGGTCCTGTTGCACTTATAGGTGATATAATAAGCTTAATTTTTTATAGGAGATTGAATATTTACTCTACAATTTTTAGAAGTTTGAAAGCTTTAAGCACAATTTAAGCAAGAAGAGTTTTTAGTAAGATTGCTTAGATTCTACCTCGTGTAAAAGACATGTTCTTATGTTTATTCTGCGTTTTTTACTTATTTACATACATTGCAACTTATATGTATGGTGATCTATTTAGAAAGCAATACTATTTTAACTCTATTGGCTTCAGTTTTTTCACAATGTTACAAATCATGACATTAGATGGATGGGGAGAAGTAGGAAGAGATGTCTTGAGAAAGTAAAGCACACTAAGCGCTTTCTTCTTAGTTATTTTTGTCTTCATTATGGGTTATTTCTTTTGGAATATCTTAATTGGGTTCATATTAGAAATACTAAGATCATTAGATTAAGAACAAGATAATGGAAAGTAGTCACCAAATAACATTCTTAGCGAAATTAAATAGTAAGAAGATGGCATCAATTAAAGTATAAGCTTGGAATAAAATAAACTTTCATAACCTAATGAAGTAGGAATGAACTCAAGCAATAAAGTTGACTTAATTGGAAAAGAAAATTAAAATTAAAAAAACCTTAATCTGTAGAAAAAAGCTAAAACATCATCTGATGAGAATAGTGAGAATTAGGACGACTCAGACTAAGAAAAACTTGCAAGATTAATTTAAAACGAAAATCAGAGCTTTTTCGAGCATCTTTGCTTTGGAAGTCTTTACAACAAAATTGTTATGGGCTTATATTTTTTGGTTCTACTTAACACCTTCTTTAATGAAGATTTGCAAAATATTGACGGACTATTTTCTGAAACAGTTCACACCACCACCAGCTTTATCTATACCTTGCACACAATACTTTTATACACTTAAGACTCATATTCATTTTAGATTGAGCGCAAGCATACATGGATGATGTTTTTCCATATCATAAGTGGTCCTGTTGCACTAATTTTTGACATTATATCTCTTTCTCTTTCAGGAAATATTGGATTCGGTGGAATTCTTAAGCTTTTTAAAGTATTTACTGTTACCAGAGAAACAATAATGGGAGCTGTTATGATTTTCCCTACTCTCCTACCAGCTTTCTTGGGTATTATATCTATTATATTCTTACTAGCTTTGTGGGCATTGAACTACTTAAAATAAGTAGAAAATTATTGGACTGACTTTGTTACCAGTGTTTATACTTTTGTATAGATCTTAACTTTAGATGATTGGGCAGCTAGACTAATTAAAGATTTGTTCAAGCAAGAGAGGTACTTAGTTCCCATAGTATTTGTAGGATTTATTTTTGTTGCAAATTACTTTTTCTTAAATATGATGATTGCCTTCAGTTGTGAGACGTTTAAAAAAATTACCAATGAAGATTATGTTTATAGAAACTAACGTAAGTAATTAGACTTTTATGAGTAAGAAGATAAAGCAGTTTAAGGAAGTGCTTATCATTCTTTGTAGGAATTATATAGTGATTTGGAAGTGATAAAAGGATCTCATTTGAACAAGCAAGCTTATCATCATATAATTGATAATGGTCCAGAGAAAGAAATAGATCAAAATGAAAAATAGATTTATCAGTTACTTTTAGAAGCTAAGTATGGGTCTGTAAATTTGAACTCTAATATTACATTTAAGTTAAATGGAAAAACTGTAAATTTAAGATAAAAAGATTTGTCTCATCTTAAATTCAGTTTATGTAGCCCTAACTTCGAAGCATCAGATAGTGGCGAAGAAAATAATTCTAAAGTTTGATAAAATACTTTAAAATATTTTTAAATTTATACTAAATTTATAAAATCAATAAAATTAAAAGTTTTTGGTATAATTTTTATGTTTAAGTAATAAGTAAAAAGTTATTTTATGATTCAAAAAAATGTTTGGATATTATTTTTTTTATTTAAAATGGATATTTTTTAGGATTTAAACATTTAAAAATAAAATTTTATAATATCTTACATCACGTCATTAATTTAATAATAAAACAAAATTTTAAATTACTCATTTTTAAATAATAATTTGAAGATAAGAGATTGGTTAGTGGAAAATATTGAGGTTTTTTTAATTGAATTTGATTTATAAAATAAAATTTATTATACAAATTTGATATTAAAAAATAAGAAATGCAAAATAGGTATTTATTTTTATTTATTAATACAAGTAATTATCTTTAATTAATTTATATGTAATGATGTCTAATTTTTGCTCATTCGAGTTTTTTTTTCCCAGAATTATATATGTCATTTCTTTTAGGTTATGGTAAATTTATATTGTCAATATTTGAGCGAGGTACTTATAAATAATTTCCTCTTGGAGGTTTTCCTGGTGATATATTCATATTTGGTTAATAATTTTATTCAGGAGAGTTTTCTCTTGAATCTTCGAAATTAATTTGACCTGTATTTCCAAAACCTACAGCTGAATTACTGTGCCTATTTCTTTATGCTGATAGTGTTTTTTTAGGATCTTCTACTCTAACTGAAGGAATAACTCTGAAAGAGCCATTCAAATTTTATGTGGAACCCTTCATTATAAATTTATCAAGCATACTTTATTTTGGTAAATCATTTAAGACTTAGGGTTTTGGAGGATTATTCTAAGTGATATACTATTACAAATTTTTAACTTCTTTAATTTCAGGTTAATAACTTGAAAAGAATTTCCTATCATATTCTTTACCACTAGGTAATAAAAAGTCATCAATTAAATCCCTTTCTGACTATTTTATCAATTAATATTAAAAATAATAGTATCATTAACTTTAAATAATTTTTTACCTTTTTAGGTTGTATGAATTTTTCTTAAACAGGCTTAGGGATAGGTGGTTTCTAATCATAGTATTCTGTTCCATATAAATCCTTAAATTCCTTCATATATCTTTTGTCAGTCTCCAACTCTGCTTAAGAACTAGTCTTTTTGAGCATTTTCTTAGTTTCCATCTTGCATTTAAATAGTAAATAAGATTAAGTTAAAATTTCAATATAACAATTACCACTTCCCTTTCAAGTTATTCTCTCTTTGCTTTAATTTGATCAAGGTATTCAAAACTCTCATATTTTTGATTCATAATTTCATAAAAGTTTATATTTTCTTTTCTGTTAAGATCTTTTAAAGTCTATTATTTTATGCAAGTAAGTTGTAAAAATATATTTTTAATTCTATAAATATGTGAAGTAAATTACCTCAAGTCTTCTTTCAAGCTAGGACTTTTTCTTTTCCATTTATACTTTTTATTTATCAGCACTAATTTTTAAATTAAGCTCATTTTAAAAAATCTTTGAAAAACTTAAATTTTATTATCTTACTAATCTGGATATGCCAAAACTAAGAAATCATTGAGATAAATTTTTTCAGCAACTGTCTTTTTTTGAGATTTAATTATTCTATACGAGTTGGCCTATTTATTTAAACTACATTAATTTGCTTTAAACTAAAATATATGTTTATTTACTAAGTATCTAGAATATACATCTTTAATTTGGTTTCTAAATTCTTTATTTCTAAGCTGATGAGCTTGGCTATTTGTTTTAAAAATTCAAATTTAATTCATTTTTTGAGATGTGAAATAAGATTCAAAATATATAAATGTTTTAATATAAGTTAAAAATAAAAAAATTACCTAGTTCTATCAAGAGTATTCATTTCATTTTAAACTGATCTATTTTATATTAATAGTAATGTAAGCAATTATTTTTATAAATTTATTGCTAATTCTCTTAAAGTATTTAAGAAGTTACTTCAAATATAGTTGCGTCGCTTTGTTATATTACTCTTAACGTTCTTTAGATCTTTCATCTATATGGAGCTTATCTAATCTCCTAATTTTTATATAACAATTTTATTTAAACTAACCCTTAATTATGCAATTTATGTTTACAATTATTCTAAAAATTAGTCTATGTTTGGCAGCATTTTAGTTTATATCTAAAAAATAGAAGTTCTTTATTGATTTATTTGTATTTATAATGTTTCACTTGAATTTTATTAAATATCTTGCTTTTTAAAGTTCAAAACTTCAATTAATTTCTAAAGATAGCTTTTAAATATTATTTTTATGATTTATAATCAATATTTTTTTTGAATTTTATTTTTAAATAATACAAACAAATCATTTATTATTACTTGAAAATTTTATTTGGAATTTAACATATCTTGGGAATTATTTTAATTCAATCAATCTATCAATCATATTTTTTTTTCCAAATAATTAACTGAACAGAAACAATATTAAAACCAAGTAATATATTAATAGCTTTTAGTCAAAATATTTTTTCTCAACAATTTATTACTGATATCATTGTGAATTTATTAATATATGAAATTTAAAATATTTCAAGAAAATGTTAAAAAATCTAGAAATGAATTAAAACGATTAAATAAGTTTATTGTTGATAAATTTTTTATTGTAAAATAGTATCTAAATTTATTAAAATTATCAAGAGCAATAGATCTAATTGCGTTTCTATAATAAACTATATATACTACATACAATTTTTATAAATTTAATTTTTAAGGATATATAAAGGTAAATAATTTAGTAGGATTAGTCATGAATAGGATTAAAATTTTCAAGAAACCTCTACCATTTATATGTTTACTAATAAATGGATTTATAATAACAAATTATTGGTTTGAATAGATAAAAAACTAGAGAATTATAGCCAAAGAATTAGCTAATGATCCTAATAGAGTTATTGAAGGCGAATACTGGCGCCTCTTTACTTCATTTTTAACACATAAAACCATTTATTAATTACTCTTAAGTTCTTATTTACTCATTATGGAAGGTGCTGCTTTTGAGAATTTAATTGGAAGTGTTACTTATTTGGTTTTATTTTTAGTTAAAATGTTTTTAGTTTCAGTGACTTATTGCATTTGGTATTTAGGTTTAAAATAAATATTAAAATATAATGATGAATTAATTAATCCATTAGCAGAAGGGGCTTGGATGGTTATACTTAGTGATTTGGTTTCTCGTACTTTTGCAAATCCTAATGAACTCAGAATTTTTAAAACAATTACTAATAAATTCTATACTCTTATACTTTTATTAATTGCATTTTTTGTTTCTTATCTTGGGGTACATGTACTAGCTATAATTGCTATAGCATTTATTGAGCACAAATGCTTTAATGGATTGATAATACGCCCATACAAATCTCATATAAAATGTGTTGAAAAATACACATTTTTTTTAATATTTAAACACCTTTTTAAATTCTGCTTCGTATCTGTTGATGATGTTAACTAAAATTTTTTTCGCTTAGAAAGTACTGATTAATTTGAAGCTGTTTAATAGTAAAATTAAGTAAGTGTGAATGAGTCTTTCTATGGGAATAGCAATTATCAGGGGAAGCTTGCTATTTAATAAAGCTATTACAGCCAGGATGTAAAAAGGTGGAAAGAAGAAGATTTTGATGAAAATTTAAACGATGATGTTGAAAATCCACAATAAAAGCGTGAAGAAATCGAGGTAGAAATGTAATGATAAGTTTGTATTTAGGAAATAGATCATGCAAAATTTCAATTAAAATAATAATAATATTATATCATTTGATAATGTGCAATATTGCTATTCATTTTACTCAATTGAGAAATCCAAAATTAATTTAAGATGATATTAATATTTCTTTATTCATATATAATTTTTTTTAATTTATAAGGATTATAAAAAGGTTAATTCATTTTGTTTAGTTTTTATAATAAATCAGTAATATATTTTGAGTAAATTTATTTTATTTACATTTTTAAATATTTTATTGTTCAATAAAATTTTTTAATAAAAATTACAGAAAATTAATTTAATAATAGGCTAAAATCTTCAGGCAAGAAAGCAAATTAATTTTATTTTTAAATGGTTATCACATTAAAAACTATGCTTCAATGCATATTAAAATTTTGATAATTGTATTACTTTATTTGATTATTTAGTTAACTTAAATGAAAAATAAATATTCTAATAAATAATAGATTGAGCCTTTTACATGATTATATTTGATGAAAAGAATAATAAATAATTAAAAATCAAATTTTAAGAAAAATCTTATTGTTTTAAAAATCAGATATCTTTTTCAAGCTCACATAGAAATTAAAACAAAATATCTAAGAAATGAAGTAAAATAAAGTAAATATAAATGATATGGATAATTAATTGTAGTAGTTTGCTACTTAGTCATAGGCTATCTTTGGTAATAATGTGGGTGGAAATTAATTTCAAATTCTAACTAAAATTTTAACTCAATATGAATATATTAAATAAAAAATATAATGCAAACCAGAATATTTGTAAGAATTTGTGAAAAATTATTAAGATTTGTTTGGCTTAGTTAATCAGTCTGTAGGATTTAATGCGAAAATGTCAGAAGATCTAAAGAATTAGAATAATAAAAGGTTGTAAGCAGAATTCAATAAGCTAGAAATGCTTAAAAAAGCCATTTTACTTGGATTCAATAAATAAATCTTAATATTGATGGAGGACTAAAAATAAAGCGATATTGTAAAAAAATAAGTAGAATATATTACTTTATAGATAGCTGATCAAAACAAAGAATTTAAACAAGAATAGGAATAAAAAGAATCAATAACTTTGCATTCCTTTAAAAATGATACTACCATGAAGGAACATATTAAGAATCATAGTAAAAGCTCTCCTGTTATAATCATAACTACAAGATCCTAGCTTTTTAATAACTCTGTATTAGAGTATTTAAATGATTAAAATAATGTGAAATTTTTGAGATTAGAAGGAGTCATTTGCTTATGCGATCCTTAAAAGCTTTAAAATACAAAAAGCTAACTATAATTATGTTCAGTACCATTTAGATTCATTGACAATTAAGTAAAAAATTATTTTTTATATTCATAATAATTATCTTTAAATTTAATATAAAAAAAGGATTAAATATGCTAAGAGCTATACGATTTGATCAACAAAAATCAGTTTTTAAGAATAATTTCTTTAGAAGATTTTTCATTTTACATTACCAAGAAGCCTGTTTAATATTTTTCTGATAAAATTAACACGGAATATAAAAATAACAAAACACTTTATTCCTTGAAGCAACAAAATTATTTAGATTTATTTCAAAAATTAGCAAACTATATTGATAATAACAATATACCTGTTTACAAAGAGAATTACAATAAGTAAGCTATAAAGTTTATGTGTAAACATTTGTAAGATAATGTATTTAACACCTAAAATGAAGAATAACTAGCTTCTAACTTTATTTACTTCTACACGATGGAATCTCCATTTTACAAGCTAGTAAACAGTTGTTTAAATATATTAAATGAAGGTCTAATTTCATGTTTAGAGCCTATTATATTACCTCTTTAGCTTGCTTTGAAAAAGGCTAAAAGCCAAGAATAGTCTATCTTTAGCTTAACCAAGGAATAGTATGTCACTTTATACAGAGGTACAACTATACCATAAGGACAGCTAGATTTAATATCAAAAAATAAAGTAAGAAATCTTTATCTGTCTGTCTTAATCTTAATTTTTTTATTTTTATTTTTAAACAAAGTAATTAGTATTTCCATCGTTCTCATCCTTTACTTCCTCTGAAAAAGTAGCATTGAGCTTTATGAAAACCACTAAATCAGATTAGGACTCTGTTAGAATAATATTTATTGTTAAATTCTAAAAAGATTAAAACCCTGATTAAAATCCAAAATATCTTAAGTACTTAAGTGCTATTCCTTCTGAGGAAGAATATCTTATTCCACCATTCACTCTCTTTAAAGTTTCAGAGTCCAAAAAAGATAATGATTTTTATTAAGTCTTTTTAAATAATTGATTTCTAATTTAAAAATTGCTTATTAAATTTGAAAATAAAATATTTCATAAAAAAAATGAGACAACCAAAAAATTAATTGTGGCTAAAATTGTAAGATGTCAAAAGTCAATATATAACTAACTAAATATAAAATTTTATGTAATTTAGGATATTTAAGTTGTTTTGAATATATTAAAAAAATAAATATTTAATTTCATTGAAAAAAAATATTATCTTTTCGTTTAATTGTAAATAATTAGTATAATAAATCTCATTTAAAAAAATTTTAAAAATAAAATGATATAGATTTGAAAAGATATTATTGATTAAATAGTTTTCATTATAAAAATAAAATTATATTATAAATTTAATAATTATTGAACTTTAAATGTAACAAAAAAAGAATATGATTAGCAAATAATAAAAGAATTTATTTTTCTAAAATTTATCCTAATTATAAATATATATAAAAAAAATAAAAAATATTTAAAAAACTTAAAGTTATTTTATTTATTAGAAGAGTTTAATTTAATTTCTCAGTGTTATACAACTGCATAGTGAGTACGATAAGTACCACCAATAGAGAGAATATTTCCTCTATCGAATACTGTATTATCTGCAGAATAGACACCAGTTTTAATATTTTCGTTATCTGTTTTCAAGAATTTATTCTTCATAAATATATTATTATTTTCATCAACTATGGCAAATGAACGGAATGCAGCACCAAAAGTCTTTATCTTACCAGCTTCTGTTGGTAATTCGAATTTCTTAGGGAGATAAGCAAGTTTCATGCCACTGTAATGAATTTCACCATTTTATAGCTTGATAACTACAACATCTTCTGCTATTTAGAAATCTTCTATTGGTGATTTAAATGTTTCTGAGTGCACTAGAGATGGATAGGGTGAAGTTTCATGCATTTCAACTCCAATTTCATTATTGATACCCATTTAACCATAGTCGTTTGATCCCCAACCGACAAGTTTGCCATCACTAAGATGAGCAACAGTGTAGTAATTACAACTTTTTAATGATTTAATAATAGTTTTTTCAGTTTTTTAAAGTACATCAAAGTAATTATGTCTACGGGGAAGCAATAAATCTTTAGAGTAGCCATCACCAAAAGCACCGTGGGAACCTCTGCCCCAATAATAAAGTTCGTTTTAAACATTCATAGCTAAAGAGAAATAGAGACCTCCTGAAATGGATTTTACTTGTGGTAATTTACGTAAAGCTTGAACAGGTTGAGGAGAATAATGATGTTTTTAATCGCCATGACCTAAAGCACCAGCAAAAGAAAAGAATTACTACATGATTATATTACGGCCTTTTCCACCCCATCCCCAAGTCCATACATCTCCATCGTGAGTAAGTGCCATCATACAACTATTACCACAAGTAACGTCAACAACACGAAGATTCTTTTTAGCAAAGAATTCAAGATGCTTAGGTTCCTTGTAATCTTTGCCATCATTGTGACCCAATGCACCAAACTTTCCTTCACCAAATGTATAAAGATGACCATCAGTAGTTATCAAAGCTGAAACATTTTAACCTAAAACTACTTTTTCAACCTTGTTGTTTAGCTATTTACCGGTTTCATCACAAACCTTAACTAAGACAGGCTTTAAATCTGATGTTGAAGTAAATGTGCTGCCTTACCATAAGTAAAGATTACCACCTTACTTTTATGCTTAGGTAGAAAAATTATATCTGCCAAAAGCTAAGTTTTTTAAATACTTTCTAATGAACATTTTCAATTTATGCTAAATGATTTTATTCTATTAATAAGCTTTTCAATAATAAAATATTATTATTAATCAATTTTAGAAATAACTTTTATGTAATATAATGCATTAGCAGCTAAAATGTATACTTCATATTTTATAAAACTGTATTTTTTTTTCTAAAAGATGAATAGATAATCTGAAATGATATTTTTTAATATAGCAGATTGATATTCATAAAGTGCTAAAAAAAACATCCTAATCAGGGAATACATCAAGCTAATCTGTTAATAAATTAATGATAATTTCAAAGCATTACTTTTTAGATTGATATCTTTGAAAACTTGCCTACTACTTTAGAATATGGATAGTAAAAATATTAAAATTTTTAAGTAATCTATAAAAACTTTCTTTTTATACTTTTAAAATTAAATAATTAAAGTCTGTCTAATAAAAGCAATCAAAACAAAATAAATATTTAGATTTTTTTCTAATACTCATAAAGATATGTTAAAAGTATATATGTTTCTAGCTCTTTCTAATTTTTAAAATTATTAGAAATTAAATTGCTTAGAAAAGTGGACATTAACAAATCTTTATAAAATTTATTTTAATCTTAAATTACTTCGTGTATTTCAAATCAAAATTAATCATAGCTTAAAAAATTTCTACTTATAAAAATTATTTAAAATTAAAATTCTAATTAAATTTTTATTAATAACTTTTAATGATAATTTAAGTTAGATGAATTTCATAAATGAATTAAAAATTTGAACTAACCTTTCAAAATAATTTTCTATTTGTAAAAATACTCTTGTATGGTTGCACTAAAATTATATAAGTAAAGGTTAATGGAAAATAAATTAAAATCTCATCAATTTTTTTTCATAAAATAGTTAAAATTTCAGACACTCATTCTTTATTTATTAATTTCTTTCAAAAATATGTTAATTTGTTTTCAATGTATTGCAAATTTAGTGTAATATTAATCTCTAAAACTGCATAAGTAATAATCAAATTGATAAAAATATAAATATAATTAATTAAATATTTATATAATCTATATACAATAACATTATGAAATATATTTCCGAAAAATTATTTGAAAATATGTATTATTCATCATAAAATTTATTTATAACTTTAATTAATTAATTAACATTTTTATTTTTTTTAACTATTTTCTTTCAATCATTTAGTTGAGTCAAAGCAGCCACACCTCTCTTTACCCAATGCTCTGGTCTATGATAAGGAGCAATAGGAATATACATACTTAAAACAAAATTAGTACTGTGACCAGTTGTACTTAAAGTACCTGCTCTTCTACTTGTCTTATAAACAGGCATTTCATACACCTAATTTATTGTTTTTAGCTATTTAAATTTGAAATTAAAAATAATAAATTTACTGTTGAATCATTATCATAATCTCTCTTTTCGTCTGTTGGAACTAGCCATATATATGGAACCTTTGAGTAAAGAACTTTTGGCTAAGATTCGTTTAGATAATTTTGTTTATGATCCCATGCTGCGCCGTCGAAAAATAGGCCATAAATGTAGCAACCATCTTCAGGTTATTTAGTTAAATCAAAATCTGTTGAATTTTCAGGAATTACAACAAAATCAAATGTTAAGGTGTCAATAGGAATTTTTTTCTATAAATTTTAAGTAAATAGAAATTTTAAATAAATTATTTCTTTTTCCAATTAAATAAACAAATACCTTTCTGGCGTAATTTTACAGTGTTCCTGTTAGGAAAGACTAAGTAAAGAAGAATCCAGATACCCAAAAACTAGCTGGAGAACCTTTATCTATCCATCTTTGCATTTCTTTTAATCTATCTACAAAATCATTAATCCATGAACCAAGTGGTTTAAGTGAAGGATATGAGACCTATAATTAAAAAAGATTTTAATTTTAAATAAAAAATAAAATATTTACTTTATGCCATATATCAGGTACTTTATTATCAAAAACACAGTTATAAACTTCTTCTAAGTCTGCAGACATAACTAAAAATCCATCTATTGCTTTATCTAAGTTAGCTAAGCTTGTTCTTACTGTAGAAAGTAACTTATTGAATCTTATTAATTCTTGCTAGAGTACTGTGTTCATAGATTGCTCATACTTGACTGGATGTTTTTAAGCTGCATCTTCAACATCAAATAATTTAGGTAATTTATCTTGTAGTGCATGTATCTTCTCTTTTATGAGTTGATCAGCGCTCTTACCGCCACCTCCCACTATTTTATGAAAATAAAAATTTTGTTTAATGATAATAATTTTGAGTAAAATTTTAATATTTAAAGAAAAATTTTAATTTAATATTAAAATGTTTACATGATCTTGGGAGAAGACCGAGTACAGTATTGCATATCTAGTTTGTTTCAATAATAGCTGAAGAAATTTAAGCATTCTAATGCAATCCATAGACTTCAGTTGTTTCATTACGAGGAAGTTCTTGAATATATTCTTTATATGAGTTCAAATCTCCATCTGCAGGAGCGTAGTAAATACCGCTCTCTGAAAACTTAATGAAAAATTATAAAAAATAAATATTAACTGCGAAATTATAATATTTTACTTTATAATCATCTTGTAAAATATCTTCTGTGTAGAAATTTTTAAGTAATATTTTAATTAATCTTCTATCTTTAGGATCAGTGACACGACCACCATAGTTTGCTTCTGCTACCATATAATTAAGTGCATCCCAAGGAATTTCTTCTTACTCATTTAAGAACATTTTAAGTTAAGAATAAGAAATAGTGAAATCTGCTGCTGTAAACTCATAAGGGATATTCCAACCAAGTGGTCCATATTTTCTCCTAAAATTAATAAATTATTTAATAAATAAATATATTAAAAAAAACAAGTTCATTTTAGTTTTACCTTTCTAAAATCAAAGCATGGAAGAAAGCTAAACCAAAGAATAATTTTTTCCATTGCTAAGGTTTTTCACATTCTTCAAATTTTTTAATGTCTTATTATTAGAAACTTCTGAGCAAATTATTTTTAAGACCTCTTGGTGGTTCAAATGTCATTTTTATACCCTTCATTAAAATGGTAGGTGGGAATACATCTGAAGGCATAGATGTAAGCCAAATTCTAAAATCTGGATGAATAGTAGGAGGAACATTTTCCAAAATTCTTTCTAACTCAGGCATAAATGAAGGTGCTAAGTGACAATTTTGCAATAGGACCCAGTAACCCTTTTCTATAGCCTCTGAAATAGCTTTTTCAGCAAATTCTCCTTACCCTTAACCTAAAGATATTTAATTGAAAGTAGCCTTAAAACCTAGTTTTTCTGAAAGAGTTATAATTTCCAATCTAGGGTCTGCACCAGAAGATAGAATAAAAATAAGAGGTGTATAGCAATCTGCATCAACATAGGTCTATTCTAAATTGAATGGAGGAGGTTGTATGAATTTTTCTCCCATTTCATTGATAATTAATTTTTAAACACCAAACTAGAACTTATCTGGGAATAGTATGCGGACTAATACAAGCTTTTTTTAAAAAGAATTTATTTATTTAAAAGATATTTAATAAAATTAAACATACTTTTTAGAACTCATTTAAATTTTAAATTATTTTTCCAGGGAAATGCTGTTCATGTGGGTTTTCGCTTTGATATAGTTCATACCATTTATCAACATGTTAGGCAAATTCTTCATCGAATCCTTTATATTATTCTATGGACTGAGACAATTCACAAATTGTGCACCAAGTTTTATTTGAAAGCCATGATTTTGCATTTTCAGGAATTTACTTAGGAGATTCTGTCCAAGTTCCACCAACCATCATAAATCTTAAAATGAAAAAATGTTTAATTTAAAAATTTTTTGAGTTAAAATTAACGCTAAAATAATTTACCTTGTTTATTCTTTTGTTATCATATTTTCAACCTCCATAATTTTAACGCAGAGAAGGAAAGAGAATATCAGTTTATCCTTTTCAAGCAAACTTCTACATATACTCTCATATAATAAAAATTAGAAACTGTCTATAATATTTTTACACCTATTTTGTATAAATGTAGAATTTAATATTTGATTTTACAAAAAATTTCAAAATTAGTACCTATTTTCTCTTCCTGGAATAGCTTGTGTAATCGCTTTTAAGAATAGTGTGATGTAAAATTCTAGGGACCATTAATAGGTAGGTTCAATAAGAGCAAGATCAAGAATTACAAAGTATAAATTAGCAACTCTTTTTGCTACTTCTCTATAAAAATCTCTAATTTAATTAAATACAAGCCTATCTTACTCTTGCTTCTTAAGCTTTTCTTAAATTTCTTTGTTATCATTTTTAGATTATTGTAACTAATAAATAAGATTTTCATCATCTAAAAGGTTTCCTTTAGACTCAAAAAGCATTTATAAAATTTTATTTTCAGTCTGCACTTACTTTTCTTTATTTGCAAAGAATTCTACAACATTTTTTTCTCTTTATTGATCTTTTTAAGGTTCTTCTTATTTTACAATAATATTGAGCATTTAATCTTCAAGTCCCTCTGCTGTTACTTAGAAATTAAGTAGTGTTACTTTAACACAAACCTCAGGAGGATAATGAGGACGAGGAAGTTTAGTAGTCATGTAAAACCTAAATTGATCATTGTAATCAATAAACTTATCACCAAACTTAATTCTATATGAGCTACCTTATTTAACTAGCTTCTTTTACAAAACTGGTTCAAATACACTGTCTATTTATTCACCTAAATTCTCTAACAAAATTTTCTAACCTAATGTAATAGAATTCTCAAGTTTGAGTAAGATATCATTCATGTTTTAAGTAGGCCTTAATATGATCAGACCTTCTTCTAAGTTTCTAATCCAAGTATTTGCTTGTGTTTAAGGATCTATCATCAAAGGCCATCTAGAGGCATTTTTCAATATAATTGCATTATCAATAGAAAATGAGTCATTAGGAAGCTATAATTAATTTTAAAAAGAATTACTTTATTTTTTCAATAATAAATAAATACCTTATATCTATTTGTCCATTAACCAATTGTGATAGGATTACACAAGATATTCTAAATGTTAAAGTCTTGTGAGAATAAAATTTTATATTCTATCAAAAGATTTTTCCAAGCTTGAATTACTTCTTCTCTATAAGAAATTGGGAAGGCACCAAGGTAAGCAATTATACCAGCAGAAATCATACAATCACCAATTACTGAGGTAGATTCTAACCTATTTAATTCAGCTTTTTGCTTCCATGAATTTTTTTCTCCTCCTAAACCACTGATCAAAGCATCAGCTCTTTCTAATTAAACTTTACATTTGTTAACCTAAAGTTTTTAAGTGATTGTTTAATTTAAATTTTCAAAAAATTAATAAGTTTACCTTCTATTCAAGCTCTTCTTTTTCTTTTTGAGCTCTTTCATAATCATTCTACAAGGATTGTAACAAATCAATAACTTCTTGGAGATTTTTTTTCTTTTCATTTAAAATACTCTCTGCTTATTTTAGTTAATTTTCTGCGTCTTCAAGCATTCTTCTTTTGGGTTCTACTACAAGTAAGGCATCATAAGTTTAAATAACAGCTCTAATCCAGAGAGACAAATTACCTGCTGCCTTGGAGGCATTAAAAACTTTGTCTTTTTCGAAAAGTGGATTCTGTACGAAGACTTTGAGCTTTTCTACTTTTTCTTTTGGAATAGATTTAATTTTATCTTCTTTGAAATCTTTAACTCTATTAATCAATTTATCAGTAAGAAGCTTCTTTTTAGCATAATCCCAGAAATCTTTCTTCTTTTCCATAGATCCAGGAGCTACAGGTACTAGCTTAACGTTTTAATCTTCATCAAAGGCATAGCACATACCTTCCATAACTATAGCTGCAGCCTCAGGTGGTTTGGTAAATGATTTTAAAGTTGTCATATCGTCTTTAGTAATATTATCTAAAGCTTATGCTGCTTTACCAAGTATGGGTAGTACTTTATCTAATTCTTGTTAACAATCTTCTTTTAATGCATTAGCCTTATCTCTTTGAACATTGCAATCTTTTTCTTCATTTTCGCAAACTTCCCTCTTTGCATCTGCTTCTTTCTGCTTCTTTTGCAAATGAATAAGCATTTTTTGATTTTACTCTGTTTTAATAACTAACTGAGGCTACAGTTCTTCAAGTTCTTTTTGCATAACTTGAACTTATTGCTCTGTGGATAAAATTTTACTAACACCAGTTTCGTATCTTGATATTATATCAAAAATTTTCTTTGTTCTATCCTAAACAAGCTTTTCAAACGAATTAAGTAATTCGAGGTAAGAAGTAGGAGTCACATAATAATATCTTCTCAATTCTTAAATGTATCTTTCACTTAAATTAGTAATTCTTACTTGCATATCAACTGCTATTTCTACTAATCCCTTTACTTATTCCTAATCTTTCAATTTCATAATATTTACGAAATGGTTGGATGCTGTAGAACGAAGAGCATCTTCAGGCCATGGCAAGAACCAGTCTATAGTAGTACAATTAACCAAGGAAGGGAAAGTTCTTAATCTCCTTCTAAAAGCTTCACCAACAGGTGAGAAAGCTAGCACTAAATGTAAATTTTATCTGCAAACTTTAACAAAATATTTATATTTTTCATTAGGAGTACCTCCAGGACAATCTTGCCCAACTTCTTCAATAATTTTTGCTCTTTCTTCATTTGGGAACAAGTTTGGTACCTTAATTTAAAAAATGCTTAAATATAAAAAATCAATTTAATTAAATATTATTTTTACTTCACCGTTATTCAAGATATTGCAAATATCTTCAACCATCGATTCTTTGGCAATTTGAGTATCAGAAAATAAGAAAATTGTATCCTTTAAATAGAAATATAAATTTGTAAATTAACTAAATATTTTCAAAACTAACTTACTTTTTTATCAACACCTGCTGATTTCATTACTCTCTAAAGATCTTCTATCCAATTTTTTTGGTCTACTTGTATAGGTTCATTTGTGTATGCAATAAACGAAGCAAGGGTTGCAAGTGATTTCCTTCCACTACCTCCAACACCAATTAACAAACAATGACCAAATGGAGTTGTAATAACTCTTACAATTTTAATGATATGTTGTATAGCAGTCATGAAAAGGACTAAGTTCATCCTATTTCCAGAGTAAAGATTGTTATATTCTTCAAGCATAGCATAACAAATTTTTTTCACATCTTCCCTATTTGTTAATTCACAGTAAACATCAGTAAGCTATCTCTTAGAAGTATCACCTTCAGGATAGAGAGTGGGAACAAAAGATGCCCATAAAAGTGGTTGAACTTCAATAAGCTAATCCCAGTCTCTCTTGAAATTTTTACTTATAATTTGTTTCAAAATTCCTTCAAATACTGCTTAGTCCTAATTATTAATTAAACGATCTTAGAATACTCTCATACATTCATGAGCCCATAATTTTATGAAATCTTAGTCAGCTTAGAAACTCTTATAAGATGCTTTTGAAATACCTTAAAAGACCTTAGAGATATCTCTTAAGTTATAAATATAATGAGATTTTGCAGGAGTAGGTAGCAATTCTTTTGATGTTCTAATGGCATTATACACCTCAATAGTTGATTTTACAACTACTTCTCCCATAGAAGTAATTGATTTAGAAAGATTGCCTTTCTATGTATTAAAGTACCATTCGATTATATTGTTGAATATTCTTAATAGAGAATCTTCATCAAAAGGTTAAACATACAAAAGATTATAGTGACGCAAGTATCTCATAGTCACACTATTACGTCCACCCACTGGAGGTAACATAGCTGCTATAAATATTATGTCTTATAGCTGCTTCCATTCTTTTGTTTCTAAATCATACCATCCACCTTCATCCATCCATTAACGAAGCAATTCTATAGGAGGTTAGGCTCCATACTTTTCTTTTGCTGGCATATTTAGATCATCAATAAATATGACTATATGTCTTTTACCTTCTTCTGGACCATAAACACCTTTTCTTCTTCTTGTACATACTTTTGACTCAATTAATCTCTAAACCTGAATTAATAATTAAGAAAACATATTTAATATTTGTTTTTTAAAATAAGCTTAGAAATTACTTGATTAGCTTGAGTTTAACCTGAGAAAGATGTACATAAATTAGTGTATTCTGAGTTAAAGTAATGTTGTTGAAGTTCATTAATAATATTTACAGTCTTACCAGTACCAGTTGGACCACAAATAAGTAAATGGTTATTGCTTTAGATACATTTATGCAAGAAAAAGTTGTTTCTAATAGAATCATTAGTTGGTACAAAAATATCATGGAATTCTCCTTCTTTTGGAACAATGTATTTGTCAACAGTTTAAGTCCAATTAACCCACTAATTCTTTTTGGAGTCAAAGCATATGTCGAAAACAGTAACTTTATCAGGTAATTTAATACTTAATTATCTTGGCTCATATGGGTGTTTAATATCTAATTGAAGCTTATAATTATTTATAAGATCAGGTGCACCCTTTTTCATTTAAAAAAGAAATTTAATTTAAAATAGTATATAAAAAAATTATTTTTTTACCAAAATAAGATGAGAAATAACTTCGTGTAATTATTTTCTGGTATTTTCTTCAAGAGCACCTCCTATTGCCCATATTGTTGAAAACAAAGCTATGTTATTAAAATGTTCATCCATATCTTTAGGCACCTTTTTTTCTTCATCTTCGAATTCTTTAACCCATGTATTCATTAATTGAATAAGTGTATTTACAATATTCATATAGCTCTTATGGACTAAGAACTATCCATATCTTAGAGCCCAAGCTAAAATAGGATCTATTAACCATAATAATGTAGCTTAAAATGCTTCTGCAAACTTTTCTAAAGACTTTGGTAATTTTTAGATAAAGCTCTTAATTAATGGAGTCCAACCTAGTTAATTAGTTTCTAAGAAAACCATACCGCAACGACTAACAGTTGCAGGTGAAGCCTAAGCCAAGTCTTAGACTTCAAACATCATAGTCATCCAGTTTGACATTTTTATAATTTCTCCTGATGTTAAACAAAGTTTCTTGTTATCATCTAGTACAGTGTTCATATTTTCAATCCAAACTGCATCAACAGGACCATCGAAGATAATCCACTTTCTTTCTGCTAAATCAGAATCTTAAGCACACAGTCTCATAATAATAGCTATAACACCATCTGACCAAGATTTAGTGTCTGGATCTAGCTTACCATATAATTGATCACTATATTTTTAATAATTATTCCAATTAATTATTTTATTTTCAAATATTTTTTATTAATGATTACCTGGTTATAGATTTAGGATTTAATTTATATGAAGCCACATTCACATAACTTTCTATACCTTTGAGAGAACTGATAGCTTTTTGAAGACATGAAGTAATCGAAGATTTTCTAATGAGATTTAGAAGTAGAAAAAATTATAAATTAAATAAATTGTTATAATTTAAAATTACCCAGAAAATGCATCACCAACTACCATGAGACCATGACGTACATTAATGGTATCAAACAATTAAATGCATTTATTGATAAAGTTTTTTTCAGGTTATAATTTGCTTGAAAAACAAGCCATTTTAAGGGCATTTTCAAGTTTTCCATAATCTATTTCTGGAAGTTTAACTCCAGGGAAAAGATCATTAGTGATTGATAAGAAAAGTGGAACATCGTTGTAAGTAAACTTAGGAATATTAACATCCATTAATGCTCTAAGGCAAACAATATCTTCAATTTCTTTCATTGTTCTCTTTAAATTACCTGCTGCTGTAAGTATAGCCTTTAAAGCTCTCATACCAAAATCATAATGATCCTGTGAGCTTAATTATTCAGAACTTAAACGGAGTGAAGCTACAATCTATTTTATTATTTATTGTAATGAATGAATACTTTCATTTTAAAATAAAAGCTATTACCTTTCTAGCAAGGTTTCTAGCATCTTAGAAACCCACTGAATATAAATAAATTTCTGCAATAAGAGCATAATCAGGAACCATCATCGCGCAAGGTCTGAAAAGGGCCTTTAAGTTATCAGGTAGTTCAGAACGACCTGCATAACCAGGATTCATTGTAATATTAATAGCACATGAAGGAATCAAAGAGAGTGATTCACCATCGAAAATAAAATCTCTACGTTTTTCCTTAATTGCAGTTTAAATTGTTAGAACTTATTAAGCAATAACTGAAAGTACTTCTAAGTCAATTCTATTAAACTCATCAAAGCAGCACCATGCTCCTATAAAATAAAATGTAAAATTTAATTTTAAAAAATCTTCAGTAAATTATTAATGATTTACCTGATGAAGCAATACCTTTAAAGAATTTTCTCATAGATAAATAGTTCAAACCATCAGAACAGTTAAATACGACTATCTAAACTGCAAGAGCCTTAGCTAAATCTTTGACTGTCTCAGTTTTACCAGTACCTATGATAATTTAATATGAATTATAAATACTAATAATTAAATTATTTGTCTTGTTAATTACCTGCAGGTCCTTCTGGAGCACCACCATAAGATAAATGGAAAGCTCCCATAAGTGTTCTATAACATCTATCTGTTAGAGGAGTAATAACTAAACGTGGAGAATTTCCCAAATATTCAAATCTAAAATATATTAAGCAAAAATAAATTTTATAACAAAATTAAAGTAATAATTACCCATATTTTAATACTGCATTTATCATTTTCACATTTAAAATTTATTCTTTACGAACTTCTTCCCAATAATATCTTAATTGACAAGTCCAATTAAAGTCATGAATACTTGTGCAACCAGTTTTCTCTAAATCTAAAATAACATCCTTAGCATGCACATCAAGCACAACAAGTGCACCTAAAGTAAGTCTTGCTAGAGGTGTGAGATCAGTTCTAACAAGGTCTACAACATCTTTCAATTATCTATCTAAAAATTCGCTATACTCTTTGAGATTGTTAAAGTTAATTGATAATCCTTAATTGTATTCATTAATTTCTAAATCTTCTCCTCCACCTTTACCATTTATAATAGCTATTTCAGCCCCTCTTGTCTATATATTTTAGTAAATAATTATAAAGGATACTATTAAAATATTTTTTGTTACCCATCTCATCATATTAACAGCCAAAACAATCTATCCAGGCCATTTTTAAATCCACTTTGTCCTAGCAGTCTGAACATCAACCATGCAATCTTTTGTAATTTGATGAAGAGTTCTTATCATACTCTTTTCTATTTCAAGCAACCATTTTTCAACATTACCCTTTTTTTCACCTTCTGTAACATCAATAGGCTTTAAGAGTTTAACCTTTTCTTTTTCACTTGAAATTAGAGCACCAACCTTTTTATTTAAAGATTAAATATTATTACAATTAAAAATATATGTTTTAATTTTTATGATTTATTACTTCATTTTGAGTGAAGAAATCAAGAAGATTAACAGCTTCAAAGCATTTGTTAATATGCTTTTAAACTTTTTATGGATCTTTAGTATCTGCTAATATTTCCAATAGTTCTTCATCTGATAGGAAAAAGAATCTAGGGAAATCCCTTCTTTTAGATTCTAAATAATCACTTAAACTTTTCTAAATTTAGTCTAAACTCTAATATTTTGAAAAAATAAAATATTATATTATAATATTAAATTAACTTTATATTTTAGTTTTTCGGAAAACTAAACAAATAAAATTTTTTTTAATTTAAATTACTTTGTTGTATGTTATTAACTCTGATTTAAGACGATCATTATCAATACTTTCCCATAAATTAGATTCTTTGTTAAATTAATCCATAGTAATTCTCCAAAAATTGTCAACTCCATCAAATTTTAATTTTTCTTTTTCCATTTTCTTTTTAATATCTTCTGATGCAAAAATAGGCTCAAGATACATCCAACCTCTTTGACACTTCAACCATTATTCTAAAGTATCTTGAATAAGAATCATTTTCATTTCAATGTGCTAAGCTTATTTCAAAACTGGCTTTATGTAAGGTGATGCCTATAATTCATTTATAAATTTTATACATATTGATTAAAAATAATTAAAAGTAAATGATTACTTTCATCATGAGAAGGACATTAAGTTAATCATCAAGAAGTTATTAAATTTCATCTACTCCCTTTAGTACATAAGTTCCAGTTTTCTTATATTTCATAAGTTCTACTCTGATAACTTTAACTTTGTCTTCCATTTCCTTTAGTTTCTTTTCAATTGTGTATTACTTTTCAGCTCTCTTTGAAACTTCTTCAATCACCTCCCTGTAGTTATTTAAGCCTTAATCGAGTAAAAGTTTTAAACTCATTTCTTCATTTGGAACTAAATCTTTTATATTTGCTGCCTTAAATATCTCATTCCAGTGAACAATAGCCTTCTTTAGGTTACTCATAGCTTCTGTGGAAAGAAGCTCAATCATCCACATATTTTCTCTAAATGACTCTATGTGCTTCTTTAGTTCCAAAGTAACATTAGCAGCATTGTCATCTTCTAAGTCCAAGAATATTTTATTCAATTTAATACATTCTTTATAGAAAGTTTGGTTGACCTTTTTCTCCATAGATGGGAAATTTTGTTTAGTAATAGGGCTAATTTTATTAAAAATTGATAAATATTTGAAATAATTAAATAAAAAAGTATTACCCGTGAGTCCATTCTTCATATTTATGATCAAATTCCCAAGAGTAAAACCAAAGTAAATAATATGGCTAAAATTCAGTTTCAACTTGGTTAAGATTGCTATACTCAGAAACAGCTAGTTTCAACTTAACTTCTCTATCATTAAAGCTTTTAATCTTTTCTTTAGCAGCATTTATCCTATCTTTAAGACCTTCAGTCTAGCTATTATTATCTTTAAGCTTGCTATAATCGGAAAATGTTTTTACCATTTTCAAATGGTCAGAAATTCCTGTAAGTTCTTTTTCAAAATTGTCTTTTTCTCTTTCTAATATTTGAGTGAATTCTTCTTCCTTAATTTATGCGTTTCTTTATCCTTCAACTACACATTACTAATTTTCATAAAATAAATTGATTTAAAATAATTCCATTTTATATTTATTTTACTTTAATTGTATCAGAGAAAATAAACAGATCAAAGTAATCATAAAAATTTTTGAAATATTATTTGTAAGCTTCATTCTCCTCACCAGGTTTATCTACTTTAATAGTGTATGATTCTAGAATAGCAACAAATTCCTAAAGACAATCTAGTTAAGCTTTCATTTTAGCAATATCGACTTCATTCTCTGCCAATCTATTTTTTAAGTTCACTAAATCTTCTTCGTTTTAAGGAATTGAAACTATTATTTCTGATAACTCCTTCTGCTCATCAGTTATTCTTTGTTTTAAATTAAAAATTAAACTCTAAGTTATTTTGACGATAATATTTAAATTTACACTTAAACATTGAATTCTACAACTTATCTAAGTTTAGCTAAAATTTTTTGAATATTTTCATCTGCTCTTTGAATTAAATCGTCTTTGGCTTGTTTTGTCCTAATTCTAAACAATCTGCAGTCTTTTTCATCTATACAAAGTCTTTAAATATTTTCTTTAGCCTCCTTAAATTCTCTAAGTTTGTTGAGAATTTCTATCCTTTCAAGATCCATAATGTGAATTTTAGGGCCTTCGTGCTTACCTTGAACCTTTCCTTCCTTAGGATCAACTAAAGTTGCTTTTTTATCAGGGAACAAATGAGAAACTATCCTATCAGAGCTTTTCTCATACAAAAAAGTAAATGTATTAAAATCGTTTATGATTTTTTGAATCTCTTCATAACCCTCATTAAAGCAATCATTAATAATCTTTTCGGCTTCAATAATTAATGGATCATCTCTTTATATGTAGTAGCTGATTGGATATGGAGCTTATTTATCTAATTTCAGAAGAGAAACTAAATCAGTTTCCAAGCACTTAAACTTATGGACAGATTCAATCAACCAATCAAATGGTTGTAATAAGTTTTGCTTTATTTCGTCTTTGCTTGGTTCTAAGAAAATAACTTCATCTTTCTACAAATTAAAAATAAAATTAGTTTTTAAATTAAATTAAAATAAAATAAAGGAATAAAAGTTTTTACTTGTTCCTCAATTTCGTCAGCAATATTATAATCTTTCTTTTTTTCATCTTTTTTCTTTTTATCTTTTCTTCTCTTATAGTTTGTATTAACTCTCAGATTGACTATCAAGAGAGGGAAGTTGTTGATAAGCCAGTTTTGCTCATGGTCTAAAGTGTTTGTAGATTTTGGTTAAGTAAATCTCTTAAAGAAATTGACATACTCTCTAATATTTTGCTAAACTATCAACTAACGAATGTATGAATTAAACATGTAATCCATTTTGTTAACGATTAACTAAATTTCCTTTCCTATGTATTCTTTTTCACTTGTTACATAAAATTTATATCCTTCCATATGTTCTTGGATGTTGGAAACTAGAAGCTCTTACCAAAGCATTTTGATATCTTTAAATTTTTTATTATGAAAATCTTTTTGAATATCAGAAAATTCATTTAATGCTACAGGAAGTTCTTTTTTGCCTAAATTAGTTTAGAAAATCTAAAATAGTCTCTTTTATTAACAAATATCTGTTTTCTGAGCAATTATGTTTAAAGTTTTAGTAACTTGAGGACTCTTTGAGTAGTGCTACTAAGCAAATTGAGCTCTATTAATAGATAAAAATTTATAATTTATAATTAAAAATATATTATTTAATTTTAGATCATACTGTATTTATGGGTATTGCAATTAGACATGCTTACTCTTTGTATATGACTTACCATCCTTTACTCTTTTTAAAATAAAAAAAAATATGCAGTTAAAAAAAAATAAAATTTATTTACTTTTTAACTGTTATTCCAACAGTAAAGTTTATCTTAAGAATAGTTCCAATAAATGGAATAATAGGAGCCACATATCTATTTTAAATTCTTGCTTCTTACCATTAGAAAGTATTTGAGTTGTATTGCATTTCTCTTAAGAGGATACCCTTTTTAATTTAGCGGATGTAATCAATCTCAAGTTCAGAAATAAGCTCCTTCATCATTTTGTTTAGTTGCACATCGATTATCTTCTATTCAGGTATATCTTTATTTCTCCTGAAAGTTAAATTGACTATTTCCCTTCTCCATTGAGGAAGTAATTTTGTTTTTTAATCTAGAGGCATTTTATCAATAAAATTCAAAAATCTTGTTTCATCTTCAGCTGTTTGCATTCTAGATTTGGCGAGTTCAAGTCTTTCATAATACTTTTATGGGTCTTCATGATTAAATAAAATTGATAATCTTATGACCCACTTTTTAATACCAGTAGCTAAAACTCTGACTAAATATTTCTCAGATTCTTCATCATAATCTAGAATCTAAATTGGTGTTCTTTAGTACCTATTATATATATGATTTATTAAATAAAAGAATTCTCAAAAGTTATTAATACTTTTAGTTGATGTAAGTTGGGCACATTCCATGAGGACCTGTGTTATTTTTATAAAATTTTAACCACTCTTAAGGTGTTTTATCTTAATCCCAGCAATCATATTTTTTCAAGCTTTACTTTGTCTTCAACCCTTAATCGGGGAACTGGTTATTAATTTTATCTTCATCCTCTTCTGGTTCATTTTGATTGCTATGGATAGCGCTAGTATCTGCTTGTAATGTTTTCTTCTTCTCAAAAGACTTATTTTAGTTTTCATCATTAAATATTAAGTACAGTCTATTTACCCAAATCTTTTCTCCACTTTCTAAAATTTTTACTTAATATTTTTCTTCCTATTAGTCATATTCTAACAATTAAAATTGGAGCAATTTTTATCTATTTATTTTAAAATTTATATAATAAATTTTATAGAATTTTTATGATAGGAATAAATTTAATTTTTTTTAATTCAATTTACTTGTTATTAACATTTGTAGTGACTAAGCCGTGAGGCACAGGTTAATTTTTGTAAAGTTTCAACCATTCTTCTGGAGATCTCTCGCTATCCCAGCGATCATATTACTTCTAATTTCCACTTACCTTTTAACCGGCTAATCTATGAGCTCCTCCTTACTTGCTGCTTTCTATAAGATTGTAATTTTGAATCTAATCTGACTACTTTCCAGTCAAAAGAATACTTTTGTTCAAATTATTTTTGTTATTGTTCGAGCCCTAATCAACTAATAATGGATTATAATTATAAACAGGTTCTCTAGGTTAGGCTACATTCCAAGAACCTTGCTATTTTTAATTATCTTTGAATTGTTTTGTTTCTTGTGCTTGCATTTTTGACCTCTCGATCAGTGTTGATTAGTTTAAAGATTTTTTGTCATTAAATGACTATTCAAACTGGTGAGCTTCATTATTTTGTTAAAGGATATGCTAATTTGTATTTCTATTATCTTGGTTAACTTATGAGTACCCTAATTATGAATTTTTATCCATTAATTAGCTGTTTTTTAAAATTTTTTTATGTTCATTTTTATTTGACATGCTTTCATCTTTTTTGGAATTAAATATTTAACTTGATTGTTTAATCTTTATTGAATTTCCAGCACCACCCATACTTTTATTTAGAAAACTATTGTCATTCATTATACCAGAAACATCTAGGATGTGATTGTTAATCTTATTTTATTATTGCATTGTTACTTAAATACGATTTGGATTTCTAGCAGGCATTCTTATAATTTTAGCTTGCTCTTTACGTGCTAAGGTACTTATCCAATCTAAATGGGAGTTATTCATATCTTATTGCTACTATTTTCCAGGGCTATTTTAACTCAATACTGAGCCGTTTAAAATTTTACTTTGACTGCTTTGATAATCAATTAAACTTTTTGAATGGCTTCTTTAAGGTTGTTGCATCTACTAAGATTCATTTTAATTTAGACTTTTATTATTCATCGTTAACGAAAGATTATTATTCTAATTTTATCCTCCATTACTGTCATATCTAAAGCTTTAATTATTAGATTATTTTTTATAGTTTTATTAGCTGCTAGGTCTTTAAGTTGAGCTTGCTCTTCTATTGCCTTAAATCTAAATTTTATTTACCAATAATTATTTTCGCAACTGATGAATTATTAACATTTTAATAGTGCAGCTATATAAAGAAAATGTAAATCAAATTATAAATTGCATTTATTACCTAAGGCAAATTTGTTTAATGATTGCCCATTCTATTTTATGTGCGATTGTTAGTATTATAGGTATTGTTCATAGACCTATTTAAAAAAATAAGGAAAATTAAGCTTTAATCTTAATCAAAAAGCCATAAGATGTTTCAAATAAATGAATCATCTTAGCTGTTTTCAAAATGATTTACGTATCATTATATTCACCATCTTCTATAACTTATGGATTGTAAGGATCATTTTAATATTCTTATTGGGGCATTTAATTTCCTTGTTATTAATCAAGGAAAGATTCTACATTTTTCTCTTCTTATTGAGCTTCTTCAAATGCAAATTTAGGAATATTAATTTTAACAATGGGTCCTATTAATTTATAATTTTATAATATGTAGATTTATTTAACTAGGTGCTTTCTTTATAATAAACTCTATAAACTATAAATGAATCTGATATAAAATCCTATTATAATTTCTTCAAAAATATATTACCTAAACTGCGATTTTTCTAATGCCTATAACTCATTTTTAATCTGTTATTATTACAACCACTAATATTAAATTTAATTCAAATCAAAAATTTGGATAAAGAGATGGTATGTATTCTTTAATAAAATATTAAAATCAAATTTTTAATGATAATGATTAATTCAAAAATTTTGGCTTTAACATACAAAAAGTAAATAAAAATAAGCAAATAGTTGCTTTAATATCTCAATTTTCAAAAAATTTGTTTAGATTCATTTAATTAATTTTATCAAATAATATTCAGATAAATAAAAAATAACAACTTTTAAAATTAATACTAATCACTCATTTCAATAAGATTTGAATTCAGAGAAGTGTTGTTTATCCCTTTAAATTTTGAAAAGAAAATCTATGGTTATTATCTTTAGATATATTTTATATTTTTCAAATCAAAAATTTGCATTAATTTTGTTTGGCTATCAATTTTATTCAATATATAATGTTAAATTTATTTATTATTTTGCTTATCTAATATAAATGTTTTAATAATTATCCATAAATTAATCATAAAAAAGCAGCTTTCATTTTTATTGTTACAAATAAACTGCATAAAATTTATTTATTTTATTTTAAAATAATTAACAATTTTTTTTCAAAAAAACTTATAAAACTTAAATTTATCATATGATTGATTATTAAAAAATTTAACTTTCAATTTGAATTCTAAAAATACTTTCTTTTTAAGATTTATAAATAAAAAGATTCTACAAAAAATAATATCTTTATAATCCAATTTTGTAATAATCATTGAATTATCTCAAAATTTTAAAATAAACAACATCACATATTTGTTTTAATAATTTTATTTAATTTGCTTTATTATTTTCGATTGTACCTCTAAAATATAAATAATCAGAATAAACTGAATGATATTTTTAAATATAGTAATATGTAAAGCTAAATAATTTACTATTATTTAATATTAAATTAATGTACATGGAAAACTTTATTAATATTTTCAAAACAAAAAGGATATTAGATTAATAAAAATTTTACCTATAAATTTTTTTAAAATATTCAATTTAAAAAATTTAACCTTATTTATTATGTCTAATTACCTAATTTAATAAATATTATTTTAATTAAATCATTTAATATTTTTAAAAATTGAATTAATAAGTATATATAAATATTCTGATAGCTAAAATACATATAAATTTTAATTTTGTAATTAAAGTTTTTTAATATTGAATTTATAAAAATTAATCTAAATTTGATTATGTTATATTAAAAACATAAATATATAGTAATTTATTTAATATTAATTATACAAACAATATCAAAAATCTTTCTTTTTTATTAGTTAAATTGATTGCATTAAAGAAATAAATGAATATCAATCAATAAGCTTAAAATTAACTAATATAATTTTTTATAAAATAAAATCAATCATTAATTTTATATTTTTTTTTTAAAATTTTAATTTTAACTATTTTAAAATTAGATAGAATTAGTATTTTGTTAATTAATTAATTATTTATGTCAAGTTTTTAGATTTCTGATTAAATGTCAGAATTAATTGAATTATCTTCTCTGATATTAGAAAAGTGCATTTATATATATCCTGATTGAATTTCTTTATATAGAGATTATACTTATTTTATTATTGTAAATAATTATTAATTAAATGGAAAAAGTTTTAGAACTAGCAAAAAAGTTAGAGAATACTCAATACTAGGAATAGTCTGAATGGATAGCAGACTACTTTTAATATTTTGGATAAGAAGAGTATCTATAATAGAATGAAGAAGCTCAAAAACTTATAAAAGAGATTGAAGAAAAGCTTTAATTTTTAAGTGAATAATCTCGATTTGGATTTTAATACTTTTCATCTTACTTTAAAGGAAACCAAAGCGATCAAAGCAATACCAATAAGGAGATAATCGCAAAGAATATTAAACAGCTATGCTATATAATAATTTAAAATAAAACAGAAAGTAGCTTGACTTTAAAATAAAAATAAATACTTATCTAAGAGTATTTTTCTCTCCATATTTAAATCAATTAAGTATCAATACCTCATGAACTGAAGTTGCAAAAAATAAAAGAAACTTATTGTTTTAAGACGAAGTAAGCTAATGAATTTTATTCAAAGTATTTACAAGAATATATATCTAAGCACGGAAATAGTTAGAAAATATTTTGGACGGACTTTAAACCAATTTTAGAAAAGTTTTTAAAAGACTAATTCAACTATAAAAATAAAAACGATTGTAACTTTAATGACCTTACTGCGTACTTAAAGTAATTTATAGATAAGAAGTAAGATAATACAATTGACTTTGAAGAAATAGATGATTTTTTTTTATAGTACTTAAATAAAGACAGCTTTTCTGTAGATGACTTATACTAAATTGTTGAAAATAAAATTTACAAGCCTATTAACACAAATTTAAAACTATCTCTACTAAAATATCCTTCTGTTTATAGCGGTTTTTACAAGTAAAATGGTATTCAATTTCAAATAAAACCTTACTATGATCGCATATCATTAGGTAGAAAAGCTGATAAATAAAATACCATTCAAATATTCCCAGAGGATGATGCAAGTATGAGCAGATAATAATTTTAAATCTACAAAAATGAGATGCAAAATTATTTCATTGAAAATTTACACTAAAATATATAAATGAAGATTAGGGTAAATGATATAAAACAAATTGTCAGAAAAGGATTTACTTATGTTTTTCCCAAAAAAAATAATGTTTTAATAGAAGATATTATCCCCAGTAATGAAAATGTTCATGAAGGTGTGAATTAAATAAATCCTTAACTTGATTAATACTAAATTGAATTGAAGGCTAATATTAGCTAAATTGAGTCTGAAAAGGCAGAAGATCAGGAAGGTGAAATCCACTTCAAGTATAATAATATCAGATACCCTTGTAAAATCTAAAAGTTTACTATAGGAAAAAGTCTATCTGATGACATATAAATAGATAGTGCGGAAGAAGACTAGTAAATTATTTTTGAGTACATTAAGAATTATGGATGGGTTGTTTATGAACCAAAGCCAACAAAAAAAGGAACATTTGTTAAATTTAATTATAAGGATGTTACAAAAAACCAAGAATTGAAATTGCAAAAAAATGATTTAGATAATAATTAAGTTTTAAATTCTTAACAAGTGAATCCCAAGTTTTAAATATTTAATGGTATGTAATTCTAACTTGCTGATTATGAGTGTAGACTTAATTTTGAAAATTGAATTAATAAGATTATTTGATATTTTTTAATATAAATTTTAAAAATGTTTAAAAGTATCATAAAATATAAGAAAAAATTTAATAAAATTTAAAATTAACTATTTTATAATTTTTGTTGTTTAAAATCTTACAAACAAAATATTTTAATTTATTAAATACCTATTTTTAATAACTTTTTATATTTTAAATCATAAAAAATTCCTCTAATTTATTTTTAAATTTGAGACACTAAATTAACTAGGCAATCAATTTAACTCAAAATCACTTTAAATAGCTTTTTAAAATAAACTAATAAGCAGCTTCAACTTAAATATTTTTTAATTAAGCAAAATAAAATTACAAAATTAAAATTAAAGAATGCAACACTTTGAAGAGACATAATCTTCAGAAAAACTGAGCCCAAATACAAGTAACTTGTAGCCTCGTCAAGAGAAGCTATTGTGTTTTTGTGGAAGAGTTATCATAGAAAAACCTGTTACTTTACCTTGTGGTCATTAATACCACTTTAAATGTGCTAGAGATTATGTTTTTAATGTCTAAACATAAATATAGAGTATTGAAGATATGATCTGCCCCTTTTGCTAAAGTAATAACAATAATTCCTAATGTGATAATTTTTAAACTAGTCACTACGTACTATAAGAGGAATTAGATGAAGAGAATGAAAACTTTATTAATTTGAAATTTAAAAAGATAAATACTTAGCATAACAATAACTAAACTCCACTAAGCAATTAAACAAATACAAGCTTGAATTAGAATTCTTAAAATACCTCTAATGATTAAAGTTTCAAATACTAAACTCCCAACATGAATAAATATAGCAAAAGGTCTAGATATTCTAATAATGATGACTCTAACAGCACAAATAAACAAAACAACTTAAATACATTTTTAATTAGTCCAGCCTAGGCATCATTCAAAAGTACTTAAGAGCGTGTGCCCTTTACAGATATAACTGCATAAATTAACAAAAAATCTCCTTAAACTTAATATAATTCAATAAAGAATAAAATTTGTTTTGGTAATTTTTAAAAATTTTTATTGATTTTTTATTTTTATTTTTTCAAAAATTAACAAAAGAAAATGTGAATTAGGATACAAGTAAAGAAATGTAGCCAAGAGAAATAATTCAAAACAATTAATTTAGCTTTTATGAAAGCAAAATTTAAGAGTAAAAAGCTTAAAATATTAACCAACCTTTCGCTATTACAAATTCAGAATCCCAAAAGAATATTTATCAAAAAAATAGATATGGAAATTACATCTAAGTTTTGGGAGAAAGGATTATTAAGAAAAGTTTAGAAATAAAGAATAATTAATATTCTTCAATATCTGCTTCTTCTTCGTCATCCTCATCATTTTCTTCTTAATTATAAGGAAATCGAAATTCAATCTAAAAAATAAATCTCAGCTGTTCAGATATTATGTAAAATGTGTCTTTATCAGATTCAAGTTTAATTTCAAATAGCTTTTATTAGCAATACCCTTCTATCTTTCCAAATAATGCTACTTCAAATATGTTTACCAGAATGAAATAAATTTTGCATTCATCATAAGTAATGAATTACTCATTTAATAATTCTATGGCTTCTATAGGTAGTGATAAAGAAAATGTTAGGAACATAACAACGAGAAGAGCAAGAAATAACGTTTTGTAAGCTTCATTTTATGAAGGAGTTTCTTATATGTGCCCTAACAGCTTATACACTAAATTTAATAAAAAAGAGCAAGAAAAGACTCTTTAAAATGAAATTTTTAAACCCGAAAAATAACTCTCAGATATTGAAGAAAGAGATAAAGAATGTTTAGCATACCCATTTTGTATTGAGCTATCTAATTTATTTAATTCGAATGAGAATAATAATTTCAAGAATACCCAAGATTTTCTTATTCTGTTTGTACATGACAAATTAACAAGTGAGTAAAGATACCTAGCTATGAAAAGTCTTTACACATGTCTTGATACCTATGATACTTTATCACTCTCTTGGATAAATTCCACTACAAATAAAGTATTTAAGTCTTCATCTGATTACTTTTTTGGAAGAGAAATGGATGAGTTAGTATCAAGCGAATTTATGAGGCTTTAAGCTAACAAACAGTCTGAAATTATTTTAGAAGCTGACTAGAAACCAGAACTTACTCGCTAAAAAGAGAATTATGTTTTAGATAGCGATGAAAAATCTGAAATCAAGAAGAAAAATCTAAGCCTATTTGTGCAAGAATAATTCAAACTGTTAAAGATCAAGAGAATGATTTAACATTTTGTATTAATATAAGCAGAGGATGTTGAGTTAAATTTTTTGAAAGAGCTAGATGGCATAAAAAATGTTATGACAAGTGTTATCAAAATCCCATCAAACATTTTAAATCTCTCAAATAGTTTGGAATTCAGTGAAAGTTGTAAAAATCTCTTTAACAATCAAATTGATGGAACAAGGCGAACAAATATTAAGAATTTAAATATAGCAATTGAGATTAATCCTTATTTAAATAATCTACTAGATCTATCCCTTGTTAATAAAGAAGAGTTTTCAGCTAAAGTAAAAAAAACTACTCTAAGGAATGTAAAGTCCTCTTCAAAAAGCAGTGAAAATCTAGTAACTGATGAAGAGCTAGAAAATTAAATGGAGAAAGATAAACATAACGAAGTAGATTAATAATTGAGAGAAAACTCCAACTTTCCTGAATTAAGCACAATATTTGAGGTTGATATTGACTATTTAAAAAAAGATAGAGAATTATTACTTTTTGAAATTACATTTAGCAAGGACATAAACCCAAGTTATCAGAGCGCTCAGCTTTTTAATTGTTCCATTTAATACGATTTTATTTATGTTGAATTACCAAATAACCAAATTGAATATTCGGTAAACTCGCAAACAGGTGAGTTTGAATTATCTGATTCTTAAAATTTTATGAATTTTCCTCCTATGTTTTAAGACATTTCACAAAACTTAAAAAATCTATATCTTCTTTTTGAGTGGCATAAAGACACAAATCATCTGCGTTATAATAGGAGAGTAATGTATTCATTTTGGGAGGAGGAAGTAAAACAATCTAATTTATAACAAGTAATCTACGATAAATATAAACAGATTTTTGACTCAATTGCTCAAAAAAAATAGAACTAAGATTTTGAAGAATATAAAATGTTCACAGAATATTATCAAAAGCTATTGAAACTAAATCAAAATTGAAGAATAGAAATAATTTTTGTTTTTTTTTATCACAAATATTATCAATAAATAAAGAGAAATAATCTTTAATGTTAAACTTGAAATATCCATTTATTTTTTTTGTATTTATTTGATATGTAGTATTAAAATTTTGTAAAAAGTAATGTAAATTACAGAATATAACAAAAGAAGAATTATTTATTGATATAGATCAAATAGTCAATAAAAGAAACTTGTAATTTTGTCAAAGTAGCAAGATCTTATGTTTTTGATCTGCTATTGACAAACGTAACTAAAATATGTAAAAATTTTTATACAAAAAAGAGAAAGTTCAGTAAAATTAGTAAAAATATATTATTTTAGCATACAATTGTTTTGTTAAAATTTAAAAAAAAAATAATTTTTAAAATATATCAATCAATGAATATAAAAAATGACTAAAATTAGAAAATTCAATATTTCAATAAAATAATTAAAAATATATGTAAAAAAATGATATTAGAATAATTACAAATTCTTATTTTTGCGTGCCAGTTTAGAGAATTCTATCATAAAATGTACAGATATTTTAATTAGGATCATTAAAAGTCAGATTATAGATGAAAGAAGTAAAGAAATAAATTTAAGATTAATAATATAAGCAGAAGACCTCCTAAATGATTATTTTTGCAATAGATTTAAATTTAAAAGACGAAAAAATTGCATTTTAAAAAGCATGTTTGCAAATAAGTTATTATGAGTCAACTGAGCTGTTTGATGGTAAAAAAGATTTAAGAAAAAATAGCTATGATAATTAAATGAAAGAATTAGTTATGATAATTAAATGAAATAAAAAAATACGTAAGAAATAGATAGAGTGATTGATATGAATGAATTTAATCAATACAAATTCACTTAGATAATGAAGTATTACTTTTTAAAATAAAGTTCATGGAATTATAAATCTAGAAATGCTTGTGGAAAAATAGAAAGTATAAAGGGCTAATATATAAGGTTTTAAACAGAATGATGAAATCGTGGATTTCTATGCAAATCAAAAGAAATTTAAAATAATACAAGGGTGCCAGAAACTGATAAAAAATAACAAAGACTTTTACTTTTTTATAGTCTGCGTCTTCTAAGAATATTAGAATGAGCGGAGCTTATTTCAAATAGAGGAGTTGAGCAAGCACAAAATTAATGTAAAAACTAATAATTAAAAATTATATTTTACAAACAAAAAGCAAAAAAAACAAAAGAAAAGAAAAATAAATTAAACAAGCAAACAAAGATGGCTTTAAAAAGAATTCAAAAGGTTTGAAGCATTTTATTTTGCAGATCAATTTCTGATTCCGCAAAACGAGTGTGTACTTATTGTGCTTATCAAAATAGCAATGAATTATTTTTGGTTAGCGCAAGAAAAACGACTCGTTTAGCAGAAAAATGAAAGACTTTAGTTAGATTATTAATTAATTTTTTCTCTAATAAATAACAAATAGGAACTCTTAGATTTAGGTCGTGAACCTCCTTGCAACTGCTCTGCTGGCCCAGTAGAAGGACAAGTAATTTTATTTTAATGATTACCAATTTAATTTATTTTCTTAGTTAAGTTTAATGATAATTTATAATTTAACTAACTTCCTTTCCTTTTTTAAATATTTAAAATATTAACATTTTTTTTTACAATTTAATTAACAGAAAGATGCTTTCCAATGGCAAGCTACTATTATGGGACCTGTAAGTATTTTTTTAAAAACATTTCTCATTTAGATATGGCAAATAAGCAACAGATCTAAGCATTAAACAAGCTCTCATTCTTTTGAAGATTTTAAATTTTTCTTTTAACATATAGTCTGATTCTCCCTACTCCGGTGGTGTTTTCTTCTTGAACATTCACTTCCCCACTGATTACCCCTTCAAACCTCCTAAAGTAAAAATTATTTTATTTATATACATTTAATTTTAATTCCATAACTAATACTTTTTTAATTAAATTATCAAAAGGTTTCCTTCACTACTAGAATCTACCATCCTAACATCAGTAATTATTTAAACTAATTCATTTTATGAAGTGTAAGTTTTTTGTCAAACAAATAATTTCTTGTTTCAGACAGACAACTGATCAAGTTACTTGATAAATTATTGAATTGATTGAGGACTACGCTCATTTTTTCAACTAAATTTTCATTTTTAAGCTTACTAATTGCCTTCTTTTATTCAAATATAGATTCTAACGGTTCCATTTGTCTTGATATTCTTAAGGATTAATGGTCTCCTGCCCTTACTATTTCTAAAGGTAAACTTACATAAAAACTTATCTTTCTTTACTTTCGCGGATCAAAAAAAAAATTAAGATATTTGCTTTAGCAAAGAATTCAAAGTTATTCATACTTCCAATGCAAAACAACTGATTAACTAACTATATGACATATGAGAAATATTTTATTTAAAAATTTAAACTTTTATAAATATAGTTTTGTTATCTATCAGCTCATTGTTGACTGACCCCAACCCCGATGATCCTTTAGTCCCTGAAATTGCTCAAATATTTAAAAACGATAGAGTTAGATACGAGGCTACTGCTAGAGAATGGACCCGTAAATACGCTATGTGAGGTCGCAAAAAAGAAATGCCCATACCCAATATTATTAACTTCATTCATTATCTATCTTCTTCTTATTGCTTGCATTCGATATATTAGTTTCAGCAGCTGAATTATTTTAATAATTTACATATATATAGTAACTATTATATAAAATGATATAGTAGGATAGAGTTAATTGTGCGACCATTATCATATACTAACTAATCCACTCACACAAAAACATTACAAAAATAATATTAATATAATAACAACTAATCAACCATAAAACATTAATTCTCTTTTATGACATATATTTATCTCTTCAAAGTCTTTGTAAATAATAACATACAAATGAAAAAAACAAACTAATGAATAAAAAACTCCAGCTATCTTAAATTTCACTGCATATTAATTTAATGACAGGCAATTGGAGCTTAAACATAAGATAATAAGCTTAATGGGAGTGTTATCACCAATGAAGAGAAATAAAATGAATTATATAAATTCGTTTATAAAAAAATATATTCTTTATTTTGTATGTGTTTAATGGGCAACAACGTTCACTCAATTTATATCATTTCGTAGTAATCGTATACATATATTTTAATAAATATTTTTTACTAATTAATTCCAAATCCAAATTCTGCATGTCTAACTTAAACAATCTATCTATATATTCATTATAACCCTATTTTTCTACTTAGAAACTAAAAATAATATTATTTGTTTATTTATTCACTTTCAAAAAAAAATTGTATGAAGAGAGCTGAAATTAGGTGCAATTTAATTAATTTTCTTTGATATATTTGGAATAAGCTAATGCTCTTGTTAAATAAGTAAACAAACCTAGTAATTAATTTTTCTTTTTTTCTCACTTTTAATAAATTAAAAGAATATTAAAATACAAAAAATACTCTCTCGACCACTTTTTTGAAGTGGTTTTTGAGAAATAAAAGTTAATCTTTAATCAAATAATTTACTTTAATAAATTGTAATAGAAAGTTAACAAAATAATTTGATAAGCGGTTCAACAAAATTTGTTTATTAAATCGTTATAAAGCGAAATTTGTCAACGACAAAAAGTTTATTTTTATCATTTTTTAAAATTTAAACTCCAAAGAGTGTTTTTTTTTTTCTTTTTAATTTTTAAAATAAAAACTAAATTCTCTTTTAAATTAAAATAAAAATATGTCTAAAATTTAATTATTATTTATTATAAAATTTAAATAAATAGGTTTAAAATAGAAATTTTATATTTTTTAAATTTGAATTTAAATTAAAAATTTTATTTCATTTGATGATTTTTTTAAATTTATTCTTATTTTATATTTTAATATGAAATTTGAATTATTTTTCTTTTTATATTTAATTTCTTTATTTATTTATCTTCATTTTTTATTTTTATTTTATTTATTAAGATTTTCTTTTATTTTTTAGTAATATTAATTTATTTTTTTATTATTTGTTTTTTTTATCTAGTTTTTTAATTCTTTTTATTTCGATGAGAGAGCTTTTGCAGAGATTTTTTAAAAATAGTTTTATTTTAATATATTTATATTTAATCGATTTTCACGGGCATGCGATTGATTTAATTTAAAAACTTAGTGGCATTTAATTTGAGGATAGTTTTTATTTTATATTTATATTTACGATTGAGCAGTTCCTATTTTTTTAAACAATAGATGATTAATATAAAATTAATAGGGGACATTTAGGATAGAAGAGAAAATCTTTAAGGATTAGATTGTTCTCTTTAGATTACTTTTAAATATATTTTCTAAACATTCAAAGAGTTAGAAAATAAATTTAAATAGTAATAGATTAATGGATAGACTTTTTGCTGTTGTTTTAATTTCTCATAAAATATAATAGTTAATATGAATATTATTAAGTAAGTAAGAGTCAAATCAAATCAAATGAAATAAAATTTAAACTCACCATATTACCTTTGGTAGTGGATGTTAGAAGATAGTTGGATATTTAGGATATTAGGATAGATTTAAGCAAGATTTTATTATTAAGTTTTGGTTATTATAAAATGGCTATAAGCCAAGTGAATTCCTTTTTTTTTTTCTTATTAAGAAATCAAAAAAGAAATTAAAATTTATAATCTTTTGGGAAGATCAGAGATAATTTTTATTTAATTTTCAAAATTCAAATATGAGTTTATTTAATTAACAGGATATTAACTTTTTCAAATAATTTAAGTCTAATTTTTTATATCATATTTTTTAATTATTTAATTTGTAAAAAAATAATTATTTTTATTTTTAATATCAATAAAAATTTTATTTTTTTAGTAATATTTATAATATTTTATTATAGAATTAGATATGCTTTAAGAGGATACAAATAAATTAGTTAAAAATTGCCTAAATTAACTAATAAATACTTATTTTATATTGGTAAGATATTTAAACACTTTCAGAAAGAAAAAATTTATAATTAATTAATAAGAAAAATAAATTAATAAAAGCAAAAAAGAAAAGTATTTTTACAAAACCAAGTTATTAATTAATAATTTTTTAAGGTTAAACAAACAAACAGTTTGAACTGAACGCAACCCAAGTTTTTTGTGCAAAAAGCATTCTTCCAAATCAATTAAATATTGGAGGTCTGTGAATACTCTTTTAAGAGATTAAATTCACTTTTTTGGAATAATGCTTAATGATCTTAAAATAACTTGATTTGTTAAAAATACTTTTCATAAAATCGCTTCAATATAATAAATTGTTTATCAATCTATATTGAATCGTAACTGTATTTTCAAAACAATAAAACTAAAATAAAAATGAGAATAACAATATCTCGATTTTCTATTAGTATCCAATATATAAAAAGTATTTTTTAAAAGCTAGGAATTCATGAATTGATTTTAGATATAATGGCTATGATGATGATGCTGGCGGTGATGAATGTGATGCCTTTAAAAAGAAAAAGAAAAAAGAAGAAAATAAATAAAAATAAAAATTATTAAAATAAAGAAAAAGAAAATAATGAAATATTAAAATTCAGAAAAAATGAACAAATTATTAAAACAAATAAATAATTAATAAAATTACAAATAATTAAATAAATAAATAAATAAAATATAAAAAATAAATCCAAATAAAAATAAAAACAAAAAATTATTAAAATACAAAAAATTAATTAATACAAGATATTATTTCATTTTTTTATTTTTTTGGCAAATATTTTTTTTTTAGCAATTTATTTCAATATTTTTTAAAAATTTTAGTCAATACATAAAATAATTCATATATTTTTTTCTTTTTGGAGTAAAAAAATAAAATTTATAAGTAGCCTTTCATTTCTATATTGAAAAAGCTTGTTTTTTGTATATTTAACTTATTTTAAACTGGTTTTTTTCCCATTAATTAATTCAATTATATCTTAAATGATGTTTTATTACTGATATGAATAGAGTGTTTAAAAATAAATAATTGCATCTTGACTTTAATAAATTATCACGCAACGATGGTTTATTTAAAATAAATATGCTTTTTCCTAAATTATTTTAAGAATTTGGTTTCTAAAAGTGATATTTTTATCATATAAACTATTAAAATTATGAATAAAATAGATATTTTTCCGCTACAAGTTTATTATAAATTTTATTTAGTTACTTCATATTTATTATGCATTTTGTTTATGATGCTTTCAGAACTAAATTTGTAAACTCAAATTATTAATTTGTTTCATAGAACAATATTTAATTACATTGTTTGGCTAATTAAAAATTAACACTTTATTTACCACTCCTAATTTTTAAAAGGATAATTAATTATTATTTTTTTAATACAAACATTATTCATGCTTGAAATTATTACTCCATTAAAAGAATATTTTGATTTTATGTTGCTTTGATTTGAGTAAAGAAAAATAATATTAAATAATTCTATTAAACAATTTATGCCCTCTTGTGCTGATACTAAATTTTGCTTAAAAGCTAGAAAACGATTAAAATTAATACATGTACTTTTTAACTCTATACATTCATTTTCAAAAGAGTGAAAATTGGCATGAATTTAATGAAAAGAAATTTAAAAATTAAAATTAGTAAATTTTAGAAATAAGAATTTGATTCAAGTGGCTTATAAAGACTATATGCAAAATTAATGATGTCAATCATTTAAATTTTAAATTAAAGAAAGTTAGTTTTACATAATAAAAGTAAGCTAGTAAGTCTTAATATTGAAAAAATATAGAAATAACTCATTAGTTTTAATGTATTTTAAGTACTCAGTAGAATTTAAACTGTTAATTATTCCCTCAAAAAATCAATAATGTTTAGTCTTTTTCTATATTTATTTTAAAGATTAAATCAAATTTGAATTTTAACATAAATTCACTCTTAATTGCTTGATTGACAAAATTTTCAAACAAAATCTGAATATTTATTTATTACTTATAGAAAATTATTAAAATTTGTCTCTCTAAAGAATTAATAATTATGTAAATAAATATGAAAATATTTACCATTAAAGATCTTTATTTTAATTCTGATTAAAAAAATATTCTTTACATTTAAAAAAAGTAATCTTGCTTGAACCTCTATTACTACAAGTAAAATAGAATCAATAGAGATTTTCATTGGTATTTTTAAGCAAAGATTATAAAAATTATAAAGAAATAAAAAAAATTATAATTTACGATTTTAATTCAAATGTTAATGATAATTATATTTAATTATATTTATTATTTATAAAATATTAGGTAATAGAAATAAGGATTTTTAAATTTTTTCTTATAAAAACTTACACTTGTTTTCTTTATAAATAGATTAATTACAAATATTGTTTACAAAATTTTAATATAAATAATGTAATAATTGTGACAAATTTGAAATAGAAAATATAGTGAAGAACAAAAAAAAAATATCTTCTTTAATAAATTGACAACAGAAAATATTTTTTTTTTCTTTTAATTTCCTTAAAATATTTTTTTTCCTTATTTATTTATAAAGCTTTATAGAATTTTAAAAAATTTCATCGGTAATAATAGTAAATTTAGCTCAAATTTATAATTTTCAATGCTTGATTGTCAATTAAAAACCTCTTAATCAAAAAAATGCATTTCTTTCATAAAATAATCCACCAATTAATATTTAAATTTTCCCTTTGGTATTGACCAAAATGTATATCTATTTATTCCTTTAAATCTTTTCTCAATTTTTTTTTTTTTTGATAAGTTTCAATATAATTTCTCTTACCTATATTTTAAGAAATCCATTTTTTAAACATTAATGAAGGTTTTACTGGATATGAAAATACAGCTGTTAAAAATGTACAAAAAATTGCTCAAATTTCGAAAAGGCTGAGCATAAAAAAAAGTATAAATTTTTCATTTTAATAATTGAATTATGAGAAAAAAAACTAATTGTAACATAAAAATTAAAAAATTTACAGTTTCTTATCATATTATGAATAAAAACTTATTTATAAGATGATGAAAAAATATGAATATAGTTTATGGATTTTACATTTAATGAAAAAATAAACATGATTTAAATAGAAAATCAACTTTTTAAAGATTTGACATAGTTTTGATAAAAGATATTTGAAATAGTCTTAAAAATTTTTTTCAGAAAAAATTTCATTTGGCTCTCTTTAGAAATAATTATATTAATAAAAGCATTAAAATTTGAAACAATATTAAGTTCCAATCTCTTATCACTAGAAATTTGTAAAATTTATTCAAATAAGCTCATTTGGTTTCTTTTTATAAGTCCTTTACACAATAATCTTTTTTCGCCAAATATTTTGATAGATTTTATTATTCCATTAATGATAATCTTTTTAAAAAATTGTCTCAAGGTGAATTCAATTCAATTATTTTTAATTATTTTAGGTGTGTATTTTCATATGTTGCTACAAAAATATTTCAAAAAAATTTAGACAGATAATTCTTACAGTCATATTTTAGAGTTTTTAATTCTTAATATAAAATAAATATCTCTCTTTATAATCAAATAAATAAATATACACCATGTAGATTAAATTAAGAATTGCTAGCACTTAAAATTTCAGCAAGGTTAAATGAAATTATATAAATTAAACAGAATTTTATTCTTAAATATAATATCAAATCTATTTATGAATATCAATTCAATAAAAATAAAAAATTTACTGATATAATATTTGAGGTGATTTATTAGATTATGTAAATATTTGTTTTTATAAAAATAATATATAGAACTCATTCTGATTAAAAGCAAACAACTATAATTGCTATCTGTAATCGCTCAAAAAAAAAATAATAACTTGCTTTAAAAAAATTAAAAAGTAAAATAGTTAGAATGATGGATATTAAATCTATGGCCTTTGTTCTTTAATTGTACAATACAATACAATAAATAAATCAATTAAAGTTAATCAAAATTAGAAAATGCAAGTTAATATTGGTTTGCATAATATAGAGAACAATTTATGTCATTTGTATTTAAAGGAAAAAATAATAAATTGAATAAAAAAGGAGAAAGAATAAAAAAGCTCCTAAAAATTAGTATAAAATAATACCACGAATAGAAATTAGATTGCCTACAAAATTCTTAATTGATCATAAAGTATATTAAAAAAATAAGAGTGATTGATATAAGCATAAATTAATTAATAGATTAAAATGCGGGGTGAGATAATTAATATCAATTAAAAAAGAAAGAAATTAAAAGAGGAATAAAGAGAGAGAGATAGATGAGTAATACAATTAATCTTGTCTAATTTCAATTTAGAATCAGATTTCTTTGTAGAATTTTTTAGAATTGAGATAAGAAAACTCGATTTTTTTCCCATTTTAAAAATTCTGTGTAACAATAATTTAGTGTAAAGAGAATTCGATGCAAAGATTATTTTATACTTGAATTTTCATTTATTAATTAAAACAAACAAACAAACTATTTCTCATGAATTAATTGCATTAATTTACTTTGCATGAAGAAATCAATTATAACTTTTATTGACTCAAAGAGAGTTATAGATTATAATTCAAAAAAAATCAAAACAAATATTAAAGATAAAAAATCTCTTGATTAAAAAAATCCATAAGTTTTTGTTTTTGACAAATAAAAGCCAAAAGACAAAGAATAAATAATTTTGCTATTTAATTTTTATTTATTCAGCCACTAAAGTTAGAAAAGTAAATAGAATATTTATTAAATAGTTTATTCTAATATATCACAACAGTTAATTAATCTATCCTAGAAAATATTTTCCCTTTTTGTAAAAGTAGCGTTGATGCTAAGAAAGAATTTTGTCCAATAAAAATATTAACATTATAAACATAAAAAATAACTTTATATAATCTGTGATTTATGAATTAAGTTAAGATATAATCAAATTGATGATAATATAAATAAATCAACTCAATTTATTAATAAATAAATCAATAACTCAATTTGATTTAAAAAATTATTAGATTACACAGTAAGGATTAGCATAAAATAAAATTTTGAATATTTGAAAAATAAATGAACGAATAAATAAAAAAATAAACAATAACAAAAATTCTAACTAAATTTTACCTATTTTTTAAAATTAGGTACATGAGTTGTTTACTAAAGGCTGAATATAACTAATAAATAGGTACATCATCATTTTGTTAAGCTAATGTTGGAGAATAGATAAATTAAACTTTTTAACAGCAAAGAAAATGTTCATTCAAAAGAAAAAGTACTTCGGATAATCGTAAGGTGAAAGAATATTTGCTTCCTCTGGTGTCTAATTTTTTGCTTTACTTAATATTGATTTTATCATAAATTTAAAATGTGAGTGCTAACCCATATTCTTAGTTAAATAATTTCATTAATTTTACTATGAATGGGAATCTATAAATTAGTTAGGACGCCAACATTATAATGGAATTTAATTAATAAGCTTATTATAAGCTGTCAAATTATTTTATAAACTTAGAAATTAATAATTAAAATTCACCAGTTTTTTTGTGCCTCTGCGTAGCTAAAAACTGCTAGGTCGAAAGCCTTAAATGGACATTCGATGCTCTAGTCTTCTATAGCAAATAAAATAAAGGCTAAAGCCTCCAAAACTAATTAAAAAGTAATCCTATTATTTGTAACATAGAAAACTATTACCACTCATCAACAGAAAGAGAGCTGTATATTAATATAAATTCTTAAATTTAAGAGATATACCAATAAAATTAGCATTTGGGAATTATTATCAGATCATAAACTAATTTAAATACTTCATACACTCTCAGCTTATAATAAAAGAGAAATTTTTGCAGGAAATGCCTTAATATAGTTTAATGCGATAGTTCAAGCTGCATATGTGAATGCTAAGCAGGATTTTTCGGTTAATACTGCAGTGAAAATGCAGTTGTTTTCAAACTTGGATTAGGAGCTGATGATATGACTTAAAGTGCTTATTAGCTGAAATAAAAAGTCTTTGCTGCTACTCTTTAGCTCTCTAATCTAGAATCTAATACAAATCTCAGATCTCTCTAATAAAATCATTCTTCTCCATTCTTTCATAATAGTAATAATGAATAAAGTTATAAAACTAGTAACAGTTCTTCTCCATTAATATAAACAAGTAAATCAACTTAATACATTAAATTAGAAGTTCAACCTTTTTTAGACATGACCCCTAACATTACTTATACAAACTTTTACATCAGTCTTTCTAAAAATTCTAATGATTAATTTAAACTTTTTGTTGCTGATTAATATTAAATTAACTCTAGTTACATATCCCAAAATGACTTTGTTTAAGAAATCGACTTTAATGCTGGCGAAACTGATATTTATATCGAAATTTATGCTTACAACAGAGAATATCCTAAATAAAAAGTTCTTGAAAAAATTACTTAAGATCCTATTGGAAAAAGCGCAGTTATCAAATAAATGAAGACTTACAGAATTATGCTTTAGTTTGACCCTTAATAAGCTTAAAATTATTAACTTTTACTTGTAAATTAATGTGAAAAAAATAATGCTTCCTGTTTAAACTAAGTCTAAATTAATTACTCTCTTTCTGATTTCCTTTTTTCGCCGATAACATAAGTTAAATCTAATTTAACTTATATGATAGTGTTTTTATCTATCACATTTGCTGGCATGGCTTGCTTTTGCTGTTATTCAATATACAAAAATTATTAAAAAAAGAGAATTCAAAGAGAACAAGAAAAAATAAAGAAAAGCAGCAATACTAATAATAATGAGTCATAGTTTAAGTAAATTCGTTAAAAAGTTGAAGCTTAGGCTATATAAGATGAAGAAATGCACAAAATGAGAGATTAAACTGTTGTAATTGAAGTCGAAGCTAAATCTATATCTAATTTACAACTAAACAATCCTATATCACATACTACTAGTACTAACAAAATTCTTGATGTAAAAAATTAATACAGCGTCAATAAATTTAACATCGTTCAAGCATCAAGAGTTTTCTAATCTAACTTAATTAAGCTTTAAAAATAAGAATCAGATGGAAAAAGTAACACTGAAATAGCTGCAAGAAGCTAAAGTAGATTTAACTCTTAGTAAGAAAATAAAGTTAAAATGAAATAACTCTATAACACTAACAGTGAATTATGTGAATAGGATAAAAGAATTGAGAGAATAAACTAAATTCTAGAATAGAATAATTAATTACAAATTTGTACAATATAAAATCAAAATTTAAACATTTAGACTAATTAGTAACCAAACAGTCCTAACAAAATAAAGAAAGAATTAAAACTTGAATAAGCTACCACATAAAATACATACAACAACTTAGGATGTCACAATATTTCAAATAACTTTAATGAAATAAGTAGTAACAATACAACTGTAAAATAAAACTCAAACAAAGAGAGCTTGAATAATACAGTATATTTAAAAAAATAAACTGATCATTAAGATGGAGAATACGATAGCACTTGTCTTAATTAATAAAGAGCATCCAAAGCAAGTATTCCTAGCGAAGATTCTCATGCTCTACCTCAAATTAATAACAACCACGCTAGGCCAGTTTATCATTATGAAATTTAGCAAATAGAATAAAAAAAAGAGTAACTCAAGGCTTAGTAAAAACCATAAGAAAATTGTTTGGGCTACCAAACCTTGAATTACATTACAACAAACTCGTCTAACACTATAAATTAAATTTTTTCTAATTTGGACTTTGAAAATTAATCTCCGATCGACAATTTAATGTAAGGATAAAGAGTTCCATTAATAACCAGACCAGAATTAACTAAATATCTATCAAATCAAAATAACTAAAATTTAAACTCAGCTGTTTTTTTAGTAAACAATCCTTCTAAAACCAATCAATCTTCTCACGCATAATTAAATATTAATGAATCCTCTTCAGAGGAAGAAGAATCCTCATAACTCAAAAATGATAAAAAAATGTTGCCAAATATTAAAGAAGAAAATTATAATATAACCTAAGAAAAAGAAGAACAATAAGAAGCTGATTACAAAAAACTAAACTCATAATAGTAATAATACGACCTATCTTAAAATATTGAAAATATTTGCGAAGGTTATCCAGCCGAATTAAAGGCAATAGATGGAAGTAAGATACAGAGCCATAGGAGAAAGATACTAAGTATGGGAGTGAAAAAAGAAATTAATAATTAAGATACAGAAAAAGCAGATGCTAAAGAAAACGAATTGTTGCTTATTTGCTAATAAGAAATCTCAAACATCATGCTTAAAAAGAAAAATGAAATGGACTCAATAAATAACTCCGTAAATAATGGAGCAGAGGATCTAGAAAAAGGAGTCAGATTAGATTAACTTATCTACGAAGAAAAGGATGATAATTAAAGCATCTCGAATGACGGAATATAAAAGCTAGATTTTTTCAAAATAGAAACACCTGAAATATTTTTCTAGAACTGTCCTAAATGTTAAAGTAAATAACATGAATTCTAATTAAAACTAAGCAATTTTGGAGAATAGGGAGTCAAACCTAAAGATAAATATTGCTCATTGTGCCTAATGAAAGCAGAGATGAGTGAAGTTAAAATGGCAGATTCATTTTGAAATCTTAAAACTCTCAAATTATGAAAACAAACAAAAGTTTTACTAACAAAATGTTTATAATTAATAATCATCAAGACTCAAATATTAACCAAATTAATTTAATTTTATATTACATTATTAGTTAGATTATTTAATAATCACCTTCTACCTTAAAAAAATAATGCAAACAGTTAAAATATTATTATTACTATATCAAAATAATATAAGTTTAACCAATTAAAATATCAAACAAATATTTTATCAATTTTACTAAATTAATTTAATTCTATTAAATATTAACTAAGATAAGAATAAATAAATATTTCAACTAAAAAAATTGTTTTTATTCAAATTAATATATTTATCTAATATATAAATAACTATATAAAATTAATGCAACCTTCATACACTTATTTACTTTTCAAGTCTGTTTTTAAAATTTCATTTTTATTAATTTTTTTAATTTATTAAATAAAACAATTAAGCAAAAGATAAATATTTTACTCATCAAACAAAATATTTTAAATATCAACATGTTAAACAATTAAGTATTGATTATTAAATAAATTTAAATTCTATTCAATTTTGAAATATATTTAATTACTTTAACTTTTATTTTTCCAACTTTTAATTCACTTTAAAAATAATTTATTTCATTTGAGTAAAAAAAATATATTTTACTTACCAAATTTAATCTAATGTTTGCTATTAGTTAAAATAATTTAATATAAAATTGTTTTATCGGATTAAATAAATTTGCTGTAAAAATATTTAAATTAAAATATTGCTAATATGCTTTACAATTACTAAATAGTTAACAATTTTAATTAATTTCAGTTAATAGCAATAAATATTTCATTCATTTACTTAAAAAATTGATTTTACCAACTAAATTAATGTCCTATTAATTTTTACATAAATCCATTTAATTTTTTATCTCAAAAAATACTTGAATTGATAAGATTTTAAAGTGATTTTAATTCAATTAATTTATTTAAAATTAAAATTTTTAGCATCATATTTTTTATACAGGTATGTGAAAAAGTTAATTTATCCAACTAAATAAATTTTAAAAAATTACTCTGAAAAATATATAATGCACCTCCTAAAAATTTTTCAATTTTATGTAAAATTATGCACGTCATATTTGAAAGTCTCTGGTATTTATTTAATAGTAAATAAGAAAGTCATTTAGATTTAAATTTTAATAGTATTCAAATTTAATAGTTTAAAATTTATCTATATTATTATTAAGCTAAATATTACATATTTTATAATTATTTGTTAATCAATTAAAATAATTTAATAGTATATTTTTGTTAGAAAAGAATGAATTAATTCATTCATTTATTTTAAAACAAATAATTAAGTAAATGGGATAATATGATCAATTCAATCTAAAAAGCATAAATATTTTAATATCAAAATGATATCAAATTCATACAAGAATATTTTTTTGTAATTTAATATGTCAAAGAACTTTAGTACTGCTTTTAGTATTTTAACTTGAAATCAATACTTATAAAAAATTACAAAAAAATAATTCAATTTTTACATAGTTAAATAAAATTATAAAATAATTATATACTTTGTGTATTATATTCAAAACTTAAAAAAATAAATAAATATGAATTTAATTTATTTCATTTAATCATTAGCATTTGTAAATATATTTTAAAGGTTTTTTTTTATACATATTAAATTTAATTTAAACAATAATTTTAAAATAAAATTTAGTGTAAAAATAAAAAATTAATATATTTAGTATTTAGTTAACAAATTAAAGTTAAAATCCAGTAAATTTTAACAAATAGACTCAAAGACTTAGAGAATCATCGTCTATATCTAGGTTATCTTCTTACTATTTAATTTTTTTTCTTTTTTAGTGGCTTTATCCGTTATTTTCTCCTTCATCCTCATCATCAGAAAAGTTAATTTTTAATTCATCTATATCTTTTTAATTTTAATTTTTTCCTTACTCATCAGTTAATAAGAATTTATTATTTGAACCTTATTTATTTTTAGAGCTAGAATTTTCTAACATTTCAAACTAATCATCAAGTTCATCAGTTTTTAAGTCACTTATATTGTCAGATAGGTTTATCTCTTCATCACTTATTGCTTAAATTGAATGTTTCTTTTGAGAAATTTATAGTTGAGAAAGGTTTTTCTAATTATCCTCTGGATATTCAACTTCAATCTTCTGTTTTTACTTTTCTTTTTCTTTAATTTTCTTGTTTTTTTTACTTCCTACAAATTGTTCAGGTTCATCAGTATTCTTATCTTACAATTTCCTTTTATTGTTCAGATTACTTTTTGTCCTGCTGAAATTTTCAATTTTATTTGAATTTTATTAATTTTAGGTATTTAATTTGTTGATTTAATCTTTTTATTCTGTGTCTAATTCATTTTTTTATGACTAGCTATTTTCTTCTTTACTATCACTCTCATTTTCTACATCATCACTTTAGTTATCTTTCTATTCATCTTCTTCCTCTTCATTTTATTCATTATCATCATCATCATCATCGTCTTCATCTTCTTCTTCTCCATTATCATTATCATTATCATCATTATCATCATCATCTTCATCTTCTTCATCATCATCATTGTTTTCGTCATCATCGTCATCATCTTCTTCTTCATCATCTTCATCTTAATTTAAGATCTCATCATCCTCATAAATATCTTCTTCTAAGTTTATTTCATCGTTATCTTCATCGTCAACACTTCCTAGATTATCGTTTCTTTCTTCTGCTGATGGCGATCCTTATGAGTTATTTAGAGATCTTTGATTTTTATGGAAATAAGATAGACTAAAATTTTCAATATCTCTTTTAACTTAATCTTGAAGAGGAATCTAATTTTCTAGTGCCCTTTTCCTTAAACCAATCATATATGGTTGTTTTTCAAATCTAACATGGTTTTAATGAACGTTATTACCCATTTCTGAAGCAATACGTCTATTATTAACTGGGTATTTCATATATTTTAAGTACAGTTCTAAAAACTTTTTATATTACTCTTCAGTCCATTTTACTCTATTCTCATTATGATATAAATACCCTCTCATCTTTAAAGTATCAGGATTAGATAGATAATCTTTATATTATTTTATTGAATTATCAATTTATTCCTATTGAAATATTAATGGTAAAATTTCTTCTTTGAAAATAAGTTATTTATATTTTATGAAATTACTTATGAAGAGAATGCTCCTATTACTTATTTTTACTTTGCTTGGCTATTTAAAATAAGGTATTCTTTAAGCTAAGCTTGGTAATTATCAATAAAATATTCGTAATTTTTAATGTAATAAACTAGAGTTTCATTTATTTTGAGGGTAAAATAATCTACAACCTCCATAGAATCTAATTGCTAAGAGATGTAATTTTTATTTTTAGATGTTGTTTTTCTTTTGCCCCTTTGTTTACTTGTATTTTAATTTTATTTCTAGTCTCCTTTACCAATTTATTCTTCATTTAATTCAGAATTAAAATTCTCATCATTTATCATATTTTGATTTTCTTTTGAAGAAATAAAGGTGTAAAAATCTATTCCTAATTTTATAGTATTGAAAAGCAACGTCTTCTCTCTTTTACTTGCCTCAATCAATGAAGATGAATAGTAATTTTAAATCAGAAATCCCTTTTTGAAAATGAAAATTTATGAAAATAAAAATAGTTTTGTAGATAATTTACAAATTTCTATAGACAAAAATTAGAAAAAGCATCTAAGTACTCATTTCTAAATTATGATCTTTGATGCTTGATATTTTTTGTTTATTTTTTTTCTTACTCTTTCTCTTACTAAATTTAATTGCTGCTTTCGCTTTGATTTTTACTTAGCTTTGAGTTTTCATCATTATTATTTTCTTCAATTTCATCTTCATCATTATCATCATCTTCTTAATTTGATTAATTTTCGCTATCATTTTCATCGTTATTTTGAATGAGAGATTGAGTTTTATCTTTTTTTATGTATGTTAGTTTGTTTTCCACTTTTTGGTTTTCGTTTTTCATTTCTTCATCTTGCTCTTAAAAATAGCTCTTACGACTTCTCGGCCTTTTCTAATTAGAAATCATTTATTTTTCACTTAGCAAAAGCAAAAATATAAAATTCTAAAGTCTAAAATTTTTTTCATCATTTATTTCTATGTCCTTTTACTTATTTTATTTTATAAAATTTATAGTTTAAAAAATTGTTTTAATTTATTAATTTTTATATCTATTTACGACGTTAGTGATTTAGTGTATTATGAACTGGTATACCATAGGAAAAATAAAGAAATCTATCTTTGGATATTTAAAAAATCTATCAGGAACTATTATATTTTTCATTCTGAGATAGGAAAAGTAAGTTTATTCAGTTATCTCATCCATCATCTTAGAAGAATTAGATGAATACTGTGAGTAGCTATTTTTGTATTACTTTTAGTATTAATCTGTAGTAGTATCATAATATCCCTAACTAAAGTTCAAATTAGGCCTAATTTTTTTGACTTTTTCTTCAAATCTAGTTTATTCTTCAGAGTCATTCTCTTGTCTTTCAAACTTTTCAATTATGTATTCCTCCGGTAAAATACAATTTTTTAACATTATGTATTTCTTTTTTAAATCTTTAATGTCTTCTTGATAATTATTATAGATACTCATAGCCTAAACAACTCTATTTTTATCTTCTTTTTACTGCTTTTACTCCTTTTATATATTTACATTTCAATTATTTTATAAAATAAAAATGAACTCAAATAAATTTAACTAATTATTCTTTTAAAATATTAAAATTGTATTTTTGAAATCAATTTTATTATATTTTTTAAAGATATTTCAAATTATTTAAATAGGATAATTTATTTTTTTAACAACAACCTACTTCCAAATTATTTCATTACAAATTTTAAAATTCTGATCTAAAAATTTTAACGAAATATTTCAAAATTCATTCAAAAGGAAATTTAAATTATTTCATGTAGAATATGGTTTTAATGATCATGTAGAACAAAATATTCAAATTAATATGAAAATAATAATTCTTTTACTTAATCTTTAACCTTTTAGCTAACTTCATCTGAGCTACTACCAGATTCTGAATAGCTTTCTATGTTTCTATCAGGATTTTCTTTTCTCCATTACTCCATCCTATGCTATTTTTCTAGCGAAGCTTAATGTCTTATTTATGCGGATTTCTAAATGCTTGAGTTTTAAAGCCAAAATGAGGGGCATGATTTGATATGAGCAAGTACATAAGCCCTTAATTAATTAATATCTGTTAATTAAACCTCATTTAGTGATAGTTCTATGATAAAAGTTTGAAACTAATGGTCTTAAAGAGCTGCTTTCTCTTCAGGACTCAAAAATTTTTTTATGGAATGCTAAAAATGTGGAAGATAGTTTATGTTTAAAAAGTGTTATTTTTTTTTATCCAATGTAATTGTTTGAAATAAGTTTTTGACTAAAAACCCATCATCAATTCTAAATCCATTTTCGTATTCGGGCTAGTTAAATCTAGGAGGCATTCGCTTTAATCCTATAAAACAATATAATTATATTCCTTTTATTAATTGAATAAATTTAAAACCAAATAAAAATATTATTATTGATATCTTAAATTTGATTATTTTTGAGTTATAACATATTCGATAATTATTTGAGATTCAATTATTTAAATTTTTCTTAATTTACTAAAAAATAAATCAGTTTGGCGGAATAAATCAGTTTTTTTTCTGAATAAAAAATATGATTTTATTCATTTCTTTTTTTATGTCTTTTATCAAAATGTAAATATGTTTTTATTGTAATTATTTTTTAAAATAAAAATTTTTTAAAAATGCTGCGTCCGGGAATCGAACCCGAGCCGATTGCTTGGAAGGCAATAATCCTGCCACTAGACCAACGCAGCTCAGTGAAATTAATTAAGTGAAAAAGCTTGATTAATAAAATGATCAATTATTTATATTTTATTAAAATGATTATTTAAAATAAAACTCATTTTAAAATGTTAGCATTTAGCTTCGAAAAGCTTATATTATATTTTATTATTTTTAAAAAGCAAAGAAGTATCAAGAAAATAAAAAAATAGAAAACTTTTTAAAAAATGCTGCGTCCGGGAATCGAACCCGAGCCGATTGCTTGGAAGGCAATAATCCTGCCACTAGACCAACGCAGCTCAGTGATAATTTTTGTGACAATCATGTAGATCAAAATAAAGTAAAAAAAAATTTGAAATAAAAAAATAAGAAAAATACACATATAAAGTATGAATTTTAAAAAAATAATATTTAATTACTATTGAATTTTAACTTCATCTACTAATGTAGAAGGATTATAAAATGTTAGCATAGGAAAATCAGCTAATAATTGATTAATTAATTATAATAATTTTATTGTGGTTTGCAAGAAAAAAAAGTTAACGCGTGCATATATTATTTAGATTACTCTTTTGAAAATTTAAAATAAATTTTTTTTTATTTAAATTGATGCTGATTTAAATATTAGCTTTTCCTCTCCTTTCTTGTTACAATTTACAATTTGATTTGTAAATTTTTTAATTTTTTTTGCTTTTACCATTTAAAAATTAAGTTGGTTAACAAATGCAAATAAATAACTAAATTAGTTTAAATAAAATATTCAAAGTATTCAAAATTAAAATATTAGTTTTTGATGAGACTTAGAGAAGGATATTAAAATTTTGAAACTAATTCATAATTTTTCATACTTTCTTAAACTACATGCGTATTTTAACAAATATTAATTGCTTTTTATTTTAATCATGTACTTGTAAAAAAATTGACTTTTTTTGAAATATTAAAAATAAATTATCTCTTTGTTAGCTTCTTTTCTTTTAAAAAGAATTTATTGAAAAAACATCAATAATAATAAAGCAAGAAGAAAAAATTAATAGTTAAAATAACATATTTAATTCATTTTTCATCCTCAATTTTTTTTTCAAATACAAATGTAATACTTCCAATCACATCAAAATCTATTACTATTTGAATTATTATTGTAATTAAGAAATTTATTAATTCAATTAGTTATTGGGTGAGATTGATCGATCGCTGGGGAATTTTTAGAAATTCGTGATGATTTAAATTTTTACTACCCTTTATATCTGTATAAATTGGAATAAAATCTATTAATAACCCAAATTTCTCGCAATAACATTATCTTTCAATATTTTTTTTTAAGTAGATTAAATCCAAAAGGTATGTAACGTTATACCAATTTTTTCAATTAACAGACCAACAGTTAACAGTTGAGTGGGAGTGAGAAAGAAAAAAATTAAATGAAAACATGTATTTTAAAATTATGCCTTGTAAAAATAAAAAAATAAGTAAAAATTAAAGTAAAATTTTGAGTTTTCAAATATAGAAAATTGAAGAATTGTATTTAAATGCTAAAATTTGATATAAATTAAAAACATAAATATATAGGACATAAGCCTGGGTTACTTTTTGAATGAAATAAATGGAAAATAGGAAACTTTATAAAATAATTCTTATTGTTTCGAAATATTTTTTGCTTAAAAATTTTTTAAATCAGGATTAGTAATTATTATATTTTTTTGTAAATATTATTTAGATAAAGATGATTTTATCTTATTAAATGATTTTGAATTTTTTATTATGAATCATCAATTAGAAGTTTTGATTATAATTTATTTATATTATATATTAGTGATCTATGAAGAGTAATTAATAATAGTTTCTTTACTTACTATTTTTTTTAAATTTTGACTATAAGATTGTCATTATTTTATTATATTATGTTTATAACTTTTCCAATATTATTAATTTAAATTAATAAGGTATTTTCTTTATACTCATTTCAGAATCTTCTAACTATCATACCCTAGTTCAACACTTTGATCCCTTAAAGGGCGCGCTTAGTGTATATTTACTTGGTCATTATTGCTTATTAGTTTGTTTATTAACCTTTAATATCATCTATTTCTTCACCTAAATCTGATTGCAATACAATCTCGCATGCATATTTTTTAACTATATTTATGTATTCTATTTTCTCAAGAATTTGAGGAGTGTTTTAAGAATGCTCAAGAGGCAGTTTAACATCATTAAGATCAAATTTAAAACAAGACAAATGTAACATTTTGTTATTTGAATTTTCTCTCATATACTAAATTGTCTAGCTATTCAAAGTCAAAAAAAGTAAATTATAATGATCATGACTGAAGAAATCAGTTTTTTGCTTGCTTTAAAACTATGATTGCTGCTTAGAAGATAATTTTACTAAAGAAATTAACTTCTTTAGGATCTCTCGAATGTTAAAGGGAACATTTAGTTTCTCTAAATTCTCAAGATAAAAGGAAGACAGTAGTTTATACATGAAGAGTTTATTCATATTGTGAAATTTAGAGTTGATTACTTTTTTAGAAGAAGTTAACTGGCTGCTTTTAGGTGAATTTTCATCCTCTTCTTCTTTGTAAGCTTATTTTTTGTTGTCAGCTTGGATGGAATTTTTAGAGTTTTATGCTTCATTTTCTTCTTCCATTTAGATGAAATCTTGTTCTGTTTCCATAGCTTCAGTTTTTAGGATACTATGTGCTGATTAATCTAAATCCATTTTCTCGCTAAGTTTACTTTATTAGGAAGCGCATTTTATACAATCAGCCAATAGGGTCAATTAGGTGTCATTACCTTTACTGATTGAATTGCATCTGCAAGTAATTGGAAGAGTTTCTGCTTTGCTTAAAGTTGAGTTTTTAAGGTTGCTTTATTAATTTTTGAACTAATCACAATATTCTGTTTCTTTGTTTATTTAAATTTTCTTGTTTTAGCTATTTTCTTCTTTATCAGAAAATTTTTCATCAAAAGAATCGTCAACATAAGAATGGAGATTCAAAGAAAGTGAGGCCTCATTTAGCTGTCCTTCGTTGTATTCTGCCTTTTAAGCAACTTTTATATATGAGTTTTATTAATGGTCAGCTAATTTCGTGGCGGCCTCTCCCTAAAAATTTTATTCTTAATTTTCTGTTTGGGAGTTTTAAATATTATTTTTAGTTTACAATACTGTATGTATACTAAATTTATTATTAGCCAGCTATTGTTTTCTGATTTTTTTTTTTAGCTTAAACACATTACTGTATTTTTAATTATTTGAAATTAAGGAAGAGAGACTCTCTTTTGCGAAATGAGAGCATCTATTAAACGAGATTGCCCATTTTAGATAAGCATTCTTACTTACTAAATTTTATAATTCTTCCTCTCCTTCAAAGCATTGACCTGCTAGCTGTTTTTAATGACAGCTGTTTCCTTTATTACTAATGGATATTTTTGATTATTCTAAAAAAGAATAACTATATGACTGCTCATGTAATTACTAAAGATATGTTTAAATATGAGGCTCAAATTAATTTAAATACTTTTTTCTACCTTCTTCATCTTAGTTAAGCTAGTTTATGGTGAATGAATTTTAGCTTTGGTATTTAGTTGTTATGAGAGTTGACTCATTTAAGTTGTTTGAGCAGCTCGAGGCTGTTGATACGCTAGATGTTACACTTGTTCTCTTTTTAGAGTTTTTAAGTTAGTCTTGGTCAATAAAGTTGAGATTTTCACTAAATGAGTTGTCTTACTAAGTCTTCACTTTTCCCTAAGAGCTTTAAATGTCGCGGATTTCAGCCTAGCATTCATTGTTATCAAGTATTTAGCCAGATTGTTAATCATATTATTAAAAATGCTAAATTTGATGATGATTATCGTTTTTTTTAAATGACTACTAAAGCTACTATTTACTCTTATTAGCTACAAGTAAGGAAGGATTTTAAGCAGCATTGTAAGGATGAGCAGAAGATAAAGGAAAAAAATTTAGCTATAAATTAGGATTTTAGTGTAATTTTTGTTGTTCGTAAAAACTCTACTAAATTATTTATGATTATTATTATTGCTACTATTTTTACTGTTAAATAAAATCCTATTGTGAGAATTGTTAGTGGAAGTAGAATGGCATCTAATTTTAAGGAGCTGCCATCATTACGAAAGGAACATTAGATGAAGCTGGATTATTAAGAATAGGAAAAGATTAGGTAGGTGGGTAGAATGAGTTAGAAGGCACCATCATCATAGCCATTTATCCATTGTAAGAAGCCAGATTTTAAGGATGCATCAAGTAGCTATTTTAGAAGTTTATCATTTATTTAAAATTAATATTTCTTTTACAAAAGTAATTTAAAGGCTCTTTAAATAAATATAGAACTATGAAAATTAACTTATTTAATTAATTTTTTTTTCTTTTTTACTAATTTTTGTTTCCTGATTTATTTTTATTATAAGTTTTGTTTCTCTCTAGCTTAATTTCAACGAAAAAATTTACTTTGATTAATAAAAAAACTATTCATTATTCATAATTTTTATAAGTGATATTTTATTGCTTTTATTCAACTTTGCTTTGTTTTACTTTTTAAGTTTTTTATTTAATTTTAAAATAAATTCGCAATCAGCACAATTCATTCTATTAGTGCCGAAAGTAGATTGTATAGACTAAAAGTTGTTTATAATAAATTTAAATAATAGTGAAGCTATATTTTTTGAAACAAACCTTACCCGATAATTTATTTTTAACAGGTAATGAATACTCATATTTATCATACATGAGACCGACCTGAATTTAGGAGCAAAATTAGCGTTTATGATAAAATTGAAAATATTTTTTAACAAATTTTGATAATTTGGATATATATTAATTTTTAAAACAAATATATTTTAATAGAAAGTATCTGATAGTTAAATATCAAAGATAATATTCTCTAATTTTTATAAATGAGTTTGTTATTAATTTAAAAGTTATTTTTTTATTATTTAAATAAGCACAATAATTTTAAGTTGATTTACATTTAAATATTTATTTTTTTAAAAGTAAATAAACAAATATTTTTGCTTTCTCCTAATTGATTTTATTTATATATTAGATTTATTTATTTATTAATGTGTTTTTTTAGCTTTACTAAAATAGAAAAATAAATACTTAATACTTTGAAATTCAAATTCTCTAGTAGAAAATTAAAATTTGTAAACACATATACTAATAATATGTCAATTATTATATTATATTTTTAATTATATTAAGTTAAAAATAATTAATTCCAACCATTTTATTATATTTCATATTAAAATAAAAAGATTTTTTTATAATTCCTTCTTTTCAATGCAAAAAAAATTTTTTTATTTTTATTTGTTTTTTTAAAAAATACATTAGAAAAAGGCTAAAGAATAAGATGAAGACATTCAAGAAAAAGCATGTTTTATTATTAATATAGCTAATTTGAGGTTTGTTTATAATTCAAAATTTAATAAGTTTTCTATATTATTGTAAATAAATAACATCAAAACCCTAAATAAAAGCTATATTATTTTTTCTATGATTAATTATGGATGAAAAGTAAGTGCAAGTTTTTAGAAATCTACTTTCATTTTCCATAATTCTTCATTAAATAGCTTACTTAAACTATGAGATGTAATAAAATATTTTTATTATATTCATTCTTTGCTTAATTTATAAGAAAATTAGAATTTAATATTAAAGAAAGACATTTATTTTTACATTTGAAAAATAATTTAAAAATTTTTTTTAATTATATTTATTTTTCTAAAAAATGACAAAATTCAGTTAAAAATTATTATTATTTTCTACTAAATAACATTTTATTATAGAAGGGCAATAGTTTAAAACATTTCAAGCTAATCATTGAAGTTGTTTAAAACTAATGTTGTATATTTTCGGGATTATTTTATAAGAATATTATCCATTTTACTAAACAGTAAAATTAATCATACGCTAATTAATTAAAAATGATAAATTCTTTATCACACCATTTTGGTTGATTAACTTGATTTGCTAGATTAAAAGACATAAAACTCTAAAATGATACTTACTATAATAAAAAGAATAGATATTTTAGTTAAATATAATTGTGCTAACTATTTCAGGAATATAAAAAATATAAGTAAACATAAAATTCATAAGTTTTTTGGTATTAAAAAAAGCCAACTGAGTTATAAATGAATAGAAATTTTTATTTTAACTGGTCTTATTTCAAGTACTTGTTTATTGCTCAACTATTTTATTTTACAATAAATGTAGAACAGTTTACAGTATATCAATTGAATTTGATATCTTCTGCAAAAAATATATATGAGTTTTTAACCAGTTTTTTTAAAAAAGGGAGGAGCAATTATTACACTTTTTACTTTTTTTCAAATTTCTTTAGAGGTTTTATACTATCTAATTACCGAATTTCTTCACATGTATATTTTAATTAATGCTTTATATGATCTTTCATTTTAGTTTTTGCTGCAGAGAAATAATTAATTTCCCATTTGGTGTTTATGATATTGTAAAATAATTAAGGGAAATTAATAGTTATTTTAGTTAGAAATCATTAAAAGTTAATTTAAATTTAAGCTTTACACATTAATTATCATAGATTTTTAAATTTATAAAGAGAAAAATAAATAAAAATTTGAGTAAATTTTAATTTTCGACAAGAAATAGTTTTTTTTCATTATAATTAAAAGGCATTTTTTATCTACATTTTTATATGGTAATAATGAAAGTATTTAATTTAATAATAACAACAATTTATCTAGTTAACAACAATTAAAAGTATTACATATTTAATTTTATAATAATTATTTTATTATATTAAGTATTTTATTTTCAGTCATTAATTAGCTATTGTGAAAATAAAAATAACATATATTCATACAAGAGTAATTAATTTTAATATTTGGTTCATTTCGAAATGATATAATAACTATCTGAAATTATTAAGGAAGCATTCTATAACTATAATTTGGCTATAGTTTATTGTTACTCAAACATATTTTTATTAAGCTATTCATTTTCGATCCTGAGTTCTTCTATTAGTTTTGAAAATTCTACTTACCAAGCATTTCGATCTTAAATTTATTTTAGCACTTCTATTGAATCTGTTCTTTTTTTAGCAGTATTTTTATCTTTCTTTTGGTATATTTCTATAAGCTTTTCTAGTTCTTAAATTTTGAGTTCTTTTTCATGAATCGAAACTTAATAACCTATTCTTTCTGCATATAGCTCAAAACTACTTTTGTCTAATCGTTCATCGTTTATCTTTTTTATTTCTTTTTTTAATTTTCTTACTTCCTACCAATTTTTGTCAAAAAATACATAAATAAGATTAAAAGGTAATTTAAAATTTTAGCAATTTACCTCGTTTTTCTGCCTTTCCGTTGCTTCAAGCCTGAGTTGTAGGGATTTATTTTCCGAAATCTTTATTTCAACTAGCTTTTTCAGTTCCTTAAAATTTGATTTAAAAAATATTCAGGTTTTTTTTATGTTAAACATGTCATTACGTCATTTTATGATTTTTGAAGTGATTGATTTTCATAAAATCTGACAAGTTCGTCCTGCTCATCGAGTTGATTTTATAATACACCGAGTTGTAATTTCAATTCAGCTATTATTCTTTCATACATACATTTCTATATTAGATATTAAGAAACAAGTGATTTGATTTCTTCTTCAAAATTTTTTCTAATCTTTTTCTCCAATTCAATCCTTTTTTATTGCTAATCTAGATTTTCTTTTTCAAAAAAAAAGTCAGTTAGTTAGTTAATGTTCAAATTTCAAATAGAAACTAAAATACAAAAATGGTAAAACTTATTGGCATTTATATGATTTAAGAAAAATACAAACTTGAATTTCTTTTGAAAATACTAGAGTTTAAAAAGGTATTTCTGTAAATAAATGGAAAAAATTGATGGTCTTTTTGGTACATTTTAAAATAATTTAAGAAAAATAAGAAATTTTGTGAAATTAAAAAAGAAAAATGGTTGTTATAATTGCAGATTTAATTATTCTTAAAGTTAAAATCAATAAAAATCTATATCTATGTTGTAAATATAATTAAATTTTAGATTTATTGAAAAAAGATGACATTGATATGTACACTATAATCAATTTTGGTTGTAAAATTGAGTTGTAATATAAAAATTAATACAAATAAATAGGGATTTTAACTAAAAATAATCTATTTATTTTATTATTTTAATAATTTTTTAGCAAGTTTTTTTGCTAAGGATGTTTCTAATAATAACGAAAAAGACCATTAAATTTAATGCGCTTCGTAAATAATAATAAAAAGTTCAATTCTTTTAATTACCATCAAATACTACGCATTATTATTAGATGTTTTTGTTTTCTAAATAATTTATTTTTTTATAAAGGAAATGCTCATCATTTAATTGATTTTACTGTTCAACTTTTGCATCAATTTTATTTTAAAAAGTTTCACTAATCTATTCTTTTTATTTTTCCAGCTCTTTCTATTTATATTAAAGCTAATTTTAGAGTCTTTCAACTTCTTAAGCTAAAAGTACTTTATCGAATTAACATTTATCTATTATTTGAATCAGCTCTTGAATTTTTTACTCATTTATCTACTAAGTTTAACTGTCTGATTCCTTATTATTTATAAAAAATTAAAATAATTTTTATCATAATTTTAATATAAAAGTTTTGTATTAAGATTATTTAACTGAAGTAAGTAATTTTATTCTTTTTTAATTTCAAAATTCTTATTCAGATAAAAAAAAAAAAAAAGTTAAATCAAAAATAATTTATTTATTTATTTTAACATTTGATTACATTACTAAATTTACTGAGATTTCCCACAAATTAATTTTTTTGAATTACATTTTGACTTTACTAGCTATTATTTTACTGAAATTCAGTTATCCTATTGTGGAGCTTATATTTACATAAATAAATGTAATTAAATAAATGGAAACGACAAAATAAAAAATTACTCTTTAATTTTCATCTAAAATTTTTACTATACTTTCTCTAAGATGAATTAAATTTTACTCTGAAATCTCCAAATTTTATCTAGTTTCTTCTACTTCTTTTTTACATTTTGATAATTCTGTTCGCAAAGTTTGAATAGCATGGTCTTTTGACTCAATCTATGTACTAAAAATAGTTATTTATTCTTTTAACATTTCAACTTCTCCCTTTTATTAATCTTGGTTTTTAAGAGCACTAGATTAAATTTTTTCAAGATCACTATTATTCGGTCTTTCATCAACTCTTTGTAGTTGATTGATGTCATTAGACTTTTTCGTATTTTCCACGCAAAGATCTTACTATAAAAAGTTACTTTCATTTAGCTTTTATTCTTATTTCTTTTCAAAAAAGTTTAGGTTAAAACCATACCCGCCATACTGAATTACTTTATCTTTATTCTAAAATTTTCTTTAATTAGCTTTCAAGTAGTTACTCTCTTCTTCCAACTAGCTCATTTTTTTACCCATTTAAATCAACTCATTTTTCTACAAATTAATTGTATTGTCTTTAGAAAAGCATGAAGCCATTAATTCAGATTTTTGAGTTAGCAATAATATACATTCCTCATTTTTTTAATCTAACTCTGATCTAAGCAATTTTAAATTTGACTCCAAATCTTGCTTAATTTTTTCGTCTTTTTAACTTTAATCCTTCATTTAAAGTTTGATTTATTCTATTTCATACTTAATATTGGAAATCAAATACAATAAACTAAAAAAAGCATAATCAATTTAATTGAAAAGTAAAAATTGAAAAGAAATTTCTAAAAATAATAAAAGTTATTATCAACTCAACTAAAATAGTAATAAATCGAAATAACTGAGATATTATTTGAATAACATTTAAATTAAAATAAGAATTTAATAAGTAGTAAACTACAAAATTCATTTAAAAAATTTTTGCTAGTGATTTTTTTTTTTACTGATTCTAATTCCTATTAACTTATTTTTTTTTTATTTTAAAAAGTAACAACATTTAAATAAAATCACGTTTTATTTATTACCATCAACCCAGATATTTGTGACTAGCCTTATTAGAGAGTGCTGCTAGCTTAATTACTGTGATTAATAAAATTTTGTTGAATTTGTAATTAAAGCTTGTTTATCTCTTAGGACAGCTAGATGTTTTAGCTGTCTTTTTATGATATAATTTCTTGTAGCTTATCCATTTCACTGGAAAGGAGTTCCATTTTTCTAAGATACTCATCTATTTTAGTTTGTAGTATCTTTATTTCACTGTTCTTAGTTTAAAGCATATTAGTAAGTTTTTCTTCTTCTAATATTTAGTTCTTTTTTATGAATTTAGAATTAAACTAATTAAAAAATTTTTTTTATTTCTTACATGCTAAATCTAATTGATTCTTTATTCGTATACAGTTTCTAGATTTCTTATGTTGATCTCACTTCTTTCTGTGTCCTTTGTTTTCATAAATATTTTTTATTTTCAGAGAAATTTAATGTATAAAATAGTGAATTTACAAGCTTTTTTGGATTATAATCTGTAAAAATAGCGGACTCCTTTTGATTGTTGGAGAACTCCAATTCTTAAATAAGATAATTTTTATCTTCTATTACTTTTTTCAGCTCTTGTATTTATTTATCATACATTTCAGTTTTTTCCTTTAAAAGTATGTTAAATTCTTTTTCATTATTCATGAGCTATTGATTATACTAAGATATTTAGTCTTTAAAAAGCTATTCTTAGAGCTTTAATTTTTTATTTTCATGCTCCATATCTTAAAATCTATTTTTTAATATGCCCAAATCTACATTTAATTAACTTATTTGTTGCTGATAAATGGCATTATTATGATGATCTTTTAACTAGAATTGTAAGTTTGATACCATTTCTTATTATTAGCTTAGTAAATTTTATTTACTTTATAATTCGATTTCTAAAATTCCTAATTAGCCTTCTTTTTCCCCTAAATTTTTTTAGCTGCTTGATAAACAATCTTCCAACATTTTGCATCTATATTCTAACTTTTTCATTTCAGCTTTCTAAATAAAATAAAATAAAATATGCTTAAAAAAATATAAAGTTTAAGTATAAAATACTATGTTTGCATTTTCCTTGTCTAGGTTCTAAAAATTCTAATTCTAAATTTAGAAGTTTTCTTAGTTTGTTTTTGAAATTTCTTCTAATATTTTTGTCCTTTCTTTCATTTATTATATCATTAAATTTTATTCTTCTATTTATTCTAGTAGATCACTGTTTTTTTCTCTCTCCTCTTAGTACAAATTCAAATAATTGTTTTCAACGCTATAGCATTCATTTTACTCTAGCTGCTCCTAATATCTGTAATTTTCTATTCTAAGTTATTCTGTAATAAGTTATTCCTGCTTAATCTAATTCAAAAGCTCTTGGTTTCTACTTTTAAGTTCTATTTACTAAACATTCAATTAATCACACAACATCTTTTGCTCTTCAAGTTAAAATTAATATTGATCTACCTTTGTTCTTTCTGTATCATACCTACTAGTTAATGCTTATTTATTTTCATATTCTTTCTATAATTGATCACTAATAGCTTATAATTCATTTTCAAGTTAACTAACTTTTTAAAATAAAATGCTAGCTTCAGATTTAGAGGAGCTTAAAGTTTATATCACTTCGTATTGTGATTTGCTTTTTTAATTTAATTGGTGTATTGTATCTACCAAAATTTAATTTTCCCTCTTGACCTATTCCAGTTCCTCTTCTGCTGTTTGCAATTACTTTAATAAACTTGCTTTTTCCTGATTGAAATTCTCTCCAAGTTTAATAAACTCTTCTTAAATATTATTTTTCAGTTCAATTTCATTTTCTTAAAGCTTTCTTTTAAAATTGATGACTTCTTAGTCCTTTTCTTTTTCAATTTCCTTGCACATATTTCTTAAATGCTGATTTTCTTAAATTTAGTTTTGCACTTCTCCTTCCAAGTTAATTTATTGATTTTAAAGACATTTTATTTAATTTTCAAGCCCTACTCTTTCTAATGCAAATTTTTAAGCCAATAGCTTTACATCTCTTTCCTTTAATAAATATAATATTTATAAAAAACTTCAAAATAAAAATAAAAACTACTGAGATATTTGTCCTTTAAGTATTCTATTAGTTATATAATGAGTTAGTAGAATCATTAAAATTTTTATTCAAGTCACTTTAGCTTTTAAAAATATTATCACTTTCATTGATACTATAATTGCTCTTTTGGTATAGATTATCTTTATTTTATTAGCATTTAAAAAGCTATTCATATTTTTCCTTCCATTTGCAAGCTTCTTTTTATGCCTTTTTTAATTCAGACTCTATTTCAGAGCGCTCTACTGCTAATTATTGAGTTAGATTTTTTAATTCTTTGTCCTTTTAAAAATATAAAAATAAAAATTAAATCTAAAATTTATGTAGAATCTTATACCATTGAAGGTGTGTGGTAGTGAAGTCCTTTAAACCCATTATTATTATTTATGATATTAGAGTCTATTTTTCTAAAAACAGATTGATTAATACCTGATGTGTTTTCATCTAATTTACTGTTTTTAAAAAATATTTTAACAAACTTTCAAAGAATATAAAAATATTTACATATTTTTTGATGGAGATTTATTTAATGTAAGAGTTAAAGTTTAATTTTATTTTGCAGCTCCTTCTATATATCTAACACTAGGTATCGATATGTTGCCATCTTATAAATAATTATTATTTCCTTTGTTATCTTTTTTTAAAAAATTTGAAGAAGAGTAGCTTCTCTTTATATCTTTTCTCTCCATATCACTAGTTTTGGTATTCTACTTGATTTGTAGTCTCATTTTTTTAAAATTATGCAACTGCTTTTAAGAAAATATTTATATTAGTTAAATATTTTTGCTTTATCTATGTTTGTATTAGAATTAAGTAAATTAAGTTGATCACAATTTTTGAAATCTTATTTGTATTTAAAAGTATCAAAAACGATTAACAATTATATAATATTCAAATTTTAATTAATTGATTAGTTTTAAATTTAACTGAAAAATTAATTAGTTCAGCTGATTTTATTTTTATTTAAAAACATTTATGAAATAATTATATTATAAATCCAAAATATTCCATGAAAAAAATCATATATTGATTATGTTACATAATGAGGTAGCTAGATTTAAAAATTTTACTTAAATATTATGAAATACTACTATTAATAAAATAAATTATAAATTTTATAATAAATATTTGCTTAATTCATTTTTCTAATGAATCATACATAATAAATTAATCATTTTTAAAATAAATAAATTTCATTTTATCAAAAGAAATTTTAATTTAATCAATTCTTTTTTAAATTTAAAATAATTATAAATAATAAAAATTTTTAAATGTTTGTTTTAATCAGAAAAAAAGAAAACATTAGAAAATTCTATTAAATATAATTAATGTTATCAATATCTTAAATAAAGTTATAATTTCGAGAATAATCTAATTTTTATATTATCCTTATGTCATAATTTAAATATTTTGTAAATTATTTTAGTTTTATTAAAAAAAGAAATAGATTTTTGATTGTTTTAAAAATATAATCAATTAAAAAATAATTTAAATTACAAAAATTATTAATTCTTAGAATTATTTATTTTAATTCTAAGAATTATTAATAATAATTTTTAAAAAAGTAAGTCAAACTTTATATTTATGATTTTTGTCCTTTTAATATTATAAAATCTTTGTTGATAGATCTTTATTTTATTTAATGAATTTCTTTCTTTTTAGAATTATAAGAAGAGTTATTGTTAGATACATAGAGTAAGCTTATTGTTTGTTTAGATTATAAGATATCATATGAAAAATTTCTGATATTTGAAATAAAACACAAAGATTTGTTTGCGTTGGATATAAATAAATTAAATTAGTTAACACAACGAATCTCTTTTTGTTATTAAATAATATTTACGAATAAGAGACACAGAAGATAATTTCAAGGAGAAATATTAGCGAACTTTAAATTAAAAGTGTGTTTTTTAATATAAACATAAATCAAAACAAAAAATTAAAAAAAATTGAAAGATAATAAATAATTAATAAATAAACAAACAAACAAATAAATAAATAATAGAGATATAATTAGGATTAAAATTAGAAAACAAGAAAATAATTAAAGAAATAGCGATAACCTATATCTAATTATATATAAATACATAAAAAATATTATTTTTGAGAATAGTATTAAGGCAAATTTAAAATACACATATATATAATAATAATAAATTCATTCATATATAGCTAATAATCTAAAAGCTAGTTCGCTTAAATCACAAAATGAATAAAATAGATAATTAGAATATTGCAGAGAAAATATAGCTACTTGAGTAGCGCATTTCGAAGAATGGCTAGGTAAACCAAATTTATGCAATTTTTAAAGTTTTTTCTTTTGCTAAGTTTAGTTTCTTTAAATTAACATCCGTTAAACAGAATTCTAGACATTTTTTCATTTTATATTTTCTCTAGGAGCTTTTACAAAAATTTACATTTTCATAGATGTCTTTTAGTTTTTACAAGCTATATGAAATTTTAAAATAAACTAAGTTATTTCTTTTAATAAAAAGGCAACTATTCAGAGTTCCTTCAAGTAAAATATTGAAAGCTTGTAAGATTAGACTACTGAAAGTTTTAAGGGTTCAGCCAATAATGGTATGACTTAGTAGAATTCGGTTGAAAACTCACAACTAGAAAAAAATAATTAAGCAAGCTCAAATAAGGAAAATGTTAAGGAGGAAGAAGAAATTCAAAGCGTTTTAAATAAAAAAGGGGATTATTATGAAAAATAATTCTACGAATCAAGTAATTTATAAATAGGGTAAGTTATGCATAAGATGGATGAAGTAGCTGAGCAATTAGAATAGTTAGAGTAAGACGATGAAGAAAATTAAGAAAACAAATCTAATAAGAATAATTAGCATTAATCTAACGGATAAGGACTATTAAACAGTGATAACATATGGGATAAGCAGAATTCTAATTAGGAAGGAAATTATCAGAATGATACAGATGAATTTTATGCACCTTAAGAAAAGTTAAGTGATTTTAGTTCAATGAATATTTTGGAAGCAAAAGATATGTAGCAATAATAGCTTCTTAAAATTCCTTAACCCTAGATTTAGCAACAAAATATGCTGCAGGTACAATAGCAATTAGAATAGAGTGATAGACACTAGTAATAATAAAATGCTATATTATAGCAAGGAATTACTACAAATTAGTCAACTGGAGGAGCTAGCAGTTTAGGATAAAAAGGTACACAAAATACTAATACTCCCGTCATGTAAAACTCGCGGGAAAAATATTAGAAAAGTACCGGCAAAAAACGTAGAACAACACAAACTACTCTTGCTATGAATAAATTAAAAAAATACGACACAACTACACCTTGTCCTTCTATTGTTCAAATATAAAATACTAATCAAGTTTCAAATCGTCCACGCTTAAATTCTGAAAGCAGTAATTCTAACGAGGCTATTTAATTAAATAATGTTCCTCCTCCTGGAAATTCTAAAATAACCCAATTCTTTAAAATGAAAAATACACCTACTTAAAATACTACTGCTATAAGTGGTCAACCATTAAATAATTTAAACTCATAGCCACAGCAGTAAAATTAGATAAATAATTAAGCTCCATAAACACCATCTTAGTAAAATGGTTAGTAAGTAAGCTAAAAAGAGAACATAAACATCTAAGTATTACCACCTTAAAATCTCTCGAATGGATAAAGTTTATAAACACCATCAATTTCATAATACAATACACCTATGGCTACTTAAAACAATTCCAATTATCCTAATACAAACAAAAAATCAGTCTAAAACACTAGCAATGGTATGATGATAGATGAAAATAAAATTCAATAAAATGGGGCTTTAGCTCATTTACAGTCTCCATCGTAATCTGTATCATCAATTGCAAATGCTAACTCAACTAACTCAAATGTTTAACAAAATTCTACATCTTCTCATCATTAGCATTATAACCAACTAAAATTATCAAGTTCTAACTAAATGAAAATTTATGATCCTAAACTTGAAAATAGATATCAAGATTTATAGGAAGAAATCAAACAAAAAGAACTAGAATTAAATGAAAAAAATAATATTATTAAATACCTTGAGCAAGACAAAGTAATAAAAATCTTATTTGATATTTTTACTCTTCGTAGCTAAATAAATTCTTCTCATTTTTTCGTTTTTAGCTTTTTATTTTCTCAAAATAACTCACTAATTTAATTTTATATAAATCATTTTATAAAAAATTAGAAAGAAATAGATAAGTTGCTTCAAATTTCTGAGAAGACTAGCCAAGTAAATATTTTTAATAGTAAAAAAGGAATAGGGATTAAGTAGTATGTATTATTTTTAAATAGAATTACAAAGCAAAAGCACAGAAAATTATTTAGCAGACCTTGTTAGAAGTAGAGAAATTAAAAAGAGAGGAAATGAGATAATATATAGCCAAAGAAAAACAAAGATTAGGAGAATATGTACAAACTAGAGATTGTACTAAATTTGATGAGACTTGGCAAGAGGGAACTGAATTTAAAAAAATAAAAGAGCGTCTTGTAATTTATTTAAAAATTTATCTTTAAAAAGCTTTATCAAGTTAATTATTTTAAAGGGGGGTTTTGAGCTGAACAATAATTTTTGATATGCTTTTTTTACTTACTATTTTAATTGAAAATTTTAATTAGAAATCCGCTCAATAAATATTTTTTGTATTTCAGATTTTGAAATTTGAAATTTTTGATTTTGTGAGGGAAATTTAAATTTTTGTCAATTCAAAATATTCTAATTAACAGTCTTATTTTTAATTAAGTTAATTAAACATTCTAATTTATTTTTTTTAATTAAATATTAAATAAAAATTCCTTTTTAATTCTTTTAAAGAGAGTCATAGAAGCTGAAAAGGAGGAATTAGAAAAGAAAAAAAAGAACGTTAAGGGTAGCAGAAAATCAACAAATGAAACTGATATTTCATAAGAACTTGATCTAGCTGAGTAAAAGCAAAGAATTAATCTATAAATATAATTTTTACAAAAGGTAAATAAATAAATAAAAAAATTTAGTAATTTTATTTTTTGTACAATTTCTAATGAAAAAGAATTTTTTTTAATTTATATATATGATCCTCATTATTGAATTTATATTTTAAAAGGAAGAAGCTGACTTAATAGAAATGTATAAAAACCTTGATCATGAGAAATTCTTATTTGTATAAAAGCTTAAGAGATTTTAAGATGAATAAAAGTAAACTTTTTTTATAATTTAAAAGAAATTATTAATATTAAATTAAATTAATTTAAAAGCTCTAGATATGGATAAGAATGGCCATGTTTGGGAGAAAGATATCAGCTATTGTCTTTATTAGGAAGAGGTGGTTTTTCAGAAGTATATAAGGCATATGATCTCCATGAATTTAAAGAAGTTGCTTGCAAAATTCATCAATTAAATTTAAATTGGTCTGAACCTTCAAAAGCAAATTATATAAAGCATGCAGTACGTGAAAGTAAAATTCACTCAGAATTAAAGCATGCAAATATTGTTTAGCTTTACGATACTGTTGAAATAGATAATAACTCCTTTGCGACTATATTAGAATACTGTGAAGGACCTGATCTATATTTCTACTTAAAAAAACATAAAGTAAGGAATTAATTATTTAGATACATGATTGAATTAAGTTTTTACTTTTTATCTTTATCTAGGTTTTACCAGAAAAAGAAGCTAAAATACTTATTAGATAAATTTTATGTGCTTTAAGATACATGAATTCTTTAAAAACCCGTATTATTCATTATGATCTCAAACCTTAGAATATTATTTTCCATAAAGGAGAACTAAAAATATCCGATTTCGGATTAAGTAAAATTTTTGATGATGGGTAAACTCGTATGGAATTGACAAGTTAAGGTGTTGGAACCTATTGGTATTTACCACCTGAAACTTTTGAATTTGAAAACAGTGCCCTTATTTCTCCTAAAGTAGATATTTGGAGTGTTGGTGTTATTTTCTTCGAAATGGTATTTGGTTAGAGACCTTTTGGAAATAATAAAAGTTAAGATTAGATACTTAAGGTAAAAAAAATATATTTTAATGATTTTATTTTAATTTTGTTCTTTTAAAAAAAGGAAAATATAATATTAAAATCAACATCTGTAACATTCCCTAGCAAGCCTAGTGTTAGCAACGAGTGTAAAGATTTCATTAGAAATTGCTTGACTTATGATTAAAATAGAAGATGGGATATTTAAAAAGCATGGGATAGTCCTTACATGAATAGTAAGACTAGATGATTTAGTTTACACTAAATATGATAAAAATCAAATTCTTTTTTCTCTCTTTTAACAATCTCATTAATTAAAACAAGTGAAAGTAGTTAATTTATATTTGATTCTAAATAAAATAAGTAGAAAACTTATCATGTATTTATAAACTCTATGCTAAATGATATTAAATGAAAGATAAGAATCACTATTTATTCATTTTGCATAAAATTCTAATAAAATTTGCTTGAAATTATTAAAAATTATTCACTAGTGTCATACAAAAAGAATAAAAAGTAACTTTTGGATTAAACTGAATCAAATATAAGTTAAGCATTCTAACTAAATAAATGTCTACAATATTTATATAATAAAACTATTTATAATTAAACTATATATAATTCATTCATATATTCACAATTAGAATTAATTATTTTGTATCAACTTTTCTCTATTAATAAAATAATTTAACTAAATATCAATATTATTTTATATCTTTATCTTTGTATTAGGTCTAAAATCTATTTATTTACTCACTTACTTATTTCCTAAAACAAACACACTTTTTTCTTCAGATGAAATTCAAAATATCTATTTATGCTTTTATATTTTAGAATAATCAATTATATACAAAATTAAAGTTAAACATTGTATGCTCAATCAACCCAACATATTTAACTGATCCTAATTTTTTAAAAATATTTTGAAATTTACTAGCTTTCTATTTGTTTTTCTAATTCGGGTATGTCTATAAAATAATAATCAATTATTAATTTAAGTACATTTAAGTCTTATATTTATTTATTTAAATATTTTAGTAAATTAAATTAAGTGAAATGATAAATTTTAATTACTTAACTAGGTTTTTTTATCAAAAAAATACAATCAATTTAAAAAAAAAATTAAAGATTTTATTTGAATATTTAAATTTATTTTTATTATCTTAGAATGATATTTTTTTTTTTAAAAAACGAATTAATTAATTTTACTATAATTTCTTGCAATTAAAAAGTTAAATTTTTAATTTATTATTTTAAAAAAATATTTTGAATGTTAATCATTTTTATGATTTATATTTTTATTTAAAATTTTTCTTTGGAAAAAATAGTTACAGGATAGCTCTTTAATTTATTGAGTGTATAAAAATTTTTAAGCGAACATATTACTTTTTACGTAGGTCAAGTAAAATGTATTAGAAAATTAATATATTTTAGTTGATATATTATTTTTATTTATTTAAATTGTAGAATAAACATATTTCTCATAATTTGAAATACTTTTTAGTTTTTGTATTGAAATTATAATGATAATAATTGTATCTTTTTAATAATAATAAATTATTACTTTATAATTAATATTTTTAAGCATACTAATTTAAATACTATTAAATTTTAATTTACTATATAAAGTACATTAATTTAGATCCACAATTAACTAAATAACTAACTAACTAGACTTTGAAGAATAATAAATTATTGAATTTTTACAAAAAATATCATTTACAAATAAACAGCATTCATTATAGAGAAAATAGCTAATAAATTTTAAGTTTCTTTTATTATTTTTAATTCTATATAGTTAGCTTAATTAAGCCAAATAAGATATTCATTTAGCAAAAATGGATGAAATTATTCAAAGTATTTTAGATGAAAATGATTTAGTTGTCAAGTAAATTCCTGAAGTAAGATATTTCTATTGACATATTATATAATCAACATATAAAATTAGGTTACTAAATGTTAAAGAATATTTTTATATTATAATTATCAGGGTCCTTTTAGTTTAATGAGAGCTATATCTAATTGCCTTTACTTCACTTCTATAAATTATAAATAGATTTAAGAGCAGTGTATTAGGTTTCTATAGCAAATGATTGATTAAAAGGTATTGACATTTACAAATGATTATTATATTAAATAATAAAATTTTATGAAACATCAAGTTCTTTTAAAAATGAAAGCAGATTATCTAATTTGTTTTGATAAAAATGATTATTTATAATTAATAATTAGAAATTACCTGAAAAGCTGAATCAATTTAAAAATAGCATCACTTTATACAACGACTTTATCTTAGACCCAAATAAATTTGACTATCATAAGGTATAGCTTATAATTAAGCTATGATTGATTAGTAGGAATACATTGTTAATAATAAAATATTTAATGAATAATAGGTGAATTTAGAGTTAGTGTCTCTACTTTTTTAAACTAAAATATAAGTTTATTATATAAATGAAGAAAATCAACTTCTTTCATTCATAATCAATAACAGATATAAGCGTAAAATAGAGATGATATATACTAATAATCATTACGACCCTATATTTTCTAGGAAGTTTATTTAGCTTATTACTATTTCCTAATCAATAGTTTAGAAGGTAAAATAATTATGATTCGTTTGTTATTGTTATTTAGTTAGCATTTATTTTATAGATTATTGATTAAAGCTTAGAAGTTAATGGTAAGGCTTAAGATAAATTTATAAATTATGAATATGAAAATTGGCTTTTAGATAGAATCATGTAACTTAACGAAATGAATTCAATGACACAAATCAACCAATGTGATTCTAATGGTACTTAACAATATACAAGATTTAAGAGATCTCTTTCAGATAATTACAATGTCAATTATGGTACATAATAAGATATTTATTAAGAAGAGAATTAGATTCCTAAGTAATCTGGAATAATTGAAGAGAGTGATGAGTCTTCTAACCAAAATGATAACAATATATAAGCAGGCCATAATTAATTTTAGAAAACAAATAATGAACATTAAAAAAAAAAACAACAAGGTTATTAAGAAAATGAATATTTTGAGCAAAATAAATTTGAGTCTAATTTATATAGAGAAAAGGCAGATTCTCTAATTACTCCAAAACTAGATATCAGTTAAGTTTAAACTTTAGATAAAAGGCCCATAATATCTCCAATTTATTTTGTAAAAAGCAATCCTCCAGGTAATCTATATAAAGTAAGACTGTCTTGCATTGTTTTAAAATAAATTGTTTTAAAATATAGGCATATCTCCAAAGCCAAACTTAAATACAAATGTTTAAAAATTTGAATGGAAAAATCAAGATGATAGCAACGAAGACTCAATTATAGAAGAAAGATCTAATGGAAATGAAATGAGTGCACAAAGTAGTTTAAATACAAGTTCATAAGGACCTTCTTCAAAGAGAGGAAGTGGAAAATTTAATGCAGCAAACATAACCGGTAACTCTCCAACTAAGCTCAAAAGCGAAAAAGATGCTCCTCTCAGTTAGTTTGCTTAAAAAAAGCCTAAAATAGTTGAAATGGGATAAGAAAAAGTTACAGGTAGTTTGAAGTTCTTTGATGAAAAAAAAAATTTTGGTTTCTTTGTCTTAGACTCTGACGGTAGCGATATATTCGTTTATTATGACGATTTAGAACAAGCTGGAATCACCAAAAAAATGTTGAAAGAAAGTGTTGAAAAGAAAACGAAGCTATATTTCAAATTTAATTGTATGAGTTATGTAGGGAAATATTAAAACTCAAAGAAGGCTGTTGATATAGAGCTAATTGGAAGTTTTTAAACTGAAGAATCAGAAGCTGCTAAATAAGAAACGGATGATAATCTTGAAGAATAAACAAAATAAAGTAATTTGTTGGAGGGATTAGTAAATTAGTCTTCAACCGAAAATTAATAAATTACATCTGAATAAAAGAAAAAATAATTATCTGAGAGATTTGCAGGCTTTTCTTCAATTATTGCTGCTTCTTAAAATACAAAAAGTTGAAAGCAATCAAAAATTAGAAAAAATTATTAAAATTTAAAACTATAAATTAAAATACATCGTATTCAAAACCTTATTTGTAAATTCATTTTCCTAAAAAATTATAATTATATTTGATTTCATATTTTTATTTTCCAATAATTTGTTTTGTTTCCAAATGTTAAATATCTTCATAATCTCCTTAAAAAAATTTAAATAAGATATTTTCAAATATTTTTATTAAACAATTTAAAAAAATAAATAAATAATTAATTAATTAACTATGATAAAAAAGTTTTTGAGAAACAAGAAAATTATTTTTATAGTAATTAACTTAAAAATATGTTTTATTTTAAAAAACTAAATTATTTCATAAAATAAAATCGTTTAATTAAACATAAAATTCAATAAGTTTAAAAATATTTTTATGAATTAATTAGAAAAATAATTTGTCTTAAAACTTATTTTAAAAAAATCTGTGGTTAATTGTTGTCTAAAACAAGATCCAAATATTAAAAAATTTTAAACTCAAAATAAAATTTCTTACTACCTAAAACATTAATTATCATTTCAATTAACATTCATCCTAAAATTTTTATGATCTTTTAAATCAAATGATCTTATTTTTGCTTATCACAACAGATTTTTATTTTTACAAACTTTATTTAACTTATTAAATGTTTTCAAGTTATCTTAAAAATGCATTTTTTAATGATTCTCTAAGCAAAATAACCTACATAGATTTGCTAAAATCAAGAAGGATTTTTGATGAAGAATAAATTTTTTTAAGATTTATATTTTGTTTACATAAGTATATATTTTTTAATATACAATAACTACTTACTCAAATGAATTGAATTCATGCTTAAATATTGAAGTCTTTTTAAATATTTTCCCTAAACCAATTCCAATAATTATATCTTATTCTATCTACTTCTGAAGCTTGGAGTTAGCAAATCTAAATTAAATAACAAAAAATAATTGAAAGAGTTAATCTATCTATAAAAATGAATTTATACATCTAAAGCTTCTTTTAAATCTTGTTGAGAAGGGTTTTCACTTGTAAGAATGATTTAAATTCTTAAATAAAGTAAATATCTATTCAAGTTAGATTTTTTTAGAAGTTCAGTTTAGAATTCTTGCACTTCAGGAAATTCACTGAACTTAAAAATCCATTTTTAGTTAAAGATATTTAATTCACCAGGTTATTAATTTTCATTTTACAGTGACTTAAATTCAAATGTCTTAAACCATCCCATTAAATAGTTCCAAGATGCTTCGTTTTCAGGTGCTTGATTAATTGATTCAAATATAAATTGTAGCTCCTTTTTAAAATCACTTTTTTCTTTTAAAATTCTCTAACTCAATAAAAAGTGACGGTAATTCCATGCTGAATTGTTTCTGATATCCTCCTCAAAATAATATTATATTCTTTCCCATTCATCTTCAAAAAGATCGAATTTTTAGCATAGCCATATTCTAAAAATATTATTTATATTTATATTAAATAAAAGCTTCTTTTTTATAAGCAATTTTTATGGAAAAACTAAATAATCATTTACTAAATGTTTTTAAATTAACTTTATCATAAAATTTATTAAAAAACTTACCTATAACCCCAGCCATGATAATTCTTATTGTCTTCAGAAAAAACGCTTTCTTCAAGAAAATCAATCTCTCCATCACATTTATTAAGAACTTCAATAACATATCTACGATGTTCCCTAAATTAAAATAAATTTACAGATAAAATTATCCAATTTTAAAAGTGATTGTTTGTTTACCATGATTAATATGTTTTTGGATTTCCCTCTATAACTTCAGTAATAAACTTTAGTTCATCTTCATAGCTTAGCTTTAATTACTCTAAGCATTTTCTTCTTATGTGGTAGGCATTATAGTTAGAAGTTAGTTATTATAACACAAAGCCACTTAACTCAAAGCTTCTCATACTTATTTCATCGCTTTTAATGATAGCTCTAAAGTAATCCATAAGCTCAACATCTTTAGATTTATTTTATAATTAAAAATATATTATCTAAGCAACTACAATTCAAAATTACACTCTGGCTTATATTTCAAATTTAGGATAGTTGGTTACCCATCATATTGAGGAACTCTTTCAACATCATCCCAGTTAAACTTTGATTTACTTTTGAATGAAAGCTTAGTTTCCTTTAGTTATTAGATTTTAAATATATTTTTTAAATTATTTGCTTTTGAAATTTATTTATTTACCATTTTAAGTTTGCAACTCGATTTTTCAGAATAGATCTATTTATTTTAAAAAGGAATTTCTTATATCCTAAATGTTAATAATTTTTTGATTGATGCTAAATATAAATAATAATCATAAATAAATAAATAAATACCAACAAAATATTTTGGTTGTAATAAAATTTATAATTTAATGTCAAGATATTTATTATGTAATATAAAAATAAAAATCTAAAACCTAAATATTTTAAAATAGTATAAAAGATTATTTTATATAAAATTATAATCAGTTTAAATCATACAATATTTAAATATTTAGAATATATATTAATATTTTAATAATGACATAAATTAATTGCAAAAACAATTTATAAGTAAGTAGTATTCCAAATTCATAAAAAATTTTATGATAAAATAATTTCTCAACTAAAAAAATATATTGATAGTGTTATACCAACCTGATTGAAATGCTTTAAATTGGTATTCTATGTTAATTTTATATTCAATGAGTTAAATAATAGAATATGCTTTCTTTTTAACTTTAAAATAATAAACAGCTTTTATGAATAGAGTGAGCATTATTTTTTCAAATTTCGATAAAAATTAATTACTTAATTAAACTAAATTTATTATTTACCTTAAAATTCTAATTTATAAAATCTATATTTCTATTTCTTATACGGGTTTATTTTAACAAAAATTTAAAATTTATATAAATTATTATTTGTTTAAATTCTTTCTTTATATTTGAAGAAAAGCGGTATTTTTTTAATTTAGTTCATAAATTAAGTTATGGAAATGATAAATACTAAAATATGCTAAACTTTATGCAAAAAATTTAAGTTAATCACATGAGATAGTTTAAAGTAATTAATTAAGTTAAAAACTTTTTTACTGGGATTAAAAAATTGAAATTTATTTTAAATAGAAATGATATCTCGATTTTCATAGCTTTCACAAAATTGACTATTAATAGGATGGATGTTAAAAAAAAGAAAATAAAATTTGTGAGTTGAAACAATTTATATTAAATTGTTATGTAAATTATTATGAGGTAAATTTATTTTGCTTATTTAACATATTTTTTAACTAATTTATATTTAAAATTTACCAAATGCTTTTTTAACAAAAATTATGCTTGATTGTTTGGAATTTAGAATAAGCATATAATAAGTAAAATAAGAATAAACAAACAAGATCTTATTTCTAACTTAATTGTTAAAAATAAACATTATATATAGCAGAAATCTCTCAGAGTTACTTTCTGAGAAAATAGTTTGAATCATAAAACAATTAAATAGACTGCGTATAGACAAACTCCTTAAGTTATTATTAAATATAAAATTCGATAGAATCGCTTTTTATAAAAGACATATTAGCTAATCTTTAAGAAATGCAATAGATTAAATCATAAATAAAGCAAGTGGAATCAGCTAGGGAATTTGTATATTGTGCAAATTTATAAAATATACTTACTTTGCATAATTAAGGAGTTAATAAAAACATATACTAAGGTGTTATTGTTCTTTTTGTAGTGCTCATTTTTGATTTGCTCAATCTTTCTATAAATTATAGCAGCTTTGGAAAGTCATTGCTTCTCATTTTAATCTTTAAATTAAGTCTACTTGTTGCATTTTTAATGGCGTGGAATAGTAAATCGTACTAAAAACTTAATCTTAATACAAAGAAAGTGATTCTGTTTATATATTCGATAATATTGATGGTTATTTTCGCTGAAGAAATAATTTTAAAGGAGAATAGTTAAAACTAAAAAAACATAATCATTATTGGTTTAATACAGATCTTCATTATTATAATTATATTTTGGCAATTATACTAAGATAACAATCTGGTAATCGTAATTATTTGTTTGACAGCTGCATATTTTTTAGCAAGGTTATTTTATTACGACACTCAAAATCCGGTAGAAATAGTTTTTGGCATTTTACAATTTTTGTCATTAGTAGCATATATAAGCTTTAGAATGCATAATTAAATATTACTAAATTAAATTAAAGCAGAAGGATGTAATTACATTAGCACTTAGAGATTTTTATAAAATAATATGGATGTAAATTAATCACAGATATAAAGGAGTAAAATAAAAAATGAGTAAAATTGTGACATATTTAATGATACTCTAAATATACATCCAAGCTAGATAAACCTTAAATAGTAAAAATAATACAGCAATAATTAATCACATATTTAAAACTAACTAGATTAGTCTGGAATGAATTCACATTAAAAAGATAAGGGTTTTTCATTTTCGTTTGATCTATAAGGAAGAGAACCACAAACTCCACTTTAGTAATAGTTAGTATAAGAAAATTAAGCTAACAGCTAAATACATAAATACTAATTAAATGGGAGTTATTAATACGAAAAAGAGAGTGAATTAGCTCTTAAAAGTACTAGTAATAACAGTTAAAAATAAAATATAAGACCAACTATTCGAGACTAGTCCAATAGTGTTTAAAAAGCTAATTCTGAATCATAATAAAAGCTAAATGGATATGGAGAATTTAGCATAAATAATTTTTAAAGCAATGAGTAAATTTAGCAGGGATAGAAACAATAATTTAAATCTTAAATTGCCTGTTAAGCGTCAATTTAAGCTTCACCTGTTTTTAACATGTCATAAGGTGGTTAAAATCAATATGGGTCTTAGCAGTAATTAGAATCCTCAAAAAATATAAGTCTTGCACACTTAGAAACTGTCTATACCAAAAAGAATCATACTGGAAAATCTATGAATTCTGAAACAGTTAATTTGGTTAATTTTTACAATATGTTTTTCAACATACTGCCTTAGGGAATAGCAATCATTCCTCTTTCAAATTTTCCTGAGAGTTTGGAAGTAATTTTTATTGAATTAATAAAATATTAAACTAAGAAGATAAATTTAAGAAAAATATAGATTTAAGTTTTCATTTTTTATAGAATTTATTTCTTTTTAAAAATTTAGGGATGCCAAATAAATTAAACTCTTAGCTCCTTATTAGAATGCGACAATAAAGAAGTATGTATATAAATGCTTACAGAGCTAAAGAACTCGAAGCTAGAGGAGCAGTTAGCATAGATAAATAGCAATGTAAATGTACCTAATTTGGGTAGCAGTGGTTCCTATATGCATTAAGAATTTGCAGCATTCAAAAGTGATTCAATAGTCAGTTCAACAAGCATAAACAACCAACAGCAGTAAGAACCTTTAAAAACAAAAAAAACAAATTAATTATTATCAACTCACAGCCTGAAGGAAGATGCCCATAACATATTATTAGATAATATAAATTTAGAAGAAGCAAGTGAAAATTATATAAATGAAAAAACCAGGCGTATCACATTTGTGATAGATTATAATGGCTTAAAAAGAAATAAAAACATTTCAAGTCATAGCGAAATTGTTTAGAATTAAAGGAAATTTTCATTAAATGAGTCAAGGAGTAATAGATTCTACTCTAATGTTAATCAAGAAGATTCTAAAGGCAATTAGAATGGAGATAATTAAAGTGTTAAAGGACTACCTCTTTTAAAACCTAGCAACTACTAAGTTTAAGTGGTAAGTTATAAAAATCAAAATGTTTAAATTTACTTACTAACATTTCTTTTAACTATCAAATAAGAATTCCTCAACTAAAATGTCTGTAAAGCTCGAGATAGAACATATTAAAGTAATTTATTTGGCTAAATAATCAATTTATTTAATCTTTATTTTTGTTAATATTTAGAAATAAATTCAAAATTTAAAGTTCTTTGATAGCTATGAAATGATTGGAGTGCATGTGAGAATGGTTTCAAAATGTTAATTAAATAGCTAAAAAACTAAATATTTCGAAATAATATTTATACCATGCATTGTTAAATCTGAAATTACAGTTGTACTTGTTGTCAAAGATATCACCCACTTTAATGAAATTGAAGTTTTAAAGGTAATTAATATAATTCAATAAATATTATTTATTGCTAGCTTAATAATAATTCTATGTAAATAGATGGTAAATGAAAATAAAAGCTAAATGTTATCTTAAGTGGCTCATGAAATAAGAACACCTTTAAATTGTGTGATAAGTATGATAGAAATAACCAAAGATTTAGCAGAGTAGTCTGTGTGTGAAAATTTTTTAGCACCTGCATTAACAAGTGCTCGTTTACTGAATAATTTAATATAAGATTTATTAGACATGGCATAAGTAAAAGCCGGCTGCTTTTAACTTAAATCTACAAAATTTAACATTAGAAATTTGTTAGAGGAGGTTAAGTAATTGATGAAAGTGTAAGTGCAAAGCTCTAATATATAAATGGAAATTTCAATTAGCGATTAAGTGCCAACGTTTATATACTCTGATCCTTTTCGAATAAGATAAATACTAATAAATCTTATAGGCAACGCTCTTAAATTTACTTAGAAAGGATTTATTACAGTCGTAGCTGAAAGGTACACATATTAAAATATTGACACCATAGTTAGAATATCAGTAAAAGATACAGGTATTGGTATTAAGCCAAAGTAAAAGTAAAAATTATTTCAAGCTTTTGGAAAGTTAGACGATGATAACTAAGAATACCTTAATCCTAAGGGAGTTGGTTTAGGACTTATGATTTCAAATGAATTAGCTAAAAAATTGAGCAATCCTATATTTACGTAAGAAAAAATTCTAATAATTAAATTAATTTCAAATAAAAAACTGAATAAATGCTCTCATAAAATTAAAATTTCATTGAAAAAGAAAAAAATTTTAAATTAAATACAATTTTTTTTGATATTTAACAAAATAAATAAAAACTTTAAATGAAATTAAAAAAAGATATGCTTAAACCAATTTTATTTCAATCAATCTGTATAAACTTTTGAATGTAATTACCAAAATATTATTAATAAATTTTTATTATACTTAGAAACTAGGGATTAGAGGTAGAATCTGTTTATGGATAAGGATCATAATTTTCTTTTTTTATTATTGATAATGTCTAGCTTCAAGCTTCGGTACTATAAGTCTCTTAAAAATAGATATAAATATATGATGCAAAAACAGAAAGAACTATTGGTATCAAAAAAAAGGTAGATTAAAGTTCTTTACATAGAATAGATGAAGAGGACAGAGAAGTAAAGAGTCAGAATGAAATTTTCCTTGAAAATAGTGGAATACATTTGTCAAAACAAAATAATCCATCAATCTAAAATTATTAAATGTCTAATACTTTATAAGCAATTTCAAACAATTCTAATTAATGGAACTAGAGCACAAGTATTATATATGCCTAAAACCATGATTAAAACTAGAAATAGCTAAATAGCAGCTTAAATAATTAACTAACACATGACATAAATCATTAGTAAAACAACATGAAAAAAGGTTCATCTCTCAACCCTGCATAAGAACCAAATAAAGTAGTTCATTCACATAACAGTTTTGATCACAATATAGAAGATGAAGAGAGTAGAATAAACCCGATAAATAGCTAGTAATATAATAAACAAGATGAATCAAATTTAGCTCCTCATTTTAATGATAATAAATTAATAAACAAGTCTTTTACACCATAACCTCATAATTCAAATATGAGCACTAATGACTACAATTACGATGCTGTTGATTATGATTCTCAATATTAAAAATAGTAAAACAATTCCTAATTTTCAAATAAATTACAAAACTAGGTATCACAATAAAAAATAAATATATAATCATTAATCCCACATAGTGGTCCTTCATTGTAATCTCCAAATATTAACTCTGTTTAAACAAAGAGAATGAGTATCCATAAACAATTTTTTATCAAGTAATATGAGGAACTTGAAAATCAGTTTGGTTCTGTTGTTAATCCTCTTGAAACTAAGGAGTTTGGTTCTGTTATATCTTCTTAGCTAGAAGAATAGCAAGCAACAAACAGTAAAACTGAAAAAATAGTTTGTTAATGCAAAAAAATACTTATAGTTGATGATAATACATTTAATGTCTATGCTCTTTAGTAATTAATTAAAACATTAAAGTAGGTAGAATGTGATACTTCATTGAGTGGAGAATTAGCAATTGAACTCATTAAATAAAAATTAACAAAAAACTGTTGTCAGTCTTATAAAATAATATTCATGGATATTGACATGCCTTAACAAAGTGGTTTAGAAACTACGAGAATAATAAGATAAAATTTTTTGAGCTCAAAAGAAACTATGATAATTGGGTGCTCAGGCTATTCAAATTCTTAAGAATATCAAAATTGTATAGAAGCTGGAATGAATGATTATCTGTCAAAACCTATTGATAAAAATCTTCTTAAAGATATGTTAGAAAATTTTTTGTGATTTTTGACATAAAAGTAAAAAAAATAGCTTCCTAAAATGATTTTCATGCTTATATTGATAATAAATAACTTAAAATTTAATTATCTTTGATTAATTAATTAATGATAAATCACAATTATTCTTAGAAATAGCTTACTGAGAAGAGAATCGTTAAAAACTTTTAATCATAAATTTTATACATTATTTTAAAAATAAATTAAAATTTCAAATTTAATCAATTTTATCATTTCAATCAATTAAAAATGTACATACATATACATACATGTAACTATATATATTACTTTCTATAGTAAGCTAAATTAGTTTTATATAATTCAACTTATTCATTTCAATATCTTTTTTTTAAAATTTTTTAAGAGTATTTAGAAATCTATTAACTAAAAATATTTTTAAATTAAGTATTTCTTAAGATAATATTTAAGAGAATTAAAAGGTATAATTTAAAATAAAATTGTTATATTATTTATTTAAATATTTTGAAATAAAGAATATCTATCTATTACATCATTTATTAATAAAAATAAAACTGATTATTTCTACTATTTATTAACATTTTGAAATAAAGAATATCTATCTATTACATCATTTATTAATAAAAATAAAATTGATTATTTATTTACATATTTTTAAATGGAGATTATCTATTACATCATTTATTAATAAAAATAAAATTGATTATTTCTGCTATTTATTTACAGACTTTTAAATGAAGAATATCTATCTATTACATCATTTATTAATAAAAATAAAACTGACCATTTCTACTATTTATTTAAAGATTTTAAAATAAATAATATTTATCTATTACACCATTTATTAATAAAATAAAACTTATTATTTCTACTGTTTATTTAAAGATTTTGAAATAAAGAAGATCTATCACATCATTAATTAATAAAAATTTTTTTGGAGATATATCCTAATCTTTCAAAAGCTTACATAACTTAATTAATTAATTAATTTATCAATCTAAAAGCAATATAAAAATTTAACAAAAGTAGAAATTAAATAAGAAACCATGATTATTGTGTATTTAGCTGATAGAGACTTAAATTTAATACTTTCAAAACAAGAATTAGTAAAAAAAACAATAATTTATTTTTTAGAAATTGCTATTTTTATAATATTTGGATTACTTTTTATCGAATTTGAAAAAGAGCCTGAGAGATATGATTATTGTTCTTAGAGAGAATTTAGATTATGGAGCAAAGCTACAGGTATTGTTTGCTTGATATATATAGGTATGTGCTTTTTAAGAATTATTATGCTAAATTATACTAAACAAGAATAAAGATATGTTAGATGGATTGTTTTTGCATCATTTTTAGTAAGAGTTATTCTTTCAGTTGGAATGTTAAAAAATCATGATTCTGATTGCGGTTAATTGAATATACTAAGCTTAGTATTTTCAATAATTCATGTTGTAATATTTACACTTGTCTTTGGCTTTTTAGTAATCATACTTATATAATTCTTTAATAATTGATTAGATTAGCTTGGAATAAAAGAAATAGTATTTACTAATATAAACCAATACTCTATTATATAGTTTTAGAGGATATTAATAAATTTACAAATATACTTATAGAAAGATTAAAAGCTTCTTAAAAATTAGAATTTAAATCTTTTGTTTATTTTTATTAAAAAAAATTCAATATGTGATATAAAAAGCATTATTTGTAAAAATTAATTATTTTATATTGATATTTTTTAATAACCTGCTTATCCATATGTCTTAAAATTTGATTAATTAATGTTTTATTTAAAACTTCATTATTATTCTTACATTAAATTTAAGTTTTTTTAGAATAATGCTTTTTATTTGAAAAAATCTAAAAATATTTCTCAAATAAAAAAGTATTTTATTTATTTTCATTTTAATAGCTAATTAAGTTATCAAATTCTTTTCATTAAAATGTTCAAGAATTTATTTAATATTTTAAAGCTTTGCTTTTCAACCTTTGTACAAAAATAAATTTTTTTGCCGTTTACAAATAAAATCTAACTTTTAATTTATTATTTTGTTGTCGGCCATACTAAGGTGAAAACACCGGATCCCATTCGAACTCCGAAGTTAAGCGCCTTAAGGCTGGGTTAGTACTAAGGTGGGGGACCGCTTGGGAAGTCCCAGTGTCGACAACCTTTTTTTATATTAAGGCACTTATTTTTATTTTATAGTAGTTTTGTTAGATAGCAAATTCTATTATTATTTTTATTTTATATTATCAATTAAATTAATTATAAATAGACATTTAATTTATTAATTTTGTTGTCGGCCATACTAAGGTGAAAACACCGGATCCCATTTGAACTCCGAAGTTAAGCGCCTTAAGGCTGGGTTAGTACTAAGGTGGGGGACCGCTTGGGAAGTCCCAGTGTCGACAACCTTTTTTTATTTTAATACATTTATTTTTATTTAAAAGTAGTTTTATTTGATAACAAATTCTATTATTATCCTCATTTTATATAATCAATTAAATTAATTATAAATACACATTTAATTTATTAATTTTGTTGTCGGCCATACTAAGGTGAAAACACCGGATCCCATTCGAACTCCGAAGTTAAGCGCCTTAAGGCTGGGTTAGTACTAAGGTGGGGGACCGCTTGGGAAGTCCCAGTGTCGACAACCTTTTTTTATATTAAGGCACTTATTTTTATTTTATAGTAGTTTTGTTAGATAGCAAATTCTATTACTATTTTTATTTTATATTATCAATTAAATTAATTATAAATAGACATTTAATTTATTAATTTTGTTGTCGGCCATACTAAGGTGAAAACACCGGATCCCATTCGAACTCCGAAGTTAAGCGCCTTAAGGCTGGGTTAGTACTAAGGTGGGGGACCGCTTGGGAAGTCCCAGTGTCGACAACCTTTTTATATTTTAATGTTTTTATTTCTATTTTATAGTAGTACTATTTGATAACAAACTCTATTATTATTTTAGCTTCAAGTTATGAATGAATTAATTATAAATTCAATTTATTAATTTTGTTGTCGGCCATACTAAGGTGAAAACACCGGATCCCATTCGAACTCCGAAGTTAAGCGCCTTAAGGCTGGGTTAGTACTAAGGTGGGGGACCGCTTGGGAAGTCCCAGTGTCGACAACCTTTTTTATGTCGGCAATAAAAAAATATTTTAGTTTTTTTTAAAGATAATTAAATAGACTACTTAACGATAAAAAATCTAACATAATTAATGAGAAAATTTAAAAAATTAAAAAGATTTGTGAAACTCAGAATTAAAGAGATGATTTAAATGTAATATTATTGAATTCCTAGTATTTTCTTACAATTTTTAATTTAAATAATTTGCATGGCTAATATAAAAAGGTTATTGGTTCAACATAAAAATTTCAAAAATAATAGAAATAAAAGGATTATTTTTAGATTTTTATTATTTTTTATAAATAATTTTATTCAATTTATCTAAATAAATTAGGCAAATTTTACTATTCAAAATTAAAGAGATGAGATTAAAGTATCTCAAAAATGAATACATTATAAAAAGACAGAGTTTTTTTTTAAGATTAATATTAAATTGTACTTAAACAAAATAGCAAAATTAAATATTCAATTAAAAGGAAAATCACTAGAAACTGATTGGTAAATTAGTTTGAATTTTCAAAACAAACCCAAAAAAATAATTGAAATACTTAGATATTTACTAGAAGTAATGAAATATGATGATTAATCATACTTTATCTGTTGATTTTCATTTAGATGTATTCTTTTATGTGTTTTATTTATTATTTTAAATTACTATATTATAATAACAATAATAATAATAAGAATAAATCTCTTTTTGGTTCTTTAAAACTTAAAAAATTATTTTATTTTCATTTGTTTTTGAATTTCAGCTTTCAGATTTTAATTTTATTTTTGGATAAAGTAGCTAATTCAAAATTTGAAATTTGCTAAATACTATGAAAATGGTAAGACAGTATTTTGCAATAAGATTATAATATTAATTTATTTTATGAAATTAAAGTTAAGGCACCAATAAAATCCTCTTGCAAAAAAATCCAACGAAGTGAATCTATCAAGTACAATAAATTTGTTGATATTGATTTTTTTCTTAAAACATTTTTTTAAAATAATTAGTGAATTTATTTGTTTTAATACCAATCTAGTTAAACATGACATCTATTTATATAAATAAATAAGTATCTATATTTTTACTAGTTAATTTGGTCTAAATGAACTCTTAATTTAATTTTGAAAAATATGAATTAAATTCTACTAATTTATTTATTTATTTATTTTTGAACATAAAACTAATTTAAAAATAAATTTCTAGTAATTTATCATCTGATTATCTTTTTTACTGAATTTCATCAATAATCACTGAATAACCTTAGAATACTTATATCATATAAAAATTTTACGTTTTAATATTTTACAATAAAATTAGCAGTAGCTATCTATTGTGCTCTCATTCTTTAAATTCCAGTTTACAAAACTACCAATCATCAAAATAATTCAATTTAAATAATAAAAATAAAATAAAAAAACTCTTGATAAAAAAATGAGAAAAATTGTTTTAGTTGCTCTCAGCTTAGCTGTTTTAACTTCTCTTGTATATTGCTAAAATGTCTTTTAACAAGCCCTTACTGTTGAAGAATTGATTGCATATAACCTTTGGAGATAAAATAATGGAAGAGTCTACAATTCTGAGGAAGAATAGTTTTTCAGATAACTTATCTTTGTTGAAAACAAAAGACAAGTTGACAGTCACAACAGCCAAAATCCAACTTTTACTTAATCATTGAACTAATTTGCAGATTTCACTGATGAAGAATTCAAATACAGAGTTCTCAACACTAAGGTTTCCTAAACTCGTCCCAAGAAAGGAAGACGTCTTGAATCTCGTGTATTAGATTAATAAATCCCTGAATCTGTTGATTGGAGAAACGTAACTAATGTTGTTGGTCCTATTAAAAACTAAGGTCACTGTGGTTCTTGCTGGACTTTCTCAATTGCTGGTATCGTTGAATCCCATTATGTTCTTAAGCATGGATCATATGTTAGCTATGCTGAATAAGAAATATTAGACTGTGTTAGTGTATCTGCAGGATATTAATCTGATGGATGCAATGGTGGTTGGCCTGAAGAAGCTCTTCAATATGTTATTGAGTATGGTATTGTTAAATCAGAAGTTTATCCTTATGTTGCTGTTTAAGGTAAATGCAGAGATATTCCTTATGATGTTCCTAAATACTATCCTGAAGGCTGGTATGTCAACCTTGATTAAACATCTGAAGCTTTGAAGGCTGCTATTGCTAAAGCTCCTGTTTCTGTTTGTGTAGATGCATCTACTTGGAAATTCTACAAGTCTGGTATTTTCAGTGGCTGCGGTCCTACCACTGAAGATGATCTTAATCATGCCATTGTTGCTGTAGGTTATGATGCTGATGGAAATTGGATCATTAGAAACTCTTGGGCAACAAAATGGGGTGAAAACGGATACATCAGACTTGCTGCAGGTAACACTTGTGGTGTTCTCCTTTCTAACTTGGCTTTTGACAACTGATAAAAAATAATTTATTAGAAGATAATTTTCTAATTTTAAAACTTGTCTTAATTATATATATATAAATTATCTGTGAGTTAATTCATAAAATAATAATTTCTCATTTTTGAAAAAAAAATTCAATTATTAAACCTATGTAATTAATATTAAAAAACTAAATTAAGTAAAGATTTGTTATTTAAAGCTACATTAAATTAAGGTTTATTTTTAGAAAATTTGAAACTTTATTTAATTAAGACAAATATTATCTTCATAAAATGATTTTCATTTAAAATGTGATTCAAAAATATTTCAAGTTTTAAAATTAATAAGTGCAAGTAAGTTGGTAGGTAGGTAAGTAGGTAGATTATATAAATTTTAATAATTAACATTTTCTAAAATTTATATGAAAAATACTCAAAAAGAAAATAGAAAACAAACGAATAAATAATTAATGAAATAAAGAGAGTTTGATTAATTTGCAATAATGAATGAAAGAGAATACTTTATTATATTTAAAATGTATCAAACAATTTAAAATAGGTGTGGTGTTTATTACTTTTAATTAATTAAGAATTAATGATTAAAATTGTTATTTTATTTAATTATTTATTATTTGTGAAAAGTTATAGTTTTTTTTTATAAAGAATTTTTTATCCAGAATATTTTAAGATATATAGTAATTATTGATCCAATCCAATCCAATCTATGTATTAAGTTGCTTTTCTGAAAGAAATATTATATAAATTGTATTGTCAAAATATTTAGCAATAGCATTTATCGTTGTTTGGTTGTTGTTTTTCGTTTAATTCATAATTTTTACGTTTTACAATCGAAGATTTATGATAGTGATTAGTTGATTAGTTATTCTCCTTTTATTCGTTATTATCATGATTTACACTTTCTTCCTAATTATTTTCATCCTCATTTTCTTCATCTGTCTCATTATATGCTTCATTTTGATTTTTATAATTCAGGAAAGATTTCTTTTTTATCAAAATTAATTTTTAATTTAATAAATGAAAATGTTAAAAAACAAACAAAAACAATAAATTACTGTATTTGTTAATTTGCTCTTCTATTCCATGAGGTTTCTGACTTGAACTTATTTTTATTCAATGATCTTTTTCTTTTATTCTAACTCTACTATGATACCTTTTAATTAAGATTCATACCCAATTTATTGCTTTTCTAAATCTTGCTGGCGTTGTTTTTCTTCTCTCATCTAAATTTCGGCTTTTGACAACATTTCTTCATGCTGAGAAACATCTTTTGTTATTTAATCTAACTCTTCCTTTTTAGACTACAAAGTCTTTTTCAACTCATCTATCTCTTTAAATTTCTAACCATAAATAAAAGTAATTTAAAATTTAACTTTGTTGTTAAAGTTTATTACATTATCTTTGATATCGTTTATATCCTTTTAAACTTAAAGTATTTCCTTTTTTAGTACTTCTTATGATTATTTTAATTAAGTAATTGTATTCTTTTTTGTATTGAGTTAATCCTTCCTTCTTTGTTCAGTCTAAGATATAAAAGAATTTATAAAGATAGAAGAATAGTCAATCAATCGAAAATAGTAAGTGATAGAATGATTAAGAAAATTTTATTCTGTGTTAGAAAGTAACTAATTGATTAAAAGTATTAAGGATTATTTTCAGTAAATTTCAATCTTATATTAAATAAGCTTTAATTAGTATAAATTTTTCAGTGCCTTTCTGATTGAAATATTAGATTTTTAATTCTTAAATCAACAATAGAGACAAAAAAATAGTAATTGAATACATTTTTTTTCACTAAAAAAAAAGTTTATTTTCTAAAGTCCGCATATTTTTGTTCATTTATTTATTATTACTATTCGCTTTTTATTTTATAATATCCTTTATAAATAATCAACCCAATTGAAAACCCATTTCTATAAAATTACAGCATAAAAAAGTACTTACTTTTTTAATGAAACATCTTAAAAAGCACAAATCACAAACTCTATTAGAATTAATTTGTCTTCTAGAACATGGTCCACAAACTGAGGCACCACAAACTCTACTGTATATGAATAAAAATAATTGTTAAATTATGCATATTTTTTATATTTAAATAGTTATCTAGCTAATTGAATTGTTTAAGTTTGATTTTTATTATTATTAAATATGTTTAAAAATTTTTTTTGTATTTAATATTTTACCAATGATGTTGGGAAACTCCTCCAAATGTCTCAAATGATATGTTGCAAATCAGGCAGTTTTCAAGATTCTCATACTCGCTCTTAGATATAAACGAAACTTCAGCTTTTAAAAACTCTATTTTTAAGTTGTATCTTAATATTGAACTCACATAATAACTCCAAATATAAATAAAGAATATAAATTGATAAAAAGGATTACTTTATGTCACCATAGTTGCTGTGCCTTCTGAAAAGGAATCTATAAGATTATGTAGAAAAGAAAATTAAGTTTTTGATATTTAGAATAAAAAAATTAGCAAACCTGAATTATCAAAATCGTCATTATTCGAGATTGAACCTTTAAAAATAGTACAAATAATGATTAAAATGATAGCTTAATGAAATTCACAAAAAAAAGAGGCATATTTTATGATAAATAATCTACTTCTATCTTATAAATCCTGAATTCCATTATTTCTTGGTGATAAATTTGTTGGACTAAACATCTTTTTTTGGCTAAATATCTGGCTTTTTTGCTTATTTACTCTTATATTACTAAGTGTTTTACTATTTTTGATAAAAATATTAAATATTATTAAATTATTTTTAACAACATAAAGAAAAATAATAAATAATTGATTCACTCATTGTCCTCACATTAAAATTACGATTAAATAACTAAATATACACACATACAAGTTTAATAATAAGTAAATGGGTTAAGCTAGATGTTAAATTTTAATATCCATGAATAATAAGCTTTTTTTATGATAAGGAAGCAATTCCTTTTATTTATTAGGATGCTTTTCTGCTTATAAAATACTTCAAAGAAATATTTTTAAATTTGTGTAAGATAGATAGAATAAGCCTACTTATTTTATTTTGTCTTCTTCATCTTGATAAATTTTGATCCAGCTAACAAATAAGTATAAAAAATTATTTCACTAAACTTAAAAAATATATTTATTAAAATATCATAATTAATAAAACACGAATATTATTGCGATTTTAATATGAGACTATCTTCTTTATAAAATATAACATTTTGAAATAAAAAGTGAGGAACTATGAAACAAAATGCTTTTCGAAGTATTCTTATAATATCAGTTAGGTATTATATTTATATATTATATTATTTATTTAGTATGATTTTTATCCTCTTTAAACATAGTTAAATAATATGTTTATTAATGCATAATAGTAATAAAATATGAATTATAAAGGCAATTTTTATATGCTATTTTAACATTACACTATTATTTTTATAATAAATGAAATTTAGTAATAAAAGTAGAGGGACTATTTAACTACATTTACTTTAGAAATATGGTTATCTAATCCTTTATGCTTTTTTACAACTTAATTTACTAAAATATAATGTTATTTATTTTTATTTTATAAATCATATGTATATACATATTATATAATAAATATTTTAAATGTTATTAAAGACTAGTAAAAAATTATAAAATTACAATCTTTCATCACAAGCCTAAATTATTTTATGTCAATCCATTCAATATAGAAAGATTTAAATAAATTATTTTATTTAATTGAGTATGAAAATAAATTTTATTATTCTAATTTATGTATGTATATAATTATTGTGATTTTTATAAAAATTTAATTTCATTTATTCATTTGTTTTGTTGATCTTAAAAATATAATATTTAAAATATTTTCATTCCATATATAATTTACTTTTTTCTCAAATTGTTATTTAAAATTTTTAAGATTTAAGTTTTTATCTATTTTGTATTTATAATAGTAATTAATTTTTAAATATATGAGATATTCATTCATATTTGATATGTAATGCAATAGTCGCTATCAATTTTGATAGATTCAAAAGAAATATCTCAAATTTTTGTTGTTTAAGCAGGTATTAACAAATTGAAATAAAATAATAAAAAGAAAAAAATGCGTGTTAACAAGAGTTGCTAAATTGGGAAAATATTTATGATATAAACAGATTTAAATGAGGGAAAGTAGAAAAATAAGGTTAAATTGAAGGAATATAGGAATTATGATATGAAGGAGACTGCGAAATGACATGCATTAAAAGATTAAGGCTATGCAAATATACTATTTCTGCTTATTTGTTGGAATATCTGAGTTGTTTTTTTGTACCTTATATAGGCTTTCTTTTGATTTTATGTATTTATTTTGTATATAGATCCTTAATAATTTTTATATAATTTATCATCACTATCATGTTAAAGACGCATGCAATAAATAGAAAATATATCTCCTCTGAATAAATTCCAATACAACAATAATCAATCAGATTCGCTAATATTTAAGTTGACTACAAATATTGCTTATGTTAAATGCTAATGATTTATATTTTAATAATATTATTTATAAATTGCTATGTTTTCACTCAGAAGGAGCTTGTTCAGAAACAAGAGTGATTAATTGATTGTATAAATCTTAAACACTCTAGCTTGAGTTAATTTCTTTTTAATAAGCAGCCTTCTTCTCAGCAAAATGCTTAGCATTTTTTTCCAAGAGAGCCTTAGAAACTCTGTATTAAAGCAAGTAATCCATAAATTCAATAGACTTAAATTGAGAAGTCTTGTTGCCCCAGGTGAAGGCAAGTTCTACAGCAGTGGGAAGAACAAATAATCCCAATCTGAATGAGTAGGGTAAGTTAAAAAGATGAGCAAAAGCAAAGAAACCAGCACCTACAGTCATACCTCTCACAGGCCAAAGAAGCTTAGCATTAAAAGTGAGGTTCAAATCATTAGCAATATCAGGGTTAATTTATGTATAGCTGCTGACTTCTTCAGGATAAATCTTACCTAATTATTATTTTCTACGTAAAACTTCCAATTCAAGAATATCTTTTTAGAAATATCTGGGATACATCCACTCACCAAAAACAGCGATACCTCTTTAGGATCTTTGGAGGTGATAAGTGGTAGCATCGATTCTATTTTAATATTCTTCATAATTTTGTCTCATATCCTTATCCCATTTTGCTAAGAAAGGATATTCGTTTTAATCAACGTTTGACTTAAGGTTTAATCTGACCATCTTACTTACTAATTATTAATTAATAATTTTTTTCTTAAAAGATCTGCTTTTCTTCTGATTGTTTCTAAATCTCTTTTGATTTTTTATTTATATTTATTTTATTTAAAGAAAGTAATCCTCATCTTAATCTGAATGAAAAAATACTGTCTCAGCAAATGCAAAAATACAACCTAATAACACCTCTGCTACATATATATAAATGAATAGTTAATGAAGAAGATATTTTATCATTTGAACATATCAATTCACATTATTATTAGAAATTTATTTTATTGCCTATTCAATTTATTATGATTTCATTTCAAAAACGAGTTAAATAAATTATTTTTTATCTAAAATATTTTTTCTAGAGTGTAAATAAATAATAGATGAAAGGTAATATAAGTTTATTAATATTTTCAATTATGAAATATATTGATTTACAAAAAAAAGTGTTAGCTAATACAAATACTTTTAATAAATTGATTTTTATTTATTTTTATCTTAATTTAAGTTAGTTCTTTATAATACAAACATTTCAAATTCTTAAAATATATTATTTTAGTTAATAATTTACTTAATAATTAAATAAAATTGTATCTTACATGAGTAATTGTTTGAAATAATTTTTGTATTATATTAAAAATTCAAAATTATAATTATTATTTTATGAAATAACTTAGAATAAAATCATTTGTAAAAATAAATTGGTTTTTTTTAATTTAAATTATAATATAAATTTAGATTTTAATTAAAATTATTATCTCAATTCAAATTTTAATTTAAGAAATTATTATTTGATGAATATTTTTTTTTGTATTATTTGAATAAATTAACTTAATTTAGTCAATTCTTTATTTTGAATTAAACTATTTTATGTATGATTTATCCTTCAAATTCATTAATTATTATGATTTTTTAGATTTTATTGATGCTAACAAAAAACCATTTTTAACTTGAATATAATTTATATTTTTTTTTTACTAAAATGAAAAAAACATATTCTTAAATTACAAAATTTTGAATTTAACTACTAAATTTGATAATGAAAAAGTTAAAAAATTATTATTTAAATAAAGACTTTATATTTTAGACTTTATTTTAAAAAGTTATAATGTAATTATAAAAGAATATTTACAAACATGAATTTTCAGAATTTTACATCTTTTTGTTTGGTAGGAGAAGTTTCAAAGCTAATTATTTTGATATTAATTGAGTAAGAAAGATAAGTAATAAATATTTGATTTCATATTTTTAAAGCTTAAAGAACACTATTTTATCAAAGTAAGTAAGTTATTTATTTTATTATTAATTTGAAATAAAATAATTTTAAATATATTGTTTTTGATAAATATGTTTTATTTTGAAATTAAAGGCCATCTTGTAGTTTTTCATTTACTTAAGTAAGTATTAGTTAGGTTTTGAAAAAAATTTGATTGCTTGAATCAAAAATTAATTTTCTATTCTGAATAATTAGAAAATATGATTAAAAATATTCAATTAACATCATTAGAGAAAGGTTGAAAAATTAATGAAACATACACTATCATTAAGTTTTCATTATTAAGCTAATAATGCAAGTAATTCATAATAGTTTCTTTGATGAAAGAGCAAATATTAAAATTATACATTTAGTGACAGTGAATTTTAATGAATTTAATATAAATTTACTGGTGTTTTATTATATTAATAATACAAAAATAAATTATTTGTTGGGTAATTGTAAAAAAAAATGATTCAGTGCTGAGTTATTTCTATTTTGTAGATTAAATTAGTAAAATTTTGCTTATTGTAAACATTAGCCTAGACAAATAATTTAGTTTGCAAAATGAAAATTGTAAAAATTATGATTTTTGTTAATTACTGAACGAACTATTAATTTTAGTGGTAATAGTTATGGTAATTACTAAATTTTTATGTTTGATGAAAGAAATAACTCTAAAAATTTTCTTTTAATCGCAAATAAAATAATATAGCTAACTTTTTTTAATAAATTTATTTTCAAATTCTACTCACTGTAAATAAAGCTTAATATCCATGCTAAAAGTAATTTATTTGTTAATCAAATATATAAAATATCTAGGAGAATATTTTATTTACTTTTTTAAATTGTCCAGCGCAGATTAGATCTATCATTCAATTTAAACAGATTTTCCTTCTAAAAAAGGAATTAACTCTCTTTAGCGATCTCTCTACCAAATTAGTTATTAAATTTTATTATGGAAGATAAAAACAAAGGCAATGATTTATAGTTTATTCAACCTGATATTTTTAAAGAGTTTGGATAAATTATCTTAGCAATAATCATGCAAATCATGTCATTAAAATTTATTCTTTGAAGGCAAAATCATTATATTTATTAATTAAATCTAACCATTTGATTAAATATATAATAATTTACTTATTTAGAAAATATTCTGAAAGGAAAGAATTAGATTGAGAGAAAGAAAGAGAGGCAGAGGAAATAATCTCGCTAATTAAAATCACACAATTAATTAAAAGCAGAACTCATTCATCATAATTATAAAAACATAAATTGATCACTTATAAAAATATTGCTATTAAAAAAGATTTTGCTTTGCCAGTAAATCGAGATTCAATACAAAAAAAAAAATATAATTGATTATAAAGGTAAAGTTAATTAAAAAAAATTTTTAGATAGAAGTTTTAGAAATGCAAGCCAAAAAAAATTACGATAAAGAATTAGAGTTTGATCAACCTTAAAGAGACTCTTCATCACCTGAAACTTAAGCAAAAAGAGTTTCATGGATAGTAGCTTTGATTATAATTATAATTTCAGTTTTTATAGCTATAATTTGCTCAGCAATATACAACCAACAACCAGCACTACCAATAGAATATGATTATGTCATAAGCAACTGGTAGACTTCCCCAATCTACGCTATTACACCAAGTGCTTCTGGTTGTACTGAGTATTTTACTGCTTACTAATTCCCAGGTACAGTTGATGGTTGTGATTGCACAAGTTCTCCAAGTGTCAAATACAGTAACAATATTTTTGCTTCTCAGTGTTCTTAAGAGTAATTAAGTAATGGTTGTAAGTCTGTAAATAGTACCCCTCAAACGACCTTTACTTAATGGCAGCTTTAAAGTTAAATCCTCTAATTATGCGTAACTCGTATAAAAGGTTTCAACTACATGCAATCTGATTGTTCAGTAGTTGGATACTAAAGATGTGGAGTCGCCTAAGGAGATACTACAAATCCCAATATGTTCTGCCTACCAGCTAGTGCTTAATGCCCAATCAACTCAATAATTTACGGAGCTACTGCACCTGATACATCTTACGTCTCTATAATTAATGTTGGAACATAGAAGATCTTCACTTCCAGTTCAGTTGTCAACAGCTAGCCACTAGCATTTTCTCATATATCAAGAGGTAACGGAGAATGTAAAGACTTTTAAAACTATCACTATATAGACCCAAATATGAATGAGTATCAATTAATGCGCGGAAAAAGCAATACTTGCACATCCAGCTAGACTGACCCTCGTTTCTAATAGCTCTTCTAAATCACAGAATCTACATACTTCAGCGCAAATAGTTATGATGTAAGTAACTTACCATAATACCCTCTCTCTCAAAACATGCAATATTATTTCCTAACTAGAAGTTATATTCCTTGGTAATAGCTTGGAAACTGTCGTTATACTCATATGCCTTACTTTATAAACTTAAAATCTAATTTAGACACCATTAGCAACCTATGGATAGGATGCATAATCGTTAATTGGTTTGTTGCAATCTTATATGGTGGTCTAGCTAGCGCTTTAAGACTAAAATTAACTTGGAAAATAAAAAATTGGTATATTATACCTACTATCATATTATTATTGATCTAGACAATCATGACAGTTTTAACTTTTGCATATGCAGTTTACAATAATAACAAAATCTCAAGTATGAATAATGCTTAATGCTCAGACGTACAAACAAATAACATGATTTCTTCTTTTAGCAGTAGCTTTAATACAAGCGTTCTCACATACCAAATTGTACTTCTTGTTTTTGTTTTGGTGCTAAACATATTTACAATTTTCTTCATGAAAACAATCTTCATAATTATAAGAAACTCTTCAGGCAAAGAAGTCATCCTTCCCTAATAGTAGACTACCTCTAAAGTAAATTTCAAAGAATCTAGTAATAGAAATAAGAAAAAGGTTGATTACCATGAAAATGATCAAGATCATAATTTATTAGAAGATAGAGGATAAGTTGCTGGAGGCTTCGACAACACATACTAACCTAACAGTAATGCAGATGCAAATACATTATAGTATTAGCATGTAGATGGTGCAAGTGATGTTGTGTCGAATATGAATAGTAATAATATAAATGCTAATGCAAATACAATAAATTAAGAAACCATCAACGTTCCTTTAGTAGTTAAAGTAAATGATAATCTTGAAGGAAATAAGCAAAAAGGAGTCCTTAAAAAAGGAGCAAATTAACCACCTGGTTAGAACTTGCAAATAATTTAACCAAATAATAACTAAAATGGAGGCATCAATATTAAGGTGACTAAATTTGATAATGATAATAACTAAACTTATTAAACTAAAGATTAAGAGTTAGAAAACCTATACCAATAAATAACTAATACTGATTTATCTGGTAATAAAAGAAATGATAATAATAACAGCAACAATTATAATAATAATTCATAAAATAAACAAGGAGGAGGAAAAATGACATTGGACGTACAAGGCAATAATATGAATAAAAATAATAGCAACAATAATATTAATAGCAGGAATAATTTAGATATGCAGTTGAATATTTTATCTGGAAATAATGTAGACAAATATTAAAATAATGAATCCCATTTTATTCCTGAACCTGTCAAATCCCAGCAACCTTCAGCAGCTTAAATTGCTTACTAAGAATCTTAAGACTAGTAAGCAATAAAAAGTTTTGCGAATATGGAAGGATTAATGGATAAAGAAGATTGGGAATTCGAAATCGATGATTATGTCAAAAAACACAGAGAAAACTAGCAATCTCATAACCGTATAGGTGGTGGATATGAGATTGGTAAACCAAGAGAAAAGTATCTAGGCCATAAATTCAAAAAATCACATACAAGAAGATTCCAACAACAAAGCTCTATGGAGTTTGATTAAGATATAGGAAAGAAAACCCAATAAAATCTTTTAGGCTCACAGGTTACAATTAATTAAATGACCACTAACTAGATAAATAACTAAGAAATAGTAGAAAATTTAGATGATTATGATTCATAATCTAATAACTAAAAATTACCATGATCCAATTTTTTTCTTCTCTTTTTATTGAAAATAATCTAGAAAATTGATTTAATTGTTTAATTAATTAATTAAATAAACAAATACAACATATTATAAATTATACTTAAAAATAATTTTTCATAAATAAACTAATTTGATAGTAGTGTATTTACATTAATTTTATTCATTTTTCGCTAAAATAATTATTGTTTCTAAAATAGATTATTTTTAAATTTAAAATTGTCTTATATAAATTTATTAAAATGATATATTGAAATCTGTAAATTTTTATATTTTGATAAATATCATTCATAGTAAAAATAAAATATTAATACATTTGATTTAAATTAAAAAAAAAAATTTCATAAATTTTATTAGATTTTATTTAAGTAATTTTAAATCAGAAAGTTTTTTTTATAAATTTTCTATTTACATTTAAATATTAATATTTTTAAAAATAATATTTCTTCACATGAACTACAAATTGAATTCTTTATTATGAAAAGCCATTTTAATTTTATTATTTCCCAAAAATGTTTGTTTAAATTTAGATATTCATTAACTTACAAAAAATTCTTTAAAGTTTTCCTATATTAATTAGTGTAACACATTTATTTTATAATAATTAAAGAGTTGATTATAATCAATCAAAGAATCTTTATAAAGTTTAAGATAATACTAAAAATTGGTTTGAATAATCACCTACTAGTAATTATGTATACTAGTTCACTTAAACATATTATTTCTAAATTCATTTTGAAAAATAAAATAAAAAGAAAAAAATATTTAAAAACTAATTTTTGCTAAATAAATAAAATGAAAATTAAGTGCTTGATATTACTTTTTAAACTATAGTGTGAACTATAAATCTTGATATAATCAAATTTCTTGGGATAATATCTTTAAATAGTAAACAATTACTATAACACTTTGACTATTCAAATAGTAAATTATTTAGTTACAATCCTTTGAATTTTTATTACTAGTAGCAAAAAAGCAATCAATACATTTTTAAACTTTAAAAATATTAAATCATATTAAAAGAGCAAGTTTATTGTACTTCGAATTTCTATTTGCTTAAAAGTAAATTAAATTTATTTCCTGATACAAAAAATATAAACATTTGCAAAAAGAAACGGTGGTAGAAATAATTTAAATGAAAAAATAATATTTAAGATATTAGTAAAACGTATATTTTAAAGATTAGAATTTAGAACCTAAAAAAAAATGTAATCACCTTTTTTTAATAGAATAATTCAAATAATATAGCAGCATGTGAAGTTGATTCAGTACATTTATATATCATAAATTTATCAAGTAAAAATTGTTCATAATATTTTATGTAACAAGAAAAATTTTTCTAATCAAAAAGAAGATGATTAAATTATAAAAAAAGAGAAAAAAGAGAAAAGTTTATATTAATAGTATTTTTGCTGTTAATGGCTAAATTTTGTAAAATAAAATGCTAATCAAGAGCTGTTTGCAATAATTGCAAAGTAAAAATAAATTTTACTGGACATTTTACATGAAATTATTATTGTCTTAAATGAAAAATAAATTTAATCTAGAAATGATAAAAAAGAAAAAAAGTAAATATATAAGTAATTTACAGTTTTACAAATCAAATTATTATTTGGCTAGTATCTGAAATAAATATTCTTTTTCTCTATAAACATGATTACATATTAATATTCTACTTCAATATTTAGCTCATTGCGTCTAAGGTAAAGGCATTGAAAAATTAAAAAAAAAAAATTATTTAGAAAAACAAAGTAAATTTTAATCTATTTTAACTTAAACACTTAATTATTCAGAATAGTTTCTTTTAAAAAAGAAGGTAAGATATTCATATAAAAATATATAAATTTTAATAGTAATTTAATGGCATAAGATTATAAAATGACTAAGTTATTGTGAAATTAAATTTATACTTTAAAATATAAAATTTACATTTTTACTCATAAAAATATAATTTTTTTGTTGTTAAAGATGAATTTATAAATTTTATAAAAACCAATTATTTTGAAATTCTTTTATAAAGATAAATTAATTAAAAAAATTATCTTTTTTGGTTTTCCTTTACTGCCAATTTATTATGAACTTGATAGTAATTTAGATAAAATAAATCTAGAAGTGATAAAAAATGAGAGTATTTAAAGAAACTTTTATATAAAAAATAACTGATTTTTATAAAAAGTATTTTTACATTGATTTGGTAGCTACACTTTGAAAAGTGTGGTATAAATATCCTAGGAAATTTTAAGATAAATTTATTTTATTAAATATTTATAGCAACTAAATTTTAATTAAATTATGAATGATTGAATGAATGAACTTATTAATCAAATTATTTATCAGTCTTTTCTCCTTAGTTGATTTGCAAAAAGATTTTGAAGATTGTATGTAATATTTTTCAACCAATTCAAAACATATTTTTTTTATTGAAGATCTTCTTAACTATTTATGTTTTTTATATTCAAAAAGTGTTTCATCACATTTTCTCTAAATCAAGTTGCTTTTGATTTCAAAATTTACAAATTAATGTAAGCACAAAAATTTTTTACTTAGGGAAAATCATCTAATCTTAGATTATTAACAAAAATAGGTAACCCAGGCATATATGAATACAAAAATAAATTAATAGTTTATTTTTTTTATTTATTTATCTTTGTTAATTTATTTTTGTTTGTTTGTTTGTTTGTTTCTTTATTTGAGAATGCAATTTGAATTTTAATACTCTTTTTTTTGAGATATTTATTTTCTTAGTAATATTAATATTAAATAATTTCTTTAAAAATTTTTGTAAGAATAAAGAAACAAAAAATATTTAGTGATAGGAGCGAACAAAAAATTTATATTTTATATTAAAAACAAGAAAAAATATAGTTGTAATTGACATGATTTAATCAAGTCAAGTTAGTTAATTTGGCTACTCAATAGCATAAGCAGGAGGTACGGGTCAGCATGGGTTAACTCAAGGCGATGATAGCTAGTCAAACACAAACATAGGAGGTAATCCTTTATCCAACAGTGGAGGAGGTACCACAAATAATTTAGCTAATTCTTATAGGACACCTAACCTTTCTCTTAATCCTTCATCATCTGAATAGTACCCTTACAATACTAGTATTTTAGGATAAAATCAAAATTCTAATAATATGCAAAGAAATTATAAAAATGTACCATAGCCTATTCCTATCAGCGGAGATCTAATATAGGACGATTAAAATGCTATAAGAAATAATATAAATTCATAGAGAATTGCCTTTAAATCAGACTCTCATATAAATCCTTATTCTTCAACTAAAATTAATTAAGGTAGTTATGTTACATAGAATCCATCTGTAGCACCATAGCAGTAGGCATTTTTATAAAGCAGTGGAGGAGCAGAACAAATTTAACCAGGATTAAAAACATCTTTAAGCAATATACCAGGAAGCTAAAGGGAAATCCTACAAACAAATTCATCATTAAACCTCAGCAATGAGCTTGACAATAACACCAAATTAAAAATTTGTTCTTATTCATTTATCCCAAACAATGATTAGCAAGAAAAGGTTTTACATATTAAAGGAGGTATTATGGTTGACGAAAAAGTTATTTTGACTGAAAATAACGAAGACTACTTAGTGCATTAAAACTTTTCTTAGTACATAGATTGCCAACTTATTTAAAAATTATCAATTAATTGTGGTGATGGAGTTTAGCCTATTGATATAATAGAGATTCCAATTAAAAAAAAAGAAGGTGAAACATAATTTTCCGATTTAGTGAATCAATTTAAGAAGGGAAATGCAAATTCTTATGAAATAGCTTAAAGCCTTGAGTAGTATTAATATCTTGTAAATAGCTAGATGCTCCATAACAATAGTAGTTAATACCAATAAAATTTATTAAATAACTCAAATAAAAGCGAAAATATTGATTGCAGTCATTTATAAAGTTAAAGTTTTGCTAATTAGTAATCTAATTCTTCCTAGATCAAATAAGAATATGGAGGAAATCAAAAATCTAATACTGGTCTAATTACATTGCAAAAATAGCATAGTTAGAATTACTCTCCTTTTCAAGTGTAGAATGGTGCTTAAATGATAGGTCAAGGTTTTAGCTAAAAGCAAAACAATTCTTTCAGTAATCCAGCTACTAGTGAAATTTATTAGTAGCAATTAAGCTAATAAAAAGAAGAAAATAATTCATTAAACCCTATTGTTGGGAAAAAAAATAACTAGAACCAGTAACAATAATAGTATTAAAATTAAACTAAAATTGAATTAGGTACTGAATTGAATAGAAGCAACTCAGGAGGTAATAAATCAAAGCAATTATAGCAGTAAAATCTTTCTGATGGAGCAATAAATCAAGAATAATCTGAAAGCAATTTTAGTGATTAAGATTTAGAAAAGTTACAAAGAGAATCTATAAACAATATTTTACTGAGACACAAATCAGATTACTTTTCATATGTGGTAGTTTTTAAAAGCTAAAGCGAAGGTTTGGAATCTCAACAACAACAAAACAACTAAAATTATATTGGATAAACTAGAAACTAATAATTCAAAGAGGACAAAATGGTTATCGGGCATGCCAAAAAGTTTTTGAATTTGTTAAGCCAAGATGATGATTTGCTTTTAGCGGGTAAAATGATTCGCGAAAAAAAATTGTGTATATTTTTAACAAAGCTGAATAAAGAAAATTACTTTGAGTACTTAAAATAGCGTATAAATACTGAATTATAAAATAGCAGTGGTTTTTCATAATAATTTCCATTTACTTGCATAAGTAGCCTAGACCATGTATTTAAACCAACTGTTTCTTATGTAAATATTAAAAATTCTACTAAATCTAATTCTCAAGCTGCTGATGAAAAAAGTTAAAATCCTGAAAATCATTTGAATTCTTCAACTTCTTCTTCAACTATTCAATAGCAACTATAGCAGCAGCAATAACAACAATAATAATTATAATCATAGCAGTCAAATTTAAATAAAGGTTAGCATAGAGAATAGCTAGTCAATAGCAGCAGATGTCCGTTTGCGAATTAATTTGAAAATAAAATAGAAGTCAAAACATATAAGTAAATGGATGTGATAACATTAGATAATTTTTTATTCAAAGTCGATATAGATGTAATAGAAGAATAAACTGCATATTTTAAAATAATAATATTTAAATACATAATTACTGATTCGCATATATAAGAGTTAGAGAATAATAGAGGAACATCAATTAATAAATAAACTACTTCTTTAAATCAAAGTGGTGGAGGAACTCCCTTTTAGCGTAGACCAAATAAAAGACCATCATTGAAATAATAACAAACTTTCAGTGAAACAGCTAAACTTAGTAGAGATAAAAGCGTTTCAATGGGGGATGATAAATAAAGAAGTCAAACATTTATGAATAACTCTACTTCGAGCTTAAAGAATATTCCTCATACAGCTTCCTCTACTCAAGATGTCTTTAATCCTAAGAATATGTAATATGAAACAAACTCAGAAAAGTTTATTATTAAATTTTATCCATAATAAAGTTAAAATTTATCTAAAAATATTTCTGAAAACTATTAAGCAAGTAATAAAGCTTCTGGGGAGTCATCTACTAGAAACAAATCAAGCAAAACGAACTTAAATAAAGAATAAATTACATTTAATGACCAAGTTTAATTAGCTTAACAAGATGTATAGTAGCAGAATTAAAACTAAGATTTAATTGATGAAGATTATCTTGAGAGACAATTTAAATATTACAATCCAACTTTCGATAACAATTAAGCAGAAAATTTTGGTGAATAATAAAATAATCTGTAATTTAATGGCTAAAATAGCATACAAGAATTTTAATAGCACAGTCAATAGGGATTTAACATGTTTGGAAAGGAATAAAATTCCTAATAAGAATTATAACCAAATAATATTAAAATCTAAATCAAATAAAATCAAGGGTAATAACCTGCTCAATTTTAAATATAAGGACCGTAATAAAATTAGTCAAACTAAATTTAAAAGCAATAAATGCAGTAATAGATTTTGAAGATAGAAATACCTAAGCTAAATCAAAGCTCAGAACCAGTTACTTAAAATGATAAAAAGACAGAAAATGAGAGTAATATTTTTAAATTAGTTAGACCTAATCCTCTTAATAATTCTCAGCCAATAATACCCTAAGAAGAGTAAGTTTAAAATGAAAAAGGTAAAAAAAAGCCATAGCAGAGAGCAAGTAAAAAAAAGTAAGATGACGATGCTGAGGAACAGTAGAACACTCCAGCAGCTAAAACAAAAAGAATTAAAAAAGATACAAGTGCAAGTGAAGAAAATAAAAAGGATTAAGTAGATGCATAAAATAAAGAAAAGAAGCAAACAAAAAGAACTAAAAAGCAAAAAGAATCTGATAAATAAGACAAATAAGAGAGCGAAGGAGATAAAGGTGACGATCTCTAGTTAAATAAAAAGTAAAATGATATAGTTAGTTTGAAGAATATTACTATGTCTTAAGAGTAGCTTGAATAATAACATTCAAGCTAATTTGATTCTTAAAAAATGGTTAACAATCTATCTTAAGCAAATATATAAGCTTATTAAGCTCCATAGTAGCAACAGCCTTAATAAAAATAAATATCCTAACATCCTTACAATTAATAAGCTTAAATTTAACAATAGCCAGGATATAATATAAGCTAATAGAGCATTTAAATGGCTTAGTAACAAAATATATAATAATAAAAATAACCATTTAGTTATCAATTGAATCAATAGTAAAACCAAACGTATCAACAATATTAACAATAAAATGTATAATAATAGAACCCAAATCATTTATAGATGTATTATAATTAAAATGGTTAATAAATACCATAACAATAAATGCAACAAGGTTAATATATAAACATAAATGGGTAATTATACTAATAAAATTATATGTAATCTCCTCATTTAAATTATTCACCTTAACTTACTAATTCACCTTATTTGCAGAGTTAAAAAATACCAAACTACTCTCCTTCTCCAAATCTTATAGCTTAAAATACATCTTAATCTGCTCCAAATTTACCTCCTTTAGATCTTAATTCAACTAACAATATTAACACTATGTATTAATAGTATAAATAATTTTAGAATTTCTCAAATTAGCCAAGCTAATAAAAGTAGTAAAATCCATTTTAAATTCCTCAAGCTAAATCATAACCAGTAGTAACACCACATGTATAATCTTAAGAAGTAATTTAAACGCCAGTACCTACAGTAAATGAGTAGCAAAAGTAGGAATCTTCTAAAATCTAAGTTGAAAACTAAAATTAAATTCAAGAAGAATAATAACAGGATTCTAAGTAAAAAAAGGGCAAAAAAAGAGAGCCAAAATAAAAAAAATAGCCAGCAAACAAATCGCCTTCAAAAAATAGTTAGGAAGATGACTTAAATGATAACTACTAAGAAGAAGACTTAAAAAAATAGCAGGCACCACAAAAGTAGAAAAGAATTGCAAAAAACAAAAAAAATGAAGTCTAGTAATCTGTAGCAGACGAAAAAGAAAAAGAAGAAAAACCAGTAAAAAAATAATATTAAAGAAAATCGAAGGCAGCTCAAAACAAACCTGAGTAAGAGGATGTAAAAGAATAAAATAATTCTCTTAATGTTAAATAAAGCCTTAATTAACAGGATAATAATTTGTAAATAAATTAAGATGAAGACGCTTAAAATTAATAAAAACCCAAGTAAGTGGATTAACCTTTACCTCCTAAAATTCCAAATAGCAGCGCTGTTCCAAACCACCCTATTCATGACTCACCTTACTAACAACAACAACAACATCAACAATAATAATAATAAATTTACTATTAGTAACCTTAGTATTATCCATATTAGCACACCCACGATAATTACTATGATCAAGAATATTATAACACCCACAATTACTAATACTCTCAATATTAGAATCCTGAGATTTCTCATCATAACAATTAACAGCACTAACTTTAATAATAAGGACATACTTAAAACTAATAATACCAATATATGAATAATGACTATTTCAATTAACAAAATTATAATTACTATTATCAACAAAATGAGCTTCACCACAATATTAACTCCTAACAATCTTAAAATGAAATTAATAATGCCTCTAATCTGTCAAATCAAGTAGAACAAAGCTAAAATGAGGGGAAAAATACAAAAAAGGCCAAAAATACCCAACCAAAGCAAAAAGCAGCTTCTTCAAAAGGGACAACAAAAAATGGAAACTCTTAAAAAACTGAATAAAAATGAAATCGTTAAAATTTAAAAAAAATGAGTAAAAAATTTTTAGAAAACCTTTCTAGTAATTACTGAAATTTAACTGTTGATTTATTAACAAATTTAATATCTTTATATAAAATGAGCTTTAATAATTCAGTTTATGCATGATTTTTTAGCATTATTTTTAAAAACTAGTTTAATTAAATAAAAATGCTTTTTGCCTATTAAAAATAAATAAATAGTAATTTATGAAACATTTAAGTCTAAAATTTATTTGTTAACCTATTTTATAATATTAAATAAAATCTTATTATATGTAAGTCAAATTCATTTATTATTTTGTGTATAATTAATAAATAATTTTTGCTTCAATTTATATTATTTTAAATGTTTTTGCAATTTTATTCTTGTTTATTTTCAATTTCTAGAACAAAATTTTTTTTAATTTACTTTATTTAACATTTTAAACACATTAAATTAAAAATGAAAAATTATTAAATAATTACTTTATTTATTATTAAAAAAACATTGAAACTGTATTAAAAAATATAAAGTTAGATCCATCAATAGAAAAATGGTAATTCATTATTTAAACCCTATTGAAATAACTTTAAATTATAAGTTAATCTTAAAATAGCATAACCTTTAAAGCAGAAAAATAAAATAAAATAGCTATTTGTCAAATAAGATTGATATAAATTTTTAATTATAATTTTTTAATATTTTTTAAAAAATGAATGAGATAAGGTTAATATGAAACTTTAATATAAAACTCATTCTAGTTAAATATAAATATTTATTTATTGAATATTTTTTAAAAATATTAATTATTGTAATTACTTATAATTATAACATATTTTTTTAATTTTGGATGCCATACAAAAAATTGTAGTTAAATTTAAAGTAATATAATTTTATTAAGAATACAATTTTGTATTAATTTTTGAAGAATTAAGATATCTATAAACTTACTTCAATTTTTAATATTTTAAATATATACAGTTTCACTAATAAAAAGAGTTATCTTCCTCTAATTGGATTAAATCATTTTCAACATGGCAATTATTATTATTGGAATTTTATGGATTTTCTTCATTTGGGCTATTTTAAAATTAATTTTAAATTTGTTCTTATTTTTTGCTGTAATGGTTTACAAATTGAGGATGATGCTCTTACAACTATTGGTTAACAAATATTTATTATTCTTAATCCTATTGCTTTTATACAGATATTTTAGAGCTGCGATTGCTCTTTTCTTATTCTAGTTTTGAATGGTTTTGACAAGAGTTATCTTAATTTTCACCATAAGATTAATTACTAGCTTTTTTAACGACTTCACTTAAAGAGTCTTAAACTTTCCTTTCTGAATTTTACATTTCTATGCCGTCATCATTTTTCTTTTTCTAAATTTAAGTGTATTCGTTTGGCTTGGGCAAAGAAAAAAACTCATCAAATAATGTCAATTTTTTTTATTTCATCAAAAAATTCTCTCTTATCAGATTCATGAAATCAATATCTGCAGACCAAAAGCAGAAACAAATAATAATATGAAAGAATATTCCATAAAAAGATAAGCTATCTCTCATAGTTGCAAATTGTTAAGATGTAATGTCATCAGTACACTTTCTAACTATTATATCTTGGCCTAACTCTCTACATGTTACCATTTTATATAAAATGATGTAATCTAAAATACAAAGACTGAATGCTAAAGGATACTTAAGTATACTATAGATGATTAAAAACCATTTACTCTTTTTGATAGGATAAGGTTCTTCTGGAGGTTTTCTTGCAACTATATACATAATGTAAACTACATCCACAATTTAAAATATACAGAGCACTGATGAAGTTACTGATATTGAAATTGAAATTTTTTCTATCTAGCTTATAGAATTTCCTAGATGCTAAACATCGTCTAAAAAACTTTTGCATGAACTTGAAAATTTGATGTAATTTCTGTAAAAAAGTTCATAAAATACTTTTTACTATGGTAAAAAAAATTTAGGATACTAAGCATTAATCATGTTTTATAATAGCTAAGTATAATTATATAAATTTTTTTTTTGAATGAGAAAACCAACTGGTATGTATCTCGTATCTACTTTGCATTTGAATGACTGCAACTGATTAATCAAAGGATTATAGAGTATATTTTCATCTGAAAGACGCCATTTTTATTAACCATTTGAATTGACTATGCAAGGCCCATCACTTTCATATAAATTAATCTCACTTATAGGCATTGTTGAGTTCTATTTTCTAGAAATTAGTACTGTGTAGCCATTTTACATATTAAATTATTCTTCGTAAACATATTTTACTTCATTAACTTAACTTGTAGGAACAATATGAAAACTTCTAATTGGGCATTTTTCACCATTATTTATACAAAAAGAATAACTTTTATCTTTTTCAATACCTTTTTTTTTTTTATAAATTATTTAATCTTAGCCTTTAAAAAGAAAATATTACCTTTACAAAGAATCTATCCCTGGCTACATTTTCCTTTGTTATTTAAATTAGAACTAAAAAAGTTTCTATCTTTGCTTCTTGTCACGCATAAGTTTATTTCTGTATTAAGACCTCCAAGCAAAAAGTCTATATCCATACTATCTACTGAATTGATGTCTTAAAAAAATTTGGTTTTATCAAGAGATTTAGCATTTGAGCAACTTCTACCTAAAATTTTGTAACTCAAAATAGGATCAAAATCTGATAAATTAACATCTGTATATTCCGATTATGTCACTAATTATAAAATATTATTTTTTTATTATTCTAATCTTCTCCTTCTCCTTATCCTTGCTCTAGCTCTTCTATCATAATCGCTGTCTAATGAATTAAATATACTTTATTCCTCATGAAGTCCTTATCCTTTAATCAAGCTAAAAATTGTAAATTAATTTTTATCTGAGCATTTTTCGCAAAAGCATCCCTATTTTTAGTTTAAATACAGTTAGTTAATTAATTAATTAATTAATGAATAAGTAAGTAGTCAAATAATTCATTTATAATTTATCTAAAATAAAAAAAACATCTTGTACAATTTTAGAGCCATAAAATTTATATTAAAATAAATTAGATGAATATTATTTGTCTTCACATGGCACACCATCTTACTTTTCATAAATATCTACGATAAAATTGTTAGCCCAATTTTAATAGATATCATCAAAAATAGACAATGCATCCTCTACTTTAACCATCAAATAAATTGCAGATATTAATATTCCTAATACAAATACTATTAAATAGCTTGCATAAGAGATCTTTTTTATTTTATTTTAAAGTTCTAATCTTATTTCTTTGTTTTCTCTTTTGATGGTTGATTCGGGAGAACTTAATTCTTGATGTTATGAGACTTGTTCTGGTATTTAAATGTCATTTTATGATTTGTTTTTATCATGATCAATCATTTTAGAGAATTTTATTAGTTATTATTTTGTATAATTAGAATAATAATTGAATAAATATTAATTTTCAAATCATACGAATTCTATTAAAATAGTAAATATCAGTATAAATTCTTTAATTATGAAATTATAATGTGTAAACAACAAAGCAATACAGCAAAAATTAAAAAACAGTATATTTAGTTTTAAAAAATACAATTTTTTACTTGAGCTATTTACAATATTTATTTAAAATATCTTTACTCTATTTAATGTAATGAGCTTAATGAATGATATAAATATTTTTAGTATTCTTTATTGTGCTTCTTTGTTTTTTAATTTTTTCAAAACTATTTGAAGTAGTTATTAAAATAAGTTAAACATTTTATTTTAAATAGTTATTAAAATACCAACACGACGGATACTATATTTATTGTATTTATGTAAGTTATTTTATACTCTCACTTCAAAAAATTTTTTTCTTATAAAACTTAAGATAAATCGGAAATATTTTATTTAAAAGATGAGCTGAGTTGTTTTAAAAATTTTCAGAAAGTCATATCAAAAATAAAAAATATTATATACATACACATTTATATTGAAAATGATGCTTATTTTTTCTATTAAAAAATTCATTTCGTTAAGAGTTAAGAACCTGAATTATACTAGGCATTATCATATGATGGAGGGGAATAATTCTACTCTTATAAGAGTTTAGTTTCTTCATGTTAATAATTATTATTTGAATCGTGTATCTGTTTATTGTTGTCAAAATCAATTAGAGGTAATTCAAATTCTTTATCCAAATCTACTCCAATATCTTTTAGGAAATCATCCCAATCTTTACGCAAGAAAAACATAATTTAAAAAATACAAACTATCACATTTGAGGTAAGATACGAAATCCATATTCCTTGCAATCTCAGTGAAGTAAAGATACCCAGGATATATACTAAAGGGATACCAATAAAGTAGAAACCTACTAAATAGAATGTCAAATTTTATTTTAGCTAGCTACAACCTTTCATTATTCCAGTAAACATAAATTAATGGCTCTCAACGTAGATTATAAAAAATATATAAAGGTTAAAAATTATATCAAATTAGACAACTTCGTTTTCATCAGAAATAGAAAGGAATTACTTTAAAGGCACAGATAGCCAGTAGCCAAAAGCCATTTAAATTAAAAAATAGATATTACAAGCTATAACTCCCATTAATGAAGCTGTTTATGCTTTCTTCTTAGCATTTTCTCCTATAGATTAGCCGACAAAGCTAGTGACAGATACAGAAGTTCCTAAAGGTATAGCAAAGAGAAGAGGTCTCAAATTGAGGAATGAAAAATGTGCATTCAGTGCTGATTTATCATTTAGGTTTGAGACAAATACTGTTAAAATTTCCATATATAAGTAATGGAGGTAAAGAGCAAGACCTCCTGAGAAATTGAATTTAAAATAATCCCACCATTTAGTCCACATTTAAATTGAAGGTGAAATCCAACTCCTCAAGTCAAGCTTAGATATGAACACATAAAGCAATATAACACCTACAAATTCGCCAATATTTTTTGCAAATGCTAATCCTACTAACCCATACTTATCAATAAGAGTGTCGGCTAAAAATATATTAACAAAAGTTATAACTAATTTTATGTAAAAAGGTAGTCCAAAGTGATTTTAGCCACATAGGTAAATCCTTCCAACGTCATATATTCCTTATAAGAGAACACTAACAGCACTCCATTAAACAAATAACTTAGCATTTTAGTATACTTCTTATTCTAGATGCTATCCAAAAATCATCATTATCCAATCAATTAAGTAGATAGCAATTAAAAGAAAAATAAAAAGAGGAAATTAAAATAGCAGACCTCTTTGAAAGTGGATACCAACTGCATAAGGATCTTTCGCTCCATGAGCTTAAGAAATTAAGGCAATCAAATTATTATTGAAAGCAAACATCACATGATAGCCAAACAAATTAAGAAACGTAGTACCTAATTAGAATAAAAAGAATTTAGTAATCATGTAAAAGATTATTTTCAAAAAAATAAATATATGTTAAAAACTCATTCATTATGATAGTTATATCTGATTGTTGCTTTATAAACTTTTGTTTGCATATGTGTTTATTTAGAATTTTTAAAAACCATTACTATATTGTCACTCTTTATTTATTCTGATTATTATATTATTTACTAATTATTTTAAAATTATTTCTAATTTTAGTAAACTACTTTTAATATGCAATTATGGATCGATAAATTGGAACTTAGATCTTTGATATTATATTCATGCTTATAAAATTTTATTTATTTGTCGAATTTTTATATAAAACTACTTAGCTATCAAAGATAAATACTTAAACTTATAAAAAAATTAATGGCTAAATGGAAGTAAAATAGTACCTACGGCAAAAGCACTGATGAGAACCGGATTCTTAGTTGATGTTACATAATAGACATTTACAAAATTCTATAAAAAAATTGCTACTATTGTTAAAATTGGTGAAATGGAACAGTATATTAGCTAACAAGTTCCTTTAACTAAAATATCTAGTTTTAAATCTGCCTTGAAACTGTGATACTTTGATTCCAAAGTCAAATTAGGAATTTCTTAGTTTTTATTATCTATAAAATGGAATCTAACTGTAAGTTCATTATGCTCAATAGCTTAGATTTCCATTGTTGCCTTAAGCAAGCCTTGCTGTCTATTTTCAAGATGTCCTTTATTAATATCTGAGAGCTATTTGCTAAATAGATATATATTTATTTTATATTTAATGAACTAAATAATATTGCGCTATTTTAATTAATTTGTTTCAATAATAATAAATAATAAAGAATTATTTGATAAATTGACTTTTATATTTTGTTTTACTTAATAATAGAATCAAACAAATAAATCCAAAAATTATTCATTTGTTAAAACAAATAATAAAATATCTAATAACTCTTGAATTATATTTTAAAATTTAAAGCAAATTGCATCTCATTAAATTTAATATTACATTATTCACTATCTGTTTGTCCTACTTTATAAATTGTGAGTGATTTTGATGAATAATTTATTTATTTTTCTTGTTATAAAACCAAGTATTATTTTTTTATTTATTACCAATTTTAAAATACTGGTGAAAATTAATAATTTTTTAGAATAAAGTTATGATAATTCCAAATACTTTTTATGGTTAGAGCTAATTACGTTTTTTTAATTTAACAATTTTCGAACATAATTTGTAACATAAAATTGTTAGGATAAAAAAAAGATTGAAAATTATTATTAAACAGAACTCATTTATTTTTTCAAGCAAATTATAAAGTTTGCATATTTAAAAATGATAAAATTCAAATGTATTCAATTATAAATATTATTGATACATTATTTACTTATTCTTAACTTAAAAATTAATTTATTTTTTCACAAAGATAAACAAACCTATTTTCTTATATTTTTAAAAAAAGTAAATTTTTTTGTATTTAATTATTACCATATTTTTTCAATATCATATTTAAGATGTTAAAATAAATTTATTTTTATGATAATTTATTATTGATTATTTTAAAAAATACTTTCAAATATTATCTAATTTTTAAGTTTTACAAAAAAGGTGGTAACGTTAAAAATAATATTCATACTTCTTAATTATAAATTTATATTAAAAAAGTAAAGAATAAAAAAATCTTTGGTGAAGATAAGCGTTTACATCAAAGTATCTTTTGAGCTTTTTATTTGTTTATCTAAAAATTAGATTTTATTTAATTTAATAAGTATTTTATAATATAAATATAATCTCTATTCAATACAATAAATTATAGATTACATAATTGTATTTTTCATAATCATTATTTTATAAAGAATTTTTTCTATTATTTAAAACTTTCTAATAATTTGTGGCGTTTTATGATAACTTCATCATGCTAACTTAATTTTTTTTGAAACGTAATTTTGTCTCTTGAGAATATGATAAGAAATAATTCATAAACAAGCAATATTATTACTGCTTTATTAATGTTTATTTTTAATGAAACAACTTAGAAAATAGATTATGAATTAAAAAAAACAAATGAACAAGGGAATTAAGTTTATTTAAAAATTAAAGCTAACTCAAAATTATCAAACAAATTTTAATTAACAAAATATAAAATCAAAAAAGTTACTAGCAAAAAAAAGTAAATATAAATAAATATGTAAAAATTTGATATATTTGGTTCTCCGTTTGTGTTAGAAATGGGGATTGGAAAAGCTAGCATGAAAACTAATTTAGGAGGTATTTTATCTTTATTAGTTTTAGCAACTGCATTAGCATATTTCGTCTATCTAAACTACATGTATGGCACAGGAAATATATAACCTAAAGTAACATCTTTGTAATAAAAAATCACGAAGAATTCATATATACCTCTTAAATCAAATTTAATATCGTTCGATATCTTAAACTAAGAAACTGATGAATTTCTGATGATGCAATAAAAATTACTAAATTTAGATTTAATATCCTATACTGCTACTCTTTAGTAGACTGATGGAAACGGAAAGAGGATAACTCCAGATATTAACATTCCTGTAAGATTTTGTTCAGAATTGACAGACGATACAGATGTCGAATAAGAAGCTTAGTGCTTGGATTTTTCAGCCCTAACTGATGATGAGGCATAATTTATTACTTACGCTGGAAAAGGGTTTGATACTAGAATTTACATTGAGCTTAATTCTCTTTGTACTGGAGTTATCCAAACATGCCTTGATTCAGCTATTTATGAGTAATATATTTTTAGTGATGATGTAGAATTTATAATCAATATTAAAGAGTAATAATTTAATTCAAATAAATAATCCTTAGAAACTAATATAGTAAAACTTGCTTGGGATTTAGATTCAAGTTTATTAACAACTTCAAAGATCAGTCTTCAGGTATCTGAAATATCTTTACAAAAAGGATTTTTTTTATCACCAACTTAAAATTATACCCATCTTTCTGATGCAGTCTACATAGATTCTTATAAAACAAGAGGTAGTAATAGCAACATAGGCTAAAATGTAATATCTAGGTTCTTTATTTCTGTAGATTCAATTTAAACACATTAAATAATTTAGTTTCCTCAATACCCAGAAATTTTAGCTTAGTTTATGAGTGTACTTAATGTTTTATTACTCTTAAAAGTGTTAGGAGTCATTTTTGCATAGGTTGAGATTAATTAGTTTTTTGTTAATCAAAAAATGAAAAAATACTATAGCTAAACAGCTTTGAAATTGATAAGATAGCAGGAAGAAGAGAAAAGTGACAAAACTCAACAAGGATTTTTATCTAATTAATCTAATGTTAAAGTATAAAAGCTAACTAAAGATGAAATTTTAAAATAACTAAAACAATTGGAAGAAAAAGATATTAACTAAGAATTAGCAAAACAATTAAGTGTTTCATATCCAGAAAGAATCATTAGAACATTAAAAGGAGAGTAAAAACAAGATTACATGAAGAAAAAAAGAAGCAACAAAGATTTATATGAGACATTGTTTTACTAAGCAACTTAATCTAAAGATGTATTTGAATTATAGTCAGAGTTATTATAAATCAAAAAAATCTTAGCGATTGTCTTAACTCCATACTAATATGCAGCAATTAAATGTTGTGGCACATCTTTAAGTGATTAAATACCTTTTTTGTTAGATAGAATGAACAACAACGACTCAAAAAAGATATAAATTTAACCAGAATAATTATAGAAAGAATAAATCGAATTAGAATCCTAAACGGCTCTTTTATCTTCATAGCACTATAATCATATTGAATTAATCGATAAAGTAGACTATGATGATTAATTCTTTTAAACATAATTAGATAAATTCTTATCAGAAGCTGAGAAAGGATTTTCTAACTTGGATGAACATGAAAAAAAAGTGAATGAGCGTTTATTAGATTGTTTAAATAAGACTTATGGTTTTACAAGTAAATGATTGTAAATTAATTTTTGTTATTTTAGTTTTTGATGTATGATTTTTTTTTATTTTTGAAGAAGTTAATCAATTAATTGTCTTTTTAATAAATTAAATAATCCTGTTAATTATAGTTAATTCAAATTTTATAGTTTTTTCCCCTTAACTATTTGATCAAATTGATAGATCATTCTTTGTTACACTTATAAATTTCCTATAATGAAATTACTTTTATGATTTTATTTGCATAGAATTATACATTAATATTAGTATCTTGAAGTTCAAAAAATATTAATCAACTTCCTCAAGTGATGAACATTTACTATCAACTGTTACAATTTATCCATTTATTTTTTATTTTATCAATTAAATTTCGTAATCAAGATAATTCCACCAGTAATATAAGATTGAGGATTCTATTACTTCTAATTTTTAAAACAAAAATAGACAAAAAATTTTTTTTAATTAAATAAATAAACAGCTGGGTTTAAATAAAAGAAATTCATTAAATGAAGCTGTTAATAAATTATTTTTATTCGCAAGGAAAAATACTTAGAATATGTTCAATCCATGTTGAATAATTAAGTTAACTTTAAAGAAAATACAATTTTATTTTATTTTCTTTTGCAAATACTTAAAATAAAGCATTTTATCTTGCAAAATGCTAAGAAAATAAATGAAAAAAAAAAAAAATCTTAATAATCAAGTTATATTTGAAATAAATAAATGATAGATATTAAATAAATACATAATATTAAGCAAAACATACATAAAGAAAAAGTTATTTAACAAATAAATAAATATTTTTATGATATAAATATAAAACAAATTTAGTTAACTACAAAGAAAAGAAAATTAGAATTGTATTTTCTTTTGCAAATACTTAAAATAGAGCATTTTATTTATCATGCAAAATACTAAGAAAATAAATGAAAAAAAAAAACATCTAAATAATCAAGTTATGTTTCAAATAAATAAATGATAGATATTAAATAAATACATAATATAAAAATAATCAAGCAAAACATAAAGACAATGAAATTTAACAAATAAAAAAATAAATTATATGATATGAAATATAAAACAAATTAGTAATGTATTTTCATATTTATGATTAATGCTTAAAGTATTGATTTATTTATTTTATATAAAAGATAAAAATTTTTTAAATATTTTCTTAGTAAATATTTTGATTAAGATATAAATAGTTTTAACTTCCAAATATTTTCATTATTAAAATCTTCTAATCTATTATTATTTTAAATTTTTGTTTTCTTTTTATTATTATTCTTATAATATTATCATGTTTATTCTTGCTTATTTGTATATTTTAATATATATTTTATAAATTTTAAAGCTATATTATAAAATTGAGTAATTCTTTTGTTTAATTTTTAATTAAGCTTATGATTTCTTTTATTTAATCTAGGAAGTATTCTATTAGTTATATTTTTTTACTGCAATATTTAAACTATAGCTCAAGCTTTTCTAGAAATTTATCACAAGCCAAGCCTTAAAAATTTAGGCCTACTTACATACCTACTTATATGTAAAAAAATTAATCTAGAAAAATTGTATCTATTTTTATTTAATAAAAACATACAAGGTAACAACAGATAAAGAAAATACTACTATACTCATAAAATCTAAAATCTTTTTTTCTATACCTCTAATTTAGAAACCTTGAGATTATATAATCATATTAAAAACTTTTGAAAAAATAGCTATTCATAATAATTTTTAATCAACAATTTAAATTAAATCTTAGTAATAATAAAATGAATAAGGCACCTACTAATTCGACTGCTAAGCAACCAAATAATACAACTTAAAATAAAACTGTGGTAAATACAGCTAAGAGTTCTACTGTTACAAAAGCCCCTGTAAATACTACAGCATCAAAGAGCGTTTCTTCTACTTAACCTAAACCTGTTAATAACACTGCTAAAACTTCAAATATAAAACCTACATCAACTAATTCCACTAAAGTATCTTCAACAAGCACTGCAAAGAGCAGTTCTTCCAAGCCTGATGCTAAATTAACTACAAACAAAACATCTACTACCACCTAATAAAAAAAGCCAGATTAAAAGCCTGATGCTCAATAAGTAAAAGAGGTTAAGCAAGAACCAATAGTTAAAAAGATGAATGTAGAACATATCAAATTGCAATAATTATTTAACAAAATAGAAGAATATAGAGACAAGAATAGATCATTATTAATAATTGACAAACTATAGGCAAATGATTCATTTACATTCTTTAAGTATAAAGGGTATATAGCCGATGTCTCTGAATACTTAATTAAGGAATAAACAAATACATAGAATAGAGAAAAAAGTGTTGAAACTGCTAGAAAATAAGTAGTCTATTCTTTGAAAGCTGGTGGAACATTAGTTTTCTTTGTGGATTCTATGCTAGTTGATCTTCCAAATTTCTTTAAAGAAGCCCAATTCTTCTCTCCTAGCTAATTATTTGTACCCGAAGAAGTCCAAAAAGATACATATTATGTTTAAAAACTCTTAAAAGAAGAAGAAAATGTTGATGGTTTTGGTAACAAAGGTGGTTACTATCCTAAAAAAGAATTTGCTGCTACAATTTTATCAAAAACAAGTGATATGGAACCAGATGAGTTAATCAAAAAGCTAAATATGCCTGCAGATTTATTCGACTGCATTATAATAAGTTGATTTAAAATTAAATTTAATAGTTAGATTTGCAATCATTTATGATAAAATTTATTAATAATGTATTTGATGTATTAACTATAAAAGATAAATAAATTCATCAAAAACATAATATTTCATATAGAATATCTTAAAAACTCTAATTCAACAAATAAATAAAATATCTAAAGTACTCTTCAAATTGTTTATATAAGATCAATCATAAATAAATAAAACATATATTTTGTTATATAAAATCAATCATAAAAAAACATATATTTTGTAATTAATTGCAATAAAAAAATAAATAAATGTTGTTCTAGAATATTTTTACTTTGCATAAATCAAATTAATTTTAATAAAAATTAGATGTTAACTTTACAATTTGAGACAGATAAATTATTTTACAATTCAAATTCAAAGTTATTGCTTATTATTTTTAATTTTATTAATACGAGCAGAAGAATGATTTATTAAATTTTGAATATCCTAAAATTATTTTTGAATGCTTTGATTATTCATTATGTTTTCGAATCTTTACTATTTCATATCAATTTTTACACTTGCATACTTTTTCAATTTGCAAGGACTGCGGTTTATTGCAGAAAAATCATACTTTGCTAATTCTCCTACTTCCTCTTTTTTTCTCTCTCTTATCTCGTGCTTTTTAATCACTATATCAGCAAAATCTTATGTAGTATCTTAAGAGATAATAATTTGTTGTTTAGATCTTTTTTCTTTAATATTTTTTATAGGTTAATTATTTAATAAAATATTTTGGCTCAGTTTTCGAATAGAAGAAATTGTTTTAGGTTCTATATTTTATTCTAAGGTTTATTCTAGCTTAGCAGTTAGAGGTGATTCGCACTTTAAATTGACACTTTCCTACGATTCTGAGTAACCTTTTTTTAGTTTTAAAGGTTCAGGTGATTCTATAAAATTATTTTAGTAGTCTTGATATGAAATTTTTCTTGAATATTTTTAACTCTAATTTAAAATATTATATCCTTGACTCATACTCTATTCGATCATAGAATTATTTACCTATTATTAGTTTGCTTACATACTTCTATATTAATGTTTAAGTTTTTCTAAACACCTATTAATTGATATTTTAAATTATTTTATTTCATTTTTTTAGCTCTCTTTTAGACATTCCAATTAATATTCTTGAATTTTTTACTTTTGTCTTTGTGACAATGGTTCAGATTTTATCTTCTCATTATTTTGTTAAATTTTTTTGTCTAAAAGGAAATTAATTTCATTTAATTATTTGATTTTAGGTATGTCTACTTTTGAAGGTTTATTTAATAGAAATTCGAAGTATTTGTGAAGATTTTAGTTATCAGTATTATTCTTTTTTAATGTCGATGAATTTATCTTATTAAGAGAAATACTATTTTCAGATTTTTATTTATTAATCTGCTCATTTATTTCTTAAGTATTTTCTTAGATTTAATAATCTAATTTAGAACAATTAAATTCGAGATTGTCATTTTTCTAATTCTAACTCTATAAAGGAAATTAAAGAGTATTTTAATTGATTGGTCTATGATAAATCAGCTAATTATATTTATTATTTAATTATCTTCTCATTTAAAATATTGTTTGACAGGTTGCATCACTTTGAAAACACATCTTTTCTCGTTATTTATTTAAATGAGAGGTTGATGTTGTTTCTGAAATTTAAGATTAAGGTAAATTAAAAGAGCTATTTGAACTTATATTTGTAGAAAAACTCCTATTACTCTTAGGTGTTAAAATATAATCATTGCTCTGATTTTGTCGCGTTTTGGAAAAACTCAATCCTCTTTACTAATATTATACAAGCTTACTTTGTTTATATGGAGCTATTTCATATAAATTCTGATTATTCAAATGATTTTTTTCTTAAATACCTAAGCAAGAGCTTTAATTCTATATGTTTTCAATAGGTATTAAAGTATTTTAAAATACTTAGCTTTAAGTATATTAATCTTAATCTAAATTTGGCTATAATTTTTGTTGATTTTTCTTCTTAAAAACTATTTTTTTTTTACAATTTAGTTTATAATTAATAGGTCTCTCACTTTTTATTATCATTTTTGAATCTTTTGTTAAGTAACCTGATTAAATAAGTGATTCATCATGTATGATACTATTTTAGGAATCTTAAAAAAAATCATTATCGTCTTACTAATTAATCATTTATTATCACAAATCTAAAACTTTTATAATTGTTTTTTTCTTTTATTTGTTTATTAATTCTAAATCAATGAGAACATATATTAAAATAAAAATTTGATATTAGCATATCTTAATCCATTAGCATTTCATGAAAATATTAATTAATAAATCTTAAATGAAAGCTAATTTAACAATGCAGCTATTTTAAATTACTCTTTTTGATATGTAAATTAATCTAAAGTTTTCAAAGAGTTTACAAAAATTTTTTGATAAAATTCAAATAAAAGAAAAGAGTCAAATTAAGTATCTCTTTTAGCAAATTTATAAATACTGTATTTCCATATTAATTAAAAAATACTCTTTCCTTCAATTAAAAAAATTCTAATTTTTAGTGATCTATTTTTTATATTTATCATTGTCCATTTCATCATCTCAATCTGAATCTTGTACTTATATATATATAATTTTGATCTATTTTTGATATAGTTTAATTAATTTAAAGTAAATATTTTGATAAATACTATCTGTAATATGTTTGACTCAAGTAAATTATTATTTTAACAAAATCTTTGCTTTGATAAATTGAAGCCTAATAATAACTCTGAAAATTTCACTTATTTTTTTTGATGATTAATAATTTATATTTTTGTATTTAATGTTAAAAATCAACAATTTTATAAAATAAATTAATTATGTTTGTTTTATTTAAAATAAAGTAAAATAAATATTTTTTTGATATGCAAATTTAAATTAAAGAAAATACTTTCTGTAAGCAAAAAAAAATATCTGATAATCAAATTCATAGTTATTATCTATTTATTTTTGCAATTTTTTAATTTACCAACAAAATACACTTTTCTTGCATATTCTTATATCATTATTAATGAATGATATTCCAAAAGCTTAACCTAAACTTGAAAGGAAAAGAGATTGCAAAATTTAGTAAAAGATTTTTATTATTATTAAATAGTGTAATTAGCAATTAAGGTTAAAATGAAATAAATGTCAGTTTAAGTTTTTTTGTTACTGTTATCGTTAGGCATTACTTTTTCTGCTCACCATATAGAAATTTCTCCTATAGTTGGTGAAAGAGTCACTGCTTTTTCTTTGGTTGATAACAAAACTGTTGCAAAGGCATTTTATACAAATGCTCTTAACACAACTGGTTGGACAATCCTGTCAATAGAAACAAGTAAACATTTTTCTGATAGAGATTAACTATATCATGCTGGCTATTTAGAAGGTTATCTTACATATGACCTTATCAATTATGCATACTATAATTTCTTAAATACTGTGTTAAATGGATAAGAGTTAAACGAATTATAGCAGTAATTTATAACAAATCAAACATAATGGATTGAAGGATAATTATAATAAAACAATCAAACAAGCCAAGGATATTGGGGTTTAGTTGGTAGCTTAATGTCTCAATTAAATGGAACTTATGATGGTTATGTTGATGCCATGAGGAAGAATCAATAGCAATAAAATATCTTATCATTCAATCAATTTTATTACCTAACAAATATGGGCGATCTTGAAGATATATAAAATGCTGTGCTAAAGACTAACAAAACTGAGTAAATGAGTAATATGAATTCTATAAATTTATTTATTTAATATTAATTAGAAAAAATTGTGATGCTTATGTAAAATTAACTCATAATGATCTCGTTTGTGCCCACAGTACTTTCAACATTTATTCTTTAATGCTTCGTGTTTACAAAGTAATTTAAAAAATTTTTTTAACAATGCATTTTGTAGCTTTTAATATTTCAATACATATTAATCAGCCTTTAACTTTCAATTAAATATTAAAAACAGGCTTACAAATTTGAATTCCACAATAAAGATGTAAAAGCTTCATTTTAGGCATTTTCAAGTAGACCAGGAGATTTAGAGAGTAAAGATGACTTCTATATTTTAAATAATGGAGTTGTTGTAATGGAGACTAGGTACTAAAAAAATTAAATTTATTTTAAATTAATAAAATTTACAAAAAAATAGTTTAAATAATTATAATAAATCCAACTACGATTATCTTCACTATGACAGTGTTCCATGCTGGATGAGAGTTAATTTAGCAAATAGATTATCATCAAACGGTAGTGAATGGGCTTAGGTGTTCTCTAATTATAGGAGTGGAACTCACAATAACTAATGGATTGTTGTTGATTATAACTAATGGAGAGCAGGAAGTAGAAAAAGTAATTAATTAATTTATTTAAAATCGTAATCTTGAAGTAAAATTAATATATTTTAATGAATACAGATATTGTTTGGATGGTTGAAGAATCTTTTTATTTATACAAACCTATTGATGTCACTTACCAACTTTTCTCTTAAGGATATGTAGCAAGTTATAATGTGCCCTTTAATCAAGTAAGATTATATTATATTTTTTTAGTATTAAAACATTTTAACATAACTATCTTTATTTTGTTATTCGAGTTTAAAAAATAATTAAAATAATATTTTTGTTTTATACTTGAAAAGGAAATATTCAACATCACTATGTATTAGTAAGGGTATGGATTCAATTATACTAATGATCCTAGAGCTATCGAATTTGCTTAATATTCTAAGAATGTTAGTACTACTAAAGATGTCATGAAATTAATTAGATTGAATCATAATGCTACAGGAGATCCATCAGATGCTATAGCTCCAAGATTTGATTTATTAAATTAAGGAGCTTACACATATGGTGCTATTGATGCCAAAGTTACAAATGATGTAATTAAGTTATATTTTACTATTTTATCCTTAATTTATTTATTTTATAACACAGAAATTATTATAAGTCCTACAAAGCTTTATGATTAGTTCCCCAACCAATGATGGATTACCTTATTTCAGCTGGAATAATTGGAATTCAGTACCTCATTAAGGAATGCCTGATAACTATAATTTTGATTGGATTAACTATAACTACAACAACTAAAATTACACTTTTGTAGAGCATAGTTCATCAAATCAAATTAAAAATCTAAGAGTTGAATCTTATTGATATTAAATTTATATTATAAAAATGATAAATATTTATAAATTAAATCTATATTCCATAAATTTTTGATTAGTTTTAAATCCAATCATTAATTAATTCGTTTTTGATTATTGAAACTTGATTAATATTCAACACAAATTCATGGAAACTGATAAAAATCTATAATTCAGTAAATAGCAAGCAAAAGCTTTTATTGTAGATATTCTTAATTTTAAGATATAACCAAACATCAAATGAACTAATAAATACTACTACTATCTAGTTTTTGTTTCAAGCTTTAGATTTTCTTTATAAAAAAATAACTATTATAATTAAGAGATAAGACTTTCAAGTGCTTTGCATGTATTTATGTACCCTCAGTTATATATTTTAAGTGTTAATTATCTTTAATATATATCAAAAAAAAAAAAAAATCACTAAAAACTTATCAGATTTTATAAATTCCATTATTATTAGGCTAAGATAGGATAAAATGAAAAAATAGCAAAATAGAGTAGACTCTGCTCACTTCAGAGAAGGTGAAAGAAATAAATCTGTAGATAATAACTCTGAATATAGCAAAGCAAAATATGCTGATTAGCCTATCTAATAATTATAATAAAATTTAGATACAAAGTGGAGCGAAATTAAAATATTTAATAAAAATATTTGTCGCAGAAGCTATCACTCTGGAGTCAGTCATGAAGATAGGTATTTATTTATAAATGGTTTTCTTTATTTTTTAAGTAAATGCTTTGAGGTATTGAATGAATGCTTCTTTTTATTGATAATATAAAGTTAAGTAAAAAATATCTATTTCTATATTTAATACGATAGGATGTACATTTATGGTGGATATGAAGTAAATGAAGGAATATTGGGAGATTTTTATGAAATGATGATTAAAAATAATTAAGTATTTTAATGGTAAAAAGTTAATTTGTCAAAGTATGGACCTAATAATGATAAACCCTTAACTCCTGGTCCTTTGATGAGACATACAGCTGTAACTTACAAAGATAAAATGTACATTTACGGAGGTAATTAGCAATCTTTAAAGCCTTCTAGTTAACTTTGGTCATTTGACTTTAATGAAGACGAGTGGCAAATAGTTAAGCCTAACGTAAATATTTAGCTGCTTTTAATAAAATTTAAATAAATAAATTCTATATTTTTTAAGGGAGAGCAGGCTCCTCCTTCATTAGATTCTCATGCTGCCGCAGTAGATGAAATAAATCATGCTATGTATATTTTTGGTGGTTTTTCTGATAGCCAAAAAGATGGAGGTTACTAAAATAAGGTTTGGAAATTTAGTTTTGAGAGTCAATAATGGGATTTATTGGGTGAGAACTCTGAAACTAAACCATGTAAGCGTGCTGGATCAAGTATCACACTCTATGATAATATTTTGTATATGTTTGGAGGTAAAGTACCTTTTTTTATTACTTAAAGCGAAAATAATTTTAATTAAATAACTCACAGGGACTATAGTTGATGCAAAGTATAATGATATGTGGTCTTTTGATTTATAAACATAATAATGGGAGCATATTAAGTAAGAAAAAGAAGATTTAGTACCCGAAGTAATAAATTAATAGTAAACAAATATTATAAAATAAAGCATTTTATTTATATAAATAGACTAGAAATGGACATTCTCTCCTAACTTATAAAGATAAATTAATTTTATTTGGAGGTATTCATGATATTACTCATGAAAAGAATGACATGTATGTTTTTAATGTGAGAACTAAAAAATGGAGTTTAAGTATTTATTTTTAATTTATTTAATTAAATTGTATGAAAATATTTTTTTTTTAAAGTTGATGACAATACTTCACATAATTAAAGCAGTTTGAATGATGATATCTTAGCAATTGAATAAAGCTTTTCAAATGGATTTTAAAATGAACAATCATTTAAAGATTAAAACAAGAAAATCCATTCTGAAGTTAACTAGCAAAGCCATAATGTTCGTACTAAAACTAAAAATTCTTCTTTAGAACGAATTAAAGCAACAAATAGTGAAAAGCATAATCTATCAAATAGTTCTCGCATAATAAAACAAAGTATGAAAAAATAAAATGACAGCATTGGCTCAAAAGAAGAATCGCACACTGTCAATAATTAGATGGAAGAAAATAGAAAAAAAAGAATCTAAATGAAAAAAATGAATTTACTTTCTGAATTTGAATTAAACGAATCAGAAAAGAGTATAATCAGGTAAAAAAATTCAATTTTCTATAAAATAATTTTGATAACGATTATTTATAATATACTGTGTTGCTTTCCAAGTGTTTTTTTAAGAATTATAAAAATTTTACAAATACTCAAAGTTTCAGATAAAAATGTAAGCTTAATTGAAAAGTTAAGTTGATATTGCTTCTTATTTTATTAAAATAAATTAAATTGTGTAAACTTTAAATTTAATCTTTATTTATACTTAAATAGACCAGTAAGTCCTACTACAGAAAATATGAAGAATAGTATATAAACAGTTGGTAATCCCTTAGGTAAAACAAAGTATTCACTAAGAATTCTAGATAGCTCCTTGACTAGAACATAGCTTGGAGGAAATAGTGAGCAAAGATAAAATAAAATGATAGGTAGACGCCCTTGTGCAAGAGATGGTCATTCTGCTGTGATTTGTGATAATTTTTGCTATATTTTTGGAGGTGATCGTCATATGATGTCATATAATGATTTATTTTGTGTTGATTTAGATAAAATAATGGAATCTTTGTCTTGATATTTAAATCTAAATAGCTTTAGGATTGCAATAAAAAATATGTTTTTTATTGAATTTTAAGCTTTAAAATCATATTATCAAAATAAATCAATTTTTTGGTTTAAAATAAAAAATTGATTGATATTCACTTTTATATTTATTTATTTATCTTTTCGTTTATATATTTGATATTTTAACATTATTAATTGTTTATATCTAATAACGAATATTATTTGATAGAAATTCACTTAGAAATGAATACATATATACAATGCAATGCAATACAATACAATACAAGAAATAGATTCATAAATATATAAAAAAATTGATTTAAAAAAATATATTTAATAAATAATCAAATAATTTCTTAATAAAAAATAATAAATAGAGCTTTTAAAATGGAGGAAAGTAATACAATTAAAATTAGAAGTAGTGATGGGCAAATTGTAGAGTTTAAAAATGAATTTAAGAGCCTTTCTAAATTAGTTAGCATGACTGAAGATAGCGATGAAATTACTACAGACATGTAAATTTTTAATAGAAATGTTTTCAATATTTGTAAAAAAAATATGTTGGGATTATGTTTTTGCAAAGCAAAAATGAGAAAATCATTGAATATTTTTCATACATCTATCTTAAATAATTAAGAGTTAAACATTTAAGTAAAATATTTTTTAATTTATATTTTTTTAATATATAGTTCATTTGATGTCTTGCAAGTTATAAAAAAATTTTGTGAGGTTCATGATTACAAGCCAAGCAGCATCGATTTCAAATCACCATTAAAAAGTGATAAATTAAGTGATAACATAGACTCAAAGTCTTATAGCATCATGAAAGACTATTATGGAATTAAACCAGAATAAGCTGAAAAACTGAAACCCCTCATATATGCTGCTTATCACTTAGATTTTGAAAAATTCAAAGAAATATGCTTAGTAACTCTTGGTTGTCCATTTTATGTAGGCGATACAGATTAAGAAATAGAAAGATTTAAACAAAAATGGGATATTAATGAAATTACCCCTGAAGAGGAAAGAGTAATTATGGAGAATAATAAGCCAATATTTGATCATATTAATGAAACATTTGAGAAAAAAATGTAATAGGAGGAATAAAAATATTTGCAATCATTCTAAGAATAAAACGCTAACAATAACTCTAATTGATAAATTCTTTTCGCTTTTTTCTATATTAAATTCCATAAAATCAATAAAACTTTCCAAACACATAAATTTATGCAGACTTTGTTTTTAAATTATTTTTTATTAAAAATTACTTATTATAAATTGAAAAAAAATAGGGTAAAATGTTTTATTTAATATTAAATGCATTTTAATTTTTTAATTTACTATTTCTGTTCCTATCTATTTTTAATTTTTTTGTTTTTCATTAATATTTTTTAATAAAAATTTTTTATATTTTAAAATTTCATAGAATAAAAAAATATAACAAATTTAACAACATCTTATATTTGTTGCTATAAGAAGTAAATAGTATACATTATTATTTTTTATATAAAAATCAAACCTTAAAATACTAATCTAAAGTATATATATTTTTATATATTTATGAATATAAGAATGCTAGCTTTTTATTTAAAGAAACTTAAAAATTACAAATAGAATTAAATTAAAAACATTTAAATAGGCTATGAATGAAATTAAATAAAGGTTTATATTATTTAACCTTGAGATAAGGTATAAAATATTCTTTTTATATTCAGAATAAAAAAGTATATTAAAATATAAAAAGAATCAATAAAAAAGATAAAAAATTAAAATTTTAATTTAATTTAATGCTGATAAAATAAATAAATATAATTAATAATTAAATGAGAAAGAAATAAAGAAATTAAATATTTTTTTTTTATGAATAGTTTAAATTTGTAATTGTTTAAATTGATGGGAAATAATTCTAATCTTTTGAAGAGTTTTATATGTTTATTTATGAAACTATTATTATTATTTTTTATAATAATAGAAAAACCAGAACTTTTTATCTTGTTTTTTTAATAAAAATATTTATTAATTTAAATTTTAAATATCCTTTTTTAAAAATTGAAAATTTTAAAATAAATTATTTAATAATTAATTAAAGAATTTAATTTATAAATTTCGAGAATTTTCAATAGAAATTTTATAAAATAAATATATTAAATTCATTTTTATTATATACATTTCATTTATTATTCTAAATTTTAAACGTTAATTTATCCAATATTTAATGAACAAAACTCTTCATTATTTTAATTTTTTAATCTTGGAGATATTTGTATTTGCTACCTAGCTATTTACATTATTTACTCCATGTTTCTGTCAACATAAGAATGAACAGGAAGATCTGATTTTCTTCCTGCCCTTTGATATATTCTTTTATTTATATTGGAGCCACTCTTTACCATAATTTCATTTTATTCCATTATTTTTTAATTTTCTTTCCAAAACTTTTTAGGAATATTTGAGAGAATTTCAGGGTGAGTAGGTAATTACTTCAGTGGGCTCACATGTTTGATATAGTGATTGCCCTAATCAAATTTATTCAATTTATGTTTTTCAATAAGTGAAGATAAAATTTCTTTTTTTATTGGTGATAAATCGTAGTATATCTTTTAATTTTTATCTTAAATATCATTATTTCTTATAGTTTATTACTTTTCCAGTGATTCATCAATTTAGACTTAGCTTCTAACTCTATCATTTTTTTTGGCTTTGCCTAAGGGAGATTTGAAAATAGCTTTTAAATTAATCTTTTTGTTTTGCAGAGTTTAAGTCTAAAGTGAGTATTCATCTTTTTGTTATTTACTGTTTTATTAGAACAAGTTAGTTTGAGTATCTAAATCGGTATTAAATTAAACCATCAATATTGGATTGCCATTTTAATCAAATATATTTCCTTTTTTTTAGCTATTATAGTCGAAAGCTTTAAAGTTAGTTATTGATTTAGAAGGTTATTATTTATATACACTCTAATTCTAATTTAAAGCTCTTTATGAAGCTGAGTGAAAATTATCAGAACAATCCTATTGACCAGAATTTAATTTAATCAATTAGGGAGACAAGTTAGCTTTTGAAATTTATTTTTTAAAAATAGGAGAAGTATATTCGGAGTTAAGTACCTTTGATTATAAACGATTAAGTGATATATTTTTTCTTTCTGTTTGAGATTATTATTAATGATCTTCACAAAGATCTGAGAAAATTTCTTAATTTAATCGTGCTTATGAAAGTTATCTTTTATTTGGAGAAACTAGGTAACTCTCCATTTTAAACAGCCTAGGTGAGTTTTTGTTGGAATTTGGCATAGTCTTTGTATTATATTTATAAGATGTAGGTAACATTTCAATCTCTTCTAGAGTATTTTAACTTTAAAGAGGGATATAAATGTTAGAGTGGCTATTACTGTTAACAGCTATTTTATTATTATTGTCAAAGACGAGTGAGGAAAATTATTAAGACATTCCTCTTCCAGTATTAGATTTTTCTATTAAAATATTGCTTTTATGTCTTAGAAAAGGAGATTTTAAATCTCTTTAGCTCTTAGGTGTATTACCGGTTGTCTAATAAATACTTTTCTATGAAAACTTAAATGTTTAATCAAATCTATCATTGCTTTAAATCTTTCCTTGTACTTTTTTAATAAGTGTCTTTCTTTCTTACTCTGCTATTTCTTTTAAAGAATTCTCTTCTATTAGTTTCTATAATTAGGAATACTTCTAAATCAGTGTCATAAAATTCTAATAAAGAATAAAAATTATTTTTAGAATTTAAAAAAATCTAAAATTAATTTACAGTTGAATTAATTGCATATATTTATGCTTGCTATGAGAGAACTTTAGCTTTGCTTTCCCTTTTAGCAATTTTTTGCAATATTTCTTCCTATCCAAAATAAGAATTTTGTGTGAGTATTTTCAGCTATATTCTTTTTTTTAATATTAAGTTATGCTTTAAAGGAGATACTTCTTTGTTCTTTTTTTTTATTAATGGTGATTAGATTTAGCTCGATGAGCTGATTAATGGAATAATTATTTATTAATTCTTATTTGTGACTGTTGTTGTATCTTAATTAGCCTCAATATCTATTAATTTAGAAATTTCAACGTCACCATTTTTAATAAAATAAATATTTTCAACCAAATCTGATTCTTAAAAAACCACATCTCCTCTGATGAACTATTTAAGCAAAGAAGATTGAATCATTTTCATAATAATATAGTCTGGAATATCTTAGAAGAATGAAAAAGACTTAAAAAAATCTATTGATTCCTAAAGTTCAGAAGCCTTATATTTAGCCAATATTGATTAGATTCCTTCTTTTGTAATTTCAATAATGCAACATTCTGACTCAGTAAATATAATTGGCTTTCTAGAACTAAAAAAAAAAAAACAATGAGATAAATTAATAAAATATTCTACCAAAAAAAAATTTGATTTAATTACAATTAATTATTATCTAATCTTATATCTCCAAAACAATCACCAGGTAAGTATCTTTTTATCGTAGTATATTTCTCTTGATCTTCAAAAATATCAGTATTACTTTATTAAAATTCTTAAATTTAAAAGCCACTATCAATATCATCTGCTAAATTATTAGCACACTAATATTTATTAAAATTTAATATATTTAAAGTTTAAAAAATTTAAATTACAATAATATTCTAATCTTAACTTTCAGAGTTATCATTTATAACTTTTTCCTTTTAAACTAAGCTTCCCCTCAAAACAATATAAAAAGCTTCTTCTTTATAATAAAATAATCAAAAATTTATAATCTATTTAATAAATTGATATCTTGTAATTATTTTTAAATAAATAAATAAATAATTTTTAAAACAAAATGTTTTTTTATTTCATTTAGCATATTAATTTAAATTTTAGGCATATAATTTAATGAGTTTTTCGCTGTTTCTAGAAAAAAAATATATAAAAAGCTCAAATGTATAACAAATTTTACCTATTTTTTATATTATTCTATTTGGATTATACATCATCAGCTTGAATTAATTGAAAATTTCTTGGCTAATATTGTCTTTTTCTAAATTTTTTAAACATTCCTCAAGTACTTAGAATTAGTAGGCGAATTTTCTAAAGTAAGCCAATTCCATTTTAGTTTTATGACTCTTTTTAGCTATCCTGATAATCCACTATAAAAATTATAATAATTAATATTAGCCAACAAATATTTGTTATTAGAACAAAAATACAAAGGAAATAGTTAGCGAATTTGCTGAACATAATTATTTTTTAAGTAAGTAAGAACTTTCAGAATAAAGCAAGCTTTAAATTTGCATATCTAACAAATGTTATATTTTAAAACCCGCTAATCTGATAAAATTAATAATACTTGTAAATAATTTGAATATTCGATTGTATTTTTGTTTACATTTCATTTAAATCCTTTAAATAAAAAAAGTCTACATTGACATCTTCTTCAGAACTAAAATCTATAACTTGTTTTTCAATCAAAAGCTAAAGTTTATTTTTGTTTGGACTTGAAACTTCATCGTTACCTTCGTTTTAATATGCTTATAGCTTCTATATGGATTGGAATTACTATTACACAAGCTCTTAACATATGATAGAATTTTATTTTTGAAAAGTTAATTATCTCTCTGGCGATGTAATTTGATTAAAGGATTATGGAAGTTAATCTTAACTATTTTATCTTTTGGTAATTGGTACAACAAGAGGCTTTAATTTTAATTGGAAGTGATTCTTATTTTGCTTGATAGGTTAGAAAAATGCCTAGCCATCCTTTTAAGATAGAGGAGGAGGAGAAAATAATGTGATTTTCTCATTATTACTATTTTCATTACTAGATTTATTTATTGCACTCTAATCTTAAAAACTAAACATGGTTGTATTTTTGGTTTCTAATCTTGATTAGTGATACTCTTATTCATCACTAATCTACTTAGCTTGATTGATAACTAATTTAAATGTTTCTTTGTTTTGATTTTATAGAGCTCTATCAGCTGATTGATATTCTCGATTCATTTTTAAAAATAACTAACTTCGATAAAGGTTTTAAAATACTAAGTTAATCAAAAGTAATCACTTTTTATCAAGTGATTTGTGTGTTTATTAATTTATATAGCTTTAAATAACTTTATGGTAAGTATCTTTTAAAGTTTTAATATCATATTTTAATTAAATTCTTTCTTCTTCTTTTTTTAATTGCTCCTCAAAACTAAATTTTGTTAAAATTGAGGGGTTGCTGAATTACTTTTTTTGCCCTTACTCTAACTACTTTTAGTAACAAACATATTTTTAATAAGATATTTCACACTATGACATCACTTTTGATTACCACTAATTATTTTGTTACAAATTTACAAAAAAATTACTTTTTTCTTCAAAATAAATTACAATTTTAGTTATGAAAACTTTTAACAAAAAAATAAAAATTTAAACATTTCTATTATTTCAAATATAGATTTGCTTTTTATTGTTAATATAATTTATGATTTTTGACTATTTTTTGATCTAAAGAAATACTATGATTTAACAATTCAACTTAAAAATTTCTTTTGCTTATTTGTTTTAATATTTAGAAAAATATAAGTATATTTATAGTAGATCAATAATAAATATTATATTTAATTACCTTAAAATTTTATAAATATTTTTGAAATTTGTTTTATTATAATATTGCAAAATATGGATTATTAGAAATATAAAATAATTTCAATAAATTGATATATTTAGATTTTAATGAAAGAACTCATTATATTCAGATATATTTTTTGAGATGTTTATGTATTTATTAAAATAATTTTAGGATAAAATTAAAATTCACAAAATGTGCTAAATAAAAAAGTGCTTTTTTAAATATTAAATATATTTTTATATGATATTTTAAGCTTCTTCAATGAATGTACTATAATCTTATGCTGTTATTATGCATTTGGTAATATATTTCTATAAAATTGATATAAATAGTTTAAAAATTTATATTTAGAAATAAATTTAATATCATATTTATTTTATTTTCAATTCTGTTACTCACAAAAATAAAAAAATTCTATATCGTTTTTTGTGTGTGTGATATTTCAGCTATTAAATTTACATATAAATAAATAAAGTAGATTAATATTGTAGAACTGATTTTTATCTAATTATTTTTTGTTATTTATTTTTTATTTCAATTAAATAAAAATTTTAATGGTTATAAATTATACTTTTTAAATATCTATATAAAGACACATTTAATGACTGTAAATAACAAAAATTCTTTTTAGAAATTAATTTTAGCAAAAAAAATATAAATAAGTAAAACTAAAAATCTGAGAGATCAAAATAGAAATAGTGTTTTTGATTTTCTTTGAATTTATAGAAAAAAAATTATTTAATTTTAATTATGAGAAGTAGTTTTTCATTTTAGAAAAGTGATAGTTTTAATTTTTTGGAAAGTATACTTAATATTTACAAAATTTATCAAAAACATGAAATAAAATTAAAATACCAAAAACAATTTTTAGATACAAATTCAAGCAAGTTAATTCAAATTACATTTTTTTTCAAAAATAAAATAGAAAGAATTAATATAGTTAATTTTTTTACAAGTGGTTTTTAATAATATAGACAGATAACTTGATTTAAGATATTAAATTAAATAAATAAATATTTGGTTTTAATAGGGAAGGAATTATAAATAAATATAAGTTATAGCGAGTCCCCTAAACATATTGGAAGAAGGTATTTTTAACTTATTTTTTAATTAGAAGGATTTAATTTTACAATTTGGTGATTATTTTTGTAGTAACTTTAATAAATGATATTTTTTAGTTGAAATGTGTAATTATTATCTTGAGATTGATTGATTATAAATAAATAGGTTTTTAATTTTAAGTCCAATTATTTAAATATTTAAGCATAGTCAAATTTGTGTAATGCAAGATTTTTATTATGAATTGTTTTATTTTTAAAAATTAAGAAAATAAATGCAAGGTCAGTAACTTTATTCTGAAGTATTACTCTTTGAATATTATTATAATATTATTGGTCGTTTAAAAGAAGATCTTTTTAAGTATATTTTACTTTCATTAAATTTTAAATCTGCGCTTTTACTTGATTCAATATTTTCATCTGATGAAAATAAAGGCTAAGAGCTAGCCCTTGTTTCTATATCTTATTAAGAGTGACAAATTTTAGGAGTCAGAAATCTTTCTGATTGAATTTCATCTTAGCTTAGTAAACCACTACGCACTCTTTGATAATAATTGTTTTATAATTCCAAAGGATCAGCTAGTCTGATTCCTAATTAATCTAGTTATTCGTATATTTAACGTTCTAAATCTGTAATCATAACATCATCAATAGGTTCGTTTTAAAGAATATTTAAATTTTGTTCCCCGTTTTACCCTATTTTCACCAATTTGTGAGCATTCTTATTTATTATTGTATTAGCAAATATATTCCTTTTTAAAGTGGCTTTACAATTACACTAGTCTTGAATTTAATTAGTAGTTTGCTCTTAAGTTTCATCTAGTTCATTATTTTTATCATTTTAATTTTCTATATTACGAACAAAAGAGTTTTATCTTTCAAAATTCTGAGGCTCTAGATTCAATAAGCGAGTAAGAATACTATTTTTTTTTTAGTTTATCATTTTTAATTAATTATATTTGCTAGTAATATGAAGCAAATTTATTTATTGGTCTTTAATAACTATAATTTATTATTTGCCTCTATTTTATTTAATTATAATCTTATAATATGTATGAGTATGTTTATATATTTTTTTGCCTAATTTTACTTAAATTTAATTTAATTTTACTTACTTACTTATTTATGTTTTTAATTTTTTTTAATTTTTTTTTTTTTTAGAAATTATAGATTTTGGTTTAATCAAAAAGAAAAATTAAATAAGGATAAGATGAATATAATCTTAATATTAGAAAAAAAAGTCAGATACATGATAAATTAAATTACTGTAATTAGGACATATTATTACACCACATAACTTGAAAAAAAAATAATTAAGAGTAATTCTAAATTTCTTTTAAATTATTGTTATAAATTTCATAATTTAAAATTGTTTTAAATTACAAAGGTAAATAATCAGATAAAATTTATTTTATGAATATTTATTGTCTTTAAACAAATTAGTAATTATATTTTTGGTTTAAAAAATAATTATTTTATTAAATCAACTAGAACTATAAACAAAATAGAAAGATCATAAACTTTACAATAACAAATCCATAGCTAAAACTATAAAAAAACTTAAATGACCTAAATAATAATAGTAACAGAAGTATTTTCCTATCAAAAAGTAAAGGACTTTTAATAGTAAAAAATAATTTATTACCTATTTTTATTCGATGATAGATTGATCAAGTGGAAAATAACAAATATTTTTGGCATATCAAAGTAAGATATCAAAATTAAAATTTACAATCAAAATTTGTAATTTCTTCTTTTTTATATAATATCTATTTGATCTAACCTTTCAAACAAGATTTTAATATTACTGAATGCATTCTTATTCTTTTAAATCTTGGAGAATTTTATTTTAATTATCATTTTTTGATTTACATTTTTAAAAATATTTCTATCTTTAGATATTCCTAGAATACTTTTTTAAATTTGAGCTGGCTAACTTTTGAGGAAAGAGGTCTTAATTTAGAAAACAGAAAAAAAACATGAAATTTAAATGTGCAAAAATATCTCAAAAATTATCAAAAATAATTATTTGCATTTTTATCATCAAAAAAGTGTGTTTAACTTAATAATTTGAAATATTTTTGTTTTATTTGTACTTTATTGCAAATAATTTGTGATAACTAACGTAATTACTTCTATTTTAATATAGTTACTAACAGCAATATTTACCTCATAAAATTTAATTTATTTGTTTGTTTACTAAGTCTTTCTACCTTTCTAGAATAGTATGATTAGATAATTTTAAAGATATTTTAAGATATTAATAATTCCTTTTTCTTATAAGACTTATTTAATCTAAACATCATTTTGAAAATGTTAACGTAATCTATTAGAATTTTATCAAAACCGTTTTTAACAAATCAGTTAAGAACTTAAAATTTATGTTTGAAGTTAAAAAACTACTTTTCACAGTATGAATTCTCATAAATTGAGTAGAAGTGGCAGTAAAAATGGAATTAAAATATCCAATCTTCTCATAAAAAGATATCTGATACTAATTAAGAAAAATATTATGTATTATCATAATTCCCATATCCAAGTGGAAATCTCCACATGGGACACGCTAGGGTTTATTACATTTCTGACGTTATTTCCAGGTTTGAAAAAATGAAAGGTAAGACTTTATTTGGAAGGTTTTAGTGAAATCTTCATCTGTTTTTTCTTGCTTCATATCTTTACTGTATTTTTTAAATGTCATTTAGAATTATCTCAAAAAATTTATTTTTATCTAGGTAAAAATGTTATTAATCCTATGGGTTGGGATGCTTTTGGATTACCTGCAGAGAACGCTGCCATATAAAGAAATATTGGTAGATTTAAGATTGATTAATAATTTTATTTTACATTTTTATTCAATAAAACATCACTAATATTTGATAGTAATAAAATCTACTTATTAAATTTAAAGAACCTTCAGAATGGACCTATAAAAATATTTAACAAATGAAAGAATAAATGATAAAATTGGGAGTTGTTTTCGATTGGGATTTAGAAGTATTTAATAATACATAAATTTGATTTTACAGTTATTTTATAAATTTAAAAGCTCTTCACATGCAGAGAAGATTATTACAAGTGGACTTAATGGATTTTTATTTAACTTTTAAAGAATAAACTTGCTTATAAGAAAGAAGCAGAGGTCAATTGGGATCCAATCGATTAGACAGTTTTAGCTAATGAATAAGTAAGTACATTTATTTAGTAATTTAAATTATTACAAAAATAACTTAATTAGATTTTCGAAATAATTTAATTAAATAAACAAATTAACTAATTAAACTAATTTTTATAGATAATTAATTATTTATTTACAAAATTCATATTAATTTTCATAATCAAAATTTACAAATATATAATTAAAATATTTTTGAATGCTAATTATAAAAAATTTTTTTCAATCTCACTGATTTTTCCAAATTACACCAAAATTTTTGAATAGGATCATTTTAATTACATTTGTTTTTGTAGAATTAAAATATAATAATCAAAAAATTATACTTTCAAAAAAATAAATATCATGTCATTTTTGCAGAATTAGATAGTAAATCATGTTACTGCTTTTTTTTTATCAAAATACAATTAATTATTTAATAAACTTACTTAATAATAAAGACAGTTTATTTATCTTACAAGCAGATATTTATTTGCATTAAAATAGTGAGGTTTTATTACGCTATTGATATTTATTATTTGTTTAGTAATTCAATCAACACACAGATTAAAAATTATGTTTAGTTTTAAACATGTAAAAATTATTATTTTTCTTTTTTAGGTCGATGATTAGGGAAGATCGTGGAGAAGTGGAGCTAAGGTAGAAAAAAAAATGTTAAATTAATGGTTTATTAAAACTACAGAATATGGAAAAGAACTCTTCTAGGATTTAAGTGATTTAGAAGGTTGGCCTTAGGCTGTTCAAGAAATGCAGAGAGGCTGGATAGGTTTTAGTGAGGGAACTCAAATCAAATTTGAATTATTTTCCTAATAATAATAAAAATGTATTGATGAAATTGAAGTCTACACAACTCGCCCTGATACAATTTATGGAGTTACTTTCTTAGCATTAGCTTATGATCACCAACTAGCTACAGTAAAATTAATGAATGAAATTTCAATTTTTACTATTTAATTTTCAAATTAACTTGTTTGTTTGAAGTAAATTCTTTATTTTTAAAGTCAACTAATTTGATTATAAAAAGAAATTCTTAGCAGGATAAAAAGAGGAAGATCTAGCTGATTATGAAAAAATGAAAAACGAAATCAAATCTAGAAAGGATTTGGTTGTTAACAAAATTGGTTATAAAGTAAAAGATTATTATGCTGTTAACCCTTTGAGTGGCGAATAAGTTCCTATTTACCTTGTAGACTATGTTTTGAAAGATTACGGGACTGGTGCAGTAATGGGTGTTCCTGCTCATGATGACAGAGACCAAGAATTTGCTAAAAAATACTAAATACCAATTAAAGAAGTCATAAAAGAAGAAACAGACAACTAGTCAACAAAATAAGTTTTAGTCAATAGTGGAAAATTTAGCAATTTAGAAATTGCAGAAGCTAAGAAATAGATTAACGAATAATTAATTCAAATTGGAAAAGGCCATGTAACATCTAATACTAGCATGAGAGTAAAATTTTATTTTTATAAATATACTGATATAACTTTTTTTTTCTTCTTCTCAGGATTGGCTAGTATCTAGATAAAGATATTGGGGAGTTCCTATCCCTGTGATTGAATGTCCTACTTGTGGAGTTTTACCTGTCCCTGAAGATCAACTTCCTGTTATTTTACCAGAAAAATTAGGAAATCCTGTTTAATTGTAGTTAATAAAAATAAAAATTCAAAATTATATTTTTTTTTGTATTTCTGAATTAATATTTAGGAAAAATGGAAATCCATTAGCTCATATTAAAGATTTTGTGGAGTGTAAATGCCATATTTGTGGTAACAACAAGGCAAAAAGAGAAACTGATACACTTGATACATTTGTTGATTCTAGTTGGTATTTTTTAAGATTTCCAGACAGCAAAAATTCGCTCTAAGTAAATATATTTAATTTAATATTAAAATGTTACTCATTACAATTTTTATTATTATAAATTACATTTAAAAAAATCTAATTTTAGGTTGAATATAACTGTAATCAGCCTAAATTTTTAAAGATACAATATTTTTGTATGAATCTCAAAAGAATCATATGATTTTTAATTTTATTAATTTTACCCTGAGTGTTTAATATTTTTAATTACTTTTTTCTCCAATAATATGAAAAGATATTTGATAGCAATCTAATTAAATATTGGGCTCCTGTTGATTTGTATATTGGAGGTATGGAGCATGCTATTTTACATCTTTTGTATGCTCGTTTTATTCATAAATTTTTGCACAAACAACAATTTGTACCATTACATAAAGAACCATTCAAGTAGTTAATTGTCTAAGGTTTGGTTAAAAGTAAAAGCTATAGATTGAAATAAACAGGATAATACCTCTATCCTTAGGAAGCTTAAAAATACGCTGAAGATGAATTAGACATTAAAATAGAAAAAATGTCCAAATCCAAAAATAATGGAGTAAATCCGCTCGAAGAAATTGAAAAGTTTGGAGCTGACTGTTTAAGAATGACTTTACTCTTTTATGGACCTAATGAAAAGGATATTGCTTGGGATGGCAACCTTTAAAAAACGCTGGTAAGTATTTTAAGAAAATACATCTAATAAAAGAATAATTAAATTATATACAGTACTCTTATCTCAATAAGGTGTGGAATTTACACTTGAAAATACAGTCGGCTTATAAAAATGATGGTGATTTGCTCAAAAAAATGAACAAATGTAATTTGTTGCAAATTAAAATATTTACCATTCATTAATTTTATATTCCTTAATTAACATTACAGAAGAAAAAATTTCCACTTTCAAAAAAGTGTATGGATATGTCGAAAATATTCAAAATGCATTAGAAAGAAAAGATCGTTCTTTCCATGTTGCTATTGCTAGATAAATGGAATTGTATAATTTCTTAAGTGAATTGCAAGAATAGTCAGGAATCACATAGGAATTTTCTGAAATTTACGAGTATTTAATCAATTCCTTGTATCCATTTGCCCCTCACACTATGAGTGAAATAGCCGAAAATCTTTATAAAAAAGAATATTAATTTGTATGGCCTGATTTATTAGCTATTAAGAATAAGCATTTGAATGAAGATACTATCTCAGTTAAAATTAATGTAAATATTAATTCATGAATTGTTAAGCTAACATTTATAATTTTATCTAACAATTAATTAGGTTAACAATAAATTTAAAGGATAGCTAGAAATTGAATCTTCATTTATGGATTCATAAAATGACGAACAAATAATTAAAGCAATAAATGAAAGCCTAAAGCTTAATATAAGCTAATATAAAAACATAATAAAAATTAACAGAAAAAATGCATTTGTAATAAATGTCATTTAGTGAAAATATTTGTAAATATAAAAATTTGTATGGCTTAACTTAATATTTATTAAAATACTTTTTACTTTTTTAAATTGTATTAAAATTAATAAAAATAAAAAGAAGTAATAGATGGTAATTAATGCTAGAACCATTTCAATTAACCGGTTTTATTCAATATTAATTCAAATTTTAATTATTTGAATAATATAAACATTCAATTATTTTAAGAATCTTGAAATAATTTGGCTTTGAGCTAAAATGATCTCAAAAATAATTTGTAATATCCTAACAAGTAATTATTCATTCTCTAATATTTAAAAGAATACAATAAATATAAATTTACTTATAAATAAATAAAGGTAAAAATAAATTTAATTTAAAAAAAACTAATAAATTAATATGAATGCTTATTTGAATATTAATTTTTATTTTTTTTCATATTTTCAATTTTATTATTACAAAATAGTCAAATAAATAATACTATTAATGCTTACAAATATTAGCAACTTTTCAAAATTTTTTTTATTAATATTTTGATTTTTTAACAGCACTGATATAAATAATTTTATTTTTATAATTTATCAATCTCTTTTAGAGGGATTAAAGTAATTTAAATAATAATAAGTGAGATTATAAACTGAAATATTTATGTTTTACAATTAAAAATATAATATAAATATCTATCAAATAAATTAATTGAAAAAAAAGTATTATCTTATTTCAGTTTATAAATATAAAGTTTTTAAAAAATCTATCAAGATACAGAAATCTTGTAATAGCAGATTATATTTTAATTTTCCAAATGAAATTGAATTGTTATGAAGAAATAAACAAAAAAAACACAAATTAATCAAGAAAAAAAGCAAGCAGTCAAGCATTTAAGTTAAAAGATTAGATAAAATTCGTTTGAATTTAATATTAGGATATAATCATTATAATAAAAAAAATACATATAAATAAACACACAGATTTTCAATGATGCTGATTAGATTTGATATTTTCATATTATATTAAATCTTTTAAATTATTTAACAGAAAAATCAAATTATTAATATTTATTATTTGATTAAAAAGTAAGCATAACTAAAGATATTAATTTTAAAAACAAGAAAAAGGCTTTCATTTAAAAGAAGACCACAAAGCAAGCAAAGCAAAAAAACAAACAAACAAGACGAGAACATATAAACTTTTAATTATATAGGAGTTTTAAAATGAATAACTCAACATTACCTAGAGATAATTAAAAATGGTCAATTTTCTAAGTATTTTGTTGCGGAAGTAAGTCAAATAAAAAGAAGACAGCTTCTACACTGAACTCTAATAGTTAAAACAATTAACAATCCAATATTAATTAATTACCTTCTTCTTAGCCTTAGATGTTATTGAACTAATATAGCTCCTTTTAAAACTAGAATAATTAAACTCACCTTCAAATGAGAGTTGCTCCTAATAGCTTCCACTAAGAAGATATTGAAGAGTCTAGCTCTTACTCTTCTAATGTCTTGCCTAATTAGCTAGAAAATTAAAATTATTAAGAAAATCGTCAATATTATCCTTAAAATCATGTTATAAATATACAAAGTAACCGTAATCAAAACAGATAAGTCAGCACAAACCAAGAGTATTAATCAATTTAATAAATAAATAATCATAATCTTCTCGTTCCTCCTAATCGTGGAGTTTCTTAATTTCATAGGAGAACTCAAAGTGGTAATTTTATTATGAGCTAATCAATTAGCCTTTAAAATATAATTCAATAATAACAAAAAATATTTAAATACAGTTAATGTTAATATGGGAAGTTAACACATGAATAGCAACTTAAATAGTCAAATAAACCTTCAAAATCAATAATAGCATTCAGAATAAAGATTGGATACATAGAATAGTCATGCTAGCTTGTCTTCAAACTAAACTCGCTATTATACCATGTCAAATCAATATTTCAAATTGAAAACGAAATATGCTATTCATGAAGTTGATGTAATATTAAATTGTGAATAGAATTTAAATTTACTAAATATTTAATTGAATAAATATCTAGTTCGTAGAATACAGACCAACTGACAAGACATTTTAAAGCTATTTTACTTTCGATTGTCCTATTTGCTATAGACACTTTAATAGTAAAATATATTCATTAATTAATTATTTGAATTTACCTACAATCTTAAATTAAAATGTTCGTTAAAAATACTTAAACAAGCAAACAAACAAACACTCTTAATATTTTTTATTGAAAATTTCATATTTGATTAATTAGCTAATTTATAATTATTTTATAGAAATATTGAAATCTGATTGCTGTGATCATTATCTTTGCCACTATTGCTTAAGAGATATTTATAATAGTAATTAATTTTGTTTAATTAATTTAATAAATATTAAATGAAAATCTTATTAATTCAAATCTAATTTACAATTTTAATTAAATAATAATTTAGAAGCAAGAGATTGCACTAATTTTGAATATCGCTGCATGTTCTGCTAATTATCCACACCTTAATATATTGATGCTAATGATTCTGCAGATAAAATTAAAAGGTAATATAGTTAATTATGTTAATTGCAATTTATCATAAAATTAAATAAAAAGATATACAGATAGCCCATTCATCACTCCTAAAGATAACATAGTAGAAAAACCAATAAGAGGCTTACCAACTACTTCTTAATTTGACCACAATATTCATAATAACTTAATTGAATTCTAAGACGATAGCATGGACAAAGAAAACATAGACTTTAAATAAAATGAGATAAATATTATTAATAATTGTAGCTAAACTCATAACATTAATAAACCTCCTCTACCTCACCTAGTATTAAATCAAAATCTAATGGCTCCTTAAATATAATAAGTACATGAAGTATAATAAAAAAATGAAATTATTTAAAGAGAAAAGAATTCAAGTTTAATGGAAAATGAAAATGTAAATTAAAGCGCTCACAAACCTGCTGGAACCATTCCTGAATTCTAGAATAAATATCATTGTAACTACTTGCAAAACAGTAATAATTAAAGAGGATAAGGTATTTCACAGATAGCAAATCAATAGCAAATTCATTCAAATATTAGATCAATAAGATGAAAATTGTAAAAAATGATATCTATTAAATAATTCAATAAATACAACCAATCAGCCAATCAATTACTATTTGCAAAAACGGAAATTTATGAACCACTTTAACAATTATACAAATCTAAAATTTCTCTTAAATTTTTTAAAGAAGAACTTAGACATTTCAAAAAATTTCTTGAAACACCATAAAAAAAATTAATTAATTAATTTATATGCAAAAATAAATAAATAAATAAAAAAACCCCTATATTTAATTTATAATTTTAATATAACTAATATTTCCATTTTGAATTTTAACTTTTGACTATGTAATTACAATTTATATATATCTACTGGTAGTTGTCAAAAAAGGTCATTTAAATATCTATAAAATATTCTTTTATATTTATAAACTATAATTTTTCTTTTCAAATTAATAAATCTATAAACAACTTAAATCAATATAGTTTCCTTAATTTCTTATTTTTGACACTTTTTAGAATACATAAATATTTTTGGCACTTTTAAAATTACATAAATATTTTTAGCATTTTTATAGAAAATAAAGCTCGATAAATTGACCAAATTTTAATGCGCAAAGTTAGATTTAATATTGTTAATATTAGCTATTATCTTAAAATTTTGCTTGTGGCTTAAATTTGAAACACATACTTTATGTTTAAAAAATGTAATTATCTTTTCTTTAAAACTTTTTATTTTATCACTAATTTTGCATTTTCGTTAATTGCGTTGAGTAAGATAACAGAATTATTTATGACAATCAAGGTTAAATTTTTGATTTTTTTTTGAAATTCACAAAAAACAAACATAAATTAGATACAGATTTTAATTTAAGTTAATTTGAAAAATTTTTTGGGAAAATTATATTTGTCTATTTGTATTTATGTTATCAAATATTTTTTTCTAAAAATTAGTCTGATTAACAAACTGGAAGAAGCTCTGTAAGCTGATCGCTTTGATTATTTGATTCTATAATATCTTGATTTAGGATAATTATCTTATGTTACACTTCGTAATCAATTGATTTTATTACTTTCAAATATGTAATTAAGTTGATCAAATTGCAAAAACCAATAGCTAACCAAATACCACCTAACTTTAAATCTAATCCAACTCCCATAATATATATAGTGGGAATTCCTATAATTATGAAGCTAATAAATTCTGTTTTCTTTACAATTTGTTTTAATTCTATTGTCTATAGATATGCTGAAAGAAGTACTTAAGTACCATCAAAGGGGATTGTGAAAATATAAATGTATTTATAAAGGTTAATTAAATGAATAACCTATGGATCTTATGAGAAACTACCTGCCCAGAAATCTGAAAAAAGTAATAAGAAAGTTATAAATAAAGCTTCATAAATGAGTAAAATAGAAATAGTGTAAACTAAATAATGCTTAGCTCCTACGAAGTCTCTAGTAGCAAATGCTGTGCCACTGAAGCTAACTAAGGATTCATAAAGACCCATGATTCCCTTGAAAATAAGGGTATTTGTCATTTAAAAACAAACAGCAGTTACTATGTACTCATTTGAAAATTTTCCAGAGAGAATTACTGATGCATTAAAAAAGAAACATTCTATAAGTACTATTAAGAAAATTGGTTTTACATAATTTACCAAATCAATAAGATTTTTTCTTTCTTTTAAAATTAATTGAGCTAGTTCATAAATTGTTTCGCTTTATCTTGTATTCTATAATTTTTCTGGGGTATTATTATTTCTTTTTTTGTATAGAAACAGGATTAAAACTTTTATCGTGTCGTGTATGATAAAAAGTAATCCTGCTTAGTGAATTCCAACTTCAGAGATATTTTGGAATATTTCACAGAAAATTGTAGTTATTACAAAAGAAGCAGTTTAGAAATAAGCAAATGGTCCAAACACTTTCATTCCAAGCAGCTAAGAGCGTTAATATTCATATATTAAAAATGCTATTTTACTCACAAATATATACATGAGGCCTATTTTTGACATATCAATAGTATCTTATTCATAGCTTAGCAACTTAAAAAAGTATTCAAAGCATAAAAGTAAAAAGGCAATAATAGCAATTCCTAAAATGCAAGTAAAGACTATACATTAGTATAATAAAAAATTGAAATTTTTTGATTTGCTAGCACTTTAAGAGGCATCAAACTAAGAGTAAAGAATTTTTAAGCCCATTGAAAAAGCAATTATTATAGGATCAAATGTTATAATCAAAACTGTGCATGCTAAACCTATATTAAATTAAAATTTCATTTATATTGTTAACAAAGTTAATGGTTTTTACTTATTCCATTTTATTGTAAGGAGGCATCTTTAGAATTAAGAGATAAGTAGTGTATAATAACTAAATAAATTAAGTTATTAAATAAACAGGATACTGTGTTGTAGCAGGCACTAACAACTAATTCTTTGACTTTTTTTAAATCAACAATCATCTTTAAATCTTTTTAATAATTTTGTAATTATAAATTTTTTAGTGAGCTGGTTGATTTTTAATATAAACAAATAAGTAAAATTGTATTTTATATATCAAATTTGATCTGGTAAAAATCCTGTTATGTTATTTTATCTCTGAAGTTGACAAATTTAATTTTTAAACTGAAAAAATCTTTTATAGCAACAAATTTACGTTTTAATAAATAAATTAATTAACTCAGTAAAATCAGAAAATTTCCTTTATCTTTCTTGAATTTTTTCTAAAGAAAATCAAATTTTTATGAAATTAAAAATAACTTTAATCCCACAAAATAGGAAGATAATTTGGAAAATGATAAATTTATTTTAAAATTATTAGTTTTTATGTTTTGAAATAATAAATTTTGCGGAAGAAACTGAAAAGAAGGTTGTGAAATAAAGTAAACTTATTCTTTTTTCAAGAATAATAAAAGAATAAATTTTATCTTATTTTTAGTTCAAATTTTATGAAATTTCATAAATCATTAAACGAGCAAAATTCAAATTATGTTTATTTTTCAAAAATAAGTTAATTGAAAAAAAAAATAAACAAAAACGGTTTAAATCATAAAAAAAAATGATAATAATAATTTTATTTTTGTGAAAATGTAATAAAAAAAGAATTTCAATTAGTTTTTCCTTTTTCATTTTTAAGTAAAGTTTTTAATTATCTAAAAAGCTAAAATTAATTTCGAAAAACAAAATTATTAAAATGTGATTTATTAATAAATTGATCTAATTAAAATAAGAAGATTTTTTGATAACTTATAAACTTACAATAAAATAATTTTTACAAATTTTAATAATTTTAATATTTTTTTTGAATTAATATAAAAAAAATTTAAAAAAAAATATAAATATTGCATTTTATTTAAATAGAATTTATAATTATTATTGATGATTTAAAATTTTAGAAGAAAATTAATTGGTAGCATAGATAAAAAATATTTGACATTTAAAATAATTTTCAATTTTTTAGCAAATTTAATAAGATAATCAGTCTTACGAATTAACTAGTTGCAATTCTTAAGTTTATTTTTCTTCATCGTCTTATAGTGAATTTTATTCTACTATTTCTTAGTTCTAGCAGACAATTTTGTATTAAACTTCATAATTAATTGACAAAATCGCTTTTGTGTATGTTACAACATTTATAATGTTACAAAGACCAACAGCTATCCAAATACCACCTAATTTAAGATCAAAAGTATCACCCATAAGATATATAGCTGGCAATCCGATGATAAAAAAGCTAACTATTTCTGTTTATTTAACAATTTACTTTAATTCTACAGTTTATAGAAAACCTGACAATAGAACTTGTGTTCCATCTAAAGGTATTGTCATCAGATATATATATTTATATAAATGAATCAACTCAAGAGCTATTGGGTCTTAGGTAAATCCATGAGCCCAGTAATTTTAAAATGTAAATAAGGCTAAGATAAATAAGCTTTCGTAGCAAAAAAGTAAAATGAGAGTGTATTTTAAATATTCTTTTGTTCCTTCAAAATCTCTAGAAGCAAATGCAGTACCACTAAAGCTTATGAGTGCTTCTAAGAGGCCTATAATTCCTTTAAATACTATTGTATTTGTCATAGAAAAGCAAACTGCTGCAACTATATATTCATCTGAGAATTTTCCTGAGAGAATAATTGAAAAACTAAAGAATAAGCACTCCAAAAATATAATAAAGATAATTGGTCTAACATATTTTATTAAATCTATTAATTGTTGTCTTTCTTTTATCATATCCTTTATAGTATTTTAAATTGTTTGCACATAGCTCTATTCGCTTTGTTAAACTTCAAGCAAAGGTTAAATTTTAATGTTCTTGTTATTTTTGTTATAAACAAAAAGGAATAATACTTTTAAAAAATCATGCAAAATAAATAACATTCCTGCTTCATAAATTCCTACTTCGCAAATATGATGTATTAATTCACAAGCCATGGTAGTAACTATAAATGAAGCAGTTTAGAAATAAGCAAATGGGCCAAACACTTTCATTCCCAGAAGCTTTGAACGTTAAAATTCATATATTATAAAAAATATTCTACTGATAAAAATGAATGCTAATCCAATCATAGCTACATCAATTGTTTCTTATCTATAATTCAGAAGACCAAAAAGTGCATCGCAAAATAATAAGCATAAAAAAAATATAACAAGTCCTAAAATAGAGCAGAAAGATATGCTTTAATAGAGTAGGATATTGACATTTTTATTTTCATTGAGATTAATATTAGCAAAATATTATGAGTAGAGCATTTTCAAACCATTTGCAAAAGCATTGAAAACAGGATCCAATGTAATGACTAATATTGTTTATGCTATAGCTAAATTAAAAAATTAATGTTATCTATTTCATCTAAAAACTTATAAAAGTAAAAAAAGGATATATAAAAAATACTTATGCCGTTTTATTAAAGTGAAGGATTATTCGAGTTTATGGAAAGGTAGTGGACTATAACAAAATAAATCAGATTATTAAAGAGACACGAGACAGTATTAAATGAAGCACTCTTTAATAATTCTTTAATTTTCTTTTTATCAATTATCATTTTTAAATTTTGATGATCTTTTAATTTTTGATAGATTATCAGGTCTTTTATGGTTTGCTTAAAATCTGAGAATATTTAAAAATAATACAAAAAGGTTTTTATACAAATTAATTTTGATCAATAAATCCAATTATTAATTTTTTATAGCTATTTATTTTTAAATATCTTATTAGGCATTAATAGCGAAATATTAAATTTCGATTTAGTATTTTAAAAGTTTTGATTATACATTTGATTTTATAGAGGGTACATTTTTTTAATATGATTAATCAAAATATGTTAATATAAAAAAAGTTAAGCTTGGAATAATTCTAGTCAAACATTTATAATAATCCATTCATAATATTTGTCTATTAGTATTTTTCAAAATGATTATCATAAAAAGCTTTTTTCATATTATTATTAAAATCGGAATACTTAATTTAATGTGCGTTTAAAATCTAAAAAATTTAAAGTGTAAAAAAGAATCTTATAGAAACTTATTTAAATACAAATAAATACTTTTTAATAATTATTAAATATATTTTTTAAATTAATTTTAAAATTTATCATTTAACATTTTTAAGGATGAAAAAACAGAAATTAATATTTAAAGATATTTGATTTTTATTAATAATATTTTGGTATAGAGTTTATGCGTTTGATTTAATTTCTGTACGAAAAATCTAATAATATATTACAAAGATCAGGTAAAATAACTCTTCTCTTCAATTGTTTAAAACCAATTAAATCTATATCTAATAACTAAATTTAAGATATAATTTGATTTAGTTTTTCTTAAAAAAATATTTAAAAATGGGATAAAAATTTAAACCAAACTAGCAAAAATAAGATTCATCTGCTCAACAATTAGCTAATAAGATAACCATGAGGAAATCTGATAAAAAAACTAAAAGATTTTAAATTATAATAGCGATTTCAGGAATTTTAGGAGCAGCATTTTTATATTTATCGTTCATAAATACTTAAAATAAATCTAGAGTTATTTTGGTTGATGAAAATCCTGATTATTTTACTAGTGAGGCACCACATTATGGAAAGTAGTACCACATTAAAGACCACATCAAGCGCGAAGCCCACCCTGACTTCTAAAAGTATAATTAAAAAGTAAAACCTGAAATAGACATTGATTGGATAGAACATGAAAGAGAGGCTAGATATATTGTTTATAAGTTTTTAGAATACTCGAATATTACTTTAGATGAGTAAGTGCATTATGAAGGAAAGGAAATCAAATGGTCACCATATCTAAATATCATAAACAACAATAAATATTGCTTAAATAGTGACCTTTATCACCTAATGCATCCAGATTCAATAAATAAAAACTATTTGATTTTTAGTGGTAATAAATTTTTATTACTTTATATGTTTAATATAAAAATACGTTTTTAGATTTTAATATTTTTTCTTTTCAAATAAAAGATTATGACAAAACAACAATGTCTCGAGAAGTTGTTAGTGATTTTGGAATAGATTTATTACCTGAATTAGAAAATTTAGATTACTCCAAGTAATATACAGTAGGAACCAAAAATATGCCACTAGAGACAACATTGATTTATTCTTAAATATCAAGAATGCATCACTACTTTGAAATAAATAAGTAACTCTTTTGTAACTTTTAAATGGCAAATCACATACCAGGAAAGTGGTCAATAACAAATAAAGATGTTGTCATAGATAAATATAGAGAGTATTAACAAAAATAATTTATAGATCCATAAGTTTGTAAGAAAACAATGACCTATATGCCTAGGTCATTTAGGCTATATGATGAAAATGAATGCAAATAATTCTTTACTCATATTTAAAGTTAAGAGTATGAAGAATCTATGAAAAAATAAAGTTTTTCTTACCTCCTAAAACAAGGTGAAGACGTGCATAGAGGTGAAGGAGTTCATTTGTTTACTTCTAAATTAAGAGATGAAATTTTGTAAAAATATGATAAAGGTTCAAAGTGTGGTGAAATTTTGGATAAATTAATAGCTTAAAAGTAATTAAAATTGTTTTTAAAACTTTATAATTTAAAGATGCTTTTTTTTGTTGTTGTTAGCTGAAATTAAAATATTTATGATATTTATTTTTGATATTAAAAGATATATTTCAAACCCTTTAAAGTATGAAGGCCACAAGCTAGAGCTGAGAATGTACTTCTTAATAGCTAGTACTAATCCTCTTATTATATATGTTTAAAAGCAAAACTTCTTAAAAAAATGCTAATTACCCTTCGATATATAGAGTACAGAAAGAGCTTCACATATCTGTAATATTTCTGCCCCTAAAGGTTAATCTTAAAGTTCTGGCCTTGATATATTTTTAGAAGAGCTTACTGAGTACTATCTTGAAAAGGGAATAATTAAAAATCCTAAATGGTTAGAAGAAACAATATATCCTTAAATATACAGAGCTTTGGTTCATTTAGTTAGGAGTGGACAATAAAATTTGTTAAAAGACTCAAGATTCTTTGAAAGCTTTGCTGTAGATTTGATTATTGATGAAAACTAAAGAGTTTGGTTTTTAGAAAACAATCCTAACCCATAAATAATGAGACTGACATGGAGAAGAACTAGACGTAATTATATCATGTTTGGAGATATGTTTTAAATTTAATATGCTTATCTCAGATCTAGAGCCCTAAGATTAAATAGATTTGCTAAATTTCTTTTACCTTTATACTAACAGTATAAAACTCTTGATGTTTCCGATTTCGATAGAGGATTTAGAAGAGCAAACTAAAATGATCTTGAGCCTGAATTTGAAAATGAAATAAGAAAGGATTCTACCTACATTAAAGTATATGATGATAATCTTGAAGGAAAGAAGAAATTCATGGGCTTCTTGCCATATGAGTGCCTTTATTAAATTACAAATACTTAAACTGATAAAGATAAAGATTAAGAAAAAGATAAAGAAAAAGAAAAAGACAATGGTCAAAGTTGAATTCTTATAAAATTAATTCAATAAAAATTATTTTTAAAGAGTTGAAATTATAGAAAAATAATAAAGAATATATATTTGGTAATCATAATCATTTTTAATCAGTATTTTATTTTTAAATTATTATATATTTTAATCATTCTATAACAGATCTTATTTTATCAAAAACTCTGGATTTAATAACCTTTATCTAAAAAGCATATTTGAAAAAAGTTTATGCTTTTAATTCTCAAAAAAGCAATTAAAGTTTCTTTAAAAATAGATTTTTAATAAAAAAATAATTTAAATTCATTAATTGAATATCATAAATAAAATATTTTTATATTCCAAATAAATGTAAATAGAAAACACTTTTAAAACTTAATTTTTAAATGGAATTTTGAATAAAATATAAAACAGGCTAATATGATCAAAGAAAAAACTTTTTTTTATTTACGCAATTAAATGTAATATGATAATTTTTTGTGAAAAACTTGATACCATCATTATACTGGAATGAATTACCCAATTTTTCCAGAAGTCTTTGGTCACGACCAGTTAAAATAGCAAGTATATTTTCACAATCAAATCAATTTTTCAATAGATCCATATCATAAAATAAATAAAGGACAATCCCTTCCGATCCTAATTAGTTAGATAATATACTAAATAAGTAGATTAACAAACTAATAAATTAATTAATAACCATTACCTTCTTATTTTAAAAGAAGCTTAAAAAAATATTTATTTTGAAAGGCTCTAAAATAAAAAATATTTATTTTAATTGGCTTTTCTATAAAATATTTGATTATGATAAAAAACTTAATTTCACAGTAAAAAAAGAAAATTTTAATTATTTTTTAAGCTAAAATTAATTGGATGATTATTTAATTATTTGTTTTTAAAAAAATAAGATACCAATTAATACCAAAATTATTCGATGATTACTATTTTAACAAAATTAATTATTATATTTATTGTTGTGTAAACTGAAACAAATATTATTTTTAATCAATCGAACTTAAATATTAAATTAATTTAGAATTGAGCAAATGAACAAATAAGCTTTATACTATATACATTGATTTTTTTCATAAATTAAATAGGTTTATTTTAAATAATTTTGCTTCATTTTTCATATTTTTATGAAGATAAAATAGGACTAAGTTCAATTTATTGAATTTCATCACTCTTTGAAGAGCATGTTCCGTTCATTTATTAATTTTTCTATGCTATACCAAACTATAGATCATAGTCTATATTTTATATTTATTGAATGTATTTGTATAAATTTATAGAATTGGATATTCCTATTGCTAGCCATAATCCTCCAAGTTTCAATCCACTTAAATCACCTAGAATAAACATTAGTGGAATTCCTACAAAAATATAACTGAATAAAGCAACTTTAGAAACAAATACCTTTTTCTCTAAAACTTACAAGTAAGCAGCTAGAAGGATCTAAGTTCCGTCTATTGGTACTGTAATTAAATATAAATACTTGTAGAATTATATATTATCAATAATATTTTGATCCAAAGTAAAACATCTAGCCCATAGATTAGAAAATGTTATTAAACATATTATAAATACTGCTTCATAACTCAGCAGTATGACAATAGTGTATCTTAAATACTGCTTTGTACTCTCAAAATTTTTTGCAGCAAAGGAACTGCCACAAAAGCTTATTGCTGACTCTGATAACCCCAAAATACCTTTTAGAATTAAATTATTTGTAATAGAAAAGCAAACAGCAGAGACTATATAATCTTTTGAGTATCTTCCTGACAAAATAACAGAAGTGTTAAAAAAGGTATATTCAATATACAAAGTAAGAATTAAAGGCCTTACATACAATAAAAGATCATACATTTTTTACTTTTCTTAGATAATTTAAGAAAGATTAAATCTGCAATTTTGATCCTCTTCTTAATTAATCTAATTTTCATCAGAATTTAATAAAGAAGTTTGTGATAAGACTTTTTTTTACTCCCTTTACTGAAGAATATAAATACTTAGCAGGAAAATTTTTATTATCTCATGTAAAATCATAAAAAATCCAGCCTCGTGTATCCCTATATCACTATAAAAAGAGTATATTAGACAAATAAAAGTTGCTAGACCGAATGCAGTAGACTAAAATACTGCAAAAGGACCAAATAACTTTAACCCAATCAACTAGGCTCTGATAAATTCATAATTAACTAGTAACATCCTACTAATTATTAGATAAACTATTCCTACATAAGTCATTGAAATTATTTCTTCATCATAATTCATGAACCTAAGAATATGGTCACAAGTAAAAAATAGAACAAATAGTAAAATGACTCCTAAGCATATGCAAAACAAAATACTTTGATAAAGTAAAAGATTTTTATTTCCTTTTATTTAGTTATAATTAGCAAAAAACTAGGAATAAAGCTATTTAAGTCCATTAGAAAATGCCTATATAACAGGTCCAAAAGTTATTTCTACTATGCACATTGATATGCCTTTTAAATTAATTATTTAAATTGAATTTAAATAAAAAAAATAATTTTACTAATCCCATTCTAGTTTAAGGAAGCATTATTCTTACTCAAAGCCATGAAATGAAGAATGACTAAATATATCAAATTATTGCAAAGATTTGATATTGCATTAAAAGAAGCACTTTTTATAATATCAATTACTTTACTATTTATAACTATCATCTCTTCCTTTTTCTAAATTTAAAAATTTGCATAATAAATTAAAAAAAATAATTACAATCATTAAACATTTAAATTTTGTAAAGTTTATATCAAATTAAATCAATAAACAAATACATTAAATTAGATTGTCCTCCAGCTTATATAAAATCTTTAAAAGAATTTAGTTACACATCAATAATTTATTTATTCATATAGCTTTTATTAAACTCAAGCTATTATTACAGCTAAAATAAGTATTTTGATCATGGAGAATTTTAAAATATTATTTCATAAATTTAGCTCTATTTCAAAATTGAATGATGAAACCAATAAAATATGAATTTTTAAATTAATTAATTAATTCGTTGCGTTATTTTAACATTTATTGAAGCTATTTTTTTTATAACAAAAAACGTTTGATAGCCATAAATTAATTATTAGTGAATTAACTTACTTTTATAGGATAAAGAAATGCTAATTAATTATTGCTTTCTCGATAAAAAAATATCTTAATTATTTAAAAAATTTTCATGTTAAAAAATAGAGAAAAAGTATCAAGTATAAATTAAATACAAATAATTTAAAAAAGATGTGAAGATTTTAATAATATCTTAATAAAGCTTAATATTTTTATAGGTACTTATCTTCTTTGTTTTTTAAGTAAAGTATGATAACAATTTTAGCAATACCTTTTATTGCTAGTTAATAAATTATATGAAAATATGTATTTACTTTGATTTCTGATCTTACTTAAAATAAATTCATTCAACAAGTTTATAATCAAAAAATAAATTTCAATTTATTGAATGATTGAATCTAATTTCAATAGAAGAAGTATAAATTCTGTTTATTTGATATTTAGATAAAAATATTTTAGATAAATTGATACTCTTATTAAATATAGTTTCGAAAACTTTTTTTAGTTAATATTATGTAAGTAGACTAAATTTAAATAGATGTAAATATTCATATTTTCTAAAAGTATATCTGATAAATATTTATGTCAAATAAAAAATATTTGTTTGATTCAAACAAAAATTAAATATCCAACTCAAGCATTAAGATTTTATTATTCAAGCAAGTAAAAAATATTGAAACATTTTTATAAAGTAGAAAAATGGTAATATATTTATGTTTAAATTGTAAATTTTTGATTTGTGGAAGATTTATGTTGTATTTACTTAATAATATGAAATAACACTTTTTATATTCACACAAATTTATTATTGATAATTGTTGAGAAAAAATGTAATTTTATTGATGATTAATAATAAATCCTATCAAAATATATTTTTGCTAACAAACATCAATAACATCACCTTCTGAATGGCTCAAAAATAAATAATAAATTGATTAATGAATGGATCAATTTAAAACAGGGATATAAATGAATTTTTAAAAATTTTTTACATTATATTTAAATTAAAATAAAATTAGACACGTTAATGAAATAAAATATTTTGGTTAAAAATTCTACATTTAAATTGATCAAAGCAAAATCCTCAATAAAAATTTTAAATATATAAATTTAAATGAATTAAAATAATTATGAAACATAAATCATTCAAATATTCTATCAAAAAATAATTTATTCACAAATATATTTGTAAATTTTTAAAATAATCTACAATGAATCAAATTAAAATAAAAGCGATTTAGTTTATTATGACTGTTACCTTTAGACAAAAATAAATTATTTGGTTTATTGTGGACAAAAATCAAATTATCCTTCTATAATATTTTTTTTATAATTTACTCTTTACTGAATAGGCCAAAATAGATTTTTTTAGAATAGTATTTGACCCGTGATCATTCATTTAATCAAGATAAACATAAATATATATTCTTAGCAATAAAATTATTTATTAAGTCCTCAACCTATTTTTTAGAAACAAAAAACATACTTATAATCATAAATTTTATTACAAACATGAATTTGCATAAAATCTATTTCGAGCAAAATTAAATTGTAAATTAAGATTAACATATTTTCAATTTTTGTATATTTAATTAAAAAATGTGTGATCATTTTTGTATTCAATTAAAGAAAAAAATTTTCAAAAAAGTTTGATACGTTTGTAGAACTAATTAATTAATGAGCTTTTAAATAAAATAATAATTTAATTATTTTTAACCAAAAATAATCAAGTGAGCCTTAATTATTTTTAACCAAAAATAATCAAGTGAGCCTTAAATAACAATGACTAAGTATTAAGTTAATTATTTTAATATATTATTGATAATTTTTATTATATATATTTTTATTGAGCAATAAGTAAATTTAATCACTATCAATCTATTTGAAATAAAAATAGTAATTAAACCAAAGTGATATGGTTCTTCGAGTTTTATTTAAGCTTTTTATTTTTTCCTTTATTTAAGAAGAAGTACATTTGAAACATTTAACTTTTTTTTACTCCATTTGTTATCCTAAAACTAAAAATATAATTTAATTTTTGATAGTATTTTTTTTGTTCATAAACAGCTATTGTTACATTTGTAGAAATCAATTTAATTATTTCCTAAGCTAACTATTTTTAATTTGAGGATCATAATATCTTAAAATTAATTTTTCTAATCTTTAACGCATTTAAATTATGATAATTTTGGTGAGAAAAATCATAATTAATTTTATAGTAATAATTTTTGCTGAATTAAAAATTAGAAAATAAATAATAAAATGTAAGAAGATTAGTAACAAAATACTTAAATTCCTTAGACTCACTAGGATGTTTAATAAACAGATACAAATTAATAGCCTTTATAGCAAAACGCTCTTGCTTTGCAATAACTCCAGATGATTTTTAATCCTGTTCATCAACCAAATGGGGAGAATTAACCAGTTTAAATTGACTAAGTTACAGCAGAATAAATTAATAAGATGCTGCAAGAAGAGCTGAAGAAAGTGAATTTAGGAGGTCTAATGTAATAACCATCTATGTGCTAAAGAATATGCTCACTATTTTTCTCAGTTTTTTTAACTGTATCTATATCAATAGTTTTTGGAGTCCTTTTATGGGTATTTTAAGACTAAGGAGATAAAAATGACTACTGCGAGCATGATGTTCTCAAAAAATGGGCCTAGGCTACTGCAATTATGCTATTTATCAATTCTGGAGTTTAAACCATAAAGATCATTGATAACATTTTCCTTAAATCATAGTTTGATACTAAAGGAAAACTCTATTACTTAACTAGACCATTAGAAACTTTACTTGCCATAGGAATATTTGCTGCCACTATTGGATTGACTGTAAATAATAGTAGTGATTGTGGTTAATTCTACAAGCTTGTTTTAGCCTACTACATTATTTATTATATTTTTTTGGGTATTGGTATATTAGCTTTATTAATATTCTTATGCATGTTCTTGAAAAGGAGCTGAAATTTAAATAATGAAACCATTTAAAATGTATTCTCTATCAATTTATTTTTGCATATCTTTTGTATATTTTATTTCTGAAGTTTTCGATTATTTATTTTAAGATTGATGTATATTATAAATAATTATTAATTGATTTACCAATAAGCTTAACAATTTGGCTCTATATCCAATAAATTCTTAGTTATTCTTTAACAAATGTTTTCTAAAAAATCTATCTATTATTTAAGATGAAAAAACTAATTTTAATTTATTTACTATTTTAACAAAAGGTAAATAAAATAAAAATAAAATTAATATTATTATTTAAAAATTAGTTTTTACTTCTACATTTCAATTTTATTGGTAACAAAATTATTTATTAATATATATTAAATAAATAAATATTTAATCTTAAATTAATTATTGCTTACCTGCTTACCTTTGTTTGAAGAAATATTATAATTCTAATTTATATTTCTTAGCAAAAATTAAATTTTTGAATGAGAATAGATTTTGCAACTAAATTATTAAAAAAATTAAATAGTTACTTTAATCGCTTAAAAAGTATAGTAAAGATTATAGGATTAAATTTAGGATATATAAATTTCAAACAACTTAAAATCAATAGAAGATAAGATTATAATAAAATAATCACATAAAGATAATAAATGTAAGAATAATAATTTTAAATTGAATCATTTCAGTTTTTATTTTTATAAATAAAATGAAAAAGTTTTTTTGTAAAATTATATAAAAATATTATTTAATAAATATTAAAAAGACCTTTTTAAATTAATTTTATGTCAATTTTTTAATTTTAGTTTAAAGTAGAAACAAAACAACATACTTCATGACTTCATAAATTTATTTGAAATTTTAATTTGATAATTAGCTTGAATTTGTGTTTAGTCTATTTCGAGCAAAATAATATTGTAAATTATGTTAAACATATTTTTGTTAAAAATTTTGGGATAATTTTTTGATTCAATTAAAGAAGAAAAAAAATTCTTCTATAGCATTAAATTGATACAAAGAAAGAGAGGATTCTGTAGTAGATTAAAATAAATGATGAGCTTTTGAAGAATATGATAATTCTATTTTAAAAAACATTACTTCATATGAGCATTTAAAAATGAAGAAGTTAGTATTCAGAATATCATTTTAAAGCATCATGTTTATTTATTCTTATTTGATTCATTTTGTTTAGAAATCAATAAATTGTATCAAGTGTAATCAGACTTAAAAAAATAGTGATTAAGTTTTTTTCAAGCTAAATTTCTTGAAAGAAAAGATAAAAAAACTTAAAAATTTAGTATATATTTAAAGAAAAATTTATTACAAACAGCTAACAGTTATTTTAGTTTTTTTGTTCTCCACAAATTAAATAATAAATTTGTATAATATTTTTCTTATTCTGAAATGCTATTGTAAGACATTTGAAATTAATTCAAACAACTTCTAAGTTAATTATTTTTACTCTTCAGATCATATTATCTAGAAAAAAGTTTTTTTACTTTTTATGGATTTAAATTATGTTTGGTATGATGATAAAATCATAATTATTTATATCATAATAGTTAGTTTTCATTGAATTAAAAATTAGAAAATAAAAAATAAAATGCAAGTAGATTTGTAATAAAATACTTAACCTCCTTAGACCCACTAAGATGTTTAATAAACAGAGACAAATTAATAGCCTTAACAGCAAAACGTTCTTGATATGCAATAACTCCAGCTGATTTTTAATCCTTTATAGCAACAAAATGGGTAGGATCATCAAGGATAAAATCAGTAAATTACAGCAGAATAAATTAATAAGATTCTACAAGAAGAACTAAAGAAAGTAAATTTACAAGGTCTATTATAAAAGCCATCTATGTGCCAAAGAATATGCTCACTATTTTTCTCAATTGTTTTAACTGTATCTATATCTATTGTATTTGGAGTCCTTTTATGGGTTTTTTAAGACTAAGGAGATAAAAATGACTATTGCCAGCATGATATTCTCAAAAAATGGGCCTAGGCTACTGCAATTATGCTATTTATCAATTCTGGAGTTTCAGTCATAAAGATCATTGATCAAATTTTCCTTAAATCAGAATTTGATACTAAAGGTAAGCTCTATTACTTAACTAGACCATTAGAATCTTTACTAGCCATAGGAATATTTGCTACTACTATCGGATTGACTGTAAATAATAGTAGTGACTGTGGTTAATTCTACAAGCTTGTTTTAGCCTATTATATAATTTATTATATTTTTTTAGGCATTGGTATTTTGGCTTTATTAATATTCCTATGCATGTTCTTAAAAAACAGATGAAATTTAAATAATTTAACCATTTAAAATGTATTATCTACCAACTTATTTTTGCATATATTTTGTATATTTTATTCTATGAAGTTTTCTCTTATTTGTTTTATTATTGATATATATTATAAATATAATTAATAAATTTACCAAAAAATTTAACTATTTGATTCAATATCTAATAAATTCTTAGTTATTCTTTAACAAATGCTTTATAAAAAATCTATTTTTTAAAATATAAAAACTAATTTTAATTTATTTACTATTATAACGAAAAGTAAAAATAATAAAAATAAATTAAAATTATTATATAAAAATTAGTTTTTATAATTATTAATCTTCTAATTTTCAATTTTATTTAGTTGTAATAAAATTATTTATTAAAACATATTAAATAAATATTTCATCTTATATTTTTAAGAAAAAAAAAATTAATTTTTTTTATGGTGGTTTTTACTTTTTTTTTTCCTATCCTAAGTGTACACAGATTTACCCGTGAGTTCATATTCACTTATATCTTTTATCTTATATCTAAAATATTTATTTTCTCTTATATAATTTGTTCAAATTTTTGTAGTAAAGTTGAATAAAATTATCATATAATTGTCATAATAGTTAAGAATAACTATAAATTAGAAATAAGCAATAAAATGTCAGCAAATTTGTAATAAAATGGATAAATCCCTTAGACTGAGGATGCTTAAAATGCAGAAACTGTATAATAAATTCAGCAGTAGGAGTCTCTTAATAAGCAACAACTCTTGATGATTTTAAATCCTTTGATACAACAAGATGGATAGCGAAATCCAGATTAAAATGAATAAATTACATAAGAATAAATAAATGAAATTCTATAAGAATAATTCAAAAAGCTTAATCTAGAACTGTATTAAGAAAAACCATCATTATCTTAAAGAATATGCTTTTTTTTTTTGTATTTGGTTTTAAATATGTCTGCATCTGTTGTTTTTGGAGTACTTATGTGGGTTTTTTATGACTAAGGGGATAAAAATGATTACTGTGAGCATGACGAACTCAAAAAGTGGGCATAGACTACTGCAATTATGCTATTTATCTTATCAGGAGTATAAGCCATAAAGACTATTGATGACATTTTCCTTAAATCATAATTTGAAACTAATGGAAAACTTTTTTGTATTACTAGACCATTAGAATCTTTACTTGGAATAGGATTATTTGTTACTACTATTGGATTAACTATAACTAATAGTAGTGATTGTGGTTAATTTTACAAGCTTGTTTTAGCTTTCTGCATAGTTTATTATATTTCATTAGGTTTTGGTGTAATTATTTTAATAATATTTTTATGTAAATTTTTATAAAATAGTTGATTTTAATCTATAAATTTTATCTTAAACATTTTATATAATTTATTTTCAAAATCAGCTAAATGGATAAAAGTTCTTTAGAAAAAAAGTAATAATCTTTTATCTAATTTTTAAATTAATTTGGTTAATACTATTAGTTTAAAGAATAAAAATCAAATTTATTATTTAGCTAACTAAGTGTTTAATTTACAATTCTAAACAAACATTAAATGTTTTAATGATAATTGAATTCAATTATTATTTAATTTACCAATAAAATTAAAATACTTATTTGTATTGGCTTTAAATAAATTATCTTAAGTTCTTTACCATTGATTTTTTAATTAAAAAAAAAAAGATAAATTTCAATCAGATTAAGATCTATAAAAATAAAAGGAATATTAATTTTATTATAAAATAGCCAAATATAACCAATTTAAATTAGCATAGCATATTTAAATATCAATAAAATCTATAAATAAATCTAAATTTTATCATAAAAATGCAGAATTCTACTTTTTATGGAGCTTTTTCAGTTGGATAGTCATAAAGAAGTAAAAAATTGAAAATTGCACATGTTTATAATATTTATAAAATTAAATTAGGTAAATGGTATATAAATTAGAATAAGGATGTTCCATCTCCTATTTATAATGTTAATTTAAAGAATAAACCTTCGTCTCCAAGAATCAAGTAAATAAAAATTATTTGAGAAATGAATTATTAGCTTTTTCTAATTGATTTACATTAGAATAGGAAAAGGAGATAGAAGTTCTATTATTGATCAAAGAAAAATACCAGGACCAGGATAATATGAGGATTTGACAGTATTTTATTTTTCTTGAAAGATTAATAAAAATAAATTCATTTTATATCAATCATCCTCATTTATATATTATTTAGGCAAAAGAAAATTATAAAAAAGGAGTAAAATTGTTAGGAAAAAACTATATTGAACCTTCATATGATAATGTGAGTCCTACTAAATATAGTCCAAGGACAAGAGTTATATACAAGACTTAACCCAGCTTTTCTTTTACATACAGGTAAGGAGAAGTTTGGGCTAAAGATACTCCAGGTCCTAACCACTATTTTTAAAATGATACTACTTTTGAGATGTATGAGATATTAATTAATTTACAAGTGTTTTTATTAAATTATTTATTTATTTATTACTAAAGAAATGCTAGGAGTACAAGCTAAACAAATGGAAATAGTATAAGCGAGTTAGATCAATCTTAAGGAAATATATCAAAAAGGCATAGAAAAAGTGTAGATCCGTAATTTTGATTCAGTTTTTTATTTCTTATAAATAGTTCTTTTATTTTCTTAGCAATAGCCTTTATAACAAAGGATTTACTACTACTGAAAAATTGTAGCTTCATGATAATAAAGTTCCAGGAGTAGGTTTATATCAAATAGAGAACCCAGATATAAGAGTTAAAACACCGGCATATGTGTAAAAAGATTTATATTAATAAATAAACAAATACTACCTTTAAAATTTTTATTAATAGATTTGGAAAATCAAAAAGATCTTGTTCATATGCTGAAACGTCAACATCTTAGCAAAAAAGTGAATCAATATGGGAGTAACCATTTTAACATGTATCGTAAGCATATAGATATTCTATTGGAAAATCAGAAAGAGTCAGTTTAGCTTTTTCTGTAAATAACAATAACCCAGGCCCAGGATGTATGATAAATTTATTAATGATGTTATAGAGTTATAAATGCTAATATTAATTTATGTAAAGAATATGAACCTAAAGCTATTCAAAAGAATATCGGAATTTCTATTGGACCAACAGCCAATCAAGCTTATGACGAAAGGGAATATGATGAAAAAAATAGAGAAGAAAGAAAAAGAAAAGAAAGGATAGATGAAGTTTTAAAGTAAAGGAGGATACCTCTACCAGGCCCATAATAATATTAAGAAGTTTATGCTTTAGATAGAAAGATGTTAGAATTAAGAATGAAAACACCCTAGAATATGGAATATAATGAAATAAAAAGAGCTTACTTACACTTAAATGATAATCCAGGTCCAGGAGACTGTAAAACAATATAAATTAATTTTCTCATCATATGTATTTAAATATATTTATATAATTTAAGATCAATAAAACTACTAAGTCATAAAGAGATAATCACCTTCTTTTCACATATAAGAGAGACCATAAACATAAAGAAGAGAAATAGAAGAAAACCCAGGTCCAGGAGAGTAATTTAAATTTTTTACTTTTAAAATAAGTGATAAAATTATACTTTATAAAATAGATATGAACACATTGATACCTTTTCAAAATCGTAGGGTCCTTTTTTTAAAATAGGAAGAGGCTAAAGATCAAATCCCATTAGAAATAAATATAAAGTTGGGCCTGGATCTTATTTGATAAATAGAGATGAAAAAGGTAACAGTTATTCTATTGGAAATCAAGAAAGATTTAGCTTTAAAAGCAAGAAGTAGCCAGGACCTGGATAATGTAATTTAATTAAGATTAAAATTGAAATAAATTGAAATTTTTAAAATCTAGATAATATTTCTGGAGATATCGGTAAGCTTCCAGTATATATGTTGAAAAGATAGCAGAAGAAGAATGATAGTTTAAATAAAACATTTAATTTCAATAACTACAGTGAAACATAATCAATCATTCACGAATCTAGAATGAATAAAAGTGCTGCTAAAACATAGAAAAGTCTACCACTATCAGAAACTCAAAGTATCCAAAAATCACAGCCATAATCTCCAACAAGAAACAACTAAAACTTTGAAATAATTACAAATCAATAAAATAATAATAATTGAAATAAATAATATTCAAATTAAAAAAATGTATTAAATTAAATTATATATAATTAACTAACTAACTATCAAGTGTATAAATAAATTATTTAATAATTTGTTAACAAAAATTTATAAGTAATCAATATCATCTAGAATACTTAAAAAAAAAAAATATCTTTTATTTGTTTAGTAATCATCAAAATATATTAGTGTTGTTAATTCCTAAGATAATCAAATATTTATATAAAAGTTAATAGCTATGTCGATAAATCCATCGTTTTAAAATTATTTGTTAAAATACTAAGTCAATGATGAAGATGATTTATTTAAGATTGTTTATAATAAAAAATTTGAGAATAAGCTATTTCCTAATACAGAGAAGTTATAATTGTTAGATGATAGAAATGAAGATTAGATTGAAGAAGACTACTTGAAATATAAGTAAGATACTTATTTTTATTTCATATCATCTGCCGCTTTAACTATCCCCACTGCAATCGGAGTTCTTATAAATCTCTATCTAAATAAAAATATATAAAGCGAAACCCTAAAGATTTAGCGCTAGTTAAAAGTTATTGGAGGTTTTGGTATACCTTCTTTTATATTATTTAATATTGGGGCATATCGCAGATTCTTTAAATAATATGAACCTGAAGTTCTTCTAAGAAAAAAATATTCAGCTTATCTTTAGAAGAGAGAAGTAAGAAAGAATTATTGAACAATTTTAATAAGTAAAGTAGGTATATATGTATGATTTCTGTTTATTTCTTTCATAGTATTTAGTTTTTTAGATAAACAATTAAATAAAATGCTATAAGCAAGTAATAGATTAAATTTAATAAATAAAAAAATATAATCATTAAATATTGTTTTCATTTATAATTTCAACAAAATAAATTTAAGATGAAATAATTAATATCTTGATTTTCATATTATAAATTTATGTATTTTTAAATTAAAAAATATTATTCATCTAATAGTAGAAATATAAATTGTAAGGCTATATAATCTATAAATAAATAGATTTATCATGTAAAAAAGTAGCTTTAAGATGAAATAAAATATATTATTCATTAATTATTATAAATTTTAAATTTGCTATTAGTCTAAAAGAAAGGAAAAAAATTTTAGATGAAATTATTTTTACAAATATACTTGATTAAAATTTAAAAAACATAAAATTTAATATAAGTTCATCTTATGCATTTGAAGCTAAAAATAAGCAAATAGAATAAAAATTAATTTATGAGTAAACACAATTTGTAAATCAATTTAAAAGCTAAAAAAATTTAAAGTGAATTTTGATAATAATTTAATCATTTTTAAGTTTATTTTTATAATGATTTAATTAACAATAATTATATTTATATATTTTTTACTATTTAATTATTATAAATTTTAAGGTTTATATTTTGGTTAATCTAATTTAAACATTTATTTACTTTTTTTATTAGGCTTTTGTTGCATTTATTAATTGAGAATAAAATTAACTATATTTTAATTAATTAATTATTTTTTTTATTTATTTTATTAAAATTAATTAATTTGCTAAAATGAATAAATAATTTAATGAATTTAATAGCTATTAATTCACTTCTTTAATACCATTCAATTTTTTTAATTTACTAATTTAATAATTTAATAATTTACTATTTTTCTTTTTCAATTAATCTTACTCATGTAAGAATTAAGTTTTTCTGTTATTATCTTAAAATTAACAGGCTTTGTTAAAAAATCGTCAGCGCCACCTAACATTGCTTTTTAATACTCCTTTTACTTTTCATCAAATCCAGACACTATTATAATCTTCGAAGGAACTAGGTTATTTTGCTATTCATACATCCTAATGAGCTTTGTTGACTCATATCCATTCATAATAGGCATGTTGTAATCCATTAACACAAAGTCAAACTTTTATTTTTAAAACTTTTCAAAGGCATCTTTGCCATTATATGCTTCTGTGATTGTTATTTGCTTAAAATTTTTTAGGACTATCTTAAATGCCATAATATTAAATGGTTGATCATCTACGATTAGCATACTAAATTAGTTTTAAACATCAGCAGATTTAGGTGTATCTTCAGTGTTTATTGCTTTAACAAGGCTATCTTTTTCATAGAGCTATTTTATATTTGGGTGTGCATTAGAACAAGGGAGTGAATTAACAAGTAGTTAGGAATCTTCTATTTAATCTTCTTCTTTTAAAGTATAATTTTTTTTAATGCTTTTAGCTAGATCGTGGAATACAGATTTGCTATTAATATCTGGGGATTCATCAGACTCATCTGATAATGAGTGATGAGTGTTATTGATATCTCTCAGATCTTTGTAGACCTTAAATGTAAATTTAGATCCTTTTGAAACTTCTGATTCTACATCAATATGATCTGATGGTCCTAGAAAAGTAACTAGCCTTTTACATATTGTCAATCCTAAACCTATTCCATTCTTATTCAGACCTTTTTAATCGAAAGTATTAAAAACCTTGAAGAGTTGAGACTTAATATGAGGATTCATACCAACTCCCGTGTCTTTAACCGAAAATTCAACTATTTTGATATTGGAATTTTCTTCTAGATCTTTTATTTCACAGCTTATTTCAATGTAACCCTCTGTAGTAAATTTCAAGGCATTGCTTATCAAATTAATTAAAATTTGCTTAATCCTATTTTTATCTTAATGCATATGAATATTTTTAGTCTATTCATTCATATTGACTTAACTTTGCATCTCATTATTAGTTACTAAAGAGTTGTTATGATTTCTATTTGTTTGAATCAATTATTAATGAATTAGGATTGGCTGGCTTGGAGCGTTATAGACATTCAGATATTGATTAGCAGTATTTAATCCTAAATTGTTGTTGTTATAATTCGAGCTTGTATTTACAGAAGAATTGCTTGAACGATAAATATTTGAGATTAATTTAATATTTTTTTAATCTGCTTACATTTAGAAGAGATTGATAACTTCCTGAATAATTTCAGAAACATAAAAATATTATTAGACAAGACGAAGTTTTCCTTTTTTGATCTAAGAGTAGTCTAGTATATCTTAAATCAAACACATGAGAAGATTGGAATTCTCTAGAATCATATTAATTGTTTATTCATTATACTATTTTTCTAATTTCATTCCTTCAACCATCAAGGTTATACAGTTAAGAGGAGTTTTTAGATCATGTGTTACGTTGGCAAGCATTTATTAATTTTTCATCTATGCTTCCTTTAGTCTTTCATATTTTATCCTCTAATTAATATTATTTACAATCAGCATTATTGATTCTTCTTTATCCATCTCGCATTCAAATAATTTTATTTCGAGATATCGTCTGTCATCCCCTTCTTCATCTTCATCATCATCGACTTTGCTTTTATTTATTTGCTCTCCTTAATCTATTTAATTGTTATTTACATTACTTTTAACTTTTTACTCTCTTGTAATTTCTAAAATGTTCTCATCGATTTTTTTTGCTACAAGATTATGACCGTTGTTTGAAATTCTTCTGACACTCTTGTTTTACTTATTTTAATTTTCTTAGATGTTATTGGTTTGTGTTGTGAATTGAGTTATCCTTTAACTCATGGATGGACTTCTAATATTGTTATAAGTATCAGTGTTTTCTAAGTTAGAAGGATATTGAGTTTATATCTTTTGAGCAGCCTTTTTTTGAAAGGTAGATGGAATCAAAGTTGTATTTTAATAAGCTTAAGGTTTAACTTCATAATTGTCTTATTTATTGAAATATTAACCATTTTTGTCAGATTTCAAGTTAATAAAATTGTTATCAGGGTTTATTTTATCGCTTTCAAGTGGTTAATTAGCATATTCATGAATATCATTATCCTGTTCATGCTCAGTGTTAGTATGATTACTTTTGGTAATTTGTATTTCATTATTTTAATTTTAATTTATTTTGATCTAAGCATTTCTTAAAGCTTATTCGACAGAAGTACTTGTATTCTGTTAAACATTTTCATTTTATGAGAATATTTAATTATTATTTTCTATTTTATCATCATTAATTTGTAAAATATTATTAATTGACTAGAACCTTAACTGTTTTTAAGTTTCTGGTATGCTTCCAATTTTTTGATTTGAAGGATATTAATTATTACTTCTATTTTTTTATTCCTAAGATAGGTTTTTATCATCTTTTCTATATTCCCAAATCACTAAAGACTGTTTATATTAAGAGTCATCTATGATATTTCTTTGAGAAAAAGATAAGCTCTTTTCTTTGTGCTGCAAGTATTTTTAGTGGTAATAATTAATCTTATCTAATAGTGTAATCACGTTATCACCACAAGCTAAACCTGGTGAATTTTAAAAAGAACTACCTTTATTTTTATTAAAACTCTCTATCCTATTTCTAGAAGTAGGAATGTTAATTGCTCTGCTGCTACCTTCTCTATTTGTTAATGTGCTGCCTTAGTTTTATTTTGCTGAAATTTTATTGGTATTGATAACTATTTCATTAAACTATTACAAGCTTGAATTTTGATTTGAAATCTTAAAGAAATTTAGTTCTTTTTTATTTGAAGACTGGTCTTTATTTATATTCAATTACAATTTAATTTTTTCTTATTAATTTTCGTTTTATTAAATACAATCGGCTGACTAAAATTTATCACTTTTATTGATACCATTTTTAGGTTCTAAGCTTTAATTATTTAATTTATTTACGCTTACTAAAATATTTTGAGAATTGTGTTCTGTTTAAGAGGAAATATTAAAGCTATGCTGAATGCTTGAAGGAAAATTAGTATAATTATCAAATCCACTTCTTTTATTACTTTTGAGTGGTTTAGGTAAATTATGTACTTAATCTCCTTTTTCTTCTTAAATAATGTTTGTTGATTCAGCTACACTGTTTAAATCCTGTGGCCCCTGTTCATTTAATTACTTGTAATCTGTGCTTTGAGGTAATTTATGTATTTTTAGCATAGGTTTTATTTAATTCTAATTAGTTTTTGCTATAAAATTGTTCAGTAGATTATTTTATTAGTTTGATATTTATATTTCAGCTTTTATATCTTTTATGGAATGTGGAATAACTTCTTTTTAAATATCATTTTCTGTTGTTTGTTGCTTTATTTAGACAGAGTCTTTAATACTAAATCTATTTACTTCATTATCATTAGCATTTTTTAATTTGCTTGCATGAATAAGAGGAAGAATGCTAAGAGCTTCAGAGGCTTAAATATTGAATTGATTAAGAAAGCAATTATTTACATACTTCACCTCTAAGTCACCTACAGAAAGAATGTTCTGAGGTTTTTTAGGAGTAATTATCATTATCCCTTACTAAATATCATTATCAAGAATTTTTTGAAGCTCAATATATCGTAATTATTCTTTGCGCTTGCTTTGATAACATTAAATATTATTTTACTTTAAAACCCATAGAAATATAACAATTAGCATAAATGAGATAGCAAAAAAAGTTACTCCTATAATGTCCTATTTAAGAGTAGCTTCATTCCAAAATCTAAACCCAATAATTATTCTTGTATAACCAAATGTTAGAGTGATTAATCTAGCAAAATTTTAATTGTTAACAACAAAATAGCAAAAGTAAATTTAAATTTCTACAATTGTCACTGATTTTTGTAAAATTTATGATGATAATTGATCAATATAATTATAATATGAGCCAATCCATAAGAAAATCAGAGATAGAAAATATAACTCCCTAAATTTAGAAGCCTTTCTATTGAGCTAAGTGTAACACAAAAGATTAACAATAATTGATAATAGAGTACAGACTATGATTCTAATATTTTAGCTAGTTTCATCATACTCAGTAGATATAAGAATAATTAATTAGAATAAAAAAAGAAACAAAATGGCTAAAATATTAAGATTTTTGAGAGAATCAGCATGTATATAATCTCTCGCTTATTCCTCTTGTAATCCTTTAAATAATACATTCTAATAAAGTCTTTTCCATTTTGATTGATTCATCTACTAAGCTTGCTTTTGTGCTTTACAAAAACTTCTTATCTATAATATTAAATGTTTATACTTTTGTCCTTATAATATTTCTATAGCTTAAATATATAAAATTTCTTAATTACTATTTTTTTTAGCAAGTTAATTCCATGTACTATGGTTTATGATATTAAATAACAAAGATATATTTATAAATATATTCAGTCAATTATAATGTACGCATAAATTATTTGAATTATTTACTCCTTTAATTTAATATTATCTTCATCATCGTCTTGTTAAATGATAAAAAATTTACAAATTTCTTATTTTTTGAATATTTTATTTAGTTTAAATGCAAAAAATCTGTTTCTATTAGCATGAAATGTGTGTGCGTTGATTGAATTTTAGCATTTCTATTACAATATAATTGAGATTTCTTGTAATTCAAGCAAATAAAGTTTTACTGAGTTGCATATTATCACAAAATTTTTTAATAATCATTTGAATTTCAGCTTTATCTCCCTTACATATAATTTATTTATTTTATGCTCACAAAAAAAAAGCTTTCATTACAAGAATTTACATAAAATCACCTTCTTAGAAATGATCTATTCAATTAATTAGAAAAAATAATTGGTTGAAATAAGCCTGATTATAAACTTGAAAATTAAAAAACCATATTTTTAATTTAAATAGAAAATAAATTAAAACTGTGATTTAGTTTAAAAAATATTTTTTAGATTTTTTTAAAAATATATTTAATAAAATGAGAAAATTTTTTATAGAACTAAATATTTATGTAGATTTATTCTAAAGTTTAAATCACTAGTTTTGAATGATGTTATTTTGCTAAAATTAAAGCTGTAATTAAAGCTGTCTTAAAAGAAATACTTTCTTAATTATACATTTGTCAGTACTAGTTGAAGTATTTCACTTATTTTTTGTTACACAAAATATATTTTTAACAAACTCAAACATCATCATAGCAAAATTATATAATATTTTTAATACTTTTTTCTAAAAAATCACTTATATTTTGGGAAAGGAATTTCATCAAAAATAATGTAAGTTATGTTGATCACAATCTAATGATTGATGTAATTTTTGCGAACCAAAAAAATTATCAATGTAATTAACTTTTTAATATATAAAAAGTCATAGTTAATTAAAATGAAATGTTTATGAAATGTACAAATAACTTAAACAAAATATTACTTTGATAAAAAATATGGCTTCTTTCTGATTATATTGATATTATTTAAGAAAACTTTACTTTATTTAGTGAACAACAGTTTAAGTTTAAGCGATAGGATTGATAAAGGGGAAAGAAAGTAAAAAAAGAGCAAATAAATAAAAGTCTTTAATAATAAAGTAGTAGCAGTATTTATTATGCAAAATAAATACTTATAAATAACAAGAATAATTAATTTATCTAGCAGTATTATTCATAAAATAAACATTTATTAAAACAATTTTGATAGCAAATTTTCATTATATTTTTGAAATATTTGAAGATTATTGCAAGTAGGAAATATACGCTTTAGCAAGAAGATTTACAATTTAAAATAAATACATTTGACTAGCAAACGATCCAAAGATTTAGATCACTAAGTAGATACAGAATTTGATAATTGAATTTTACTAGTTTGGAACCCTATTTAAGAAAACATATCAAATTGATCATCTGAAGGTAGAATAATCAGTTAAGTAACCAACGATAGTTAATAAATCTACTAAAAGCTGTTAATCATAAGAGTAGCAGTCTTTATGAGTAAAGTAGCGAGGTTCTTTAGAAAGAAAATCTTGCTCAAATACGATAATAACTCAATCGAGGAACTTTTTTTCAGTTCTTTTGTTGAACAGATTAATGATTTTTAAGTTCATTTAGGTAGTTTAATAATCTTTGTGTATAGCATCCTAAACATAGTGATAAATATAGTTAGCTCAAACAAGCAAAATAGAATTACTGAAATTATATTATTTAGCATTCTTATTACCATCTCTTTAATTGTATTAGTTGTTGGTAGAATTGTTGTCAGCTCAAGGTTTATTCTTTTATATATTTAATAAATATATTTTATAGCACTCCATACTATTTTAATTATATCTGCTAGCGAAAGATCAGATAAGCTATACCTTATTATAGTATGCTATAGTTTGCATATTGTAATCATGCCTTAAAGTTAGCATATTTATGTAATAATCAGTAATGTAATTTTTATTACTCTCATTTTGATTTCCTATAATTAATTCGACTGGTAGGAGCTTTGGTAGCTTTGGATTTTGCTTTCTATAATAGGCTTAGAATTGAGATTCTTCGTTGATGAAAAATAAAAAAGGTTGCTTTTTCATGATGAGAAGTAAATAATATAAAAAGATAATAATATTGATGAGCTACCAATCTAGATAGATTAAGGTTCTCCTACTTCATCAACTAGAGCTAATAACAACAATTAAAATAATATAAAAAATAATGATATCAATTCGTAAATTGCAGGCAAATAACAAAGATATTTTTAGTCCAACCGTCCTACAATAGGACATTAATAAACCTAATAAAATAGCGGAAATAATATTTTTGGTAATCAAGGATCTAACAATCAAGAAAATGTAGAAACATAAAGACAAATTCCATAAACTCAATAAAGCCCTTAAAGCTAGTAGCACAAGACCTTGTAAAAACAGAACAGTAAAAATGGTTTGAGCAGTCAGAGTGTTTACAATTAATAATTCAGTACAAGCAAATAAAATTCTTTGCAAAATAACAATTTAGTAAGTGGGCATAATCATTTTAATAATTAAAATGGAAAATAAAAAATAGATTCTCCTCTATTAAATACAGATTAACATAATTCAGTTAGCAATTTAAAAAGAAAAATGACTATATTTCATATAAGAAAAGGAATGGATGAGCTAAAAAAATTTATGTAATCCTCTTCGCTGCATATAAATGAGATTGGATAAGCAATCTAAAATGGCGAGATAAATAATGGAATAAGTAATTCTTTACATAGATCAGACCTCCCACATGCTATACAATTAAGCCCACTTATTTCTAACCCATTTGAGAGCATATATAACATTCAAAGCGCCACAAAGAGAACAAAACAAAATAATATTTATAATTTTTTACCCTGTTCATTTATATACTGCAAATTGGATCCACAAAATATGGAACAAATTTAGCTAATCTATGCTAACAACAAAGCAAAAAGCGACTATCAAATAGTTGATAATACTAAATTAGATGATTTCTTGAAAAAATCTAAAGTTTCATCTTCACTCCTTAAATTTCAAGATGCTTCAATAAATTCTTTGAAAAAAATAATTTTATTAAATTACTAATAAATTTTAGACGAAAGCAAATTCATGAGATCATAGATCATCTCTCACACTCATTTGCTGACCTCTGATTATAAGTAAAATTTAAATTAATTTAATTATCTGTCAAATAATTGTCATAATTTTTTATAATAAGACGAAATTAGCAAGAATATGGCCAAAACTTTTTTAATAGCACCAAAAAGAATAATACAGTTATACAAAAAAGATTAAGCTTACTACCAAATAAATTTGCTTTACATTCAGAATTAAAAGAAAAAGAAAATAAAGGGATATAAGTATTAATAGATTTTCATGGAAAGAAATATGTTATCAAAATAGTTATTCTCCCTAGCGATGAGCTATATATCTTCATTAATGATGACGGATTCGAGAAATTCATATTAGAAAAAAAAAGGAGAGCTACATGTGACTAGCTAATTAATATTATTGACATGATGATTAACAGATTTTAAACTATTTAGTAAATGCTGTGCAGCGAAATACCTGCTTCCAAAAAGGAAATCCTAATGGAGATATTTTTAGCAACAAATTATGCATAAAATATTTAGAACAGTATAAAAGAGCAGCTACAGCAAAATATTGAAGTTATCAATAGAAAAATTATTCTTTCTGTTACACTGAATAGAGTAAAAGAGATGATTGAGAGGAAATACAAAAACGTGCATGTTCTCATTGATGAAGAAATCCCTAATGAGTGCAAAAAAATATATAATGATCCTTATCATTTAGTTCGTACTTTAACAAATATTATTGAAAACTCATACAGTAATACTTAAACTGGTTTTGTTTAAATTCTTCTTCATCAATCTAGGATCTTCAAAGACCATTTAAGGTTCGACATTATAGACTCAGGCAAGGGCATAGATCCACAGATTCTATAATTAATAAATGAAAGTAATTTCTTTAATGATGAAGAAGAGGAAGATGCAATTAATAGACTTTTTTTGCTTTTTTCTTCTCTTTCAACAAACAGTGATAAAGTAGAAGAAAAAGAACAAGAAAAATCTATTTTTTAAGATTATATAATCAAAGGATTTGGGTTAAAATTCTCTCATCACATGATCAAGATAATAGGTCCTTATAATAGAATGTTTGCTGAATCAATACCAGGTATTGGTTCAAGGATTAGTTTTATTGTATACAAGGAAGGTCCACCATCTTAAGATACTGTTTTCAAGCCCTATCAGTTTAAAAATAATAATTTTGAATAAGAAATGGAATATTTCAATCCTCTAAATAAAAGTGCTTCAAATAATAAAAATTGCTCTCTAGAAGAATACATTTAACACATGAACATTGAATTAAATAAAATAGAGCCACCTTCTTTAAATAATAGTTTTGTTAATATTAATGTTCCTAATTAATTTAAAACATTTAAAACACCATTTTCATAAAATACTAGCAAATCAAACAATACAATTACCAGTAACAGAGAGATTAGGTCAACTTCTGCACATTAGATTAAGCAAAATAAAAACAAAGTTTCTTTTAGTAAAATTAGATCATAAAAGAATATAATTGAAAATTAAAGAAACTTTCTTATCTAAAAACAACTATCTCCTCTCATTTAAGGAATGTCTGTTGCTAATGTAGTTAATTACAAAATTTAGCAATAGAATTCTTTAAGACTTTCTTCATCGCCTCCTGGTTATAATTAGAATATACTAAATATCCCATAAAGCCAGGATATTTACATTGATAACTTTTCTAACTGTTTTAGAAATATTGATCCAGCCTCTTCATAAATGTATTCTGATTATCAAAATAATGGGTAATATTAAATATAAGTAATGAATCAATTAAATCCAAAACTAAATAAACGATCTTCTAAAGAAAACAATTAAAATGTTAGCCCAAGCATTTACCTGAACTTGAAAAAGAATAATTAATTCCCAAGCAGCATTAACAATAGCATTTTTTTTTAGGATTAGAACGTCAGCTCTGGGTAAAACGGTTTAAATGCAACTAATTTGCATAACATCCCTTAAAGTCATGCCTCTTTGTCAAATATAACTCATATAGGTTAAAATACAACTTTTTATACTCCTAAAGCTGATAAATTAGAGCATTTGATAAACTAAAATGCTTATAATTAGAATTATTCAAATCCTCCAAGTAGTCAATTTATCGGGAATGATTCTTATTAGCAATAAGAAGATGGTTATTTTATTAAAAAAATATAACATTGAACTAATTAATTAAATATATAAATAAATAAAATATTTAATGAAATAACTAGGAAATTCAATAATAACTATTAATAAATATTCAACTTCAATATAATAAAAAATTTTCTCATATTAAATTAATTTTTCAATTATTCTTTTTTCTCTTTTGTATAATAAATCAATTATTATGGCTTATTAAGCTTGCATTTTCTTGTTTATATTTAAGAGCTAATTTAAATATATTAATTTAAAACTCATTTCTTTACTTTACTATTAAAATAAAACTTTTTTCATTTATTATTTTTGATTGACTTTTGATTGACTTTAAATACTTTAAATATAAATTGAAATCAAAATATCCATAACTCCTTTAAACAAATATAATTTTAGAAAAAATTGTAAAAGTTTTTAAAATTAATTTGTATTTTTTATATTAATTTTAATTAATTTATCAATTTTTCTTTTAGCAAAGTATTTTTTTAAGTTTTAATTATCTTATATTTTTTAAACAAAAATTGCTATTTTTATGTCAATAAGAAATATTAAGAGTCATTTTTACAAATAATTTTTGTATATATTTTAAAAATTAGAATTCATATTAATGATTAGAAAGAAAATAAAATAAAAACATTTTATTTAAGAAATAATTAATTTTAAAAAGAATAATTGTGTCTAATTTAATATGTATTTTGTAGAGGAAGGGATTGAATATTTTTTAAAAGATATGAAAATAAAAAATAAAATATTATTAACTCATTATTAATCTTTTTTAACTTTATTTCTGATATCATTTTTATTTTTTAAATATTCTTTATATTCATCCATCTTTTGTTCATCAATTTAAGATTTTAAATCGAATTCAATAATAAGCATAACTGATAAAGTCAAAGTATAGCCAACAAAAAAGCTGATAATATATACAAGTGTAACTTAAGGGGAAAATACAGCTACATTAAGTATGGCATATTCTGGTGAAATTCCACATAGACCATATCCTATTCCTCCCAAGACACTAGCAATTATGATTCTTATCAAATTGTGCTTTCTCTATTTAGTTTTTTTGCCTTGATCTTTATTCTATACCTTTATTTCTTCATTTGAGTTTTATTTCTTTTCTTCTTTAGGGTCTTAATTTTTTATATCATCTTAATTCTACTTCATATCTTAAGCTTAATTTTAACTTTTTATTTAAATTCCTTTTTTTTGTTATTCGTCTTTGGAAATTATTTTCAAAACTATGTTAAAAACTAATACAAAAAAGACGAATTATATGCTATGTAATTTATATTTCTAAAATACTTGAGATAAAAGAAAAGCTGAACCTAATATAACTCCTAAAAAGAACCTTTTACCCAAAAAGAATAAAGATACTAAAGATGTAACAATAAGTGCAATAATATTGTATTGTTTGTAATCAAAGCTGAGAATAAATTAAATAGCTTCCATCTCATTATTGAGCTCAACTAAACTACTCACATATTTAGAAATTATACAAAAAATGATGATTCTTAAAAAATCATAAATATTTTGTATCTTAAAAAATGTATAATTCATTAATTCAAATCCATAGCTGATCCCAAGAATAAAACCGCCTACCCCAAACATACTTATTGGAGTTAATTAAATTAATTCTTAAGGTTCCTACATAACTTTCACATCTTAGAACTTGTTAAACTTAAAAAAAATGAAAAATATAGAGCTCACTAGAGTAAATGATATCATGTAAGAAATGTTTCCTTTTGTTATATTCATATATGCTACATCTTATTTTAAAATTTAAGCTAGTTTAAAGGTACATGCTATTATTACTGCTCCTGTTATTGCCAAAACTAAACTTTACTCTTTATAAATATTTTAAATATCAAAGCTTTCTATGTTCATTCTACTAATATTTGATAGTTTCAAAATTAAATTTTTCAAAAAATTAAAAAAAATATTTAATTTTTATGTTGATAAATAAATAGTTTGTAAATTAATATCAATAATTTTACTAATCAAATTAAAATAAAAACAAAATATTAATTATATTTTTCAAATAGCTTCTTAAAATAAATCTTTTTACTTTTTAGATATTAAAGACTTTTAAAATAAAACACTTTTATATTTTTTTTTTGCAATAAAATAATTTTAAGAAGTATATAAAAATTAAATTAATTGTTTTGTTTGTTTTAATAAAAAAATTAGATTGATTAAAAATATTATTAGAGTTTTCTTTCTTTTTATTATGATTGTTATTAACAATTTCACATAATAAAGTAAATTTTTTTATTCATAAAAATATGTCAAAATTAATATTAAATCCAACCAATAATAAATTTTTGAACAAAATTTTTGTATATCAATTTTATTTGCTTTAAAATTTAAGTAAAACATCCAAAAGAGATGAGGCGACATCTTTAAATATCAGCTTTCAAAATGAATATATAATTTAAGTAAAAAATAATTAAAATAACAATAAAGTTTTAAAATGATAAGTCAAAATAATTTATCAATAAATACTAATGCTAATAAACAACCAGTAAATAAATAATAAGAATAATTTCATTTTTTATATTTTTAGGGTTGAGGTACTTGTAATTTTATCTTTAAGCTAGATTTTTCACTAGCTTTTTTATCTTTGTTTTGCTAGACAAGCTCAGATAATCTCCTAAATTTACTTTTTTTTTGATTCATATTTTTGTATAGAATTTGAGAATTTTCTAATATTTTTTATTTACAAATTATTTTTTATGTTATGTAACTTAGATTCTAAGTGGGAAAATAAGTTTTCCAATTATTTTATCTTTCAAAAGCCAAAAAGAATTATAATTCAAATTTCTCTTTTAATTTTTTTTCTTAATAGATTTGCATTGCTTACTTATTTTGATATTAAATATCTAATAACTTATTATTTATTTCTTTTTAATCAAATTACTTTTACTAGTTGCTTGTAAATGATATTTATTTACTATTCTACATTACATTTTATACAATTTATGCCATATCTTACTTTAACGTGTTTTTCATTTCCACATTTACTTAGGAAGACTAAAGGATTTAGTTATTTTAGTTATCCTTAAATTTAATTAAATTACTTTGCTACATATTTGGCTACTGTATTTCTGACTAAATACGAGGGATTTTTTTAATAATTTTTTCTACTTCATTAACTTCCTCAATTTCATCTGTCTTTCTTTAACCAAAACTCATAATATCCAAAAATTTAGCAGATGATTCACTTTGTTAATTATCATCTGCAACATTAGCTATGTTTTTTAACGAGAATGTTAATGTACGTTAAATAGTATTCCTAATCTTTGATTCAATATGTTAATCTTTCATTTGCTATTCTTTTCTTAGCTACTCTTATTAGGCTTTTATATTATCAACTTTTTGTAATATCTAATTTAACAATTATGATTGATTGGGTCTCTATTTTACTAAGCCGAAAGGCAATATACTTGTTTCTAAATCTCCTAAGTCCTCTTAGTTTATTTCTTCGTTTATTATATTTAAATTATATCCTTAGCCATCAGAATATTAAAGTTGCTATCCGTATATTTTATTTTTAAATGCACTTGTTTAAATACTCAAATTAGCACCTATGCTTTAATTCCCTTCTATATCTTAGTCAATCTAAGTAAACGATGAATAAGAAGGAATGATATCTTCTTCATTATCACTAACATAAATTTCGTTATCTTGCCATCTTATTGTATTATACTTCTAAAAAAATTCTTTATCTGATTCTAGTTATGATGGTAGTATTTTGTATGGATTTTTATTTTTATCAAAATAAATTAATTGTTTCTTTTTTTATTTTTTAATTTACTTGTATGAATTTATTTCTTCTTCTATTTATTTTTCTTGTTCTTATTTCTTTTCTTTATGCTCATTATTTAATGAAATTTAATAGAATATTCTCTTTTTACTACTAACTTACATCTATTGCTTCTCTTTTTCGTTACCTAATGTTCTTACTTCACTTTAATTTTACATAATTGACGTTTCAGTTTAAATTTATTGAGGACCTTTTTAATCTATACTAGCATCTATTTTAAAAGAATTATTAGTCTTTCGAATTGAAACAGGAGATACTATTTCTTCAGGACAAATTTAGTCTGATTCATCACTTTTTTAATTCATTTAACTTTAATTTTTTTAAACTTTGAATTTCGTAAAGCATTCTGGTAGCTGTTCAGTTTCTTCTACACATTCAAGAGGGCATTCTTATTGTTCTCCTTTTGTACCAGATGCATCAGCGATATTAGAAATTTAACTTTTATTAGCATTTTTTTTGCTTTAATTGTTTATCAATTCTGTTAATTTGTTATTTTCTAAATAATTTGCTAAACTTAAATTACAATTTTCTAAAATACTATCTTACTCATTAATTTTTGCTTAAAATTCTTAGGTATTTATTCCATTAGCCATAATAAGTAATTACATACGAATGTTTTTTAATTGATATCTTACTTCTTCGTTTTTAAATAAAGAGTTTTACTTATAATTTCTTCTTTTTTCATAAGGTTCTCTTTTGCTTATAAGCTAGTAAATACTTTTACTAATAACATACTCTTTTTTTTTGCCATAGCTTTTATTTATTAAAAAATTTAATTATATTTTATAGATTAAAAAGTGAGAGCAAATAGCAATAGTTGTTTAATTAATATCAATATTTTAAAAATTAATAATTTAAATTTTTTGTTTTATTAGAAATTTAAGAATTTATTTTTTTATACATTTAAATTTATTATAAAAAATAAAATATTTACTGGACATAAGGGCAAGAATGAATTTGATGAAAGATTGAATGACAAATGTTACAGGATTATTTTATTGGAATATTTGAAAAAAGAATTTTATCTTTAATCATACAAAATTTCTCTTTGTCTTTTGGAAATGATGAAATTACTTCTAAAAAGTCACTCCTAGTTATGTAAACAATATTTACAAAGTCTTTACATTTAGCATTACAATTTTTAGGTGCTCCAGTAAAAAAATCTTCATATCCAATCCAATTATTTTCCTAATAATTAATTTTAAATTAAAAAATTTTAAAACAAAAACAAATAGAAGAGCTAAATATTTTTTACCTTATATTCTTAAACAATAGGAACAGGATCGCACTGCGTTAAGTAAAGAACAACTTCTCCTTTTCTTAAGTAGATAAGCTTCTATTATGTATCACCTTAAGCAAATAGTGTTTCACCAGGCGAATATACTTCTTCCTTGAATTTAGGTATGATACTTTTTAAAAATTGCTTTGAAAACTTTCTTTTAAAGTATTTATTTGTATCTAAAATATTTCCAAAATATTCATTAAACAAAGACCCTTTTAAATTCTCAGAGACATGCTTTTTACATTCAAAATAATTAAAAATTATTTTAGATAGAAAATAAATTTACTTAAAGGCATTTATCTATTATAGTAGAGGAGCTTTTTTCAGTTTTCATGTTGTAGTATAATTGTTCAAGTATTTAATTTTAAACTTATCTGCTAATATTACGCTCAGTCATGTACTAAGTAAGACCTAAAATCTGTCTCCTAATAAAAAAAAATTGCTTAAAATGAATATTTTAATATTATTTTTTAGTTTACTTTGTTTATAACTTCTTTCTAACGATATCATTAACAATAGAGCTGATTGTTGAAACGTTATATGCGAATAGACCTGTTGTTATAAAGGCTATAAAAATTAAAAACATTTTTTCTGTACTAGAAACAGGGTGAATATCTCCATATCCAATTGTGGCTACAGTAACTACTATGTAATACAGAGAATTTAGATAGATGATTTTATTAGGCTAATTTTAAAGATTGTTTGAATATATCCAATTATCATCTGATGGCGAATATGCTGCTGCTAAAATGAAAACACAAGCCAGAATATGTGAGCTCAAAATTAACTCCATAACGAGCCTTATAACTCTATAAGAATAGTAATATTTTACTTAAATTTAAAAAGAAGAAAGCAATCTTTCAAGCTCAAATTTAATTTGGTACAAACGATAAATCAATGTAGGGATACTTTTATCTAGTGAAATTTAAAGAGCAAGAGCTATAAAATCAAACCAGTAATATCCAAAAAAATAGTTCAAAGCTATTTAGCGTCTATCTACAACCAATTTACCATTTAAGTAAAAAGCCAAGTTAAAATTAATGTAAATATCTATTAAGAATAGTATGCTAGGAATCAAGGTAAATATAGTATCAAATTTTTATTCTGGTTATAAACTTTGAGTGAAAGCTACTTGTATTGAGATATAAAAACATTGCAATATTGCAGATAATATAATTAGGAATTTGAATAATATAACCAATTTACTATCTTAAAACAATATAAGCCTGCTTATTTTCTCTTCTTGCTCCTAATCAAAGCTTTAAAACTTGACTATCTTTTTTTTTAACTTTTCAATGATATTTTGATCATCATTTTTTTATTTAAAAAAACTGGCCTTATCCCCTAAGAATCTAAAGTAGTAAGCAGGGACATTAACAAATCTTTTGATTATATTGTATTTTTCAAATATTTTTATCATTTTTCTAACTAATTTTATTTTCTTATACTTTATAAATTTATTTTTCTAGTTTTCTTCACTTAAACTACTCTTTCTAATGTTATTCGATATATTGTCTTCATTACTCTCTTCTTTAAGAAGGTTTAATTTTATTTACATTAAATTTTTACCCTTAATATCATTCTTCATATTTAAAATATTATGCTAATAGCTAGTTTTCTAATCTTAGAAAAGTTATTATTTTGAATTTTGAATAGCTTAGGTCTTTACAGGCTCTTTTATTATATACTCCACCTATTTACATTTCTCTGCATTCACTAGACTTGTTTTTCTAAATAATTTTAATATTTATTAAATTTTTTTGTTGCAAATTAAATAAAAGTAGAAATATTACTATTAGACTGATTTTGTAGTACTATTTTTGTCTTAAAATTTATCTTCTTAAAGGCTTTCTCTGTTAGAGCCTTTGTTAAATAAAGAGTTTTCTATATATCTAGCTATCCCGCTCTTCTAAAGTGTTTTTTTAGGAATTTCTATTTTCTTTATTTCTATGCCATCATACTCAAGAAACTCACTTTCATTAAATTGAGATTATTAGTCTATATTGTTATTGCCCTAATTTTTTTGCACCTAAATTTTGAATTGCTGAATATCAAATTCAGAGGGTTCATCGTTTTCGTTTTTTGTTTCATCATTTTCAAAATTCATGTTTTTCATCTAAAATTAAGGACTTCCAGTAGTTAAATCTTCATTTTATATTTAGTCTAAATCAATTAATCTAAAATCTTCATTATTATATTTATTTTTAAAAATTGGTTCCTGTTTATTTTCATTAATTTAATCCTAATTATTTTTATGGTTTTCATGATCTTTAAAATTTCCTTTCATAAATATATTAAACATAGAAGCTTCTTGTTAGTGATCTTATTTAGAGGATTAGTTTGATATTGAATCTAGTTTTTAAATCTTTTGTTTATCTCCATATTCTAATCCTATATTTTTAATTGAAGTATCTATATAATTTTATTTTTTGCTTTATTTAGATTTTGAACTCGTTTATTCATGTGATCCCAGCTATTCTTATGATTCTTTATTGGTAGAAGTCTTTTAACTACCCTATTTTTGGTATTTATGATCAACAGAGAAAATTTCTTAAACCCCTTCTCTCAGATCCAGCTCATCTTCTTAATTTTTATTATTAGCAGTAAGAGGAATCTCTGTATCTAATCTGTCAGTATCCATTAATAATACTAATTTATAAATTTATAATTTATTTGAATTATTCCTACCTTTTCGATATTAATATCAAAAATAAATATAAATTAAATTTTTGTTATCTTCTACTAATTAATATTATAAATATTCAAATGAGTTATTCATTTCATTTCATCTCATATATTATTAAAAATAAAAGTACATACAAAATTTATTCTTTTTATATTTTGAATGTTAATTCAATATTTTAATAGTATTTATTTTTTCTTTTAAAATGCAGACAGATTTAATCGTAATTAATTATTCATCTGATCAAGTTCAGACTTCATATAGATTACATATAAAAACACTCAAAAAAACCTAAAATATATATATTCAAAGCAAATGAAAATTGTTGTTAATAAGTGATTTTCCCCATATACCGCACTCCATTTATTTATTCCCTTAATAATATATTTATTAAAAATAACTTAACTTATTTTTAAAGCAAATAAAAGCATAACAGAAAAAAATAAAAATTATATGCTTTATATTATGTATTCTTTATGCATATTTTTGTCTTATTTATATAAAACTATTTATCCCTTTTAGAGATTTCATAACCAAGGATGGGGCTCTTCATCATTTACTTTCTCTTTTTAATAAAATTTAAATTCATGTTTTTTGATTTCGTTTTATGTTGCATTATCAATTTTTAATCTCTTATGGCTTTCAGTATTTTTTTAAGTTTCTTTTAGTATTTTTGTGGCAGCCTATTCTAATAGCTGCTTTGATGAAGGCTTCTTATCTATTACAGCAGAGTCTATACAAATTATTTTAAGTAAAAAAAAAATAATATTTCTATATATATGAATTAAGTAATATATTTATTTACCTTTCTTAGACTAATCCATAGTATCTTTTATTTACTACAAAGACTTCTAAAATCTTGAATTAATTTTGTTTAATTTTTCTGATTTTTCTTTAAGCATTAATGATCTTTTTTATACACTTCCTCCTTTAATTCTAATTATTAAAAATAAATACAACAGCTTACAAATAAAATAGAGTTTATTTAATTACATGTCGATTTTCCTTTTTGTTTTATCTTCCAATTTTTTAATGTCTTCTTTCACTTTATCTCTGCATTTATCTCTTGTTTCCTCATCAACATCCTTTACAAATTTTTCAGGATCAAATTTCTAATTATCATCCAAATAAGCTCTATGATTACCTAACAGTACTTCTTTTTACCATAGCTACTTTTTATCTTCTCCTACATCAAAAGTTTCACTCTATGCTTAGGATTTAGTTTTACTTCTAATACTTCCTTACTATTTTTCTAATTTACTTTCTGATTATTTTTCCACTTGTCCGTTTTCTTCTCCTTAACTATTTTCTTATTCTTATTTTTCTAAATCTTTTAAAATATTTTATGAATTTTAATTTTGATTATCTTAACTATCTTCATCAGCATTTTCAAGTCTTTCGATTAATTTGTTATTCTAAAATTAAACACCTATTTCTTAGATTTAACCCTATTTGCTTTTTTATGCTTTTTTGATTGGCTTTATTTCCAAAGAATCATATAAGTTGTTATCATCTTTTTCTTCATATTCCTCTTAATATTTTTTAGCTTAACTATCAAATTCTTCAAACAGTTCATCATCACCTAAATCAATCTCATTCATAAGGCTTTCCATAAACTATATAATTATATATATATTTTATAATTTTTTTTTATTAAAGATGAAAAATCTACTTGAGCTCTCTATGATTTTAGTTAAGTATCTTTAACTTTAGACACTTTTGAATTAACTTTTTCAACTTTTTCTTATGTCAAAAAAGTTGTCATTTTAACTTATTGTTATTTTTGAATTTTTGGTTTTGGACTTGCTGCAGCTTAATCTCCTAATTGAATTTCTTCCATACCAAACAAGTCATTTTCTTGGTTTTAATTATCTTCTTGGAGACTTTAATCTCCTTTTTCATCATTAAAATTTTATAAGTCATCCATTGAATTTTGCTAATTTTCTTGCTAATCCTATTCGATTTCTTGTTAATTCTATGAGCCTTCTTAAAAACGGTCTTCTTAAAGATTCTATTCTTCTTAATTATTATCATTTTCATTCCCTTTTTATTCGTTTTTATGTTATTCATCGTATAGCTTCCCTTAATCATACTCCATTTCATCTAATTATCTTTCTAAGGATAGATCCAAGCTTCTATTTTATAATTTTTCTCTTATTTCATTCATTTCGTCCATGTGCTCATCTGCAAATTCCAAAATTTGAGGATAACCTTTTTTAATCTTTAATAAAAAAATAATATTTTATTTACTAAAAATTAAGAAAGTTATTTATTCACTTTATTAAACATATTATCTACTTTAGAAGAAACTTTCATCATCTTTCTCATATCTAAAAAAGAATTTATTTCTCTTTTTCTATGAACTCCAAATGCCTTTATAATAATAATAAATTAGTTACATTTAATATTCTTAAGAAGAGATCTATTTAAAATATAAGCGAACCTCTTTACCAGTCTTCGGTTATATCTATTTACTATTCTTGGCTAATAGTTTATTGATTTCCTATTAAATCTTTACAGATTCTCTTTGCTCTTATAATTTTTTATTTGTAAATATGCTGTTCCCTGTGCTTTTTTGATTTTTTTCTGCATTGTTTTAATTTTTTACAGGTTCTTGTAGAGCTAAAATTTCATTTTAGATTGCTTTAATATCTTCATTATCTTAAATAGAGGATATTCCTTCGTTTTTATCTTCTTTATAAAACACAATTTTCTATTTAATCTTTTATCCTTCAATATGAGCTTAGCCCAGTAAATCATCTGGAATTCTACCTTTTTAAGGTGATTGTGGTAATTCTTCTATCAAAGGTATTTTTTCCCATCCATTGCTTACTTTATAGTATTCGCCAATTTTGATGTGAGGAAATCTTGCATTAAAAAAAAGTAAATTTTTATTTCTATCTTTTGCTTCTTATTCTGTCTAATATTTTCTAAATTCATCATATTTTCTTAGCTCTTCTTCTATTTTTTTCTTTTATTTATTATTTAGTGGCTTAATTTCATCCTTATTTAGCTGTTATTTTGGATCAGAAAATATATTTTTTGAAGTTTCATTCATGAAGTTATTTTGCAAAGTCTTTTTTCCAGTTTATATACTACTGTTAAGCTTTGCGGATAAAGGCCTATCTTTAGAGTTAATCGAGTTTGGATTCCATTGTTGAACATTTAATGTTTATTTTAAATTATTTTCAAATTCATTATAATTATCCCTTTCTTTTGATTTAGATTGGTTTTTAGTATAGATCTTCTCATATGGTAATATTTTTTGATCCAAGCAATCTTAATTGGCTTACAATTTTCTTTTTTCAGATGGGATCCATTCCCAAAAAGTTTCAACCTCCCAAGGTTCACTTTTTTTAGCATTTTTTATTATCATATTAAGTTTAGTAATTAAAATTAGTGCTTAAAAGGTTAATTGCAAATTTAAAATCTAAGATAATTTTTTAATTTTTGTGATTAGTTACAATCAATAAACAACATATATTTATATATAGTTTTAAAACCACATAAGACTCATAAAATAAAAAAAATGTTTTATTCCTTATTTTTGATATGAACATAATTTATTTTGTGGTTGCATAAATTTAAGCAAAATAGTAGATATTTTTTTATGATAAATAATAATTAAAGTTATATCCTTTAAAATAAATAAATTAATATAAAAAAAGTAGAAGAAATTATGTAATCCATTACATTTTTATAAATTCAGAATATATAAATATTAAATAAAAATAGGTTATCCCTTTATAATTTATATGAAGCTAACTTCATTGATATGAGAGTTATTCGCCTTTTTTTTCTATATTAATAAAAAAGCTTATTTTTATCAATAAAAATGCATTGTCATATATATATTTCTTGATGAGCTTTTTAAAAAAATATAAAATATACCTTTATGTCTATATGAATTAATTGGATACTTTAAAATTGTTAAAAAATATTTAAATTAATAAAAAGATATTCGCTGAATTTCAAAATCTTTACTTTTTAAGCAAAAAAGGATAGAATTATAGAAAAATGGAAAACTTAACATTATAAGATTAGCAGAAGATTTTCAAAGAATCCTTTGAAAAAGTTAAAAATTAGTTAATTGCTTCAAATGTGCAAGATTAAGCTGAGTTAATTGCAAAAAAGAGCTGTGTAATCACAAAGAGACTGTAATCTGTTTGGTCATATGAAGAAATTAGATAATTAGTTTGTAATGGAAACTTAGAATATAAGCAAGAATTAGAAAAAATTTCTAAGAACATGCAGAATGCAGATGAAACTTACCTAAAAGATTTTGGAATTAAATTTAAGGCTGGTGTTGGAGAGCATTTACCTAAATTCACAGGACTTTTGGATGTTTTTACCAACTAAGAAAATGTTGAACTTGCACATTAACCTGGAGAAGTTCTTTTAATTGATTTATGGGCTACTTGGTGTGGACCATGCTAAAACTCAATGTAAAATAGTGCATCTATTTTACTAAAGAATGAAGCAGCATGGAAGGATAAGGTTTATTAACTCATCTTATTCATATTTTTTAAAATAATATAAATTAATAGGTTAGAATTGTTGCTGTTAGCGTTGATGAAAAAAAAGAAGTAGTAATCCAAAGAGTTTTAGAGAAATAGTGGAAAAAAATGTAGCATTGTAAGGTAAAATAATTTTGGCACTAAATAAAAAACTACTTGACAATGTTAAAACTTTTAAATAGCTAAAAGGTTGGGATAAGGAGCATGATTTGATAAAGCTTTTTGAAGTTTAAGGGATTCCTTTTATTATCTTAGTTGATAAGACTGGAAGAGTTTCATATACAGGTCATCCAGGAAAGATTAATTTAGAAGAAAAAATAAATGAACTTTTAAAAATGACAGATTAAGAATGCAAAGATTCTTATTTAGCAAACAAGAAAAAATAGGAAGAAGAATTTAACAAAAGATCCCTTATCACTAAATAATAATACTCTGAAGTTCGTGAATTCCTTAAAACAGAATTCCTTACTCTTATTACTGAGAAGTATCCTGATTTTAAAGGTAGATTTGGTATAATTATGCTCAAGGAGAAGTTATTCAAAAATGGAGCTATAACTAAGGAATACTACAAGCCTATCATAGATTTTATTATTGACAAAAGAGAAGAAAATTAAACAAGGGAGTTACTTGAGTTTTTAAAGAGCAAATATGGAAAGGAAAGATTTTTAGTTGGAATATAAAATGTTACTGATTCTAAAGGTGTTGTACTTACTCATATGAAAGATTTAAGTATATTTTGATTGAAATACAAGTTTAAAAATAATATTATTAATTTTAAATAGGCAACATATTGAATGAGTTAAATATCACTTGTTTTAGGTTTAGCTTAAGAAGGGATTTAGTTTTGATGATGGGCAAAAATAAGCAAATTATTAAATAAAAAGGAGAGGAACTAGGATAATATGGAGAGATGGCCCCAGGAGATATAACTGCTGACAGCTTGTAAAAAGTTAGAGCTAGATTTAGATTTTATGGAGACATGCTTTTCTAATAAAAGAAAAACTTTGATATTGTGAAAAAGCTATTAGCTAGTGGACCTTAAATTTCTTTAAAAGGCACAAAATTTTTATCTATGCCTGAGATGTATAAATTAAACCAATAAGAAGTAGCTTGTGAGTTAGCTCATTAATAAGGTGTAGTTTATATCATAGACTTCTTCTTATTCAAGTAAATAAATATAAAATTTAAATATTATTAAAGGAATTGCTGAATAGAATAGAAAAAAAAATAAATTTTTATTTTTAAATAAATTGTGATACTTATTTATTTAAAAAAAAAAAAAGATTTTAGCCATGCATTGAAAAAGTTAATTAGTACAAAAAATTATATGAAGAAAATAAAGAAAAATGGGGTGATAAAGTTAAATTTGTTGCTGCTTGCTTGGAACCTCAAAATGAAAAAACACTTTAATTGTATAATGAAAATGGATGGAGCTTTATGGAATTTTACTTTTTCAAATAAGATTTAAGATTTAGAAGCGAGTTCATGCATTATAGAATCTAGGTAAATTACAATAAAATTTTAATAATAAACTTATTCATATTCTAAATACTAGTAAATGCCTCATATTTGCATTGTTGATAAATTTGGAGCTATAAACTACAATGGTGAGTCAAAGAGCGTTGATCTTAGTACTAAAATTGATGAACTCTTAAATGCTAATTCTGTAACTAAAAGCGAGCCCTAGAAAAACGAAAATATGAAGGAAGCAGAAATCGAGTATGAAACAGTTAAAAATTTAATCTAATCTGCAAATACAGATGCTAGCTTCTAGTTGTTGAAAAAGTTATCATATGATCCTAAGCTAATTATTAAGGTTAAATATTATATTTTTAGTTTTAGGGTAATCCTATAATAATTTAAAATAATAAAGGTAACAAGAGATAGAGTTTTTAACACTAAGGGAGAAATGATTGAAAAAATATACAGAAAGCCTGAAATAGGATTTGGAATAAAAAAAGAAGATGCCCATATTGTAGATGAGTTTTTTAAACTTCATGACAAGAAACATTTCAAAGTTGAAGTTGAGTACTTAGAGAATTTATGAAAAACTATCTAAACTGAAATAAATATATTAAAAAAAATTAATTGATCATATATTTGTATTGTCAGAAATTAATTAAATAGAACAGAATTTATTCTAAATTAAAGATTATAATTAACTTGATATTTTATATACCTCATATCATTATTAGAATATTAATATTCTAATATTAAAAAGGAGATTAGAGCCTAAATAATTATAATTAATTTTTTAATAATATTTATTTATGTATTGAAAAAAATGAATTTTAATGACTAAGCATAAGCAGATAGATTTAGTAGTGTATATTTAAGTGAATAAAATCCTTTACAATTGAATTAATAAGAATATGTTTAAACATCATAAATTGTAAATTTTAAAATAATTTTTTTAATTATTTATAATCTTCTTAAATATCTATTAGCAAAATCAAGAATAAAAAAACAAGTTTATAAAAAATTTTACAGGGTGTAGCACTAAAAATCGATCTGTTTGTAAAAATTCTAGTTCTATAAATAATGAATAAGTAAAAACATGTGACAATTATGATGCTGCCACATTAGAAATAGAAATATAAGATGAGGAGTCAAAATAATAAGAAATGAATAATTGTCTAAGCAATTTAACTTTATAGACTTCCAATAGTTGTTAGAAATTAAGTTTTCATTAATCATAAATACATTTTCTTGTGAATTAAAATGAAGAAGAATATTCAGTGATTAAAAATTAAGATTTACAATATTCTAATTAGAATAGTTAGGTAAACTAATTATTTAAATATAATAATGATATTTCTTCACAGGTAGAAAATATTTCAGATTAAAGAGAAAAGAAAAATTTACTTTCTAAAAATAAAGAATCAGGTAAATTTGATTAGAACTAAAATTTCATAAACTTAATACTGAATTTAATAAAATATTTTAGGATAATCGTTCAGTTCAAAACAATAAAATTATATGGTAGAACAATATTTAGAAATAGATTAAGGAAGAAATATTTTTGAAATTATTGAATGTAAATATTTTAAAGGAAAGTTTAAATATTTTTACAATTATTTGTTTATTAAATAAATAAAGCTCTTGATAAGTAAATTTAAATACAAATATTTTCATTATTGATAAAGTTAATATAAAAAGAAAAGAAAAAATCAGCCAAATTGAAAAAAATAGATAAGCATTAGCAGAGAATTTTGATTATAATGAATAATTTGATTGACGATATCAAAAATTAAAATAAAAAAAAATGGAATGCTACATGCATTTTAATTTTATAACATTTTAACAACAAAATGTTGTTGAATTTTGGTAAAAAATGCAATAAAAATTAAAAAAGCTATGATTTAATATTTAATATAATTAATTGCATATTTATTAATATTTTTATACTTTACTCTCTATTATTTAAACAAAATTTTATAAAAAAAATTGTTTGTTCATTTAAAAAAAATATTATTTTTAAAAATTAAAATCACAAAATGAAAAAATGAATATAAATTTCTTAAATTATTAAACGAACAAATAAACTCTATTTGAGTAAATTTTATTCTAGATTACTTTCATTTTTCAATCAACCTTTTTTATATTAAGATTATGAATAACTCTAGAAAGGTTATGTTCAGGGTAGAATATCCTAAATTCTTTAAAGCTATCAAATTCATTCTCGAAAGTATTCATGTTATTTTAGTAATTACATATATTTTACTATTCTTATACTACTATCTTTTTATTAGAAGGATAAACTTTACTTTCATAAGCATTTGTGTTGTACTAAATTAATAGACTATTCCTTTTTTCTATTTCATGTTTGTTTTTCATTGAAATTAATTGAGTACTATCAATTATTCCTGAATTATCAGATTTTCTAATAGCTCTTCCTCCTTATAACATCATGACTTAAGAACTGGATAAAGAATTTTACTTATTAAAAACTAAATTTTTACTAGATTAAGGCTAATAAACTTAGATATCTTTTTAACTACTTCCTAATCTAAAAAAGCTTTAAAGAATAGTAGAAGACATAGGAATAGATTCATTAACAGATCTATGCATAATGCTTTTCTAGCTTTACTGGTAATCTTCTGCTAAAACCTCGGATATTCTGTTTAAAATTTATTTTTATTATTTTTTTTACTATTCATGAAATAAGTGTATATTTGTAAAAAAATTTAGAATAAATAAATGAAAATTATCAATTTTGCTGTTTTAGATTTTATAAATATGATAGCAAGTAATTATTATTGAAAGTACACATAGTATGTTTGGTATTATTTAAAAATATATTTCTTATTGCTTTTAGTTAATTTAAATAAAAGTTATACTTGTTAAAATTAAATTCGGTAGATATTTTTAGACAAGTTTTCTTATAAAACAATTTTTGATTTAATTTTTTAATATAGAAAAAACGAATGAGATATTTATTTATTACCTTCTTTGGTTGTCTCTACTTTCTTTAAATGAGTTTCTATTCTATGCCATATATAATCTAGAATCTTTAGAAACTTTTAATAAATAACAAATTTAAAATTTCAAATAATTAGTTGTAGAAATTACTTTTCTACTACTTTTTCATGTTTTCGACAATCGATGGAGGTTACTCGTTATCAGTCTAATTAAAAAAAGATTGCTTATCAACTGATGTAAAGGATTCTTAATTTTATTGAGAAACATTCGATCTATTTGTCTTATTAGTTTTGTTTGTATGTAGTGTTTTATTTGTTTTGTGAGTTTTAGTTGTTTTTACATCTGGACTTAGTATTGAAGATTTTTATACATTTATATGAGTCTTATCATCAAATTCTTCGTCCTCAATTTCGTCACCGTTTTCATAATCAATTAAAACTTAATTTTAAAAAATCTTGAAAGCTGGTATCCTTTACAAAAATTATTTATCACTCCACTCAATTACATTTTTTACATCTTCATATATGTCTAATATTGCTTTATCTTCTTATTATTCATTTAATATTAAATCCATTCTTTTTTATTTAGCTACTTTTTTAGTTTGCTAGAGTTTTAACAGCGTTTAGTACTGTTTAGATTTATAATTTAAAATAAACTTATAATTAAATAAAAATTTCCTAATTATTTACTCTTTTTTTTCTTTATTTCAAATATTGATTTCTATTTTAACTCTTTACAAAATTATGTCTTCTTATAATATAGTCACTAGAATAATTAATTGTTATTAGGGGACATTCACTCGTTTAATGCTACAGACTATTACAGCATTAGCAAGTTTGAAGCTTTTACAAAAATGAAAATTGGTACTTTTCGTTACTTTATTCGAAAATCATTTGGTATTGTTCCTATTTGATAATACAATATTCAATTTTATTCCTTAAAATTAATTTTTGATAAATCATTACGAAATCTTCTTAAAACTATCTCAGCAGCATCAAAAAATCTTCTTTTTCAATGTAAGATAATATAACAAAATTTGAGCTTTTTAAAGTAACCTTTGACGGTTTTTATTGTAAAAACTCTGTTAGCCCTATGATTGAACCTTCCTTTAATTTATAAAAAATTGCTTACATTATTTTATTGTTTTTGAAATCTAGAATTTATTACTTCATAAATATCTATTTCAAAGTCTTATGTTGACTCAAAAACTGATTTTATTTATCCTTTTTAAATTAGATGCAATCTATTAGTAAGTTCTCCGTTTTTTTGAATAACTTAATCAGGTAATAATCTAGTAATAAATTAATTACATGAATAAAATAAAAAATAAAAAATAAACATTACAAAACTTCTTTCATTTTGCAAGAAAGCTATGTTAAAAGCTCCTTAGTAAATAATTTGTTTAAAATTTGATTTTTTAGAAAGTATTGCAAGTATATTTCACTGTTTAGTTTTGCTTATATTTTATTATTAAACTATCTAGTTATCTTCTCTCCTTAAAAGTACTTATAATTTTCATTTTATACTTTTAATTATTTTAAAATATTTTATTGAAGCTACTAAGATATCTTATTCTTTTTTAAATAAGATTTGACAACCATTTTAGTTCTCCTTTATTTATAAAATTAAAGATTATTAATTAAACTATTCAAGTATTTATTTAATTTAATCATATTTTTTTTAGTTAATATATAAAAAATTGAAATATTACTAATAGTCTTTATTTTCAGTGAACTGATTCAAGGCATACTTGATCAAAAATAGAAAAATTTAAAATTAGATAAATAAGTTGAATAGCGTATTAAATATAACATAAATCTTTTCAGAATTAGAGACAGGAATAATATCACCATATCCTATAGTTAGAAGAGTAGTCCAAGAAAAATAAAAACTGTAGATATATAAAGTATTTTTGCTCTGCTCAAATTCTAAGTTTACATTCTTAATCCAGCTGTCTTATTCAATCATTTAAGCTCCTATATAATAAAATATACAAGTAGAGATGTGAGTATATATTAACAATAAACATGCGATGCTAATAAGGTCAAAGATAAATACAAGTTAACTTCTATCAAATAGAATAATATCTTTGATATATTGATTTATTTATTTAACTTCAAAGAGTCTGAGAAAAAATAAAAATTAAATAAATGATTGACTATTATCTTCACTATAAACAATTGAAAAAATAGTTATTATTTCTATAAAAAACTAGTATGATCTTATTTATTAAGATGCTATCATTTTCCTATCTTTTATGGATATTCCATCTGAATTTTATTTCTTAACATTAAATTTTAGTAACATAGAAACTAATAAAAAGAAAATCCCAGTTTTGTAAAGAACATTTTCAATAATTTAAGGATCGTTAATACTAAAGCAAAATCTTAAAGGTATCCAAATGAAGTAAAGCAATATGTAAATAAGAGTTATAATATTTATTATTTGCATAATAAGAAAATTTTACTACAAGAGTTTAAGATTGATAAAAAAGTTAGATGCTTTTTTTAATTTAGCATTAAAAAAGGGCTTGATAATTTATTTATTATTTACATTAATACCACCATACGACTTATCATTAATTAAGAGCATTAATTTTTATGGCAAGTTTTTTAAATTCTTCTACAAGACCTTTTTATAAATGAATAAATAAATAAGCATATATGATAAAAGTATTGGTTGAATTTTAATTAATTCGATAATTAATAAAAGGAAGCAAAACTTCTACTTAGCTAAAATAAATATAAAAACAATAAAATAATAAAATAATTTACACGCCTTTTTATTCTTTTTATGAATTCAAAAACTTAGTAGGCTATTCTAAATCGCTATGAATGAGTTTAACTTTGATAAACAGCATTTTTAAATCCCTTTGTATTGCATCCATATTATTGATTATTATTACATGCTTATTTTAATTTATTTTATATAAGGAGTTCAATTTTTTTATTTGATAAAACCTAATCAATAAATTTATTATTATCAACAATCAAATTAGATTAGTTTTCACATTTATTATCTAAGCATTTGATCTTACTATCATTTATATTTAATTCATCTATTGATTTAGCTTTCATTTTTTCTTTTGACTTTGAAAAAGTTAATTAATGTAATTATTCAAAAAGATGAGATTCTTTTTGTCTACAATTCTTCTAATCTGGAGATGCTTTGTTACTAGAACCACTGTTTTGGATATCATATACAAAATTAGAGTTTTAAGAAACGCTCACAGATTCTTACTATGAATTTGTTTTCAAAAAGTAATTGTTGGTAAGTTATTATATACTTTCGACATCATCCTCATTTCTTTTATTTATTTGCTTAAAGTCATTAACCTAAGAGTTTAAAAATTGAATATTCTTTTTTTAAAGTTAGGCTCCTTTATATAATTGTTGTTCTTTATAGAACTCATCTTCTTCAGTTTATTTTATTAAAATCAGATTTTGATTTTATCTGTTTTCTGAATTATTTGGTGATAAATAAGACATACTGCTTTTATATTATCCTAAATTAGCTTTTAATTAAAATTTGTAATTTATTTGGTTGATATTTTTTTAATAAAAAATTTAGTGAAATCGTCAAATTTATTAAAAAAATGTTTAATTAAAATAACTAATACACACACAAATATAATATATATAATTCAATCTAAATATTTTTATTATTAGGCTAAAAACAAACAAAATTTAAATAATATTTTATGAGAAAAAACTGAAAAATATTATTCAGCATTAAAAATAAAATTTGTAAATTTAGTTACTTTTTTTGAAATGGTTTTAATTTAATATTAAAATAAATTATTTTTTGTAAAGTAAATTAATTTTTAATTAAAATATTAAACTTTCTTGTTGAGTAAGTTTTCTTTAGTTAGTTATTAAAAAAATAATTTCTATAATTTTACTGTACTAACAATTTTTTTGAATATTTAAAATAATAGTAGGAATAAATTGACACGTTCTCAAGGTTTAATAAGGTTTGACTTAGGTACTGATTTCCTATTGCATTCATATAATATAAGATTAATTTTTTTATAATAAGCTATTACTTAAGACACTATTAAATCATTTATATGATGTATGCAAGCTCAGAAAAAAATTAAATTAAATTAATTAATCATTATTTAATAAAAAAAAAATAATTATTTAAACTAATTGATATTCCATAGACACAGACAATGTATTTTTACATATAATAACAGCTCAGCATTTTCTTGTGAATTTAAAAAAAATAATTATGATTTCTAATTAGGCAACTTTTATATATAAAATATGTTGAAATTTTACTAATTAATTCTAGATAATTAAAATACATCGCATATAAATAAATACAATGCTTTCTTATTCTATTTTGTATAAAAAATAGGTTTTATTTAAATAAAAGCGAATAAAATAAATAATTTGATTTATAAAGATAGATTAAAGTTCTTAATCAGATACATAATCATATAATCACTTTCTAAAAAAACTTTGTTTTATTGCTTAAAGATTAAGGAGATTTTTCTATACTTGCTTCTTAAGTCTTTTTTTTAATCCCAATATTTTTTTAAAGAAAACTTTATTTTTTAATTCTAAAGTACCTAAGCTTCGATGTTTATTTTTACTTATAGGCTTGAAGGACTCTTTCTAGGTTAAAATTTGGAAAATATAATTTAAAATCTTTTTATCTATCAAATAAATTTTCAAACGGATTCATTTAAGATACACTATCTAAGATTTAATTTATGCTTCTATTAAATAGCTATTATGAAGCTGTTAAACTTAATTTTTTATTTAGATTACTTAAATTGTCAATATTTTGGCATATTAATTTGAAAAAATCAGGATTATTTAAGAATTGTTCAGCTAGTTTATTATTTTAATTATAACCCCTTCTAATAGACTTATTAAAAGGAACTCTATTGCTCATTAAGCTAGAAGAACCATGTGTATTGTTATTATGAATTGAAGATGAATCATTATCTATCCCACCTTATTCTTAATTTTCTGTTATTTCTCGATTACTTTAAGAGTAGTTTTATTTTTTTAAAATATCTTAATTTAACTAATCTAAATTATTATTTATTTTTTAATACGACTTATTGCTACTTCCAAATAAATCTTGATCTATTACGCTATTTATTAAAAGGATATTTATCAATTCACTTCAAAAAAGCAAATAAATAAAAAAATAAAATTACTCATCAAAAGAAATTCGTTTTTTACTTATCAGCTCTGGATACATTATTTAAAGAGAATTAATATTTGGTTACTTGTCTTAAAATAAAATAAAAAAATTATTTAAGAAACAAACGGTATAAAGAATTACCTTATTCATAAACAGATGATAATAATACCTTAGATTATAGATCTTCTGTTTTTTTTTTATAAATATCTAAGTAACTTGAAAGAATTTAGCTTCCATTTTAATTCTATTTATTTTAAGTTACAGATAAACTCTCTTGTTAAATGCTAGTTTATTCATTTTAGAGAAAGGTGTTTGTTACTATTTCTTCGTCATCATCTTAATTTTCTATCAAGAAATTACTTTTTAAATTGGTTTAAGATTCTTTTACCAAGTTAATTTTTGGAATATTTTATAAAAAAAATTTATCATCTAATTAGTTTAAAGTCTATCTATCTAATTTTATATTATTTAATGTTATACTTTCTTATTAATTTTCTTATAGAGCATGATCATATCGATACATTTTTAGAGATTGTTTCACAATTTAAGCTTTTTAAAAAGTTGAATACTTTTCATTATTAATAAAAAATTAAATTTTTAAAAATAATAAATTTAAATTCTTTTTTACCTTATCTTTTTTTCTTTTGATTTCAGATCGACATTAAAATGAAGAAAATTAATGTCTTTTTATTATTATGTTTCTATTTGAGATTATAGAGATAGATGGACAATTATGTATCTCATGATTAAATTATTTACAGCACTCACATTTCTGCAAAGTGAATTAATTATTTTTGATATTTTATAACACTTAATCTCTTGTTAGGCAGAATTTTTCCTAATAAAATTTAGATATGAGTGAATATAAGTTTGATTAGACTTTATTTACATGATCGTTAGGAAATTGGTGTAATAAATCAATAAAATCTTAATATTCAAAAAATATTAGCCTAGATAAAGTTTAAGCTTTTAAAGTATATTCGTAATCTGTAGAGCATAAAAAATACTTGAGTCCAATAATACTCCCAACCTTGATAATTTAATAAAGTTATTTTTTGTACCTTAGGTAAAATTTTTTATTTATTTACTTCTAAAGTATTGAAGGATTTACTTTATTGAGACTCAAAAACCTGATTTATTTACCCCTTATAAAGAAAATATAGCTTTTTGGAATAAGATCCTACTTTCTAAAGTATTTCGTCAGGATATAAACTTAATTTATTTGAAAAGAAATAAAATATATAAGCTTATTTTAATTGTTTACTTAAGCTCCTTCATTTTTAGACAAAGCTTTTCTAAAAATGGTTTTGAAAATATGCTAGTAAGTAATTTATTATTAAAAAGAATCTATCCATACTGATCTATTTTTATTTCATCTTTAAGTTAATTATTAAGTTTTTAAAGAACATATTCACCTTAACTAAAACTTTCATGAGCTGATATACTTTCTAATTATCTAATAGCTTTTATTCTCAACTACTTTGAGACATTTCTTTGCAACAAATAATTTAATACTTCCCTTTATTATATTCTATTTAAATAAAATATTTGAATTATTTAGGAAATATTTATATCTTAGAGAAACTTAATTCTCTTTTTAAATTCTAAGCTTAGTAAAAAAATGCTTTTATAAAGTCTCTATTAAAATAAGTTAAGTATTTTTAAAACTTATGATAAAATCCAATTTTTTCATTTTTTTTGAGTTTAAATGTACTATATTTATAAATTAGCAACGAATAAAAATTTTAATATTCCATTTATTTTCTAAAATAAGTATTCTATTTTAAATTTTATCAAAAATAAGAAAGTAATACATTTTTAATATAAACTTTATCCCTTAGATACTTAAGGAGGGGGTAGAGGGATTATCGATATGGGGCTCTTAGAAAAAAAGAAAAAATTATAGAATGAAAAAGTTATCTTAAAATCATAAAGTTAAATAAAATATCACCCTCTGCACCTACAGTAGTCTACATTTTAATTTCACGATTTGTTATATTTTATTCAATTTTACTAAAATAGCTTAATTATAGTGTTTACTATAATATTCACTATAATAAGTGGTATAAAAATTTGATGCAAAATATAAAATAAAATGATTACTTAAAAGATTTATGTTTCAGTTAAGATTATTTTAGAATTTCTCCAATTGTATTAATAGAGTATCCAAAAACAGCACAAGTAATTGTAATCATACCTGAAACGTATATCCTTTCTAAAGTTGTAACTGGAGTAATATCTCCATAACCAATGGTGTTAATTGTAATTATAGAGAAATAGAATGAAGTAATATAATTATGCTGCCAATTGTTATTTATAATATTTTATTGCATTAACCAGCTATAGTCATCTTCACTCCTTCCCAAAAAATAGAAGCCACAAGCAAATAAATGAGCTATCAACATTAAAAATAAAATTAATTTTGTTAATTCATAAATAGTTTAGCTATTTTCTGATCTATTTATTTTAAAAATTATGTTATCAATTATTGAAAATGTGTATCTTACTTTATTAAGACTATGGACTTAATATTCTTTTCAAGAATAATAATTTTTGGTATTCTTAAAAGGAATAGGCATTTGATTAAAAATATTTGAGAAAATTATTAGATAAAAAGAGCAGAGGTAGTTATTAAATCAATTGTAAAAGTCTACTTCAAGTAATTTTTTGCAATGGTTTTTTTATCTAAACAAATTACTCCATTGACGTAAATAGTTGAATTAAAACTACAGATTATTGAAAAAATAAATAATGATAATGAAAATTCATTTACGATAAAAGAAAATATTTGTTTAGCATCTAATTAAAAAGCTATAGAGAGAGGAACCCAAATAACTTATAATAAATTCATCAATAACTCTATGCATCTTAGTATAATCATAACTTTAGAATCTGATTAAAATGTTTTAATTTAACTAAAAATCTTAGGTAACTTTAAGAATCTATATTTATTTTTTAAATTTAATCTTACAAAAGACAGATCATTAATAACATCAACAAACCTTTCTTCTATTGTGTTTATGTTTCTTATTTTAATCTAAATTTTTTAATTCATTTAGTGAAATTAAAGTAAAAATAGTAGACATTAAAGAAAAATAATAAAGATTACATAAAATTTTAGCATTTTAACGAATTTTACTATAAAATAAAGTCTCTTTAAAAAGTTATTTTTTAGTGGGTATATAGTTCTTAAATTTTAACTAAAGAATTGTTAGTTTTAAGTTGATTCTGAATTGAATTTTGTTCTCACTTAATAATTACTAGGATTTATATCATCATTTTTCAAAAATTTATCAAATTATGATTATTTTTTCAAATAATTATCTTTCTTTTCATACAAACATTCATCTTTGCTTTAACTTTCTAACATGGTATGTTGATAATATATTTATGATTCTTGGCTTTTACTTAAGTTATTTTCATTCAATACATTTAGATATTAATTTTAACCTGTTATGCAATTCAAAGCATCTGTTGTATTGTAAAGTAGAATTTTAGATTCATTCAAATTAAATACTGGAGAAACATTTTCATTTTTGTCATTTCTTAGGCTTTAGGCTTATTAACATGTGCTTTCACCTTCCAATTCCTATAGACTTATATTTTTTTAGGGAGCTCCTTCTTCCATGTTAATTATAAACTATTAACGCCTTATCATAGCACCTTTTATTAGATCGTTACTTTCTTAAAATAGCATAAAAATTACTCTTCCAAATATATAAATCGAATTACCAAAATAGCTTAAAAAATATTAATTATTATGATTATTTCAAAAACCCTAAACCCTCTAATGGATAACTATATTTCTTTAGCAAAGCCTTTAAGCTTATATAAGTTTATTAATTTATTATTGCTCTTTAATACCTTTTTTACTTAGTAAATAAATTATTTTTATTTTTTAACAAAGTTATCTTTAATTAATTAGAAGTTTAATTAAAGACTGCTTACTTAATCTCCACCTAAATCAAACAAACATTATTATCAAAATATTAAGTAAATTTTTTCACTTTTAATTTAAAAATTTTTAGTACCATAAAAGCATCAACATAAAAATCAATTAAATATGAGTTAGTAAAATAAAAGTTTTCAATTAATTAAATTAATTAGGTAAAAATATGATTCAAACAAATTTTAATTAATTAATTATACTTTACTATCAAAATAAATTAATGCATTCTTGAAAACATTTTACTCAAAAATGTTCAACATTCCATTTATTCCAACCTCAAATTTTAATATGTTATTCTTGATATAAAATTTTAGTGAATGATTAAGATGACAATTTTATTTGTTTTTAAAACAAATTAAAAAATTTAAATAACAATAAAAAAATTAAATAATATAAACATTTATGTTAAATAGTTTCATTGACTAATAAATTTCAATTTTTATATACGAAAAAAAAAAAACATTAATTTATTTTTAAATTAAAGTTAGACTTTTAATCAATTTCACACCATAATTTAAAATTGAAATAATCAGTCATAAAAAAAAATAATTAATATTTCTCCAAAAATATAATTTTAAAATGTTAAATATATTTTATTGAGACAAGTAAATAAATAAATCATTAAACATTGCTTGTTCTTAAAAATTTAGTATTATTTTTTGAAAATGTTGTTCCCACTGTAGATTTTTTAGCTTTTTTTCTTTAAGAGCAAGTGTCATCAAATATAAAATCAAATCTTTTTTTAGGGATTTTAATGCGCAAAAGCTAAAATCTTTTTTTGATAACCTAAAGAACTTTTTCTAAGTTAAAAAGTGGGAAATAAATTTTGTAATCCTTTTATTTATCAAATTAATTTTCAAAAGGATTCATGTTTTCTAGAGTTTAATTATCTCTTGTATACTGGTCGAAAGTTTTTGTAAGAAAAGTTGTTTAGCCTACAGTACCTGGAATGAATGTTCCTCCTTGACTAACTTGCATTAAATTAAAGAGAGTTTAATTAATTTATTAGTTTGCAGCATTATTTATTTGATGAATTTGAGGTAAATTTATTGAGCCTCTTGGTTTTATGTTAGGGCTACTACTTAAGTTATATAATAAATTAGTAAAGCTTTGCTATGGATTATTAACTCCTTATAATATTTACTATTATTGAGCTATTTGAGTTAGCTATTAAAGTTGTTATTATTAAAGAATGATTTATTATTATATTGGCTAAATTAAGTGCTATGATCCCATTTATTGCTATGGCTAATGTTGGGGTTTTTCTAATTATGCTTAATGAGATTTCCTTCTCATCTTTTTATTAGTGTAATGCACATAATTTGACGTCTAGGAAGGTATGTAACCTGTATTTATTGATGGAGTAAACCCACTCATTTAACTTCCAATGTTATTCATTAGAGTCGAAATACCTTATGGTTATAGATCCTGTTTACTTGTAGGGATATTTTTAGAACTCATTGGTATCTCACCCGCAGAGCCATAAGATTCTTGGTAATCAACATTTCTATTCTGTTTCTTGTTTTTTTTGTTGGCATTCATATTCATTTCAATTGAGTCTTACATATTTTGTCTAAACAGAAAAAAAGACAGATAGATAGATAGATAGATTTAAATAATAATAGAAATTACTCATCGATATTTTATAGAGTTACCCTTCTTTTGCTATCATTCATGAATTATATTGTAGAATTTCTTTAAGCTTTTTAAAATAAAAAAATAAAAATTTTCAAATAAAAAGATTTCAATCTGATTTTATTCCAAATATAACTAAAGTAGAAAAAATAGAAAACCAATTTAGCATCACATTAAATTAATTTTACGCTTTTCTTTATAGTTTTCAAGAGACGATTCTACCACATTTTCGTCTTTTAATTACTTTTAAATAGATATTTCGTCTGCTTTTTTCAAAAACTAATCTAAGTTAGATTGTACTGCTCTATTAGCCGAGCTTGTTAAACCATCCTAATTTGTTTCAAATTCTTCTTCTTCTTCCTCCGAATCAAACTCATCCTCTTCGTAAATTAGGTCATTGCTTTCTTCTTAAATTTTTCTCTTTATCTCTTACATATTAAATAATTTAATTTGTGGTATTTTTTTTAAAAAAATTTTATCATCCCAATTGCAAATAAACTTTCTATCTAGTTGCAAAATACTTTAGTCAATATCAGTTACTTAGTTTTTGACTACATATTCATATCTAAACTCTTTTATATGCATTTTATTAAAGAAGCTGTTACACAAATTATTTTGCTATGTAAAAGACAAAATATATTATATCCTTTTTAAAAAAATAAATTTTTACTTTTTTTTATTTTCTATTAAAGATCCCTCTTTACTAAATAGAAGAAAACGAATATCTCTTAACAATAAGATCTCTATTTGGAATCACCGATATACATGGACAATTGTAAGTTAAATGAGTATACTACTTACAACACTTGCATTATTCTTATGAAAAAATATTATTACTAATATTTTGCAGTATAATATCACGAACCAAAAAAAATTTTTCCTTTATAAAAAAAGTAAAATTATTTCAAAATTTTATATTCATAGCACTTAACTTAACGTACATTATCATCTGGAAAATGGCTTAGAAGTTCTACAAAATCATCATACTCGCAGTATATAAGACTAGCTACATTCATACTTTTTAAAGTGTACTGATACTACTTCTAACAAAAAAAATTATTGAGTCCAACTATATTTCCAACCTAATTTTATCAGATGTAATATTAAAAGAAATAAAAATAATAAAATTCCAAAAACTACATTTAACTCTTCGATGATTGCATCCTTTTCTGATTAAAAGACTAAGTTTATAGATCCTTTATATATGAAATAAAGTCTTGTTGGAGAGGAACCCTTTTTCTGAAGTATTTCATTTGGATATAAACTATTTTGTAAATAGACGAATCAATTTAAAGGCATAGAATAAAATGTAAATTTAAACTTGATGTCTTTCATGAGTAAACTGAGCTTCATCAAAAACTATTTTGAAAATATTTTTTTGAATTATTTATTGTTTATAATAATTTTTCCAAAGTATTCTGTTTTAACCTCCTCCCTTAAGGAATCATTGAGCTTGTCCAAGACATATTTTCCTTAATTGAAAGTTTCTTAACTGATGATGTACTCAAGTTATCTAATAACTTTGATAGTAAGCTGTTTGGATACTTATCTCTGATTCAAATAGTTTAAGATATGCTTTTATTAAACTCTTGATAAAATATTTTTGTTTAGATATATAAATTATTTTAAAATAATATGCTTAAAATAAATTACTTAAATGATTCATAGTTTTGTTATTATTATCTGATAATTTCACCAATTGTGTTAATCGAATAACCAAAAACTCCACAACTAAAGATAACCATTATTAAAACAAATATCCTTTCACTCGTATTAACAGGAACTATATCTCCATATCCAACAGTATTCATAGTAATTATAGCAAAATAAAGGCATGTTACATATAACTATTCTATTGTATATTCAGATATACCCTTCTAAACTATCCAATTGTGGTTTTGATCTCCAGAATTGCCAACATAGTAAAACCCACAAGCACAGAAATGAGCGACAAATAATACAAAAATAATTAATTTTATAAGTTCATAGCAAGTTAAATATTTTTGTTTTCTTTATAATGAAAAAAATTTTTATTGTTAATTATAAATATTAAATAATGTTAAATTTATTTAAAATTTTGATAATAAATTTGTAAAGCTAATAAATAACTTTCGTAATTAATTTAATCTAAGAAGAAAAATATTCAAAAATATTTTAATAATATTTTTTTTTTTTGGGAATTGCATAAAAAACTTAAGATTACTTTGTAATTAGTGATGACTTCACATCATTTTCTAAGTTAAGAATTTAAGGAAATCTCAGAATTATTAAATAGATTAAAATCTTTTACTCTTACTGATCTTAAAGTATTAATGCTAGTGTAGTTATGACATCAATTGTGAATGAACCTTTTAAATACTTCATAGCTATTATTTTTCTACTTTAAACTATGTTTCCATCAATATAAACTGTTGTGTTAAATCTTACAATAATAGAAAAAACAAAAATCACAATAGAAGCCTAAACTAACAAAAATTCTAAAAAAATGCTAGGTTGCATTTAAAAACTTAACTGCAAAGGAAACCAAAATATTTATAGTAATATTACCAAAAGTTCAAGAATCTAAAATAAAATCATAAATATGCTATCCTTTTCAAAAATCTTAAAATTTATTATAAAACTTGGTAATAATTGTCTTCCAATAAATTTTGTTTTTTTGGTAATATTTTATTATACAAAAGAAACATCATTGATTAACTTAAAATAGTCAAGTTGCAAGTTAGCTATATTTCTTACTGATGCCTTTTAATTATTAATTAAAAAATTATGAGATTAAGCAAATAAGTAGAATTAATCAAATTCGTAATTTAATGAATTCTTCAAATAATTGATTTTTTCAATATTAATTAAGTATGGTTTTATATCAAAATAAATTACACTAAACTTCATTTTTTTTATAAAGCGGATAACATAGTAGAGTCTTTTCAAAAAATTATTCTTGGATATATTTTACTAAATTTGATTAAAGTGTATTTTTCGACCAGTATTTTACTGATTGTTGATTTACATAGCACCATTACTATTTTGTTTGATTGTTTTAAAATCAAAGTCTGTAACTTGGTTTGGCTTTAAGCTATTCTTCCTATTGATTTCTATATCTCCATCTATTTGAGATAGTCCTTTTCTAATAATTGCTGATTTATAAATTGAAATTTCTGCCTAATTATTCTCATTAAAATTATCAAAAATGTTAGAATCAGCAATATCATTGCCACTATGATCTTTTTTAGAATTACTAAATTTTTAATGCGTGCTAGATCCATCAGCGTTTAGATTATAATCTTTCGAAATATTTTAATAAATAAGATTTTATTCGAAATATTGTTTTTAAATCACATCATGATTTGAAGGAAACTAAATTTCCTATTCGCTTTCTAACTTCTTTTTAATTTAGTTTAAGGATCCATGATTTTTATTTTAATGATATCTATCATTCATAAAAACAGATCTTTTTTTAAGATCAGAGTCAGAGCAAAAATCCTATAAGTATGTCATATCTTCATCTTTCTTTATCTAAGAGCTAAGCTCTAATCTATTAAATTTTTGTTCAGTAAATGATTATTAAAGCTCCTATTTCATATTTATAATTATATAATTTCTTACTTAATTATTTATAATGAAATATAATATTTTCCAATTAATAAGTAGGAATGAATTATAAAATTGAATTCAATTTTCCTTCACAATTATAAATATAAAAAATAATACTATTTAATTTATCTAAAAATGTTAAACTAAAATTTAATCAAATACATGTTTTTAAGCATTCTAATTTAATCTATATTTCATAAATACTTTCTTTTAACATAAAAAGTTAACTTCATAGTAAGGATTTGAAATTTAACTATTTTAATTTCCTATTAATAATCTATTTAAATTGTTAATAATTTTATTAAAAGATTCCTTTAAATACTTAGTTAAATATTTTTAATAAATTAATTACTTCTATTATGACTTAGATAAAAAAATAATAAAATAATTTTATCAATTTAAAAAAAAAAAAATTATAGTAATTATTTTTATTGTTTAATAAAAAAAATTAAAAAGCTTAAAAAAATTATAATAATAAAATTAAAATGCATCACTAATTAATTCTTCAATAATTAAAAACCTTCTTTTGTAAAAAATATAATTTAAAATCTACTGCTAAACAAATTTGTTGTTAATTTTCTATTTAACTAAAGATTAATAAAATGAAATAAAACACCTAGATTTAATTTTAAAATATTGCACTTAAATGAATTAGATTATCATTATATAAATAATTTTTTAAATTAGACATAAAAGCTTTCTTTTACTCTTTTTAGAATTAAATTATTTATTTTTCATAATAATAATTCATTTATATATTATGTAATATTTTTAATTCATTTATTTGAATTGAAGTCTAAATCATTTAAAGACCGTAAAATATAATGCACAGAAATTTAATTTTAAGTTTATTATTAATTAATTATGAGCAATAATAGTAAATAAGAGGTATATAAGTACATAAACAATTTTTTGAAATTATATTTGCTTAATCATAGTTTCAAGAAATATTACTTAAGTGGTTATTATTTCTAAAAGTAGTAGAAGTATTTTTGCTAAATTATCTAAATTTATTTGATTATCTCCTTTTAAATTATTATTATTTTTATTTCTATTGGTTAGAGTAAGCTTTTTTAAAACTAGAAATAACTAAATTGTAGTTATTATGAGGAAAATATATTTTATATTCTTTCATTTTATCAAAATAATTAACAAAAACATCTAAAGTTTCGATGTCATCTTCTTAGTTTATTTGATTTTAAACATTTATTTTTCTTTCTAAATTAGATATTTCCTAAATCATAATTCTATTATTTCCTTTTGGTGAATTGACTTTATTAATACTTTACTGATATTTAACTAATTATTATGAGCTCTAAATTGGTAATTTTAACTCTTAGTTTAATTGAGAGATGCCAAAATCAACATTTTTCTGCTTATTTTATAATTCTTCATCTACATTTTAATTCTATTTAAGCTTTTTTTACTCTTAATCAATATTATTTTTTATTAATGGGCTTTAATCATAATCCTTTTCCCTTATTTAAAATAATGTTATTTTTAAATGAATATATTTTTTTACTTACGTTTCTTGTGAGGTTGTTACATCTTTGTTGTTTTATTTTATATTTTCATAATATGACAAAAAGCGTGAGGAAATTCTAATTTTATCTGAAAAAAATAAAGTTAAAATCTATATTTTATAAGGAACTATTTACTATTAAATGTCTCAATTTAGCTTTCTTCTTACTTTGATTGCTATTTATATTTTTAGTTTTGTATCGACATAGACTATGAATTTACGATTATAGATTACTCTACAGAAGTTAAACTATTTTAATTATTCCTTTCTCTAAATGTGTTATCTTCTTCTTAATCTATACCACTAAGTTTAATTTAATCTTCATAGCATACATTCTTAATAATCGGAACTCTTTAATAAAAATAATAATCTTCACATTCATACAGAGACTAAATATCTCCATACTAAAAAATTTATTCAATATCTTCTTTTTGTTCTTAAAGAATTTTAAAAATTCTAAATTCTTTTAGAGATGTTTTAAATTCGTTTAGATGTTAGAGAGTCTTATTCTAATTATATAAAAAATTGTTTTAATTATATAAAATACTTTAGACGCTAAATATTTATAAAAATTGACTTTTTACATGGGTAGTTTTTCTTCTATATGAATGATCTCTTGTTTAAACAAAAGGAAATATATATCTTTTGATAATGACATCTTTTTATGGCACAAAAGATAGACATGAACACTTGTAAGTTTGGTGTGAAAATTAATTACAACAACTACATCTTTATTCTTAACAAGCATCATTTGAAATATCTTACAGTAAAATATCTTTTAGCTTGTAAAAAGTCTCCTATTAAAAAAATTAATTTTATTAAGTAAAAATTACTTGAGTAATTTCAAAAAAATTTAATTTGTACATGATCTTCCTTAAAAGAAGAGAGTAGGTCTTTAAATTAATTATACTCGCAGTAAACAACTGTACAGATATTTGCACTTTTAAATGTGTTATCAGACTATTTTTACAATATAAATTATCTCAAGTTTATTAAACTTCCTGCCTATTTATAAATAAATTAATTAATTTTATATTTAAAGCAATTTTCTATAATTGTAAAAATTAATTTATTAACTTTTAAGGCATAGATTGTGTGATCATTTAAATCTCTTTCAAATACTTGATTTATCTGTCCTCTATAAATAAAGAAAATTTTATTGCTTACTTCTCCTTTTTTTATGACAACTTCATTAGGATAAAGCCTTACATTAAATATTTTAAAATAATTAATTAGTCATTTTTCTTTTCATCTAAAATGATAATTTTACTAAACGTCTTTCATAATTAGAGACATCTTATTCAAAAACTAAGTAGAGAAAAGCTTAGAAAACAATTTATTTGATTTAATAATTTTTCCATAAAACTAAGTCTTTACTTCATTTTGAAGTGGTTCATTTAGCTTTTATAAAGCATATTCGCCTCTCTAATATTTCTCATGCTTGTTTATGTACTCAAGCTATTTTATTACTTTAAGCATTAATTATTTACTAATTTGTCTTTTCTGAAGATAATTTAATACATCTTGCTACTAAATCCTAAATAAAAAAATTCAGCATAAAGAATATTGACTCAATAATATTTACAAGAAAGACTCTTATTCTTGAAAATTAGATCTAATTATTTCTCCAATAGCATTAATAGAATATGCAAATAATCCAGAACCAATAAATGTTATACTCATAACATAAATTTTTTCTTATGGACTAATAGGAGTTATGTCTCCATACCCAATTGTAATCATAGTTATTACAGAGAAATATATGCTATTTAAATATTAAATTGTCCATTCTTTATTTTATAAATTATTTTTATTGATCCAATTTTCTTCCCCTAAGCCTGTGGTTCCTACATAAAAAAATCCACAAGCTATAAAATGTGCTACTAAAAGAAGTAGTCCTATTAATTTGATAAGTTCATACTCAGCTTTAAACATTTTCTGTCTTCATTTATAATTAATAATAATTAATTAATTTAAAAAATCTTTTAATTTTGTATTGTTAAAAAAAATTAATATTTCTTTAAATTTTAGAAAATTAATTCATTATTAATTAATTAATTTAAATTTTTATGTTTTAAAGATTAAATTTAAAAATCATATACAAAAATATTTATTTTCTCTAAATAATGTAAAGAATAAAATAGCAAATAAACAATACATTTTATTTTATTAGGTGGGTTGAAAAATAAATATGCAAGAGTTTTAAAGAAAAAGAAATATTATTTTACCTCATGATCAAAGCTGTCTTAATTTTTTTTTCTATTGATGGCAGCTAGTAAAGTCTCAAAATAACAAGTGGTAAAACTGTTGAGTCATTGATATAACTGGATATTATTAAAATGAATGTAGTAGAGAAATCTAACATAAAGCTTGTCTTTAAATATCTTTTTGCTATTTCTTTTCTATCAATAGCTAAATTTCCTTAGAAGTATACTGAAGTGTTAAATCTTACTAAGATAGAAAAAGAAAAAATAATGGAGGAAAATTAAAAAAGGGAATCATCGAAATTTTATTATTTTATATGGAAAATTTTGTTCATAGGTATCCAAGTTGATTGAAGAAGAATTGTTATGAACTAAATAAACTCCCATATTATGATTCCAAAGCTATCTTACTAAAATACTTAAATTTTGCTTAAAATATATTCTAATTTAAGAAGTAAATATGGCTTGTCTTTTGTACTATCAAAATGGGAGGCTTGGTCATCGATAAGATCAGAAAAACCATTTTAAATATGACCAATGCTTCTAAATAAAACCTAATTAATTAATAAGAAAAGTGAATAAATATTAATTTTTGTAAATAACACTTATTCTTTTAAATGCTTACATTAAATTTAATTTTTTTTAAGAATTTAAGAACAAAGTATATTCTTTTTAAGAAATTTGACTTGTAAATAACAACAGTCTAATCCATATTTTCCGTTTCACCCTTAGTTTCTTTACGATTTTTTTAATATTAAATTATAATATTATGAATATTTAAGCTTTTATTCGTCTATGAAGATTATGAGTTTTCATATGTTTCAATTTAGCGGTTATTATATTTTAGTAGATTTATTTGATTTTTGTGTAAAAATTATGAAAAGTTTTCATACTAAGTATTTGTAACATTTTCAGTATTTTCTTCAAAATAATTGGTGTGTATATGCAGCATATTTTTATCTTAATTTTATAAAGTATTTTTTTATTATATATTTTCATTTCCTAAAGAACTTTAAATAGATCTACTACTGTTATTTAAAAACTCAACATTTTGTGAAAAATGTACTTAATCAAATTCAGTGTCATTTTCTTTAAAATACTATATAGTCTTGGTGTTACAAATTTAACTCTCTTTTATTTCTTTAGGTTTTTAATTTTATTAAGGACTATTTCTTGATGGCTAATCTTAATATAACTATTAGCTATCTAGCTCTTAAGAATCATCTTCTTTCCTCATGTTAATTTTGTTAAATCCATTACAGCTGTTTTATTTCTCGTAATATGCTCTTCTAAAAACACTTCCTCTCCTCATATCTGCATTATCATCTTCATTGCTGTTTTCTAATCTTAAAGCGAGAGAATTACTTCCAAATTGAATTGTTTAACTCATAGATTCTGAACATATTTTAGCTTAATCAGTTATCATAATTAATTAATTTATTTTACTTTTAGTTTGTTTTTATTATTTACAATTTTAATAAATTTTATGTATTGTAAAAAAATAAATAAGCTATTTTTACAAAAAAAATTACTTTCTTCTACTAAAAAACATACTTTCTTCTACTAAAAGCAATTTTTCATATTAAATAGATCATTTTCCTTTACTAAAAGCATAATTTTAGTTCAGAAAAAAATATTGTTTACAAAATCAATGCTTGACATTAGTTTTCAAAAGTTTTTTAATTTATTATCAATTATTTTCAATCTCTTCTATTACATTTATGTAAAAGCTATTTCAGATAAATTACAATTACTAGATTGAATATTTATGCCTTTAAATTTAACTAAAACTCAATAAATATTTTGATAGTCACTTGATAACTTGGCTTGACCCAATATGTTTATTGGTAATATAATTATTATAAATTAAGAAATTGCTTTATTTTAAATACAAAATTAAAAAAATATCTTATTTTTAAAAAAAATTTAATTTACTTGGTTAAATACTAACTAAAGCACCGATGGTTTAGTGGTAGAATAGAGCGTTGCCATCGCTTTGACCCGGGTTCGATTCCCGGTCGGTGCATTTTTTATTAATAAACAAATTCCTAACTTATTAAAAATAAGTAGTACATTGTGTTTAAGTTATTTATCGTAAGCATCGATGGTTTAGTGGTAGAATAGAGCGTTGCCATCGCTTTGACCCGGGTTCGATTCCCGGTCGATGCATTTTTTTATTATATTTTTTGTTTATAAACAAACTCGATATAAAAAATGCTCTACTAGATAACAAATATCAAAATGAAACAATTTAATTCTATCTAATTAATAACTGTTATATAAAACATTTATTTAAACTAAATAAGTTAATAAAATAATATGAATAGGTATGAATGAATTCATCAATCAAATGCATTTTTTTCTAAATCGATTTCATCTTACTAAAGTTATTTTTCTTCATCTGATAATTTAGTAACAATATTTTATACAGCTATCCCTCCATTAAGGAAAGATTCTTTTTCATGAGCTTATTCTCCATTGAAATTTGGATTTCCTTCTGATTGAGCAAATAGCATCTATTAATTCTACGAACTCTATACATTATTGCTTACAGATAAATCGGTTTCTACTGGAATACCATTTTATTCATGTTAGATTTAACTCTCAGCTGCATCTGTTTATGTAATTGAATCATCTCCTTTAAAAGCTTAGTTTGGAAAATTAAAGTCTCCTGACCCTACTGAACTACCAGAAAAATCACTTTCTCCTAATACTTTATCATTAATAGAATCATTTACTAAATCACTTCCAGTAAGAAAAGTGTCTGCTTCTTCAACTACTTCTGTTTATTAGGTATTTGTATTTTCTGTTGGAATTTCATTTTCATGATGCTATATTGTACTTTGCTAGCTTTCTTATTAAGATAAATTAGGATCTCCTCCAAAAGCTGAATTTTAATCTTAATTATCACCAGAACCAATGCCTTATTAAGCCTAACTGTTTCCACCTTATGTAGTATCACTAACAGCTTATTCGGTAAGATCAGATCCTGATAAAATATTATTTAATTCTTATTGATTTTAACTATCAGCTGTTTAACCATTCTCTTCATCGTAAGTTTAATTCCCTATAACATCATTTTCTGTATCGTTTGTATCTCCTTCAATAACATTTTGTTAATTTGTTTAATCTACTGTTTCAAAAGCTTTTTCTTATCCAGGTGGTACAAAAATAGGCAATTTATTTTCTTCAAAGGTTCTTTTTTCTTTTTAATTATCGAATGGTCTCTTTGCAAAAGGATTTTATGCTAACTCTTCAGCAAAATGATCATAAGGATCTTATAATAAAATTTGCAATTACTAATTCTTTTAAAATTCTGGAGTTAAGTGCTATTGTTATTTTTTGTATTTTCTAAGCATTGGAACTGCTCTTATTAAACACACTGTAATGAGCAAAACTAAAAATAGCTTTGCTGAAGATTTCATTTTTAAAATAAGTGCTTATATGTGTTTGCGTATAAATTCTTATAAATTTATCTAATTACTTAAATCTTTAAAATTAAAAACAGTTTATACTTTAGCAATTGAATTCTCTTAAAAACGGTAACAATCACTCAATAACAAGCGATTTTCAATTTAATGAATTAAAAATTATTTGAAATAGATTTATAATCAATAATAAAATGTTCATAAAATTTAAAATATTTTTGTAAGTCAGTCATAGTATTTATAAAAATATAATTATTTAAATCAAAAAGAATAAATAAATGTATCTAAGTTATATATAAAACATTTGCAAATTTTTTATATTTTGTATTTTAAGAATAATTGTTTCAGTAGTGTTTGATATAAGATGAAGAAGATTAGATAAAATATGTAAGTATCAAGATTTATATGATTCACAATTTATTAAACTTTTGAATATAATTTTATTTAAAATCAAATAAAATCCTTTAAAATATTATTTTTTAAATTAAATTAAATTTTAAAGTGTGTCTTCAGAATTAATATAAAAATTAATCTAATTTAATAATTAAAGCTCTTTTAATTATAATAATTTTAAAATACTTTGATAGATAGTTTTTAATTTTTTGCATGAAATAGCGATTATTTAGATTAATAATTTAGTAATATTGAATTATAAATTTATGATAATGTATAAAATAACTTTATAAAAATGTATCAAACTTATTTTGCTCTTATTTGGTTGTTTAATTATATGATAAGAGGATCATTTTCTTAATATCCTGCTGTTCGTAAATAGTAGTCTCTTTCATAAATAAGTCTTTCTAATTCTCCCATATTATCCTAGTTCCAATCATATTCTTCATAGTTGGCATTTTAGTCTATTACGTTTGAATAAGTAGGATCAACAACTAAGGCTTTTGGAATTTCTTATTGATTTCTTCTATATGCAGTGGCATTAATATTCATGTTAGGCTCTACATTCTCTTTTTATTACTTAAGCAGTTAAATTTCATTACGGAGTTGTTCAATTTCTCCATTATTTTTAAAATTATTTTCTTCTTTAAGCATTTCATATTGCTTCTTTTGTTTAAGCAGCTCAGCTCTTAACTTTTCGTAGTATACTTTATGCTATTCTTTGATTTCGTTTGCCTTTTATAGCTCTTTTTTAAGTTCTTTTATTTCAAGCATTTTATCTTTAAGCTCATTTTTAACTAAACTTATAGGTGAGTTTTCTTACTCTTTTTTGTATTTTTCATATTCTTTTTTCATGTTTGCATATTCTTCTTTCAGCTATTCGAACTTAATTTAAAAAAATAATTTTAAAAACTTCTAAATTATATTTAACAAAATATAGATAATTAGTTAGATAGATACCTCTAGTTTCAAAGCTGTCTTGTCTTTTTCTGAATTTCCCTACTAATCTTTAATTTTTCTTTTTAAAACAGCTATTTCTTCATCTTTTAGAGAGATTTAACGAGATGTTTCAGTAATTCTTGTTTTAAGCTCTTCTTCAAGTAAAACGATTTTTTATTCTCTTTTTTGTAACTCCATTGCTTTTTCTTTGCTTTTTTTATTTAGCAAATTCATACTTGCTTCTATCTTTTTAAATACTCTCTCTTTTTCAATTTCTTTTGTTCTCCATTCCTCACTCAATTTTTAAAGGAACTCCATTTCTTTTTGTTTTAATGTAATTTTAAATTTAGCTTCTTCTGCTTTCTTCCATGTTTCTAATTCCCATATGATTTTATATTCTAAATCTCCAAATAAGTCATTCTTTTCTGGAAGTACTACTGCTGGATAATCTACATCTTAATCTCCTTATTAATTTATATTATTATTTCCTTCTAATAAGTCTTGAATTTCATCATTTGACTTAATTCCTAACTATTTTTCTTTTCTTATTATCTATTCTTTAGGACCTAAATCTTCCAAGTAAAATATTACCCTTAACTCTGCTACTTTTTTTATGGGGTTTCTATTATCATCAACCTCATCTACAGGTAAATAAGCATCCGATACCTTCGCATAACTTTAGCTTGTTTTTCTTACTTGTCCTTTCATTATATTCTTTTTATAAGTTAAAAACCATAAAATAAAACTTTTAACACAAGGTAAACTTTTCTATCAAATGCAAATGAAAATTTACAAATTACATTTTTTCATTTTTTAAATAAAGCAATTTTTTTTAATTTGATTTTATAATAAATAAATGAAAAATAAATTTAGTGTTTTACTGAAAAATTATATTTGCATATTCCAATCAAAATATCCTTTTTAAGCCTATCTTAGTGCCATAACTCGATTTCAAACTCTCCCTATAATCTATCATTTAAATTAGCCTATGTACAATCGAAAGTATAACTTCTGAAGCTATTTGGGAACTTCTCTTCAACTCGTGGCTTAGTAATAGATATAGGTGGAGCGGATTTGAATTGCTTAATATTTAAATTTATTAAAGATTAATATCTAGCATAAATGTTTCCCCTAAAATCATGCTCTTTAAGAGAATGAACATCAATTGAAAGTCTAAGACGATGTTCTGGATTTTAAGGGTTCTAATTTGCCTCAGATTACTTATTAAAATCTTTAATTTCCTTGTTTTCTTCTTCATCTAATTCAAAATCTTAAGAATAATTACTCATATTATACAACTTTAAGCAATATTTTTATAAACAAGGCTAACTATTTATTATGTATCTTTTTAATTTAAATTAAATTCAATTAACTAGTCTTCTTTTTCTTTTAATTCCAGTCAATCAAATTGTTATTTTTTTATTAATAAATTTCAAAAATTGATTAAAGATGTTAGATTGATTGACTTCATTAATTTTTAAGTATTCTATCATTAATTCAAAATCTTTCAAATCTATCTATCTATCTATCTATCTATCTATCTACCTACCTACTTTTCTATTATTTTTAAAGTTACTTTATATTGAAACTATTTTTAAAAATGTTATTTAGCATTTATAAAATAGATTTTTAATGAATTTAAAATATTATTGAAAATCAATATTTATTTAAAATTCTGCTTTATTAGATAAATTAAAAACTCTTAAAGAATCTTTTATTATCCATTTTAAAATCATTTATTTTAATTTTCTAAAGTAAATAAACATGTTGTCTTTATTTTTTTAACAAAATATATCAGATAAAATATTCATAAATGTTTATTTTTCAAAATATTTTTTCTGATTGACAGTATTTAATATTAAAGTAAATTGATATTTAAAAACGTAGTTATTAATAAAATAAAGAAGTAATATATGTAATTCGTAAATATTGAATTACCAGAATTCACATAAATTTTTGCAAGAAATAGCATCACCTAATCAAATTTTCTGCAAGAAAATGAATATTTTGAAAAACCTAGAAAAATGGTGAGCAATAAAGAGTATATTGTTTGGGTATTTGAGGAGTGTTTAGATCTGAACATTTTTAAATAAAAGCTATAAAATACAAATCTAACAAAAAGTATGAGGTAGATTTATAGATCGGAGTTAAGATATTTAGCTATTAATTAAGATAATAACTCAAAAGACATTCAATATCATGAAAAATATAAAACTTTCTACTTAGGATGCTCTCTTTAAAATGCTAAAATAAATTAATTTGATATTTCGCAAAATCATTTAGTAGCACTAACAACTGATGGACTTTTGATTGTAATTAATATGTAGCAGAAATAGTAATAATAAAATCATCATGCATCTCAATTAGCTAAAACAAGTTCTTCTTCTTCTTTTTCTCCATAAAAAGGATTGGCTTAAAATATTTAATAGGAATAACTATTTAAAATAAATCTTTAAGATAATTATTTTGTTAGAATTATTATGGCTGAAAACTAAAGCGATTATTTTTACGCTCTTGATAATTAAAATAGCTTTTATTAAATTTCTTTTTTAGATGCAAAGATAACAAATATTATAGAAATTGAAAATTATGATTCCTATGTAGGAAACCATGAAGGATAAAGAATAAGGTTAATTGAAATAAATGGGTATGGCTATTTACTTTATTCTCTCTAGAACTATATGTTTTACTTAGAAACTTAAATCATTAATAATTAAAAAAACAAGGGTGTTATAAAAAAATCTCATTATATGAAGGATATTTCATTTAATTTAATTTTATCTTCCTTTTAGAACAATATATTTATGATTAATAATCAATATAGCTCAAGGTATTATTTGTTATTTGTTGAAAATGTTAATGAAGCTGAAAATCAATAAATTTTTAACTAAATAACTAAATATATATACAGCTTTTAAGCATCGCCTGAAAAAGGTAACACTTAAACAAATAGTAAGATATGTGAATTTATCTAATAATTTAATAACTAAAAAGCTCTATTTAAAGATATAAAAAAAGCTTGGTCTTTAAAAATTTGTAAACTTCTCTAATAAATGGATAAAGATTATTATCATTAGCTTTTCAATAACTATATTATTTATTAATTGTCAAAATATCTGTTGAAACACTAACTAAATATATTAGATTTAATATAAATATCAGTTATATCGCTCTTTCAATTAAATCCCAAATACTTAAGCATTTTACTTTATCAATTAGAATCTATTGTAGTTGATTTTAGGATCAAAAATGAAATATGGGAAAAAGTTTGGGATTATATGCCTCTCTATGATTTAGAAAGAGAATAAGATGACCCTGATTATAAATCTGAATACATAAAAGTATGTAAAATATTAGGTACTGATAGCTAAATTAATTTTTTGTTGACAGAAAATTGAAATTTTTATATTTTATTTTCACTATTTTGTAAAAAAAAAGAATTATTTATTAAAAAAAATTGATATCTTTAATTTTTGTTTGAATTTATTTAATATCACAAATTATTATTTTCTATTATTGCCAATTATTTAGTAAGAGTAATTTAAGGTAAATTCGAAATTTTTTTAATTTGAAATAAATCATAAAATCTTTAAAAATAACATAATAGAAAAAAATAATTTTAAGCCTAATATCTCTTTAATTGAATGAATAAATGTTTTAAATTATAGAAAAGTTATTTTTTAAAAAGTAGTTACTATGTATGAGTAATATTTAAGTATAAGTCGGGTAAATCAATAGTTATTATTTTTTTGTTGTTGTAAAAAGAAATAAATATAAAACACTTGAACAAAAGATTTACTTCTAAATAGTATTTGAATTTTCAAGTTAAACAATATATTTGTTATCAATTTTTAAAAGAAAAGTATCGTTTGTCAGTTTTTCTCAAAAAAATTAATTATATACTTAAACGAACGACAAATATAATAATATTTAATAATCTTCAAGTATTACTTTAAAGAATAAATAAATATTCTTTGCAAACAATTAACAAGTTTAACGCTACATTTTAAAGATTAAGAATAGGTTTAAAATTAAGATAGGATTAAGAAATCATTCAAAATTTTCAAAATGCATACAAATTAAGAGTTCAATATAGAAGACTATGTTGACGATGAATAATCAAGTTCCAATTTTCAACCATAGGAAGATTATGAAGAAAAAGTTGTACTAAAATATGGACATACAATTCATTTGCAATTATCTGAAATTAGCGATTGTTCTCTAACTACTGATGGGTTTATGAATCCTAAGTTGTTTATTGAAAAAATTAGCTTTTCAAATCAAGATAAAGCACTTTTTATGATTTATCCTAGTTTTAATACAAGCAATTTAGACAAGCTTTCTTAATTGCCACTAATGAAGCCATAAGAAAAAAAAAACTTTGAAAAAAGAGTTATAGATGACTATAAGTAGAATTTGGACATATTTGAGAAAATGAAAGGCTTACCTGTAGTTTTTGATACTCCTTTGTAGTTGTTAAATATAAACACCAATAAATTTCTTTCTTGCAATTATCATGAAGCAGGTTAAATTTTTAAATATTTTATTTATTTATTGAATTCAAAGCTGAAATGTATATATTTAGATAATAGTTAATAAATGATAAAGATAAGATAATAAATTTTTTTTATAAATTGAATTAAAATAATAAAGGTTAACTAAAATTATTATTATAAATTATTAATATAAAACAAAAAAGAAAAATTTCAAATAATATTTTAAAAAATATTATCTATTTTATTTGCGTTTAGCTTCAATTTTTAAAGTCTATAATTTGTGGCAATATCAAAAAGACTTAATTTTATTTATTATAATTTCAAATAAAGAGGAAGAAAGATAGAATTTTAAGTTAGAATTACAAAACTTTTCTTCTAAAAACACACTATTTAAGATAGTTCCTTCATATATTCATTAAGATCAAAAAGATGGGTATTTATTTTATTCATTAATTAATATAGAAAATCTTTAATTATTTATTTATTTAATGATTTATTTTAAAGTGTTGTTTTTTCAAATGATGTGATATTTTTAGTCTCTGCAGAGAAATATCTTGAAAGGAATCCATACATATAGTGTAATACTTAGCAGTACAAAAAGTACATGTAGTCGGTTATGACAAGCTAACACTTAAATAGATAGTCTTTTTTCCAAAGATCTCCTTCAATTATTAAAAAATCAAAATAAGAAAACGAATTACCATTTAGTAGCAACTAAATGGCTTAGAAATTTGATAGGGCTAGTAAAATGATGTTTGTATAAACAGAAACAAAAACTCTTGAAATGGGGCAAGAAATCATCAGTGAAAATAAACTTGACATAATCAAACCTAAACCACTTATAAACAATTAGACCTCTAACAAAAGTGGAAATCAAACTGTTTAAAATAACTAAGAAGATCTTAATTAATCTTCTGAACTAAAAAGTGGATAAGATAATAATTAGAATATTCATGAAACTATCCGACCAAACTAAGTTCATAAATTTAAAAAAGAAGTAACATAAAAAAATATTTAACTTTTTTTTTCAATAGCTTTATAATTATTTTAAATTTTGTTTGATAATTTAAAATTTATTTTTATTTTTAAAATTAATTCATAGGTTGATTTAAAAGGTGGAGCAAATTAAGCAACAATTTTACCCTCAATAGATAATCCTAATATCATTTAGTTAAACAATTAAAATATAATTCCTGTTAATCCCTCTCCAGTTTTCCCTTAGAGCTAGTTTTAAGATTAACCATTAACTCTTAATAAATTTGAAGAAAATAGGAATTACTAAACTGAAGTAAATGTTTCTCTTGAAAACAAAACAAAATGGGTTATTAAAAGCTATTGCGAAGTACATAAAGACGAAGAAGTCATAAAGTAATGTTCTATATAATTTAATTTATTATATTTAATCAAGAATTTTTTAATGATAAGGTACGGAGATAAAATATGGCTTCACCATTTAGAAACAGCAAACAATATTGTGACTTAGAGAAATTTTATTATGAAATAGGAAATACAAAAATAATTTCACCTTGAAAATGATGAACACAAATAAGATTAAAATCGCTACAGATAATGTGTTAAATTTGAAACTACAACAATAAAAGACAGTACCTTTTCAAAACATACTGGAAATACAAAAGGTATGTGGATTATTGAAAGAAAGCAAAAACTTAAAGGTGGTCCTGCAGAATTTAAACAGATTGTATTCTTTAAACATTTTTCAAGTAGAAAGTATCTATAATTAGGTATTTTATTTTAGTTATACATACTTTTTTTATGAATAAATAAATTAAATTTTTTATTCAATCTAGTTAAATTTCCTTGTGGTAAGGATTAGTATGCATACTATTTTGATTTAGCTGACGAACCAAATTTAAGTTGCTCATTTGTTTTGATCAAGCTTCCATCTTCAGGCACAAAGAATTAAAAGTATATAACTAAGGAGTCTTTCTTCTATCTTAAGTCTGTAGAATTTAAAGTCTATATCAATGTTTCTTTTAGAAAGGGAAATACTAATTTAGAAGAATATTTGGGATTTAATTAAGGTGTTGATGTCTCTGAAATACAAATTGATGAGGCTGCATTTAAATTAGATAAGGCAACAAACTCAGAAGTTTTGGAAACATATTTCCTAACACAGTGCTTACCTATTCTTAGCAAGAATTTAGATACATTTTAAATACAACAAAAACGAAATGCAACAAACAGGCTTGATTAAAAGAACAAAGAAAATGTTATTCTTCTGAACCAACTAGAATAGACTATAGAAGATATTAAGCTCTTTTGTTTGAATTAAATTATATTAACCTCGATTGAAAATTAGAGAAATTATTCTAAAGTAAGTTTTTATAGATAAAAAATAGTACAGGAACAATACATAATAGGTAAATTACTTTTTATTTTTATTTAGCTAGAATTCTATTAATTATAATTAAAACTTATATATAATTAGATGAACTTATTGAAATATTGAAATGCATAGTCAAAGAGTCTGACCTTTTAAAATTAAGAAACGAAAGGAAATAAGAAAGTTACAAAAAGGCACAAATTAAATTTAGTGATAAAACATTGTAAAATATAGAGAAATTAAAAAAAGCAGTTTTAAAAGAGAAAGGCATCAACTTAAATTTATATTTGTCCAAGTTTGGAAAAATGTCATTCGTTAATAACGAGTAAGGAAAAGCCTTCTTTTTTGCTATTGGTAAATTCGAAGAAGATAGAGTACAAGCTAGAGCTAAATACCTATAAGATAAAATACACGTACTGAAAAAAATTTATGGACTTCTAACAATTGTAATTAAGGATAATACAGATAATGTCAATTTAATTTATAGAAAGCTTACCTAATTCTAAAATCATGCTGCTTATATTAAAGAGGCTGCAGATTTCGTTATTTCAATTGTTAGTTAGAATGAAACAATTCTAAGTAATTTATCAGATGATATTAAGATTACTGAGAGTCTTGACAATCTCTTGACAAGAGCTCCAAGCTTAAAGATATTTTTTCAAACAAGTGACTAAGCCTACAGAAGAGACACTTATATCACACCTCTAGGTGATATTCCAAGAAAACCAACAGACAATCTTTTGCTATTTTTTAAAGAAAATGCAATTACATAACATAAAGAAAACCTTAAATCAAAACTTACTCACATGAAAGATCCAAATATTCTTAACTTCTTTAGAAATGTAAATAAATTTATCAATTTAGATTTTAAGTTTTTAAAATAATTTTTTTATTCAACAAAAGATTTGTAAGTTTTAAGGCAAGGGTGTTTCTGTAAATCAAGAATAGATTCATAAGTTTTGTTTTGAAAACGAAGTTCCTACTGATTTCTATAGGAGTTTATTTTATAAGCTAGAAGGAGAAGAAAAGAGACTTAAATTAGACTTAAATGGAAGAATTATATAAATTGCAAGCTAAAAAGATCTGGAAGATGTTTCTCCAGATATCTATGGTTATGTTATAGATTAAATCAATTTATGTGCTGATTTATGCTTAACAAGAAACTATTTGTGGAAAAAAGATTTAAAAGGAGTAATATTTATTCTAATTATTTATTTTTATTATTAAGATAATATTTGATACAATTTAAAGTATTGATAATTAACTTTATATTTTAAGTTTATTATTTATTTGATTGTTTTTGTTTGCTCATGATTTTTTTAAAAAAATAGTTTTTCCCAGTCGAATTTGTTTTCAAAGTAATTTTCGATAATAGCGTAGACGAAAAACTTAGAAGCGCTTTTTGTAATTTGGCAAGATCTTTGTATGTTGATCATGAACCTTTAAATAAAAAATAAGTTCCTAATATGTGTCGTATATTTAGAGGGCTGGAAACTGCTAAGAAATTCAATAAAGACGAAGAGGAAGATGATCATAATGACAATATTATCTATGCTTATACAATCGATAAAATAATTAGATACATAAACTAACAGTACATAAAGCTCAGAAAAAGTTATGAAGAGTTCTCTGACTAAGAGCTTAATAAAAAAGCATTAAAAAGTTTGAAAAGTAATTCATTAAAATATTATTAATAGTTATATATTTTTTTTCTTTTCAGAAGAAGAAGGTAATGATTAAGATAAGTAAAATCCTGTTGTTTTTGATGATGGCCTAACACTTGATATTATCAAAATGCTTACAACATTTGTTAAATTTGATATTTTAGCTTTATTGAAGTAATAGTATATGTATAGAAGTATTGTTACAACTCTTTTGTAGCTCTTAGAGTATGATAAAAATTAAAGTCATATTTCATATGTTGTACAAAAAGTTCGCCAAGAAAGATTTAATAGAGCTTTTGATGATCAAAATAAAAATAAATTACTCTCTAATTTTACTGGATTTATAGGTAACTATAAAATAAATTTTTATAAATATTATATAAAATATTATTTAAATACAGTGAGTGCTTCCAAAAATATAGCTTAGGCTGGTAAAGAAATAGCAGGTGAGGTTGCTGGAATAGTTGGTGCAATGATAGGTGTTTCATATGGAAAATCTAGTGAAGAAGCTGATAATGAATAATTTGAAGCTACCAATAGTTTATATGCAAAGAATCCTATGATAGGGGGACTTGTAACTTTGAAAAGCATGTTTCAAAAAGTATATAGTGAAACTGAAGATTAAATTGAAGTTGAAATGAAAACAGAAATTTGTGAATTATTTATTTTCTAGCAAAATTCTAGAATGGATTTCCTTATCACAAATTTCCTTTGCTGGTATGATTAAGTTAGTAAGAAATTTTGCAATCTTAATAAAGAAATGTGAAGATGAAAATTTTTTTTTTAATTAATTAATTAGGTAAAAAATATACTGATTTCTCAAACAAGAAAGTAGCAGCAGAAATAGAAGATGATATTCCAACAATTATCCCAGAGTTATATAAAGTAATTAAATGAATTTGCTTATTAAAATTATTTACTACAAATTAACTAAATTAGACTGGTGTAGACGAAATAGAAATGAGAATTATGCAAATGACTGAAAATCTAGATCTTAAGCTCAATTTTGATATTACAAATATGACAAATATGCTTAAACTTAAAAAGAAGAAGAAATTTTAAAATTATACTTCTTTAGAGTTAGTATTAAATCTTGATAGCTTACTCGAAGGAGACTTAGAAAAAATTATTTAAAAAGAAAAAAGCTAAAAACAAAGAAATAATTGGTAAGCAAACTTAGAAAATCCTTAAGATCCTGCTAATTCTATTAAATAGGAGGTTTTACCATCTCTCCTTTTCAGCTTCTATATGACAAAAAACCATAAAGTAGAAGACAAAGTAATTGAGGTTTTAAGAAATTGTTTTAATCAAACAAATATACTCTTCGACAATTTGTATAATCTGGAAGTTCTTTTTGACCAAAGAGATGTTGTCCCCTACATCCTTCTTGATTAAAAAATAGCTAAGCTCAGATAGTTTGCAGAGGAGTAATATCAAAAACTTAAATTCAATATATTTTAAATTAAATTTATTTATTTATTTAAAAAGGTCTGAAGTTTGGCTAACTGACTTTTTAAGAACTTAACAAGTACCCGACAGAATGAAATAAACACAAATAATCTTAAACGAAATTAATGAACTATTTTACTATGATGTAAATATTGTAGATGATAAGATAGTTATTCCAGCTCATAAAATTTCTAGTGAAGAAAAATAAACTAGAAGATAAATTGATAAAGTTAGATAGAAAGTATTTACATTTTTGTAAGGCCATGAGCACCTCATTCAATTAGTAAAAGATGCTTAAAACTAGATGGCAAAGCTATTAAAATCAAAGAATGTTAGTAATCCTTCCAAATATTCTATTTACAAACTATTATCAAGCCTCTACAGGTGCTTGACCCTATACTGTGATAACTATGAAGTAAATATTTAAACTATTATATAGTCCTTCCTTAAAAATATTTTTTTAAATTTGTTAATAGGAAAATCAATAAATTCTATCAAAATATACTGGTTTCTTTTTAGATGAAATTTAATTCGATTTTGGATAATTAGACTTAGTTTGTTCCATTTATAAAAATAACAAACATCTCTGCGAGAGCTTTTCTGATAACATAGCAAATGTACTTATCAATAATATCACATACATTGGCAGATAACCCAGATTCTTGAAACTATTTAAAATAATTCTTAGTTACAAAGAAAAAAATAATAGACTACCTACAAATTTAATTGAAAATCAAATGAAGGTTATTCATTGGTTTTTACCTAAGGACAATTAAGACAAAAATGTAATTTATTTTTAAATGATTTTGATACACTCATAATTTATTATTTTAATATTAGGAAATTTAGAGATATCAATAGCTTTTGTATTGCACTATCGATTAGAAAAATAAATAAAGTGTTTAATTTAAGTTTGAGAAGCAATAAGAAAAATCTGATGTATAGTTGAGAGATGTTCCCTATCACTATCATGCAGAGCTCTTAGATTTATTCTTGTAGAGTGTAAAAGGTGACGAAAGCTCCTCGATTAATACTTCAAAACTTAAAAAAGTATTTCCTTAATCTTATATACTCGATCTACTTGTCAAGGAAGACTCATTTGTCCCTTCAGATTAGATGTATCAGACCTTTAAAATGCCTAAAAAAAATGATAAAAAATTAAATGTATATATTTATGATAACACTATTACATATGATGTAGATGACGAGAAAGAAGGATTTAAAATTCTTAAGCCTAAGGTATTAATAGATTTAAGATATTTTTATTTTATAAACTCATTAAAATATAAATAAATAACTTAGTTAATTGACTTCTTGTTAGCCATTTATTTCAATGAAGATAAACCTTATAGTGATTCTATCAAAGATCACAAGAGGTTCTATCAACTTTGTGAAATGGAATATTAAAGATTATCTAGATAAATAGATTAATTTCCTTAAGACTATATTCACTACATTTGTGGAAAAATTTTAAAAACAGCTCTATTCTATTTCAAAAAAGTTATACTTAGAGAGAATTAACAAGATTATAAAGATTAAGATGAATACAAAATTCTTTATAATATTTCTACAAGACTATTCGAAATCAGGTTCTAGTTTGATGAGTTGCTAAATAAATAGGAGTTTTAAGATTATGCTGAATTTATGAAGAACATTAATGAGCAATGCTATAATTAATATACTGAATAAATTAACGCAGCTGAAATGAAGCCAGATAATGTATTTATTTTTTTTTTGAATTACACTTAATTATTATGATTCTTAAAAAATAAAACAATAGAAAAAGAATGAGTATGATGAGGAAAATAAACTTCTTTGGAAAGCTTAATATAACTGGAAAATATTCTTGAGCATTTGCAGAAATTCAGAACTTGTCAAAGATACCATAGAAACAGAAATCTCCATTCTAGCTGAATCTATTCTAAAGATAAAAGATATGTTCCCAGAGCAATACAGAAAATAATTTAAAATAGACATTTAATATTAAGATATTATCAAAAAATTGATTCAATACCTTTACACAGGGTTAGTTAACTAAGTAAAACATTTATTTATTTAAAGTTGATTGATTGATTAATTAATTAAGTTATTTATTTAATTATCTTTTTACTTTTTTAACTAATTTATTATTAATTAGGCTCATATAGACAATATGATTTTTATTTTCAATTTATTGGAATAAATGCTGAATGACTGTGAAGAAGATAAGCAACTTGAAGAAACTTAAAATTTATTTGACAGTCTTGACGCTACGAAGATGTGTTTACATTTACTTTCTGATTCTAAAAAGAATCCTATAGAAAAAAAGGAACTTTTAGATTCTATTCTTTAATTTATGATAAAACTTCTTGAAGGAGGAAATGGATAAGTAATTCGAATAACTGATATTTTATTTGAATCACTTTATTTAATATTTTTATTTTCACTATTTAGGTTTAAAAAACAATCTACGATTACTTTATGACTTATCCTGAAAGTGAAGTTATTTTCCATCTATTTTACTCCATTATTATTGATTACATTTAAGATGTCAAGGATAAGAAAAAATAAGAGATTTTGAAAATTCAAAATGAAATGCTTTCTAATATAGATTAATTTTCTGGGATAAACTAATCCTTAGTTTAATCTAAGAGAGGAATGTCTTAAGTTAAAAGTTAATCCTAAAACGATGAAGTGTTGGAATCTAAATAAAAATCTAAAAGCTTCAAATAACCTTTAAAAAATCAAGCACAAAAAAGCAAAGTAACAGATGATATTGACAATGAAAGTATTTTATAAAATTCATAAGCAGAACTCAAATTTGATGATGACAAGGACCCTCATAGAAAATAGATTAAAATGATCAATTCTCATATTTTAATGAATGTTTTGCGTGTGCTCTAACTTTTTTGTGAAGGTCATAACATCAACCTATAAAATTATATAAGAGACTAGACAAATAGTAGAAATAAGCATGATATGGTTACTGCTATTATTGATGTAAATTCTTAATTAAAATAACAAATATTTGAGATGAGTATTGATTTGTATTTTAAAAAAAATAGCTTTTGTATATCTTTTACGATAATATTGATGAAGAAAATTTTTCAAATATGCTTAAATGCTTAGATACTTTGATAGAATTTGTACAAGGACCTTGTAAAGAAAACCAAAATGCAATTATTGATTCCAAATTTTTCTAATTTGCTGAAGAAATCTTAGAAGGATATGACTAAAAAAAACATGAAAAAAAGAGGCTTACTTACTTCTAGAGCTCAAATATGCTAAATTAAAGTATGAATTCGTTTACTCGTTCTTTTGCTCAGAGGTCAAGCACAAAAACAAAGACTATTTTAAGTCATATTGCACAAAAATCAAATACATAATTAAAGCCATGGATGTTGGAGCAAATAAAATATAAAGTAATAAATTAATTTTTAATAGCATAATATATTGATATATTTTATTTATTTTAACATAGACAATGATTTTAGTTACTTCATTGCTCGAAATGAATAGTGAACCATAAGTTATAAAGAGAATAATGAGAAGCTTACCTCTTGAAGTTTTGAGGAAAAATTTAATATAAGTCTATAAAATGTAAATAAATATTCTGATTTTTTCATAGTAATTAAATAAATAAATAAAATTTAAAAATAGGCATAAGAAGCTTTATTAGGAATAATATATCATTTAGTGTTTTGGCCATGTAATTTATTAATTAATTATTAGGTTTTTACTTTATTAAAAATTAATATGTTTAATTACTTGATAATTAGCATGAAGATGAGCCACCTGAAGATGCCACAGAAAAGTAATTAGAATATTACAACTATATTATTGAGACTGGCTTTTTCGTCTTCTTTTTATTGAGCTATTACATAGAGCTGGATGAAAAAGAACTAGATGCAGAGATAAGTACCAAGCTTAATGAGATAAAAAAGGATTTCAATGATTCTAAATCAATATTTAGCTTGAGAAAAGGCATGATCACATAGATTTATAATCTTATTTATGGTATCATAGATAGTATCTTAGATATATTTAAAGGAATCGGAAATGAAATCAAAAATTAGATTACTAGTAAGAATGAAGAATAGACTGTTGATTATGAGGTTATTTATATATTTATTCATTCTATTTATTCTAATTTAAATAAATTCTAATTTAAAAGAAATAAATGAGAGAAGATAATTAAATGTTCAAGCAAGCTCTTGCTTTCTTTAATAAAAACTCTGGAAGGTATATTTTGATTTATTAATTTCTTATTTAAGTGATTATTTATTTTAAAATATTATTTTAGTATTGAAATAGTTCGTGATAGAAATTTAGAAAGAATTCGTTTCATTTTACTACCATTCTGCCACTATTTGCCAAAATAAACAAAGGTATAATTCCACGATGAAATAGATAGAGATTCAATCCATACAAAATTATCAGGTAATTATGTATTTATTTATTTATTTAGTTTGTTAGTCTGATTTGCTATTTAAAAAGCTAAAATTTAATTTATAAAATATTATAAATAGATCTTGTGAAAAAAGCTCCTGAAATTATTGAAATTTGCAAACATGAAGAATAACTTAGCTTATTTTTTAATAGAAACAAGGTAAAAAAATATAAAACGATCAACTATAAAATTAAAATCACAAGTTCAAAAATTTGAGACTTAAAATTTTTAAATATTTTTTTTCTTCATCAAATATTTTGCATTCAATTAATATGTTTGATCCACATTAAAAAAATTGATTTGGTTAAGAATATTAATTTTTAATTCAAATTTAAAATAAAAGTTTATAGGAATATTTGCTAATTCGGTTGACTTATGGAGAGATATAGCTTTCTTATTGACTATTCTTATAAATATATTTATTGTTGTTTCTTATGGTGGAGGTGAATATAGTACAGCTGAGGAAAAAAAACATAATTAATTATGGAGCCCTTCTTTAGGTTTAGATAACTCAGTTACAGCTGCCAAGACTGAGCAAATATTCAGAACTACAGGCATAATAATGATTGTTTGCAGCAGTTTTGTCGTGTTATTTTTCTTATGTCAAAAGGCTCCTCTTTATTTAAAGAGAGCTTGGGAGTCATAAAAAGCCTCTATCCTTTAAGAAAAATAAATGCTGCTGATTAAGTATACGAAATATTTGATTATAATCTTGACCAGTATTCTTAAAGTTCTCACAAACCCTGAAGTTATTTACTATTTGATGTATGGAACGCTTGCTTTTATTGCCACTTATGTTCATCCATTCTTTTTTTCATTCCATCTTACTGAATGTTTGTTAAGATTCCCTACCCTTAGAAACATTTTAAAAAGTGTTTCAGATTCTTATGCTTCCCTGATTCTTACATTTGTGCTGATTATTATGTTATTCTACTTCTAGGCTGTTATCGCCTTCTTTGAATATTATTAAGACTATAATAGTTAGTGTGATTAGCTGTAATTTCCCAATTTTATCTAATAAAAGTAATTTTTTTTTTTTAAAAAAAAAGCTATCTCTGCTTATTTCACACATTCTTAATGACTTTCTAAAATAATGGTGGTATAGGTGGATATTTAGAAAGTAATGTTTCTAACTTGCAAATGAGTGGGCATTGTAAATTATTTATAAGATTTAATTATGAATTTATAATAACTTTTAATTAAAGCTTATGATTACAGTAGATTCCTTTTTGATAATATTTCTTTCTTCTCTGTCATGCTTATTTCTGTTTAAATTTTCTCTGGAGTTATTATTGATAAATTTAGTTATTTAAGAGAAAAAGAATACGAAAAAAATGAAGATATATTCTAAAAATGCTTTATATGTGAGCATTCAAGGTAAACATTTAATAAAAATAGCATTTATTTATTTATTTAATAATTAATATTTTATTATTTAATTAAATTTAGAGAACTTTTTGAAAGACAATCTGATTTTGGATTTGAGTAGCATATTAAATAGGATCACTATCTATGGAATTATGTGTTCTATTTAGCTTACTTAAGCTATAAAGACAAAACTGATTAATCTGGTATAGAAAGTTATATTCAATCATAAATAGATGAGGGCAGTGATAATTGGTTCCCAATTGAAAAGGCTTTAATCCTTAAAGATAATAAAGATGAGGATCAAGAAGAAATGGAAAGAAAAAAATCATTTAAACTAGAAGTAATTTTATTTTAATTAGTCATTTTAAAATTAAATTTTTACTAATTAAAAAGAGCGATATCTATTATAAATAAATTCAAGAAGTTCTACAAAATTAGCAATTGCTTTAAGAAATCGTCCAGACATAAAAATAATACAAAAAGTGATATTTAAGATATCAAAAATTATTCTTAAAGAATTAGAAAGAATGTTATTTATTTAGATATATAAACCTAATAAGCTTGCTTGCTATGTTATTTAAAATATAATTAATTAATTATTAAAAAATTTATATTATTATTTACTTGTTAAAGGTATAATTTTTATTTTTAAATATTTCAGTTAAATAATAAGTAAATATATCGTTTGTTTTAGTTGTACAAACTGAGCTTATTTATGCTTGATAAATTAATTGTGTAATTTTAGTAATAAAGATAAAATTTTATTATCAGCTTATGTATTCCGTTATTGATTTAAAAAAGGAAAATTATTCTTTGGAATAATTAAATTATTACTCTTTTATTTTTCAAGTATTATTTGAAAAAAAAAATAAATATTTCGAATATTATTAATTAGCCAAAAAATAAATACATAATTTTTAAATTATGCTAGCAAATTTTATATAAAATTAATATATATTTTGATTATATTTTTTATAATAAAAAAAAAGCAAATGTATCAACTTATGTTAATTAGTTATTTGTTTAAAAAAAGGAAAATGATTTTTGGAAAAAATAATTTATTCCTTCTTAAATATTATTTCAAAAAAAAATATTTTGCTTGACCTTTCATTTATTTAAATATATGAATGAATATTTTTTAAATATAAATAAAAAACTATCAAAAAATAGACTTTTTAAAATTTTATAAGAAAAGGTATTTAATTATTTTTTATATTGGTAATAAATATATATAAATAAATAGAAAAGTTAGATAGATAGATACTATATTTATTTGTTTTTTGAGAAAAGGAATTCAACATAATATTAAATATTTTTATTACACTGGTTTCTAAATAAAAAATTATATAGTATGTAAATTTTTTATGCGTTTTGTACATTTAATACGTATTAAAAAAGTAAGTAAACTAAACTAAAATATTCTATTTTATGTTTATGTAAACCTTAAATAGAAAAAATAAAAACTCCAGAAAGTTAACTGCCATATATGAAATAAAGTGAATTTCTAAGAACAAATCATAAAATATTCCGTAGAATGTGAAATTTATTTTGCATACATTTTAAAATTTAAACATTTTTGTAGTAAATTTATTTAATAAAAAGAAATTTTATACATAATTTAGTTAAAGAAAAGAGAAAATATACATAAAATGGTATTAATAAAATTGTTATTAGTTAACATAACGTAATACAACTAAAACACGGAGGCTAGCCCTTTAGAAAAGGAGAAATCTTTTTTGGTTTCCCCTTCCCAAAAAGTGACATAGCAAAACGAAATTATTATGACGATTCGTGTTCATGTTGACTTGCTTGTTGCAGAATGAAAGAATTTATCTAATCTATTTATCTATCTATCTATGTATGTATGTTTTTGTTTGTTTGTTTTGTCTATTCTACCTCAGAGTTATATGTTTATTTTTATATGTGTATGTGTGTGGATTCACTGCATTATCTAGAAAAGCTAATTTGAGAGGGTTATCTCTAACTTCAGTAAAAATAAAAAGTGCCAATAAATTAGTAGAGTGAAGCTAAAGAAATAAGCTGTTTAATTTGTTTGTTTTTCTTGAAAAATTAGTGTATGTTTACTAAAATGAATTGCAAATCTTCTTGAAATTTTAGAGTACATGGATGAGGATATGATTATTATTTATTATTTATATTAGTAATTTAAATTGTTAACTTTCGCTTTAACTATAGAGGAAGGATAGTATAGAGTAATTTAATTTTTAGTTGAATAATCATAGAGTGTATCAATTAATTAGCACACTAGTTAAGTATTCTGAGAAAAAGTAATTGAACGCTCAAAATAAACTGACTTAATTAATTCAAAGTCTTTTTGAGCAGCTTTACAAGAATTTTTACTTGAACATTTCATCTCTTTATTATTATTTGATAAAAATTATGCTAATCTAAATTCTAAACTTTTTGTTACTCAGTAAAATGATTCTATAAAATTAGTAAACTAAACGCCAATCTATTAGATAAAAAGCAATCCTCTCAATGTTAGTAGAATAATTGAAAATTGAAATCTAAATAAAGCTCATGCTTTTATACGAAGTAGTAGAGAGACAGACAAGCAAACAAAAAAACAGTGAGGACATTTTTTCATTCGATCATTCAGCAATGTGTTGGAATTGTTTATAAGTTTGAATAAAAATAATTTTTATCATTGTTCATTGTTTATATCCATGATTGTGGCCTTCAATTCCTCTTCTGCTAATTATCAATGCAGTACCCAAAGCTACAAAAGGAAGAACTTATACTAAGACTCTCTTGGGGAAAGGCATGGAGGCACGGATTCTATCACGGATTACTTTACCACCTACAGAGTTGTAGAAGATATAAGAGAGAGATCCAACAGACAATAATCCTGCTACAGCAAAGAAGTCTTATTATGCAAGCTTTATGGCTGACTTATGTTGTTAAACGGTGAGTGTTTATTCGCGATTCAAAAAGCGCTCTAACTCATTAGAATTAGGGAATTTGTATTTTCTAATAACTTCATCTGAGTAGTCTTCCAATTTAAGTCCTGTATAGCTGATATTCATTTTATATTTACTTAATTTACTTTTATTTTTTACTAATTCCTTGCTTTTTGCTTTTTCTCTTTGATTTTGTTTGCAAAATTTCTTTTCGTTTTGAATTCTTTATTTTAGTAAATATTTATTGCTTCTCTTTATCTTTCAGAATTTTATTTACCCTCTCTTTTAGATTAAGCAAAGACTCAAAATAGGTCTTAATATGATACATTATTGATATCTTCAATAAAATATCTAATCGAATTCATTTTATCATTTTCTTATCTAATATTCAATATAATACTCATTTAAGATTATGTATTTCTATTTTCAAACTAGTCATACAGCTTATCCGGCATACATTTTAAAATATATATATATATAATTTAATATAGAAACCCCCACTTATAAATGATCCTTCTTTGAGAATTTTATTTTTTTTCTCAATAAAACAATATCCTAGCTTAATATTTTATTGTTGATACAACGAATCTTTTAGTTTAGATTTTTAAATAGTGAATAAAAAAATTAAGTATAAATAAAAAGTTACAAATTTTATTTTTTCAATAATGAAATTTAATATAAATGATAAAATATTTACAGGTAATTAATTAATAATGAAATGAATCAATTAAAAAAAGTAAATTTGAATTTAAAAAAATAATTTTCAAAAAAATTATTATTGAATTTATTTATATTTAGAATAATTATCTCAAACCAAATCTTTGAGGCAAGAATTATAAATACAGTAAAGATAGGAACCCAGGCAGACAGACATGTGTTGATTTATCAGATAAAATTTAATTGAAGAAAATAAATTATTACTAAAATAATGGTCCTTTTAATACTTTTAATATGATGATTAAATGAATTGATTATAAGTTCATATTTAAAATTTTAGATATGCAAAATGAAGCTTATAAATTAATTAAAAAGATTTTGATTAATTTTGTTTGATAAATATTAATTAGTAATAAAAAATCAAATTAAATTAATTATATAGCGATTAAGCGTTAAAAAAAAGAAAATGACTGTAGAATCAAGAGGAGTTGAATGGAATATATTTATATATAGAATCCTTAATGAGTTTATATTCAGCTCATTAATAGGTAAAATAGATCCACCAACAAAAATGCCTTTCGATAAAGATTTCAACAAGATCCAAAAGAAGCAATTATTTAGAATTATAATGTTTGGTTTGATATTGATCGCAGCTAATATCGGGGCTTTTAAACACTTAAAAAAGTAAAGTTTATTTGAACAAATGCAAATCCCTCGTGTATGTACAGAAAGTTAAATTGAAAAAGCATTTTAAGATGCAGAAAGAGCTATATAGCAAACAAATAAAGGAATATTAGGAAAATAGGTTTAAATCAAAGAGAAGGAATTAAATGAGATGAAAGATATATTAAAAAATCCTGCAAGAAGAATCATTTATGATAAGTATGGAATCACTGATGTTAAGTACGCATCTTATTTAACTTCTACATACACAATGCATTAAATTTTATAAACCGGTGTTAGCTATTTGGTTCTTCTACTCGTAAGCATTGCTGGGTCAGGATAATAACAAAAGTCGATTATCAAGTGGCAAGTTTTATTAATTATAAACTTTTTTATTATGGAAATTCATTTACTTCAATGCGACTCACTAAAGGTAAAAAATCATTCTAAAATTATCCTTTCAATAAAAATTTAAAATATTTAAAATTTTAAGGAAGTAAATAAATAAATAGTTAAATATATTGAAATATACATTTACTCATATGATAAAAATTTATTTTTCTTTTAAATAGGCAGACTTTATAGATTAACTTTTCCCTTACTTGACAATTTAGCATAGATTGATAATTATTAAGTTCCTATTAGTACCAGCTCAAATTATAGTTGGGTATATTTCCTCTAAGCTGACCCCTAATAAAGTGAGACATCTTTAATCCAAAGTCCTATTTTTGAAAGATGGCATATACTCTTAAATTTAATAGCTTTCATTATAGTAAGAAAATAATCCCAATGTTTCAGACGAATAAAAATAACATTACAAGTTACTTAATCAAACTGCTAGTGATCATGCATAACTCCTAAAGGATACTAATGATATCATCAGCTTAAAGAATAAATAAAATGAAAGTAAATGGGACATAGGATCTCTTATTAAATTTTTATTAATAGGATATATCGTTTATTAATAGATTGAGTGAGATAATTAATCATTCAAATATGTTAAATTCGTTAAAATCATTTATCAAACTAATTTAAAGATATTCGCAAGTAAATAAATAAATAAATTATTTTTGTTTAGTCAAAATTTATGTTATTGAAATTCACAAATTATACAATCATACATAAATAAATAAATTAGTTCACTCAATTTCATTAATTTCGTATTTAAAATTCTTTAAATAACCTAATTCAATTTTAATTTATCCTCAAATTACTTTTAAAATACAAAATACATTCAATTAAACGAATATAAAAAGTCCAACTCCTCATATTAATTTATTTATCTTATCTTTATAAAATTTAAAGCATCAAATTAAATCATTTTTAGTTATATTTATTTATTTATTTTAATTGATTTAATATTTAAAAATCGTTAAAAGGCAAAAAAATTTTTTTGGATCTTTTAAAATTGATGATACATAAACATAAACATAATATTATTCTTTTTGTAATTGCTTGATTTATTAAATTAATATGTACTTCTTACTACCAAATTATTTATTCTCAATGAATAATGCTGAATTAAGTAAATTAAATTAAAAATATGTAGCCAATTATTCAAAGTGATTATAAAGAGCTACATGTATAAATTAATATTTTTAAAAATAATCCTATTAAAAGCTTATTCAATTTAAGGAGTTAATAAAAATAATTTTTTATATATAAATTATTGTATTCAATTAAACAATTAATCAATGAAATTCATTAATAATTAATTTAATAACAATTTAAAGAAGATTCTCTAATAAAAAAGCAAGCAATTTTTTATAAAAAAATATGAATGCTATTTTAAAATTGAAACTTAATTGAATCTTTGTTTTAAAAATTTTTCTCATTATAAAGAACATGTTTCTATTTAATTATTATTAAATTTAGAATTACTTCTCATTAATCCTTTTTAATTATCTATTTCAATTAAGGAATAAATACAGAAGTAATTTAAATTGATTAAAGAAATGATTTAAATAAAGGTTAAATGAATAAACAATTTATTGATTTAGCTAATTAGTTAATAAGTTAGTTAACTAATTTTAATACAATTTTTAGAATTTATTTGAGGTACAAATTAATAAAATGATATTTATATTATACAATTTTAATATTTTAGTTGTTATATTCATAATTTTTTGATATTAATTGCATGTATTATTTTTTAGATATTTAGTAAATACAAAAATATTTGTTTTTTTAGATTAATAACATTAAAAAAATTTTAATGTTAATTCAATTTAATAACGAAGTTAGTAGTTTTGTAGGTATTTTCATGGTGAGTGCTAAATCATCATAGTTTAATTGAAAACAATTTTATTACTATAAGAGTTATTATTTATTTATATTTATTTATTTAGAGCTTACTTTATATTTATTAAATTACTATTTGATAAAAGAAGAAAATTTAAGATTAATAAAAAGTAATTCAATTAATGTAATCAGATTAGTCACTAGTTTGTTCATTTTATATTTGACTAGAAAAAGTATCACTAACTGTTTAGCTAGCTAATGATGAGCTAGTGAAGTCATATTAATTAAATTAATTATATAATTTTATGCTGCTGCTATCATCCGCGATGTTATAGTAAGGAGTTGGCGCAGAGAAGCTTTTATTAAATAAAAATGAAGGCGTTTAAAAAAAGTTTAAAGAAGAATAATGTTTATACTTTTTTTGTAATTTAACATTTACATACATAATAAAGTAGAAAATAATGATTACCTTTTTTCATATAAATTTCTGTAATTACTAAATTAGCTTTCATTGCCTCTTCCTTCTTTTTTAATTTGTGACTACATAAAGTTTATTTTACTTTTCATAAGCATCTCTTTCTTATATTTTCCTCTCTCTTCAATCTGCTATGATTTTGAGAAATCAACTTTGAATTGAGGAAGAGAGCCTATTTTAGAAATTAAGCTTACTTTTGTATGTTAACTAAGCTAATCTTTTCTATTGATTTAAAGATTCAACTTATTTTCTTCCATATATGTAGGCTTAAATTTTATTTAAGGTCTATTTTCTATTAATTTATTAAATTAACTTTATCAAATACAGATATTCTGATATTATTTTTCTTTTTTTTTAATTATTTTAGAAATACATTATCAGAAAATACCTTAAGAATATTGTGATATCAATCAATTATTCAATTCTTTAATAATCACCAAATATTAAATTAATGCTGGATGATATTAAGTTCTATTTCATTTATTCTCCTAAAACCAATAATTTAATTTATTAAATTACGTCTCATAAAAGCTATATTCTCAGTAGAACAAACATATTATATTAACTTCTATTTGTATATTTTGCTATTCTAATACCTTTTGATAAATACTTTAAGTTAAGTATGAATAAATGAATAGAAGAAATTAAATTTAAATAGTGATTATATGATAAACATTTTTATAAGTATAATTTGTAATTAAAGACTATTTTCTATATAAAAAAAATGCAGATAGATAAATATTTATTTATTTGTGTGATTTTTGGTTTTATCGACCTAAATATTATTTAACTAACTTTTAATGAAAATCTAAAATTAATTAAATTTATTACGTTTATTAAACTTTAATTTCTAATAAACAAAAATTCTGAAGTAAATTCTTTGAATTATAAAATAGTTCTTTTTTTTATCTTATGTTAAGATTGTTATTACTAATAAAAAATACATATTTAATGAATAAATATTTCTTATTTAAAAGTAAGGTATTTGTTTTAAGATTCAACTTTTATTACTTTTATCTCAAAAAATTTAAAATTTAATTGTAATTTAAAGCAGTAATATAATATTTTCAAAAAACTAATTAGTTATAACCAAACTTTTTTGGAATTATTTATCAGTAAAAAAGACTAATAATATATTTAATAAATTTTATATTAAATTATGTGTCTAACTTATTATGAATAATTTTATTTTAATTGAAAACAAAATCATAAACTAATTTTTAAAATCTAAATACAATTGATAATATTTATTTATTAAACAAATAGTTTTCCTAAATGTAAAAATAAAAAACTATTTTAAATAAATAAATAAATTAAATAAAAATAATCTTTTGATATTTTTTGTTTAATAGATTTAAATATTTTATTTTAATTAAATATAAAATATATAAAATTTATTTTTCATCCTTTGAATAATTTCATAATTGTAATAAAAAATAAACATTTGATCTAAAAAAAATTAAACACATGTGGCCATAGTTTTTATAATTAATTATAAGTAAAATGATTAATTTATTAAATCAATTTTATATTTAGTTACACGTGTCTAATTTTAAATGAGTTTACATTAATTTTAAACAAAAATATATTTTATTTAAAATATTAAATACTGAATATAGTAGAATATGTTTATTTATTTATTGAACAAATAATTGTTCTAAATATAAAAATAAAAAGAAGTATTTTAAATAATTAAATAATCTTTTGATAATTTTTGTTTAATTAATTTCTATAATTAATATTAGCTAAATAAAAAAAAATAAATTTATTTTTTCATCATTTGAACAGTTTAAATGTTTTAATTATATGATAATAATCATGAATATTATTATTTGGTTAAATTTAATGAAACTATTGATAAAAATGTTTAAAATATAATTAAAAAAAGTATAAATGATATTTAATTTATGGATATTTAAGATATCTGTAAATATTTGCATTAAAAACTTAGATAATAAGTAAAGTAAGCTATCAAAAAATTCTATCAGGCTTTAATTTTAAATGTTAAATTTAAAATCTTTTATTTTTTATTTTAAATAAATTAATTGTATTTAAAAATTTATAAAATTATTTTTTTACTAAACGAATTAAAAATTTTTTTTAATTCTCCTATAAAAGTAAATAACAATTTTCATTAAAAAAAACAAAAAATAATTGAAAAATAAATTTATTTGGAATAATTAATTTTTTTCCTTTATATAAGATACTATTAAAAATTAATGGAAGCTAATTTATCTAGTTTTTGGATTTGGCTAGTGTAATCAGTTCTCCCTATTTTTATAAAAGTTGATATTAAAAATTAAAACTAAATAGAATTTATTTACAAGTTTATTGAATATCCAAATATTTTCTATCCAAGAAGAGAAAAGATTTGTGAATAGACTTGTTTTTTTAAGAAAGCAACAAAATCATCAAATAATTCCTTATTAGTATTAAATATATTCTCTCTTGTATATGGTTTAATAATTGCTGAGACACCATTCAAACGCTAATTTATTTATTTATTTATTAATTTATATTTGTTTATGCAATTGAAAATAATAAAATAATTTAATTTTTTTAATAAATTTCATAGAAGATATTAAGCAAACTGTTTTGAAAAATTTTATAATTATTGATCTATCTTATTACCTTTAAAGAAGATGCTGATTTGTAGTGCAATGATATACGTAAGTCTTTAACAGTTACTTTGCCAAAATAATAATGGAGAATAATTTCTTCTTGGGAAGACAGTTAATTCTATTTTAATGAAGAATTACTGTAATAACTTGATCTTGCACTTTAAGAGTGGTTTGATTTTTCTGATTTTGAAGGACTTGAAGTAGTTGGTGCTTATTCTTCTTAGAAAAGGAATAAATATATAGGATCAAATATATTTTCAGTTAGCTTAACTATCAATGGAGGAATGAAACATTCAAATCTATTATATGCCCTCCACTCTGTATTAAGATTTATACCCCTTAAGTCAACAAAGTCATGTTCAATTCTAATTTGTAAATCATTTCCTTAATATTGTATCATGTCTTTATAATCTCCATCCTCCATTAAATTTTTTAGTGTAACTTATCCAAATATTAACGAGAAATGACCCTAATATTACAAATAAATAAATATAATTCAAATTAAAAAATTATAAAATATATTTTACAGAATTGTTGGAATAATTTATTGTTGAAGACTTCAAGCTCGGAAGACGGAAATCTAAGAAAGGCTTTCTATGTGAATCTAAGATTTTTATAATACAAGTCTACAAAAAATAAGAAATATGGCTGTTTTATTGCTTATTATCTTATTGCTTTTGATGAAGATGATTCTGTATATGGGAAATTACCATATTTTTACCATGTCTTTTTAGTTCATTCTTCTTCTATTCGAATTAATGAGTCCATAATTATTATCTAAAAATTATAAAGTGAATATTTTTCAGCATTCATTAAAGATAATAGATAATTTATGAGTTAGTTACCTTGCCTCTGATTAAAGTAATAATGAAAAGAATTCTAAAGTTTTTATAAAGCAGTGGTAGTCTATACTTTCTATTTCTGAATATAAATTCTCTACCCTCAAGTCTAAGCCTTTGGATCTTGGTTGCTAATTATAATTTTAAAAATAAGTCAAAGTAATTTATAATATTAATTACTCCATTCCATTTATAAATGTAGTCATCATCTGCTTGAGGTATGTTTTCTAAACTGACATTACGCCTAGCTCGATTTAGTTCTTAAATATATGGCTTTGAGAAGTCAACAATACTTTATTCCAAATTAAAGCTTGTATAATTAATTACAGCATGAGTGGCTCTTATAATATGATAAATATTATGTGTTTTTTCATAATCGTAAACCCATCTCACAGCTGATTTTTAATTTTCTTTTCTAACTGAAAAGCAGTCTAAAGTTCTAAAGAATAGCTTAAAATTATGCTTCATGTCAATCTTTTACTTGTCATATGGAAGCTGATGAGATTATATTATCATAAAACATTTTTCTCTAGATGTTAAAATCATTTAATTTTTTTGTTGCTTATAATATAAATTAAACTATGGATCTTCGATCTGAAGCACAAATTTCAAACGTGTTTGAATTTTTCCATCAGATCTGTCAGCAGTGAGTTACATTCTTTTATTTATCAAATTAATCTCATTTTTTTTAATGATCTCTTCATTTTTAGATTCGGAACTTTAAGTTTAAGCATTTTTAACTTAATCTTTTAAATATTAAGCATTTTCCTCTTCATATTCGGTTGGAAATAGGACATTACTAACTATGTTGTTTAGCTAAGATGTTATTAATAGCTTGCATCCTTTAAATGACAAGCAGTTTTTAATTACTTACTAAGGTGTTATTTCTTTGTGCATAACACCATTTTCATCTATTTAGATTTTAGAAATAATAAAATTTAGCAAAATTTGCTCTTTAAAAATAATAAATAAAAGAAAAAAATTTTTTATTGTGTAAAAATAAAAAATTTAATGAAAAATAATTAATTACCTTATATTTATACTTCGAAACCTAATTATTTATCTTGTTCATAAACAAGACTATCTGAGCTAAAGAAAATGCTTGATACATTAAAATCGAAATCTTCTTAATACTATATATTTTAGGAATCTTAACCTTTTTAATCATGGTTTTAATGATGATGACTATGTTATGATCCTCTTTCTTTATTTACTTTAATTGGGAAAAGTTTAGGCTAGCTTAAAGAGTGCTTTATCTCCGTATGACTTGGATCAGTATTGCTTTTAGCTTAATTGTTATTTTGAGATTTTGAAATCTATTTTCCTTCTTATATTATAGTATTTTCTGAATTATCTTAAGAATTATTTAATTTTTAGGATTTTATATCACTTTAATTAGATTATGTAGAAATTTGACTATCTTTATTGAGTTTTTCATTCATTTAATTAATGTTATTATTATTTTATTTTTCAGAATTAGATGCTTATTCAGTTTTAGATTCTTAAGCATCATTACTTGATTTACATGACTTTAAAGGTGAATACTTAGATTCAAAGTTATGCTAATTATCATCTGTAAAATATAAAATATCATCTTATTTTTTGTTGTTTAACAAGATATTAGAATTATTCTATTTATCATTTAAATTTTCTTGCAATTTTTAGCTACTTTTTAAAGAATCTGATTGAATTTCTTGACTTTCCTAATTAACTTCTGTCAAAGTTTAAGACTTAGATTAACTTTTATCTTCTATTTCTTAACTCTCTTTAATGTCTTATAGACTAAAATTTTTTATTTAGATTGTCTTTTAAAGTAAGCGCTGTTCTTAATCTAGAGGCATATTTGAGTTATTCTCACCTATAACTATTTAATCATTAATTTTTATTTTTGGTTAGTCAATATTTATTTATGCATTAGTTTTTATTCTGTCTCTATTTTCAAATTCAGGGAATTGTTCTTATTACTGTTATTGTTCATTTTCTTCTGTTTCGTTGCATCGAGAATAATCTGTTTTCGGTATTTTAAGTTTGTCTTCATCAACTTAAATAATACTTGACATTTATTTGAAGTTAGTATACAGCTCTTAGTGTATTTTGAAAATCATCATATCTTTTGCTAATTGCATATCTTTTAATCCAAAATACTCCTAAAATACATTAGGATTATGCATAGAACTTTTTTGATCTGATAATAAAAATAAAATATTTGTAAATAACTAATAAATATTTCAACTTTATATGGATTTAATTTTACCTCTGCTCTTTCTGAATTATTTAGGATCCAGATTCAAAAGATTAGCTTTTTCTCTAAAAACTGAACCATACATGTAGTCTAATTTGCCATATCCAGATTGAATTTTGAAAGATTATTTTGCAGAATTAATAGAATTAGGCTTATGGAATATATTAAAAGATAATTGTATACAATCAAAAACGAATTACATTCCTTGTTATTTATAAAAAATAAAAATAAAAAAAGATATTTCTACATTTTATGTTTATACCTATAATTGGATCTAATTCGTCTTACTTAGATTAAAATTCATCACTCTCCTCAGGATCTGAAACTATTTTATGCTTAGGATTTGAAAAAATAACTCTCGTAGATGACATTAGCCCACGAACTTTAATTTCAGAGATGTGTTTTAAAATATTTTATTTGACATTTTTTGAATTTAATTGCAAGTTTATAGTGTAAATAAATAGTGAGAAAAAATCTGTATTTTTCTATTTTTTTGTTAAAAAAATGATTTATTTTATTTTTAACTATATAAATATAATTTACTCCTAAGGCTTTTTCTTATTCTTCAAATTCTTCGTCAGTTTGTTAATTGTCTTAATTACTTTTATCTTTATTGGGAGATCTATCTCTATGTTTTTCATCATCAACATTATGTAATGAATCCTTTTCATTTAGATTCTTTAAAAATTCATTTTCGTTTGTTTCATAACGTTTAATGCCTATGTTATATAAATAAAGCTGGTCTCTTCTTAGTTGAGGTAGATTTTTAAACCACTGAATGAAATCTACTTGATAATGTATGAAAGGTACTTCACTATTCTTAACTATTCTTTTAAATTTCTTTAAATAAAAATTTATAAAGATTTAAATTTAGCACCTTAAATGTTAAATAACTTACATTTATATCTCTGTTTATTTTGTTTGTATTTTTTTCCTTTTAGTTAATGTTTTGTATAGGTTCAACTCTGGGCAGGTTCAATTTAGAGAAAATACTCAAATTTTTGGAAACAAACTATTTTAAGCTAAATTCATTATAAGAAGCAACATAGTGATTTTCTATTGTCCTATTCCAATTAAGTTCGCACTCTGCTTAAATCTATTTTTTAATTATTTTAAGAAAAAATTTCACAAATCCAATTAATTAATTTACCATAGGAATCTTTAGTGCATGAGTTTCATTCTAAGGTCTGGGCTTTCTTTTTATTGATACATCTTAACAATAAAATTTAATATTATCACCTCTTATCATAAAAAATGATTGCTTTATTGTAAACTGTTTGAATAAAAAAATAAATTTTATATTTAGAAAAGTTAAATATTTATTACTTTTAAATACTCTTTTTAATATGGGTATATGCTTGTCAATAAATTGAAATTCAAAATCGAGTCTTTGCTCATTAAAATTTTGCCATGGTAGCATAAGCGAATACTATCCCAATACGAAAGTTAAAATGATTGTTTTAAAGATTTTGATTTATCATCTTAAACGAAATAGCTGGTTTTTTAGTCTGTTGTAGATTTCTTTTCAGGAATATCTTTTTATGATAATTTTTCTTGATGAATAGCGCTATTCTATTTCATTCTAGTACCCTAGTTTTCATTTAATGTTTAAATAGTTCCACTTTTATCTCTTATCAATTATTGCTGGTAAGTAGAATTCTTAAAGGAAGATTGAGATCTATTTGATGTTGTTAGTTCTTTGATTCTTTTTAGAATTTCATGAATTCCTGAAGCTTAACAAAGACCGACATTTAAGTCAAAATCTCCGAATTCAGTGAGAAGATTGTAAAATACTCTTAAAGAGTGTTCTTTATATTATATTTTAAGCTGTGCAAAAATAGCCTACAAGTATATTCTGCCCTTTTCCATGAGTAAAAGTGGTATAGGGTAATCTCTTATCGTTATTTTAGCATCTATAAAACCAGCCTCAACTAAATAAAAAAAAAATTACTAAAAATGCTAATAAAAATATTATTTTACCATCCAAGCTGCTAAATTATTCGAAGGTCTCTTTTTTAAAGTTAATTTTAGCAAAATTATCAACATCTACTATGAAATTTATAATTGATTTAAAATTAGTTGCGAATTTTAATGGTTTTAGCTAGAGAGTGAGAGATTAACAAGAAAAACAAAAGAGAGGATCCACTTTCTTTTTATCTTTCAATTCTAACAAAATATGCCTTTCGTTGTATGGTATATCTTATTGCAAATAGTTTCTAATAAAAGCCTAAAAGTTCATCATGAAAGTGTTCTAACTTTGCTCTTCTAAAATTATTGAAAGGTTTTTCCATTAAATAATAAAAGGCTCTTTGAAAACTTAATTGAAGTCTTCTTAGATTTCTTTTTTTTCTTTCTTTGGGAATTTAAGATTTAACTAATATTTGATTATAAAATAATTTATCAAACTAAAATTATTCTAAAGTTCTAATTACTTAAAGAGAAAAGTCCTTAACTCTATTGGTGCTTTCTTTTAATTCCTAGAAGTAATCTGTTAAGTATTTCATGTCTTCATTGATCTTTAAAGTTAAAGTATCAAATATCAATTCATTTTCTAATTTATGCTTATAATCTTCATTATTTTAGTGATTATGAGTAGCTGATTAAGGTATAACTTATTTTATAGAGTACTCAATGTGCTTTATCTCAAATATATCATATTCTCTATTATCTTAGATAAAGCAGTCGCATTTATATTTCTCTGTAATTTTAGGTATTTCTATTTTTGCCTTTTTTGGTTTGAACTCCTTTTTAGTATATTCTGGTTCACTCTCTTAGTACGTCGAATCAAACAACCTTGAATTTCTAGGTCTTATCTCATCTTATTCTTCATTTAGTGAAGTATTATTAACTTGCTATTCTTATTTATTTTGTTCTTTTAAGTAATCCTTATGTTTGGAGAGGTTACAATCCTCTATTAATACATTTTGGTGATATTTTTCACAAAACTACTTTCTTTTGATATTAGATTGATTTCTCATTCCTATTTTTAGCTTGATACTTTTAAGGATAGTCTTTTAATCTTTTGTCTTAAAATTTCCTTCTGTGTTCTTTCCTAAAAAATCGCATAATAGTTAAACATTTTACCCATCATTGAACTCATATTAAAATTTAAATTAGTTAAAATCTAGAGACTATTTTATTAAAAAATATTTATCTTATTAAAAATTTTTTTTTCCTTTTCTAAAAATCAAAAATAAATAATTTAAATTCTATTTTAATCATGAAAAATCGTTTACAATTTTTTATGGCTTGCTAAAAGGGTCTGGTGGCTAGTAAGGATTTACAAATTTTTTCTTCCTTACTTCATCCAAATAATCAATATCAAAATTATTTTTTATATCAAGGACATCTTTAAATGTTTCTTCCTTAATCTAAATCTATAGAAGCATGAATTTCATATTTTCTTTTATTATTATTTTTAAAACAAATTATATTTAATACTTAAACTGTGTATTTATTTATTCTTTTACATAAAATTATTTCATTATTTTCAGATGTGTCTTGCTAGAATGATTCCATAGTAAATATTTTCTCAGTTTGTTCAATTTGAGGTACAAATTTCTCTAAAAGAAGATTATTAAACGTGTATTGATAGATACCCTAATATACTGCATTTTCTTCTTTTTGTACACAGAAATATCTTGGCTTTTTGCTTGTTAAAGATATTTTAGAGGGACCACAGTAGGAGTACATCTCAACAAAGTCAGTCTAAAATTCTTGTTCTAAGTAAGGAACTGTAACTTTATCAAGAACATTTTCAGTATTTAAAATTGTTTCTAACAAAATTTTGTCATCAACAACTAAGTATTCTGATAATTTTAAATCCTAAATCTGATTATTTAAAGTTGTTTGATTTTTTAGGTTATTGCTACTATTTTATTGGCTAGATATGTTTAAAATATTAGTGTTTACACCAGTTGCTGGTGTAGAAGCGTTTGAAGATTAGTTACTGTTAATTTAATAATTTTAATGACCATAAATAGAGTTAACACTGTTAGAGAATGATAATTTAATTTCTTGTAAATACTTTTTTTTGCACTCTTCAATATACTTCAATAGGCAAGTCTTGTATAATTCAAAATCAAATTCTAAGTAAGGCCTTTAGTTAATATTTATGTAAGCCTCATATAATTAGAATGCAATAGGATGTATGTGAATTTATGATTTCAATTACTAAAAAATTTAAAAAATTTCTTAATTCAAATAATTTTTTTATTTATTTATTTGTTTACTCCAAAATTGTCTAATGTCTTTAAAACTTTAAGTGATTTTAGTTCATAGTCTCTGCATGTTAAGTATGATCCCTTTTAGAAATGGCAAAGTTAAATCGATTCCTTTGTAGTTGTAAGTGCATTGATGTTCATATCTTAAAAGTCTACTTATATAGTTTCCTTGACTACAGTGTATTCATGGAGTTATGTTATGACCTAGACTTGAACCATTTCTAATAAAAGATTAACTTCGCTGCATTTATTATCTTTAAGGAATCCTTCTTATTCCGAAATTTGATTCTCTAAATTAAAAAATTTAGCTTTTACTAAAGGGATACTGATGTCAACCAACTCTGGCATAGGACTTCTTGAAGGTTTTTCCTTAACTACTAAATCATTTTTTATAAACTTTAACAATCTTGCTTGATATGTCCTAAAGTACTATTTTATTGATTAATTTTAATAAAATCGCTATAATTTTTGTTAATTGTTACTTTGATGTATTTGTAAGCATTGCAAGTTGCAGGCGAAAATTCACATGTGACTTATTTAGATTAGATGAATATTTTAGATCCATTTATGCAATCGTCTGATGTAAATCCAAATGGCATGTGAAAGTTAACTTAAGGTTATTCAATAGTAATGCATTTATCTAATCTTTAAGTAAAATCGTTCATTAAAAAAGCATGGAATACCTTCGCTTTAATTATTAGTTCTAATTTTTCATCCTTTTATATTATTCAAAACAAAATAAACCTTATTAAATCAATTTATTTTAAGCATTTAAAAAACTATTTAAGATTAAATATGAATTATTCAGCTTTTTCGAAGGGTTTTGAAATAAAAAAAATATTTTATATAAAATTTTAAGTAATATAAAGCTTTTTATAAAATTGCTATAATAAAGTTGATTATTTTTTATTACTAGTGAAGAAAAAAATAGTTTACTTTATTAATTAAAGTTGAAAATGAAAATCCTGGAAAACTTAGCTTGTATAAACGATTTGTGGTAAATAGTTTGAACATGTGTGAAATTTCTCTTTGAGTTTTTTCTTGCTTAAATTCATGGATTGGTTGCTGATTCTTATTTTCAATTATCGATAATTACAATTTGTCCACTTATAGTTCTACAACCTATAAGATCACCATAACTATAAAATTGATGATTCCTGACTTTGACCTTTAATACTAGCTCTGCTTTAATTCAACTTTTTTACTAGAAGAGTCATCAACTACCTTGTATTCTTCTATGATTTGCCTAATTATTGTTTCTATGTTTTTCAAAATCTTGCTTTTATCTATTTTAGTATTTCTAAATCCATCAATCTACGAGAGATGATTTTCCTACAAAAAAAAAAATTTGTATTTAAAGTTATATCATCATTTTTTCCTATAAAAATGCAAAGTATTTGTGAGTGATTGATTGATTTTAAAATATATTTTCTATTATATAAATACTCTCAATAATCAAAGTAAAAATTACCTTCAAATCCAAGTAAATTTTCAACAAATTTATGCTGAGAGTAAATTTCTTATTTTGATATTAGATCTTGATAGATGGGATTTGAATTGCAATTCTTTATATTATTGGGTCAGATTCATAAGGGAATATTGCTAAAATGTCTCTAAAATAATTGTAATCTGAAATCTTAAAATCAAAGTAATCTATTGACCTTTTGATAATACTTCTTATAACTAAAGGAGAAATTAATATGACTATTAGTATGGCTAATATTAATGAGTATAAAATCATTAAATTTGGTATCTATCAATATTATAAATTAATTAGCTTCTATTTAATATGTGTTATTCTTAAAATATTTAAATCCTTAGAGCTAAGGATAAAAATGCTAATGCCAGTCTTTGAGATTTATTAGAAATATCTACTTTATCTTATTAACAACTTTTAAAATGTAATAAAAAAATCTAAAATGATTAAATATTATTATTATTATCTTGACTACACGCTGAACTTGATTTTTAATAATTAATATTGCTTTTAATTTCGATTTTATGCTTAGTTAGTTAGTTATTTAGTTATTATGTAATATTTTATGTTTTCTGATAATAAAAAAGAGACTATGTCAATCAAAATAGAAAAAAAAGATAATAAATAACATGTAAAATTAATACATATAATTCCTTAATAATAGTAACACATTAGTTAACATTTTATTCCTATATATTATAATAATTTAATTCTAAAGTATTTATTATATGATTTAAAAACTTCTCCACGTTTAAGAATAGTTTGTTCTAATATTCAATCTATTATATTTTCAGTATAATGAATTATTGTTTCTTTAAAAATTAAAAAATTTTATTTTTTATTTTAAAATTTAAAAATGCATTATTTAATAGAAATACTTTGTTTGTTTTTGGTATAATCTTTTACTTTTAGTAACAAATATCTTATTAAAATAACATAAAAAAATTTATTAATAAAAGTAGTAATAAAAAGTTAATTTTACTTTGCTTTCAAATTAAAAGTAACAAAAGAATAAAGCGCGGATTTTAGTAGTCTTAAAAATGCTAGAATTAGTCATTTTATTCAAAATAAGTTAGTAGATAATACTAATATAAATACTTGAAATAGAACAATTAACGAAATTATATTTTTTTTGATAGGAGCACCAAAACAAAAAAATATTAAATTCATTCATACATATAAACATGGAAAATACAAATGTTAATATGCGAAAATTAATTTAATCATTTAATGAATCTCACAAAATTAATAGCTCTGGATATGTAAATATACAGATGAAATCTATTGATTTATTTATATTAAATTATTATTAATTGCGACTACTTAGAAATAAGATAACTAAAAATAAATTAATTTGATAGAAAAAATATCTGATTTGATAATAAGAAAATCAAAATTAATATTCTATATTCGAGGAAGTTTTAGAAAAGCAAAGGTTTTTTAAATTGATTGCTGAGGAAATTAACAAATACTTGAAATGATTAAATAAAAACAAAAAAAATTGTTTGAATTTATTAATTAATTTACGATTTGGTTGAAAGTAAATACATTAAGTAAATATACATTATCACATATTTTTATTATAAAATATACTAAATAAATATTTAAGCTAAATTGCCATTATTGTTGGTTGCATTTTTAAGAATACTTTTCAACGTTTCCCTAAAAATTTTTCCATTTTTTAAGAGTGAGCTTTGCGCGCAACTTTAATAGAACTGAATTTACAAGGATTTTTAAGAATAAGAATAAATGCACTTTAATATTTAAAATAGAGACAAGCTGTTTCAATATTTTTACTATTCCTTGCCCATTGAGCAAGGTCATACTCAAATATTTAGTATGCTATCTCCATTAAAGGTAGATTGTTATGCAAGGTTTCTTGTTAAATTACTTTACATATTTCATTGAAATATTAAAGACTTTTTGTAGAGGATCTTTTTGCAAGAAGCTGCTTGAAAGAGTCCTTTAAGGGAATATCTTTGCAGCGAGCTTGAAAGCGATCAATAAACAAAGGAATAACTTGCTAAATGATATTGTGAGTTTCTTTGGGATCATTCTTTTTTTCTTCTTATTTTTCTTCTTACATATTACTTTCAGTGTTTTCACACTCTTACTCTTATTTTATACTTTAGTTTGATGATAGTAAAAAGGATCCATTTTAAATTTATTCTTATTTAATTTCTTACTTAATCAAAATATTGAAAGGGTTTTATTAAAAGCTAGATTATTTTTATAGTTGTTACTGCTATTCTATGTTTTAGAATTGCTAATGAGCGAATATTGTATTATCACCTAATATTTTACCATTTATTTATAATCTATTATTATCTCTTAAGGAAGTTAGAGAAGAAAGATAATTTATGCAATTATCTTTATTAGCTGTGTTATTTTTAAGCTTTTAAAGAGCTTGAATTTTACTATTTTGCAATGTAAAAGAACTGTTTGAAGACATTATTGATGGAGGGAAAGTAAAACCTGAATAATTTATAGCTGGAAATGCTTTGATGTCAGTTTTGACTCCATCTTTTATGAGCAATTTTGTATTGTTTTGTATTAAAGTTGTATTATTAATGTTTTTATTATTATTATTATGATTATTATTAAAATATGTTTAAGTTGAGTCCTGTGTAGGCAAGGTGAAAGGTTCAAAGGATATATTAGTCTATTCATTGGAGTTGCATTCTTCATACTCCTTTTTGATTTGGCTGTTATTTTATATGATTATATTATTTACTTCTGTTTTAACTGAAATATTCTTTTCTTCTTATTTTTTCTCCTCATCTTGCTTGTCCTGGTAGCACTATTTATTTAAAAAAATTATTATTAAGAAACACACATTCAGTTAAAAGTAGAGCTAAAGAATTCAAAAATCATACTGTTGGAATGCTTTTTATTTGATTGAGACTCTAAAGTTCTTAAATTTGCAAGTACAATTTAATAAACTAGTTGAAGAAGTCTATTTTTTAATAAAATAATTATTGTTAGAATATTTTTTTTCTTTGAATTAATGTAGAGTTTAATATAATCTAATTCCTAAAGATGAACACCAACTTTGAAAATATTTATGAATGCTCTTACTTGCCTATAAAAGTTTGATTCATACCAAAATGCAGTAAGGATAATTCAAAGTAAGATGACGATTTAAAATTTAAATTTCTTGCTCCACTATATAAGTAGAATGCTTTTTTAATGGTGTTTCATATATACATTCACCTTTCAGTCATAATTTGAAGTATCTATTGAAAAATGTGCCTTTGGAGACCAGAAAAGTAATAAGGTGTTTAAAAAGATATAAACAACTTACCTTAATTTTATTCATTTAAAGGTTTGGTGTACAACTGACTTTATAGAATATCTAACTGTATGGGCTGCTTCTGCTCTTATGGTATATAGGTCTTCATTATTCTATTAAAGTTCAATGTGAATTTCTTTTTGTTTAAATTTTTGCTTGTAAATTGTTTTTTAAATTAAAGAGATATTAGAAAAAATATTCAGATGTTTAGCCACGATTAATAATGAACATTTCGAAAGTTAAAGCCTATTAAGGCAATGCATATATACATATATAAGTAATATAGACATTCTTCTTTATGAATACAATACATGTATGTATGTAATGGATAAAAATAAATATTGAATGTTAATTATCATATTATTTTTTAACTTTTTGTTTTTAAATAATTCTAAGTTCTTTCCCTTCTATACTTTTCATCAATTGAATTCAAATTTCTTATTATACAAAAATAAATAATTCAGAGGAATTAATTCTAAGAAGCAAGCTCTAATAAGATAGTTATTAAATAATATACATTTATTCAAAGAAATTTCCATATGCACTCAAACAAAACAAACCAGACCTAAATTAACTAAGCAATAAATAAATTTATATTAATTTTTTTCTAATTTGTTTGCTTCTTTGTTTATTTATTTATTGATTTTCTTTTGTTAGTTTTTCCGCTCGATAAATCCCAAAATACTCATAGTATGAAAGGATTTATTCTTTTACATCAACTATTACATCTTTTTGTTAAATCCATCAGTTTTAATAAAATCTATTTCAATCTAGTAATGTATTATTATATTTATTTTAATAGAGCTAGTCTATTACAATAAAAAGTTAACTCAATATAATATCAAATAATTATTTTTATTAAGAAAATTAATCTTTTCTTTTTTAATCAAATTTATGAAGAAATTTCATTTTTCAGTTCATTAAGTTTTCAAATGAATTAATCTATTAACTTTTTATTTATCTACAAATTTATTGAGTTCCTTTAAAAGCAATTAATTGTTTGATAGATAGATAGATTTACAGATAAATAAATAAATAAATTAATTAATTAATAAAAATTCTTACTTTATTTAATTTTTTATTAATGAAAATTTTTATTTGATTTTTAAATAAATAAAAAGAAAGAAAGAAAGTCTTTTTAAATAATTTGAAAATAATAAATAGCAATAAAAAGTTATAAATAAATAAATAAATAATCATAACTCATTCATTTAAAAAGTTCATAAATTCCTCCTTTATCTTAGATTTGAAATGGGATAAAAACCTGATAAGCAATAACCCTAACCATCAATCCATGATGTAATTTTTTCACAAAAAATAGCATATATTTAATGAATTTATATTTTTTTAATGAAAAATTAGAATTCCCAAAATCAAATAACTGAAAAATATGATTGTTTGTAAACTAAAAAATTGTCTTTATTTTCTATAAAATTCTTATATATTTATTTTATAGAAAAGAAAAATTAATTTAAGTGAAGTAATAAATCCATAATGCTTAAAATTAAGATAGTTTATTTATTTCTAAATGGTAGATTTTATAAATATATATTAAAAGTGAAATTAATATTTTAAATATTCTTTATGCAAAAGGGGTTTTATGCTCGATTATAATTTTGGTATTTAGCTGGGGTAGTTAATATCAAATTAGGTTTAATTAGTTAATTTAAAACTTGATTTCAGGTAAGAAAATAAATATTTATATTTTGAATTTATTTAAAGCTATTTTAAATGAATTTAAAAGCATAAATAATTTACAATAAGAAGGTGTGAGAGCTTTGTTTGAAAATTTTAAGAATTTAAATTAGCTATAAATGCTAATTATCAATTTATAGTAGATTCTTTTAATCATAGAAATAGATTATCTTACTTTTAAATTTAAATTCATAGGGAAAATAAATTATTAGATGAAGGTGCTGCTGGTATTGCCAAAGGTATTTCGTTATGTAAAAATTTAGAGCATCTTAAGCTTGATCTAGGGTATTTATAATTTTATTTAATTTAAACTTAAAATATATATTTATATAAATCAGCTTTAATAAAATTTCTGGAGAAGATAATATTTTTAAACCTTTAGGAAATTTGTAAAATTTGACATTTCTAGATTTAAGTTTCGAGTACATTATAATTTATATTTTTAATTATTATATTAAGCTTTTATTCAAAAGAAAAAATACTATTTCTACGAAAGGACTGAAAGACATGGCTTCAGATTTAAGCTCACTCTTTAATTTAATGATTCTTAAACTAAATTTCAAGTAAATTAAATAATTAAATTCAAATTTGTAATTTTTATCTCAAAAATAAATATTTTAAAACGAATAAAAAATTAGATTTAAATTAAGTTAAAAATTTGGTACTTTATTTATTTGTGATTTAAGAAATTTATTTATTTATAAATATTATTTTTTTTATTAGAAATAACTAATTTTCATGCATAGACGGTTTCGATACTATATCATAATTAAAAAGCTTATAATAACTAGAAATATCATTTCAGTAAAATAAAAAATAATTTTTTGTAAATACAATTGAATTTTATTCTAAAAATTAGATCTAATTAAATAACAGTAGTGTCTTTAAATAAGTGGTTTTCTGATATTAAAAACGGATTTAATCAATTAATTTCTCTTGATTTAGACTTTTAGTATAATTTAATTCTATTTAAATTTAAATTTATCATTTACTTTTAAAAAACAGAGGCAACAATTTTAAAGATATTTTAACAGAATAATTTTAACTATCAGGACTTGCTTAAATTAAGAGTTTAAATAGACTCGGTTTATCAATATAGTATATATCATTTTAAACTGACCAACTAAATTAATTTACTTAATAAAAATTAAGCCATAACAATTTAAACATTTGTCAAGAAATATCTAAATTAAATAATATTCATCGTCTTTCTCTTACTAATGTAAAATACTTTAATGAATATTAAATAATTAAGCAAAAATATAAAACAAAAAGATAAAGGATAGCTTAGACTAAAATAATTTGTTTAGAATTCTCTCTAAAATGGTAAATCTTAGAGTTTTTGAGATAGTTTTATTAGGGAATTGGTATGATTTTTCTTTTTTCTTTTTCATTTTAGGTAGAGCTTTTAAAATAAATTTAAAAGGGAACATTAGATTTTTCAGAATTTCAAAGACATTTTGAAAGCAAAAAGATTGGTAGTAATAAAAAAATATTAGATATGAAGTTTATTTTATTTGTTTGCATGTTGAGTCACAGAATTTTTTACATTAAATAATCATTTTGTATATATTGTGTTTAGAATAATTGTCATTCTGAAAATAAAGTTGATAAATTTATTATTTTTGCTTTAAATAACTAAATATCAATTTTTATTTTTTATTGCAATTTCTTTTGTTTTAGAAAATAATAAATTCCTTTATTAATTTTAATTGAAATTTATCAGTATTTCTCAGTATTTATTTTAAGTTTTTATCTTTGGAATTAGTCAGACGACACATTTTAAATGAAATCTTATCGGTATCAGAACTTGATACCATTAGATGAATATCTTTAGAAAACCAATTTTCCTAAATTTCACAAACAATATTATTGATATAACAAAATATACATTTAAATATTTTTATTTTCATAAATACTATCTACTAAATTAAATGGAGAAGCTTAATTCCTATGATATTTTAGCTAAGTATACTACGGATGTAGAAGATAATTTATCTTCTAAAAGAGAAATTAAAATTCAGATAGATCCAGGTTAAAAATTTGGATTTAATGAAGCAGAAAAGCTAGCATTAGAAATATTAGAATTATAAGATCTTCAGTCTATTGACTTTAAAATATCAGAAAAAAATAATTTTTGTGGAAAGAGTGTATAATAAATTACCAATTCTTTTTAGCATTTAAAAAATCTCAAGCAATTATCACTATCAATATATGATAATAACTTTAATAGCGATGCTAGCTTGATGCTTGGATAATCTCTCTCTAATATTCCATTTTTGATTTGCTTAAAAATAACTATTGGTCCTTAAAGCTCATTTGGCTAATTTGGAATGTAGGGACTTCTCTAATCATTTAGGACCATGAGGTAGTTAAATTCTTTGGCATTATGTATTGGAACAAATGATATACAGTAGTATGGAGCTAAATGTATTGGAGATTCTCTCTAATAGCTAATAAATCTTAAATCTTTGATTTTATAAATAGAAAAAAATAATAACATAGGATGCGGAGGTGCAATTGGAATCGCTCAAGGACTTTCATCTTTAAAAAATTTAAATGAGCTTTAATTATCTTTAGGATTTGATAATAGTATTAGCTCATTAGGTATGACATCTATAAGCAAAAGCATACAATAAATAAACAATTTAATTAGATTGTCTATATCTATTGGATAAATGAACAATATTAGTAGGGAAGGTGCGAAATCTTTAGCAGATACTATTAAGTTGTTAAAAAATCTTAATTTTTTAGAGCTTATAATTTATGATAATAATATTGGGCCCGAAGGATCGAAGGAGATTGGTTTAAGTATTGGAAATTTGAAAAATCTAACAGAATTGTAATTGCAAATTGGAACTAATAACATATCAGACGAAGGAGCATTAGGAATCGGAATGGGATTACAAAATCTAGATTAGCTTTCATGCTTGAGCCTCAAGATAGGACCGAATAATAACATAGGGCCATCAGGAGCTCAAGGATTAGCTTATGGATTATAGTATCTAAATAATCTTACAAAACTTAATTTATAAATCGCTTCTAGCAATAACATAGAAAACCAAGGAGCGAATGAAATTGGTAAAAGTATATAACTTTTGAGAAAACTCTACTAATTATCAATAAAGATAGGAAATAACAATATAAAAAATGGTTTTCTGATTTTGTTTAAAAACTTAAGATATTTAATCAACTTAGAATAATTAGAACTATAAATTGATAGCAAAAATATTATTAATTTGAATGAAATTAAAATACTTACTGAATCTCTAAATTAATTGAAATAATTGCAATAAATAGATGTTTAAATCTGTTCCCCAATGGCTTTATATCTGATCATACTAATAAAGGAATTAAGGCTAACTAAATAAAAGTTGTCAATTAAGTATCTTAAAGATTATAAATACATTGTAAATGATGAATCTAGTAGCAGCAATTTATAATAATAGTCTTATAGCTTATCTCTTTAAATACAAATAGATCAAGAAAGGAGCTTACCTTAAAGCATAGGGTTATTTGAAGGACTTTCAACCTATACTAATTTAACTTCACTCTCACTTAATTTTGGATATAATAATTGCATATCAGAAGAAGGTGCTTGCAGCTTGGCTACGTGTATTTCAAAATTTTTAAATTTGAGGTTACTTAATTTATATATAGGAAGCTTCAACAAAGTTAATAAAAAGGGGGCTTCTAAAATAGGAAATAGTCTCAAATGTTTGAATAATTTGGAATAACTCTAAATTAATTTTGGTGGATTCAATGAAATATAATCTCATGGTTTTAGATCTATTATTGATGGGTTTAGTTAGCTTTCTAGCTTAAAACATTTGGAGTATTAAGTTTTCAATCCAAACAACATAAATTCAAAAGACATTAATTATTTAGCATGTGCTATAAAATCTATGAATCATCTAAACAAGCTACAACTTAGAATTAATGATTACTAAAATATATACGAATCCAATTGTTTAATTGCTTTAGCAGAAAGCATATCTTACCTTTCTTCACTCAGGAGTCTCTCATTCAATTTGAATTAATGGCAGATGTTTGACCCAAATCTTTCTTTTGAATTATGTAGATTCATTTTTGATTTACCTTTCTTGCGTTTCTTACAAATAGAAGTGCCCTCCTAATTTAAAAAGTACACATAAAAAATTATTTTCCGCTGCAAAAGGCTAGTTGTTTTAAAATGACAATTATACTTTAAATTTATTTGATAAGACTTGAAAAGTAAAAATAAATATTAAATAAAAATTATTAAATGAAGTTTAATTATAATGTTTAAGGGTATAATAAAGATAAAAGAGTATCAATCATTTTCTCTTTAAAAATATCTTTGATTAATTTAAAAATATGTATAGTGTATTTATTTATTTATCAAAATATTTTTTAATTAACTAAATAACAGAAAATCAAAGAAATTCAATATCCATTTTAATTTATTTAATTTTATCTGACAATTATTTAAAGTTTTTAGAATTTCAAAAAAACTGGTAAAGCTACTCAAAAAATATATCTTAATTTGAATACATTTGAAATAAAATATTTACATTAGTCTAATTTATAATTTAAAATTTCTTTTAATAAGCTGAAAATTTTATTAATTAAATGAGGAAATTAAATTAAATTAAAAAATAAATTTTAAATTTAGAAAAATAGAAAAAAATAGTTTTTTTAATAATAAATTCTACTTGTATTTGAATAATTAGTAATATAGTAACATATAACAAGTAAGGTAATTAATTAATAATTTTATTTACATAATTTTATTGGTTTTTAATAGAATAAATTATATTGATTGTAAGATATAAATAAATTAACTTTTAGAAATAAAACCATCATTATTCTTTCTATTCATCAATAATTTCACAAATTTTTATTTATTTATTTTGATATAAACAAATTACAAGCTCAATCCTCTTTATATGATTCATTTTTTGATTAGGAATTTGGCTTATTTAGTAATTTTTCTTTTAATATTTCGTATTCCTTTTTTTCTTGCTCATAATTGTTTTTCATTTAATTAATTGAGTTAATCCAAATATCTTTATGGCTTTAGCTAATCCATGAACTTTCAATACCTTCAACTGTAGGTCTAGGGAAACCTCCTCCCCAATTCTAAGCCCTATTATTTATTTAATTTCATTTAGAAAATAAAAAATAAAAACTTAGTTATTACCTCCTATTGTAGAATAAGTCAAAGTTTTCTCTTAAAAACATTACAGGATTATTTGTGTGCAGAAGTTATCTTGGATTTTTACTTATGATTAGATCTATCAAAATCCTTAAGAAATCGTCTCTTCCCAAAAGTTGATGGATTTAGATTAATCTTATTTCAAGTAGTAGCAACTTTTTATTTTTATAATAATTTAATTATACTGATATATTAAATAAACAAAAATATGTATTAATTTTAAAATTCATTAGCAATCTGCATTGATCTGATACAAATTATTCATTAAGCTTAAATTAAAATTTTTATTTGTAGAAATTATTTTAATTTTAGATTATGGATTAAAGTATTTACTTAATCTACTTCAAGATCTTGGGAAAAGTAAGACTTAACTAATTCAATTAGAGAAGCAAATTCAGTCCAATTTTTCTTGTGATTAACACCAGAGTAATTTGCATAATTAGCAAAAAAAAGCAAGAATATAGCTATCAGTGTGTTTGTGGCAATACTAGGAGCTTGGTTTGTAAATGTTGAAGCAAAAATAATTATCAGAAATTCAGTAAGGAGTTTTATAAAAAAGTAAACTCCTTAAGTATGATTTTAGAGAATTCTGTTAAAAAAGAATGGTTTAACTAGCTAAAATAAAGAGGCTACTATAAACATTACATATAAATTATCTTAGTCTACAAAGTATGGTTTAACTTAAGTCATAGATAGCTTTTTATTTAAATATAAAAATTAATTTTAAAAATTTTTAAAGAAATAATAAATATATTTATTAAATACTTCATAATTCTAGTAGATGGCATAATAAAATTCGAGGTTGAAATAAGAAGCAAAGAAAGATAAAATAAGTAAGAAGAGATTGTATATTGAATAGAGTTCTACAGTCTTCTAAATATCAATGTTGAAGTTTTCGTTGTCATAAATCATAGAATCAAAAATGCTATCAATTTTTGTGAGGAGCATATCATCTTTATCATGAAAGTAGTGAGCATTAAACTTCATTTCTAAATAATCCTTCAAAAATTCCTCCAAGTATTGTCTTTCATTTTCCTCTTTATTTAAATTTCCATAGTTTTATTTTTAAAAATTAAAAACTCAATAAACTAATTTTTACCCTGTTTTAACATATTTTCTACCTCCCACTTCTTCAAATCTTTGAAATTAGTTTCTTCTCTCCTTTTTATATATTTATTCATTAAATTCTCATCTAGATTTAAAACAGTATCTAGTTCTTCAGCGTTTAGAGCTCCGTAGCCTAAGTAATATCTTTATTTTAAAACAAATTCCTATTATTTCTTTAAAAATTTTTGATGTTTTAATTTACTAAAATTTAGGACGAGTAAAATATTTTGGCAGCTCTACTAATTAATTCACTTTCACAGTATTATTACCCACTAACTTTCTAAAATTTACAATTTTACTTTCTAAATAGGGATCTCTTTCCCCTGTCTCAAATCTGAGATCCTCATAATTAGGGTCCAACTTTTTTATCAATTAAAATCTTTTGTACAAAATAGATTCCTTTTTCAATAACTTTGGCTTGTCGTCATCTCCACTAACATAATCTTTATAGTAATTAGTAATATCACCACCCTTAACATAATTTAAAGCCCCAATAGGAATATTTTAACTTTATATTATATAAAACAAATAAATAAGTATACTTTATAAGTAAATTATTTTATTAATTATTTCATATTTTCTTTATTTATTTAAGTGATAAAAGTATTGTTTTTCATAAAACTTTTTTTGTCCCCTAACTTTAAATTGTATTTAAAATTCTCACAAAAGTAACACAATATAATAATGTAGTTAGTTTACTTGTAAAGCGATTTATCTTTAAGCTTATAGTAATGGCCTCTTTTTAATATAAATCTTTTACTCAGAACAGATCCTAATAAAAAAAGAAATTTGCTGAAGAAAGTAATAAGAGGTCCTTCCCATCCAGATTCAGTAGATACAGATATTTTAGAAGAAGGACTAGATCTTGATAGGACAAGAAGTTCATTTACACAAAGACTTGCAACTGAAAGCAACACAGTAAGAATATAGTGGGAGTAAAGCATTCTGTTTAAAATGAATTTACTTAGTAAAGGTAATACTAAACACTCTGTGATTCCTCCAATGATTATATATCTTATTAATGTTAGATGAGAGTATTTTAATGCAGTCACTGATAAAATTTAAGAAAATCCATATAAGAGTGAAAGTATAATATATTAGTTAATGTCAAGATAAAATATAGAGCCTCTACCATTATAGTCCTTTACAAATTTTAAAATGGTAAAAAATCCTATTATCGCAAGAGGAGCGGATATTATTATAAGTCCTAAATAGGGATATTAATAATTTTATGTGATTGTATATTTTATGAAAGCCATTCCAATCTAAGTGGTTGTCAGTAAAAATAGAAAATAGTCTATTCCATCTTATATAATCTTCATCTTTAAATATTCTTCTTGTCAGTAAAATTAATTAATAAATGGCTTTGCTTAAACCTAGCTTTATTTATTTTAGGATAGATATATTCTCTTTTTTCTACCTTCCAATATAATAAGTTAATATCTCAAATACTAATTAATATTGAATTATGAAATTAGAGGTATTAATGAATGAAGTGATATCTAATTTAAAAGTATTAATCAACTGCAATCAATCAATGAACAATCATGTGTTTTAATTATTTTTAATTAATTGTATATTTTGGTTGTTTAGTTAGTCTAATACTGTATTCTTAGCCATAATTTTAAATTTAAATTATTCAACCAAGTTATTTATTTATTTACTAAAAAATTAACACGATAAAAATATTTTTATTTTTTAAAAATAAATTTTAATTGAAATAAGACACTTTTTTTAATAAAAAGGAATACATTTTTAATTACTTTTTAGCATCTCTTTATAATTATAATTTTAATTTAATTAATTTAAATCTTTTAAAATTTTTACTACTCAAGCATACATTTGGTTTAATTTTTTAGAAATGATTTTCAAAATAATTAACTATTAAGTTTAATAAAACAAATAAATAGAATTTAAGTATGAATAAATAATCTTTATTTAGTTATAAATACTAATTAATTATTTATACTTTTATAAAATAGATGCCAAATAAATAAAAGGTATGGCTACGAATAAAAATATAAATCAACTATTAAATAAATAATCTCCATTAAAAATATATAATTTTTTTGCTTGATGGAAATATTTATTAGATTCATTGATTTTATCTATGTTATTGTTAAAATTTTAGAATTTATTAATTCAAAGTAATTACACTTCGATATTAAAATTATAAAAAAAGTAATACTTTCGATTTCATTTGTTCTGTGAGCAAATAGGCAAAATGCTAAGTTAGACTGTGCCTCTTTCAAGTGTTTTAGTAAATTTATAAACAGATTTAAAAGACTGCTGATTTATAATAATTAAACAATTCATTATATAGGAAGTTCTTCCTTAGTAACGAGTAAATGCCTTGTAACAGTATGCATTTGGTGAAAGTCCTCAAAAAACTAAAAGAAGCAACAAAACATAAGATAGAGTATCTTTATTTAATGGAAGTGCTTCTATAATGATGACAACTATACAATCGAAGGCAGATACCTTACCTCCTATTGATTAATACAGCAAATATAGATAAAATACTCAGGCAAGTAATAGTAAATCACCATAAGCAAAAAATAAAAAATACAATTATGGAGGAGGAGGAGATTTTTTTACTTAAAAAATATCTAAAAAATAACCTTCTCTACACACATAATAATCTAATTCAACTTATAATCAATTAAGATCTTCTTCTCTAACCAACAGAGTAAACAACTTAAAAAAATTGATAAGATTATGAAAATCATTTTTTTAAAAAATACAGTTCAATAAAACGCCAAGCAGACTTTTCAACATTAATTAAAATTTAGATATTGATGAAAATAACAAAATAGGACAAGGAAATTTTGGTGTTGTATTTAAGGTAAATAAATGCTAAAATCTTATTAGAATTTATTTATAAACTTAATGACGATTCATTAGCTTGAAATAAACATTTTGTTTGATTATTATACATTTTGAGTAACGAGAGTGTTACTTTTGTAGTTATCAATCAATACTCAAGCAAGCAAGAGATGAAGATATTAAATTAGCTTATTTTTTATCAGAAATGAAATTTATAATCAAATTTATAAAAATTTTAATTTTAGGCTGAATTTAAAGATACAAAAGAAGAGGTTGCCGTTAAAAGAGTTCTTTAAGATAAAAATTTTAAGAATAGGGAGCTACAAATAATGTAGGAAGTAGCTCATCACCCCAATATAGTTCAACTAAAATACAGTTTTTATTCTTTTGGAGAAGAGGTATGAGAATGTGTTTATTTATTAAATCTTTGGTTTTTCAATTTTAAAATAAAAATGAAAATGCGATTTCATTTTTACTTATTTCTTAATCAATAAAAACAGGAAGATGATGTTTATTTAAACTTAATCATGGAATACGTTCCATCCAATTTAACAAAGATGATCAAATACTACCACAGAAAAAAATTAAAATAATTTGAATAGAGAGAATAGTTTCCTAATATTTTGATAAAATTATATCTTTATTAAGCTTTTAGAGCTCTTGCCTATTTGAATGGATTGAATATAGCTCATAGAGATATTAAACCATCAAATATTTTAATTAACCATAGGACTCATCAACTTAAATTTTGCGATTTTGGATCAGCAAAAAAACTTTCAAGAGGTGAATCTAACATATCTTATATTTGTAGCAGGTATTGTCTTAAATAACTTACAAAAATATTATGCTTGGAAATATTTTAATTTACTTATTAACTTGAATTAAAACTAGGTTTTATAGAGCCCCTGAATTGATGTTGGGTGCTTCAAATTATACCACAAGTGTAGATGTTTGGTCACTAGGTTGTGTAGTAGCAGAGATGCTCTTAGGAGAACCCCTATTTAAAGGAAATTCCAGTTTAGACTAATTAGTAGAAGTTATGAAAGTACTCGGTGCACCTTCACCAGAATAAATTAGAGAAATGAATCCAGAACACAAGTTATTGAAATATCCTCCAATTAATAAAATGCCTTTATCTAAAGTAATTTATTAATAAAATAGTAAAAAATAAGTTTGATTTGTCTTTTTATAAAAAATTAGGTTTTTGAAAGTGTCTTAATTAATAGAGATCTATTAGATTTGCTAGAATAAATGCTAGTCTATGAACCATCTAAAAGGATTAAGCCTTTAAAAGCTTTATTACATCCCTATTTTAATGAATTAAGAATAGAGCATTGCCGGATAAATGGAAAGAGACTTCCACCTTTATTCGACTTTTTAGAAGGTAAAATTTAATAAGTCAAATAAGTTAATTCATTTTTAATAAATTTCATAAAAGAGGAATTATCAGAGTCGTAGGATAAACAATTGACTTTTTAGTTATTGACCCCTAAGTGGTATTAGCTTTTAAAGTAAGCAGGAGAAGACAAAAATCATTTCAATTAAGAATACTGAAAATAAAGTATAAAAACACGAAAAAAACCAAAAATTGTATTTAAAGTAAATAAATACTAAATAATAATAATCTTAAATAAATATCTTAAAATCTTGAACTATTTTATTTTAATTAAATTAATTTAAAAATTATCTAACTATTTTATTCATATTTAAATTAATTTTATATAAACTTATATTTATTTTGTATTTCCAGTTTTAATTTGTAAATTATAAAACTTAATCTACATTTTTAATGTTTTTAATTTTCATTTATTTGTTCATCTCTTAAGGTGAATAATTTTAATAACTAATTTTATTTAAATATTATATATTAAATGTAAAGGCTGATGCTTAAATAATCTACTTTTACTTTTAGGGATACAAAAATAAAATTTTATTTTTTGAAAGCAAACGATTTTAAGTAACAAAAACTTTAAGCAAGTTTTCATTTGACTTTCGAACAAAATTATATTTTTTTTAACTTTTAAAAAAATAAAAAAATAAATTTCCAAAATTAAATTCAATTAAATTGAAAATTTTATATTTTTTAATATTTATCTGTTTTAGTATATTAATTTTATTAATTATTCAAATAATTTAACCTTTACAGATATTAAATAGAGTAAGTTATCAAGAATTTGAGATATAAATTACATTTAAAGAAAATATGTAATCTAGAACCAAAAAAAAAAATTTAGTATTTTTGACAATTAAAGAGGTAGTATGAATATCATATTTTGGATTACTGTTATGAAAAAATAGTAAGGTAGGGAATTCTAGCCTTAAATATTTTTTTGAAGTAAAAAACAATAATAGTTACTAATTATAATAAAAATTTTGTTTTTATTAAAAAAAACTTTATATCAACAGAATTTATTGTAAAGATTAATTAGTATAAAAACTAGAAAAATTAATAACTGTGGTATTTAATTGATAAAAAGAAAGTAAAAAACTTAATATATGTTTAATTATAATAAAACAAGTCTAAGTTAGTATTAAATTTTGAATTAAAAAATTTGCTTAAAAAAACTATTATTTTTTCAGAAAAGCAAATAAATATTACCATATTGTAAATATTAATCTTTAGCTGATATAGCGTAAAGTAATTTGTTTAGGTATTTTCATAGAAAAAGCATTTAGAGACCATTTTTAGACTTAAGTTAATTTATTTTTTGAGGTTAAATATTAATGGAAGCTGATCAATTCATAAAATGCTAGCATAACAACATTAGAATGTCTTTAAAGCATTAGAGTGGTAATAGCAAATAGAAGATTGAAATGCATAAAGATTTACCTGAAAAGAAAAGCATAAAAGAGAAGCTAGTAGATTTTTATTTTACAGAATTTGATTCTATTACGAAAAGATACAAAAGAGGAAAGCTTGTTTCATTTTTGATATTTAGCTTATTTCAGCTTCAATAAATTTCTTTGCTTTATAATAAGTAAGTGCAAGATTTAATTAACAGTAGTAGCAGTTAAAATATTCCTTAGCAGTTCTTTTCGATACTTTCTTATTCTAGAATTGACCCTCTCATTAATGATTTAATCAATTTGAATAGTGTTTAAGCAAATGTAAATGTAGCTCACCTCTCAAAGTATATCACTCTGATATGTTTTCTTCTATTTAGCTTACTTTTTTTAATTCACATGACAATAAGATTGATATTCTACTTAATATACAATGAACACTAAACAGTTGAGTCTCATTTGAGAGTGTTGCATTAGAATTCAAATGGTTAAACTCAAAATTAAAATGAAACAAATTCTTTAAGTACTTACAGAATAAAATAAAATATTACATTTTTATTTGATAATATTGCTTCAGTATATTATTAGTTAGTCCTATTTGTTTTTTACATCCCATCTGTGTAAATATTTTCAGAAATTTATAATGATAAATTAATGGGCTATGGATTTGCTTTAGCATGCTTAAGCTTTTTCAATCTGGTTATTTAGCTACTTATAGTTTTTATTTATATTTTGCATGATTATGACTATGAAATTTAATTCTAAGACCATCTTAGTAAGAGAGACTCTTTATGGTCATTTTATCATTTATTTGCAAAGGGTGTAATGGCTACATTTTATAATACTTCTTGGGGCTTAGGTATTTCCACAATTCATTGGGTCTTAAAGGTAAAGATCAAATATTTTTATTTTCTCTTTTATCTTAACCTTAAATTTTTCTCTTTTATCTTAAGCTTGAATTTTTCTCTTTGAAGAATAAATAAATAGCTTTGTTACTTAAAAATACTTAAAGTATTCAATAATTAAGTACTTTTTTGAAAATAGTAAGGTAGAAGGAATAATAGCAAAAATTCAAAATAGGATATGTTAATTAAATAAAAATTTGCAATTAAAAGTAGGGATGATTTTGAGAGAAATTAAGGATTTTTTTTTTATTTGCTTTATTAGCCAATTTTAATTTGATTCTAGCGTCCTAAAACTTCATTCACAAATTTCAATTAAATTTGTTAATTTTTTGTAATCAAATACTGACTAATTCAATCCAATTAATTAAAGCCTATTCTCAATCATATAAAAAATTGAATTCTCAAAGAAAGTAACTGAATTCATATTGGCAACCCAAACTACTAAGAAATCAAAATAAATATATTTTTGCACTATTTAGGAATCAGAATACTTAAAAAGAAAAGGAAATTTATATTTCTTTAAAATAGAACAATTTATTTTCAAAAGAGAAAAACGGGTAAAATATATCGCAATAGCAAAAAGGAAATATGTAACCTCGATTTAGATTAATTAAATAAAAGTATCATCATTCATAAATTTAAATTTTGATAACTTTCTAATTTAGTAAAAATTCACTAGCTAAATAATTTTTTGTTAGTTTTTTTGTTACTTCAAAAACAAAGAAAATTTATCAAAATTCAAAAGTGATTAATAGTTTTAAACCTTAATTTTGTGAAACCTAATTCATTTTTAAAAAAATTCTATATTACCCTAATTTTAAAATTTGTTATTATAGCTTATTGAAGTAATTGAGATTTTTTTTGAGTTTCCCTATCATGACGAGCTTATTCGAAAGTGGAACTGTCTTTATTTAATTTGCCATTTTACATTTTCTTTTGTTGCTTATCTCTACATCTTTCTTAAATTGAGATACAGTTGTAATATTTCTATCATATATTTAGTTGCTATACCAATAGCAATGCTATTTGGTGAGCTCATTTATGTAGGAATGCAAAATAGGATTAAACATGTATATAAAAACAGCAAAAATCCTGCTCATGTTGATTTATATATTAGATATCTTAATAAGCTATTTGATATGGAATATAATAAATATACTCAATTAAAATATGGTGTAGACTTTGAATCTTTATATACAAACCATATTACTTCTTGCAATGATTTGAGATGTTTTTGCTCTGACTTTTAATACAAACCCTTTAAATGGGAAAATTTTATTTAAAGTGATGATCGTTCTCTCTTTCTGTAAGGTTATATAGTAAACTTATTCGAAAGATAGGCATCGTTTATTTAAAACAAGAAGGATAGTTAGACAAATAAATTAAGATTTACATATCTTCAATTTTTGATTGAGAATATACATAATCCTACTAAGGCTTTTACATAAATTATTTCTAGTCTTTGTGAAAATAATATATTTTCAATTAAAGAATAATATGTTTTGCATATCATTATGCGCAGATGTTTGAACTCCTATCGCTAGTTTTTTGTAGATAGTATTTATTAAAATTAAAGACTTCCTATGCTAACAGTAATATCTTTTGATTACATATTAGAGAGCAGCTTTAATTTGTTTAAGGAAATTCTTTATTCTGTCAGAGAATTTTATAATTTTCTCTCTTAAGATTTAATAAATTTAGAAGTAGCTAATAGTATTTCCTAAAGGATCATCACTAAACGATATATTTTAGAGCAGGTAAAATTATATTTTATTTTTATATGATAAATAATTAAAAACCGTAAGTTAATTTTTTAGGTTTTAATTACTTTAATTTCTTCAAACCCCAAAAGTAACTTAAAGGAAAATAAATATTTTTTTTAACTTAATAATCATGAAAATTTAAATATTTAGAATTGTAATATTAAATAAAACAAAATAAGAGGAATTACAAGTGTAAATCAAAAAATTTCTAAATAAAAATAAGTAAACAGGTTTATTTCAGTGAAGTATTTCCAAGAAATATTATTTTTGAATAATTGAATTTAAAAATCATCTTGTAAAATAAAATATGTTTTACACTAAAATTTTTAATATTGGCTAAGCACTTGTTAAATTTATCTAATTTTATTTGAGATATTATTAAGTTAAGTAATATATTCAATAAATTAAAATGGAATTAGGAAATAATAGCTTTTTCTCTTCAATCATTATTAACATTAAAATTTAGAAGTATTTTTTTGACAAATATGTGCTTTGGAAAATAAATAATATCAATTATATGATCATTAGATTTCTGTTTTACTTAATTAATAATTCGTCCAGTATTCAAAATATGTGAGTTACTTTAATAATTGTAAATTTATTAAAATAATTCCTACTTAGTTTTTTGTTAGAACCTTTCTTAACTTAAATAAACAATGTAATCTATAATAATATACTAAATTTTAAACAATTCTTAAGCAAAATTAGATAATAAGAATAAGCAAAATAAATAAATCTTCTTTTTAATAAAAGTCTATTTTAAAAAAATTTCGGTTAATTTTTATTGTATTTTAGAGTTTTTTTGTAATAATAACTATAATTATTTAGAATATTAGACTCTTGTTTGATATTAATCCTAGAAACGATAGTCTTTATGGTTTGACAGAAGGATTTTCTACTTTCCTTGATTTTAAAAATAGGAGAATAAGCTATTATAAAAAAAGAAGCTTGGATTTATTGAATAAAACAAATATTAAATAAGATATATAAATTAGTCTAACATACGCTAATAGTTGCATTATTTACATATCTCTTTTATAGCAAGGAGTTATTTAAAAGTTAACTTAATCAGCCGAATATATTTTTGGTATTTAAAAAAATAATTTAGTTGGTAAGTCGATTGACAATTTAATGCCAGATATTTACAGTAAAATTAATTTAAGATTTTATATCTAGAATTAAAATTTTTTTATTTTTAAAGGTTAAAACCATGCTAAGTATTTACAGAAATTTGTTGATAAGGGTTCAATGGAAAACTTAAATGTTCAAAGAAGTTAGCTTTTCGGGAAAAGTGCCTAAGGATTTATTTTTCCTATTTAGCTAAGAATTAGATTGAATTATATAGGTAATGAAGATTTTGGAGTATGTGGGTAGATTACAAGGATAAGAGATATGTATTCTGAATTTATACTATTTGACAAGGATTTAAATATATCAGATATTTCTAAAAAACTTTATAAAATTGCATTTTAGCAAGTTTTCGAAGATGATAAAAGTAAATTAAAATATTTCGTAAATCAAATTGTTGTTTTAATTAAAAACTTTATTTAATACAGAAAAAATGAAGAAAATTAACTTAGTAAGAATGATTCCACTAATTGGAGCTTTGATAGATTAAAATCATTAAGATTAAGACAAGTATATAGAATCTGCATTGATGGTAATCCCTCAGAGCCAAAAATAGATTACTTTTTTTAGGAGAAGAGAATCTAGCAATAAAGAAGTCATTTAAAAATATTTAAAAGAACTGAATTATACAAAATATGCTTTCTTTGAAATTTCTCTGTAATATTCTGCATTTAAATCATCTTATGGAAATATTTACAGGTATTTTATTATTTATTAATTTATAAGAAACCCAAAATTTATTCTAACTTATTTATTTTAATCAATTCAGAGCATTAGAGATCAAGAAAATCAGAAAAATAAAAAGTTAAGAGAGTAAATTTTTACTCATAACAGACTTCGTTGAGAGTTATAATAAACAATTCTTTTCCTCTATAACATATGAATAAAATGATAATCTGAATTCCTCATCAAGATATTTTGATAATAATACTTTTGCTGAATAATCTCAATTAATTGCCTCAACTATCTCCTTTAAAACATCTAAATAACAATCAAAATAAAATAGAGATTAACAAAGTGGATATAACGCTGATTTATTTAGTACTTAAAAGTCTAGAAAAAGATAAATAAATGGTGATTTGTTTAATCAAAAATTAGGTCTTCAAAAAATAATTAGAGTAGAGCTTTTGGTAAATCGTTTTATTCATAACTTAAAAAGAGAAGTCTTTAAAAAGAGAAACTAAACATTTTAGTAAATGCTATAATAGAATTAAAAGCAATCATCAAATAGTTAATTATAATAGAAATCATAATTTATGAGAGAAAGCTTGAATAAAACCCCTTTACTTTTTTCGACCAATTCAAAAATACTTTCAGATTCAAATATTTTAAAGAAAGATACTGACCAAAGTAACAATTTCAATAAAAAAAATAACTAACAACCGAGAACTTTGTAGCACATTGATAATATTTATAATTTAAGCATAGATGGAGGAGGGGGAGAAAAAGAAGAATGTGTTATAAGTATTAATTATTTAGGAGATAATATAAGCCAAAGAGGAACTGAATTAATGATACAAAATCAATAGTAAGATAGCATTTAAAAAGTTAATATTAATAGTCCTTTATATGCTGATAGACCAATATTACAGTTTTAAAATAATTCAAATATTCCATTAAGTTTATGGAATTCAGGAGTAAATGAGTTTTCAGTGAGACAAGAATATCAATAATATTTAGAAAATAATTTAAATTTAATGGATTATGAAGTAGACACTCTTTAAGACTAGAAAAATGTAACTAATCTATAATTATTAAAAATTATTTCAACATATTTTTTTAACAGAAAGCAGCTAAGGAAAGTCGTTTAAGTAACTATATTTAAAATAATGAAGACTTTGCTAGTCCAAGCACAAAAGATCCTTCTTCAGTTAATCAGCAATTAACAAATAAAAAATCTCTATAATATTTTGCAAGTATAAGCTTTAAGAGTCCTAAATCTGAAGAACCTTAAGAAAATGCAGTATTAGAAGAGCCAGCTTAGTTATTTACTCCACACTTAAAAAGTGATAACTAATTGATATCAAGAATGCCAGAAGTAATTAATTAAATAATTTTTTATTTAAAAAATTAAAAAATAAAATTTTTTTTAGTAAAAATTCTATGATTAGGTAGGAACATGGGAATATAACAAAGTATACTCTAGTCAGCTTGATTCGCTTTCGCCAGTTAAAAGAAAATAATCAAACTTCAAACATAGAAATACAATTTAATTGTAAAATAAGCAATAGAATGATGCCTTAAATGGAAATTTTAATAAAATAAAATCATTGTTAATTGATGAGTTTGAATAACAGATAGAAAGTGAAGATGAAGAAAATAATAAAACTAGGAATAAAAACAATACATAAACAATTTATGATTTCGAAATTAAAATGAAAAAAAAAATTATCAATGATTAAAATAGCGTCAAATCAGCTCTCAGCCAGCAAAAATCAAAAAAATTTTAAATTATCAATAAAATTACTACAAGAGCAAAACCTATTTTAATATTTTCAATAGGTAATCATTACATTCGTTCACTTTTTTAATCTAATTATTTCATTTATCGAATTTTATTAAGAACGTTTTTAAATGAGCTCTCTTGATTTTTAAATAATTTTAGGTTATTAAAAAGTTAATTTTTAAATATATTTATTTTAATAGAACTAATTGGTATTGTGTCCTTCTTTTTTATGCTCACAGTTACTACAGGAATATTTATATATTTGAATACAATTTTTTAGTAGAATGTTTAAAATTTTCAAAATCTTCTCACTGGCCCTTATCTTTCCTCAGATTATGCTTCATTAATGAAAGAATACAATTCAAAAAATCTATACGATACAAACTAATTCCCCTATTTAAGTAGTTCATAAACTTAAATAAAAGACACCTAACAAAAGCTATTATAAAGCTTTAGAAATGGAGTAAAGAATCTATTTGACTATGTAATTAATTAATTAATTATTTAGTTTTTAAATGCACTTAAATTTATACCAAATTTTTTTTGTACATTTATTAAAATATGAATATATATTTTACAATAAAATAGAGAAGTGATGCAAGCTATTCTGATTATGTTAACACTTAGCAAATAACTGTTGATTACTATCTAATATTTGATAATGGAAATCCAGATACCTATTCTTTTAAATAAAACCCTATGCAGTTTTTAATCAATTATTCAACTCTAATATTATAAACACAAATTTATTACATAGTTCAAAATACTATATTTAAAAATAGTATCAGATACAGTGAAAAAAACTTCATTTAATATTTCAAAGAATTTTAGACTATTTAAACTATGGCTAATGACTAATCTATTTCTAAAGTTAATACTATGCAACAGAATATAATAACTACAATAGCTATAATGGAAGTAGTGGCTTTTTTTATTTTAATAATTGCAATACCAATTTATTATAAAATACAAAATTCTAGAGAAAATTGGATGAAATTATTTGCTACTTAGTCTCAGGTAAATAAGTTAGTTTCTTATGTATTTAAATTAAACAATTTATAAATAAAATAGGATAAGTTATAAGAAATGATTAATAGGATAGATTTATACTTAGTGAATTAATATGGCACTTTAAAATAACTAGAAAAAGCTAATTTTAAAAGAAAGACAGTTTCGAGCATCGTAGGTTTGAAAAAGTATAATATGAAACTTATTTTATTTATTACCACATGCTTAATATTGGTTTCTATATATCCTATCATAAACCTTATCTATACACAAAACTTCAAAAATGAATTTGATTACTAAATATCTGAAATTGAAATTATTGTTAAAACTAGAGCTTAGTTTAATACCGAGTTTGCATTGGTTTTGATTATTGCAAATAGTTTGTATTCAAAATAGACTATAGACTAAGATACTTTCAACTTTTACTAATAAATTCACTAGAATAACACATAAATTATAAATTAACTTTATTATTTATCAGAATAATTTACTGGAAACAGATTTAATAAAAACATATATTAAGATCTCTTGATTGATTCTTTAAATAAAAATGTTTGCAGCTCTATAGAAAAATATCCTCAATATTATCCAAGCAATACTACCGTAATTTTTTAGTTTATTACTTAAATTTTTAGAAAAAATTAAGAATAATATTTTTTTTTTATATTAAAAAATATTGAAATAATTTATTTTATAAAATAAATAAATAGATAGACATAATACAGTGTTAATCAATATATAATTCAATTTTTACTGAAGGAATGATAACTACTTTAAAAAATATTAATGGCTAGTTTGAGAGTTTTTTAGAAATAGCTTAGAGTTCTAATTAAAGCTATTAGTAATAATTTTAAAGTTGGGTGATTTAAGCAGACCTTAATTCTCTACTGATCTTGTAAAGATAATTATCAGACTATTTAGAGATTCTTTAGATATTTTTAATAAATATGACTACTTAATATAGAGATTACATTTTAAATATCTAATTCTGGCTTTATTTTTATAGTTTAATTATAATAATTGCTATATTTTTAATAGGATTTAACATTTTTGTTAGGAAACTAACTACTTCATTGTACAAAACAAGAAACTTACTTACTTTATTTAAAGTAGATTATATAATAGATAATAGTTATATGATGACTTTTTTATCAGATTAAATTTAAAAGGGAAAAGTAGTTTGATAATTCTCACAAACAAAATTAAAAAATATTTTAATATTTAATATAATTAAAAGTATTTAATATACAATTTTATGTAATTTATAATATTATTTTTATTTAAAATAAACCACAATCCATTGATTTTTAAATATTTATTTTATTTTATTTTTTAAATATTTCTTTAAGTTAATCTCACTTTGATTCTTTAAGTTTACTAAATTCTTGATTTATATGTGACATTATGTAGGGGTTATCTAGAATGTATTCAAGTGGAAAAAGACTCATAAGTTTTTTAGCTTATAGTAAGCTACTCTTCATAGTGTAGACAAAGAAAGTCCAGCCAACAAAGAAAATAATAAAGAGTATTATTTAGCAGTAAATGAAAAAATAAATTTGTAGATTTTAAAGGAACTAAAAATAATTGAGTCCTCTATTTATCATATAGAGCTTGACTATTTCGATTAAATTATTTATACTCACTTCTACTTGATGAAATTAGTAGAAATCTTTTATGTCTTAAAATTTGAATACCGCTATAGCATAATCCTAATAGCTAGCTGAATGATATAAATCAGTTAGACTAGTTAAACCTTACAAGATATTCTGCATAGTAATAATAAGTCCTTTTTGCAAGATACCGTTGTAGCTTTGCTAGCATTATGTTATATTAAAATTTTTTTTATCCTAGCTTGAATCACTTACATAATCTAAAATTTTAAGAATAGGAGTGCAGGCATCATTTTATAATATGTCTAATAAAATTTTGTTATAATCTCCCATTTAATTTCGAGAAAATTATAAACTTTGAACAGCTGCTTAAAGTCCATTTATTGTGTTTTAGCTATTTGAGTTAATAGCATCTAATTATTCTGCTAAAGATGAGCTCAAGGATTTAGTATATAATGCTGTTGTTAAACTAGCAAAGTTTGAAGAATAAATTGCAGATAGCTATTTTTTTGCCTCATAAATGTATCTTAGTTCATTCAAATTTTTATTAAAATCATCTGCATAGGTGTAAGTAAAAATAATATTAAAGCAAGGATAAAGTGATATCAATACTAAAATAAGTATGCTAAAAATCACTAATAACCAGCTAAATGAAGATAGTGTGTCTGTGGATGATATCGCTCTTCTTTTTGAATTTTCCTTAACCTTTATTTGTACACTCTAGTTTTTTTGTAAATAATAAGAAATATTTAAGATTTTTTAAATCTTGGTTTCGAATTTTACTTTGAATCTTTCTTTAGAAATAATCGTATTGAGTGACACATCTATTTTTTCTCTGAGAACATTTATTTTATCCTAAGAAAATGATCCTATCAACTTTAATTGCTTTTCTTTGCTTTTCACAACAATGTGGTAGATAGGGAATATTGTAAAAACTACTATTGAAACAGCAATTTCAATAATAATTAGTGTAGAAATGAGTAAATTCTTAACACTCTAAAGATCATTGATCGATGCTTAATATGAAACTTCCTCTAGCAAGTTGAATTATTCTAAGAATTAGAAACAGTTTACAATAGTATAGATTGAAGAATTGCCATCATTTAACTAGCCATAATAAAACAGATAATATATTAGCTATTCTAAGGCGATTTACAACTAAAAATTTTAAATTAAATAATTAAAATAAATGCTTCAACATAATATTTCACCTTTAATATTGTTGGCTTAGCTACTTCTCCTGAACTATTAACATCTGATTACTTAATAGTATTACTTGATATAAACTCAGCAAATGAAGTTGTTTTGAAATTATTACTACTATCACCAACTACAGCTATATAGTAAGTATCTTTAAAGTTGTTAAGATCAATTACTGGGTAATCTTGAAATTATTTCCTTATTTAAGCTACTTCTGTATTAGAATATTTAAAAAAATTATAATCTGCAGTTATCCTTACAAATTCTCTATCAGCTAACGTCTGACTAAAGTAATATCCTAGCAAAGGAGGTATAGTCATTTACTCAAAATTTATTTAGACAGAATTGAATTGTTTTATAAGCTGTGCAAACACCACAATAGTAGTTGCACATAAAAATATATAAGCCAAGAATCCAAACCAATTTATACTCTATTTTAAAAAAATAAATTTATTCATTGCTTAGCTTGAAAGTAAATTATTGTTACAGATATTACAAAAGGTGGTTTTTTAGAGTAAATGGCGTTAATGATAATTAACTTTCGAGAGTGGCTTGAAGTCATACTTGAATGTATGCTGTTGGTTTCTTAAAAAATTTAGTTGATGTCATTAAAATTTTTTTCATTAGCCTCCTGAAGATTATTATCTGTACTGACTATTCCCTTTTAATCTGTGCCTTTTTCTTTTGTTTAAACTGAATTCTAAAGGATGCTATTAACTTTGTTAGATCCCTAATTTAAACGAATAAGAATTATATTATATTAATTAATAGTTTGTTAATAACTACCTAATTTTCATCTTCTTCATCATCATCTTCTTTAACTAATATCAACTACTATGAATTTATATTATTGAGTACAGGATTACTTTAGACTTATTACTTTCCTTATGCGAGTTTAGAATTTTGATCAGAGTTATTAAGTTCTGAGAGTGAATAGCTATTTAAATAACCACCAGAAGCAGTTTTCGGAAAAGATTCTATTTGAGAAGTTGCTTTCTTTCTAATGACGATTTAATCCTCATTTTATGAATCTTATTATTAAAAATCCTATTTTCTTTATTCAATGTTTTCTATTTAATATATTTCATTTAATTCTTATGGTGGGTGTGGGTTATTCTTATTAAAATCAATGTTTAAATTGGCATTTATTTGTGTATAATCTATTTCATTTAAATCTTGAACTGCATTTTTTTTACTTAAAAGCGAAATAAAGTTAGAATTGTTATAATTGTTTTAAAAACTTGCATTCGATTCTATGAACTCTCCATAATTCTTGGATACATCCCCATTAAGATTACCATAAACCTAAGAGGTTTAACCAGATTAAAGTCCTTTTTTCTTTTCAAAGAATGCTGGCTGCTATCTTTATTCAGAAAACTAAAATTAATTTGCATAAGGGGAAAAGAAATTAGAGCTCATGTTGCTATTTGGATCCTTATTGTTAAAATTTTATTTATTTAAATTTAATAAAAAATATAATTTTTACATTATAAATTGCACTAGATAAGTTGAGTAAGTTATTTTAAGTATTTAAACTACTTAGCCCCTAAAGTTATTTGGTTTTTTCTTTTTGAGGAGTTTAAGCATTTTAATAAAGTTAAGCTAAACTTTATGGATCTACTTGGCTAAAAATGTTAGTTTCATAATTAGAATTAAAAAACCTTTACTAATTTTATTATTTGGTTTGTTATTTGCTATTTTAATCATCAAAATTAATAAGTTCAGAAGATAAAATTTGTTATTTATAAAGACTATTTCCATTTAAAATTTCGGAATCAGATGGTGGTAATGGTGTGCTAGCAAATGGATTCATATTGTATTATTTTTTAAACATATCTTACCCATCTTCATTTTATGCCTTCTGCAATTTTATCGAATTCTTTTGGAGCAATTTATTTTTTTTAAAGGTATAAGTCTCGTTTGATCTCTTTGATGAGCCTTGTGTATTATCTTTAAAGTAAGTTTCTCTCTCGTTCACTGTAGAAGAATAGTTGTATTCATTAAGATATCTAGACTTATCAGAATATAATTGCTTTATGATATTGGAATCATTATTTTCATCTCTGTAATCTTTTTGTGCATATGATCCACCCTCTGTTCCAACAATACTTAATTGATCATCACTTGACATCCTTTCATTTCTTTATTTTAGTTAATAAAAGACATCACAGATCTCAATAATTTATTTAAAAAGTTTAATTACCTCGAAGATCTTTTTGATTTCATTAACTCTTTTGAAAATTTTAATGATAAAATATTTGATTTAACATTTCTTTGCAAATTTTTAAAAATATTTTAATTTTGCATATGATTTTGTTTAGCTTGCTCTAAATAAGGGCTATCTTCTGTGTATGCTTCTATTTCATGCACCATTTAATCAATTTCTTGAACTTTGATATTTTTTGAAAAAATATAATTTAGTTCCTTTTTAAGAGAATTAATCATCTCAGTCCTTTCAAATCTTCTCCTTATTTTCTTCACTCTTTAGAATTCTACATAATAGTAATTCAAATTTCTCAGCTAAGTATCTTGCTTCATAATTTTAATAGATACCTCATAATAAAGGAATTCATTATCATGCTTATCTATATTTCTCATAAACTATAAAATAAATTCATAACTATTTATACTATTTTAATAAGCTTAAAAATACTTAAACAATTTAATCTTGAGGATGATTTTTGTACTTAAAAAAGTAGCTGTTATACTTTTCATTTTGAGGCAGGATCATTACAGTTGTTAATTCTACTTACTCTTAAATTAAATGATTAGCAATTAAGCCACTGGTAATAGGTATTAACCTACCAATATCATACTAAGCCAATTTATCTAATAGTATTTAAGTAAGATTATAATAAAGTTCAATTTTTGAAAAATTTTTTACCAGGTGATTTTAAAAATTTGCTAATTGTATCTTCAAAAAGTTTTTAGGAAATTCCTTAAATTGCTCCTTTTCTATTACAAAGCATATAGTCATATCCCTACAAAACAATTTAATATTTAAAAATTAAGAAATCAATTAATAATTTAATTACATTGTTGATCTACTCGAAAAACGCACATACACCAAAATCTTTCTCTGTAAATTAATCAATTTTTATCCTTTTGATCATAGGAAATATAAATCCATTTTATTATTTACAAAGGACAATACTCATTTAGTTTTCTAAATTTTATTTAGAGATACCTCTCTCAATAAAATGACTTAAAAACTTATCGTGAAACTTTTAAATTATAAACGGCATAAGGATTCCGCAGTTTTATCCTATAAAAATAAATAAATTATTTATTTATTAATTTAAACTTCAATTTTATTTTAAAATTTTACCAATTAAATTTTCTTTTTTTTAGCCAAAAATAGTTTCAACAGATGAAGTCACACGATTAATTTTTCCTATTGGATTTAGTAATGAGATATAAATGATGCAGCTGTTAGGTTTATAAAGATTGATTGTCAAATCGTCTTTGCTTAAAGATTAAAGAGAAATTCTATTACTCTTAGATATGTAACTTGAGATCTTTACTCCTTTAAAATTAAAATTATCCAAAAATATTTCTGTTATAAAGTAAAGATATCTAGAGAATGGATTTAAATTAAATAAAATTTTCAGTATTTTATCCACATAATCTCTAAGCTGTATCAATTTGTTTCCTTTTTATTGTAAGACTTTAAGTGTAAAATAATCCTAGCTTAAGAAATTAAAGAATTCTCGACAATCTACTAAGATGCATCTAATAGCTTTTGTAATTTTGAATAATAATTCATCAAAGTCAATTACACTCATCATGTTAATCCTTTGGTTTTTTCATATTAAAATTATTTTGATTTCAAATTTAATAAGTTATTTATTACCTTTAGTTTTAATTTGAGTTAGAATTAAAATAGCCTTTAAAGTTTACTTTTGCCTTTTTAACTATCGATTCTAAAATGTACTACTCTTTTAATGATGAGTAGTTGTTAGAGTATTTCATTTAAACAATTTCTGTGAATGCTTTTGTGGGTATTTTAACTATCTCAATCAAGTAAGCAAAAAACAGAAATTTAGCTCTCTTATCAGATTAATTGGATTATTTTTTGTTGATAAATGTATGAAATTAGCTTATTGTGTAGTATTGCATGTATCTTTCTCTTAGTTTTGAACTTAGTAATTCGTTGACAGAGTAATCTTTGATAAACATTTTACAGTAGCAATCTTTTTAAATTATAATATTCATATTTTGATTTTAAAATAAAATAAACACTTACCTTCTAAATAGCAACTCGAAATGTGATTTGTAAAGAAACTCTCGAAATGTATGCCACTTCCTAATTAAAAAATGAATAATTTTAAAATAATAAATTAATTTATTTTTTTAGCAAAATATCATGCTATAAAATAAATTATTTTCATTAAAAGTATTTAATTAATTACAATTAATTAAAAATAAATAACCTTTCTTAAGATAATCTTCGTAATCAAGAAATGTATATGAAAGCATATTTCTAATTTTAAGATCAAATGTTTAGAATCTTTTTGGAAACTCTTTATCTTGTGTAAGAAAGTCATAGAGGGTACGATAAACAAACAAACCTAGCTTCATAATGATAGGGCACATTACTATGATTAAGAAATCAAGCTTATAGTTTGACTCATTGAAAGATTAATAGCTATATATAGAAATATATAAGGATAATATAAAATTAATTGATCTGAGAGATGAAACCAGAGAACTTATTGGCTTCGAAAAGTAATTCATTTCTACTAAATAATCAATCATTCTAAATAGCCCTATTGCTGAGTTAATTAAAGGAATCTACCATGTTAAGCTTGTATTTATAATAATGGCCTAGATAAAGTAATACAAAATGTTGAAAAATGTCCAATAACTTTCTCTTTTAGACATATGGTCTTCAATTATAAAACTGTAATCAAAATCATGTAGTATGTAGCCAAACATCCAGATATTGTAAAGTATCAAATTTACATTAGACAATACTAATAATTGAGGGTAGTTGGTATAATTACTTGCAATCAAAAAATATTAATCCAAAACAGGTAAATATGCTATAATAATTACAACTTTATTGATGAATGAACCTACTAAAACTATTAAATTTTTTATCTACTTATTGATTTTCATGTTAAATAACCTCAGAATAAATAGCATAATAATAGACGAAATAGAAAGCACTATGATAAATAAGAATATATATTAGGAAATTGCAATTAGTTTGCTTTTAGATAATGTACTAGCACTTGAAATTAATGGATGTATTCTGAAATATGCTAAATATGTTCCTAAGCCTTATTTATTCTCCCCTCCAATTCCATCGTAAAAAGAAATAGAAAAATTTTGCAACTCTAATATCAATATTATAAAAATAGAGAGCATTTTAGATCTTTTGAAAGTATTTAGTAGTTTATAATATTCTTTGAAGTAGAATTAAAGACATTTCTTTTACAGTTTTGTAATAATGCTATCATATTTTTTTTCTTCTAACTCCTTTTAATATTACTTCTATTTATTACTTTCATAATAACTCTTTTCCTAAGACTTCATGAACTAACTTTCTAAGATTTAGTCGTTGATGTTATTAGTCTTTTATCTCTCCATAATAAATCCTCTTAAAAATTATTAAAATGAATAACTCTCTATTAATTTTTGTTCTTTTTGCTTTTGATTTTTTATGTAGTTTTAATTTTACGAATGAAAAATAATTGAAATTGGATGGGCTTTTTTTTGAATTAAATCTAAAAAAAGATTAATCCCTCAATTAATATAAAGGATTCCTTACAATTTTATAAATAGGTATATTAAAATAAGTTTTTTATTAATCAATTTAAGATCATAAAAGATCATAAAAACATTAATTTAATTTCAAATTTTTTTTATTCATTGAAAAATTGTAAAATTCCTAACAATCAATAAATAAATTACTAATGAAATTTTGAAATAAACAATTGTAAGCTAAAATGGTGCATTCATATAAATAAAATTTAAGCTATATTTTAGGAAATATATAATGACAGTAATAATTGAATAGGCTAAAACTAAATGATTTGTTAAGTAATTAACATCTATTAGTAAATAGATACTATAATAAACACCTTTTAAGTAAATAATTAATACTTTATACAATTTTATTAATTTTATACTAACTTATTCGTTCAAGCCACTTTCCAAATCCTAAAGCATTGAGCCTAACTTACTTTACTTACAATTATTTTAATTTCTAGAAGGTAAGAATTTATAGAGAATTTAAGAATAATTAGAGAGTAGGATCAGGATAGGATATAGATATTAAATTTCGTTAAATTAATCTCTGTTTGATAGAATCTTTTAAAATTTTTTATTTCTTTATAGCTCTTAGATTTATATAGATAGAATTAGATTTAGATTATTATTAGTAGTAGTTTATCTGAGTAGTTTTCTTTTTCATAAATTAAATAACTCCTTGGCATTTAGAAGTAAGTCCAAAAATTCTGTAAGTGAAATCTATTTCATAAAATTATTAATAAAATAAAGCATTTACAAAAACAAAAAAAAATACTTATCCATCTTAATTGACATCACAATCTTTCAAGAGACTCTCCCAAACTTTCTCATTTAATGGAAGGCCTCCCATCATTTCTTCAAGTTCTTTCTTTGTAATCTGACCGTTTCCATCCTATATTAAATAAATTGCTTGAGAATTAATTCTCTTTAAAAATAATTTTTACTGTATCTATCAATTTAAATGCTTTTTCAATTCTATCCTTTGTTAAAACTTTTTCCTTTTGCAAGCAAGCAACCAAAAATTCTAATTTAATTAAATTTATTTCAATAAAATTTTTTGTTTATATTTTGATATAAATATTTTACCTGAAAACTCAACTTTTCCAGAACCATCCAAATCTAAATCATTAAAAACATTTTCTACAGTTTGCTTTGCTTTAAGTTAGTCTCCTAAAAGTTTTGTGTAACCTTTTTTTAATTATTTAAATAAATATATATAAATAAGCATTTTTAACTCATAGAAAATGGTTTACCCTCGATTAATTCTTCTTTGGAAAGCATACCATCTCCATTAGTATCAAGAGACTCGAAATGCTTAACTAATTCTATTTTATCTTAAGTATTTAACACCTGATTTGCCATTAAATTTAAAATTGCTATTCTTAGTTTATTCTTTGCAGCAAATTAAGAAAGTTTTTTCATCATTTTATCATCAAGAGGCTCTACATGAACATTACTCAAAATCCATGGATGAGCATATGCTTCTGTTGCTGAAATTCTATCTTTGGGATCATACTAAAGCATCTTTGAAATTAAATCTTTGGCATCACTAGATCTATCAGCCCAATCCTCATCTTTTTATAAATAATTTTTTTACTATTGCTTATTGCTACAAATAAATTACCATAAAATTCAAATTTTCCTTTTTTAACCTTTTCATATATTTCTTAGTCAGTTTAACCCCAAAATGGAGGATATCTTTATTTTAAAATTCATAATTATTACATCAAATAAAATTGATAAAATATATCCATTACCCACAAAGAAGAATGTACATTATAACACCTAAAGACCACACATCGCATTTTTCATCATAAGGCTTTTTTGTTAAAATTTCTGGAGCTACATAAAATGGAGTACCAATTCTTTTTGTAAGCTTTTCATTATGATCGAATTTAGTTGAAGCACCAAAATCGATGACTTTAAGATTGCTGTTAGTTGCCTTAGAGTCAAACAAAATATTTTCAGGCTTCAAATCACGATGGACAATATTATTAATATGACAATATGATATAGCTGATAAAATTTGCTTCATATAGCCAGCAGCAACTTTTTCAGTAAATGGGCTGACGTCCTTAATTCTTTCAAAAAGTTCACCTCCTGTACAATATCTGTTTTAAATAAAAATGTGTGGTTAATTTTTACTGATCTTGTTTTTAATTTTAGTAAAAAACAAATTTCTGTTAATTAATTTTATTGCTCAATTTATTTTAGCATTTTAATTAATAACGTTTTTAAATGTTCAAATAAATAAATAAATTTAGGCTACAATAATCCTAATAATAACTAAGAAAATAAAATTCTTAATGATTTATTTATTTATGTTAGCATTGTTTTTTATAAAAATCAAATGTACTTACTCACTTGAGTTTTTGTTTTGATGAAAAAATAAAACCAAATAAATAAATTTGTATTACTCAGAAATAAGATAGTGATATTTTTCATCTTAGAAGTGCTCGAATACTTTTACAATACATGGGTGATCAATTTATCTCAGAATAGCTAGCTCTTCAAATAATTTATCCTCATCTGATTTATTAAGCTTTTTTTTAGGAATCATCTTCATAGCCCTATCTATTTGAGTAGTTTTATGCCTAACAAGACACACAGTACCAAATCCACCTATTGATATTACAAGAAAATAATTTTTATTTATTGAACATTCATTCTAATGTGTTGATTGCTAAAAATATTTTAAGCCATTTTTTAACAGCATAAATTGGCAAAATAATTGACTGATTGATTACCTTCACCTATAACTTTTCCTATTGTATAGCTGTCTAATATATCTTATGTGCTTATTCTAACCATATTTTTCTAAATCTTAAAGTCTTCAGATACATTTTACTTTTCTATTATTTATTTATAAATATTTTTGTTACTCAAAGTAGTTTTTTTGCGCAAAAATTAAAGAGAAATAGCTAAAAAATAATATAAATACAATCTGATTTTTGAGTTGCAAAACTAATAGGATTCACTCCATTTGGCTAGCTTTGCTTTTCTACCTATTTATAAAATGATAATTCAAATATTAAAATATTTTATTAAATTGTAATGAAGCCAGGTAAAAAAAAATAATCCTAGGCAATAATAGCACTTGCTTACTAACTTGATAAAATTAAAGCCAAAAAACAAAAAAAAATAACTATCGATATAAAATTCAAGTAGTGTTTCCTAAATAAACTTCATTTATTTAATTAAAGTCTTTTAAAATTAACATACTTTTTGTGGTATATCAGTTATTGAGGATGAATGCTTACTATTCTATTTGCTGACTGCTGTATTCTTTTCATTAGCTGTACTACCATTAGTCTACTCTTTGGTAGAGGAGCTTATACCCTATTAGCTATTGATTGCTTTTTATTACTTAGCTACTTAGTTTTTTTCATAATCTTTCTCATATGTATCAGAATTTTATTCTCTATCGTTATCTTAGCTAATCACTTTTCCTTCTTTTATATAAAATAAGAGTTCATATTCTAATTTATCTTTAAACTATAAACGTTGTATTATTTCTAATATAATAGACTAAATTAAATAGATTCATAATTTGATGAGTTTGGTGGGATTGCTGCAATTTAAAAATAATTCAAGCAAAAGAAATCTTATTTCGTATTTATCTAAAAAATAATTAGCATCAAAATAAGGTATATACCTCTCTTTAAATTCAACAATTAATCATCTATTCATATATTTTAGGAAATATTATGCTTATTTTTGATTGCTATGAGAATAATTTAGATAAATATGAAAAATCAGCAGAAGAGGAATTAATGAGTAGTAAATATCTATGTTAAAGTAATTCAAATATTACGCCTACCATGAATTTTGTCTTCAATATTTTTTTCATGTTCTTAGTCTTGCGATTGGCAGCAACCCATCTATCTATCTATGTTCTCTTTATTTAGTTATTTAATATATATGAAAATCTTGATTTATTCTATATATGCTGATTATTGATTTTTTCTTGAAAATTGTGTAGTATTCTAAAATAAGTCTTTCTATTTGTTTGTTGAGTTAATTATTAATTATTGCTTGCTGTTTAAGGCACCTATTTAATTAATTATTTATTTATTAATCTTATTTTTTTGTTTCTTTTCTATTTTTATTTATCGGTAATTAATCCTTATTACTGTTTTAAAAGAATCTCTGGTTTTTTTTAATTCTTATTCTCTTTATCTTATATAAATTTTCTTTATTTTTGAGGTCTTCTTTTATTTTATTTAATAGTAATTATTTTTATTTAATAAAAATTTGCTCTTCTTTATTTTAATATTATATTTATAGTTACCTATCTACTTATCTCAGCCATTATTTTTTTAATAAACTGATCACATTTTACTTAAGTTCTAGTAGTTATTTAACTAGATTTTATTTAAAATAAATAGTAGATACTAAAGTACATATAATTTAAAGAAAGATTATTGATTTATCTCAACACCATCTTATCATCAAATACAATATATTTTTATTTAATACTAAACCTTATAAATTAAACAAGTAGCATATTTTTAAAAATCTAATTTATTGTAAGTTATAATTTATATGCCCTACTCCTATTAAAAATTAAAAAATGATATTCAATATTATTAAAACTTTAAAATAAATATAAAAATTTATTAGGAAAATTATTTCATGAAACATTACAGTTTATATTTATAAATAATCTCAGGAATTTATAAAAAGTTTTAAAGTTTAAATTTACTAATTATAGTTTTATTTATTCATTAAAACTTACTGATTAAAATAAAAACATTCAATATTGTATTTTATTTACAATTAACTAGTATAATTACTCAAAAATAAAATTTCAAAGTAATTTTCTAAAATTCGCTTAAAAACAAGTTAAAATTTAAATTTTTCTTAATTCATTAAAACTTAGCACTATATCCTGATGTACTGTCTCCAAATATCTTTAAATTATTTAAAATAAAATGTTTTTTTAATAAAATATAGAGTCACTTACAATGCATTTCTTATTTTCTTACAGTACTTCCAAGGCATAGAGTATTTAATTATCTGGTAAATCATAGAATTCTATTGAATTAAAATATAAATAATTTAAATTATTTTAAATAAAATAATATACTCTCATTTGTGCTTGTTTGATTGCCTCTTACAATAAATTCTAAAGTATTAATTTCACCAATCTAATAGTTTTTCTTTGCCTTTTTTATTTATTATAAAGTAAATTTCTTTCATTTTCAACAGGAATGTTTGTTTAATTTAAAATCAATTCAAGATATGTAAATATACTAAAGTTTTTCACTCTTAAAATAATTAAAAATCATTCTAAATTTAGATATTGTTATAATGGAGCATTTATTTACCCATTTATATATTTCGTCAGCTATTTCATTAGCAGAGTATTTCTGAACTTAGAATCCATCGTAGTTTTCATTTTCCCACAAAATACTTCCTTACTAAGCTAGTGTATACAAAATAAGCTTAATTTCTTCTCTGTTCAATCTTTCTATTGATAAAAAATAACATTAAGATTTTAATTAGCTTGAAAATGATATTTTTACTTGGAATTCCTAAATTTTATAAGCAGAAAAAAGGATAGCTTTCTGAGCTTAGTTCTGTCAAAGAAGAATTATTAATATTTTTTTATTTGAAGTAAGCATGAGTAATATCAGCCCAACTTGCTAATTATTTTTATCTAGTTTCAGCATGATCTTATATCCTTCACGTTAAATTTAAATTATTGCTTTATAAATAAGGTGTAAAATACTTTTTACGTATAAAATGCTGGGTGCTATAATAATTTTGAGTAATAATCTTGCTTTTCTTCCTAAAAATCTTAAATAACACTCTAAAATCTTTGGGCCATTTCCTTTAATCCTATAAAATTTACTACTGATTTTTTATTTCTTATATAATTGAAATCTTAATTTCCTAATATTTTATATATTTATATATCAGTATTGCAATTTGTAAAAGATAGACAAATTTTGATGATCAATTAATGAGTAGAAAAAGAGTGAATAAAATAATTGCATGTATTATTAAGAATATCTAAATATGGATTGATAAGTATATTTTTTACATTATTAAATAAATATAAAAACAAATAAATTAATTTTAAAAAAATATTTTTGATAAAATTACATTAGCATTTTTGTTTTTATGATAAAATTAGATAAATTTAATAAAATGTTATTTTAAACAAAATAAAGTTATTTTAAAAATAGAATAAATTTTTTGAAATAAATTATAAAAAACTTATTAAAACAATTTTTTATAAAATATTTTTGTTTTAATTATTGAAGGAAGCAAACAAAAATGGAAACAAAAGTGAGATGCGCCATAAAAAGTAAAACTAGGTAGATTAGAAAATAATTATGATAGTTTTGAAAGCATTTAATAAATTAAAAGGAGAAATAGAAGATTTTATTCTACTTATTGCTCAACGTACATAAAATGAATCAAACTTATAGTTTTCATCTGTTTTTATTTTTGAATATATTGAAAACTTCTTACTAATTATTATATTGTGTTTCTTTTACCAAATAAAGGATATATATCAAATAAAGCAAATTTTTTATAATAAACAATATATTGATTGATCTGTCTCAGGTCAAATTTAGGAGAAATATTAAATTAAAACAAATATAATACATTAAATATTAAAAACTAAAAGGAATGTCTTCAAAGTAGAATTTAAAGAGACCCCATAAGGTTTTAGATGAATTAGAGCAAAAAAAGGACAGGCTTCTGATGTCTAACAAAAATTAGGATGAAGAAGATGAGAATGTCGATGAAGTTGAAGATTAAAACAATAACCATTTAAAGGATGAATCTGAATCCGATGATACAGATGATGAAGAAGTAATTTTGATATCTAATTATAAATTTTAAAAACAAAAGATCCATTTTTTCAAAAATGTCTTGAAATATGAGCATAATTTAAGATATTCATATATTTTTTGATAGCTGATAAAAAAATTAGAGTTATTACTAACTTAGTTTTCTCAATTTAAACTTTTTTTGTAACATAACAGATATTGGCAAAAATAGGTAGAGTTCCCTGGAAATGGTATGAAAACTATAAACACATGGGTTATGATGCTGATATGAAGAAAGTTACCAAAAGAATTTAAGGTAATATAAAAATTTCATGCATTAAAATTTTTTTCCTTCACTTTAATAGCTTTTATTCTTTACAATTAAATACATCCTCAAAAGGAAAGGGATACTGAATTCAGCATTCATAATTTATAAAAAAGGCATAAAAGCCTAGAAAATATATTTTAAATCTCTAATAGCTTATGTTTAAAAATAAAAAATTCTTAAATTAACTTAAATAGATGATAAAATTGATGAATTCATTAAGAAAGCTGAAGATCCTAACTGGTGGCGTACTATTCAAGATGAATTGAATTAGCGTGAAATCGTTTTGACTGATGAATAGTTAAAGTTACTTGAAAGAATTAGAAAAGGAAAGTTTGCATCAAAAGCCATTGCAAGCAATGATGTAATTTATCTGCTTATTACTAAAATAAATAAACTCAATATGTGTTTATTTCTTTGATACATTTAACTTTAATGTTTTTACATTAAATATTTAGTATACTGTTGAATATGAGTATGATGGAACCATGCCTCTTAGCAGTGCTCCCATACCAAAGAGAAGATTTATGCCCTCTAAAAATGAAAGAATAAAAGTTAATAAACTCGTTTAAGCAATTTAGCTTGGTCGTATTGATCCTAAGAAATATTTAGAAGATTAAGAAAAAGAAGAAGAATAAGAAGAAATGCTTTTCGATATTTGGGAAGGAACAAAAGATTAAGATGAAATTTAGAAAAAGCTTCCCCCTGCTATTTCAGCTCCTAAGGTTAAACCTCCAGGTCATAATGAATCTTATAATCCTCCTAGTGAATACTTGATGTCAGAAGTAACCAATAAAATTAAAATAAAGATTTACATTTATTAATTAAATAAATATTTTAAAAACAGAAAGAGAAGAAGGAGTGGCAAAATGCACATCCTGAAGATAGAGAAATCCCTTTCATACCTAAAAAATATGACTGTTTACGTCATGTTGAATTCTATCAAGGTTTAATTACAGAAAGATTTGAAAGACAGCTTGATTTATATTTATGTCCTCGTATTCGTAAGAAAAAACTTGACATTGATCCTGAAACTTTAGTTCCCTCCATTCCCAAGCCATAAGAGCTTAGACCATATCCAACTAGTCTTAATATTCAATACAAAGCCCACAAAGGAAGAGTTAGAGGTATTTCAGTTCTTTACGATGGTTAATTTATGGCTTCTTGTGATGAAAAGGGAGAGGTAACTCTATTTTTTTTGAAATAAATAAAATTTACTAAACTTATTGATTAAAAATCTAGGTTATTGTTTGGGAAGTTAATACTGCTAGAATAGTTTGGAGATAAGCATACAGAAGTATTTGCTACAGTGTTTAATTCTAACCATAAAAGGGTTTGTTAGTTGTAGCTAACGAAGATAAGATTTACATTTATAACATAAAAAAGATTCTCCCTAGCAATATTTATAAGCAAAACGAAGAAACTTTGGAAGAGTCAAAGAAGAGTCACGAAGTTGAATATAACGCATAACTCAAATGGGTATTTACTGACCCTGAAAGTGAAGAATATAAAACAGGATTACGTGTTTCAATCAAATTCAGCAATGATGTTAAATAAATATCTTTCCATTAAAATGGTGATTATTTCTCAACTCTCTCTCCAAGAGCCGAGAAGAGAAACGAATAAATCTTTATTCATTCTATTTCTAAGGGTAATTCATCAAAGCCATTCTCAAAGAGTAAGGGTGATGTTGAAAAAGTAGCTTTCCATCCCAACAAACCAATCATATTTATCCTAACTAAAAAGCACGTCTATGTCTATAACTTACAAAAACAAGTAAAAATACTAAATTAAATTTCATCTTAATTAAAACATTAAATAAAAATAGAATAAAATTTTAATTTTAATTAAAAATATCCTCATTAAATATTTCTTTTAATATCAATAGGCTACTCTTAAAAAGCTTCTTACAGGTTGCTAATGGGCTTCAAGTATAGATATTCACCCTTATGGTGACAATCTCATAGTTGGTTCTTTTGATAAAAAAGTACTTTGGTTTGATTTAGATTTAGGTAACACACCTTACAAAAACATGAAATATCACGAGAAAGGAATTAGACAAGTTTGCTTCTCTAGAAAATATCCTTTAATGGCTTCTTCTTCAGATGATGGTAAACTTATTAATTAATATGTTTGTTTTTAAAATATTAAATTTCAAATTATTAAATAGGCAGTATTAATATTTTCCATGCTAAGGTATTCAAAGATTCCTTTGAAAATGCTCTTATCCTCCCTGTAAAAGTACTTAAAGGTCATACTGTTCATAATAGTTTAGGTGTTTTAGATATAGTATTCCATCCTACATAGCCTTGGATCTTCTCTGCAGGTTCTGATCATAGAATTTTCCTTTGGACATGAGTTAGCTAGCTAACTAGTTAATTTTTACATTCTATTTCAAGTAAAATAATAAGCATAAAAAGAGAAATAAATTCGATATATTTACAAAATTTTGCAAACACTTAATAAAATTAAATGTAATTTAAAATTTAATAATTAATTAGTTTTCTAAAAGATGTGTATTTTATATGTGTTGCCAAAATATTCTTAAATATATCTTTCTCTCCTTTTCAATCAATAAAAGCATCTTATTCTAAAAACTACAAAAATTTTTATTTTTGCAACTTTAAATACATACATCCTTCTATCTAAAAAGTTTGTTTAAATATATAATTACTTAAAACACAATATAAATTAACCTGAATTTATTTATTTAAGAAATAAAAGACAAAGATTACATAATCTTAGTTAATTTTTTTAACAGTAAAGATTTGAATTTATCCTTTGCATACAAATTATACACGTATTAAAAAAATACAATGGAGAGAGAAAAATAATTGCATTTTGAAAGATATTTAAAACTAACTTTCATAAAGAAAATGATACAAAATAAATAATCATTTTTATAAGAGAAAACATGAATGAATGCAATTAAATTTTTGTTCAAAACTAAAATGTTTTTATTATTTATTTTAAATTTGTGTAAAAGTTAATTTTTCTTTCATTCTTTTAACAGTTTACTTTAGAAAACAATACATTAACATGAATTACTAAAAAAGTGATACATTTATTTAGGTAATATGAATATTCATTTATGCATTTATTTTCATAAATCGGAAACTTTGTGAGTACCAAATCCAAGCATTTCGATTTCGAACTTTAAGTCAGAATTAGGAGGAATGACTGAACCAGCTCCGTTCTTACCGTAGGCAGTTTCAGAGGGGCAAGTGACAATAACGTGATCACCCAAAGTAAGTCTTGCAACGACTTCATCCCAACATTTAATAACTCTTCCTCTTCCAACTTGGAATTAGAAAGGTTAGTTTCTGTCCTTGGAACTATCGAACTTCTTACCATCTAAGAAAGTACCTGTGTAATGAACTGTGACAGTTTCGCCTTAAGAAGGATAAGATTCATAAGTACCTGATTTAAGTACTTCAACTTTATACTTTGCTAAAACATCATCCTACTTTAAGCACATAGTCAAGGAAAGACCAAGCAAGACAACTAAGAAAACTTTCATATTCATTTTGGATTCTTTGCTTATTTTATAATTATTTTTATCAATAGTAATTTATTAAAAATTTATTAATTTTTTTCCTGATATCTTCGCTAATTCTTTTTTGAAATAAAGATTAGATAGATATCAAAATTCATTAATTTTTAAAAATTTAACACAAAATAAAAAGTTGTTAGATGGAATAATCTGCATAAAATATGTTATAAATTTAGTTTGCTTTCCATTTAAAAATAAATTGTATTTATTTATAACAAAAATTATTCAATTATTTTTAATATTATTTTAATTTAAAAAATTTTTTTAATTATTTTAAAAAATCTATTTCAAATTTGTAATTAATTATGATAATGATTTATTTATTTTAAGTTAAAATTCATCAATAATTTATTTTATTTAATTTTTCTCTTTTAATTTTTAATAACAAATACAACTATCATACTTAAATATTTTTTAATTATATTTTAAAAAAAATATTTTTATGAATAAGAATAATTGTTTTGAATTAATATTATTTACTTCCTTATTCATCTCTTTTCTTAAAAACCTAAAATTAATTTAAAAAAGAATAGTAGGTTTTAGTTAATTTAAAAATGAGTCAATCAAATTTATTCTACTTTTAATATTATAATAAAAAATACATTTAAGCTATAATTTTTATATAGAAGGTGCCAATTAGATGAGATTATTGGTTAAGGTAAAAAAAACATATTATTTTTATATAGAATAGAATATCATATAGGAAGCTAAGATAGATTCAAATTTAATACATAATTGGGTTACATTGTAATTAATTAGCTAATTTATTAAAGCATATAGAATTTCTTATTCATGAATGTGGTAAGTTAAATTTTACTAGAAATAGAATCTTTACCTCAATATTACATTTATTAATATAGAAGAAAAGTAAAAAATACAAATATAATATCTAATAAAATATTTATTTATTGGTATTTTTAACTTTAAGTTTTTTTTTTTTGAAATTTAAAAATATAGTTAGAAATATCTGTCCATACATTTATTGATTTTATTTTTTTAATATTTAAAATTTATCAGAAAATAGCTTGAAAGTCGTTAATTATTATAGCTTATTGTGCTAATAAATTTTAAGGAAAAAAATAAACATAAAACTCTTCTACAAAGAAAACGCATGACTACATTTTAAAAATAGTAAGCTAGAAATTTAAAAAATACACTTATATGAATGTTAATATTGCTTAGGATTAAACCATTTTATTTGGAATAACTGAATAATATTAAGATAAGCAAAAATTATACAAAAGAGATAAATATTTTTTAAATAATTGGTATTTTATAAAATATATTATTCATTTTATCTTTCTTTTCTTTTCTGAACTAAATCAAATTAGGTTTTAGTTGTAATTTATTTTTCAAGTAAAGGAATATAATTTAAAAAATCATTCAATATAGCTAACTAGCTTAATTATTTATTATTTTAAAGGGTCATTTTCAAGCTATTAAGATTATTTGAAAGTATTTACTAGAATTTATGTATTTACATAATTGTAATTAAAAAAATATTTTATGAATTTTTACTATAATTTTTATTTACACTTTTAAAATTTTATCTAAGGCTTTATTTAAAAACTCTCATAAGTAACAATAGAAAAATGTATGAAAAATAAGCAAATGAATTTTAGGGAACTTAATATTTCGTTAAATTAAATTAAATCGATTTCATGTTCGTTCATAAATAATTATAAATGTATGAAAACTCTAATTTTTTTCTATATTCAAGCTTGTTTTCTTTCAATTAATAAAAAAGAGTGAATCTTAACTTTCTGTTTACAAATATTTTAATGAAATCTTATAAGAAACAAATTCAAAAGTATCTCAGTGCTTACCTCATCAATAATTTTTAAATTACTGAAATTTAATTTAAGTAGAAAATTTTTCTTTAAATCTTCAAGATCTTATTACTTCTTAAGCTTCTAATAAATTTGAGTTGTGAATTTTAAACGAATTCCATACATACATCAAAATATTTATTAATTATTATTTTAGCTTATTTTATCATTTTTTTGAAATTTTTTTTTAATTTGATCTCAATATTCTTACTGATTGATTTTGAAAATAGCTTCCAAAAAGATTAAATCAAGCAAATATATTTTCATAATGATATATAACATCGATAAACAATATATCAATGAAAAGAAAAGAGAAGTTAATAATTATCAATTTATTCAAAATATAAAAGTACTCGTAGAGATGTTTGATAGATGAAATGTGTTTTTTAGATATTTAATTTAAGATTTTATCACAGAGTAATAAAAAATTCATGAAAGAAGTTTAAGTGATGGTTTTTAAATTTACTATTTTGGTTTTTTATTATGATTTCTTTATATTTTTAATCAAAATTTTGTAATTAGTGACTGATTACTGAAAGATACATTTTTTTTTTCATAATTCAAGTATATTATGTTTAAGTATATCATAGCTATTATAAATTTATTAAAAAATTTTAATAAATGAAATAAAATTCAAGCTGAGTAAATATAAATTCTATTCATAATCTTTTAAAAATTTAAATTTTTACTACTGAGTCTATGTTAAATAAAAATATTTTAATTTAAGATCATTTAAATTGAAAGTACCTTCATTAATAAAAAACAATTTAGATTACTTTAATTATTTATGAGATTATATAATATTGAAATTCTGAAAATATCCTAAATATGATTACTCTTCCTTTTAGAATTTAGAAAAACAAACTTTAAGGTGGGAGAGAGAAAAAAAGAAATGTGTTAGTTTATGTGAGTGGATATAAATTTATAATTTAATTAAAATTTAAAAAATTAATGGAAATATGAGGCATATTTTTAAAATCATATTTTATTTCATGGTCATTTAAGTTGAATAGAGTAAGTAACTTTAATTGATTTGTGATCTCATAAAATTTAATTTGATCATATTCTATTTTTGAGGTGATAAATATTTGTAAATTCTTTAAAGTCTGTAAGAAAGATTGCATGAAATATCAACTGATGTAAAGATATTCATTTAGTAAATTTTAATTAATTATTAAGGTAAACACCATTTATTTATTTTAATCTTTCGTAACTAAAAATTCTAGTACCAGAATTAATTATTTTGAAGTTACTTAAGCAATGAAATATGTTGCTCTTTACATATTCCTCAATAACAATAGATATCTGTTTACTATGAAAAAGTAAGAATAAACCAAAATATTATTATCAATCAGAAATATCTATATTATTTACTAAAATAGTAAAAAGAGTTTACAATAGATAATTACAATCTATTTGAAAGACATAATATATATCTCCAAGAATTTTAGCTAAAATATTTGTTTTTTTGTTCATTAACAAGACTTTGTAAATTAATTGCATTCGATATAAGCAGCTAAAGTACCACCATTTATGTATGTGTAATTTATTCTTAAGAAAAGTAAATTGCATTAAAAATATCAATTGCAAGTTTGCTTAAGAAAAAATTTCCTTTAAAAATGTTAATTACTTAATTGAATACTTTTAGCACATGAGGAGTCAAAATTTTATTCCCAATAACTTTCTGAATATTCTTTTGATTAAATATATTCTTTCATATATAAGATTATGTAAATTAATATTAATTTTATCTAATTTTCGATTCACTTCTTTGTTTGCTAAAATTTTACTTTTTTAAAGTATTTCACTGATATTATGGTAAGAAATTCAGTTGAATGTTATAAATTCCAGATAGACTTTTCTTCTATCAAAGAAAAAAAATAAATTTTAGTTAAAATGTTTTTCAACTGATAAATATTAAAAGAAAATTTCCTTTTTTCTAATATTTTTTTCCAAATATTTTTATATCAAGTACAAAAATTTTTTAAGAATAGATAGAATAGTCTAAAATAATAACTTTTGAATTTTTTAATGCAAATATGTATTCTAACCTATAACAAATAATTTGAAGGGCTAGTTATTTTACTCACATTTCAATATCACTTACTGTAACTGATATCCTTATGATATAAAGAAAACTAATTTAAGATAACTTGAAATTTTTTAGTTCATTAAGAAAGAAATTGAAAAAATTAATCAACAAAAGTATACATTTGTAAAGCAGTGTCTATAACGCTACTGGAATAAAAAAATTAATATCCTAAAAGATAAAATAATAACTACCTTGAGTATTTTTAACCTATTTTTGACTAATTCTATTTATATTTCATATTTTTAATTTATTTTCTTAAATATCTAAGAAAATGAATCTAGTCCATTTTTAATATTTTTTTCTTAAAAAGAAGTCTTTACAGGTTCATGACGATGTGTAATATAAGCCAAGTTATTTTTTAATACAAAATTCAGTAAAAATAAAAATATTTAAGGTAATGTAAAATAAAAATAGAACGAATTAAATAAAATGCAAATTACACTCTTTATTAATCAAATTAAGTATTTTATATTTTATTTTTGTAATTTTAAACAATATATGTAATATTTTATCTAGCCGATATATTATTTCTAAATAAGAAAATCTTAACTTCAAAGTAACAACATATTTTTATTTGAAAATGTATTACTTCCTCCAAAAATGAATGCTTTTTATGGATCAAAAAATTTTGAAAAATAATTAATATATATGATAGATATATATTACCAAATACTATTTCACTTTTTTTTGTTATCGAGTAATTATACTTTACAAAACAAAAGAATTTATGAATAAATTAGGTTTTATCTGTAAATTAATAGCCGAATAAAAAAGATTCAGTATTATAGTTTATAAAATTAGATTTAAAAAGCTAGATATATCAATTTTACATTTTTTGTAAGATTTTTTTCTACATTTTTATATAATTTGTATATTTAAAAATAATTAAAAGAAAAACTTTTTTCTATTTGAATAACAATTTGTATATTGTTTGCTTTTGGTAAATTAATATAGAATGTAAATTTTACAGACGACAACTACAAAGGTAAGTAACTAACTAAGTGGAAAAAAGACTAATATAATTTCAAGATCTGTATTGAATAGCATATTCTAATTTAAATTATTTCGAATTTTCATCAGTAACTCTAATAATTTATTATAAATTATAGATATTAAAGCATAATCTTGTGCGAATTTATTTTTAAAAGGCTTTTTAAATTAGTCAAGTATATTTTGGAATAATATCTCAGTATATACTTTTTAGAAAAAAATATGGAAAATTAATAAGTCTTACATTTTGATTTTATTTCAAATTGCTTGTTTCAAATTTGCGTTTATTTCTTATCAATTAAAAAGGGGTTTTTTTATTGTTTGTTGCTAATTTTCTAAGTTTACTTTTCTAAATTTTGCACAGCTATTTTATACAATAGTCTCAACAATTTTTTTATTGAAACAAAGATAAAACTGATTGATTTTTATCTAAAAACAAAAATTATAGCAAGTTTTATAAGGAAGCATTCCAATTTATATATTAGATTACATTTAAATAAAGAGATAAAACAATGTCCCTTTATTTCTTATTTAACTAAGAGCTTGTCCTATTGCAGTCTTACAAAATTTTTTTCGATCGTTTGTAAAAAAGTAAAATTTTAATGAAGTATAGTAAGCATTTTAGCATGTAAGTTGAGGCATCACTCCTATTTGGCTTTTTTGGAGTAAAAGAAAATAGATTAAAAAGATAAATGCATAGATTTGGTTAATATAGTTTTGAAATGATTTTTATTGGTTTAAACAAGATGGAGGATTCATTTAAAATAAAAATACTAAAATACTTAAAATTGAATAAAAATATTAACTTTAGGTTTTAAAAACTTACTTTTTCGCAAGAATTTAAAGGCAAATATTAATTTCTTTTAAAAATTAGTAAATCACACTCGTTCATTCATAAGCAGCTTAAGACAACGCACCCATCCGCTGGCTAGGGATTTTTATTTCTGAATTTTTGAATGTTTTTAAATAATTGCTTTATGTAAGCAATTTTAGTAAAGGAATATTCAATTTTTTATTAGTGATACTCAAATATGTAATATAGTAATGCTTTTCGATTACATTTTTGGAACTCTCTTCACGCATTTTTTATTTATCATTTAAGAAGGATTACGCTTAATTTGTTTATTTTTTTTGCTTAATATTAAATATATATTATCAGATATTAAGTAGAACAATAATTTGCCTAGCCCTAAAATAGAGATTTACTAACTAATCATCCTTATTTTAATAATCCACATAGTTATTTGTTAGTGATTTATTTATAAAATAATAATTGGTGACTATAAAATCCGATATAGATTAAATCAAAAATTATTTAGTTCGTTTTTAAACTAATGAAGTCTTAATACTTTAAAATGATTGTATAATAGCTGTCCAATTATTCAAAAATAATCTTGATCTATTATAATTGAGGAAATTTAAGTGGTGTAAAGTAAATACACGCTATCTAAACGAATGTTTAATATTAATAGGTATTTTAAGAAAATCAGGCGAGCGGCTGGTTAATAGTCAGTTTCAAATATAAGGTGTATAGATTATCTGAAAACATCAATTCCATCAATAAAGATCGCTATGTATTTATAAATTGTAAAATCCAATAAATACTTTAGAGTAAGACTAAAATTCAACCTACTTGCTAAGGGGTAAATAAATAGTTCTTTCATTTAAATTTTTTTAGACTTTGATTAATCTTTAAAGAATTTCTAAATCATTTCTCAAAAGCATTTTTTCAGTCAATATATTAAATAAACATCCTTTTCTTTTATGTTATATTAAGAATGAAACAAACAATCAATTTTCTACTTAACAATTTAGAAGTTTTGTAAGGTCAAAAAAAAAAAACATACTTCAGATTATGTTAAAATAATAAAAAACTCTAAATTTGTAACAAAATTTATCTTTAAAAAGCAAGCAGCCCACTTTAAAATTTCAGAAAAAATACAAGAATAATCGAATGGAAGATAGAAATTAAATCAAATAAGAATTATTCATACTACCATAATTAGTATAAATTACAATCATTAAAAATAATTTAAATTTACTATTATATTATAAACTATATTTTTTCTTTTTATTGGATTGGATTGGATTGATTTTATAAAAATGTAATAACTAAATTTTAACATAGTCATCAAATTATATAGCAGTTTACACATTCATATAAAATAATAAATTTGTAAAAGAAAAAGGTTAAAAAAACTATATGAGCTCAATTGGGCTAGCTAGATAGTTTTATGTTTTTTTTCTGCAATTTCAATAAATTAGCAAAAAAATGTGATAAACAAAATCCTTCTTTTTTAATTAGTAAATTAAATTATTCCCGCAAGTAAAATAAGATATTGAAAATAACGACGAAGACTTATCTGATTGAAATATGCATTTATTTTTTTATTTATTAAAAAAACTGTTGGTACAAGGGGAAAAGAAAATTAATAAATTATAAAAAGCAGAAGTTAACAAGCAGAGGTTAAGACGAATTAAATAATAAATATTATCATAAGAAGATAGAAAAGATTAAATAATAAATATAATTAAATTAATTCAAAAAAATTCACAGTAAGCATATATATTCATTCATTAATAGTATCCTCTACTTTGACAGACAGATAAAAAATCAAGCAAGCATTCTTCTAATAATTTGAAAGCAGAAAAGTGATAAATTTTCAAAGATTATAAGATTTACCTCGTAAATATTTATAAAAAACACTTTGATATATCTATTTTATTTTGAATAATTTAGAAAATTAGCTGTTTAAAGATAAATTATTTTTTATTAAAATCAAAAGTCATAAAAGCTGTGTTTGTATTATAGATCTAAAATTGAATTTACTAGAGTTCTGACAAGAAAGCAAGAAGAGGCCGACCCTATTTTACTTATATTTAAAAATATAGAAAATTAATATCTAATATTACTAAAATCAGCGAAGACTCTAACTCATAATTTTCTCTTAAGATATACCAAATTATGCAAAAATAAATAGGTAAATTAAAAAATAATTAATTTAAAAGCACTATTAGAGTTTCCATACTAAGTTGCTCTAATTTATATCTCTATGCATCAAACAAATCCGTCTGTCTGTTTAAATTTTTTATTAAATCTTTTAGAACTAAGTCTATTGTTACCCAAGTTACAAATTAAATACTATTTTAATGGAAACTGGTTGATTTTTATTAAAACTATAATGAATTTGTTTCAGTAGAATCTGAAAGTTTTATTTACATAAAGACTCATTAGATTTGAAAAATATTCCCCAATTATAAAAAAACTCAACGTTATTTTTTGTAGTTATATTATGAAAATTGTATAGATATTCGCTTAAGATTAAAAAACCTACCCCAATAAATATCAAAAATTTGCTAAACAGTATCCGTAATCATCAAAAATCACTTGCTTTTAAATTGAATATTTTCAAAAAAAAAAAAAAAAAATTAAAAATAAACTGAATCTAAAAAAGAGCTTTATATAAATTCTTTATTTGATAGCCAAATATTAAACAAAATAAATAAATTGATCACAATTAATAAAAATTTGTAAAACAATCATCGCATTTTGAGAATATTACTTTTTTATTTTTGCAAATACAATATTTTAATAGAAGCAAGTAGATTCACTAATTTTATGTTAAATTTAGTTAATAAGTTTAAATTAGGATGCAAAAATGTAATCATAAAGCTTTTCTATTTTTTCATTCAATTTTATAATAACCACTTCGAAGTAAAACTACAAGAAAAGACAATTTTTATTTAAAATTCATTTACTTCTTATTATGGTTATTAGATGAGAATGAAATAAAATATAATCGAAAAATATATCAGCAACTAAAAAAATGAGAAAGCATTATCTGAATATTAAAAGAGTTGAAGAATACGGGTTATAAATTAAATAATGAAAAATAAAGCAACGAAATAAATTTTTGGATATTATTCAATTTTATTTTTAAATATTGCAAATGTATGGTGAAAATACATAAAAATAAAAAGCATATTTTATTCAATTTATGGGTTACTAATATTCACATTAAATATAAAATAAGTAAAAATAAACTAAATCCAATTCAAAAATAGATCCTAATTGATTAATTAATTTCCTTTTATTCAATTCTAAAAAATCCGCTTCTCTATATCATTAATAGCAGCTGCATAGATTAAATAAAAGAGCCTTATCCTAAAAAAACCCACTATTTACTTTCAAAAAATTTTATAATTAATTCCAAAAAAATAATTAAAAAAATAAATTTTTGAAAAAATAAAGAAACCTTAGAAAATACAGAGCACTAAAAAGAGTTTCCCCTTTAACTACTCGATATTACAACTTCACAACCAATCATCCCTACTGACACTTCTGAAAAGAAATAAGATTCTTTTACTTAAATTGAATAATCATTTTCTGGTTCCAACTCTCTGCAAGGAAGCTTAACACATATCTAATCTAACTTACAATCTGATTAAATACAATCTTGTTAAGAGACATAATTAAAATCAGAAAGCTAAAATATCCAATCTTCTTTATCTGATTTTAAACTTACAGATTAACTTTTAGATTCAAATACTGCGCTTACTTAATCAATACCATTCTTACCTTAAAAAAAATAAATAAAAAGTAGTATTAATAAAGAGGAGAACAACAAGCCAGGACTTTAAAATTAAAATATATAAAATAATACTTCAAATAAATCAAATAAATAAAATATCTCTTCAAATTACAATTATTACCACACTTAACACAAAAAGCTATAAGGAGTGAGTTTGTAAAATCGCATCTTTCCTCTTAATAATTTAGTTTCTTCTTCTTAAAAATTGTAGACCTCTAATACCCCTATTGCATCTTAGCAACCTATGTAGAAATCTGAAAAAGTGTTGAGATTGCTTAAAAAAGATATCACATCCTGTCAAATGCTTGATTCAGTTAGTACAACTTATAGCGCTATGATCCCTACCACCAATCTAGATAATAATTTTGATGAAGCTAACGATGATCCATGTAAAATGTATGAGAGTAATTAAGTGTAGATAGATGAGAGCGATACTTTAGAAAAAAAGATTCACGAATGGCTCGATTAAATGGACGTGCATATTACATGCCCATCTTCTAAAATGCATGACTACTTTGATAGTATCAGAAAAAATACTTATTGGGATATTCATAGCAAAATATTAAGCGGTGAAGATCTCGACTGCTTTCCAACTCCAGGATCTCAATCTTCATTCAATCATCTTAGTCAGATGACAGAATCCCCTAATCCATTTACACCAACCCCTCTCCTCGAAAGGAGAAATCCAGGATAGCTCACTACTCTTCTTCCTGCTTGCAGCTTCCTTAACCGTAGACGTCACACACAAAAACTTGATGATAAAAAATCTAAAGAAATTGAAGAAGTCTACGACGAGTGGGATTAAGACTGAATAAAGAAATACTTTGAGAAAAAAAATAATACAAAATTTTCTAATAAATATCCAGATAAACTGCGCTATAAATCTATATTAAAAAAATAAAAAGTCGAACGAAATGTCGTTTTTTCTAAATTTAAAATTCTCTCACCCATCTTAATTAACTCAGCTATAAAATTCTATCTATAATTAAATCTAAATCTAAATAAAAATACTAAAATGGATATTAATAATTCCTAAAACTACTTGATTTATTCTTTAACTTTACCTTCAGTTTCTGAATAGTTACTCTAAATATTGATTAGCTTGTGATCTGAAAAGAGTGTTCTTTAGCAAGTGAAGTCTTCCATGCATTTATCTATCTATCAGAAATATTTAAGCTAATCAAAGAGAAAAGGAAAGCAAAAAATGTTACTTTTTAATAAATTTCTCTTAACAGAGGATGGATAATAATTTATAAGTATCTAATAAAAAAGTAATATAGAAGATTAATATGATTATTAGCCTAAATAATTAGTTTCGAAATTAAGCTTTTAAATTTTTTTGAGGCTTAATTAATTGATTATATATTATAAAATAACAACTCACTTAATCAAAAACATATGATACAAACTGCAGAAGGATGGAATACTTCTTCATTTGACTCTTATCAAATACTAATATCAAAAATGTTAATTTTTAATAGGTACTATTAATGAAATATTTATTTATTCGCGAAAACAGACATAGTCAGTTTTTTTTAATAAATTTTTTGAAAATCTATTTCTTTAAGATAAGAAAAAAAGCTAAAATTAATTTCTCATTAAAAACTGAGCTAATTCTATCTAAGCCAGTAACAAAATTAAAAACTTATTTATTTTACGAGAACTAGAAGATAGATAGATAAATTTATATAGAAAAACTTTGACTCTCACTCTAAAAGTAGCTCAAAAATTAACGCAAAAAATTAAAATTAAAAAATAAATTTTGAAAGGAAGAATTTATTTAACCTCAAAAGCTAAAGTTGCTATTTTAAAGAAATAGATAAAAAAATAGTGTTAAGTAAAAAAGAAAGATTCATGCTTTTATACAGGGACTTTTAGCAACAAATTTAATTTATTCAAGTAGAATAAAAAGAACTTTTTACTGAATTAATAATTAAATTACAAGTATTAAATTATTTACTGGCTTAAAAGTAGTTCTTAAATTTAAAAAACAAAATGTTCTCACAAAAGGAATTTGCTAACACTTTTGCAATAGAAAAAAATATTTTAAAAGCATCAGTCTGCTAAAAAAAGCGATTTAAAATAGACCTTTGACTTTATTAAAATATTACTTTTGATCTCATCAAAGAGTTTTCTAATTAATGTAAATATATTTAAAGAAAAATAGATGATTTTTTCTTTCTATTCTACTTTTTCCCAATCAATATTTGATAATAGATCACACAAGGCTCAAATGCATAAATTAATTAATAAACAATGAAATAAATAAATTATCATTTCGCTAACTAAATTCGAAATTTATACATTTAAATAATTCATTAATCTTGATATCTTTCTTACTTACTTACTTAAGTCTTTCCTAAACAAACAAAGAAGCAATAAGGTATTTAGTTGAATAAATAAAGAAAAGTAACTATAATAAATCACCACATAATATATATATATAAATCACTTTAATAATTAATATATAAAACATTTCAAAAACCATATTTTTATTATAAATGTAAGATTTATTTAACCATATTTATAAACTCTTCACAAATAAATTTGTAAAATTAATATATCATTCATTAATCATCATAAATAATTATCTATTTTCAAAATAAATGCTAAATAGCAACTTCTTTATTTAGTTAGTGTAGATTTATATCAAAAATATACTTTATGTAAGTAATTATTTATTTCATTATAAAACAATTTAACATTAATCAAATAAAGTTCATTATTTTCTTAATTTATTTTTTTTTTTCTTTTTAAGCATTTGTTTACCTTACTTTTAATATTTTAATTACATCATTTCTTAAAAATTTCATACTTAACCTAATTATTGATGAAGAAACTAATTCAAATTATTTTAAAAGATAGTATTAGCTTTTTCTAAATATTCACTCAAGGTTTCCATTTTAAAATTATTTTAGATAGCTAATGCCGATGCTTCTTTAAGCTTATTATGAAATTAATTATAATTTGTTGCAATTAAAATATTAATTTTATCACATCTCTAAAGTTTGATGATATTTGAGTAAGTATTCAAAAAAAACAAACAAATTTATGGATTTTAAATAAGGTTAAACACAGCTAATGTGAAGTATTTAATGAGGGAATAATTTTTTTGGAGAAATAGCAAGAAAAGAAAGAAGTTAAACTAATTTGATTTTATAACAAAATATGTTTATTAAAATCAATAGAAAGTATTTGTAATACATACATATTTCAATTTTTAAATTGAGAATTTATTACTTTTTTTTTGAGTTTTTAAGTATAGATTGCTTCTTTTGTTTTTAAATAAACAGAATATAAAAAATATTATGCTTCTTTCAAAGATTCATTATAATCGATAATAATGATTCATGAAGATTATAGCCATAATTTTTAATTCATTAGTTTTTAACCATTAAGCACATAAACTAAAGGAAATGATAATATTTAGGAAGTATTTTCACAAAAAATTTTTGTATACTTCAAAATCAAAATTAAGCATCCTTTAAAAATCATGAGAAAAGGACTAAAATTAGAATTCAAGTTTTTACTTTTTAGAAATTGAGTTATGATGAATTTAGAATTGTAATTGTAAGATAATATTCATCTTTTTATTTAATTTGCTTACAAAATAAGAAAAATATATGCTTGAATCAGTTTAGAAACAATTAGTAAAAAATAATCTGTGATTAAATAGACAAAATACTCAAAGTTAAATTAATAAATTTGTAATTCAAACAATGATTAAGCAATCAAAACATTTTTGACTTTCGAATTCTGCTCTATTCTATTTGACCATTTTAATCTTTCAATTCTTTTTTTCAAATAAAAATATTACAATTCAATATTCCTCCAAAAAGCTGGTTGATGCTTCAGGTTTAATTTAATATTTAAAATGTTTCTCTATGTAATATTATCATATTATTTATTTAAATTAGGAACTTACTAGCTCATATTCACAGAATCATGCAAAACATCTATAAATTAGATAAAATAACTAAAAAATTAGATTGATTGAAAGAATCAATTTAATATTAATTATTATGACTAAAACTTCAATAGATAGTTGAGGGAATCTATTATTTACTAATTGACAAATTTTTTCAAAAAATTATGATAAGATACTTAGTCATAACCATATAAAAAGTTGATATTTCATACATGATGTTTTAAATAATTTAAGTAATTGAAAAAAAATATCTTCATTGAATTACTAAAATTTTTAATAAATGGAACAGAGAGAGTAATGATATAATCCTTACAATTTCTTTTTTATAGAAGTCTTTAAAGTTATAAAATTAAAAATTATAGGAGTAAAAAAATAAATGTTTTCATTTTTTTGATAGCGCAGTATTATAAATAGTTGCTATAAATATAATTTGTTTAATTAAATTATCCAAAATTTTTAAATGGATAATAAATGTTTTTTAGGCTTAGAAAAATAAGTCATATAAATAATCAGAGAAAGCTTTAATTTACTTAGCTGCATCTATTAAATGTTAAATATAACCTATAACAATTCTTTTTTACTAGAGTTTCAGGATTGTTACTTACTTACTTATATATTTTTAAAATAAAAGTTTCTGGAAGAAAAATAACTTAATAGAAAATTGAGTAAAACATAAATTAATGTGATTAAAAAAATTTAAATGGTTAATAAATTTTACACTTAAATTTACAGAGTTATCAATGAATGGCACCAATTTAAGATTGTTAGTAAATTAAAAAATAGATGTTTTTTTATTAAGCAACTTAATTAATTTACCTCATAGAATTTAGCAACAAATAACTTATACTTTCAAAAATTGTGTGACTAATAATTTAAATTACACTAACGAACGTAATAAAAAAGCATAAACAAATGCTAAAATTTCTTACTTCTTTTGCTTAACTATAAATTCAGTGAAAGGTGTTAAATTAATTACTAATACTTAAATAATTTGATAGAACTAAATAATTTTGCAAATATAATTAATTATGTAGATTACTCTTACACAGTATTTAACATTTTTTTGTATTTTTGACATGAAATTACATAGATTACATTTTGCTAATAAATAATCAATTTTTACAAACATTTTTGATTAAATTCATATTTATGATATATTAATTATACTTCCACCATCACAGATCTATAAGATTTTTCACCTAAATTTATTTAAATTTAGGTATGATGTGAATTACTACAAATAAGCTTATTGAGTTCAAATAATTATTTTAATTCACTTCAAATTCCATAAATAAAAATTGTTTTGATTGATTAGGTTTTTTATATCTAAAATATAAATAGTTCTAATAAGAGCTGTAAATTAATAGAAGTAATATTTTGTTCTTATAATATATCATTTATTTCTTTAATAGTTAGTTATTAGATATAATATTAACTTAGCAAAGCATCTTATTAGGTTTTTATCAAAAATCTATCTTAGATTACATTATTTAATATTCTGCTTGTCAATTTTTTTAAAAAAAAAGACTGCACTACCCTCTTATCTGATTGCTTACCACTTAAAGTAAGTAAGAAATAAATGAGCAGAATTTTTTTTTTTAAGAAAGATAATTTAATCATCATAAATTATTTAATTTCAAATAAATAAGAATAAAAATAGCCTTTGTTGCTTGTTAAATAATTTTGTTTAATTTTTTAAGAAAAAGTTCTTAATCTTATTAAAATTTTACATATCTATTCTCCAATTAACATTTAAACACATTATTTTCTTAGAAATAAAAAAGTATTCAAATAACTTGAAATAATTTTTAAAAATAGCTTTTGATATTATTTAAATTTTATATTTTTAACAAAAATAAACAAAATAAAGAGTTTTAATATTAATTTTAATCAGAACTTTAAAAAAATTACTCAAAAATAGAAAATATTCCTTTTTATTCAGTGAAAAATAAAAATAAAATTTACCTACTTTTATTTTTTTATTTGATTCAAATATTTATGTTTTGTTTTTTTTCTTTATATTGCCACATTATTAAATTTTTAGTAAAAATGAGTAGTTTAGAAATATTTTTATTAATTTATTTAAGATTTAAATATTTATTTTTATTCAAAAAAATTATTTAAAAAAGTTTATTTTCTTAAATTTAAATCAATAAAAGTAATTCTAATTTGTTTATTATTTTTACTCTTTAATATAATTTTTAATATCTTTTTTATTGAAAAAAATTTGATTTAAAAATTTTGTAATATTAAAATAATCGTTTAAATTTTTATAAATATGAAAAAAAGAAATATCTTTTTTCTTCAAAATTTTAATGATAAATCATTAAATCCACTAATATTATTATATTTACTTAGAAAGTATATTTGCAATTTTGTGTTATTTTGATCTGAATTGTGATTAATTATTTTAAATATATTTTATTTTATTTAATAAGTGAAGTATTTTTTTTAATTAAATTAAAGGTATTTATGGTTGCCAAAGTATTTTTAAAATCATGGTTTAAGGTTTTACAAAAATAATATTAAATATTTATTTATTTGAAAATGATATTGTCTTTATATATCAGCGAATTATATACTAAAATTAGTTTTATTAAATAAACAATGACACTAAGACAAATTAAATAGACTGTATTTAATAAAAAAATTGAATGGTATTTGAGTTGACTCGCTTATTCTGAATATATATTTCATGGTGTTAATAAATTATAATAAATTAAATTTGGCATTAAAGTAAAAAAAAATTAGAAATTATGAGTCAATCAGTTCAATTTAAGGTAATTATTAGTAATTATAAGTATATCTTTTCAATTTTCAGATCAATATACTGAAAAACTTGTTTTTTACGCAATTTTTAACTTAAATATTTTCATTTATGTTTTATATTTTAAATAGTATTTTATTTTTGATATTTTATAATCTCTCTACCCTAACACAGATAGAACTGAAATCATACAAATATATAAAAGTAATACATATTTTTATTGATAGGATTTACTTGCTTCTCTAAGAAAGAGTCCTAATTAGAGATCATTAGAAGATGTGCTTATTATTAAAAACTATTTAATGACCATATAGTTTTTGAAAGATTCTTTTAAAGGATAAGAACAGAGTTTTGAATAATTGTCAAAAATGTTTCGTTTGGAAATTTTTGATGAGGACTAAACTATCTTTCACATTGGTAATTAGCTCTTTGAAAATTTCCTACAATATATTTCATTTTATTTCTGATGAATTTGTTGGAGAATTTACAAAAAATAAAAATGAAAAATAGACTCAAAAGGGGATAAGTATTATTTGATTCTCTAAGGATAAGTAGGAATTTACATAAGACCTCCAAAACAAATTTCCAAAGGTGAAACTAAACTAAAACTTTCAAAAAAGAAAGATGATCAAACTCAAGATAATAAATTAGATAAAAATAAAGATAGTCGCAAAGATGTTGATGAAAAAGAAGAAAGTTTATAATTTAAAAAAAATAATCATCTTGATTCATTGATAATGGTCAAACAGCTTTAAGAAGGATAAACGTTTGGTGAGATGGCTTTGATTTATAATTAGCCCAGATTGGCTACTATACATACCTTTTAAGAAACTATACTAGCAGTTTTAACAAAACGTGATTTTAGACTAATAATGAAGAAAGCAGAAATGAGATAAATTAAAGGAGAATTGAAGTTTTTGAAATAAGTTTATCTTTTTCAATCTTGGAGTTATGAAAATCTTAGAGACATATATTTAAATAGCGAATAAGTACAATTATAGATTGGTTAAAATGTTTTTAAGGAAGATGATCCTGCTGACTCCATCTACATTATCAAAAGAGGCTCCTTTTTAGTAAAGATTTATTTAAAATAGATTATTAATTATTGGTATTTGATTAATCAATCAGTAATTTCCTTAAAAAAATACCATCAAAAATATATAGTATTCTTTCTTTTTTTCCTTCCTTCATTCGTTCCTTCGTTATTCTTGTTACAAATTGTATCTTCTAATATTAATCCTAATTTGCTTGATATCTTGCACATTATTTTTAATAATAAAGGATACTATAAACTAATATATTTTATTTAAAAGCTGAGTAAATAGGTATAGCTAGCTAATACTCAATCAAACGTAGATGGCTTGATAAAAAACTAAAACTTAATAGGAAAAGTAATTACCTTAATTTACTTTCTTTTAAATTGTTAAAATAAAATTTATTAGATTGATTAAATAAGCTTAATTTTTTGATTTAGATATTTGCAAATAAAATATATTTTATTACCTACATTTTTTATTTAACTATTTTCTTAAAATGATAGCTTAGTTATTCAAATAATAATTTCTAAATTTATTTATTTTCATTATTAAAAAAATAAAATAGATTGGATAATTAGGAGAGTGTGATGTATTTGGAGAAGAAGAGTTTGTTTCTTTGATCAATTTAATCTTCAAAGAAAATGATTATGATGAGAATTCTTATTTCGACTAACAAAACCAATAATTGGAGTAGTTTATTTTTGAAAATTAAAAAACAAATCGGTTTTCAACAGTGACTTGTGACAGTAGGGAAGGAGGAACTCTTATCAGAATTAAAATAAATGATTATTTACTTCGTATTCTTAATTATTCTGAAACAAGAAAAATTGCACTCAATTCAATAAAGCAGAAAATTGCACTTCATTCTTAAGTGCATGAAAGAAACTGTGAAACTTTTGTTTTTTACCAGAAATATCTAATTAGAGGAGATCCATAGTTTTTTAAAAATCCTCTGAGTTCAATGGTTTGTCAAAATGCAATATATTCAAATAATGCTACAATTGATTAACCTAATTACTAAGGTATTAATTCAGAAAGAAAAAAAGGAATAAGCCCCATTGAGAGTCCAATTTTCTCAGAATCAGTTACAATAACAAAAGATTTAAAATAAAATAATAAAAAAAATTAATCAAGCTAGGAAAGAAATTAAAATGGGAGAGTTAGCTCAAGGGCAAACAATAAATACTCAAATTAAGTCAAATCAAATGAAAATTTAGATAATCTCACAATCCAAGCATCTAACTAAGTTAAAAATAGTTCCCAAAAATAAAAACTTAAAAAATATAAATTCTAATTTATATCTGAATAGTGTGATGATAGCATTTTTACTGAAAAAATACCAGAAAATTTAAAATAAATTCATAAAGAAAGGTAAAAATAAAAGTACGAAGCTATGTAAATATACAAATACGAATAGACAAATTATTAAAAAGTATAGTTAAATCATTTTAAAAATAAATACAATTAAAATGAAATCCCTTATTACAAATAAAATGCATATTCCAAAAGCATAGAACCAATTATATCAAATAAAATAGCAAAATTAGGATATAAAGTCATCAAATTAAAGGATTAAGAAATAGAAAATTAAAATGGAGAGTATTATTCAATTGAAGATCACTTTTCTAATCAGTAGACTTAAAGGAATGAAATAAGCAATTTGATGTAAATAACTAGTTGTGGAGATAATTGGATAAATAGCAGTTCTATTGACTAAAAAATAAATTTAAACTCTCATTAAATGTAAAAGACCAAGAATAAATTTCCTATGAGTAAATAAAATACTGGTAAAAGTAAAATTGAAGGTATTCCATAAATAAGGGAGTACTAAAAAATACGTCTAAGGCCTTTAATAATAGATAATCAAATTAATTCAACTTGTAAAAATTTAAGTAATAAAAACTCTTTTGATTTTAATAATTTTTATAATGGGAAGCTTGATCAAGGATAAAATTAATCACTAACAGACAGTATTTACAATAATATTTCCTTGCAAATTACTCCAAAAAAGCAACATTTTAAATCAAATAATTAATCATTAGACCATAAGTAACATTTAAATAAGTCTTATGATATTTATCATCCAGTCAATCTTTCTAAAGAAAGAAATCAAAATAATTCAAGAGATTGGAAAAGCAGATAACAATATGTTAATTCTCTTTTGAACGAATTTTAGTCCAAATCTATTTCATTTAATAAAATAAAATTATTAAACTGTCAATAAATAGCTCCAGTAGTTAAGTTATAAGGATAGAATTCTCCTTAAGACCATTAAAAACCTTTAAATAATAAAATTCAACCTTAAAGTAAAAGAAGAGAAAATCTTTTTTAGTTGAAATGCATTACTGACTCTATTTGATAAAGAGAAAAACTTCTTTATATTATTAATTTAAATTACTTAAAAAATATATTTTTCAATTTGTTTAACAATTTAATATTCTTATCATTCTCTTCTTTGTTAAAAACTATTTATCAATAAATAAATGTTAAAAAACTCTTATTAAAAATAATCAACTTGATTAAACAAAGAAATTAAAACACATTTAAAAAAGTTTTTTTTCATTAATTTATAAATAGAAAAATATTAAAAATAAACCACTTTTTAACAAAATACATAACTTACTCATTTTGATTAAAGGATTTAATTATTAATGCTAATTTATTAATTTAATGTGTTTATTGCACACACCATAAACTATTTGTTGATAAAAAATTTAAATTTAAAAATTTTCCTTATTTCAATAATTTCAAAAAGAATTAATTATGTAAACTATTTAGATAATTAGTAAGTAAGTATGTTACTACACTCATTCCAATAAATTAAATTAAAGAATTTGTTTATTTAATTCGCTTTATAGTTATTTAACTTTTAAATTTTTGAAATGATTAATTATTACATTAGAATATATTTATTTTTTTATATAAGCTACAAATGTTTCAATAATTTAAGGTCAATAAAATATTATAATATTATAATTATTAATTTAATAAATATTTTTTTATTTTTAGTATTTTTATTCAAATTTTTGAATATCTTTTAGTAAACATTTTAATTCCACAAAATCAAATTCATTTTAATTTCAATTCAGCTTAAATCAGTTTGAATCATCTGAACTTCTATTATCTACTCCAGCACACATTTATGAATACCAATCAGGTATCAATTTATTTATAAGCTCATCAGGATAGCCATTTACTTCAACTAATTTAAATAAAATTTAAATAATTACTATAAAAGAAAAAAATAGAAGTAGGTACTTTATGTAAAGTTAAATAATTCTGGAAGCTTTTAGCCATTTATTCTACATAATGGATTCCTTAATTCATCGAAAAAGGGATGAGCTAAAGCTTCCAAGGGCTTTAAACGAAGCTAAGGACTGTATACAAGCACTTTTGAAATGAGATCTATAGCTAGAGGATCTACTTTACAATTTTTGAAGACCTTAGACCAAGGGGTAGGTTTAATTTTAGGCATCTGAGTAGGTTGATGGTCTGGATTCATATGCTAAATCTTAATTTTTAAAATTAATATTAATTATATTTTTGATTGAAGTTTTTGAAAACTTTTAAAATACTTACTTATTAAAGTGTAGGAGTGCCTAGTATTTTGATAATTTCTATTAGTTGATCCACACTAGACTCTCCTGCAAAAATAGGATCACCTAATACCATTTCTGCTATTACACATCCTACGGACCATACATCTATTGAATTTGTATACTATGTAGCCATGAACATTAATTCTGGGGCTCTATAGTACCTGGTTCATTTTTAAAAAAGATAAATTAAAAAATTTCAAGCTAAATTTTTTTTTTTTTTGATTTTACCTGCTGCAAATGTAAGATATATTTGTTTCAGATGGGTTTAATTTTTTTGCTGATCCGAAATCGCACATTTTTAAAGCATGATTTCTAGGATCTACCAATACATTAGTTGGCTTTATATCTCTGTGACATATTCCTAAACCCTAAATATAAGCTAAAGATCTCATTAATTAGTATGAATAAAGCTTAAGTAATATATTAGGGAAGTTTCCTTTGCTTTTTTTAGCAAAATATTTAATCATTCTATAAAGAGTTTCAGGAATGTAGTCCATAATAATATTTAGATAAACATCTTCTTACTATAAAAAGTTGAAATTAATTTTATGAGCAAAAAAACTCAAAAAAATAATTATTTAAAGAATGAATTTAAAATTGAATCTGCAAAATTAGAAAAAATATTTACCTTGTCATCTGCATATATATAAAAATAATTTCTCAAACTAATAACATTTGGGTGATTGCCTATTTCTTTCATTATCTATAATTCTCTATTTTTATATCTCCTGTCTTAAAAAACTTTTTTTATTGCCACAGTCTCTCCTGTTTCGTTTATTGTTGCCTATAGTGATAAAATATAAGTATTGCTAAGGATTATTTTCAAAAATTTCAAATTAGTAGCAGCATTTTGTTCATTCATTTTTCACTTTTAAAAATTGAAGTTAGTAATATTTGCTAATAGATGCATGATACTTGTAAAATTTTGAAGAAAGTAAATCCAAATAATTTATTTTTAAAATAATTGTGTTGAAAAAATTAAATTATTTTACGAAATAAACTACCCCAAATGTACCATTTCCAACTATATTATCACCTTAAATGCTGTATGTATATTCTTTCTATTATTAAGTAAATTATATTTCATATATTCTTTTTAAAATTTATAGCTTTTATACTTTAGGATCTTATTTTTTATCAGATTCCTTCATAGAACCTACAGTGTGCATTCTAGATCCATTACCTCCCATTCCTTAAATGGTAGGTAGGACTTCTTACTCCTAGGTTGGTAACCTTTAATTAGCCTTTTATTTATATTTTAATTAGATTTTTGAAATAAAATCTTTTAATTGCAGCTATTAATAATAATAATGCTGAAAAGAACTCAATAATTTTAAAGTGCTAATGTACATACATTATTTCTATTCATTGTTAAATCTTGTAGTTTATATCTTTTTTTATAATGGAACAGAGTTTTTATTTAAAACTTAACCTTTAGCTAGTTACGCTAAGTAAGAATGAACTCTTTTTAAATTTTGAAAGAATTGTTTGTTTGCAAAAAAATAAAAAATATTATTTTTAATTATTATTTTTGAATGGATATATTAAAACATAAATTTTTTACCAATTTAATGTATAATAAAAACAAGATGATTCATTAAATTAATAATTTTTATGACCACATAATTATAAAAATAAATGCTTTCTTTTCAACTAGAGACCAGAATAAAATAAAAAAATATACTGGAGTATAATATAATTCTAAGATTTTCATTCACTTAATTATAATTTGAGTAAATCAGAAAAAAAATTGATAAATTTATATGATCTTTATCACTTTTTTCTATGGTATTTTAATACATTAAGATAATAAAATAATATTTAATGGTAAAATTTAAATTAGTATGTAAATTCTAAATAAATATATAAAATTAATAGGTCTCTCACGTAATAATCAATTTGAGATTTTGTAAATACTTTTGTTTGCAAAAAATCTGTAAGCATATTTTTTTAAATTAATAAATGAACATATTTTTATTTTATTCTAAATAAATAAATTGAAAAAAAAGAAGCTTGATTAATTTATAAGAATGTATGTATGAAGGTAAATTTTAGTTAGAAATAGGAGACAAAAATTCAATATAAATACACAAATTTACAAGAATATATTGAATTTTGTTATAAAAGTAAATATAAAATATTTATTAGTGGTATAATTTTATTGTAATAAAATACCAACCATGAAATAATTAATTACCCATGGTAATAAAGAAATGAGTGAGTGAGTGAGTTGTTTTTAACTCAAATAATATAATTAATTAGTTAACTTGAATATTTGATTTTACTCATGGCTGGTTATTTTGTTGATAAATACTATATGATAAACGCTATAATTTACTTTGTTTATTTGAAATCAAATTAGTAATTTGAAAGAGAAAAATCTATTTTGAATTTGCATTTCTATTTTTTAATATCAAGACATTTATTTATTTATTTATTTATTTAACAGCTAGCTCTCCTATTTGTTTCTTTGTTTGTTTTTGTTTGTTTTGTTTATTTGCTAAATTAGTATATTATTATTATTTTTATAATATGTTTATATATTTTTGTTGGATGTTTATTCTTGAATTTTATTATTTGGTTTTTATTTATTAATGAGAGCAATTTATTCAATGATTCTCATCAGTAAAAATATAGAAAAATTTATTTTTAATAGCATACAGAGAAAGGTAACTAATAGATTGAATCATAAAAAATTGCTTTCAAAGTTATCAGTATTGATTTTATGCTTCAGTAAGCTGTTAGACATACCAGTCAGGAATAAGCCTTTATAGCAATTCCTCATTTGGGCCTATTTCAGCTATTTTTTGTTAAAATATTTTAATCTATTTAGCATAATAAAAAAAAATAATTTATTAATTTACCTTCTGTGAAGTTAAACAGATTATCGAGTGGTTTTCCATTGATCCTGCATTTGGGATTTCTTAATTCCTCAAAGAAAGGATGTAATAATGCTTCTAAGGGTTTTAAACGTTTTTCTGGGTTATAAACTAAGATCTTAGATATCAAATCAATAGCAAGGGGATCAATTCTACAATTTTAGAAAACTTTAGTCCAAGGAGTAGGCTTAATATTAGGCATTTTAGTACCTTGGTGATCAGGATTCATTGCAAATATCTAGATTTTACATTATTAAATAAAAAAAATTATTAAATGAGTAAATAAGTAAATAAGTTAGAATGCAATTCGGTGTATGTATATTTTGAAAAATAATTAGGTTAATTAATTACTTGTTATTAAGTTGGTGTACCTAACACTTTTATTATTTCAATGAGCTAATCAACACTAGATTCTCCTATGAATATGGGCTATCCTAATACCATTTCAGCTATCACACATCCTACTGACCAGACATCAATAGCATGAGTGTATTGAGTTGCTTAAAACATTAACTCTGGAGCTCTATAGCACCTATTCAAATAATAACGTATTTAATATTTTTTATTTAAGTTTTTAAATTAAATACCTGCTACAAATGTAGGAAATGTTGGATTCACCTGGGACAAGTTTTTTTGCAGAACCAAAATCGCACATTTTAAGATTGTGATTTCTTGGATCAACTAATATATTTTGAGGTTTTATATCTCTATGACAAATGTTAATTCCATGAATATAGGCAAGAGATCTAAGCATTTAGTAAGAATAGTATTTAAGTAATATATTAGGGAAATTTCCTTTGTGTTTTTTGCTGTAATATTTAATCATTTTGTAGAGGGTCTCTGGAACAAAGTCCATTACCAAATGCAAATAAACATCATCAGTCTTTTAAATAATAATTAATTTGATTAACATTATAGATGAGTGTGAATGATAATAATAATAAATGAATTTTAAAAGTTATCAATTAATCTCGTTTTGAGAATTTAGTATGGCAGTTTAAAATTTAATCAAATAATAAAATTAAAAGCTATTTGTTAATATTCATTTTATGCAATTTAATCTCCTTAAATTATTAACAATTTTAAAAGAATATCAACTAAATTGTAATTTCTCTCTTTGATTTTTATTTTTAGAGGTAATTTTAATAAAAATTTAAAATAACATTTATTGAAATCAAATTTTATTCATTTATTTATTTATTTACACTATTTCCATAAGAGTAATAATGATTTCTTAGTTTGATAACGTTAGGGTGGTTACCGATTTCTTTCATCATTTGCAATTCTCTATTTTTGTACCTTTTGTCTTGGAAAACTTTTTTGATAGCAACAACTTCTCCTGTTTCTTTAGTGGTTGCCTTTTTAAAATTTATATCGTTAGTTTAATAACAGCATAAAAATAAGTCTTAATCTATTTTTTTTCAACTGAAAGTATCAAAAATAGATTGCAAAAAAAAGTTTACTTAATACACAACTCCAAATGTACCACTTCCAACTACTTTATCTTCATCTCCAACAATGGTATAAGTATAGTTGCCAGCTTACTACTTTTCATTATAAAAATATGTCATTTAAATCTAAAAATACGTAATATATTCCTTAATCGTTCTCAACGATAAAACAATAAACTTTAAAATGTATACCTTTTATTACTACTTCTTTTGGTATTCATTTTCTTTCATAGATCCAACTGTATGGACTCTGGAACCTATTCCTTCATCAGCCTATGTTGGAAGTACTTCCTTATCATAATTTTGAGTAGGAATCCTCATATTCATCTTTATTTTAGAAAGAATATTTTCAAAATATTAAAAAGGAAACTTGCTAATTATTCAAAGCTGCTTGCAATAAAATTATTGTTTAGAAATAGCTTATAGAAAATATTAAAAAATAAATATTTATTCAAAAAAATTATTTTCATTCTGTTTCTATTTTAAAAAATGATATAATCCAATTTTTTTATTTCTTACATAATTTTTATTCACCTTCATTCTCTGAAAAGACTAGGAGTTTTTTTTTGCCTTTCTTTCAATTATTACTTTACTTTACGCTTTGTTTGTTTAATATGTTTTGGTTTTACTCTATTAAAAATTTCAATTTAGAAGTACAAACTTTATTTTCTTTTTTCTTCTTATTTATTTTTAGAATTTAATTTATATATGAATTTAGATGATAGCTAATCATTCTTATCCTTCATTATTGAATTTCTTTCTGCTAAATTATTGAAAAAGTTATTAAAATTAAGTCAACTCATCTAATTAAAAATATAATTTCCATTTGTATTTCTATACCATTAATCGCTTGCCTGCCTAAAACTCTTATGCCAAGAAATTTTTCTTTTATATAATAATAAATTAACATAATAAATATATTTTCATCTCATTTTTTCATAGTTTTTCAGTATTTTTATTATTTTTAAAAGCTCTAATCCATAATTCGTTAAAAAACTATTAACGACTATCTTATATTAAAGACTCATTTACATAAATAATTACCAATTTAAATAAATATTTTAAGCACCTAAATATTTAAAAATTAAATTATTCTTATTATAGATCATTAAACCATGATATATAAATTTAAAAAATCATAATTAATACAAATTTTTTTTAATTTGCTTTAATAACCTGATAATTTTGAAATAATGTTACTTCATTTATATAACTTTTTATATATTTTGTGTTAAATAAATTAAACATTTTCTATTTATTATTTATGTAAAAAAATTATCTTATTTTTTGAAATTTTAAAGTAAAAAAAAATATATATATATAATTTTAAAAATAAATAATTCGATTAATAGAATATTTATTGAGGTAGATGTTTAAATTGAATTGTTACTATTCAAAGTAATAAATAAATTAATAAAAAAATGAGATTTATTTATCAAAAATAGTGTTTCAGAATTATTATTTTAAATTTTATTTAATTTGCAAAAATAATATTTAACTTAAACTAAAAATAATAAATTAAAATTGTAAAAAGGATTCATAAGATATTGATATTTTTTAGTTACCATAATTAATATATGATATATCATCAATTAATTAATACATTATTAGCAATTTTAATTTTTTTAAATAATTGTTTTATTTGTATAACTTAATTTAGTTAAGTTACCACAAATTAATAATATGATATTTCATAAATATTTTAATAATTTTATTAGAATTTTATTTACTTCATTCTTAATATTATTTACTGATTATTTCATTTGGAAGGAAATACATAATATAATAAATTTTTATAAATATCTAAATTATTTTAAAGCCACCATAAATAAGTATATGATATATCTTCAATTAATTAATAAATTATTTGTAATTTTATTTTTCTCTTTCTGAATAATTATTTTAATTGAAAATAGTTAATTTTGTAATATTTTTATAAGTATTTATTAGATATAGAAATTAATTTGTAAAAAAATGATATAAATATATTATTTCTCATAAATTATAGTTTATTACCAATTTTAGGTGGATTTATCACTAAGCTTAATTTTGTCTTTATTAAATAAAATTGATTTAAATAAATATATAAATTAAATATTTTTAAGTATGAATTAGAGAAGCATTTTTAAAATTAAATTTTTATTAATATTTTTTATCATTCTATACATTATAGAAGAATGTTATGGAATTATTAGCGATATAAATATAGAAGGATACTAGATTCCTTTTTGTATCTAATACCTTAATGCTGCTACTCTAAGTGATAGAGATAATCCAAATAGTATTACTTTGTGCTTAAAATGTTAAAAAATGAGAGTCCTATCAAGTGATTATAAGACATGCTTAAATGTAAGAGAAGAGATAGTAAATTTGAAACTGCTAAATTGCAAAAGATTGGATTATTTAGGTTAATGTGCAGAAGCAATAGATGGAATTGAGATTATAGATGGTAAGTATTCATTTACGGATTAGAATTATTAAAATGATAGATGCGCAATTGCTTCTAAAAACTATGAAAGCTGCTTAATGCCAAGATTTGGATATGCTCTTGATATTAAAGAATAAAGGTTATATAAAGATCATTCAAAATATCCTACTTTCTGCTAGCTTTACGATTCATTTTTAGAAAAATGCATTAAATATTTTGACTATTTCCTACCTAGTGAAGCCTCAAATGGACTTTCTATTTACTTAAATAACTTTATCAATCCTCATCTAGTTGACTCTATTGTTTCTCATTCAAATAAAATAGTGTGTGTAGATAGTAACAAATATTTTTATAGCTTAAATGGATGTTTTAGTAAGAGTTTGTATATATCGACTGAAATTACTATTCACTATTGCAAAGAATTTTTAAATAATGGTATTTGCAAATAGTGTAAAGACAAATACGCTTTATAGAAAAATGGCCTTTCTTGCCAAAAGATTTTTATACCTAAGTGTGTTATGTATGATATAATAGAAGAAAAATCAGTTTGCATTTAATGTTAGCCTTTTTATAGAATTAAATATTTTGATTGTATACTAATGGAGAATTGTTAAATGCTTCATCCTCTTAATCCAAATATATGTATTGCATGCTAGTCTCCTTACTAGTTAAATAAATTGAAAAATATATGTGAACAGCCTTAACAATAAATAGTTACTGAGGCATTTTGCGAATTGTATTCTTCGAATGGTAAGTGTTTGCTATGTAAATAGAATCAATTTAACTATTTATTTTAAGGCTACTGTATTCCTAGATAAAAGTCTTAATTTTGTAAAAATCCAGATCCTAATAACGATTCTTGCTTAACACTAGAATGTATTAATGATACATATTATGCTTAAATAAATTCTGAAGATTTTTCCTTCAATTATGAGCAACCTGATATAAAAGAAATAGCTTTGAATAATTTAATCAAATATAGACTAGTAGCTTAAAAGTCATTCTCAATATTTTGTAATAAAAGAATTAATTATCCAATAACTAATTGCTAAATTTATCACCCTTTATATGAGTCTTGTTAAAAATGTGAAAATAACTTTTATATGAAGAGAACTAATTTTGATAATAGCAATCAATCTAATATTCAAGTAAATTCAAGCCAAATAGATGCAAATGATTTAGATTATTAAAGTACTAGTGATTTCAGTGTGTTCATTTGTTAGAAAGAGTTTAATTTTCATTAGGTGCAGATATAAAATTGTATGTAATATAGTTTAGATGGAATTTACTGCATTTAATGTTTGCCTGGATATTATGAAGCGAAAAAAAAATGTATTTAAGGTATTCCGAATTGTAAAATTCATGGAGGCTTTTAAAAATGTTTGGAATGTGAAGAAGGTTTTATCTTAATTACATATAAAAATGATAACGAAGTATTTTAAAAAAGATGTGAAAAAAATAAAAATATTAGACCAATTCAAAAAAATGATGGAAGCTTTTATTAGCAGGATGAACCATAAAATGCTATTAAATCTATAATTAATAAAATGAGTTTTTGCAAATTTATAAATTTAGGTTACATCATGTTTAAAAGTTATAAAATATGTTTAAATGATAGCTATCTCCCTGATTGTTAAGAAGGCTATTATGGTTAGTAAAATAAAATTATATGTGAGACTTGCAGAATGAGATTTATCCTCTACAATAATACTTGTTATAAAGATAAGCTATACTAACCTATCTATTCTTAAAGAAAGCTTCAGAAAATTACTAAAAAATGTATGTCTGTAATTAATTAATAGTCCTCAGGATGTGATACTAATATATAAGATTAAATAGTAATTAGTCAGCCATCGATTTATGGTGAAACTGATGAAAGCATAAAGTATAATATCACTTTATGCTAAATAAAAAACTGTTAAGTGTGTGAATATGATAGATGTTTAAAATGCAATTAATCATATAAACTATTAGATTAAAAAGTTTGCTAAAAAATTTGTGAGGATAATAGTAAAGATGAAGAATGTACAAAAGAAATAAAGTAAAGTGATGATGAAAATAAAATATTTGAGAAAGATTAAAATAATGATAACCTAAGTGCTAATAAAACAGATAACAAATAAAAAACTGAATTACAAAAACAGTAAGGTTTTTAACCTTATCGCAAAATTTTGAAAATCTTGTTAATAATTGCTGCTTGTATAACAGCAGTGATAATAATATTTTACTTGTATAGGTATGCAAGATAAAAAAAAATGTAAAATGATCAAAACAGTTAAAGCTATACTCTTTTTTAGTGAAATATTTCAATAAAAAACTTAAAAAAATCTTCTAATTAAATTAATATAATAAAAAGTTACTGTAGAAATTAAAATTAAATTACTTTTATATTTTAAAATTTATAAATTTTATTTATCACAAAAAATTCTCAAAAAATAAATATTAAATTAAAAAAAATAATTTAATTATTAAAGTAATATATTAAATCAAAAAGAAAATATTTAATACAAAATATAACTTTTTAATTCAAGAAAATAGCTATTTAATTTTGCAAAATGATTTATTTATTTATTTATGATTTTTATTTAATAAACAATAAATAATTTGTAAAATTTAATAAAATGTTCATTTAAATTAAATCTATAAAAGCTTGGATCAATAATAATTTTCATACTGTCTTCTTATTTATTCAAAATTATCCATATCTTATTATATAAATTTGTCAAATACTTTTAAGCGTTTTTACTAATCTTCTCTATATTTTCTTATGATATCTTTAATGTCCATTTTATTACTTCTATCAGTTATAACAGATTGAGAGTCTTTTTAGCTTTCTTAATATTAGCTAGAACTATACCCAGCTTCTCTATTTAAATTTAAGTTATTTATTTAAGAATTTAGATCTTGCTCTGTATTATTAATAGTGCTGTTGTTTGTGTTATTATTTTGCAATTTTTGAGAAACTTATTTTTGTTCTTATTCTAATTATTGAAGATATGGAAATTCTTATTTCATACATTTGGTACATAGATAAACTTTATTTTGAGGCTATGGATTTTAGGCACCTGCTTGTAAATTTTATGTGTTTTTTCTTTTTTTATGATGATTAAATGAATCGTAGATATCTAAACAACGTTAGTGATATACATGTTTACAAGTAAACACAACTATATCTGAACTGAAATTCTTTATATGATTTTGGCATTAAGGATGGCTACAAATAACATCGTAGCTATTACCTTAAGTTGTCTTTTGAATGAAATTTAAATTTTATTATATAACATCTTAAAGAAGTACTTCTTTTCCTTCTTGAAGAAAAACTATTTCTTCAGATAAAGTTGTTAAGATTTAGCAAAAGCTATCTTTAATTGATTAGAAAGAAAATTAGCTTTAATAATCCTAGACAAGTTTTATTATTCCTTAAATTGAAACGTAGTTAGATATTTCTATGAAGAGTTTAGCTATAATATTTGAAAAAATTTTGTTTACTACCTCATATGATTCTTTCTTTTAATTGATGTAATTTGCTATATCTTACCATAATCTTTTACCTTCAGAAGGAGCTTCTTTACAGCTAAGTATATCGTTAGCCATATTGACCCATATTTCTTAATTATTTGACTGAGATTTACTATAAGAAATGCAAGAATCTATAAGCTATTAAAATTTAATGCCCAAAACATGCTAAAGTTAAGTTATACTCGTAGTAGCTGCATAGTTAAGAAGGCTTGACTACTTCGAAGGAGTGTCATTTTGGTTACTGTTGCTTTTCTCCTGTTAGCTAAATCTACCTTTAGAAATACGCTAAAATGTTTTTGTGCATTCTTCAAGGAAAATTCTTGAATAGAGTTGAATAGCTTCTTAAAAGTTACCTTATTTTTCACAAAGATAAGCAACAGCATCGTAAGCATGATTTAACCTACAGACTATATTTATTTTTTCTAAAGGATAAAAGTTAGTTTTAAGCTCCTAAACTACTCTAGAAGGGTCAACTTTACACAAAAGAGCAATATATAATGTTAGGGTTTCCTCATTAATAGGTTAAATAGCTTGCTAAGCATCTTTTTAATTTTAAACACCTGAATTAAAATTTTAAGATTACTAAGCTAATTAAGATTATGGTGTAGAAGGGGTAGGTGATGGTGAAGCCAAAGCTTTTTTTCTATCTTCCATAATGCATTCTAAATAATCTAGAAGTAAAGTTTACTCAGTTAGTAAACATTCAAATATTTTGTCTTCTTTCTCTTTCATGAAATTGTGTACAATATTTTTAGTATATCTTGTACTTGTTAGAATCATAGATTTTATATTTTCAATTACATAACCTTTGAGTATTTCTTTTTACTATTCTGAAAGTTCATCACTTTTGAAAGCTTCGTTAAGCCAAGTGAATATTTTGTAACGATTAACTCTCAAAGAGCTTTTTACCATCATTATTTGGTATTAATTAAATGCTTAATTCAAGTCTCCTACTAAATATTAACAATAAGCAAAAATTTCAAGATCAACTTTTTCTTAAGCGTATCTTTTCTTTTAAATTGCAAGAAATTCATCTACCATTTATTACACCTTTTTTTCATAGTCTGGATCATTTTATTATTTCAATAGCTTAGCTTTATCATCGTACTATTATTAAACAGTATTTATCATTGTATCACTTTATTTATCAATCTCAGAGATGAGTTCAATCAAACCTTCGAGTAAAAGTTTTTATTTCCTCATTCTTTTTACTAATGCAAGTATATTTGATTATTTAATTTAAATTTCTTTTTCAGTTTAGACGAAGCTGTTATCTTAAAGGAGAAATTCTGCACTGTCTTTGCATATTGCTAAATCGATTGGAATATCTATAAAATGAGCAACTCTTCCTACAAAATAATAAAAATCTTTTTTGATCTTTTCATTTTTCTAAATCAAAGGTTTCAATATCTTATAAATCTTTTTTATCATTTGCTCATGCACAAAGTTTGGATATTAAATGACGTTTTAGTCTTTCCTAATTTTATAATGGAAATAATAATTTTAGCTAAAATTTTAGTGGAATAAATATAACTATTAAAATAATAAAAAATTAAATTTTATTAATAATTTAAATTTTACTATTCAGAGTCATAAAGAAAATACTTAAAGAGTAATTAGTCTTTTTCACGAAGGATATTTGCAGGTTTACCTACAAATAGAAGATAAACAACCTCAAAATATACATTAGAATCAACTTTTGCAAAATCAGTTATGACTTAATCAGAGAAAAACCATGATACGACTGTTCTAAGAGCACTAGGGAATTTATTTTCTTCAATTTAATCATTTGGGTACAATTTTTACTGCAAAGTAAGACGAATAAACCAGAGACAACGATAAACATATTTTTCACTACTCTTTTTTACATTTTACTCACGCACAGCTGTCTGGTATTCATTGTACATTTTTTCAAGAGAAGAAATGAAATCATTATCCTTGCGAGTTGAAATGTATATAAGTGGAGTAAAAAGTTAATACTCAACACACTATTTAAGAGTTTCATATTAATCTATAGAACTTAAATCTAAATTTACGATCATAATTTAAACAACATTAAATTTCTTTTTCTCTAAGAAGAATTTAAGAGCAAAATTGAAGTATTCTTTAGGTATCCTTTTTATTTTATGCTTTAAAATGAAAGGTTCTAACAACGCATGAAAAGCTTCATTTGAGTCTAATTCCATAATACATCTTCTGGCGTCTTTAAATAGAGTCTCGAAGTCGCGTGTCTCTATTAGGTACTCAAAGCAGATCTTAGAAAATCTCCAAGTTTCTTCCTATTTATCAGAATTTGGTACATAATTTTCTATACGATTTTTCTCTTTCTCCAAATAAGATAAGAAGAGTTTCTCACAAGTTTCATTAAAATCCTTTTTCTAAACAGAATCAATTTTATCTGGCAACTTAGCAAACGATTGCAGACTACCGTGTTGGAGCATCATAGCTATTTTCAAAGCAATAGTCCAATCTTTCTTTTTAATATACTTAAATATGCACTCCTTCCACTCAAAGAAGTGACCTCTGATAATATTTTTGGAAGTTAAGATGAAAACATCAGAATTAGAAACAACTATTGAATTGTTAAACGTTCTTTTTAACTTATTTTACTAATCTTTAATGAGAAACATAAAATTGATTTCCTATTCTATTATATAATTATGCTTCACGTAATTCTTTTAGTGTTTATGATGGGTAGGAGTTAAGGTATTTGATGAACCGATATTAGAATTTGATGGGAGCTTCAACTCAGAAGTGCTATTCATAGAGAGATTATCAGTAGTAGATAAGTCACCCTGATAAGCGCCACCTACAGTTTCACCTGTATATATGATTTTAAGCTCATTTCTGCTATTCAGTAAATAAATCATGCTAAAACTTATCCATTACATATAAAAGATTGAATGGTCTATTACTAAGTGACCTACTATATCAAAACCTTCACTTATTACATTTTATTAAGATGTTATTTGCATAATTATCATTTTGTTCATTTAGTACAGCTATACTAGTGGTCCCCAACCTACTGCGAGAATAGGAAAATCCATGTTATCCATAGTTTGATATGGCGCTCTTCCTTTACCCCAAGTTACACATGGCAATGCAGGCTACAAAAGATTCGGTCTTTCTATCTCGTATAGCTTTTTAACAACAGGTTCTAGACAAATTATTACAACAGAAGTTGCGGTGCACAAGGCTACTATAGTTGAATTTATGCGAGATAATTCTGAATTATAGCAATGCTTTTCTTGAAGAATTTCTATATTATAAATAATTTAAGAAGGTGATTCTGCTTTATTCAATAAACGTTATCTGTCAAATGTGTAGTCCAACCATTTCCACTCAACCTTAAATAGAAATATGTTGCCAGCAAGATCACTTGAAATAAATCTTTCTCTGCCTTTCCAATACTTAGCAACTAATATAGTATTTTCATGCACACCTAAGATCTGCTTTATGCATTTTCCTGAAAATGTTTCGTAAAGAGATATTGTTCCTTTTTCGAACCCAATAAGAATAGCATCACCTTCTTTATTTACATCTATACTTGACACACTTCCATATTTTCTGTAATCATCAAATGTTCCTATGACTTAAGTAATTTTGTATGAGTTAATATCAAACATTACTACCATTCCATATGATGTTCCAATAATTATTAGTTTATTTGGCAAAATGCAAATTGCTTTAGGCAATCCATAATTTTTATTATTCCTAAATTCTTACTCAACTCCAATTTATGGGTAGAGGTAAGATGAAATAGACTCTAAACTATTATACTCCATATTATAATCATCTGGTAACTTTGCTCTAGAAATGATTAATTCTTTTTCAAAATTTTAAAAGAGTTAGTTATCATTATTCATTATTTATCCTTATTCTTAATCTATTAGATCAAGTGGGTTTATGGCATTTAGCTTATTCTCTTTCATTTCTTTTTCTGCTTAAATAAGAGCTTCCTCTTCTTCTCTCTACTTTCTCTTTCTCCTCAGTATATCTTAATATTCTTCCTTACCAGTCAATATTTTATCATTTTGCTAATCTTTTTAAGCTTCAATAAGTTATGAGAATACTTTTTGCTAATTATCTTAAGCTAATTCTTTTTTTTATTGCTCATCTATTTATTTGCTTGAAGGTGTAGCTAAAATTTCTTCCTGCAAATCATCATCATCGTCTGAAGACTATAAGATCTATTCTAAATCTAAATTTCCAGCACTTACATCGCTGAATGAATCATTATTTTCTATGTCCATTTTATTTTTTAGTATTTGATAAAGTTCTATTAAATAATTTATCTTGAAAAAGCTTTATTTATATAATATCTATTTATCTATCTATGTCTTTATTTATTAAAATCTGATTATTATTCAAATCAAAATAACTAATTATAAATGATTAATATTTAATATAAAAAATTAACTCACTTTATGATGTCTATTTTAATTTTTATTTTATTATGTATCAAATTTCTTCAATTTAAAATATTAATTTTTCATTCTACTTTTATATTTTCACAAGTATTTTATCAATTTTTACATTTTTAGTTTTAATAATGAACTAGAAAATTTCTTGATAAATAAATCATTTCTACTTTATTCATTTTGATTTATCAAAATTTAAATTTTTATGTTTACCATATACCTCAAGTTTAATAGTAAAATTGTAATATATTTAAATAAGAAATTTGAGCACTAAAATAATTATAAACTAAATAAAAATACCAACTAAATATTTAAATATGCTCAGAAATAATTGTTTAAATCAATTTTACAAAAAATTTAGCACTGTAATTTGCAAGAGATTATTTTTATTTAATTTATCTTTTATCTAATTTATTAACAATTTGTTGAATATTTGATTTATGATTTATTTTTTTAATTATCATGTTTATTTATTGTGCTTGATAAATTATAGTTTTAGATTAGTTAATTTTTCATTATAGTTAAATTATTATATTTCTATAAAATTTAGTTTCATTTTTAATCATCTAATAATTAAATTTATAAAATATTATTATTTAATTAATAGATAAAGTTTTAATGATAATTCATATCAATATTGTTTTAATCATAACAGAATTTTAAAAACTAGAAATAGAGAGATTGATTGATAATGGTTTGAAATTTAGTTTGTTGTTTCATATTATTTAATTATAAAAATTTTTGCATTTTGTTTGTCTTTTAATTATTTGTACAACTAAAATGAAAGTGCTGTTAGATATTTTCAATAGAAACTGCTAATAATTTTTTTTGGAATCATTTATCATCACTCAAATGAGCATTTAATAAAACAATCTATATTCTTTTTAATTAGAAACATTTATTTTTCTTAGTTGTTATTCAGAATACATCATTTTTATAAAAAAATTAAAAAAATCAAATTAAAAAAGTAAAAGATCAAAACATTTAGTAGGTTCAAAGAGCATTTTCATTCAAAAACTTAAATAGTATTAGGTATTAAAATGAATTCGTCTAATAATAATTGGAAAATGGGTAATGAAAGGAGAGTCAATTTAGCTATGACTGCTGAATTAGCCTTAAATGGTAATGCAGGTACATTTCCAGATTGATTAATTATGATTGATTATTGACTTTTCTATATGAATTATATTTAAATTTAAACGTTATATAAAATGAAATTCTATATTTGTAGAGTTTTAATTACTTTTTGCAAACCATTTAATAGGTAGTAAAAATATTTCAAATATGCAATATAATCCCTCAGTGCAAGGAGGAGCTGTTCCAAGAGTTCGTGGAGCTGGTATGGAATCTAATTTAAATACTAACGATATATTAGGTACTTATAAAATGCAAGGAGGAAATGGAATAGGAAATAGTAGCAAAGGCTTCGGATACAGTGAAGAAAATAAAGATTTAACAAGCGGATATAAGCCTTCTTAAGTAACAACTGGGTTACCTCCTAGAGGATATAATTCTAATAATGATTACAATAGCTTTAATACAGGCCTATCAACAAATAACAATATTAACAATTAATATAAACCTACAGGTATGGGAGCAGATGGATTTGGAAATTTTTAAACCACTAGTAGTAATAGTAGTATTTAAGCAGAATCAAATGGATTTAAAGTTTAAAGAGTGAGAGGAACATAGCAAGGAGGTCCTACAGCCATAAACAATTAGAATTTTTAAGGAACACAAGCTTTTGGTGGCGGAAATACTCAAAATAATTAAGTAGGCTAAGGTACAGGGTACGGTTTAGCAAGAAATAATTCAAGAAAAGATGAAAATGCAGATATAGATTAACAAACAAGGTAACTAAAGTTGGAAATAGACTCGCTAGATTTAAAATTGGGGTAAAAGAATAGTGCAACAAATGGCAGCAGCAATAACTTTTACCAAAATAATGAGCAACAAAATAATGCTTTTAAGAGTTCAGCCACTAACTTTGGATCTAATAATAATATTAATACTGGCTTTACAGGATCAGGAAAGAATTTTTACTCTAATAACAACAACAGTGATTCAAATTCTAATTAATTCAATTCAACTGCTACTGGAGCAGGAAATAGTGTCTATGGCAATAACGGATTTGGAATTTCCTTTGGTAATGCTAATAATAATAATAATAATATGACAAATAACAATAACTTTGATAATTTTGGTGCTATGAATTTAAATAACGTTTAAAGTAGCTCTCCAAAAAATTTTAATTCAACTTTACAATCAAATTAGCTAAACTTAACTTAAAACTCTTCAACTAATAACAATAATAATCGTTTACCTCCTAGAGGAAGACCTCCTGTCGGCCCATCAGCTAACAATAACTTCGAAGATACTTTTGGAGTCAAGACAGATAATAACTAATAAAATGAGGTGAGAAAAATACCAGTTAATCTAGAGAATTTAAATAGTTAAAATAAAAACACTAATTCTACTAATAATAATAATAACACTAATAGCAAAAATAATAATGAAACTAAAGAATTCTCAACAGGAACATATGATCCATCAAATATTTTAAACCAAAACAGATAAGGAAGAATGAGAAGTTTGGGAAAAAAAGATGCAAATATAAATTCTCATGAAGAAAAGGCAGCATAAGCAACAGGAAGCAAAAACATACCTGATTAAGAGCCTGAATAAGAATAATTTTAATGCCCTGAAGGTTGTGGTCGTAAATTTAACAAGAATGCTCTAGCTAAGCATATTCCTTAATGCAAAAAGCATTTCTAACCTAAGAAAGAAGATTAAAAACCTTAAGAGTAGTAGAAAATGCAATAAGATGCAGTGCAGCATACTGCAGAAGCTAAAAAATAAGTAAAACCACCTAAGCAAGCATCTAAAAAACCTGGTTCTAAAGATTAAAAATCAAGACCTGAGCAAAAAGATTCAAATAAGAATGAAGCATTGCGTAAATTAAAGGAGTAAAAGAAAAAAGAATTGATGTAATAAAATAAAGAGTAAGAAAAAGGCGATGATGAATTAGTTGATGAACCTAATCATAACGAATACTTATGAAAAGTAAATAGTAAGTAAAAATGTTAATTTGTGATTAATTGATTTTATATCCCTCTAGTTTAAATTTAAAAAAACTATCTCATAGATATTTATATATAATAATATAATAACTTTAAATATTCTAATTAAAATATAATATATTTTATACATACTTTATAAAGATAGAGTTATAGATACTCACCTCATCTACCTCTATCAACTTAATAATATTATAAATAACTTCAAATATATTATTATAAATTAATCACTTTAAATAAATAAAAGTAAAAAATAGATATCTTGCTTTGCTGATCAATATTATTATTACTTTTATATTTAGAACAAGCAAAATCAAATATTTAATCTACTCAATTAAATAAAAATACTTCCTTACTTTTTATTTTTAGATTTATTTTAGTTTTATGCAAAACTAAAAAGTAAAAAGTAAATTCAAATAAAATTCATAATTTTTGGATTTAAAACTTTTATAATTTATTCAAAAATAATTATTACTTAATTAACTATTTGTTTAATTTTAAAAAAAATTATTTTTAATAGATTAAGTAAATAATAGTACTTAAAATTTAAATATTAGATGCCTTTGCATAAATAAATTGCAAGTATATATTTTAAATAATTAAATATTCTATTGATTTTTTAATCTAATTATTCTAATTTAATAAATCAAAAAATATTTTGTCTAATTTTTTATATTTTTTTAAATAATCTGCTGATGTGATTTATCCACATAAATTACATTTCTTAGAGTAATCATTAATTTTAAAAGGAGAGAAAGGAGAAAAGTAACAAATTTAGTTGTACTATAAATTAATAAAACAAAATATACCTGAAAAAAAATTTGGAGTATTTCCACAACATCAAATATTAATAATATTCTTACTATTTACTTTACCAACTTACATTGCAATTTTAAAAAAATAACATTTATCAAAAAAAACAGCCATAATTATATCAATCAAAAAATTATTTGCTTTCTTAACATTTTTGATAGATTTTTTTAAAAATTAAGAAAAGAATTATAAATTCATAAAGATAGTTTTTTTTTTTATAATTAAAGTGAAATAGTCACTTTAAAAAAGTGAAATAGTCACTTTAAAAAAGTGAAACAGGTGTTAAAAAATTTATAAAATCAATTAAGAAATTAGAGATTTCAATTTTTAAAATAAATCAATACATTACACTGATTTATCTTATTCGATTAGATGTTTAACAAATTTTTATAAATTATCATAAATAGAAAATATTTTGAACGTCAAAAGAGAATTACATGTATTTTTTTAAAATAATTAATTCAAAAATTTTGATTTTAAATAAAATTTCTTCATCTGCAAAAAAAAATATTGTTGGAAAAATTATTTTAAATTATTTATTGTTTGTTTTGAATTGCTTTATAAGTCCAAAATAATAATATAAATTTAGTATTTTCAAACCAGTAATTTATCAAATGATGTTAAATATAATTAATATTCAAATTATTTGATCAATGTTATTTATTTCTTTTTTATATTGTTTGAATACTTGTATTGCAATTAGATTCTCTTAATTAAGGTTTACAGTTTTTGATTAAAAAAATTAAGATATCAATACAAATTTATATGCGTTAAAGTGTAACAATTAAACATAGGATTGAGCAAGTTAATTTCCAAAATTATAATTTTTAAATTATTTGTAAATAAATAAACTGACAAAATAAAAATATTGTGAATGCTAGATAAATACTATAAAGCTTAATCAAATGTCTTTTACTTTACTGAGATAATTTTAATTCAAAATAAAAATTTTCAAATAATTTATATGCATGTTTTGACAATAATAGTAATAATTTAGCGCAAGGAATGAAGGAAGTAATTTAATTAGATGACTTTTTTTTCTATTTTTGATTGTTTATCATGAAATGTTAATTAATGATGAAAAGAATCAAATTTATTTATTAAAATTAAAAACAAAAAACTTAAAATGTATATAAATAATTTAATTGATATTTATTTAACTAATTATTAATTGAGATAGTACTTTATTTTATCTGTTTATTTAATGATTTATTATAATTGAAATTATTGGTTTAGTAAATTTTTTAGAATGTTAGTTTATTAGTAGAAGAAAATTGATTGATAATTTAATTGGTAATTTAATTTTTATGATAATTATAAAGCTGTTGCTGACCTCAAGATTATTAATTAATTTTAAGCTTTTGACCACAAATTTGATTCTTTTCAATTTGTTGCTTGAAACAAAATTTTTTTAATTGGCTTATAAGTAAATACTATCTTTGCGGTATTAGTAAGCTATATTATAAAAATTCTAATGATATTATAGAATAATTGTTGATAAATTAATGTTGATCATTCATTTAATGAGTGTGTTTTCATTTCTATTTCTAGAGTAGCTATCTAAAGATCTAAGTTATCTTACAAAATTTGCATTTGGTTAAACGGCTGGTCTTCTTTCTTTAACATAATCGTAGGCCCTTTAGTAAGACCAGTTAAATTACTTTATAAGAAAAGCAATAACAAAGCTAGGGCTACGTGAAACTCCAGCAATGCAGTGCACTAAAACATTTTTGCCTTCTAATAAATGTTTAGATATAAATTCTACACACTCATCAAAGTATTTTGAGATATTTTCTGTATTGTCATCTTCAGCTTTAATTATTTTATGTTCAGAAATTATGTCCTTCGGGTATCTTATATTAGACTCATTAGCCACTGTTAAGACAGCTTAAATTTAATTAGTTACTATCAAATGCTTGCTAGAAGCCCCAACAGCACTGCCTAAAAAGAGTTTTCCCATTTTATTATGGCCAAACTTTTCTGTGATTATTGGAGTAATTTGTGGTGATTAAATTCCAAAATCAATTTAGATAGACATTTTTGTAGCTCAATGAATAAAATGTGATTTTTTTCAGTATGAAATTTAAATTTCGCAAATTTTAATATGAATAAATTTTTTTTTTTTTTCAACTATTTGGTTTTATATCTTTTTAAAGTTTTCGCTGGTTTAATAATTATAGATGTTCCCCAATCTTCAAAATGCTATTTTTCAATGTTAATCAGCAAAAAATTATCTAATTAAATTTTTACTATCTTTTTATTTGTGGATCTTAAAATAAATATAAGAGTTAATTAAAAACCTAAAGATAGCAAATCTCCTGCTTTTTATCTATTACTCAAGTTAAGGAAGGACTTATTGAGTACCAAATCAAAATATCAGTGAAAATTTAAATCATAAGATATATTAGATGCAGACTCAAAAATATCAATGAATAATTTAAATTTTAAGAAAAGTTGATCTTATATCAACATGTAATGATCTGTTCTTTACCTATCATCTGATAGGATAATAAATAATAATAGATTAATATATATCGATTTTTATGCAACATAAAAAATGAGTCATTCTTAGAATCAAATCAATCAATTATTTTAGTTTTAGATATTATAAAAATTTATGATCGAAACTATGTAAATTTTTAAATTTTAAGAAAAATTAACAAATAAAAAAAGGAAGGATAGATAGATAGTTAGTTAGTATGATGCTTTTATTTTTTGATCATTTTCAATTAAATTAATCAAGCAAAAAATTAAATAAAATCAATAAAAGAAAAATAAAGTTCGAGAAGTTAAGATAAAATTAGTTTTTCTTTGCGTATATATCTAATACATCTATTATCAATGATATGTAGTTCTAGAAATTATAGAAATTAAGTATTTAGTACAAAAATAATCAGCATGTAGAATTCAGTGGTAGAGAATTTTTCAAAAAATAATTTTTGTGTCTTAAATGAATAAAAATTTGAATTGTAAACTAGATAGAATCTACAATAAAAATCCTATTAGAATTACTTCTATTTTTGTGTGAAAGAATTTGATTTTTATAAAATAGAAATTTAATCTTATGTTTCTTAAAAATTCGTTCTGCGGCATTATATTTCTAAAACTATATTCAATTAAATCACTGAAAATCAACAAAAATAACTTCTAAAATTGCATCGACATTAAAATAAATCTTACTTTCATGTGAAATAGTTAAATAATGTTTTTTGGATTTTACTAATTTTTTTAATACAATTTTTTGTCTTTTTGAAAGTAGAATAACCAAGCAAATCTATTTATAAAATTAAATAGAATAATATATGTCAAAAGAAATCAATCAACCAATGTTTGATTGATTCTTTAAAAGTAGAAAAAATTATGCTTTTTAAATTACTAATTATGAGCTTCTTTTAAGATGTTTGACACTTACCAATAAATCATTAAAATTATTCTAACAAATTAAAAAATAAATAAATATTTATAAAACCTAAAATATTTAGAATATTTCTAGATTATTTTGTTTACTTTTACTTAATGATTTTAGTAATAATTAATTCAGAAGTAATATTATTGTGATGTTACAATTTTAATTATGTTTTTGGTAATAACAAAATGCACTTGATTCTATTTTTAACTTTTTGAGAAAAAGTTTACTTATTAAATCCATAAATTGCATATAATTTCAAAAGATAGACAAAAATAGAAGTAAATTTTTTATTTTATTTTTCCTTTTCAATAAAAATTAAAGACCTAAGATTCTTTACCTATGCTACAAAAGCTTGCCTTAATAAACCTAAGATCACTTTATCATAATTGAAGAATTTAAAATTGTTTTTTGTTAAAAAAGAATGTAAGATAGAGATATAAAAATTGCATCATTTAAAAAACTATTTCTTATTTTTCAATAAAAAACAAAATAATTTTAATTAAATAAAATGATAATTTTTTTATTTTGAGAAAATTAGTATTTTTTAAATAAAAAAAATGAATATTAAATATCAAATATCAAAGCTAAACAATTTGGAAATAATATATCATCTTTTTTTTTTTATTTTTAATCTTTTTAAATTTATCAAATAAGCTTATTTGATTAACAAAAAATAAATGGTGTGATTTAAAAAATAAAATTTTAAAATCTGAATAGCCAAATCCAAAATAAAAACCAATATTAAAAACTGTATGTTTCATATTTTATTAAAAATAAAGGACTTAAAAAATATTTTTGAGTCATTCATCCTAAAAAATTTATATTTATTTAATTATTTGTTGAAACAAGTTTAATATTTGTAAACAGATAAAGAAAAAAATATAAATAATAAAAAATAAGTTTTTGATTTCAAACAAAAGAATTGAAAAATATTTTGTAGTAAAGTTTATATGATAAGATAGATTTGACTTCTTTGACTAAATACAAGATATTTATTTTTATTCTAATATGCAATTTTTAATTTTTAAGTTAAAATTTTTGTTTAACATCAAGTTGCTTTCATCAATATTAGATAATCATTTTAATAAGCCAAACTCTTTTAAATTTTTTTCTAATAATTTATCAAACTTGATGTTTGAGATTTGAATGAGAATTCTTGCTAAGTTTAAATTCTGTAAAAAAGGATAATGCTTATTTTCCTAAACTTAAAACATAATTATTTTAAATATCCTAGCTTTTTATATAAATAAGAAAATTCACCTAATAATTAGCTTTAATCTAAAATTTTTTTAAAACATTATCATCTTTTGCTATTAAAATCTCAAGAAAAAGATTTTATTTTTTATTTAAAAATATCGATTATAGATATAATATTAAATTAATATTATTTTTAATTGTTTTTATTTAAATTGATGATTTAAAACTATTTGAGTATTCTTAATAAATATGTTTTAAAATTATGAAAGATTATTATTTAAAAACATTTCTATATTTGATAACATAATTTTATCTTTATTAAATATATTTTAAATTTTTGTAATAAAAGAAAATATAAAGAATAAAATACTTGAGTGAAATGTAAATTAGTTTTATAGAGTATAACAACAACTTTGAAAAATGAAATAGCTTCTTTGTTTTTCTTAATTTTATTTTGAATTTATTACATCTTTAATCATCATAACCAAAAATACTTTGAATAAATAACGGGAAATTTTATAAATAAAAACCTACTTATATTTATTCTTCTAAATCCTATTTGTTTTGAATTTATTAATTTTTTTAATTTAACTTGTTCAGTAAGCTTAAGTTAAGATAAATCAATTCAGTAATTTAGAAAAATATTAAAGTATTTTTTTTTACACATCTATAATAATTAGTATTTTTATCATAAATTATTCTATTTTTAATTAATTGAAAATAAACTATAAATAAAAATATAAAATTTATAAAGATAAAAAAATTTTTAAATTTAACGAATTTTTTTATTATTTTTCTTTATAAGTTATTTGCTTCCATATTTAAACAATACCTCACTCATAATTTAATTGATGAGTAAATAAAAAATATTCTATTACTTTATTTAATTAAATATTAATTATCAAACCAACTAATCTTCATTAACCTAATTTTTTTTCATTGTAGATAGATAATTTATACATTTAATAATAACTTTTAAAATTTATTTAATATTATTTTTGCTATAAAATTAAATTATAATATTTTATGAATATAATGAAAATCCTTATTTATTCAATCAGATTTTAATAAAATATATACAAAATATGAGCTTTATTTAGCAAAATAAATAAACTTAAACAAGGTCTAAAATTTTACTTATCTTAAATTAGAGGGGATAAAAGTATAAAAAAATAATAATTTAAATATTTATTTTTTAAAGTATTAATAAAGTTTAATTATTGATTGCTTACAAAAATGCTTAAAAAAAATAATTTTAAACAAAATTAAATACAAAATAATAACAATTTTTTTATAAGTTGGCTAAGAAAAATTAGTTATCTTTCTCTATTATTATTTTTTTTGCAATTTATATTTAAAAGAAAGTCTTAAAAAATGTATTTTAAAATAAATAATAAAATGGAAACTCAAAAATATTAAAAAAGAATTAAAAATGTAAATATGACCATAAAAATAGATTGAATTATTTAAATAAAATTATAGGGAGATAAAATCGATTATAAGCCACTGGTCTTGCTTATAATTATGATTCAGAGAATAATTAAAGATATTTTCCTATAAAAGATTACTTGTACATTATAATTTCTTTTATTGAATCAAATTTTGTTTAGATTAGGTAGTGATAATCATTGATTAGGGAAACCTTTGATTTATACAAAAAATTAAGAATATTTAGTGAATTATTCTGTTTAAATCCATCAAAAAAATAAGTTAGTGACGAATTTTTATCCTTTATTTTTGTGAATATTTTGATTGTTCTATAGTTTTATTCATATAAATCAAAATTTTTTTAAAGTTAAATTCTGAGATTTTTCACAATATTAATTTTAAAACTTTTAGTTTAATTAAAAAAAAAATCAAAAACCAAATTATCAGAAAAGATTCCAAAAATAATTAGTTTAAAAAATAATAAAACTTATGAGCCAAGCTAAATTAATATAATATGGAGACGAGTCCTCTTCTTAAGAAGAGAATTACTAATAAAACGGTGATGAAGTATAAACAGCTGATGAAATTGATGATGGTCATGGTGGAGCACCTGCAAATACAGCTTCTATATTTAGCGCTTCTCTAAATATGTTCAAAAGTTTAGTTGGAATAGGAATTCTTGCTTTGCCAACTGCTTTTAGCCAAAGTGGATATATCGCTGGTGTTATACTACTACCTATATGTGCAGCAGGTATGCTTTATCTTAGTCATGAGCTTATGAATGTAGCATTAAAAAAGAATACAAATGCAAAAAATTTAGTTCAATTTACAAAGGAGACTTGTCCTAATAAAATACACTCAATTATGGTAAACATTTGCTTGATGATTTTCTAAACAGGAGCATGCATCTCTTATGTAATTTTCTTCATCACTTATATCTAAAAGACTATGTGTAACTTGAATGATGGTAATTTTGCTTGCTCTTCAAAGTTAGTAGCTGTTTTAATATCATTGTCTATACTTGTGCCTGTAATGATGATTTAAAATATGAGTAAACTCAAATTTGGTAGTATGGTAGGCAATATTGTTGTATTGATTTCTCTTACAACTGTCTTAATTTATTGCTTCATTTACTTAGGCTAAGATGGATTAGGAGATATTCAGCCTTTTAATGTATCTAAGATGGGTGGCTCTATCGGTGTATTTATTTTTTCTTTTGAAGGAGTTGGAGTTTACTTCAATGTCAGAAATTCCATGAAACAACCAACTAAATTTAACTCTGTACTTAACTATTCTATATCTGTGGCAATTGCTCTCTACATCTTAATTGGGTTGATGGGTTATTTAACTTTTGGGTCTGGAGTGAATGATATTATCTTGTTTAGTTTCCCTGATGACAATATCCCTATGCAGATTGTTCAATTTATTTATTGCATTTCTTTAATTTTGACCTATCCAGTTTAAATATTTCCATGCGTAAATGTCTTGGAAATAAAACTAAGGAAAAAATTGTATTCAAAAAAGAGTGTTAAACAAATAAAGTAAGAAGGAGAAGAAAATGAAAATGTTGATTTAAATTAAGTAAATCCAGATACATCATATAATGGAATGAGCAGCAGTAATGAAAATGATAATTAATCATTATAGGAATAAGATAAAACTAAAACTAAATTAAGAAGAAAGTATTTAATTGGCTCTGTCTTAATTAGATTATCATTTATCACAATTACATATTTAGTTGGAATTCTTTTTGATAACATATCTGATTTCCTATCTCTCACTGGTGACGTTTGTGGTATTTATTTATGTTATTTAATTCCAGCCTTCATAATTTATAGCTAAGAAAAAAATTACCCTCTTTATAAGAAGATTATTAATTTATCGATAGTGATCATTGCCATAGGATTTGGTATTTATGGTTTGTATTGCACAGGAATTAAAATTAATGAGGATTTCTTTTGAGATAAAATAGGTTGTATATAAAATCTTATTTTTCTTAAATATAAATCAACCAAAAGTAATTCAAATATAACTATTGAAACGAAGCGTGACTTTTGTGAAGTTAATAAGATAAAATTAAAACTAATTAAACCTTATTTATTAGCATTTTATGTTTGGTTATATCAAAAAATTTACATTTTTTATTATTTAACTAAAATAACTAATTTTAGATTTTGTTAAAAATGTTAATTTTTATTCAAAGGCTTTCAAGAATAAAAAATAAATAAATATACATCACTATTACACAATAATTGAGCATTTAGCTATTTTTAGTAAAATAAAAAATATTTTTTTTAATTTCAGCTGTCCAAAAATTCAAACAAAAGATAATATTATGTTTTTTCAACTTAAACACATTTTTTCCTATAAATTTGTCCTAATTTTCTAGAATTTTTCTTTAATAAAATCGCATTAAAAGTTTAACTTTTATAAGGAAAAATTCGTATTATTATTGTATTTTTTGTTTTAATATTTGATCGTGGAAAATTAAAATTACTAATAATCAATATATAATGGGGTAGACTTTATGGATGTTAAAAATGTCACTAAAATGTAAAAATAAATAAAACTATCATAATTGCCGATTAAACTTTCTCAAAATATTTTTGATAAAAAGAGAAATTTATACAAATATTTAATTTTGATTTCATAAAAGATTATCTGTTAATCTGAGAAATCTTACAGAAAATTATATTTACTTATGCTTACAAGAACTTTTATTATGGATTTTTTTAAAAATAAATTTAGTTTCTTAGTTTTTTTTTTGATTAGATTCATAATTTTTATATTAAAATTAAAAAATCTTTATATTTTTCTCTTTAATTTTTTATAAGCACAAACAGTAATAATTAAAAGTAACTTTATATTTTAAAAATGTAATAATTTTTTAGGAGCTTTGAAGCTTCTATTAAATTAAGTAAGCCGTAAAATATATTTATGATATAGATTAATTATTTGAAATTTAAAACAAAGCTGACCTTTCTTCTAAAATTTTAAAATTTGACAATCTAAAGCTCAATAAAAAAAAAAATTTTATATTAATTTTTTAAATTCTTTTTTAAAGCAAACAAATATGATACCTTAACAATATTATAATCTAGTTTATAATTTTAAAAATCAAAAAATTCCAAATATTACTATATTAAATAATTACTATGCTAAGCCATCCTTGTAAAAATTTTTATTATCAATAACCATATTACTAAAAATTATAACTATCATAATTATAAGAAAGTGGATTATTATTTTAATCAAGTTTCAATAAAAATTTTTGAAAGTACTATCTATTTGAATAAAAAATAAGACATATGACAATATAAATTCTAGCGAAGCTATTCATGCTTTTTAAAAATATTTTTCATTTTTAGATTCAACTAAAAAATTTCTTTATATAAATAATATATCAATATTAGCATTCCTCTGATCAGAAAAATTTTATATAGAAAATTGAGAGCAATTAATAAATTCTGATCATAAGTCATATAGCTGCTTTAAAAATTGAAAAATAATAGGATAATGCTTCTTCATATACTTGATAGAAAGTAATTCTTCGTTTTATAATTAAACAAAAAAAATCAAAAAAAATTTAAAAGAATTATTATTATTGTAAAAAAAACTTGAAGTAAAAATGGACTCATTTTAGATTGATAACAAAATGTCTAATAGTGATAAAGCCCAAAAAGCTCTCTAAAAGTAAAAAAAAAATGAGGAAAATATTTAAAAAAAGATTGATAAATATGGATTTCAAAAATAAGTCCAATAGTTGGTAAGTAAAGGATTTAGTGACATGAAAGGTATTCTTAAAGCATTAAAAAAGAGCAAAGGAGATGTTGACCTAGCAAGTTAAATACTTGCTATAGCTATAAATGAATAAAATCCAAGTGATGAATTAATTGCCTTACAGTAATCGGTAGGCTAAGATTAAAGAAAAAATAAAATAATGAGGTAAATCAAAGGATCAAACATACCTGACTAAGTCAAATAAGAATTTATAAATAGTGAAAATATTAGCAAGATAAATGAAAAAATAAATAGAAACAATCGAGTCGACAGAGAAAACAGAGGTATCAAAAATAAAAGGTTTTAGGTTTAAAAAGAAGAGGAAGAAGAAATCAAATGTAATGTTATCAAAAATATTAAAATTAGATTTTATATATTTTTTAATTAAATAAAGAAGATGATGCTAGAAAGCGTGATAATTAAAGTGATAAATCTAGTATTCTACTTTCATAGAATTATGATTCCTTAAAAAATGAATTCTTAATTGAAGAATATAATGGATAGCTTGATTAATTTAAATTATTCCATGAAGAAATGCAAAAGAGAGGTTTTAATGATAAAAGAAAAAACTTCAAAGCTTTTAAAAAGAATTCTGGTGACTAAAATTTGGCTCTTTAGCAATTAGAAAGGAAGAAGCAAAGAGGATAGCTCAAATTAGTGTAAAACTTAGAAAAAGGATAGTTCTTGAAAGTTTACATAGACTGTGATAATTGCTATTATTTAGAAAAATGTTTCTCTAAATTCGCAATTAAAGGAGATTTTATGGTTATTGAAGAAAAAATAGCCACATTAATGAAAGTTTTTTAGAGAAACTATGAAAACATAGAAGTAATACTAATTTTCAGTGATTCTCAGTTGCTAAAAAATCGAAGATAGATGTCTCTCTTCATTAATAAATCTTTCTAAATTCTTTCTGCTATTCCATAATTTAGATCAACAAAAGAGCTCTATAATTAGCTCTTAGATAGTATGAGCTAATAGCCTAATGAAAAGAGTCTCTTTATTTCTAGTAATAGGATGCTTTAATCTCTCCTAATTGAAAAAAATGTTAAAAATATTATGGAATCTCAGAGATTTTTCAAAATCTTATAAGATGATCTGATAGGCATTGAAGAATATGCAGCTATTCTTTGTATTTGAGATTTGGTTGCTTTTTAACTCATTTTATTAACCTTTTCTCATCTATAGCTTAAAAATCATCTTAAGATTAAATAGAAAATAAGAAAATGAGTTTAAATAATATAAAAAGGGTGGGTGGTTGGCATAAAATAAAAAAAACTATATATAAAAATAAAATATAAATGATAATTAAAAATAAACAAATATATATAATAATGTTTATTTTAAGAGCTATGAATATATCAATTTATAATTTCTGTTGTTCATTTAAGATTTATCATTTTTTATTTCTAATAAATAGTTTACTTTTTTTAATTTAAATGAAAAAAATTATTTTATTAATTCAGTAAAAAATAAAAAATTTTCTTATTGTGTTTAAGATTATTCTAAATTTTTTATTCTTATTTTTTTGATATTAACGATAATAAAATTTAAATTAATAGTTGAATACATTTAAACAAGTATTTTGTTATGAAATATTTATTTTAAGATATTTCTATCTATCTATCTATCTCAGTTGTTTTAAAAATAATTTATAAATAAATACCTAAATTTGAAGTTAAAAGATATTAAATTTGATTTAAATAAGAATTAGAATTAGTTTTATATTTTAAGATTTATAGCAAAGTAAGATAAAAATTGTTTATTATTCATCAATTATGAATATTTATTTTTGCAAACTCTTTTTTAAATTATGACACGCTGATTAATTCAATAATTTTTTGTTGTAAATTTTTATAAAAATTCAGATTAGAAAGTTTTTAATAATCTTTAAATACAGCCAATAGTAACATAAACATGAATATAATAATTAATTTATTTATTTATTATATTTTCGAATTTTCAAAACAAAAAAAATAATTATGGAGGAATAGGATTAGGAAAGCGCAAATAGCATAAGTCTAGAATAGAATATTAAAGAACATTTTATTCTAGCTTTAACTAATTTTATTTATTTGAAGCTTTAAAATCTAATTAGCATTAGATTGCATAAAGTTGAAAAAGATAACATGCTTTTAATTGCATCAAATGTGTCAAACGAAAATTTTGAAATAAGGGTAAAACTCAATAGTGATATTGATGAGCTATTAAGAGGGCTTTTTTTGGATTATCAGAAGAATAACAAAAGGGTTAATGAACCTAAGCTGCTCTGTGTAGAAGAATCTTGCAATATTAATGAAAAATAAGACTAACTATCGCAAATTAACAAAAACGTTTTTAGTGACGCATTTTTTAACTAAAAAATTGAATCTTATGAAGGTTTTATAATTTTTTTAATTTATTTTTTAGTAGATTTTTTGTTGAAAAAAGTAATTAAATTATTAACTAATTTTAAAATAAAAGTAGTAGTTAGCTAAATGCAAGAAAAGTTAAATGATTCAGCAGAAGATTTACTGGAGTTTGAAAGAATATATCATTTTTAAGATGTAATTATTATTGCTTTACTTATTTTTTTTAAACTTAATTATTTTTCCTCATAGATTTAGGATAACTATTAAGATATTAAAATTTTAGAAGTAGAAAATGGGTAAAAAAATATTCGTTTATTAATTTTAAGATTAATAAATATTTTTATAATAGTATGAAATGCATGGATATAAAATAGGCAAACGAAATAGGAATGTAAATATCGAAATGCTAATAGCTTTAAGCACTAACTCTGTATCTTTTGTAATATTTTATAACAAAATATTGTATTACTAATTTATCTTTAAATAATTTTTAGTCGTAATTAGATATCAATTGACGATATTCAAGCCTTAGGATCTAATCTAATAAAATGTTAGTAAATTACAAGACTGAGCTTAGACTTAAGGTTTATAAGAATTTTTATCTTATTTTTAATTTATTAGTTATTTTTTAAAAAAGATGGAATTTGTTAAGCTCTGAAGGTTCCTAATCCTTAGGAATGTAGATTGGTTCATTTCAATAATTAAAAGATTTAAATCTTTTGTTATAGTAAATTAACTTTAAAGACAATAAATAATTATGAAACTATTTTTTATTATTATAGATTGAATTCAATAGATTCTTAAGGAATAAAAGACCTTGTTGAAAATATTTCTAAATGCAATTTTTTACAAAATCTGAAAATTGACTTAGAGTAAGTAATTTGTATAGTAAATAATCAAATTAATTTTTAAAATTTTATTCTTAGTGAAAACTTAATTGGTGAGAAAGGCTGCTTTTTTCTTGGATAAGGGCTTTCAAAATGCTTGAATTTGAAAAAACTAGCCTTAAACTTGAGGTAAAATCTAAGAAATAATAAGTTAGATTACATTTTTATTTTAACTAATAGACAATGTTGCATTAATTCTTAAGGTGCTTCAAAGCTTGTTAAAGAACTTTCTAAATGTTGCAGTCTGGCTAATCTTACTCTGGACTTTAAGTAATTATTATTTTAATGATTTAATTTTAATGTGTTTTTTAAAAAGTTTAAATTAGATAAGCTCAGAGGGCGCCATTTTGATTGGAAATTATTTAAGTGAATGCTAAAAACTATAATTTTTCAAGATTTATTTATAGTATATACTTTTTATTTTTATATTTTATTAGTATTCACAAAATATAAAAAAAGTGGAAATTTAATAGGCTCTCAAGGAGCTCTTGGTCTAGAATAGGGACTATCTAAGTGCTAAAACATTGAAGAGATATCTATGTTTTTAGAGTAAATGAATATTATAGTTTGAATCATTAAAATAATTTTTAAAAATTATCAAATAGGCGTTGTGGAATTGATGGTGAAGGCTTTTAGAAAATAGGATCGGGATTATCAAAATGCTCTAAATTAAAATAATTAACCCTTCATTTATAGTAACTTTAAAAAATTAGTAAAAATATATTTTAAGGATATAATTTAATTAGCGGAAATAGCATTAATTCTGAGAGTGCCTCAGTATTTATGAATGAAATTTCTAAGTGTTCTAATCTTACAAATATAGACGTTAAATTGGAGTAAATTTATGATCTTTTCTAAGTTTAAATAAATCCTTATTTAATAAATAGGTAGAATTAAATCAGTTCTCTAGGAGCTCAAGGTTTGGCAAAAGGCATTTCCAAACTAAACAAATTAGATTGTCTGTCTCTTAATTTAAGGTATTAGTTATTTTTTTTCAAATTAAATAATTTATTTATTTAGTTATTTAATTAATGCCTTAGTTTTTCATAAATAAACTCTGAAGGGGCAACCTAAATTGGTAATGGTATTGGAAAATGTCTAAGCTTAAAGCATCTTTAACTTGAATTAGAGTATAAATTTTTGATTAAATTCATTTTTGCAATGCTTGCTTATTAATAAAATTTAAAAAAAGCAATAACATAATCTAATAAGAAGGAGCTGCTGGCTTAGGATAAGGGTTGTCATCATGCATTAATATGCAAAAATTAATTTTAAATTTAAGGTAATAAAAATAAAATTATGAAAGCATTTAATATAGCTTACAAATTTATTAGATATAACATGCTTTGCTCTGAAGGTATTTAAGGCTTGATTTCAGGATTATAAAAATGTTATCAAATTAAGGATTTAACTTTAAGTTTATAGTATATTTCTTTATTTACCTATTTTCTAAGATAATCATTTTAAAATTAAAAAAAATTAAAAAGATCAAATCGTATAAACTCTCAGGGAGCTAAATATCTAGGACAAGCAATATAAACGTTTCTAAATTTGTAAAACCTTCAAATTTATTTAAGGTAAATTGGTTTTTTTAAGGAATAAAACTAAATTATCTATAAAAGTTAAAACTTAATTTAGAAAGATGGAGCTATTGAGTTAGTCAAAGGAATATCTAAATGCCATCGCCTTAAATATTTATCTTTAGAATTAGAGTAATTAATATTTTCTTAAATTTCTAAAACATTAAATAAATTATATATAAAGAAACAACAAAATCAAATAGGATGAAATGATTCTAGTTGTACCTAAACTAAAAAAGTCAAAAAGACTTACACTGATTGAAATTGATATCTGATTATTTTCTTTCAAACTATTTAAATACTTTATATTAAAGACTTATATTAATACTTTATACACTTACTAGCTTATATCTTAAAAACTACTAATTAGTTAGACTAACAATTAAATGTTTGCATACATACATATTTCAATCATTTTCTTTATTTTTTAAATATAATTGTTGAATAAAATTACTATTTCTGAACAATAAAAAAATATAGATTAAATTTAATTTAATTGCCTTCTCAATCATTTCTAAGTGAATAGTTGATTCTACTTTTATTTGAAAAGATTAACAAAAGGCTGATGACTTCATGAACACAATAAATCTATTTTAATCTTTCACTAAATATTAGTTTTTACTTAAATAATAAAATTTTATAAATTAATTTTCTTATATTAAATCAACATAAATTTAATAACTTTTGTTTTTTTTACATAAACATATGAAAATGTAAGTAAATATTAAAAAATTATTATTTAAAATCTTAAAAATATTAAAATAAAGACCATTGTTTTGATTTAAATAAGATATAAATTAATATTCACAAAAGCTAATTTGATTTTTAATTGGATATAAATTCTAAAAAAAACATTTTATGATTTAATTGACTTCATAATAATTCATAAAAACTATATAAATATTTTTATATCTTTATAAATAATTTATTAATTTCCTAAAAGAAAGAAAAGATGGATATTGAATCCTTAAATATAAATACTAGTTAAAAGATACAAGACATATAAAAAAATTAAATCAAAATTCGCTAATTCTTGTATTACTTGTTTTCAAAGCCATTTTATTTTTTTCATAAGATAATATATCTAAAAAATAACATTTTTTCTTAACTTATAATTTTGTATTATAATAAAGATGGTAGCAAAAAAATAATTCTCGAGCAGATAATATTGTGGCTTATAAGAAGTATTTGTTTGTCTTAACCAAGTTTTATGAAGGAGACAGGGTAGAGTTATTATAAAATGAATTTAAAAGGAAAGACAGCGGGTTATTTAATTTACAATCCTTTTTAAAATGCGAAAATTTTGAATTCACATATTTCAAAGAGTCATTTAATCTAGTTTAGCTTATTTTTTTAGAGTTAATAAATGACTGTATCTTAAAAAAAGAGCGTACATTTATTTTAAAAAATCTATGATAATAATTATTTTATTTATTCAAGAAAACTTTATCTATTAAGACAGGATTGATTGCAGTGTTCTTATAATGAGTTTTATTCTACTCAATTAATCATCTTCGCTTACATATAATGATTTAATTTAGCTAAAAAATATAAAATCACCTTACTCATTTTTTATGGGAGTCATATGTTCTAATTTAGAGAAGTTCAAGAATGAATATGTCCCGATTTTTGACGAAGGCTCTATGAGTGTTTTATATAACTTGGTTGTAAACTATTTTACCAATAAAGATTTTGAAATTTATTCGCTTTATTATATATATTATTACTTTGTCTACCTATCTGAAGCATATGATAGCAAATTATCAATATATTTTTAAAATAATTTTTGTAACATTAGAATTATTTATACATTATTATAAAATAAAAGATTGATAATATCGAGACTCTTCTATTAATAAATGCAATAGCTTAGAAGAAGATTGAAATGTTAGAAGGACATTTAGATAGCTTAAAGATTTAATTGGTAAAGACAATATAACAAAAAATTGGTGAGGAATTCTTATAACAATATGTCTCAGATAATCAGCTAATTTAAAAAAATAAAGATATGATTGCAAAGATTGAATAAAGGTAAGACTAGTTTTATGCTCTTTTACTAGCTTAAAGTGATGAATTAGATATTAAATCAATTAGAGTATGTGCCAGATATAATATTTAAGATATTGATATATGCATAAACAAGTTTTTGAAAAACAATTTAAATAAAATTAGCTAAAATTAAATTCAACAAATTGTTTTAGATGATATGAAATAAAACAATTTCTAAGAGGGTGTATATATGATTTATTTATCTTTGAAAATGTAAGAAGTAAAACAAGACATTATATTCCTTTACCAACTACCTCTTTCCTATTACTTTGACTATCTCCTTAATCATCCGCACTAATTTAAATTCATACACAAAGAATTTATAGTTTTAGTGACACAATTCGCTCCTATTTTATGCTAAACTCATCTTACTTTCAAAAAAAATTCTATTCTTAAAGGGTAAAATTTGAAATTATAATAAAAAAGAGTTTTTAATGAATTAAAATTTTAAAAATATTAACTTTAGATTACAGATAGATGAATAAATTCTTAATATGTATAATGAAATGATGAATTTTTCACACTGTGAGTTTAAAAAGTAATACTTCTTACTTATTAAAGTGCAAAATTATTTAGTAGTTTTATTTTTTGCAAATATTTCATTAATTAGATTGATATCTTTTCTTAAACTTTCTTTTTCTACAAAAATCTATTTTACATACATATATTTATATATATTAATTCATTGAATGATTCATGTATACATACAAACTTTAATTCATTCGATAGATTATTTGATTTTATTTCTCACCTTAAAAACTAATTTTGTTACAATAAAACAGGATAATAGAGAATAAAAAACTATGGTTTTAGCTTTTTGGAATCAGCATGGCTTAGGTTTCTGGTATGACTCTAAAATGGTTCGTAAATGAAAGCATTGGATAGAGAAACATTAAGCTAAGCGGCTGTAGCGATCCAATGCATTTCTTACTGATCAAAAAGAAATATTTTTAAAATCAAGATCATCTAGAGTAGCTATTGTGTTGCATCGAAGTGATGATAAAAAGCTGGGAAATATACACAGATGCGTACAGAATATCTAATAAAGAAAAATAAATAAACTATTCGTTTTAACTTGTAAAATATTTTTTACTTTAACAAAATAAACTAAAACTTACAAAAGAATTATTGAATCATTCTTATTAAAAATAGAATATTTAAATAACTTAATTTTTAATTGAGTGTCTAAGTAGAGAAAGTGAACAACCAACTAAATGTGATCTTTTAATTTGTGATTTTGTAAATTAGTACGGGCTTTCAAATGGATCGATTATTGATTATATTATTTAAAATGTAAACCTATTAAAACTCGCTTAATTAAGCGCAAATTCTTCTTATTATAAAAAGGGTTTTTGTGAAGAAAATATATGGAAAACAGTTTAAAATATCTAATGGCTATAAATAGGCTTAGGGAGATTTTAAAAATTACTAGAAGAATCGCCCAACCAAACCTTTAATCTCAAATTCTTAACGTGCTTGGTTTGCAAATACAAATCACTTTAGTAATAAATCTTATTTATTTTCAAAATATTTTTAAAAATATGTGAATGTTACTGCATTTTTCTTCGATTTTTTAATATTTTTTAATCTATGAAATTTAATAAATAATAAATGATAATCACCTTTTAGAAAAAAGCTTCGAGAAAAAATTAATAGCAATTATTTTATTTAAAACTATCAAAGAAACATCTTCTAATTATTTTTGGTTTGTTAAGCAAAAAAAAGCTTCGATTGAAAATTTTAGAAATATAAGCAATTTAACAAACTAACTACATAAATAGGGTTAATTATTATTTCCACAAGTATAATTTGTATTTTTAAAGGCTTTTCAAATTTTTGTTGACTAATTTTAATATACAATTTTTATTAAATTTTATTTAAATAAATCATCCAGTGTCTAACCTAGTTTCCGGTATCAGTCGTTATTTTCATAAAAATTATTTAATTACCTATTAAGCACTTTTTGTTTTAATTTTTTCATCTATGTAATAATAATTCTATTTTACTTCTAAATTCTTCAGTCTTTTTGAAGGATTAAGGAAGATTTTTATGAATTAAAAATACTTGGCTTACAAGATTTTCAGTTTCTCTTTTAGATTCTTTCTAATTAAATTATAATTTTAGATTTTTTTACAAAAGATTACAAATTTATTAACAGAAAAATATAAATTCTTCATTTTTTCTATTTTAACAACCAATAGCACACTTAATATTTAATCCATTTTTCAAAATGGAATGTTTTAACAAATAATACCTTTATTTTATTTAAAATAATTTATTAAAAACAAAATAATTTGTAAATAAATGATAATAAGATTTCTTTTTGCTTATATTTTTTTAAATTAATAATAGATCATGCAAAATAGCAGAAAGTATATTAGACTTATTATCTAATAAGGTGAGTATTGAAATAGATGGTAAATGCGTATTAGCATATATTGAATGTTTGAACTCTTTAAAGAAAAGTTACCCAGAACTTCGTAATAAAACAGACCAATGCCAAATTTAGCTAAAAAATAAATATTAGTCACCTGCGCTAAGCTAATTCGCTCTTAGGCCTTATTAATATGTCATTTGAAAGAAGTTTATAAATAATTTACTTCATTTATAAATATTTAAAATGTCCTATTTTTCTAAAAGTAATATGTAATCAAAATTCAGAAATCTTATAATTTCTGCTATTTAAACCCATCACATTAAAAAATATGTAAAATTCATATTTTCTGATCAAATCCATTAAAAACTTAAAATTTGATTTACTTAAAATTATTACTATAAAAAATAAGTTTTTCAGGCAAAAAATTAATTAATTTTTTGATTAACAAGAAGTAAATTATATTTTTTTGGTAGATGATAATGGTTTAGAATTTGAAATTCTTGGGATTCATTTAATAAAATATTTGGTATATTAAATACAGTTTTAATTAACTTTATAGATGAAATATTCCTTTTTTTATACTTTAAATTGTATTTTTGTTCATTTATCATGATTTAATTGCAAGCAAATTTAAAAAATTATATTATTATTTAAAAATCATCTTTGATCCGGTTTTTTAATACTTGTTAACAAACTAGTGGTATACTTTAACATTTTTTGGTTTGATTTATATATTTTTAATTAATAAAAAGAAAAAACTACATATTTTTTTGGTAAAATTTCTATCAAATCGTCTTTTAAATGTTTTTCGCTCTTAAAAAATTAAATATTGAAACTAGTTTGTTTTTTTAATGTAGAGAGATCAAATGATGATGTGCAATAAAAGTTAAAGTTTTATGATAAATAAGTTGATCAATTCATAAATAGTACTATAAATAATTTATGCAATAAGCAATATTTATAATAAAAAATTGAAATAAAAAACAATCAATCAAATAAATTTATAATAGTTAGAAAAAACTATAATAATACTAAATAAAAAACAGGTTTAATTCTAATTTATAAAAATCCACTTTTAGTAAAGATGTGTTGCTGCGGTGGAGTACATTACAAAGCTTTAATGAAAAAAAACTACATTATATGGAAGAGAAATTGTTGTGGTTCTTGTTGTGAAGTAAAACTTAATTATATTGCTTTATTTAAACAACTTATATAATTTACATTTTTATAATATAGCTACTCGTCCCTATTTTGATAGCTCTTTTATTCATTGTCTTCAGAAGAAACTTGACAAGAACAGTAAATAATATAAAAATTTAGCTCATCGTTAATTTAAAAATAATTCGTTTTTAATAATTTTTTAGAATATAGATGACACTTCTTATATCTATCATTAAAATTATCTATATTCATCTCCTGTACCTAATAAAAATGATTACAATGAACTAAAACCGGATATGATCAATTGTTGGACTAGATCAAAGAACGATAGTCCTAGATATAGAGATGGAAGCGTATTTTTGATTCCTGGAAATGACCCTGTAGTTTAAAGATTACAAACCATTATGTCTTCATATGTTTCACCATAAGGAAATATGTTTACCTTCAATTCAAACTATAACACTTTAGATGATTTTAACAACTATATTACTGGAGATAATTACAATGAGGATGTATGCTTTGCTGTTAGTATTGAAAAGTAATCAACAGGAATATACAATACAAGATTGATGTTTAACACAACTGGAAATTGTAATTTATCAATATGTTCAATGCATTTTATTAAAGAAACAATTAATATTAGAACCAGATTAGCATGATATTCCTGATACATTAGGGCCAGAAGTTATAGATTATAAGCCATAATATAAAGATACATTTTATGATCCATATTTTACTTACGGGTCTCTATAGGTAAAGACATGGATAGGTAAATAACTTAATTTATTTATTAAACATATTTTGAGTAAAAATTAAAATTTCTATTAAAGATAATGCGCTTCTATAAGTACTGAGCAACAACAATAATGCAAAAATAGACATTAGTATTTCGCCATTAAAATAACATGCGTATGTAGATGATACGTTGGCGAGCGTAATGTAAGGAAATATGGCAACATTTTTAGGTAATCTAAATTATATTAATTAGAAAAATATTTAAATTTACTTTGTATAAAAAAAATAGTACTTCCTCTTATTGTTGTCTTTTTAAGAATGAGCAGTACAATTATGACAGAAAAAGAAAAGAAAATTAGAGAAGGTATGAGAATTATGGGTATGTAGGATACTCCTTTTTACTTATCATGGATATCTTGGTATATGATCATCTACACAATTATTTCTATTATAGTAACTTTAATTTTGAAAGGATCAGTGTATAAAAATAGTGATATCACACTTATCTTTGTATGGCATTGGCTTTTCTCAATGACTTTAATAGCACAAAGTCTGTTTATCACTACATTCTTTACAAATGCTAAGTTAGGAAATATTGTTGCAATGGTAATTAACTTACTTTATCAGGTTATTCTATCATATTAATTATTTAAATTGTCTTATAGGTATTCTATCTATTCATGTATATGTTCAAATTCATTATTAGTTCTAATAGTGATGCTACTGAGTAAGCTAATAATACGGCAGCTCTAGCCTCTTAAACAGGTTTGTCCCTCGCTTCAGATGTGTTTTTACTTGTAGAAACAGAAGTAAATTTAATTTTAATTTTCTTTATATTTTCTCAAATATGTAAAAACATATTTATCTAAATCTTGTTTTTTAAATGAAAGGGTGTAGGTATTGGATGGGGAGATCTTGGAAAAGAAGTAAACAACTTTAGAGTTGGAACATCAATTGGTTTGTTTATTTTTAACTTTGTTTTCTTCATGCTATTAGCTCTATACTTTGACTAAGTTATACCCAATGATTTTGGTAAAAAGAGACATCCACTATTTTTCATTACTTGGATGTGCAAAAAGAGAAAGGAATAAACTAATTTTGATTAAGAGGAAAATGCAAACCTAAATATAAAAGATAATATTGAAGATGTTCCTGCTGCTTTAAGGCAATAAGAAAATTAGCAAGAAGTACTCAAAATGAATAGTGTTTATCGTGTATATCCTAATGGCAAAAAGGCAGTTAGTAATTTATCTCTAACGATGTATAAGAATTAAATTTTCTGCCTTCTTGGACATAACGGCGCAGGTAAGACTTCAACTATATCTATGCTAACAGGTATGTTAGAGTTCAGTTAAGGTAATGCTGAAGTATTTGGTAAAGATATTGAATCAGAAATGCCATAAATTCGTTAATTTATGGGAGTTTGTCCTCAACATGATATTCTTTTCCCTGATTTATCAGTAAAAGAACATTTAGAATTATTTGCAGTTTTTAAAGGAATGGACTCAAAAGAAATTCCTTCAGCAGTAGAAAATGCAATTAGAGATGTAGATTTATAGGAAAAGGCTAACGAGCTCAGTAAAAATTTGTCTGGAGGTTAAAAAAGAAGACTTTCTGTTGCTATTGCATTTATTGGTGGATCTAAATTAATTTATTTGGATGAACCTACTTCTGGTATGGATACATCAGCTAGAAGATATATCTGGGATATGCTTAAAAAGTTTAAAAATGATAAAATTATAGTCCTTACAACTCACTTTATGGATGAAGCTGATTATCTTGGTGATAGAATTGGTATTATGGGAGAAGGAAGGTAAATTCTATTTATTTATTTATTTATTTATTTATAACATTGAACTATTATTTAAATAAAGACTAATTTGTTGTGGTTCATCAGTATTTTTGAAGAATAAGTTTGGAGTTGGTTATAATTTGACAAGTAATACTTTGTTTTTTAATTAAACTATAAATTAATTTTTTTAATTTTTATCAAAAGTTGTAAAGACTAGCACAGATGTATCATCTGATCCTATCATTAATACTGTTATGAGTATAATTCCTACAGCAAATAAAATTTCAGATGTTTCACAAGAAATTGCTTTCTAACTCCCAATGAATACAGTATCCTAATTCGAAAAATTGTTTTCCACTTTCGATAACTAGCTTCAATCTTTAAAAATATCTACTTATGGTATATCAATTACTACATTAGAAGAAGTCTTCTTAAAAGTAGCTCATGAAAATTGTAAATTTCATTTTTTTTTTTCTAATTTCTTATTATATAAATATAATCATAACAAGCCTCTGAAAAATAAAACGATTTTATAAAAGCTGATAAAAAGTCAAGGGTAAGCCCTTCAAACGAAGAACATGGTGACAATCATGCTAAAAAATAAGAAGAAATGGAAATTCCACTCAACGATTAAAACATTGATAACTTTGATCTAAATTCAGTCAGAATACAAAATCCCATAAAATTATTCTTCGCTCACTATTTTGCAATTATTGTAAAAAGAGCATTGTATTTCAAGAGAGATTTAAGAGGTTTCATCTGTGAAGTATTCCTTCCATGCTTAATGGTTGTCGTTGGTCTTTCAATTATGCTGTAATTTTATTTAGAATTTTTAGCCAACATTAATTTCATATTTTTAATAAAGAATAACATTTATAAGAGATTCACCAGCTCAGCTTATCACTCCTGATCTATATGGTAACATGCTTATGAATTATGGCGCAAGTGGATCAGTAGCTTAATCAGATTTAACTAACCTCATTAATTTACTACGTAAATAATTTTATTTTAAAATATCTATTAATAATAAAAACTTACATTTACAGCAACTTAGCTTACTTAGAAATCCTAATAAGTTTCTAACAGCATGGATGCCTGGGACTAATCTAGCTTTAATGATAAATAATTGAGTAGAAAAGGTGCTTATTGGGTTAACTAAACAGATAATTTAAATTAAGTATATAAATATTACTCACAAGTCTAAACTATTTCAAGAAGCTCACCTTTGTATTTCGTAAGCTTTATGAATTAGGCTATCATTAACTTAGCTACTAATTAAAAAAATATTCAAATTACCACAATCAACTAACCTCTAAGATTAACAGCAAAAACAAAAAGTTTGAAAGGTACAGCTGATGGTATTGTATCAGCTTTTATGTTCTCAATTGGTCTGTCTTTCATCCCTGCATCTTTGATAACTTTTATTGTAAAGGAAAGAAATGACATGGTCAAACATCAGCATTTAGTTTCTGGTGTCTCTTTAAACTCTTATTGGGGAGCTAATTTCACAATTGACATCCTTAAGCATGCATTCCCTGCCGTATTTTGTATGCTGATGGTTCTAGCTTATGTAATTTTTTTATTTTATTCGAACTTATTTTTCATTCATTTTATAATAAACAGAATATTGATGCGTTTACGTAGTATTAGAGTGATTATTCAGCAATTTGTCTACTTTTTATTTTATATGGATGGGCTATTATACCATTTAGGTAATTTTTTTAATATTTTGCTTGTTAAAATTAATATCAACACTAAAAACAATAGCTATTTGACTTCATTCATCTTTAAAGATTATGGTACAGCATAAGTTACTAATTTCTTTATTCACTTTATTATGGGAGCTGTCGGTCCCTTGGTTATATTTATCTTGAGAATTATAGATAGCACCCATAATGTTGGTCTAGGATTAGGTTGGGTCTTCCGTCTTATACCATCCTTCGCATTTGGATACGGTGTATTGAATGTAGGTTCAAGAAATTTATACTCCTAAAAAGATAAAGTTAATTATTAAACTTTTGATTTAAATATCTGTGGTGGTGATATACTCATGCTATGTATAGAAGGTGTTTTCTACATTTTAGTTGTGGCTTTTCTTGAATATGCTTCACATAAAAAAGGATTATCATAATACATGACTGGTGAAAATAAAGTTCCTTATGTTGAAAAAGAATATGATGATGATGTGCAAAAAGAAATGGAAACAATTGCAAAAGTAAATTCAAACCAAAAAAATATTTTTTTTAACTCATTTAATTAACTTTCAAAAAAAAAGTCTTCTCCTAGTGATTATACTGTCAGAGTAAAAGATCTTAGAAAAGTATTTGTTCCTGCTAAAGATAGAATTAAAGTAGCTGTTGATAGAGTCTCTTTTGGTATCAAGTAAGGAGAAGTATTTACTCTTCTTGGTGTAAATGGTGCAGGTAAAACAACTACTTTTAAGATTTTATCAGGAGAAATTCTCCCTACAAGCGGCGAAGCCCATATTGCAGGATACTCTGTGTAGAATGAACTCGCATAGGCACGTTAGAATATAGGGTATTGTCCTTAATTCGATGCTCTTTTAGATAATTTAACAGCCCGTGAACACTTGAATCTATATGCTGCAATCAAAGGTATTCCAGCAGAGATGAGAGATGGTTTAGTAGAGAAAAAACTAGTAGAGATGGATCTCAAAAAATTTGAAGGCATTCTTGCTGGTACCTTTTCAGGAGGAAATAAAAGAAAACTTAGTGTAATTTTATATCAATTTATGAAATTTATAAATAATATTAATTAATCATTTAGGTTGCTATTGCAATGCTTGGTTAACCCTCAATTGTTTTCTTAGATGAACCTTCTACAGGTATGGATCCAGTAGCAAGAAGATTCATGTGGACAGTTATTTCACGTATTTCTACTGTGAATAAATCATCTTCAATCATTCTTACTACTCACTCCATGGAAGAAGCCGAAGCACTTTCAACAAGAGTTGCTATCTAAGTAGATGGTGTTCTACAATGCTTAGGAACTATTTAAGAAATTAAGCATAAATTTGGTAAGGGTTATGAAGTAGAAGTCAAGATTCAAAAACCAACCAACGAGGAAATAACTTAGCTTGCATAAAGAGGTGGTATTTAAAGCTTAAATATTAGAATTGGACCCTAAGATTTAATGAATGTACTTCAAAGATTGGGAAGCACTGAGTTATTCTCTACCATAGCAGAAAATCAAACTGGCCACATCCTTTATAAAGTAAATATACCTAACAATATCTTTTTATTAATGAATAAATAAATAATATAAATTAAAGGAAATGAACTCACCTAATGGACTTTCTATCGAATTATTAATGGAATATGTTTACATTGAAAATCTCGGTAATAAAATTATGAGTTTTATCAATAGTACCTTTGGTAATTTTGACATTATTGAGCACTTAGCAGATTTTTATAGATTCCGTATTGATACTCATATTTCGATTGGTAAAATATTTGGTGAATTTGAAAAGAATAAAGCTGCTTTAAAAATATCTGAGTACTCTCTTAAATAAGCAACCATTGAATAAATATTTAATATGTTTGCTGAAGGAAAAATAGGTATTAACTAACACTTAAAAAGATAATCTGTTATTAGAAAGAACTCTTACTAACAAGCTCAACGCCGCTAGTCATAATAACAATAAAATCAATTACCCATTTAATAGTAAGGAAGTAGAAAACACAATGATATTGAAATGCAGTATGTTTAAAATAGCAATCAATGAAATATTAATTTACTTTCTTAAATATTATATGAACTATTGAATAAAAATGCTTCTTTTTAACGCATTTAAATCTAAATTGTAGTTAATTCTTATTGTATGGTGTTCATTTTTATTGTAACGTATTCAAAAAAATCTAAAATTATTTTGAATTTTATTTTTTAAATTAAAATTAAAATTTTTTGAATCTCAAATTTGATTTAAATAATATAAAATAATGTATTTATTTTTTTACCTTGAATTTTAATTAAAATATTACATAAAATCTAGCAAATTTTTAGATTTTATCAACATTTTTTTACTTTAATTAGCTCTTTTTTATAAAATTATGATCCATCTCTTTGTCTTTTCTATTTTAAATAATAATATTTACTTATAAAGAAGCAGCTATTATTTATATTGATAAAAAATAGAATAGAACAAGAATTTAAAAAATATGTTATTAGAAATAAGTAGAGATCTTTTTAGCATTAATTGAATTTGCGAGTTAATTAATTGCAGAATATTTAATAAAGAAAACATAAAATTCAATATTATATTTACTTTACTTTCTCAAAAAAAAAATTAAATACTTTAAATGGGTAAAAGTAAGCTTTATTAGCTTAGTATCCTTAAGGAAAAACTTTATAGGATAGATTCAGAATTAGGAGGAACAGCTAAGCAATAGAAAGATATGAAAGGAAGTCAAGGAGAGTTTGAAAATTTATTTAATGATGTCAAAGATAGAATATTTAAGATAAAAAGCAGTTAAAAGTTTATGTAGGAGAGAGCTTAGAAGCATGGTTAAGATAGAAAATATATAGATAAAGAGTTAGAATGTAAAAATGAAGTTACTTATTGTGAAGGTTTGATTGAAGAGATGGCAAAACTTATAAGAAAATAGAAATCAAATAAAAATATAAGTTAAGTTGATAAGGAAAGAAGGGAAAAATCTTTTGGTGTAATAAAAAATGAGTTATATAAAATAATGGAGAGTTTAGGGATGAATCCACCTGAAGAACCTAAAGAAGTAGAAGTTCATGTTTAAACACTTAAAGAGTTTAAAGTTAATGTCTTAGGAGATGGAAGTAAAAAAAATTAAGAATATCATAAGGGCGCTGAAGCTGGTGAAAGAGAAATGTAAGCTTTAGATGATGCAGCTAGAAGAAATGAAAGATAAGACGATATTTTAAGAGATATAGATGAAGGACTTGATGTATTTAAGGGAAAAGCTATTTAAATGGGAGAAAAGCAAGATGAGGTTAAAGAGAGAATATAAGATATAACTAAAAAAGTTGATAATGCAAATAAAGTAGTTGAAACTTCTAATCAAAGATTAAAAGACTTGCTAACTAAATACAGATAACCAAGTAAATTTTGTCTTGATATGACTCTCCTTGTATTTCTTTTAGGGTTAATAGCAGTAGGATATACAAGTCTTAAAGGGTAGTGAAAAATTAAAATATGAACTAACTAATGCTAAATTTAAGTGGGTAATATAATAATATAATATAATATCCGCTCCATTAGCTAAATAATAATAATGAAATAAAATAAATAAATAAATTTAAAAATAAAAACAATTCAGCAATTAAAAAATTAATTAATTAATAAAACTAATTTTATTTAAATATTTAATACTTATTTTTAACTAATTCTTGATTATAAATAAGTATGATGAAAATATTTTATTTTCTTTCTTTTCAAATATTAAAATAATGTTTAAATATTTTTGAAATTTAAAAATATTTTTCATATTTTTCTCTATAAACATCTTTCCTTCCTTGCTTTTTAATTTATTCAAAAATAGAAATTTATAATATAAACTATTTATTAATGTAAAATTTAAAATATGTAAGTTTGTTTTAATAAATACTTGAATAAATTTATTTTTAAAATTAAAATAGTAGTTTAACTGAATTTTTAATTTAAAATTATTCAAAAATTAATATTATGTTTTTTGGATTAACTATTAGCTTGTAAATTAGAAATTTCTTTTTTATTGATTACATTATAGGATTATTTTAACACAGAAATTACTTGTCTTTTTAAATTTTTTTAAATCTTAAAAATTTTTATTTATTAATAAATGTTTTTATTTTTTAATTTTTAAGTAAAATATTTCCTTCAAAAATATCAGTACTACTAAACTAGACTGATAAAAATATTTGTGATTTTGAAAATTGGAAACCAGAAAATAAATTAATTAAAAAGTTAATAATTTAATTATTTGTTATTCTTCTTAAAAATTAAGTATCTATCTAGAAAAATTAAATGGTTGTAAAGTTTTGATAGTAAACAATAATGAAATAAATACAAGATTTTAAATATCTTTAAATTAATTAATTAGATTTTAACACTAAATTGAATTCTTTCTAATTCTAATTTACTTACTAATAACATTATTTTATATAGTCTCATATAATTATGTTTTAAATTTCCTACATTATAAATTTAACTATCAAATTATTTTTCTTGATAGTTTCCTTTATGCCCCATCAGTTTCAGCTCGGAGGTAGTGTAGATACTCTATTATGCAAGCTCTGTCATAGCTGTCTCTTAAACCATCAAAAAACATGTTTGTGTCAGGAAAAGTTTTTTCTGGATTTTCAATAAACTAGTCTAGAATATTTCTTGTCCAATAAAAGTGATATGATGGCATTGTAGATGAATAGTATCTATATCCTTTTCTTGTTCCTGCTTTTCGCATATAAACTTATCTCAAAGAAGGACCTTGCAATTATTCAGAATCTAAATCGTGGCAACCAGCACAGTAGTTTTTATAAATCCACTCTCCTCTTATAGGATCCCCGTCAGGAATATCGATATCTTAATAATCGGGATTTACTTAAAATTTTCTATATTTATATTTATGATCACCTATAATTTAAACATTGTTCCTCATAGTTTATTATGACATTGTAAGTTTTGAATTAATCTATAAATCAAAAAAGTAATTATATATTGATTATCTCTGTTTACTATCAGCTTTTTACTTCTTTTAATAAAATTAATTGAATCTGTTTTTCTTTAAAAATCAATTAATTGAAATTTTAATTTAATTAAAGTCATCAATATTAACTTACATGTAAGTAAAATCTGTTGAAAGTAGAAATCATCAATAAGATATTATAATCTTGTATTTTTAAAGTAGATTATACAATTTATTACTGTTAAAGTAACAAAATTTTATTTATTCTTCATTCTTCCATATGCATAAATAGATGAACTCACTTAATTCTTTAGTGACTTAAAATTTTATCACAATTAACAAAACAATATTTTAAAATTCATAAAATAATTATAAATTATTTTGGTTGAAATAATATATTTAAATAAAATTCATAGATTGATTATCATTGTGAATGCTCATAAATTACTAAATTTTTAAGAATTTAAAAATTATTTTAATAAAATATAGAATAGCTTAAAAATTTTTTGTCTTTGACAAAAATCTTTAATTTTGAGAAGATTTACTGTATTTAAAATAATAAATTATCTATGAGGTTCTCGTTATTTATTTTTATAATCTAAACATCATTTTTTATGAATGAAATATTAAAAATTACTCATCTACAAAAATAAGATTTATAAACCTAATTTACCTATTTCAAAAATGTTTGATTTACTTACATAAAAAACTAGTTAAAAAATAATAAAAATTATTAACTTGTAAAAAATGATTAAATATTATATTTTTAATAGATTATTAATCATTAAAATATAATAAAGAAATCAAACTACTATTTATTCCTTATAAAATAAAAGTAAATTTAAATAAAACAATATCAAAATTTAATTTATTTAATCAGAATTATGTCTATTATTGAATGCTTAGCAATAGCTAATTCTTAATTTCAGGTTAAAATTTTATAGGCAATTTATTAAACATTATTTTTATTTAAATATTTAATTAAAAATATATTTATTCTTTGAAAAAATAGATTGAGAATAACAATTATAAATGGGATCAAAGCATAGTAAAGATAACTAAAAATAATAAAAAGATATTGATTTTTTAGTTCAATTAAAAAATAATAAAAATTGTTAACTTGTAAAAAAGGATTAAATATTATTTATATTTATAATAGATTATTAATTTTTAAAATATAATATTAAGAATTCAAATTACTATTAACACCAATAAAATAAAAGCAAATTTAAAGAAAGTAATATCAAATTTTGATTTATTTAATCAGAATTATGTTTATTATTGATCATTTAGTAATAGATAATTCTTAATTTCAGGATAAAATTTTAAAGGTAAATTGTTAAGCATAATACATATTTATATTTTAATTATTTAATTGATTAATTCTTTAAATAAATAGATTGAGATTAGCAATTATAAATGGGATCAAAACATAGTAAAGATAAGTAAAAATAAAAAGAAATTGACTCTTTGGTTCAATTACATTTTAAAGATGAAGAAATTATCTAAGCTAAACTAGTGTATGAAAGTTTATTAAACGATAAGAAGAATTTGGATTTAGAATTATTTTCAAAGCTTTTTGAAAATGATTTAGAATTTGGCGTAAAGCTATATAAATACATAATGAAAAATAAAAAGACTTTCACTTTTACAGATTATCTTCTTTTAAGTATCGATTGAAATCATATTAATAATACAAATTATATTTAGAAAAGAATAATTATTTTTAAATAAAAGTTTAGGCATTTTCAAAAGATGCAAGCTCAAAAATACCTATTCATCTATTTAAGGCTAATAATCTAACTAAATTGTAGATATTTTCATTGATTTTGTTGGAGTAGCATGAACATCATGATATTAACAAAATTATGTTAAGCTAATAAGATGTAGAAAATATACTTTATCACTTAATTATGATTTATGATATTGACAATCTTTAATTGATTATGGACTCTTTGAAAAATAGAGTTAGTCCTTGTTTTGACGAATCAAATGAGTAGTTTTTGGCATATGATAATAAAAGAATAAATCTGAGAGAAGCTACTGCACTTATTACTAGAATTTTTTCTTCTATAAACTAAATTATTTAAATTTACTTCTAAAACAAATTGCTTCACAAACAGATTTACATTTAAGTTCCTAATATGAATGTATAATCTATAATTATGACTGATGATTTCATATGCTTACTCTATATGAACAATTTATATTATCAAGCTTCTCATAACTTAACTCTATTGCATTAATCTTCAATGGATGGAATGAGTTTGCAAACTATTATTAATAATCTTTTGGGTAATTTATTTTAAATTATTCTATTAATTCTTAGGATAATTTTTGATAAAAAATATTTTAATTTTTACGATAATATTAAATTTACTGAATATTTTAATTCAATTTGAGTGAAATTTTATTATTTATAATGCAAAAAAAGGTTATGATTCGTAAACAATACTCGTTGCTAGAAGTAATTTAGGAGTTTTTGGTATATTTAACAACTAACCTTGGCTAAGTTAAAAAGAAGCTTAAGGGGACGACAACTGCTTTATTTTTTCTTTTTAGCCAACATTTAAGATTTTCACTGCTAACAATTAATCTAAAAATAAAAACTATGTTTATATGAATTCTAAATCTATCAAAGATTATGATAAATACTAAGCAGGGATAGGTAAATTTAAATATAAAAATTCGATAATTTAAATGTAATTTTTTTAGGTTACGGTATGAGTAAAGATGGCCTAAAGTACAGGTTATGGCTCGATTAACTTATTCACAGCTAGTCTTACATAATGTTTTCTGATGATATTTATGAGCCAGGATGGATTTTAGAGCCTAAAGAATATACAAAAAGAGATCAAAAAGTGTATTTAAATATTGATGCTATAGAAATATGGGGTTTAGGAAGTGAAGAAAATTTTTAGAACCAGATTTAAAGAAAAATAAGAAATAATAATCAGTATTTGAAATTTTACATTTACTTTAATTAAAATATTATTTTAATCAATAAATATAGTTCAATGAGAGCCAGAATAATTAATAAGAAAATCATGTTTTCTCTTCTTTCAGATTTCGATAAGCAAATCTTTTTTAGTAATTTCACAAAACAATTATCAATATAATTCATAGATAGATAAATAAATAAATATTTTTGAAAATAAAAGGTTCTACATTTTCACATATCAATCAAGTTAGAGAGGATATCTGTTGTGCAGCAGATATGGTAGAAGAATAGCACAGACTGGATAGAGAATAAAGGAATAATGTATAACCTTTGAGAGTAAATGAAGAAAGTTGATTTTACTAATAAAAATATAATATGATTTAAGAAATTATTATAATTTTTACTTGATAGATTTTAAAAAAATGATTTTCAATAATTTATGTATTTTTAGTTTAGATTTACCTTAAATTTTTAATGTCTTTTAAAAAAAGTAATTCCTTCCTAGAATTGTGATTATGATTTAAGAATATTAAAAAATAACTTTGTAAAAAAAATTATTATTGTTTTTCTACCAAAAATTTTTTTGTTTTTCTTTATCTTTTTACCTATCTATCTATTTAATTTACCAGTATTTATTCTAAAAAGAATGTAAAATTTATCTTAGTACCTTTTAAATTTCTCTAGTAACCAACTTAGATTTTATTAAATTCGAAAAAGCATCCACAAAAGATAAATTTAAATCATATATTATAGATTACTTGATCTTAAAATGGAGGTTTTGTCAAGAAATACTATTGATTTATATTAAATAAAATAGCACTTTAACTATAAGTGAACATATTTATTTATTTTTTACTTTTATAAATTGAACTTTTTAAATTATATTCAAATATTAAGGAGTATTTTGATGTAACTAAACTTCAAATTATAGTCTGATCCATTTTAACATATAACACAATCATACTATCATTAATACAAATTTCTAATGATACGCAATATTAAATGATACAATATAATTTAGTAATTTCTTTAAGATTTTGGTAGATATTAGATTAAATACATCGATGTATCATAAAATTAATTACATTGTTTTGAGTAAATAATTTTCAAGTTTAGAAATAAAAAGCTCACTTAAATAATAGCATATTCATACAATTTTATAAATTCTAAAAATATTTAAAAAGAAAGTAATTTAAAAAGTTATAAATAATCAGATTAAGCAAGTTAGTTGGTCGATCAGTCATTTATCTTCTAATAACATACTTATCAAAACACAATAATTAATTAGTTTTTATCTTTAAAATTTGCAAATGGATGCAATTAAATTTGATTCAAGCTATCCTATAAATTAGGTGAATTAATTCATAGTCTACTTTAGAGCTATTATTATTAGTTTAGGTGGTCTTTTCTTTGGATATAATAATGGCTGCTTTAATCCTACTTAAGAACATATTAGTAATTTGAATAAATGGTATTCAAGCTTTGATGTAGCTCTATACACAGGATTAGTTACTTGCTTTTTACCATTTGGGTGCTTGTTTGGGTCTCTACTTAGCAATTTCTTACTTAAGATCACTTAATCTAATCTTCGAGTTTGCTTAGCCTTAACAGATGTAATAGGTATTTTAGGAACTGTGATATAAATCATAGATCCTAATTTAGGCAATCTGATTCTTGGGAGGTTTTTGAATGGTGTTGCAGGTGGTTTTAATACATCGATAGTTCCTATTTATTTAATAAATTTTACTCCTGTGATAATGAGAGGTAAAACAGGTACTTTTGTCTAATCATTCGCTTCTCTTGGTTTATTTATTGGACTCTCTCTTGGAGCTATATAGCCAAGATATCCTAAAGTACCAAAAGTAGAACCAAAAGAGGAATTTATTCAAAACGAAATAGATAATATGGATTCTTTTCATCTAAATTTAGCTTGGAGGATAACTATTGGACTTCCTATTTTGCTATGCTTTATTCGTTTACTTAGTTTAATATTTATTTTCAAAGAAGAAACTCCTATTTAAATGGTTAAACACAATCATTTAAGAACTTTAAGGAGATACTTAGAAAAATGTTATGATAAAGAAAGAGCAGATTTAAGATTTAAAGAAATTGTTAATTATGCTAATTAGCATATAGAAGAAGATGATAAATTGAGTGAAGGTGATGAAATAGATGTCAATGTCCCCATTCAATTTTCAAATTAAGCAAATAATGATTAATAAAAAAATAATAAGAATAATGAATATTTGATTTCCATGCAAAATCATAATGAATAAAACAAAGAACATAAGTATTAGGTAATTTATTAAATAAAAAATATCATTCACACAAACTTCAATTCATAAAATAAGTTTATTTTTGAAATATATAACAACTTTTTTTTGAATAATATTAATTGTAAGTTTATTTAAAGTTTATCTTTTATAATAGGTTCAAAACGATACTTCAAATCATGATAACTTAGATATCAAATAACCCAAAAGCGAAAAAGAAAAATTTGAAATAAATTTAGCATCTTCTAACATTAGTAATCATTCTGTAGAAGTTTTAGAAAATAAAAAAATCGATAATTCAAAAAAATAAAATAAATTGCCATAAATTTTCAAGAGCCAAAGAAGAAGGAAGATGCTAGGTGTAGTACTTCAAATGACTACATAGCTTAGTGGTTTAAATGCCCTTATGTTTTTCTCTTCAAGTATTTTCAAAGCAAATTCGGATAATCCAGACACAGTCTAGCTGTACCTTTACATCTAAGGATTTTCAATATTTTTCTTTACTTTCATATCAATCTTCTTTATTGAAAACTTTGGAAGAAAAAAATTAATTCTTGGAAGTACTTTCCTCACCTTGATAGGTTTATTAGGGATAGCAATATTTGCTCTTGTTGATATTTTTGTTGTATCGTTTATCTTCATTATTTTCTTCTTATTTGGTTTTGGTATAGGTCTTGGTGCTGTAGTTTGGCCATTTTGTACTGAACTGGTAAATAAAGAAGATCTACCTATATGCTCTGCAGCCAGATGGTTCAGTGCTCTTTTAATTGGTATTTGTTTCCGTTTTTTAGTACTAGCAATAGGAATTTCAGGCACATTCTTTTTATTCTTCGGTTTTACACTTTTAGCTTTTATCTATTTCTTAAAAGAGATGAAAGAAACCAAAGGTATGACAATAGAATAAGTAGATTAGATGTATAGCTGAGGGATTATTCTCTAAATAAAAATCTTAAAAAATTGAATAAATAAATTCTTTATTTAAATATATATTATCCTAATTATTTCAGTGTGTTTAATTTATAAATTTTTATTGTCCTTTTGTAGGAATTAAAAACATAAATTTATAAGCTAAAAAAAATTTGATAATTTAATTTTATCGAATATCTTTTTTATTAAGCAAATTCATTAAGGATACAGTCAGTTTATCTATTATTAAATTTCCATACAAAAATAAAAAATTTATTTATATAAAAATGGAATAAGTAGCTAAATAAATATGCTAAAAAGTTGTTTTTTTTTATTAAAATAATAAGATCTTCAATCTTCTAAAAAGAACGAGCTGTTAGATTGCTAAGTTTACATATTTTAAGGTTTTTTGAGTTAAAATGTATTACATTTATTATTGTTATTTTAATATCTTGCTCTCAATTTAGGTTAATAATAGTATCTTTAAGTCTCAGATAACGAAAATTTGTTATTTTCATTTACTAAAGATTTCTCTTGCTGTTTTTAATTTTCGTATAACTCTATGACTTATTACTCAGTCTTTTTATTTAACAATATTTTTACCTTCTAGGATAATGTTAGATCTTTACTAAAGATATTTTCAGAGATAGTTCCAGCCAATGAGCTTTCTGTTTATAAATTATTACTTTAGCTACTAAAATTGAGAGCTTAATTTTAACTGATAGCTTTTCTTATTTATTCGTTACATTTTTAAACACTTTCTTATAATTTTTTTTATGTTTGTGCTTTCTAAATTTATGAATTTTTTATAAGTGAAAGAATGGTTTAGTTATCGAATAAGTTTTCTTTTTCATAAAAACCTTAATTTAATAAGCTAGCCGTACTCAAGCTCTTAATCCTTTTCTATTTTTGAGCCTATAAATCTTTATTACTATTCTCAACTACTTGCTATTTATATATTTATTCATTTATTTTTTTATGTGATTAATTATCTTCTTTTAAAAATCTATTCGTATGTTCTAACTTTTCATTTGATTATTCTTCAATATATTTTTCTGATTCTACTTCTGTCTAAAGCTTTTTTGAAATTTTTTTCTAGGTAATTTTTTGTTCAGGATTAAGTAAATTAGACTTTTAAACATTTTGATACAGATTAATGTCTTAATATTAAAGCTAATCTTATCTTAAGCTTAAAAATTTTACTCTTGAAGATGATTAAATTTCAGTATCACTTTACTTCTACTATTCAATTATCAATTGGGATTAAGGCTTACTCTTATTTTATTAGCAGAATTAAATTTAACTCTAATGTCTTTATTTTGGTGACGGATCTTGGTATAGCTTAAATAAATTTAAATCCTAGCTATATTTAATACAGTCGTTTTTTCCATTCTAATAAGCTAAACTCTGCTTTTTTAAGATTTGAAGGCTCTATTTTTTGTGTTTTAATTACTAGTTTAATGATGTAATCCTTCCTTAAAGACCATTAATATAATCTTTAATATCCATAGACTATGAGTTATAAATCTCAGTGTTTTACTACCCTATATATGGTAGTCTTTATTTTAAAGAGCTGTTATTTTATCTATTTGGAGGAGTTTTTAATTGTTATTCAACTTATTTTGTTTTAATTTTTTAAGTTTCCATTCTATTTTGTTAAATAATTTTTCAGACAGTTGTGATTAAAAAATTGAATTTGTTATAATGATTGAATGAATGAATAAAGAAGGGTTTAATTTAATATTGTAGTTATTTTTATTTAAGACAGCTTGATTTATTTCTATTAAAAATTTAATTGTTGTTCTAAATTATAAAAAGAATTAAAAATTTATTTTATGGCTCTAAACACCCATCATAATTTATAATTAAAATGTTTAATATTAATTAAATACTTTTAAGGAAGATAAAAATTATTTTGTAATTAATTATACTTAAGAACTCTCTCAAGAAATTTAATTAAATGTTTGTTTAGCTACTTTCTGATAAAATAATATATAATAAATAAGAAATTTGATAAATCATTAAATACTATTCAATTAAATATTTGATTTCATTTGGTAAGGAAGAGAAGAAAGAGAATAGACCTTTCATTTTCTGATGGCACAGATCTATTGATAAATATTAAAAATTAAAGGAAGCAAATTAATTTTAGATAATTAAAGAAATAGGCTTAGATATGATTTTAACGCGAAAAAATAAATAGCAAACACAATAAGTAAGAAAGTATCAAAAATTAAAACTTTAAAAAAAGACACTGTTTGTTTGTTTCTCAAAAAGAATAAATAATTTACAAAAATTAATTAAATAATAAAAAAAGTTTAGAAAAAAGGAAATGCTACAAGTTAAAAAGAAGAAAGAGGAAGAAAACAAGAGAATAGCTGAAGGTTAACCTATTGCTTAGAATGTCCAAAAGGTTACCCCTGGTTTATTACGTTTACAAAAGGATTTAGAAGATTTAGATAAGGATCTTCCCAACAACGCCAAGTTAGTTTGGCCTGATAAGTAAGTTTTAACAAAGATGGAATTGACCGTCTGGCCAGATGCAAGTACTTATTGGGGTGGTGCAAAATATTTGTTCACAGTTGAAGTTGGTGCAGACTATCCTCATCAACCTCCCAAAGTTCACTGCCACACCAAGATTTATCACCCTAATATTGATTTGTAAGGAAATGTCTGCTTGAACATTTTGAGAGCAGATTGGAAGCCTGTCTTAAATTTATATAATATCATTTCTGGTGTTCTTTTCCTTTTCATTGAGCCTAATCCTAATGATCCCTTGAATAAGCAAGCTGCCTCTCAAATGATTAATGACATTAAAGCATTTGAAGCTGATGTTAAAAAATCTCTTAGAGGTGGATAAGTAGGCGGAGAATATTTCCCTAAGCTTATTTGATAAAATAATTTAAATATAATTAATATATCTTTATGTAGTTATATGTAAATAATGTATTAAATCTTTAGATATACGTTCTGCATTTCACAATCTATCATTTTATATGAGCATCGTAGCATTTCCAAAGTTATATTTATTTAGAATTTTAAAAAATCTTATCATGTTATTCAAGCTCTTTTCTAAAAATAATTATTAATGAATAGAATGATAAATAGAATCAAAAATCATAAACGTAAATGGTTTTTTCAATCCAGCCAAATAATATAAAATAAGTAATGATGTAAAGATCATAATCTTATTTAATCATTTACTTCTTTTGTGCTTTTAACATATCGCAATGTAAATTAACATCCTATTTGTATACTTTTAAAATCATAAAGTATATATCAAAATAGACTCAAAATAGTGATCGAGAGAGTATTTTGATAAATTCTTTAAGACAATACGTTTATTAGAAATTATTTAAGTAAATTTTTCAAAAAAAAAATCATTAGTAGTATTAATAGTAAGGAATTTATTTAATCTTTTATGAAGATATCAAAATATATGCTATTTATCCATGTTTGTTAACAATGAAAGAGACAATTAAATACTTAATTATTTATTAATAAAAAGAATCTATCTATTTGAATATTTTAATTGATCAAAATACTTTAAATTTATCACAAATCATATTTAAATATCTCAAAAGTTTATAGCCACTTTTATTACATAAATTTAATATTTAAAGTTTTTATAAAATATTTCAAAGATAAAATATTTCACATATTTATTTTAACAAATTTATTTCTTTAAGTGAAAGTAGAAATAATTTAATAATTTTAAATAAATAAATAAATATTTTTGATTTTTAAAAAAATTAAAATATTAATTTTTGATAATTCCACACAATAGTTAAATTTTTATCATGTATCACACACTAATTAAATTTTTATCATATTTGACCTTTATAAATGCTAAATTTCTAAAAATAAAGATCTTTTAAATGTGATTTTGTTTAAGTTTAATTTATTAAAATTTATTTATTGTATGCCTTTTTAAAATTTAATTAAATCATAATTAGAAATGAAGAATAACTCTCTTAAAATTTGAAATAAACAAATTAACTTAAAATACTTTTGAAATTTCAATTATTATTAAAAAATAAAATTTAACTTATAAAATCCTATCACAATTAAAGCAAATTATAATTTTTCCAGATTAAAAATGTAAATCACTCCTTTTCAATTTAGATAATTCGCTTGTTCTATTTTTATGAATAATTTTTTTTAATGATTGGCTCATTACTGTTCTAATTAATTGAGTTTTTTTATTAACAATTAAATGGTGCTAACTAAATGATCTTAAACTGTTTACTTATTTTTATTCATAAATTTATTGTTAACAACTCTATATTCTTAATGCTATAGTTTTAGTCAGTTTAATAATTATATATTTTTATTTTATTTTCACATAAATAAAATAATAGATTTTCCAATTAATTCAATAATTAATTATACTTTTTTAACTTAAAATCATTATTTTCTAGCTCTCACAAAAGTAAGTTATCATTAATCTTTGAGAATTATTTTCTCTGATAATCTAAAGAGATAAGTTAAGAGACAGAAATACAATTATTATTTTTATTCAATAAGATTGAATCACTTTTAAAATAGATTATGTTTACAAATATTTTCATTTTTAAGTGAGAGATGTACAATAAATTTAAATTTTAAAATTAATTAGAATAAAAACTTGATTTGGAATTAGCACAACTTTGGTTTATTAAAATAAATACTTTATATGACTTCAATTTTGTGTTAATAAATATTTATAAAACGAAAATTGAAAATTGAGCCCACCAAGCCTAATGTATCATTAAAAATTTTGAATCCATTCAATAATTTAAATAATACTTAACTTTATTTCATAAAATTTAGATTAGCAATAAACCATAAATTGATAGTAAGATATAATCCGTAATTTCTGCAATATGATAAAATAATAATGATACTATGAAAAATCTATTATCTTTATATAAAGTCCATTTGAGTTGGTCAAAATTAAAAAAAAGATGTTATGAAAACTATTAAATAAGGTAAATATATTTTTAAATTTTATTATTGCTTACTTATAATAAATAACATATAACTTTTTAAAGTATACCAAAAATGATTTTAATGTTTAACTGAAAAAAAAAATGCTGAATTTGAGATGAATGAATTCTTAATACTTTATTTTTAATAATTTCCTAATGTCCCCCTTTTTCTTCTGAAAATATATTAAATTACTTATAATGTTCATTTTCAATTATAAATAATGACTAACAAACTAACTATGTGTTTAGTTTCAATTAATTTGTAAATTTAAGGTAATTAAATTACAAATTAATAGTTTTAAAACCCTCACCATTTTTAATTGAATTCTTTTGTAATCTTTATAATAAAAACATTTTTTTATCTCTTTAAAGCAAATCAAAATGAAAATAAACAAATATTCTAAATTTAATTTTTTTAATTTTCCAAAAATGCTGCTAGTTATTTCACCACAAGGTTTTGAAATATAGCTAAATAAAAATTAGAGTGGATATTTCTCTGTAAATTACACAATCTGAATAACTATTTTGTTTAGATGACGTAAGCCTTGCTTAAGAGTTAAGTAAAAATAATAATAAAGTTAGAAAAATGAAATTAGAATATAGTTAAGTCGATATTTGTGAAATTGGAGATTAGTATTTTTATATCTAAATAATAAATATTTATAATAATGTTCTAACCAATTACAAAAAAATGCAAAAATTAAATAATGAAAACTCTGATAAAGAAATATACAAGATAACAGTTTACCTTAGAGGTGTAGTTGTAAGTTTAGGATGTTTATACTATGGGTTTAATAACAGTAGTTTGAACATTACACAATAACATATTTCTTACTTAAATGGATGGACTGATAAATCTGAAATATCGCTTTATATAGGATTAATTACTTCTTCATTATCGTTAGGGTGCTTAATAGGTTCCCTTCTTACTTCTTAATTTCTCATAGCTACAAATTATAACTTTAGACTCTGTCTTATGCTGACTGATGTACTGGGGATAGTTGGAATTATTGAATAAATTATTGACCATAGCTTTGGCCATTTCTTGTTGGGAAGGCTTCTTGCTGGATTAGCTTGTGGATTAAACACAACTATTATACCTATATACCTCAAAGAATTTACACCTATGGCTCTAAGAGGTAAAACAGGTACATTTGTTTAAATATTTGCTTAATTAGGATCATTTTTATGTGTATGTCTTGGCATAATTTAACCTATTTATTCTCTAGATACTACAGTAGAAGATAAATAGTAATTTATTCAAGAGCTTATAAGTTAATAAAGCTTCTTTGAAAGAGAAATTGCATGGAGATTAACTCTAGGAGTTCCAATACTTATGTGTTTGATAAGAATTTTTTGTTTATATTCTGTTTATAATCAGCCTACACCAATTTAAATGGCACAAAGAAATTAGCTAAGAGCTCTTAAATTATATTTATCTGATATCTATTATCCTAATAGAGCCTAGGCATGCTATTAAGCATATATAAGCCATGTAAAAGAAAGTATCAGAGAGGTTTCAGAGCATAGCGAGATTTATTAATAAGATAATTTAAAGCAAAGTGATTTATTTTAAAGCCAAGGAAAAAATAAAAATGAATCAATGATTCATTAAAATATGAAAGGTGAAGTAGATTTTATCAGAACAACCTCGTTAAACAGATCTTTACTGGCAAGTGATGATCTAGTCTAAACAGAGATTTATAACTCATTTAGTCAAAAAAAATCTCGTAAAATGTAAAGAAGTAAGGTTAGAAGATTTATGTTAGGCTTAATAGTATAAACAGCATCTAGAGTAAGTGGCTTATCTGCTCTTACTTTTTATTCTAGTTTAATTTTCTCTGAATAAATTAAAAACCAAAGTCTGAATTATATCCTAATTGTCATATTAGGTTTATCAGGTTTTATCTTCACATATCTTTCATTTTTTTTTATAGAAAGGGCAGGAAGAAAACCGCTTATCCTTCTTAGTACAATATTGTTGATGATATCTTAATTAGGAATAGCCATATTTTCTATGCTAAATATGTTTATTTTTTCTTTTATATCGATCATGTTTTTTTTATTTGCTTTTGGTATAGGCTAAGGGGGAGTAACATGGCCATACACGATTGAACTTGTAAACTAAGAGCATGTGAGTTACTGTTCTGCTATGAGATGGACTTGGGTCTTAATTATTGGGGTTACATTCCCTTTCACAAACTAACTTTTAGGATTATCAGGAACTTTTTTCACTTATCTTGGAGCAACCTTCCTTTGTTTTTTATACTTTCTAAAAGAGTTAAAAGAAACAAAAGGATTAACAAAGGAGTAAGTAGAGAGCATGTATTATTGAATTAATACATATTTTATAATATTAAAAAACTCTCATTTTTAAAATAAAATATATATTTAATAACAATAATGTAAGTAAATAAGATTTTAATAAGTCAAAGTATTATTTTTTACAAACAATTTAAATTTAACAAAATTTATTTTTATTCTAATAATTTTTGAATAAAGAAAATATTTATTTAAAGATTTCTAAATAATTTATTAAAGGTTTAAAATATTAATCCATTTCAATATAATTCATAATTTCATTAAAAATTTTTATCCTAATAAGGAAAGAAATTAATTTTAGTTAAAGTAGCTAATTTAATAATATTTATAATTTCGTATAATTAATCACTTATCAAATAAGAAAATAGAAATGCAAAACAATTTTGATAAATTAAAATTAAATTATTAATTTTCATTATTAACTTTTGTTTAGAAAACTTAATTTCTATTTTCTATTTATTCAATAAAACATTTAATTTTTAAATCTTAAAATCAAACAAATACTTTTAAATTAAATTTTAGAATGCTATGAATATTAATAAAAAAAATTTATAATGAGATGTTTTGAAAACAAAATTATTGATTATTTATCTAAAATTAAAGTAATTAAGCATTATATTTAATTAGAAGATTGACTTTATACTAAATGGTTATCAGATAGTCTAGAATTTAGTCTTTGTTTATCTTTTTAAATAATAAAACAAAGGTATCAAGCTGTAATGCTTTGATCATAAATTATGAAATAAAAATTTTTATTTCAAATATCTTATTGATAATAAAAAGACAATACTTTCAATTTCTTTGTTAAATATAAAGAAGTTAATGGAGAAGTTATCTTTAAGATAAAGATATATTGTAAAAATATAATAAACAGCTATTTTTTTTAATGAAAATGTTACTTCATATAAAAGATAAATATGATATCTATTAATTTATTAAAAAATTTTTCATTCTATTCAAGCGTTAGAGATCAAATAAATAAAAAAGTATTAATTATCATTTACTGATTTACAGTAATTTTTAAATAAATTTGTTTGTTACTTGTTAATTTAAAATAAATGAACAATTTTGTAATAGAAAAATTTGAAAATGTTGTATTGAAATCAAAAAGAAAAGTTTCATAACAAATTTAAAATATTTAATTTATAAAGAATTTGAAGAAATTAGATAGACTACATTTTAATATTAGAATTCATTTTTAGTTTTTATAAATTATAAATTCACTATTATAATAGAAATATTATTTATTTATTTAAGTTAATTTAGGCATTTTTTATTGAAGTAAATTTGTGTAAATATGATGGATGGTAACTAAAATTAATTAAATGCTACTAGAGTCAAAACAAAATTAAGATTTCATCATAAAAACAATAATAAGACTATGAGTTAAATTAATGGAAGTGTCAATAAGAAAGGTTTGGAATAAGAGTATGGATTTTATGAGTTAGAGTTTGAAGTTTTGCTATTAGATTTTGAAATATGCAAAGAAAACTATTATGAGATGATCTAACCCTTCTGAGTTAATTATCTAAGGAGTCCTGAAGGAGTGGTTTAAATAAACATTTCCACTTATATTTATGCACTTATTGAAGGCTCTACCAACTAGATCATAATGTGAAGAGAATTGTCAGTATTGTTCCATTAAGTTTAACTTTTGTCTACTAAAGACGAATAGTCAAATATCTAACCTTAATCATTCAAAAAGAATATCTTATTAAATGATAGCTACTTTTTATATGTTGAATCTTTAAACCAAATTCTTAAATATAAATAGTCTCCAATTATATAAATTTTATCATTCACCAATGTAGTCCAATCTGATTAATACTCATTACCAGTTACATCTAAATCAGGTATAATTATACAATTCATTCCAGGTTAGCATCCTTATGTTGATTTTGTATCCACATTAGAATTAAAAAACTGTACTTAATCCCTATTAGTAAATATATATGTAATCCAGCGATGAGATCTAAAAATAGTGTGTTCAGATCCTATCAATACTCTAAACCACATCTATTATACTATTTAAGAATTATCATCGCTTATTTGCTAAACATGAGCAAGCGTGTAGATATCATTAAGAGGAATTTAAATATTTTAATCTCCTTGCTAACCTCCAATAAGCTAACTAACATATGATTATTCGTTATTAAGTACAGGTATCAGCATTGTATAGTTAGAATCTTCGTCAGACCCATTTAAATTACTAGGACTGTATTAAATATAGGTATATAAATAAGATCTACAATTATAAGAATTGAATTAAGAGTGTTCAGAGTCTATTTTTATTTAAAAAACAACATAATTTTGTTAAGAATCATTAGCAGGATTTTCTTAAGTTAAATAAAAGCTATTAACAATTATATCAAAGTTAGCAACATTAAGATTTATTTCTTATTCGCATTAATCACTTGCTTAATCTACTGCCATCGGTTTACAAACAATAGGATCAAGTTCAGTTGCATAGTAATTATTTTAACAAATGCATGCAGTTTAATAACTGTTAACTATTTCATTATCACCGCTACATGATAGACAAACGTTTTAGCTATCACATGTAGCGCAATCGTTAAAACATGTATCAGCCAAAGAAAGAGCAAAAGAAAAAATGAGCAAAACAATTTACCTCATTTGTATATTTATTGTTTTATTTAATTAGTAATCTTTTTGATCAAAGAATTGTTTCTATTTAAAAAATAAATTTGAAAACTGATTATATTAAATCAAAATAGAAAATCTGAAATAACTGAATATTACTTTATTTGATTTTGAGGAAATCTGAATAAACTTTAAAAGCTATAATTAACAATTAATAATCTTTGAAAATTGTATTCTGAATACACCAATAGAATTTACTGACTACCCATAGATAATTCATACTCTGAAAAATTTATGTTTTATTCTTCATAAAAAAAATAAAAAAACATAATAAATTTATTTAAAGCTATTTTACTTCATTCTAATTTCAATATAGAGTTCTTTTATTGTGCTCATTAAAAACAACATTTTTTTATTTTATGTTAAATTATATTTTTACTAACTTAAGAAATCTACATCATTTTCTGAATATATAATTTTTATTTGCATAAAATCAATAAAAAAATAAATAATATATTTAGAAATTTATTAAATTATATTTTTGAAGTATTTAATAAAAGCACCATAATTTTATTCTAAAAAATAAATTTCTATTTTATTTAGACTGGGAAATATTTAATATTTATAATATTCAAAATGTATCTATAAATTTCATTAGAATTTAAATTAAACTAGCAAATCTAATTAATTATTGTTTGTCTGTTTATTTAATTATCAGCCATATAACTTATAGTATTCAAATAAAGAATATCTAAATATTCTTCGATATCTAATTTCCTTATATTTAAAATTATTTTTTTATTGAAGAATAATAAAATATTTGTCAACTTCATTTATAAAATATTTAGTTTTCATAAAATTAATCATAATGAGGGAAAATGTTGCAAAATTTATTTTGATATAGAAATATTTATATTATAGTTTTTATAAATATTGTTGTTTATTCTAAAGTTTTTTAAATTTTTATCCCACCATCCTGTGTAATGAACCTAATTTATTTATTGGTTTCTTATCTAATCTAATCTAACTAACTAATATATAATTTAAAATCTTGAAAATTATTATGGGATTTTCTTTTAAAGTAATAAATATTTTAATATTTTATTATCTCTATAAAAAAAGTCTGTAGTTTTGTAGATTTATTTATTTTATTGAAATATTTATTTAGCTATTTTTAAAATCATTCTTTAAATGAATTTAGTATCTTATCATATTTATAAATCGTTCATTAACTAACCTCAAAATATTCCTTATTTTATAAATTCAAAAAAAGTGTTTATTTATTTATAAGTTAAGTTAATATTAAAATAATGTCAAAGGGTTTGTTTGTGGTAATTGCAAATTGTTTAAAAAAATAGTAGCATAAATAAATTAATTTAAAATATGTTTAATTTTTGATTATGAATTAAAACTTGTATAAAATATTTAAATAAAGTAAAAAAAAAAGTGAAAAAATTAAATAAAAATAATATAAAATGTTTACTTAGAGTTTTTTTTATTTTTAAATTTTTTATAATAGATTAATCCATAATTAATTAGTGATATTGTTAATATTTCAGGATGGAAATGATAATTTATAATTTTTATTGGATATTAAATTTTAATCCAAAGAAAAGAATTTTCTATTAAAATTGATATCAAAAATAATTTGAGTATCTTAATAATTTGTAAAAGATTGCAAAATTTTAATTATTTTATTAAACTTTATTAATTAGAAGGGAGATAACTTAGTAAATACAAATGGAGAAAATTTTAGATTATTTAAAAAATAATAGAGTAGTATAAGGGGCTTTAGTTTTAGGTGGTGTTGCAGCATCTGCCTACTTAGTTTATTAAAGAGTTAACGAAAGCAAATAAGAAGAAAACGTATTAAGTTTAGATGAAAGAATAAATTAAATCATATAAAATGCCTAGATTTAATAATATATGCAATATTAGTTTTATGATCTATAAACATTAATGGATTTTACTGATTTATTTACTGAAATGGCTATCCCTGAGTTTAGAGAAATGGTTTTTAAATTTAGAGAAGGTACATATATTTTTCTTTTTAAATTTCATACAAAAATATGAATAATTTTTATTTAATCTTAAATTAGAAAGAAGAGAATTGATGCATATTGATAAGTAAAAGTACTATAAATCTATCGTTGATTATAATAATGAGATGTTAATGATAGTAGGAAAGTAATCTTAAAAACTGTTAAAATACGAAGGTTACAACGACGAGTACATGAGAGTAGCTATAAGTATTTTTATGAGGGAGCCTTAATACCAATAGAAAATTGTATATAGTCTTGCTAAAGTTAAATCATCTGTTGCTTCTTCTGATGTTACATTATCAGTTGAAGATGCTTAATCAATTATTGCCTTCTTTATCAAATATGTTTAATCATAACCTGAAATACTTGTGCATTTAGTTAAGTATATAGTCCAATAAAATTAAAATACGGGATAAGTTCACCCTGCTTTAAAAACAGCTTTATATGATTAGCTCTATCTAGAAAAAGGTTTTGAAGAAGAAGATTATTTAGTTGTAGGTTTAACTGATGAATTTTTGAATGACCCTATTACTCAAAAGATACAGAGATAATATTCTGAAACATTAACATAATTTATTTAATATCACTCAGAATGATTGACTTAATTCCTTTGTAATTTTATGTTCTCTTTAAAATTGGTAGCAAGTTTTTATTGTATAAATTTAAGAATTAATAAATAAAATTTACTCATTTATTACTTTAATAGTTTCAATGTAATCTTCTTAGAAAGAAAATCACTAAAAAGGTAGAATATAGATTGTATTTAAATATTTGAACTGTTCATAAATATGTTTAAATATTGTTTTAACTCTAAGGAAAAACATATTTTGAGAAATAGAAATACAATATTTCATCATATAAGAGATACGAGCTGAATGTCTGAAGGATGTATTTTTTTCAGAAAATTTAGTAAAAATAGGTTTAAATTAAAAAAGTAGACTTGAAATTTAAATTTATTTTTATTTTTTTTTTAGTAAAAATTCTAATTAAATAAAAACAACAATTATAAAATTATATTGAACTCATAAATTTTTGAAGCATTTAATTATAAATGGAAATTATGAATTCATGATCTTACTCTTAAATTGTCAAATAAAACCATAAATTAAAAAAATAGTTTTATCTTAATTTAAAATATAAATATTAAAAATTAAATAATTTAAATTTAACATTAATATAATCGTAAATTTGGAAATTTAGAAATAGTCTTTTTTTTATGAGAATGAATTTAAATTAAAATTAATTTGTTGGTGTCAATTTATGCAGTTCATATAAAACATATTTTAGTATTTATCAGTTTAATTTAATTATATTTAATTAGTGAGGGATTATATTTACATTATCAATATTTTTTATTTTTTAAATGACATTATTTTCTTCATTAAAACTTAATTGTATTTATTCGCTAGATTTTTGGATAAAATATTATGAATGAGTTATTGGAATGCTAAGTGTTTTTATTTGGCTTAGCTCACAATTTTACATTTAGTAGCTGTCAGCTTCATTTTATTCGAATTTGCTTGTTGATTAGTCAGCGTTATTTTAATATTAAAATATTTGTTTGACTTACTCGTTTCCGAAACATAAATCTTGTTTAAGCATATCAACTAGATCTTAATCAAGTATTTATATTAGTTTAAGATTAAACTTATTTTTATTGTTTCTCATTTTTTTTAGTGCTGATTGTGCTTATGATAGAAATTTGATCAGTTCAATTTAAAATCTGGTTTATTTAATGTTTTATTAGTTTTAAATAAAATCATATAAGTTATTAACCTTAAATTGGAAATCTATAGATTTATCTTATGAAAAAGCTGTTTCATCTTTGATGATTTTAGGTTTAGGGATGCATTTAAAAAGAGTTTATTGATTATCATCTAGGACTAATGTTTTAAGATTCTCAAGCTCTATTTATTTATTAATAATTTAGCAAATATCAGTATGCTGATTTATTTAGTTAATAGAATTTTCCAAAAATTGCATTCTAGAACTTTTCTAGCATGAAAAGTAATCTATATAACTATTTATATAATCTGATGTTTTTAATTTCGCATCTCTTAATAATTACCTAAAAAAATTTAAATTTGTTAATTAATAAAAAATTTTTTATATTTGATCAGCATATTAATTTTTAATGCTTTAATGCTTCATTTAATTGATATTTTTTTGTTAGAATTAATTCTCTTTATAATAATTGGTGAATTCATTGCTTCTATTTATCTTGTTATGATTTTATTATGGTGCTTGCTGCTGTTATTCAAAACTTTTTTCTTTCTAACCTTCATTTCCAAAAGTATTTAAAGACCCTTCTTAAGGTTAATTAATTTTCAATTCACATTAATTTTCTTTACTCGAGTGCCCTTTATTTTAAATTAATGTATAAATAAATATACTGACAAAAAATAAAAAGATATTTAGAAAAAGATATAAAAATCTTACTTTATTAATTTTCTGTTAAATTAAAAGTCACTGGATCTAAATGGAGAGTATTTGTTTTTTTTTAATTTTAATTATTTTTTAATTAATCTTAATTTTTTGGATATTTTTTGTTTTAACTTAATCTAGAAAACTCTTATTTTGGTTTACTCCTTTTCTTAAAATTGTTTACATCATTGTCATTTTTTATCTAAAAGATCTAATTGATTAATTTTTTTTCTAGCTACATTTTAGCATATGGATGAGAGAACAAGCATCCTATTGCAAAAAATACATTAAATATGCCACCTATTTAGGAGATGGCTTGAGGAAGTTTTTGATAAATTCTACGGTAGACATTTTCCTTGTTTTTATCCATGTATATCTCTATTTCATATATATTTTGATTAGATTCTTAATCTCTGGAAGCTTATAATAATCTGTCTTAGCTAAATACTAAATCTCTCTAATTAACATAATTTTCTCCATAAAAAAGGTTAGTATCGTCAGCTATATATGTGTTTACAAACATTAAATTAATTTATTGAACCATTTCATAATTAGTTCTCCAAAATTATGTCTGTCCGACTGACTAGAACGGATTACTATAATCTCTGATCTATATGATGCGATTGACATAATATATTTATAATTTAGTATTTTCTAACTATTTTTTCCTCTCATGCTATTATTAGCATTTTATTGATTAATTATTCAAATCAGAGCATTCTGTTAGATTAATTTTGAGCATAGTAAAACGATCTGCATCAAATTGTCCTTCAATAAATAGTTAAGAAGTGTCCTTAATACAATACATATTAGTATAATTTAAATTTAAAAAGTAATTTCTGCTATTAGGTTCTTAAAAGCTTTATTCAGTACAAGGAATCACTTAAAATTCTTGAGTTCCCACATCTTCTGTATATTTTTATGTTTAATTATTCCAAATCTTATTTCTATAATAAATTTAGCCATTCATACTGTAAAGGGTTTAATCGATAAAGGGATCTAGATTTTCGTTCAAAAGAGCAAAAGCAATAGAAAAATTTTGAGGATTTAAATCAAATCTTTATGGCTAAGTTACTGAGTTTTATTCAAATATGACTATTGGATCAGTTTTTTTAAGAATTATATTTAGTAAATTCATTGAGTAAACGAGCATCAAAATATAAACTACTACTGAAAACAATCCTCCTAATTTTGTTTGGTACTTTTCCCTTTTGTTAAATTTTATGTTTACGCCAACTCCAAATATGTCAATCTTCTATAAAAATGGTATATCAAGTTTCTCAGGATAGTCTACTTGACTCATTCTAATATTATAGCTATAATTACAATAAGATTTTTCAAAATTCTGTTGATATCTTTGTAAGTATTTTGATAACCAATTTATTTATAATCTAAGTTTTTTGCTCCGCTTTTTTTAAACAATTTTTTACTTATCAATTTAGAGTCTAAATATATTGCTAAATGGAATATTTGGAAAAATTGTCTTAAATTTATAATATTAATTTAATTACCAAATTTCGGTAGTATTTTCCAAAATACCATAAAGAAATTTACCCCACAACAATTAAAATATTTATCATAGGAAAATTAATCTAAAGGATGTTTATCAAAAATCTTAAAATTAGTGGATTTTAATAGCTTATTTACAAACGTATTTTTAATTTAAATATAAGAATTCAAATAGGGATTGTTATAAATATCCTTTTCCCAACTTAATTTTGGTTTTTAGTAATTGTAAAAGATTCAAAGAATTTATTTACTTCATGTATTTTGTACCTTTGTTACAGATATATAAATATTTTGACGTAAACCTCTAGACTATACCACTACAAGAGTTTTATTCACATGTAGGAGTCTAAATTCTAAATTCTTCTAATTTTGGGTTTAATACTAGTAATAATTGTAACAACTCAAACTGATATAGTAAGTTAACAAAAAATATAATGTATGAATTATATTAAATTAAGACATTGTTTATTATAAATTTATTCTTTTTTTTCTTTACTATTTTAGTTTTAGCTGCAATTTTATTATAAAAAGTAAATAGAAAATTAAAAATTATAAAAGCGCGAGTGTTAAAACCTTAAAATTAATAAAAAATGTATCCTATAAAATATTTTTATATTTATTGCTTTTTATTTTTTTTGAATGAAATATTTGATTAATATGTTGATTTATTAAGATAGAAAAAATTTTAATTTAAATAATATTGTTGGAAATAAAATCTTATTTAAATAATAATTCACGAGTGATAAATAGATTAAAATTAAATTTTGGTATTATAAATCATTAACATAGAGGCTAGTTTTTAAATAGAATTTATAAATTAATAGAATTTATTTGTTTACTTTAACAATATATTTTTAATTTTGTTTATTTATTTTATATAATTCAGAATATTTTTAAACTTTTATCATTATTATTTGTTCAATCTAATTATTCATCTGATTTAAAATGTAATTTTTTTTCATTAAATTTAGAAGAAATTAAATGAGGAATTATAGGAGTATCTTTTGATTAATACACTTATTATGGAGATATATTAAAGCTTTCAATAATTATACTTTCGCTTATCTATGAAGAAGATATTTTATTATTAAAAGATAGTAAATTGCTATTTTTTTTAATTTAAGTATTTTAGCTAAAGTTTGTGTTTGCTATTTTAAAAATACTTTCATTTTTTGAGATTGATTACTCTATTTTTTCTTCTGAGTAAATTTATTCTTTAATATTTTATTATTAATGATCTAAATTAATCATCTACAAAATCTTTTGATTAGGATTATTTTTATATTCCTTTTTTAAAATAATATTTTTTTTACCAATATTAGTATCATATTTCTATGTTTATTTCAACTGGCTTTACAAAGCAGATTTATGTAAAAATTCATTTTCATTATCTTCTATCATATTTAGAGCAAACAATGAAATCGAAGGATCCATTTTTATTACATGTTCACTGACAATAGGTTAGGGAATTTAATTAAAAGCTGAGATCTAATCATAATTAAGTAAAATAAATTTAATTCTCTAAAGCTCAATTTATTTATTTATTATTGTGCAAACATCTGTAAATTAATTTATTTTGCTCACACAAAAATTAAATTCAACATATTTGCAAATATTAAAAAAGACTGTATAACTTTTTAGATAATTCTATATTCCTTTAATAAACATTGATGAAATTTTTAAAAAAAAGCTTTTATTTTAAATTTCTAAATCATTTTTTTATATATTTTCAATTATAAATTCATCATTTTCTTTAATTACTTTATCTGCTGAAGCTGCATCAATTTACTTACCCTTACCTTTGGTACTTTCTTTAAATTGAGGTTTTTAATTAAAACTTTACTAAAAAATTAACTAGGTATCGTTATTATTGAATGTATTCATATTATGAGATTTTTCTAATTTAAATGATTATGTCTCAAAAAATCCTTTTAGTTAAAAGATTTTAAATAAATAAATAATTTATTATTCTTTCAATTAAAATACCTTTTGTCTACTGTTAAATACTCTCATTTTACTTTTTTAATATATTATTTTACAGTTCAATTTTGTGATCTAATTTTTTGGAAGAGTCATTTTTTAGTTATAATTTCTTATTTTAAACTAAATTAGAATTATCTCCCAATTTTTTCTTTGTCTTGCTTGCTTATCCTTCACTAAAATTGAAAGAATGTTTTATAATTTTTTTCTATAATTAATATTTGGCATATGGCTTTGTAAATAAGCATCCTAAAGCAAAAATTACATTAAATATACCACCTATTTAGGATACAGCTTAAGGAAATTTTATATAAGTTCTTTTGTAAATATTCTAACTGTTTTTTTCCATATATATTTCTATCTAATAAAAAGGTGCATCTTGGCTAGCTTGTCTTGATCCAAGAAGAATTCTTTCACTACTAAAAGCTAAATCGTTTTCAGTTTCTAAATCTTCTGAATAAAAAAGTCCCATATCATCTTATACAAATTAATTAATAAACATCAAATTTACTTATTAAACCATATTGTAATTAGTCTTCCAAAATTAAGTTTATCCTACCCTTTTGAAAGGTTTCTTTAAGTTCGTTATTTAAACTACACTATTTGTGTAATAGACTTAAAGGTCTGTGTTAGATAAAATATTTTATCTGGTTGTTGGATCTTTGCAATTCGTACTAATACATTCATTAATATTTATTCTTACCATGTTAAATCTATCAGCATCAAATTAACCTTCTAAAAACATCCCACTCTAACCAGGCTTAATGCAATACATTTTTGAAAAGTCTAACTGCATAAAATACGACCTACTTTCTGGCTCTTAAAAATCATTTTCTGTGCATCTTTCCATGACTAAATCTATAGTTCCACTTTCAACATAAGAGGTGCCATCTTAATTTTTGATATTATTTTTGTAAAAAACCTAAGCACTTATTGTAAAAATTGATTCATCGTAAATAGGAAGCAATGTCTATTCATCTAAAAGAGTTACTGCTAAAGAAAAATTACTTGCATCTATATCATGGCGATATGGCTAGCTAATCTATTGTTACTAAAATAGCAAATTAGGGTTTTATTTATAAAGAACTTGCTAAAATAAATTAGCAGAGAATATAATCATAACTAAAATAAGCATAATTGTAAATATTCCTCCAATTCTGGTTTTATAAAGATCTTAACTGTTTATTTTCATATTTACTCCTACTCCAAACATATCTAATAATTATAAAAATGATGCTTTCTTTATTTTTTATTTCATTTTTTATCTTAAAAGTCTTTCGAATATTAATCTAAAATCAGCTATTTTTTTTGTTAATAGATATAATGCTATGAAATAAGCTACGAAATTGATTAAATTGTTTTTAAAGCTGTTTGATTCATTCAATTATTTTTTTGATAAAGCAATAATTAAATTGTAAATACTCTTAAATATTTTGTTTTCTAATCATAATTTTAAATCAAAATAATAAGTACAATTTTAATCAAAAGTATATTGCTTACTCTGAATTTCAATTTGGAATAATTAACATTTACTTCTTGAAAATATTCATTTTGCAATCTATTCGTATATTTTCATAAGAATAGTATTCAACATTTTAAAAAATAAAAAATTTGAAATTATTTTATTGTTTTTTATCAAAATGTATTTTTTTACTAGCAAGCAATTTATTTAATAATAATTTAAACAAAATGTTACTAAAATTTGAATTTAGTTATTTAGTTATTGAAAAAAAAAACTGAAAAATAAATCTTAAATAATTTTTTTAAATAAAAAATCAGTTAAATTATCTTAGACTATTTTTAATCTAAGATAAAAATATTGAATTTAGAACTTGTAGCTCTATTTTATAATAAAATCTCAAATATATTAAAATTTAGCAAATGGATTTCTAAATTCATCTAAAAAATAGCTTAAAAATAAATATTTAAATATTTAAAAAATAAATATATGAATACTTACTTTTTTAACATATTTTTTTATTCAAATTCATAGAAAAAATTTATCAAAATAAAAAAACAGCTTAAAGTACTAATGGTTAGCAGATTTAAATAAATAAATTGAGCATAATAATCTAATATATATTCTTCTCAAGATAAATTTTTCCTAATAGAACTTTGATTATAATAATGTGCCTAATTAAATTCTATTTTACAAAAAATTTGATTATTAATTGAATTTATTATAAAAAAGCTTAATAAAAAACGAGTTATTAATAATCGTTTGAATTTAAGTTTTCAATTAAATTATTAAAAATTCATTTCTGATTGGTTTCTACTAAATAAGCATTAGGCAAATACAAAATAGCAAGCAAGCTAAAGAAGGCGAAACAGAGAAAAGTATTTAAACATACAAGAGCGAATTTAAATGGAAGGTGTTTATGATGTAATTAATTAAAATTTCACTAAAATTCATACAATAAACTAGATTTGTAATTTATTTACTTTATTTGCATAAAATTGTTAGATTGACTTTGAGAAGATAGTTAATTTATCACTACTCAGTGATGAAGATTGGTACTAAATGATAAAAACAAAGTACAGTAGAATTTTTAATGGGTAATCAACTGTCAAAGATGAAAATATTTCAAATGAAGAATTCGAAATGCTTCAAGGATACATGTTAGAGAAATTTAATTAAAATATATAGAGCTTAATTGAAAATACCTTAATTGGTAATCAAGATCTAGTTCAGTAGAGTGAATAGAAGCTAATAAGTCTACTTCTATTAAATGATAAAATTAATCACATTAGTTTTTCAAATTCGAAAGAGCACAGAGGATTTGCTAATTCAGAAAGCGAAGCATCAATAAAGTAGCTCCTTAACATCATTTTCTATACAGATAATTGCTTTCTTCTTGAAAAAACATTTTAGCTTATAAGCCAGCTCAATACCTCAAAAGTCACTCTAAGATAGATTAAGAATCTATTTAAATAATTCATAGGTACTAATGAAATTGTGATTACTGACTTGGAAGCCAACATATTTACCTCATAATTTTACTAAAGTCTTAATCCCTTTAACTATCTCAAATCATTTATTTTAGGTGAGACTGATCAAAGCCAAGGTGGACATTTTGCAGATAGCTAAAATTTTATTTATATCATTCATAGAAAGAAAATAGTTTTGAACATAAACGTTGATGTAGTGTGTGGAAAACAATCATTCTAAAATAACTAAAATACAATATTAGGCAATTAAGGAAGCAATACAAGCAATTAAGGAAGCAATCCAAGCAATTAAAGAATCTCACAATTATCTAATTTGAGAATTTAGGATGCTTATTCATATTAATTTTTAAATTATCATACATAATAACTATAAAAAGATGTTTCAGCAAGCAGCTAATAAGGTATTAATAATGAATTCCAATCAAATGAAAGAAAACACAAATAAAATATGATATACCCATCATATTATTTAGCCAAGCAAATTTTAGGATAAGATGCTGAAATATAAGATGTATTTAGAGTAGCATTTGTAATTAAGTTGTTAAGAAAAAAAGATTGCATTAGGTCTTTGCTAACTTTGATGCTATCATATTTTACAGTTTTTTCTGAAAGAAAAGAGCTTGGTATGAATATCGATTTGGTGTAAATTATCAAAAATGACTTCAGCTGTTTAGTTCCATGTCTATTGTTTTCCCTTCTTGATGATGCATGCAATATTAAAAGAGAAACTAAATCATAGTTTTAGGCTCTTGTGTGCAGCACTGAGTATTAATAATCTCTTTCTAGTAGTGATATGTAACGTTTTATCATACATACAATTGAAACCGATAAAAACTGTTTTAAGTATATTGAACATGATGTTAATATTAATTTATTACCTCCATACATAAGAAGCTATTATAGTTTGCAGAGAACTCATAAAAAGTTAATGTAATGCGAAACTGCAGATTTGTTTACGATTAAGTTTCATGAGTACCTGTTTAATGCTGTAGCTACATTAGAATCAGATATTGATTAAAGGGTATTACTTCATCAGGATTAATTAGAATGTATAGATGCTATCTCATCTTATTTCACCTCCTCTGATCTATCTAAGCTACTGTAAGTTCACATGCTACTTCCTGAATTCTTCTATGAGGAGAAAAAGAAGGAAGAAGAAAAAAGAAGAAGAAAAGGCTAGCTGGTAAAAGAGGATATCAATTAATAGTTTTAATTTGATTTCGAATAATTTACCTTTGGATACCACATTAAAAAAAAATTCCATAAGTTACCTGGGTTAGTTAAATTCTATCTAGCCCTTTTTCTTTCTGAAGTCGCACCAAAATTTTATTTAAATATTATCCAAAGCAATATCAAATAACCAGATAATTTAGAAGATATTGAAAACATTTTGACAGAGAATTTATCAGAAAAAAACTAATAAAGTATTTTTCCTATACATTCTGATGATATTTCATGCTCAGATAAATATATAGATTTTAAGGAAATTGAGGAAGTAACCACTGACTATAAGAAAGAAATTCAAAAATAAGAAATGATTCATCCTATTTTTGATATGACTTTTTCAGATTTGTAAAATCACCTTGCGTCAATAGCAAAGTAAGCCAAAATGAGTATTGGAAATTCATTCATATTATTTAGAAAGACTAATAATCTACTTGTTAATTATAAATTCTCTTATTACCAAATACTGAACTAATCTATAGTACTTTAAAAGATAGTAACACATAAATCAAGAGAATTTCGTCAAAAAGCATTACCTATTGTAGAAGTAAAGTAGTATTTAAAATAAATTAAATTTTCATATTTTAAATTAAATTTTAGAAAATTATTCAAAACCACTCTAATATTTACGAAGATATGAAAAAACGAATTTCTAAATTGTAAGTATGGGAAATCAGCTTACTTCATCACTTAGCTTCTTTTAATAATGATCTGCTTGAAACTTCTGATGATAAGGTAGAAGAATATTTAGAAAAAGAAATATCAGCATTTTAAGCCAATTAAGATGAAGTAAATAAATAATTTTTTTATTTCAAATTATTTTTTTAATTTAAAAACTTTATAGAAATAGCTAGTTCCTTTGCTTTTGTTTAGTTGTAAAATTTTCTAAAAGACATCTTTAAACGATCCTAAAGATGAGATTATACCTGTGAAAGAAAGAATATTTTATATTCATCTTTAAGAATATCCAGAATTTTGCAAAATTTATTATCTTTTAAATGTAAAATATAAGGTAAAATTAAAAAATAATAAAGAAACAATAAAAACTTTCTTTAATATAAAAAATAAATTAGGGACATCTAAGAACTTTATGGAATTTTTATAGTAATAAGCATCCAGAGTTACTCATTAAGGAAATATGTATTTTAAACTTTGTCAGATTAAGCAGCGAATCAGCTATCTTAAACCGTAATACCTATTTTTGAAACAACATTTTAAATAATAATTATTATAAATATAGATAATGAGCTAAATGAGTCATAAAAAAAATACTTTTTATTTTTGAAGAAGAACATTCACTTATTTTAGCAAATTCCAAAGGATTTAGATTTGAGACTTTCAATAATACACTATGACCTCCACAAATCTTATGAATTCAAATATATAAAAGACTTTTATTTATTCTCTTGTTTGCTCTATATGGTGATGTCTCAAAGTGAGTTCAGTTAAAGCTAGAAGTAGAACTTACTAATTTCTTTTTTTTAGTCACTAAACAAAATAAAAGTAAAATTTTTTTTAAATAAAAAATAACCTTTAAATATAAAATTAATAATAGGATTTTAGCTCATTTTCCTCTCTTCTTCTAAATAAAAAACTTTACGATAATGTTTCTAAAATAATTTAAAATTAACCCTAACCAAATAAAGATCTTCTAGTTATAATTTTAAACATAATGAATAATACAGTTCATTAAAGTATATGTGAATTCAAGATAAATTTACTGGTGCTAATCGACTTTAAGGAAATTATATAAAAACAGAAATCTAAAGATTTACAAGACAATATTAAAAAATAAAAAGAACTCTTTTCTTTAATTGGATATTTAGATTTAGTTTTCTATGATGCTCTATTATCTGTAGAAAAAGATAAAAGACAGAGGTTTTTATTTGATGAAACTGATTATGAAAAAATTTCTGATAATTGGAATAAAATAATTAATGATATTTGTTATCTTTAAGAAGAATTATCTTTGTTTAAAAAAAATAAAATAAGTTTAATTTATCATAAATTCTAGGTTTTAAAAAATTAATATTAGTTCAAAATAGTTGATTTAAAAGACTAAGATTATTCTTAATAGCTCAATAAATATAGAGAAACCTTCAATTTTAGTGATTTCTATCCTCAATTTAAAAATAAATTTGATGCTCTTACATACTATGGGATACTTGTAAAAAATTTAGTTGCTAATTCTCCTGTTTATGATTTTTAAATCATCAAAAACACAGCTCAATATATAATTGACTAAATAGAAGAAACCAATACAGACAATCTTATTTAACTTTCACACATTTTAAAGTAAATTGATTTCTTACAAACCTTAACTTACATTTTTTTTAAATTAAAGGAATGTAACAAATATACTTTGCTCAAAATTACCATTTGATTTCAAAAATTTAGAAGTGCTTATAGATATAGAAAAATAAATATAAAAGAATCTTAAAAATGATTAAAAGTAAATAATGTCTTTTAATGACTAAATTACATCTTTCCTTGATAATGTCAAAGAAATAACATTCTCTGAGTAAATGAATTCAGTAAATTAATAAATTATTTTTTATTTTATTTTTATTTATTCAGATCTTCTAAAATTATCTAATACTAATATTTAAAAGTAAAAAATTTTTAAATTTATTCTTTTGATATAAAAAAATCAAATTTATTAAGTATTCCAAGCATTATTAAAATAAAATTAATTTTAATCTTGTAATAAAGTAAAAAAATTTGTTTACTAAAATAGCTAAATGTTAAAAGGTTAAAAAAAACCAAAAAAAAAAATAAATTAGTCAAAAATTATTTAATTTAACAAATAGTTAAATTTTTTAAATTAAAGTATTGATTAAAAATTTTATTTTTTACAATAGGATTTCTTAAAAGTAAACTTGGAGCTCAAATTAAAGAAACTATTTTATTTAGAAAGTGAATAAAAAATTAAAAAATAAATTTAACAAAAGGAAATTCAATGCTTTTTAGATAATAAATATGGATAGTCTGTTTTAAAATTTATACTAAAATCTTTTCCAAATTAGAATGAATTAGTGGAGTTAGCTTAACCTTTAGATTTTGATAAAATATAGACCATTTCATCTAACTCTGAATGTAAAAAGAGTTTACAGGAGTGCAACTCTATAACAACTAAACTTATGGAATGGATGGTTTACTTTTAAGAGTATTCTAAGGTAAAATTTCTTTTTTTTGTTATATTTTATTTAAGTATTTATTAATCAAAAGACAAGTGATTCTGCTAAAAAAACTATAATAAGCTTGTTTGAAGTATTAAAAATAATTTGTGAAGAATATCCATTAGCAGTTTAGCATATTGTAGCTTCCAATTTTCATGTCAAATTATTAGATATTACTCACTCTCTGCAACATCATATGTTTTAAAAGAGAAAATTGTAAGATTCAATAAATTCGATACATATTTGATAATTTTAATTTTTTATCATAATATAAAAAAGATCAAATGGAAATCATAGTAATTTTTCGCCTTTTCTGCTGAATTAAGACTATGCATTTTATAAAATTAGCACTGAAAATTATATTTCTTCATCTTTATGCATTAAAAACCATCTTATTCAGCATTTAATTTAAATTTTCTAGTAATAGTGTTTGGATTTTCTTCAATCAATAAAAGAAGGAAAGTAAGAATAAAATGATGAATTATATGAAAGTTAATAAAACAAATCTCTCTATATTCAAAATTAAATAATAGAATTATTGGTTGATATTCCAAAAAATGTATCATAGCCTATAGCTCATCAAATTTTAATTAATTGTGAATATTTATTTTTGAATTATACTGATATCTTCTTTCATTTAAATGCTTTAATCAAGCTATTTCATATTACCCTAAACTTTCTTTTATAATCATTTTATGCTGATCCTCTTTTGAATCCTTAGAATTTACTTAAATTAAGGTAAAATGTTTTTGTAAAATATAATTTTTTTAATATTATTTTGTAATTTATTAGATTCTTGTAATTCCTAAACTTCAATTAATCCTTCAAAGACAAAGAAGAAGTATTCAGAAAAAGATAACAATTAAGCTAAAATAAGATTGAGAATCATTTAAATTTATACAAACTTTAAAATTTACCATTTTTAGAGTCAGATCAATTTAGCAAACCTAGCGATAATTATTTGCACAGTGATATAGATGAAAAAAATGAAGAGTCTAAAATTTAAGATTTTAATATTTAGCACAATCAGTAAAACTAATATGAAATAAATTAGCACATAGATGTGGTTTACATACCAAACTACTAGAATTTTTAATTAGATGAAGGGTACACAGTGCATAACAATAGCGAGGTTGATTAAGTAGATAATAAATATAATTTCAACTTTGACTATGACTTAAAAAATGCTATCAAACAATCCTCAAATAGTCAAGTAAAAATTATTTTGTATTGAATATAAATTAATTTAAAATATTTAATGATTAGAATCTTTAAATGACATCGGTTGAAAAATCTAAAATTGAAAAATGTATTTAAGAAATTTTACTTAAATTCCCTGTTTTTGATTCTTGCTTTTTTGAGAAAATTTTCTAAAACTCCTAATCTCACAAGAATTAATCTTTGAATTAACTCTTGATTTCCTTAATGAATCATCCTTGGAATTGCATGGAGATTTTAAATATTGTTTTTAGGTAAAGCTTCTAAGAGAAATCTGTTGGCTAAGGAGTAAATATTTAATACAACTAAATCGTAGAAACAGCATTAAAAACCTCTTTAATACACTATCCTCTTTCTAAAGGAGTATATTGCAAAAAAGAAAATTAAATAATTTTAGGAGAACACAACCCTCAAATTGATTTAACTCATAATATATTTGAGATGGTAATCAATTTAAATTTTATAATAAATACAATTAAATATAACAACTCTTACACAAATATCTAATTCAAATTTTTAATTATAAATTAGGAACAAATTCCTTTAATACAAGTACTTCTTAGGTCTCCTTAGTTTTCTAGGATATAGGAACATGTATGGATGATAATTAAAAATGACATTAATGCAGAGTTTCCAAATATTTATTAGAATGTAGTTATTACATAGAATCTAATTGATATGGTAGCTATAAATATTACTTCAGAAAAATTACCTTAGTTGATGATCAATATTATTTAGAACTAAGTCCAAATTATTGATATTATTAAATTTTTAACACCTCATTTAGAAGAGACAACCAATTCTAGTTTTATTTATTATTCTCTTTTTGCTTTAAGGAAAACTTTAGAGAAATTTATATCAGAACTTTCTCATGATAGTGATGTAACTCCAATTATTAACTCTACTTTATCTCAGCTAAGAGAGTGGATTATTGGAAGAAGCGAATTTGTTGAAAAATAACTAAGTAATTTATTTATTATATTTTTAAATATTTATCTAATTTTACTTCTAACAAAATAGCTAACATGTTAAAGAAATGCACTTAATTTATCTAAGATTAAGTAAGCAAGTTTTATTCTATGAGACCAGAATAATTAGATGATATTGAAATAGATTTAGAGAATGTATCAAAGAATTTCTAGGTTTTATGGAAAATAATAACAAATATAAAGAAAGACATAAAGATGGATATACAGGCTTTAGCTGAAATCAATCTAATTTTAAATTATGCCTTCCTTGAAACTGGTCAGCTACCAATTATGAGATAAAGAAAACAATCTAATGAAGTGTCATTAACTAGGTCATTTTAGGATAAAAATGAGTTTTAACAAAGCACAAATATTTATCAATATCACAGCGAAGATGAGTTTTCAGAAGATTTCTTAATCTCTAAGCTAGCTTCGATGAATGAGTTAACAAAGAAAAGTAATATATTTATTTTTCTATTTTTTTAAGTCTTATTAAATCATGAATAAAAGGTGTAAATTTTGAGAGAAAGCTTTGGGAATTTTTTGAGTAAATTTCTGAAACACTGGGCCCTGAAATAATAGGAAGAGATGTTTACATTCATCTCCTCAACTTGCTAAAACCTTCTTTGAAAAAATCAGAACTGATGAGACATCTAAGATCAATTGTGTATGGGAATCAGTTTACATTTGCTAAATAAACCAGGCAAATAAATATTTTCAGAGATAATATTTGGACCTCTACTGTTGAAGAGATGAAAGAATATACAACAGATGAATGGCTCAGAGCAGTTTTTTCTATTAAATTTAAATCTAAAGTCGGAGATCATATCATTGATGAGATTGGTAATTTCCCACTTTTTTTATAGTATTGATTGAATAGATCAAATATTTTAAATATAATGCATTTATATATCATCTAACTTTAATTATTTAACTATCAAAAAGGTATTGATGCAGGTGGACTCAAAAATCATTGGATTTCTAAAGTAGTTGAACAAACTTTTTTGAATAACAAAGAATTATTCACCTTTACTCCTAATCAGATGTCTGTTTATCCTAATAAAGATGCTATTTCAAAGAAAGCTTTAGAATAAATAGAATTGCTGGGAAAGTTTGTGGGTAAATCTATGATGGAAGACTGGTCTCTAATGCTTAGCTTTGCTCCTTTCTTTATAAAGTCTGTATTAAAAAGAGATTTAAGTATAGGTGATTTCTACTCTTACGATTTCAATTCAGCTTAATAACATTAATGGTTATTAGAAAATGATATTAACGGTTTAGATTTAGGTATAACATTTAGTTATATAAGCTACTCTAATGGAGCTTCCAAAGTTATAGAGCTTAAAAACGATGGTTAAAATATAGAAGTCAATGACTAGAATAAAAAAGAGTATATTTAATTATACTGCAAAGCTAAAATGTAAGACGAAATAGCTCTCTAAACTTAATATTTCTAAAAAGGTTTATTTTCTATTATTCCAGAAGATGCTTTAGAGGCACTTGAACCAGATGACTTTATTTCATTTTACCAAGGAGTTTAAGAAATTGACAGTAAAAATAAATTTATGAATAAGCATTTAAAGTGATTAATATTTATAAAAATACAATAGTTTAGTACCTTAAGAAAAAAATGAAGTATGAAGGATTTAAGAGCACTGATAAAATTATTGAGTGGTTTTGGGAAATTCTCAAAGACTGGGATAATGTATAAAAGAAAAAGTTCCTCTCAGCACTAACAGGTAAGTTAACTAAAATTTAATTTTGTATTTACCCATTTTCTAAAAATAGAAATTCCTGGCATACCTGTTGGAGGTTATCCAGTTAGAGATGTATCAACGGGTAATGTAAAATAGCTTACAATAAGTTTTTTAAATTGCAATCCAGAGTCGTTACCTGTTTGGCACACTTGTTTCTTTAGAGTAGATATACCTAAGTATAATTCTAAAGAGTAAATGAAATAAAAAATAGAATAATCGATAAACCTAAGTTGTGGATTCCACATTGCTTGAATGAGTTAACCTAACTTATAAGTTGATAACTTTTTTGCATAAATGGAAACATTTTAAAAGTTTAAATTTTTATAATTTAATTATTTAGACATGTAACTCACTCACTCACTAACTAATTACATTTATCTTTACTTATACAATTTTTATAAAACTATAATTATTATTTACTAATACTATGTTACTCATTATATAAATGTTACTTTGATGACTATAAAATATATAAATAAATAAAATATAAATTTAATTCCTTCATTTCAATTAAATTTTTTGTAAAATACAATTTCATATTTGTTTCAATTTATCATCATAAATTTTTATTCTTAATTTTACTATTATTTAATAAACAAAGATAAAAAAGTTAATAGAATTATAACTTAAGCAGTGAATTTCATATTGCTTCAATATTTTTTACTCATCAATGTCAAAAGTGTTAAATTTGATACAAAAAGAATTAGTCTTGTTTTAAATAAAACAACAAGAAAAGTGAATAGGTTGGCGTATAAATAAATATTGAAACATTTAAAAAATTTAAATATTTTAATTAATAAAATAAATTTATTTTAGATGGAGATTATTTTAATGCTTCAGCAAAAATTTACCAAAGTTATATTATACATATCATAAATGTTGGCTTGTTAGACAATTATTCATGTAAATAGATAAATTTGAGAATACAATTAATTATTTTATAAAAATAACCTCTTTATTTCTAATTTTCATAATATTTTTTATTTGCTTTTATCTTTTTGAATAAAACAAGTGGTTGTTATTATTATTAATTTAGAATAAGCTTTGAACATTATCATAAAAAAAGTAAGAGTTAACATTTTAATAAGTAAATTAAAAGATGTTTTTTATTGCTTCCTTGTTCTTTTTAATTCAAGTGCATTTTTTCAAAAGTTTTCTAAATCAAATGCATTTTAAATTCTAATTAGATCGTTTTTATATTTGTCTATTTGCTATTAGTCTTTCAATAAATTTAGTACATAAACAAAATTTTCAGTTATTTTTTAAACTAATGGATGGAAAAAGCCATATAATTATAATGCCATTTCTAACCCTTAATAAAAGAATTTTGCTGAACTTTCAAAATTATTTTGTTAGTAATAAATGCAAGCTAAATTGTTAAGAGACAACTATATCTTTGGATGAGGACTTTTATAAATTTATTGGATAATCTCTAAAGACTATATACAAAATTGTAAAGCAGAGTTGAAATCACCTGTTAAATAATAAGAGTTACTCATTTAATCTAAAGAATCAGCTAGCTATTCATTTTTTGCTTTTCCATAAATTATTTATCTCATTTAAAGAGCCTTTTCTGCATAATAGAAGGATTTTTCTGAATTGTTTAGTAATTGGTAAGATGTGCTCATTCTGTGTAAACTTTAAGCAATCAACTCATGGTTACTATTGTTATATATAGATTGTATCAAATTCAAGCTGCTTTAAGCATATTAATATCCTAATTCATAGTTTCCTTATCTATTGTACACCAAACTTATCTACTCTAAAATCTAAGCTTACTCTTATCTTTCAGTTGATTCTTATTCTGCAATATCTAGTGCTTTCAAAAATAAATCTAATGATTCACTTAGTTAGCCAACTTCAAGATAATTTTTAGCACTATTTTAGTATAAATTCATTTTACCATGTGCTTAAATATCTTGCTATTCACTTAAGAAGATTAGTATTAATGAATTATACAATTTATTATGTAAAGCATAAGAAATGTTGTTAGCATTTTGATAAGGATCTTCTCTTAACTAATTACTAACATAATTTTATAAAAATATTTGATTATTGATAGTTAGTGGTAGTAAAGGTAGTAAATTAAGCAATATTTCATAAGAGTCGCATCTCTTATGAGGGTCTTAATTGAAACATTTTTTACAAAATAAATCGTAAACATCATCGAACTCAAAGGATTTTTAACATTCTTCGATAGAAGAATTTGAAAAAGTAGAAGATTATTAAAAGTCATTTAATAAAATGTTTAATGCATTGAACTTTGATAAGTTAAAATTAAGAACTTCTAATATTACCAAACAGAGCGAATAAATATCAGTCTTATGAGTAATTTTAATAGATTGGTCTTTCTCTATTTTATATGATATTTCTGGTGATATATAGTTTTAAGAGAAAGCTAAATAATATATTTTATATTCTTAATACTTTTGATTTAGCTTTGAGAACCCTAAGTTAGCCAACTTATAATTTCCATCCAAAGTTTTAACCACATTTTCAGGTTTGATATCACAGTGAATAAGCTTTTACTGATGGATTTGTGTTAAACCAATGCACAGTTGAATAATTATTTAACACATTTATTCTATTGAAAACCACTCATTTTTTTGTCTGAGCATTTATATTTCTTATTCTAATGTGTAAGAAAATAATTCTTGAACAACCACACAACACTTAATGCTTGTAATATAATGAACATTATAGATTTGATTCACATAATTTTTTTAACACTTTTCAAAAATATTTTTTTTATTTGAACCATAAACTACCTCCCACTCTCTATGAATTTGCTCAGCCTTTTATAAAGTTTCTCTTGATATTTTTAAGCCAGTATTTATCTATTATAGGCTACAATATGCTTTTAAGTATAAATGATAATTAGATTCATACATATATTATATATCGCAGAAACCAATATTAAAAAGCTCTGTCTCTAATTAAGTTAAAACCTATTTAGATAAAAGTTAGACATATTATTTCCAATCACTCATATTCTTTAATCGCAGCTATTATTTTTTATTTTCTTTGTTTAATTAATTTTTTTTCCAGTATTAAATTTTGCAAAATTAATAATCTATCTAATATCTCTTCTTTTTTAAGCAATTATTGATTTACCTACTTACTCATAAATATTACTATGTAATCAAATTCATTGATAGATAATTAAATTTGGTAATTAACTATCTTTGAAAATGAATAAATAACTAAATTAACAAATATCTAACTAATTCCACTCTTATTTTTATTTCTCTTTTTAAAATATAATTTCATATTTAATTAATATTTTTGCATATAAAATTATTAAAGATGAAATAATAATTTTGTTAGTTGAAATATTTAAATTATATTTTAATTCTTAAAAATTATTCTTAAGGTTTTTTTGGAAGAAGAAAAAAATAATAAATAATTTATTTTATAAAAAATTTGTTTTCTTATTTATAATTCAAATAATAAAGTAGATATATTTTCTTTGTTAATTAAATTTTTGTATGTGAGCAACAATTGATAAACTTTAAAACAATAGAAAATACTCAAAATTAATTAATCAAAGATAGAAAATAAAAACAATAATAAATACTTATTAAATATTCTGAGAATCATAAGTTAATAAATTTTTAAATATGAACATTTTCTTAATGAAAATAATTAAAAAAGAGATATTTATAATAATTTATTTAGATTAATTTAAAAAACATTTTATAATTTTTCTTTTGATATTTGAAATTTTTGATAAAATTTTAATGTAAAAATAAGGAATAAATTTATAAATATTTATTTTTTAATAATTACTTTTATTCTATCAAATTTAATTTTGAAGAAAATAAATTTCTAAAAAAGTTTTTATCAAAAATAATTAAATCAATCTTTTAATGATTTGTAAAAATGTTAAGATAGTTTGTTTTAGAAAGAAAAGATTGATGTTTTTTAATTCATAAAAAAACTTTTAGTAATACTTTAATTGCGATAAACTAGATGAACAAAAAGATTAGCAGGAAAAAATATTTTCTGTTGAGAGATTAAAACTAAAAACAAAATCAATATAAAATAGTAATAGGTATTATTTTATTCAATATATAAAGTTCATGACTTCTTACATCTATAATATAGACACTTATTGCTCATTGCATAAATTTAATCCAATTACATATCTATCTTAACTTTCAACAAATTAATGATCTTAAAAATTTGTGTTTATATTTTATCTTTTTGGATAATCAGCAAATTCTATTAAATTTTAGCTAAGAGATATTCTGAGTTCAATTATTTAACCAATTTTAGGTTAGAAGGATAACTCAGCACCTTTTATTATATATGAGCACTCCTTATTTCCTATTTACCATTCAGGATAAAAAGTTTTTGAAAAATAAGAATTAGGTTCATCATATGCAACTCTTTGAAGTAAAAGGGATTCATTCGAAACACCTATTGTAAACTTTTTTTAAGGGTTCTTATCAAATTAAAGTAAAAGCGTATATTTTTTATCAAATTCAATTTCAAAATCAAAATAGTATTGAGCTTCGTCATCAGCACAAGAAATAAAAGTTATTTTGTTATCATTGTACTTAATATACCTCTTTAAACTAAGTTTCTTCCCTTAAAATGATGAATAATAGCATTTTTTGGGGCAATTTAGTACATTTATTTCAGATAAATTATAATTTTTTATAACTTAATTTTGAACAATTTATTTTTTAGTTTAAGTTTTAATCAAATCAATAGATTCTTTTAAATTTTCTAATAAGTCTTACTCATTTTTTTCCAAAATACCTAATTTTAAATTATCTTACTATAATTCAAATAGTTCTTTTAGATAATTGATTAAATTTTCTGCCTGATTAAAATTTAATTGAATTAAGCAATCAAAAAGAGTCTATTCAATTTAATCCAATAATTAATTTTGCGGTAAATACTTAAAAATCAAATCTTTAATAGATTTTAATAGATTCTACTTTTATTTCTGACAATCTAACAATAACCCAATAGAGTCTTAGAGAGGATCTAGTTTTTTATCATTTTTAGAAGAATTCATTGCCTTAAAAATATAAATTAGATCAATAAACAATCGCTTTATATTTTGATCCAAAATATTATCCTCTTCATCACTACTATCTACTTTTTATTTAGCTTTAAGGCTTTTATCTTTTGGTAGCATTTCACCTTTTTCAAAAATATATTTGAAGTTAGTAATCAATTTTTTTATTTAAATATGTTACTTTTATCCTGATTTGATTGGCTTAAATAATCTACCTCCTTTATTTTCTTCTATGAATGTTACTTTGAGGATGTTTTATTCAGTTTTTAAATTTTCATAATAGGTTAATCAATTTGATTAATATTTTTTCTTTTGTTTGACATTTTTGTAATTGAATTGCTTTTTTTTTAATAAAATAACAAATAATACAAATTTTATATTAATTTTTGAACAAAACATTAAATTAGTTTTTGTAAATGAATATATTTGTTATAACTAAAATAAATATCTTATTCATTAATAGCTTAACACTTTAATTAGGATTAATTAAGAAAGTGTTGACAAAAACATAGTTTTATAGCCATAAATTCTAAAAATTGCATTTATAATACATAAAAAGCATTTAAAAGTAAAGCTTTGGTTTTAAATTAGTTTTTAGTTAACAAAAATTTAATATTTATGATAATTTATTAATCTATCTTCTAATAATCTTTTTAAACAAATAATTTATTAATCTATCTTCTAATAATATTTTTAAACAAATAATTTATTTAGTTAAAATAAAAAATTGTAATTTATTGAGTGTTGCTGTTCAATATTTTACCTACTTAATACTTTATTTTAATTTTTTATTTTTAAATATTTAACAAAACCATAATTTTTCTTTTATTAACACTCATTTTAAAAGTTTGAAAATCTTAACTCAAAATTAAAAAATGTGTTTTCAAATGGATTTAATTAAGGAGGATTTACAATATTTATTTTTAAAAATATTTAAAATGCAATATTAAAGAATATCCTTGATCCTATTTTTTTTAATTTAAATAAGATTTATTAATTATTATTAATAAAAAATTCTAAATATTGATTTAATTACTAAACTTCTTAAAATTTATTGCTTATAAAATTTTTAATTATGATTTGTTGATTGAAGTATATTTAAAAAGTGATATTAGTGAGTTATTTAAAAAATGTATATAATTTTTACAATATTTAGATAATTTATTATTAAACTATTTTACTTTATTTGCAAACAATTCTATTATTCAATTTTTAATAATTTAATGCAATCAAAAATTCAAATTGTATGAATAAATATTGTAAAAAGATTATTAATTTTAATTAATTAATACTTTATTTGTTAAATAGTTATTTCAAAAATCAATAATTTTATTTTATATTTAGAAAATATTTATTTTTTCATTGTAGATCAATTAAATTTTTATGAATCAAAGAAGAGCTCTGTTTTAATCTACCATTATCGGTTGTTAATTTGGTTGGATTTGCATAGTTTAAAGAACAGGAGCATTAATTGGCTATTAGTAATAAACTTATTATTACTGTAATGGATATGTTTACTATTAATAAATAGTTTATGGTATTTATTGTTGCTAATTATAAACTTAAGGTTATACAACTATTTATTATTAGTTATACATTTAAGGTTAAACATTAGCTTGTTACTAATATTGAAATTAAGACTCCCCTAATACTTATTAATTGTTATTCTACTATGGATATGGAATCACTTGCTAATTAGTACTATATTACTAACTAGCTAATTATGGTTGAGTATACACTTGGTATTAGTTCATCATTTGTTATTATCCTTATGGTTAAATGTATTAATTTGGTTAAACTTAAATTTATTGAGGCTATAAAATTGGTTAAGCAACATAGGATGGTTAAACTGCATATTAAGTTTAATCTGCCATTAAAGGTACCAACATTTAAGACTATCCATTTATTGGTTATTGCTAAAAACTATTAGCTTAATTAGCAGTAAACCCCATTTACTATTAGTTCATTTATTATTATTAAATCTATGCACCACCTTATTAATAACCTGATAACGATGGCTAGAGTAATACAGGATTCCAGTTTAGAGGAGCTTGAATATTCATTTATTGAGGTATATTCTTAATATCATAAATTAAGGTATTTGTTGGATTAATTGCTACTTCAATTATGTGAGGTTTACTTTCGCTTATCATCAAGCATGAGTCAATTTTTGGAGTTATAATCAAATTATATTTAAGATTTATTAGTGATCCATTACAACTCAAATTTACATTACCTGGTATAGGAATTTATACTTTTTGTTTAAAATTTATAGAATTTACGTTAATCTCTTACTCTTTAACTAACAGCTCAAAAGTTTTAACCTTTTCAGTGTTATTTGCTTTTATAACTAGATCACCTTTTAGTGTTATCTTCAAGCCACTAACTTTGTTGCTATATTAACTAAAATCTATATCTAAATCCACCTCACCTTAACTGTTGGGGCATAGCTATCTTGAGTTTAAGTTTGCATTATATTTTATTTATCCAGAATTGCAGCACCAGCATGATGTAGGCTCTTAAACTGAATTTGTAGTATTAGGTAGCTAGTAGGTAGGAATTTATTATCCGATAAATATTTCTTAACTTCCTGTTATTGGTCTTACATTAGCTTCAGTAGATATAAGTGAGGCAACCAATTAATATTTTAAACTGCAATTGTTATTCGCATCAAAAAAATAATTAATTGAAGATGGAAGTTTTTCTGCAACTGTTAACTGAAATGGGATAACAGCTTGTATTGGTTATATAACAAAAGCAGAATCTAAAGTGCCTACAGCAAAATCATAAACAGGGATAGTAAAGTCCACAAATTAATCATAACCTTTTGCATGAATAGTTTTTATGCTAACATGTTAGCCTACTCTATGTTGTCCTATGTAAGTAAAATGAGTTTCTTCAAATCCTTAAAGACTAATTTACAGTAAATGCCCTTAGAAAGGTTCCTCTAAATTTATACATATTTATCCTTCGATGGTTTCGTTACTTGAGAAAGCTGTTTTTACAAGCTTAATTAGAATCCCTCCTTTAACCTATCTTCTTTTGTCAACACTGCTATTACTTTAACCCATTTACTTTTATTAATATTATATTACACAAATAAATTAATACAAATAATTTGTTTCTACTTCTTCAATAATAATTAGTAGATCAATGCATTGTCTAATATGTTTAAAAAACGATAAACAAATATATTTGGTAAAAATAATATATCTAATTAAATGAATAATTAGTATAAAAAAATTACATGAAAATCTAATTAGAAATGATTTTGATATTTTTAGTTTTACAAATAATTTAAGTTTTATTTTATTTGTTTACAAACTAAATTGGTAATTCATTTTAAAAATTATTTCTGTATTTATTACAATAGCTATGAAATATGATTAAAATAGTAATTTATTTCAATAATGTTTATTTCTTTCAAAGCAGAAAAAAAAAAAAAAAATTAAATTTTAAATGTTTGCTTTTCGTTGTTGTAATTTACTAAATAAAAACTAACTAGCATTAATTAATTATTAAGTTCATATCAAACAAAAGCAAACGGTAAAAATTAAAAAATTATGAAAAATTAAAAAATTATATTATGAAAAGCAAAATCAATTTTGGCAAAACATATTTTTGTTAACCAAAAAATATAAAAAATAAAGTTTATAAGAATTAATTATTCAACAATAATAATCTTAATGTTACGAAATTATATTTAATATACCAATTTTTTTATCTCTTAATTTTTTAATCAACTCATCTGACTAGCTTATTAAATTAAAATTCTATTGAGACTCTCCTTAGCTCTAGTAGATTTCTTTATCGAGGTTAATAAAATGCTTATATAACCAGTCTTGATAATCAAATAGCTAATCTATTTAATTTTTTATATTATTAGAATCATATTGTGAATTGTTAGATTATTCACAAAATGTAATTATTTTGTTGATATTTTCATCCATATAATTAGTAATATTAAAGTGTTTTCTATAATTTTGTAACTTCTAATGGGCTTATATAAATAATTCATCATTTAATTTTATATTTTTTTAGTCTTCATACTATAGATTCTTTTGTTTAATAATTTGCTATTGTTTCTTGTTTTATTTTTATAATAAAGACATAGACACTGATAGTTTTTTTATATTTTCTTTATAAGCCTCAATCTCTTCCTGTTTATTTTTATTTTGTATTGAGGCATAACTTACCATTTCTATGGAAGTTTACACTTCCTTTAATTTTATATCTAAATTCACTAGTTTTGAATTATAAGATACTTAAAATTAATCTGTATTTTCATTTACTTGATGCTAGTTAATTCCTACAATATTTTAACTTACCAAATTATTTTGCTTTAGAGCGATATTATTATCCTATTAAATATTTTGATTACTCTAATCATAAATATTTATTTTTTCACCTTAATCTAATAATTTACAGTTCTCTTCGATTGCATTTTTTTAGTTTCTTTTAACTTTTTTTTTTCCACGTATTTTTAATTTTTGAATACTTTTTCTATCAATTTTGTATTCATCAGAAATAAGCAATTTTCTTTTCAAAGCTGGGTTTTCAATAGCATAATCCTATAATATAATTAATTAATTAATTAATAATTTTAATTCAATATTTGCTTACAGTTGAGAATTCCTTTACAATGGCCTCTTCGTAACTTAAAGTTTTATTTTTATCAATTTCCTCTTCATCATAAATTTAATCTTCATCAATCTTGAATAATTTTTCACTAATAAACTCTAAAGGTATGGCAAAATTTATTACTGAGAGAACTATTCCTATAATTGAAGGGACATAAGGTCTATCTAAACTATTAGATAGCTTAAAAAATAGAAAAGCTGTAGAAGAATATATTATCAAACCAATTTTTAAAATAATCAAAGAGCTTTAAGATAACTTTGTTCCGAAACTGACTAATACAACTCTTCTATAAATTAGCAAATACTTTTTATCATTTAAATAAAATAATTAAATTACAAAATATGTTTCAAAAAAAGAATTTTATCTTGAAAAAAAAGTTTTATGAAAACAAATTTATATAAAAAAAAGTACTTTAGCTATAACATATTGTATTGCTAGAGCAATAAAAGACCACATTAAGCATAGGGGCATAACTGAAGTATAGAAAAACATCATAAATATTGATTTTAATGTAGTTGCATACTGAACAGACAATTAAAACTCAGGATCTTAAAACAATCTGTTTTTTTTTTAAATTAGTTAATTAAAAATTATTTGTTTTTAATAAAATTTACTCTTAAGCTTCCCTTTATGTATAAGTACATTTATTTTATTCTCCCAGTTTTTTTTATCTGTTTCTATTAAATTACTTCCATCTGTAAGAAGGGTCAAAAATAAAAGTCATTAAGATGGGCAAAAAGGCATTTGTCATAAAAATCGAATTTTAGTTAAGAATTAATCCAGCTTTTAAGCATTAAAACAAATTCAAAATTGGCACCAATTTCAAAATTAAATTTTACTTGGACTGTATAGAATGGAATAATATGAATCTGCGGAAGATACCATTATGAGCAAAAGCAAAGGAATAACTGTAGAATTAAAGAACTAAGTTAAGCAAAGAATAATCATGAAAGATGTCTACTCGCTTGTTTTCATTCTAAACTTTTTGAGTCTAAAATAAAAAAATGATTTAGCTAAGTTTTGTTGTAATTTAATTAAAATATTTACTAATTTATTTTTTCGACTAATCTAACTAGAACTTCATTAATTACAGTAATAAAAATTGAGATACCAAGTGAGATTATTTATATAATAAATTTTTCATAATTATTAGGTTCAATCGAATTAGACTTAGTGTAGGAATACTGAACGTCTGCAAGTCCATATATTGCCATACCAGCTAAGACAATAAGGGCAATGTTCATAAAGAACCCAAAACCTATTCTCAACTTTCTTACAGTTTTTGTTGTATAAAGATTACTCCAGCAAATATCAGTTGGATCAGGTGCTTACTATAAAATTTAAATTATATTAAAAATAGCTTAAAAAAGTAAAAAATAAATACCTCGAATTGTAGAAGTTTTCCTTAAAATTTTAAATCCTTTTTGTCCATTTTTTTTGTTTTCTTAAGAAATTCCTATAAGTCTATTAATTAAATTTTAATTATGAAGCAAATTTAATCAACTAAAAATAAATATTATATACCTTTTTAATTATTAAATGATAAAAAAGCTTATCCAATAAAATTATATCTCATAAATTCTTAATCTTCATCCTCTCCCACAAAACTGTTATAGCACTTATTTTATATTTCACTTATTCTAGTAATTTTTCTTGTTTCTTCATATTTTTTGTCTTCGATTTCATCAATAATTTTCTATTTTTTTTCAATACCTTTATCATCTCTAGGATATCCAATCTCTTTTAATCTATTATTTAATTGTTCGATCTCTCTTAAGAGCTTAACTCTATCTTCTGTGTGCTAATTTAACTCATCTAAGTTAAAGCAAAAAGACAATCTGAAAATTTTGCCTTCAGTTTAAAATTTTTCTTTTAGATATTCCTTTTTAAATTTTATAAAAAGTAAAAATTAAATTTTTAAAATAATAAAAATAATAAAAGAAAGTTCATTTTTTTTATATTAATAAGAAATTCATTTAATTAAAATAAAATTTTAAAAAATTTAAATAAAATATAAATGTTTTTTATTCTTAAATTAGCAAATTTAAAGCTAAATTTTTAATTTTTTATCTTCTAAAATTATTTTTTTAAATAAATTAAATTTAAAAACTTAATAATTTGAGCAAAATATTTTTAAAATAAATAAAAAATTACTTCAAAGCATTCTTTATAGCTTAAATAAAATTCCTTTTTAACTATAGCATTATTATCCTTTTTATCAGTATTATCGGCATTATTTTACTTTTTTGGTTTTAAAAGATCCATTTTCTTTTGAATCTAAGTTATAAAAACAGTGTAATCGTTTGGCGTAGTAGTTTTAATATCTATTCTGAATGATTAAATTCTGAAGTTTATTTCCATATACTGAATAAACACAATCAGAGCTAAGATTGTGAATAAATTTAAATACTCTTAAATTAATAAACTTTTTTCATCATTTCTTCTATTACCTAGTGTAAATTGTGATATCCAATTCAACTAGCAAGTATTTTAAATTTATTTTTTTGCTGCTGAAAGCGTATAGCCTTAATCAATTAATTATTATAAAGCTTTAGCTCCATCTTAGCAAGAATTTCCACTTCTTGCATTTGTAATTATATTGACTAATCCGCTAGTTGCAAATATAATTAATATTAGGATATAAATCATTTTAAGGAAACTAAAAAAGAGAGGATATGCAGGGCCTAAAAATGAAAAATCAATAATATCAGATTTTAATTAGAGTTTAAAATCTATTTTTAATCTTCCACAACAGCTACACTGCTTGTCGTCATCATCATCATTGTTTTTGGCAACTTAATCTTGCTGTTTGTTTTGATTTTGATTCTCTAGATCTGAGTTTTTTGTTTAATTTAAGTTTGTTTATTCATCATTATTTTCTGTCTCTTCATCATAATACAATCTTAGTACTTTCTTTAAAAATCAAAAGATATAAATTAATTTAAAAACCAATTAATTAATCAATGAATAATATAAAGTAAGTAAATAAATAGGTACTTAATGCTTTTCAGCTAATTTAAAATCTGGAGGAAATACATCAAGATCACCTTATTTAATTACCTCTAAATTTTTAGCAAGCCTTTCTTAATTTGAATTATCAACGCTGTTTTTTCAAATATTTATTTTAATAAAATATATTTTCATGTTTTTTAATAAGAAATTAAATAGATAAAAATGAATGATTCATCGTAAATAGTTTTACCCTTATCCATTAGCGTTATTGCCATCTTTTTTAGATTTATTATTTTTGTTTCTTTTTTTTTTCCCTGATTTATCATCTGTTATTGGATCTTAAGCATTGATATTATTATTTTATTTGTCCTAGTTTGGTATTAAATTTAAATTTAAGTCAGTTGCTGACGTGTCTGAAATACCAGACATTTTTATCTATCAAGCAAATTTGTAAAAATTAGTTGGATGTTTTGCCTTTCTTTTATTTTTTAATTAACTATTAAAAAAGTATCAATTATAATCATACAAAAATCAAGTTTATAATTAAGCACAAGCTATTATTGTATAGTATTTATTATTTTTCATAAAACTACATCTCAACTGAAAAGTACAATCAAGGACAAATAAGAATATAGGATTAGTAAATTTGAAGTATTTTTTAATACTTAGGTATAGCAAAAGTATTTTATTTAATCAGTATGCATTTTGAGATGCTTATAATATTTCTAAATCATATTTAAAATTGAATTATATTAGATTACAAAATACTAAATTAAAAAATCTAGTGGTTTGGATACCACTAGAAATTAAATTTGTATATCTTAAAGAATAGTAAATCAATTATAAAAAAATTTAAAATAGATTTAATGTTAATCCTGAAATTAAAATATCACCAATTGTATATGCGCAGATGCTGATCTTTCATTTAATTTTTATTATAATAAGCTAATTTTATTCATACAAATACTATTTTTATCAAATTTTAAAACATTTTTAATAGTTAAAATGCCTTTTCACAAATTTAAAACCTAAATAAATTTTTTTACACATTTTCGAAAGCATTCTATTAATAAAATTTTAGAATATTGAAATATATAATCGATAAATTGTATATTGGACCAATTAAGGTATATATTATTTAAATTAAAGGTAAAAAAAAACACTTTTAAATACTAAATATCTATTTTGAAGAAATAGATTGATGATTTATTTTAAGTAAATTAAATTATTTATTTATTTTTAAAGAAATCTCAACTTTTTTTAATAGTTCTTTTGAGAAATAATTGAATTTTTAACTTAGGATTTAAATAAGATATTATTAATTAAAATAAACATAAATAAATTAATAGATTTAAATAAAAAACTTAATCAATCAATATATAAGTCCCAATGAGATATTTCATTTTAATATTTAAGAAAAGGAATAATTTATTTATTGTATGCTAATAAAAGCAATGTATAATTAAATTGCTGCATTTTTAAAAATAGACCTTTTTTAATTTCTTTATTTTATATTATTTATGAATGTATAATGTGGAGTTTTTTTTAAATAGGTCCATAAAAAGAATTTATTATTTCTAATTTTTTGTAATCAGAAAGATTATTATTTCTCCTTTCTAAATTTAACACTAATTTCATAATATCATTTTATATAACATCTTCTTTAAAATCTTTGTAATTTATTGCTTAAAGTTAAATCTCGAGCGACTTTTCATGTTACTATATTTGATAATAGCAGCTAGATAGCATATCATGGCATTCCAAGAAAATTGTAGTAGATAATTTAAATTTTAAAGATTGTTAATAGAAATCAATAGCTTTTTCATATTACTACATAAACTAGTATTGCTCTGCTATCTAAAATAAAATGTAACCAGATTTTGGTTTTAATTCTGAGAGATCCTTTAAATACTTAGTAGCCTATTCATAGTTATGTTTATTGACTTCAATTGAGCACAAGCAAATATAAGATTTGTAACTGAATTAATTAAATTGGATGGACTTTTCAAGAAATTCTATTCCTTTGCTAGGCATTTCTTAATTTTCTTCTAGATAATTTTAAATATATAAATAATATCCTAATCTATATAATGTATCACTGTCTTCAGGATTTATTTCATATGATTTATATAAATAAGAAATTGCTTTTTTTTTATCAACTTTATAATTAAAATAAAAATGTGATATATTATTTAGGATAACTGTATTTTAGGGATTTAAGTTCAAAGCTTCTAAATATAATTCTTCTGCTTTATCATGCTAGTTTATCTAAGCATATAGAAAAGCAAGGTTATTTGCAAAACCTAAGAGTCTATTATTATCTTTGTACATTTATTCTGTATACTCTATAGATTCCTGATAAAGCCCTTTATCATAAAGAACCATCCCTATAGAATTAATTATCTCATATTTATATTAAGGAGCTTCATCTAAAGCCTATTTTAATATATGAACGCATTCAATATCAGACTATTCGCGAAAATTTTCAAAAAATTTATACAATCCTAAGCCATATAAATACAATCCCTTCACATAATTATCCTGATTTTCATTTTAATCTTTATAATTTTATGTAAATTTCAATAAAATACAATTGTTTTCTTCAGTAGCTTCAAGATCTAAATTATACAAATGTTGTTAATAAGTTATTTGCATAAATATATCAATTTCATCTACATTTTCCCCTTTTCTATCTCTAATCTCTTTGGATAAAATATTAAATTTCTCTTTTGCAATCTAAATCTAACTTTTTTCAAATAAACACCTTATTAAGTAAAACTAGGCTAAACAATAATCATCGAAATGACTTTTATCTTTTGCTAACTCTTCTGCTAAGGCTTAGCATTCATCTAAATAGCTATTATAATATTTAAATTTTATTTCTTCTATTGAAACCATAATAATTGTGTTAAGTAATTTTTAATTTGATCAGTATTATATCTGTTTGTTATAATTTCGTATTAATTATTTTCAATATTTTAAAATAAAAAATAAACATAAAATACTTACTTACTATTATATTTATTTTTTAGAATTAGAATTTTTTAAACTTTAAGCAACTAAATTTTTTATTAAAAATATCATCTTTTTTAATTGACTCGTAAGTCAGAAAGCAATTTTAATCTAGAATATGGTATATTCATATAATTTTTATTTAAATTCAATGTATAAAAAGTATATAATGGATTTTTATTTAAATAAATGGCAATATTAAAAAATAAAATTATAGTATATTTAGTAAATATAACATATTTACTATATAATAAGAAGATGGAATTCACAAGCTTATAATTAAATATAAATTTAAGATACTTTAGCTAAGTTGAAGAAGTTGGTATTAATATAAATACAAGCTTTTTTTCTCATCTTTTTTAATCAGTTAAAGATTAATTTAGACTTCCATCTATGTAAAAAGGGGTGCTTGTTATTGTAGAGAAAATAGATTTATTAAAAAAGAATCAATTATTATTTAATGGTTCATATAGCCTGAAAAAAGGGTATCAACATGTATAATAAAACTTTTTTTATTAAATAATAAATAATATTAGAATATTCTGTAAATCTAATCAAAATAGACTGACTTAAATATTAATAAAAATAAATATAATATAATATAATATAAAAAATACAATTTAATTAATCCTAACATAATTAATATAGAAAATAAATTGTGTCGATGTAGTTAAAATTGCCTATGATTTATTTAATTTATTTAAAATATTTATTATTAGCTAAAATTCAACTTTTATTGTTAAAAAAAGAATTTAATTTTTTGATTTCTGATGGAATGTTATCAAATAGTAAATTAAACAAAAATTTAGAGTAAGCATTAATTAATAACTTCTTAAATACAAAAAAGTATGATGATGGTATTTATTCTGTTAACAATTTAAATATTTCTGCAAAATTTATAAAAATGTATTAATGTTTTAATATAAAATATGCAAATCGATTTAATTCATAAAACAAGATAATAAAAATCAAAAAAGTAATAACATCATTTATAGTTGAATTAAAATCTCTCTTCCCACTATTGATCGCTTCAGAAATATCTTAGGATAAAAAAGTCATTACAAATTAAAATCCCATAACAATTATCTTAAAAAAGTTGTAAATATTCTTCATAAAATAAATAAATGCTAATTTGATTTACTATTAATTAAATTATCAAAATTTTTGCAATCAAAACTAAAAAAACTATCATAAAAAGGCTTCTAAACTTAATTTTAAAAGTCAATGTAGAAGCATTTATCTCACTTAGAGCTTCAAAAAATCATAAAGAAAGACAGAAGGAGATCAAAAAAAACATTATTTATTCTACTTTAAAAACCATTAAACTGTATTAGTGTGTTTTACAAAGAACCTTTGTAAGATAAAAAGCTTTTTATAGCATTCGATGTTGTTATCAATTTAGAAATATTTGACTAACAAAAAGAATCTGATTCAGTGATTCTATTCAGTGATTTTAATACATGGCGCATTCCTTTGAAAGTTGAAAAAAAGTTAATCGCTCACTCATAACTTCCATAAATTTTGTAATAATACCAAATTAATTGTAAGGAGTATGAAGAATCAGGGAATCAAGATCACTAAAACTCGTTTAGTTCATAAACTGATAAAGGTGATGATTTGCTTAACCCTTAAATAATAGACCATTTTATGGGTAATAATTACCTTATAGAAGTAGAATTAGATACAAATAATACAGGCTCTAAAGTATTTGGTGATTTTGCAAAAGTTTTAAACAGTATTCCTAATTAAAAAGCTCATTTATTAGCTGATAAAATAGTTCTCTATCAAAACTTTGTAAATAATTGCTTGTAGAGTTATAAGTAATACGAAAAAAGTCTTACAAGAATTCTCCCAAACTTAAAAGAAGAAAATATTCTTGAAGCATTATTGCAAGAATAAATGAGTTCTTCCTATGAATAAGCTTATAAAATTATTTCTGAAAAAATAATTAATAATAAATTTGTCTCATACTTGATAAAAGTTAATAAAGAGGGTTAGCAAGTGATTCAAAAGTTTGGCTATTCCAAAGCTTTTTTGGATATTCTAGGAATATAGGGTAATTATGAATAGTTCTTTATGAGGAGAGGACCGATTAATCCTTTTAATCCTCGAAATAGATTAGACAGACTTATAGTTGGGCTTCATAAAAAAGCGCTTGGATATCAGAGAAATATTGCAGATAAATATGAAGATTTTTATACTGACTAAGAAATTTATACTATAGACAATATAGTGTTTAAGACTAACTATAAAACAGAAAAGCACTTTTTGAATTAATCAGACCAGTATTTTATAAAATCTTCATTTTTACTCTAAATAACTACATTTGATATACCTGATTAGATTATAGCATAAATAGCTAATATTCGTCACTAAAATTCTATACCGAAATCGCAAATTGCTTAAAATCAAGAAAAAGAGATTTGGAATTTGCAATATAATTGTGAGTCTGAAATATTTTTGAACAAATATTACATTCATTGAGTTAGAACGAAATTAAGCAAATAGAACAAATTGAAAGTTTTTAATCAATAAATTACACTTAAAAAAAACTTTCTAAACAAAAAAGATAATAAAAAATATAAAACAAACAATTTAACCAATTATTAAAAGGGTAGTAAAATAAATATCTGCCAAAATATAAAACGAAATTAAATTCTATTGTATATAATAATATAATAATTCACAAATGAACTCTATTAATCAATTTATTTATCTTTAAATTCAGCATAAAATATTTATCTCACTAATTTTATCAAATTTTATAATCATAATTTGTGATTAAGTCATTATCACTTTAAAAAAATTAACACAATTTTCTCTTATTTATTGTATTTTTTTATATATTATTTTACTATGAATTTGCAATTTGAACTTTTACTTAATATTAAGAATTTTTGTCAAATTCTGGTGAACTGAGTAAAAGCGAATATAAAATGTAAATTTTATTTTTCTTACACGCGTTAACTATAGCTATTGATCATATTATATAATGTAGGTTGTATGAGTTGAATGAACTAAATGAATATTTTTAAAGTTAAAATTAAAATAGAGTTATACAAATATTAATAATTATTTAATGTGAACATTAGTAGAGAGTAAAAAAATTCATTATTTTATTTTTATAATTATTTTATTCAAAATAAATTAAAATCTTTATGGATTTTCTATTGTATTGATTTAATTGGTATTTTTTGCTTAATTACATAATTCTTTTATTGTCACAATCTGAAAGAATGAACCATCTAAATTTAGTATTACTAGTTTTAAAAGGAAATTAAGTAAACAAAATTTTTTATTATAAAAGAATCTCAAATGTTAGAACTAAATACCTTATAAAAAATTTTTATAAACATGGTTAACTAATTTATACATTTATTTAGCTGGGTAAAATTTTAAATAGATAATGTTATAAACTATTTCATAATCAAAATCGAATTTGCATTTAATAAACATTTGTATAGCTTTACTGTATTTGGTAAAAGAATAATTAATTACTCCTGAGCCAAATAAATAATTAGATTTTTTTACTAATCAAATTCAGATAAAAATTGTTCACAAAAATTTGATTTTTGAATTCAACTTAAATTAAGAATGGATAAACATTTTTCAGCAGCAGAACTTTAAAAAGTAATCAAAAAGAATAAAAGAAGATCTAAGAAAGAGTTAATAGTCTTGATTTAAAAAAATATGAATGTTGTTAGCATATTATATAAGGAGCCTTAGCAGGAAAAAAAAATATTTATTGCGTTTGATGTGGTACTCAACTTGGAACTTTTTTAGTAATGTCAGAACTTTGATGAGACATTTTTCTTTCATGATTTAAGCACTTGGAGGACTCCTATAAAAATAGAAAAAAAATATGTAAATGGAGCATTTATTTAAGACTCTTTGAGTGTTGCAAATATTAGCTAAAATTATTTGAGCGCTAATACTACTTTTTCAGCTTCTACTATTGATTTATCATATAAAAGTCAAAATCCTTTAATATATTATTAAAATTCTGATACAAAATCTATTGAAAATAAAATGAGTAATAATTTTTTAATAGAAATAGAATTGGATTCTTAATCAACAGGATTAGTTTAATTTGGTGATGTTTCTAAAATAATTAAAAGCTTTTCAAGTGAAAAAGCAAATTCACTTGCTATCTAACTTAATAAATATCAAGATTTTGTAAAGGCATGTTTACAAGAATATAAAGTCCAAGAAAAGAGCATGATGAAAATATTACCAAATTTCTAAGAAATAAATATGCTTGAAAAAGCCATTTAGGAGTCTAATATAATTTCAATGTTGAAAGCTCAAAAAATAATTGAAGAAAAGTTGTAAAAGAATTAATTTATTTCATATATAGTAAAAATAAATAAAGATGGATAATAAATTTTACATAAATTTGGTTATTCTAGAGCTTTTTTAGATATTATGGGTGTCTACAATAACTATGAAAGCTTCTTTATGAGGAGAGGACCTATAAATCCATTTAACTAGTAAAATAGACTTGATAGACTTATAGCAGGTTTATTTCATAAAGCAGAGGGCTTCTTTTAGAAATAAACAAATAATTATAGTGACTATTACTCAAATGAATAAATCTACACACTCGATAACATTTCATTCAATTGTGATTTTGTAATTGATAAAATATTTCTCAACAAATCTGATAAATATTATGTAAATGCAGGATTTCTTCTCTAAATAGCTACTTACAAAATATCTGAAGATACTCTAGCTAGAATAAAGAGTTTTAGACTAAAAAATGGGCAAAATAAATTACTAAAATATATTGATAGTAAAGATGAATACCAAGACATTCATTATACATGTGAAACAGAATTATTTTTAAACCGCTATTATTAATGAATAAGAAACATTTATTTAAAATAACAATACATCTATTAATAATTATTATTTTTGAAATGTTTACAAGAGTTTTACTAATTAAAATTAAATAATTTTTATTTTATATTTTATAATAAATTTGATATCAAACTAAGTATTAAAAATAAAATTAATTTAGCTTTTAATAAAAAAAATAATATTTTTTTGATTTAAATTCATAAAATAAATTATTTTGAAATGATTATTTTTAATAATAGTTTAACTTTTTATGTTGTACTTTTAGATAGAATTTTTTATTTTTTATGATATTAAATATCATTCGATCTTATTTTATAAATATTTTATTAATTAAAGTTTTAAATAAGCATCTTAAATAAAAAAAATTTATTTTTCCTAAATTTAAATTAATTAATATTTAATCAACTATTTTAATTAATTTATAAAAATTAAAAGAAGGAGTAAATGTAAAGAATAATATTTGCTGTTTACTTAGATTATGGTAAATAAATGGCATTCTTAAATTTTATTTAAAAAATTTAGTTAGCTTTATGCATTTTTTTAATTATTTGCTTAAAAAATTATTTTTTAAGAAAATAAAATTAATAGATTTTTAACTAACAGTTGCTATACTTTATTTTATAATATACAAAAGGCATTATTATTATTTATTTAGATAAATGGTAATAGATTAATAACAGTTTAATCTAAAAAAAAAATGTTTGTTTATTTAAATATTTTCTATTTAGAAAATAACTAATTAATAAATAAAATTAGTTTAATTAGATAAAATATTTTCATTTATGAATGAAATTAATATTAATTTTCTTAGTAATTTTAAATGATAAAAATAATATGATTTTATATTCTAATATCATAATTTTAATGGCTGATATATATTTATGATAATTATTAGTAATCTAAATTTCTAATTATATTGATTTGAATGCTTTTAATCTAATTGTGTTTTCTATTGATTACTTTTCTAGAGAGAAGATTTATTATTAAAATTTTGATCTAGAAAAAGAGTGAATTATATTAAAAATTGAATTATTTACTGAATATATGCAAATGGAAATAGAAAGTAACTTTTCAGAAACAAAAAAAGGTATATCAGAAGAGTAAAAGTAATAAGAGAAGCTATTAAAAAAATAAAAAAAGAAACTGCAAAATAAATAGAAGTAAGAGTTATAAATTAAGTAATATGGAGTAAAAAGTGTCATAATTAAAGATCTAAGCTATGAAAAAAAGATATTTTTACTTACCGATTTAATAGTTGATTTGGATATGTATTAAAATGAAAATCTAGAGAGACCAACAAAATTTGAATTGATATCAAATTGGAGGCCTTGCACAAAAATTGTCAATGAAAATAACATAGTTCACATAGATTTAGATACATCTGTTGATGGATTAAGTAATTTTAACCAAGTTATTAAAATATTGTAAAGTATACCAAATTAAAACGCTTATGAACTTAGCTAGCATATTTAAGCATATGAAAAATCAATAAAGTTATATGATGAAAAAAATAATGACTTAATGTATATTTATCGCTTGATAAGTCAAGATTAGAGATCTAATTACACATTAAATGACTACTTTGAAGATGAAGTTTAATAAAGATTAAAGATGGCTTTGTAGTTGATAAATGAAAAATATAAAACAAACAAATTTATTTCTTACATGATAAAAATTCGCAGAAGGAATCATTAAGTAGTAGCAAAGTATGGGTATTCGGTTGAATTGCTAAATTTATTGGGCATTAACAATGAGAATATGTACAGAATTTTATATTAAAATGGTCCATTACTTTTTTTCTCAAATCAAGATAAATTTAATAGACTTAAGAATAGCTTAATTAGAAGAATAGAAGGCCTATAATATTTATAATCCTAAACTGAAGATCTTATATATGAAAACTAAACTATATTGACATTTGATGACTTAAAATTTAACTGCAATATCCATATGATTAAAACTCAGCTTAATAATGATTAAAATTTTTTTATTAGGAATGTAATTCATATTCAATTAGCACTTTATGATATAAACGATGATATTATTAATGAAATTAATCATCTACGCTATAAAAATGCAGAAGAAAGCCAAAATTAAACTAAAAATGAATTTGATGATATATATTATGGTCTCGATTACCAAACTTAATCAGAAATGTTTTTATAAAAGTTTTATATCAATAAGAATTGTAATCAACCAGCATCTCAATGAAATTCTATTGGAAATAAACTATTTATAAAATGAAAAATAATTATAAAATCTAATTTTTAGATACCTCAATTAAAAAGCATAAATTAAAATATAAAATATGTAATTTTATATTCTTTTTTTATTTATATAAATAGCTATTATATATTTAGTATTGAAATAGATTTTACATAAAATTTTGAGTGAGTTTTATTTATTTTTTTTATTATAATTGTATATTAAGTAGTTTTAAGAGTTTAAATATTTTAAAGATTACTTAAAAATAAATATAATAAATAAACAAAATTTTTAATGATCTAATAAAAATTAAATTTTTAAAAATGCAAATTAATTTTAAAGAATAATTTTTTAAAAAAAGCAGTTCATATTAAAAAACTTAAAACTTATTTTTTTATATTTTACAACATAACAAAAGCTAAAATTGACCTGTATTAACTTATCTGAATGCCATTTTTAAGACTAAAACAATATTTAAATATGATAATAACTATTTTCATGTTTTTAAGAAAAATATACATTATTTAATTCTAATAAAAGCATTACTTGCTTTAACTAACTCTAATTTAAAAATATAATTTAAAATTTATATAATAATGCAGTTGATTTGTTTTTTAACAAAATATGAGATGATAAAAGTTTGTTAAGAATTTGCAAATTTTTAATATAAATATTTTTCTATCGTAAATTTTAAGAATAATTAGAAATTTCTAGGTGTAACTTCTGATATTTTAATTTAAAAAATAATCTTAATTCTTATCAAAAATAATAATAATTAAAAGATGCATCAAGAATTTTCTCAAAATTGTTAATCAAATATATATAAGCTTTAACATATTTGATTATATCAAAATAATATTTTTTTACACATAAAAACTCGATCTTGTGGCTAAGATCTTCATATAATAAATAGCTTGGATCTACAATTAATTGATTTACCTTAATTATATTTTGTTTACAATATTAATTTAATAATTAGAAAACAAAGTGAACATAAAACTAAAAATTGGAGAGTTTTTTTATGGAAATAGAAGAAGAATAAAAGTAAAGCCAAGAAATATAAACCAATGATAAAAATGAAGAATAAGCAAAAATTATTGCCAAATAAAAAAAAAAGCTAAAGAAACAAAAAAAGGAATAAATGGCTTTGTAATAATTTAGTTATAGAAATTTGATGGTTAAAGATTTAAGCTATGAGAAGAAAATATTTTTATATACAGATTTAGTAGTTGATTTGAATTTATTCACAAATGATTAATTTGGTCGATCAGATAAATTTGATGCGATAAGCTGTTGGAGACCTCCAGTTAAAATAGAATAAGAAAATAATATAATTCATATTAGTTTAGATACTTCAGTGGATGGATTAGTAAATTTTGATTAAATATCTGATATTCTAAATAGCATTCCTAACTAGGATGCTCATGAAATAAGCAAATATATCTAGCAATATAATTTCTTTCTATAGAAATATTTTGAAAAAAATAGGGATTTACAATATATATTTAACCTTATCTGTCAAGATAAGCACAATAATTACACTTTATAGGATTACTTTGAAGAGATTATATAAAAGTAAATGATTAAATCTAAAGATTTTGTCAATTCTTGCTATAAGCAAAACAAATACATTTCATACATGATAAAAACTAGAAAGAGAAATAATAAGGTGATAACAAAATATGGGTATTCATTAGATTTGCTTTAACTGTTAGGCATAAATAAAGATAATATGTTTAGGATCCTTTATTAAAATGGTCCTCTACAGTATTTTTCAAGCTAAGATAAAATAAAAAGGATGAAGGAAAGCTTATTCCAAAGAATAAACCAACTAGAAGCTTTTCATCAAGATAAAGAGGAAAAAAAATTATTAGATTAAACAATAATTACTTTTGATGATTTGTAATTCAAGTGTGATATTACCATGATAAAAGATAACATGTCAAAACATGAAAACTTTTATGTGCAGCAAGTTTTTATGATATAGGTAGCCTTATATGATATAAGCGAAGAGGTAGTCCAGTAAATATAAAATATTCGTCAATTAAACCCAAATAAATAATAATTATAAGACGAGCTCAAAGAATTGTATTAGGGTTTAGAATACGAAACTCAATCAGAAATATTTATGTCAAAATTTTATAATATTTGATGAATTGCTAGTAAAATTTATATCTCCTTTAATCTATATTAGTTATTAAAAATTCTAACTATTTTAAATACTTACCATTTTTTGAAAAAGCTATCTTTTTAGGGTTGACTTTTATTGTTTTTTTCTGATTTTAACTCAATTTATCAGCTAATTTAACTCATACGAATCATAAAAATATTTAAAAACATTTTTTTATTCATATAAATTTATATTTTCAAAACATCATTATTACCATTTGTATAAATTAGACACTGAAAAAATTCTAACATACAGAAATCTTTGATAGGTGCAAAAGACAAAAAATTTAACTGAATATAGAGCAAAAGGTTCCCATATTTGGATAGGTTGCACTTAAATTTGTTTTAATTTATATTAAAGAAGAAAGGTCTTAAGCTTAATAAAGAGTAAATAATAATACAATAATAACATTTAGACATATAAAAATATACAATTCTAAATGAAGAATATTATCTACCTTCACGTTATATATGTTTTCTAGAAAAGCTTACTATTTTAAATTAGTGATTAATTATAAAATACTGTATTTATTTTTATATAATATGTATTATACAAGTCAAAATATGTTAATTCTTAAAAAATTGCTTTATTAATGGAATTATAGTAAATATTTTAGATATAGAGAGTTTTATTGAAACAGGGTAATAAAATAAATAATTTGTGGTTTTTTGAAATTATTTTAGTTTATGCATTTTGGCAGAATTGATGGGTGATTGGTTAAGTTAAATGTTATAGGTTGATAATTTTCAATATATTACTTGATATTGTTGGGTACTAGTGAAATTAAGATTATTAGGTATTTACTATAGATGATTTTTACTTTAATTCTAATTATAATAAGCTGCACACTGTCTAGTTAAAGTGTTTTTTTTAAGTAAAGGTAAGGATTTTTATTCTTTTTGAGCTACCTTTTTCTCATAATGGCTGTTTTCTAATTCGATATTTGCCTTTTTATACTCTGTGATATCGTTATAATAGCAAAGCTCAAGTATTTAGTGTATTTTAATAAACTACTCCTTTATTCTAAAAATTAGCTCATTTTTCCATTTTTTCTCAGCAATTTAGAAAATTTATGATTGCTTGAGCTTAGGATAATCTTTCTTTAATTTTTCTTCTACAACTCTAAAATATAAAAACAGAGGAGTCTATGGTTTCAATGGCTATTCATAAGAATAAATTGTAATTATTTTAAAAAATCAGAATAGTGAATATTTTACTCTTTTAGTATATTTATCAAATTAAACTATTTAATTTTTGCTACAAAACAGAGCTACTGATTCAAATAAATTTTTTTGATGCTAAGGCAAATCTACCCAGGCTAGGTATTGTTGTTTCTTTATTAAATTATTGTATTCTTTTTCTCCATTATTAGTAAAGAAGAGTATTGTTGACTTCCTGTAGTAGTAATAGCCTGCTTACTAAATATTGTTCATTTTATCAAAATTGAATTAATTTTCTACTTTTCAATGTTTATTTTTTATAAAATATTAATTTGATACATTATATTATTTTTTGCAATTGCTTTATTTATTTATGGATGGATTTTTTTGATTCTATTTATCTTTTGAAATTTAGTAGTCAAAATCTCAACTAACAATAGAAATTTAATTAATTTTTGATAATTGCGCGTAATATTTTATTAGAATATATCAATAGTTATTTGATCTACTCTGTTAATAGAATCCTACCTAAATATTCAACCAATATAAATAATTGCTACATGTTAAATGAATTGATAAAATATTATCTTTATTTTTTTTAGCATATCAATCAAAAATATTTTTACAAATTTTTTTGTTTATTTTTAAGATATTTAAATTTAATTATCTCATCCAAATCAATACAAATAAAATAAATAAATAAATGAAAAATAAACATTTGATAAAAATTATTTTTTTCTTCAAAGTAATAGTCACAACTTGACTCGATTTTTAATTCAAGCTAGAGCTAACTTCAAGCAAAAAATAAATTTTACTAACATATTTATAACGATTTAAATAATTAAGAGAGTATTATATACTTTATAAAGTTTCAGAAATAAATGAACGAACAATCATAAAGAAAATATAAAGAAATGCATTAATTATTGGATGACTGATGATTCTTGATACATTTAAGCATCTTTTCTATGTAATTTCTTAAATAAACAAAAGAAAAAAATATTAAATTTTCAAACAAAACTTTAAATTATAAAAATCTTAATATTGTATCTTAAAGAAAGATAATTAATAGTTGATTAAGCAAGCATAAAAGGTAAAAAAGCATTTTAAATATAACAATAATATAGTCGTAAAGTTAGCAAGCACTTTTGTCTAAATGTACTAAAAATCTCAAAAAAATGTTGCTGAGGAAAACTTTTAAGATCCACTAGTTAAATTGATGTCACAAGAGCGTGAAGAAAAAACAGGTATAGAAAAAGTTAAGGAGTTAATAGAATTTGAATACTTTGATGAGGCAATTATGACTTGCAATTCAGTTTTATCTGTTAACAAGAAAGACTACCCACATATGATTTAAAAATTTCGAGCATATGTTAAGGCTTCAAAATATGATAACGAAAATATATTGCCTCTAATCATGGAATTAGAGAAATCATATCCATAATGCTTGAGAGATGTAGAATATGTTGAAGCAAAGTACGATTATTATTTGAATACAAATAGCTATACAAAGGCAGAAGAGTTCTAAACAACTTTGAAATAAATTTATGGAGAAAAAAATTCAAAGTTTGATGCTGCAATAGCATAATTACATATTAAAAGAGGTAAATACAATGATGCCTTAGACATTATAGATAGAGGATTAGCATAAAATGAATTTGATGGACTATTATATGAGCTTAAAGGAGATATTTATTACTATCAGTTTGGTAGATAGGAAGATGCACTTGTTTAATATAAGTATTCTATGCAAATGAATAAAAGAAACCCAAGTCTTTTTGAGAAAATGGCTACCCTCCTTTATAATAAAAATTTTTATGATGACACTGTATAATATGCAACAGTTACTTTAGAGCAAATTCGTTCAGCAAAGGATAAAAATCACCTTACTTAGTAATAAAGACACTGTATTCTTTTGAGAGGATCTTCTTACATTTATCTAAAATAATTTGAAGAAGCACAAAATAATTTCTAAAGGATTTTAGACTTTGATGAAAAATGCATCTAAAGCAGAATGGGTAAGGCTTACGCCTGCATGTATAAAGGTAAAAGCGATTAAGCTGTTGCTATCTTTAAGAAAGGCGAAGAATTAAATGCATCTTATCCAGATTATGGCTCCTTTATGGCATTAGCTTATTTCTTGAGAAAAGACTATGACAACTGTGAGATACAACTCAAGAAATATTTTAAGAAATTTAATTAGAATTAGGAAGGTTTAACTTAATAGTAACCAAAAAATATATTCAATCTTTTAAATTATGTGAACTTTTTTTACTTAGATGAATCATATGCTAAGTCTAGTATGGAAAAAGTATTCAGTAGTTTAGACATCTCTACTTTCAAGCTAAGTGACATAGATTTACACTTTATTGAAAATCTCTCAAGCTACGAAGGAATTAAGAAGAGCTTATTAGAATATTTGCAAAATCTTATATTGTACCTTGCAACAGGTCTTTATAGATGGTATCCAGAAGATTTGTATGTTTTTCTTTCAAAACATAAAGAAAACCAGGAAGTTAGTTAGAAAATTTCTCATATTTATTCTATGATAGACAAAAATAAACAAACAGGTATTCATAACTCAAACTGGAAAAGAAAAAATTAACTTTGAAATATTTTAACCTCCATCCAATCTATATTAAAAATAATTAAACGATTTCTCACCAATTAATTTAATTAGTTTTCCAAATAAAAAATATTGTTGATTGTTTCAGAAATCTGCATTTATGTTTCTTAATCACTTAATTGCTTACTTAATTATTTTATTACTTATTTACTTAATTTTAGTTTTTTGAACTCAATTTTTGTATTTTTTTCTAACTTTATGATTGGAAGTTTTTTTATATTTATTCTATTGCATTTAGTTTCATTATTAATTATGTTTTTATAGCAAAACAGAATTACTAACAGAGAATTTAGTAGTATAGTGATAAATTAAATAATGATCAAGACCATTAGAAATTATAAGAAGGTATTTAACTTAACTAGTTGCACTAAACTTAGTAAAATACTTCTTCAGATAACGCCGTTTCTGATTTAGAACAACAAATGGCTAAAAATGTATAATTGAGTTTAAAAGAATAAGAATAAAATTTGTAAAATCAATAAAATTAGTCAACTAATTTTTAAATACAAGAGAAAAATCTCTAAAAAAATGATAAATTAAATAATTAAGAATAAAATAATAAGGATTAAAAAAAAGAAAAGAGTAATAAAGAAATAAATTTTTAAAAAAATGTTAAGGATTGCTAAGTTAAATAGAATACAAAAGATAACAAAATAATCACTCAATAATAAAAGTAAAGTATTTAAAATTAAAAATAATAGCAATAGCTATAGCCTTATTAAATTAAAATATAGCCTAAAGAGAGTTTAAATAATAATAAATAAGATCAACAAAAAGTAAAAAACAACTCCTAATCTATAATTAAACCAGTAGATCTTCCTTAAATAGACAAAAAAGATAATTATAATAATACTTAACGGCAAGAAAAATCCCAATAAGAATCTATTAACGTATAATAGTAAAGCTTGTAAATAGAAAATAATGAAAATTATGAAAACAGTAAATAATTGCCTCTAAATTTGAATTAAAATATTGAGAATGAGTAAGAAAGACAAATTTTGATTTAATCAACTACAGATGTTAAAAAAAAAGAATAAACTGATAATACATTTGATAAAAATTAGCTCAATTAAGAGATTGAAAAGAACTTATCAAAAAAAACTTTAAAATGTGAAGATTAAACTGATTGCATAAAAACAACACAAAATCCTTCAAATAATTTAATATCAGTAAAAGAATAATTATTAAACAATTAAAATTAAATTTGTAATCAAAAAGATATATTTGAAACTTAAAATGAAAATTTTGAAAATTAAAACATTGGGCAGTAAAGTGAAAATGAAATAAAAGAATAAAGTAGTTCTTAAAAAATTCTTATTGCAGAATAGAACTCTAGTTAGCTAACATTCTCCTAAAATAATTTAAAGGATAAAATTTAAGAATCATCTAAAAAATAGAAAAGAGAAGAATTCTAAAATTTATGCCTTAATTAAGAAACATCGAAAGAATTAAATTAACCACAACAACTAAGTGAAAATTAGTCAGTAATGAAAAGTAATAACAATCAGCTTCAAACGCCTTAATAAGTAAAAGAATCATCTTGCTGTTCTATATTTTGAAGAATGTAAACTAAATAGTTGAAATAAAGAAAGATATTACTTAGTATTTGAAAAATTAAAAAGCTAATCAGTAATAACTTTAAATTGTATTATTACACCAATTGTTTTGAGACCTTTAAATTTAAATAGACAAAAAAGTATTTGTTTCGTTTATAAAGTATTTACCATAAATTAATAACTATCACAAAAAAAGTGTATGGATGTTTGTTTATTTGTTTATCTTCCTTTAAAATAAAGTAAAGTAATGTAAATACACATTTTAAAAAGATTTATTCAAAATATATTTATGCTTTATGAAATATATTTAACATATTTCAATATTTATGATTTAACAGAAGTATAGATAGATATATTGACTAAATTAAATATATTACAGAGCAAAAAAATTTTCTATATATTATTTCATATTCAATACAAAATTTAAACTTTTTAATGGATAAAAAACTTTTAAATTAAATAAAAAAAACTCAAAAATATTAAAATGATATTAATTTTTTTGAATTAAATCTAAAGTAAAGATAGAGAGTTATTCTTAAATATTCTTAAATAATCAGGAGAGATCATCATTCAGCTTACAATTTATTTCGAATAAGAATTTAAATTAATTCTGTTTATAAAAATTAGACTAAAAGATAAAAAGAAATCAGCTTTATTTTTACTGGGCTGCTTTTAGAAAACTTAAGCAAACAAAATATCCTTTATTCTTTACTATTTTTGGAAAAATACTCTAAAGAGAACTTAAAAAAACCAGTTTTTGTTTGAAGAAGTAGAAAAAATCAGTTCTTTTTTGAAAAAAATATTAACTATAAACTGAAAAAAAATGTAAATAGAATTTATTGCATGAACTTTTATTATAATGAATTATTTCTTTATTATTTTTATGAGTTTTTATTTAAATTATTTATTAAATATCAAAAAGTTTAATTGTGCAAAATTTCATTCAATATCTATCTATCTATCTATCTATCTATTAATCTTATCAATCAATCAATAAAGAATTCATTCATCATAACCTAAAAATATAAAACTCTTAGTAAACATAGGTTGCGTATTTCAATATAAATATATAGCAATTAAATAATATTAATTTTAATTAATTTTTCTAACTAAAAAGAAAAAAAATCAATTAATTTAAAGCAATGAGTTCTTAAGGTTAAGTTTTGGTAGGCAACACAAATAATTAAAGCAAACCTTTTGAAGAGGGATCTTTGAAATTCTATATTAGCAGCTATGGAGATTATGATTAAATGTTTTAGAAATTTTTTAGGTTATAAAAAGAGAGCTTATTAGAAAAAAAAGAAATTTAAAAAGTTATGTAAACATAAATTGCGCACTCATATGTGAATCATGCTTTCTTAACATTAAAAGACATTCCATTTATTTAGAGCATTTAAAATACAAGAATTCACATTCCTGCTTCTATTACCTTAGCTAAAGGTTTATCTGCTACTTCAAGCGATAAACCATCGACTTAATACATGGTTTTAAATGGAGTTAATAATATTAGTTATGATGCTAATCATTACTAGGTATTTATTTATTTATTAACAAATATTTGCTTTTTTAGAGTTTTATTCTTAAAATAACACATCATTCTTAATAATATTAAGCTCATATAATAAATGAACTAATATTTTTTAATAAAATAAACTAAAATGAATATAGTAAACAAGAACTATATTTTAAAATGTATGCACAGTTATAGGATAATCATTCAAGAAAGGATATCTGTTTGACACCATCAAGCTGGTAATATAAATTAATTATTATATAGAGTTTTAGAATTAACTTTTTCAAAAGCTTTATATTATCAAGCATTATTGGTGTTTTGATTAATTAATTTTATTAAAAACGTAAAAATAGAAAGAACTTCATGTTTAGTTAGTGACTCTTTCATTTTAAATATCAAGCTATTTAGAAAGTCTATGTTATAATTAGCAAGAAGAACTAGTTAATAGCTTTTGTAAGACTTTGAATGACTTCTAAACTCACATACATTGTAAAGTTGCAATACATTTGGCTTTTTTATTACATTTTTTAAACTTCTATAAACTGTTTTTTGTAATTAAAAAGCAAAAAGCTCATCAACAGCCAAAAATAAAATAATAGGGATGCCTTTACAACATTAAAGTCAAAATTATGTGTAAATTATTGCATATTCCTTAATGCATTAACCACAATTATTACTATTATGCAATCATTTTAAAAACTAATTTTTCAAACGTTTGTGAAATTAATGCATTATAACATATTAAAATATTTAAATTTTAAATGACAACTAATAAAAAAATTAGAAGAATAGAAAAATGGATGAAAAGATTGAAATTCGCTATTAAGCCTTTGATAGTTGAGTGGATTTTTAGGAATTATAAAAGTATATATAAAAATATACCTAATAGTCATTCTAACTTATTAAATTATAAGTATTTATAGCTTAAAATGATTTAAGTATAGGTTAAGCAAATATAAGAAAATATAGATTTAATTAGAAATAAAGTTATCGAGCAAATATGTAGAATTTGTGATGCAAAGATTAACATAAATAATATAACTGAGCATTCAAAAACATGTTTAGAAAAGGCTAATTAAAAAAAAGAAATTTTAGAATTAGATATTAAGTTGAGTAAGATTGTTGAAAAAGCAATAGAGATGCGTCATAGCAACAAGTAGAACATCTAAATTGAAATGTAATCAAATTTTTTAAAACAATTCAATAGCAATTTTTATAAAATAGTTCTTTTTAATTATAAAAATAAATTTTCATTTTATATTAAATATTAGGAGAAGAAAAAATAAAGAAGTTTTAAATATAATAGAAGAAGAATCTCCTAGCTAAGGACTCATTTTAGATTAAAATTCAAGCTAAAATGATGAAGGTAGCAAATAAAGGCTTGATAGTTTACCTTTCATTGACGATGAAACTGAAAATAAAATAGAAAAAGTTATATAAAATAGCTGCAATAGTATTCCTTCTTCAGTAGAGGATCATGGATCTCTTTCTTGTTCAAACAGAACAAAAGCTGGAGTGAACGACTAACAAATTACATTTAACTCAATGTTATAATCAGTACCTTCGAGAAAGAGTAAGCTATTTCGCTAAAAAACCTTTGCAGAAGATACTAACAGGAAGTAATAGCCTTAACAAATGTAAATTATCAATTAAAAATTATTTGATATTGCTCAAAATGAATAAAATATATTCCTACAAATATAAAACTAAAATATATTTCAAGAATTTTAATTTTTGTAAATTTATGAACTTGTTGAAGTTTCTTTTTGTGGTTATAAAAATATTTTTAATTTTAACGAAATAAATACTAATGCTAATTATTTTTTTTTAGTTTAAAGAAATAAAACACACTAAACTATTCATTAATTGATGAAGATAACTTGCAAGAATTCAAAAAAATAAGTCTAATTTTAGATAGCATTATAAGTTATGGAGAAAAAATTGTGAATACTCAAGAAAATGATATGAATGTGAAAAGGGACAGAGAGGTGAAAGACATGGCTGATGATGCTTTATAATAAATTTAAAATGATAAAATTAAAGTTTTAATCTCAGAATTTATATAACTTACAGATTAAAGAATCAATATCTAAGTTAAATAATTAAAAAATGATAACTAATAAACATCTAAGAATACTGCTAATCCACTTATTATGTTTAAGGGGGCTTCAGCTTCATTAAATAAAAATAAATTTTCTGATTTTGGAAAAAAATTTTTTGAAAAAAAGGCTGCTATAGAGTAATCAACTAATAGTATAAATGAGTGTAGCGATAATGAAGAAGATGATTCAAAACAGGGTAAAGTTTAATAGCCTAAAGATTCACCATAAGTTAATACAGAAAATAAAGAATAAAAACCTAAAGTAAGTATCATGAGTAAAATAAAAAAAATTCCAAACACAAGAACTGTAACTGTAAGCACAAACGAAACAGTAAGTTCTAATGGCAGTATCAACTAAATTTCAACTTAAAATTCTTTAAGCTCCCAGAATAAAATACCATCTTCTAATCAAGATATTTAAGCACAACCAAATTAGAATGTAAATTCTTAATCTACTTAGAATGAAACAATCAATTAAGATTAAAAAATTGAATCTACTGCTGCTAGCGAACCTCCTAAAGAAGCAGCTACTAATGATAAACCTAAAAAGATGATGATGTTTAATACTTCCAAAATGAATTCAAAGTTATAAAAAAATTAACTTGCTTCTCAGAATAGTGGAATAAATAAAATTTCTGCATCTATCAATACAGATGTAAGTACTTATAATAGTAATAATCAAAATTAATTATAAAGTAATAACCAAAGCACTTAATAGTAGTAATAAGAATCAATAAATCCAATTAATAATGAAAAGCTAGGACAATAAGGTAATTAAACTCAAAATAACTAGGAAAAAAAAGTAGTTGAAGATGAAGTAGATAATAAAAAAGCTGAACAAGTTAAATAGAGCAAATAACCAGAAATTCACACATCTTAGAAGTAGATTCAAAATAACTAATAAGAAAAAGAAGAGAAAGATGATTCAATATTTGCTTTCCCAATATTAACAGATAAATAATATTATAGCGATTCAGAAGTAATTAACATAGACTCTAAAAAGAAAAAAGATTCTCTTTCAATTGGCTTTAACCACTTCGAATTTGTTAGACATCTCGGAGCAGGAGCATATGGCGGAGTTTATTTAGTTAAAAAGAAATCTTCAGGGGATTTGTTTGCAATGAAAGTGATTGATTGCTCAGGAAAAGTAGATTGTTAATTAATTATTTTAGTTATTTAGTTAATTTTTTTTTTTAATAGCTTGATAAAAAGTATTTGGAGTCATTGTAATCTGAAAGAAATGTTTTTGAAATCATTACTGGAGATTATGTTGTAAAAGCTTTTTATTCTTTTGTGCATGAAACTTACTTATGCTTTGTACTTGAGTACATGGTAGGTGGTGATTTCACTCATATATTAGAAATGTACACTGCACTATAAGAGTGGATAGTGTAAATTTACATGGCTGAACTAATACTGGCTGTTGAATATTTGCATTCTTAGGGTATTGTCCATAGAGATCTAAAACCGGATAATATTTTGCTTGATTCTAAAGGTCATGTTAAATTAGCAGATTTTGGGTTATCAGAGGTAAGTTATTATCTTTAAAAAAATAAAAACGTTTAATATCAAACTAAAATGATAATGTTTTATCAATAAATTAATAAATTTATTTTTTTATGAATCAATTAGGTAGGTTTTAACTAAAAATTAAACAGAACTGAAAAATAGAAAGTTGCAGTAGATATATTTGGGTCCAAGAAAGATAATGAATCTAAATATAAAACAGAATACTAGTTACTAAAGGGAGTAAAAAAAGAAAATAAAAAGGATATTATAGACTCTAAGGATGAAGAACTATAATAAAAATTGGCTGAAGAGTAGCTTTAAAATATTGTATAGCAAAAAAAAAGAATTATTGGTACTCCTGACTATATAGCACCAGAAATTATTAATGGTGAATCTTCTAGTAATCCCTCTCTAGACTGGTGGAGTGTCGGAGTTATTATGTATGAATTACTTGTCGGTATTCCTCCTTTTAATGATAGCACAAGAGAAAAAGTATTTGAAAATATAGTTAATCGTCGTATAGAGTTCCCCCCAACTGGTAATCAATCATATTTTATACTACTTTAAGATTATTATATAAATGCTGTTTGTTTTTGAATAAAGGTGATCCAAATGAAGACGAAAACTGTATTTCAGAAGAAGCACAAGACTTGATGGAGAAATTGTTGACACTTGACCACAAGCAGAGATTAGGAGCAAGAGGAGCAGATGAAATTAAAAAACATCCATTTTTTAAAGGAATAGATTTTGCTAAAATTCGTTCTTAACCTGCTCCAATAGTTCCAAAAATGATATTGACTGAAGAGGAGAGAGAAAAGAGAGAAAAAGATAAATAAAAATTGAAACAATTTTTGGAAGAATTAAACACCAAAAAGAAAAATAAACATAAATCTGAAGCTGTAATAAAGTTAACTAATGAAGTAAAAAATTTGGAAAGACTTGACTTACTAGTGAATAAAAACGAGGAAGAAAAGCAGAAACTAGTGTAAATACAAATTATAGTTAATTATTTAAGGATTGGTAATTGATTTTTTATTTTTAAATTAAATAGTTAAGAAAGAGATAATTAGATCAAAAAAGAGGAAAAGGAATTGCTTAAATACTAATAAAAAATACAATTTTTTTAAAATGAAGACTTTTCAATATTTTAATAGATTAGTTACTTAGACTCCTTAGAAATTTGATCTTAATTTTAGTTACAATTACTAACCAACAAAGAAATACAGTGGTTAGTTAGTAGATGAATTAATTAATTAATTGGTTTACTTAATTAATTAATTAGTTTCTTGCTTAAATCAATTCCTAATTTATTTAAAATAATTAATAACATTTTATACAAAAAATACTAGTTAATTTTATTATAATTTTATTTCAATTTAAAATATTCTGCTTTTACTTTGTTTGTAATTATCTGTTTTTCATTGTAAAATTTTACATTTCAAATAAATTTCTTTGTTTCCCTTTTATTATATCTAAGAAAAAAAATATTATTTATTTAACATTTATTTAATTTTAAAAATAATATTTCAAAGTATTCTTATATTAGAAGTATTTTCATGCAAAGTTTTACTAAATAAATCAATCTAGAAAAATAAACTCTCTTTAATCAATATCAATCTACTTTGGATTATTTGTAAGTCAAATTAAATTTTTTAATTTTTGGCAGATAAATGTGAAAATAAGAAATAGGATAACAACTAAAAAGGACGGAAATACGAACGGACATATATGCATAAAATTAAACGATAGCTAAAATTTATATTAGGAATCTAGATTATAATAATAACAATAATAAAATATTAGGTAATTCTTAACTGTTAAACTCATAGTTAATATTTTCATATTTTTATAATTATGTGTTTGAAAGGTATGTATTATGTATGTTTGTTTGAAGTTTAGTGAATGAATAATTTATGATATTATTATATTTTTATATAGGAGAGATAAATGCTAAGTAACTCTTTCTTTCAAAAAATATTATTTCAGAGAGATTGTAAGTATTTTTCAACGTCCTTAAGTATTTCTTTTTTCTTATTGGAAGCATCTTTACGGCTGCAGAGAACTTTTAATTAAGATAATGCTTGTTTAATTTTTTACTATTCTACAAGTTAGTGAATATCATCAATAATTTTTTAGGTATATTCATCCTTAGAGTCAGCTAATATTTTATTACACATTTCCAAGATGGTATTTTATTATTATGACAAAACATATTGCAAGAAGTATTGCTAGAAGTATTGGGTGCCTAACATATATTATTACATAGCTAATTATTGTTAATTTCTGTGGCCGGCGCTATTATTGATATGCTTATGACTGTTTCTGGCATTTTTCAATTAGCTCTAAATGGTTTCAGGAATCTAATATTAAATAATTAATTTTAAGATAAAATATTAAATGAAATAGAAAATATTTTAGAAATTTAAGATTTTTTTTCATTTAGTTTGCTTTATTTAGTTGCTTAGTTAGTTTATTAGTTTGATAGGTAGATAGGTAGTTAGGTAGTTAAAGAATATAATTATTTTATTTGTTTCCTAATAAAACTGCGAAATTAAATTTTTGATTTTTAATTTGAGTCAGGAGATATAAAATTTAGAACTAAAAATTTAATAATTTGTCAAAAACAGAAAAACAAGAGTTTAATTAATCATCTATTATTGCTGATTGTTAAAATAAATTAAATTATCTTTATTCTTGATAAATTATTTGAATGCAAATTAAATTTAACCTATTTGGTTAAAATTATTTGAAAATCTGATTTTTTGAAAAATGTATTTCAAACATTTAAGGAGATAAACTGGCTCATGATATTTTGTACCAAAAACAAAAAATAATACATTTTTCTAATTTTAGTTAATTCGCTAAACTGTTTACCAGTAAATTTTACTTATTCTTTCTGTCTGTTTGTTTTACTAGATACTAAAATGAATTAAATGCTTAACAAAAGGTAAACACTAACTAAAATTAGATGTTAAAGCATAACTAAAGCAAAAAATCATTTTTTATTTCAAAAATTAAATTACATTTCTTTTTTCGTGGTCGCCATGAGCGAAATTGCAATTTTAGTCATACTTACATGTTCCAACTATTATTTTATGTTAATAGAATATGTTAATTTCTTGTAAATATTTGAAGCTATTATTTAAAATGCTTTTTTTATCTCTTTCTATTATGGAAAAAATTCATGACTAAATATTTCTTTGCTAGTCAAACTTGTAGATTTTACTAAGTAGGCAAAAACAATGTTTTAAACTATATTAAAATATGTACCCTATTCGTAGAACTTGCAAAGAGTAGTCTTGTCTAATTTATTTAAAAAAAACAATTAATATACCTCAAAAATGCTTGTAATAGATATGAAAGAAATGTTATTCCAATGACAATTTTTGGATGAATTTAAAAAAATAAAATATTTACAATTAGTAGGAATATTAGAAGGCCACTTGCTAAGATAATCAGTATTGCTTTTTTCTACTTCAGCGAAGAAATTAGAATTCTTTATTTATAAAAAATCAAATAAGATTTAAATGACCTAAGTTGAATGATGCATATAGAGGTATATAACATCTTGAATATCTCAGTTAAAATGTTAATGATATAAATGAATAATCACCTCAGAAACAGCACGTAATTCTTCAGAACCCTATTTAATTAATAAAATAAAATCAATAAACGAAGAAAGCAAGTATATAAGTTATTATAAATTAATAGAAGTAAAATAATTAATTACATGAGCGAAATGGCAACCAGAGTTACGATTGCATTGAGAATCTAAGTTTATAAAAATAATGATGAGCTTATATAACATTATAAGTGATTCAATGTGAAATAGATATTTATTCACTTCTTAAGAGTGGTATTGCAAAAACTTTAATTATTACTAAGATAATTGCGGCATAAAGCAGTTTTGTACTTAGGATTGGGGATTTCGGAATTGCTAGTAGAGGCAGCAGATCCTTCTGCAGATCCTTGGCTTAAAGTTTCAGCGTTGGCAGCAGCGGCAGTGTTGATTTCTTTAACTTATTCACTCATTACTATTTTTTTTTTATTTATTTTTAGCTTCAAAATTTATGGATGGATGATTTAGTTATAATAATATTTAGTTTCTTTTCTTTCTTTTATTTGATTTTTTTGTTTAGATTTTTAGTTTTTGTATTTTATATGCACTAACTAATATTACTTTTTATCTCTCTTCAGGATAATAAATAATTAACAATTCTTCCTACTAAAAATGACATAGATTTTTAGATCCTCAATAATTTAATTAAATCCCTTTTATAGTTTATAAATTTCATAAATCATCTCAATCAATCTGATATGGATAAAAGCAACAAAGCTGATTAGCCCTTAAAGTGCTCCTTCCGTATATCACATATTACCGACTGATTTTTTAGTCAAATAAGCTAAATAAGGAAATAAAATTAGTAGAGATAGATTTCTTTGTTAACTTTTTTATATTAAAAATCTTTTTGTTTCTAAATAATTACAATAGCATTTTTAACTAAAAATTATAAATAAATTAAAAGTTAATTAATATTACATTCATCACCTCCTTGTTTATTTTTAATTAAAAATATTTTATAATTAATTCTTTGCTAATTAATATTTTAACTTAATCAAAGCGATTGCACACCCTTAAAAACAGTTCTAAAAAAAATATATTTTCAAAAAAAATAAAGAAATTATTTAACTATTATAAAAATAGTTTTATAAATAATTCACAAAATTCTATTTAAAAATTTTTAAAATATTAAAATATCTTATAATTGTCAGTAAATAATAATTATATTTATATAAATTTATATTAACGTTAAAAATAAAAAGATAAATAGATAGAAATATAAATAATTAGCTTTGTTATTAGTTTAATTTTTTCTAAATGAATTCAATCCTTTTCTTAAGGAATTTCAAATTTAGGTAGAGATTTACTATCCATTATTGAATCAATGCTATCTTATTTGAATTCACTAGGATCCCATTTAAGAGTTTCTACAACCCAATTATGATTAGTGTATATACATTTATCAGCTGCTATTTTCATACTTTTTAAAGCTATATCTTTTGCACTCATTCCATCAATATCTATTAAAGCTCTAGCAGCACCTAATTTTAGAAACAAGTATTTTTTTAGATGAATAATCTAACTAATATATATATAAATAAATAAATTAATTAATTATCATACATTCAGCAAATGCTCCACCACTACCTATTCCTATTACTTCTGGAATTTCTAAAACCTATTTATTTTTAGTTTATTTAATATATTTTTATTTTTAAAATTTTTTTAATATAAGTAGTAGTATTGTATTACATTTCCTGTTCCATCTAATTCAACTATCAAATCTTTATCAACTACTAATAAAGTTGCTTCTAAATGTCTAAGAGCCTTTCCTTTTAAATTTAATATAATTAATTTATTAGTTTATAAATTATTTTTTATTTTTTTTTCTACCAGTTCTCCATTATTTTGCATAAGTGATACATGCTTTAAGTGTAGGTTATTTTGTCATAATATTTTCTAATCCTTCCATTAATGTAAATGCATCAGCAAGACTTCCTAGATATATACAATATTTTAGTAATTATTACTCACATCATCTTTAATTGAAAATAATTAATTTTAATGAGTTTTAACCTGCAAAACCACAAATCGATCCATTTGCTAACTTTCTAACTTTTCTACCATCTGTTTTAACGACAGTTGAACCTAGAGAGACTTGCCCATCACCTACTATACAAATTTCATTGTTTTTTTTTACAGCCAAAATAGTTGTTTATCTCCATTTTTAATCGCTAGAGAAAAAAAACTTCTAGATGCTCAACCTTTATTTTCCAACTTAAGAAATTCTACCAAATAATCCAAACATATCACTTACTTTATAAAACAATATATCCTAAAATTAAATATCAAATCAAATTAATATTAATAAATGTTAATATATTCTTCGAATATTCGAAGTCCGCACAAAAAAATAAATATAAACATCCAATTATTGTATTTATATTTAAAAACATATAACTTATATATCCATTTAATTGAAAATATTTAACAACACAATTCACATGTTTTTTTTATAAAAAAATATATAATTATACTATAAATATGAATAACTAATATTTTTTATCTTTTATCTATATATCCCTTTAAAATAATATCTTCACAATTTAAGTTGCAAAAAAAATAGTTAAAGAATTAGTATAAATAATATAGATTTTTCATTCAATTTTAGGTATTTATTAATAATTCTTCTAATAAAATTATTTAAAAATATTGAAGAATAAGTTTTATTAATTTTAAACTATTTTTAAAACTGAATCAATTTTGAAATAAAAATGTCTTATTTATATTTCTTTACTTCATATTTTGGGTACTTAACACTATATTTTCTTGCTTTCAAAGTTATAAAATTGATGATACTAATAGTATATATTATTAATTAGTATTAGAGAAACGAAGAAAAAGTCTTGGTTGTATAAATGGAAATATTTAATATTCATTTATTGTTATTTTATATTTACTAGTATTTTGAAATCTTATTTTTATAGTATTTTAGAAGCTATAAATATCATATTAATCTATTCTAGAAATAATATGCCAAACATATTAGAATATTTATACAATCAAATACTAAACAAAAAATTTAACTATTTAAATAGATTTAAGAGTTTAATTTATTACAAAATAATACAGTTTTTATATTTAAAGCATAAAAAATAATAATAATTTGATAAGAAAAAATCATATAAGATCATTTAAATTTAAAAATTATCCTCAATTAAATGTTAAATTATGTAGAAAATTTATTTTAATAATGCAATTAATTATGTTTTATTTGATTTTTAATATATTGATCCCTTAAATATTTTTAGTATTAGTAATCAGTGATATAAATAAGATTGATAATTCTTATAGTTTACAAATATTTTTAAAAAATTAAAGACACCCTCACAAATATAAACCATAATCTGTTGTATAATAGTATTTATTAATAATTATTAGTAAGATTGCTAAAAGTTTAGTTATTTTTAATATCTACATTAATTTCATTATTAAATATTTAATTTCTTTATTCTTATAAATTTTTTTTTATTTGATAGAATTTTATAAAAAATAATCCAAATAGTATCTTTTTAAAGATTTTTTTATTAAGTATACAAGTATTAATTTATTTATTTTCTTGTTTTATATGTGTTCCCATATTTGTTTAGTACTGTTTTATTTTGAACAAAATACAAATAAAATTGTTTTTTTATCGAATTCTATTCAACAAATTTATTATTGTTTATATAATTATCTATTTTTAATAAAAGCAATTTCAATGAAAGTATGAATATTACTCAAATTTTTATAAATATTTTTTTAAAATTTTATATTTGAAAAAAAATGTATTCAAATCATACATTTAAATAAAATATTATTTAATATATTTCATCAAAAAATAAGATATTTTTAAATTATAATCATAAAATTTTTATAAAATAGCTTAAATTTATTTAAATATTTTGAATATAAATACACTTTTTTTCAAAGAAAATAAGTAAGTATTTTATCAATAATCATGCAATTTTACCTTATCAGTAACTTTTGCTTTTAAGCAATTTAGAAATAATTATAAAATATTTTCAATCATAATATCGCTTTCATCTTAACTAACTAATAGTTTATCACAATTAATCTTTCTTAATATATAATTTTGTAATATTTATCTTGCAATCTGTTCTAAAAGCTACAAAAAAATTAATATTAAGGTGAGGAAAATCAATAAAATCAAAAAAAAAAAATTATAATCTATTTTTTGATAAAATCAAAAGGTCTTTTATGCAATAGTTTATTAAATCGAAGAATTAATAATTTGTTATCAATATAAAAAATACAATATAAAAATCCCAAATTAAAAATATTAAATCTTTATTTCTAAAATTTAAATCTTTTCTAAAAGCTAAAAACTGTTTATTTTTAATATTAGTTATATTCAATTAATAAATTTGAATTTAAAATAAAAAATATTTAATTTTCTATTTTTTTACTAAGACTTCATGAAGATAAAGGTGAATTATAAATATTTGATTTTAGAAAGGTAATTATTTGTATAAAATGCAGATCAGCATTTATGGTCAAAATCAAATTGATTTCAAAGATAATAAAATTTTTTGGCAAAATTTGATTGTATATTTATAACAAGAAGGCTTTTTACTTTTATTATACAAATCTGTTTTAAATCAACTTCGTAAAATAAGTGGCTAAGAATGTACTGTCAACTATTATTAAATATTAGATTAAACAATTTGTTTTGAAGTTTTTAAAAAATTGTGCAATACAATTCAATCAATATCAATTTCAGATAAAGTAAATGATATTTTAGAAAAGATAAATAATTTAAAAGGCACCACATGTAGAAATTACAAGTAGAAATAGTCCTACCTTTCTCAATTCTTTTTATGTTTTTCATTTTGAAATGAATAAATCTTCTTTTTAATCAAAAAAATACAAAAATCTCTCTAATAATTTTACAAATTTAAAAAAAATAGAAAATAATTATTAAATTATTTATTAATTATATTTAAATAAATTTACTAGTTATTTGTACCAGAAAACAGATTATTTTTGAGAAAAGAGCTTATAAAAAAAGCAATTATATCGTGATTTTTGTTTCATTTAAATTGATTGATTTTAATTTTACTAATTTTGGTGTTTCTTTGAAAAAAATTATATGCAATTTTTTAATTTTTTATGATTGGGATTAAATTAAATTCCAAAAATAGCCTAAGGGTTAATAATACATAATAAAAAAATTGGTTTGTATACATAAAGAATAAATGAGTTATTTATTATTAGACACATCCTTAAAAAAATTAAAATTTTGATAAATATTGTATTGAAAAATTCAATTGCCTACAGTGATTAATAGCAAAGAATATAGCAAAGCATTCTCAAAGCAATTTTTGTCTAATAATAGGAAAATATTGATTAATCTTATAAAAAAAAGTAATAATCTCTATATTAATAGCTGAAAGCTAACATAATATCTGTGAAAAAAGTGTGAAGGATAGCTGCAAAAAGTAAAGAGTGTTGACCTTTGTTTTTATAATTTTAGAGAAAGTAATTTAGTTCTATCAATAGAGATAATAATTAATAAAACAAAAAACAAAGAAACAAACAAAATAATCTTCTTATCAGAAGTAATATCATTAATTAGAAAAAAAGCAATACTTTAAATAGAAGAAAATAGATAACCAATAGATTTTCTTTTGAGAAACTTCAACGCTAATACATATGGGTCAAACCTGTGCTGGGGCTAAGCCATCCGCTGAGCATAAAAAAAATAAATAAATAAACAATTTGTAGAATCAAAAGGAAGGCGAAAATAAGTTTGCTGCTGATACTGATTCTTAAAAAACTAATTCACCAATAATAATTCTAAAGAAGCAAAAACCATTTTCTCAAGAAATAATCACTTCATTCGAGGATATAAGGAAAGTTTATGAGTTTGAGCCTAATATTTTAGGTAACTTTATATGATTTGTTTGCGTCAAAAATGGCCTTAAATATTTGAAAATAATTTCCGAAAAATGGAAATTCAAAAGCATGAGCTCCATTAAAAAGGATATAAGCAACAACAAACCATAATCTCTTTTTATTAATTTACTTAGAAATAAGTGTTTTGTATGTAAAAAGATAATTTAGTTATATTGTTCAATATGCTCCTTTAATTTGAATACAAACAAATTAATTAAGGATTATTTTTTAACAGGCCTTTTAGTTTAATTGAATATATAAATAACTACTTTATTTAACAACTCAATTATCTTAATTTATTTAAAACTTAATACAATTAAGGTCATGGGCATTATGGAACAGTTAGGTTAGCTAATCATATTATCAACAAATCGAAAAAATATGCAGTTAAAACTATCTCGAAGACTAAGATAAAAAAAGATTTACATCTCTTTAGAAGGGAGCTCGAAATTTTGAAAAGTCTAGACCATCCTAATGTAATTAAATTTTATGAGACTTATCAAGACAAAAAGTATTTCCACCTTGTTATGGAGGTAAATCTTTATTTTTATATTTTTATATTTAATTGAATAAGAGATAATTTATCTCTTAGATATTTGAGTACTACTGAGAGTATGTTTGAATTACCATATGAAAAATTAGAAATAACTACAATTTTTTTCCATCAGTAATTTTAAACATTGTTTAATTAATTGTCTCTATGTTCATGCCTTATTTATCCTACTTCTTTTAAAATCTGATTTTATTTGAGAAAATATTGTTTTAAATAACTGGATGAAAGATTTAATTTTGTGGTATGCTTGCAAGTTCATTTTAAGGAATTTATTGATGGAAAAGGATCAACTGAAATTATTTGTTTTGAATAAATTGAATCTAAATTGTTGTAAGGATGTAAAAAAGGAATATTCGTTCTTCTTCAAAAATTTGAAGATAAATTTATTAAAGTTGATAATGCTTTTTTGTACGCTTGAAACGATATTGATTATCTATCAATCTATCTTGTATGTACTTGCCTGAAAATTTGAAATTGTTAAAATAAATTATTTGTTCACTATTTTAAACCCAGAAATATCAATTTTAAATAGAATGATTAGATAGATATTAATTACGTTTTATGTCTAGCCATGTATTTTTGTTTAAAATAAATTACTTTCTGATTATTAAACAATGCTTAAAATACTCTCAATCCTAAAAAAATTATTTTATTATTGATAGTTAATATATAACATATTTATTTTTTTAAAAAACATAGTACTGTTCAGGTGGAGAATTACTTCATCGTATTGCATAAGATAAGATGGCATCTGAAGAAAAGATGGTAAAGATAATGAAAAAAATATTCCTTGGAGTAAAGTACCTACATGAAAAGGGAATTTGCCATCGTGACTTAAAACCTGAAAATTTTCTTTTCTCAAACAACTCTGAATTGAGCGAGATTAAGATTATCGATTTCGGCTTGTCGACATATATAGATGAGATTGAAAATGAAGACGATAATGGATTTTTCGGGAATGATCTTCAAACTATTTGTGGTACTGCTAATTATTTAGCTCCTGAGGTTATCAAAGGAAAGTATGATAAAAGATGCGATATTTGGAGTCTTGGAGTGCTCCTCTATTTCTTGCTTTGCGGCGAGCTTCCTTTTTCAGGTATAACAACTTCTTTTTTTATTCTTATTTCTAAATTCGTCATATTGAATCTGTTAAAGGAGATTAAGAAGGTATTATTTTTATTAAAAGTGTACTAAAATTAGAATTTGAAAAGTTATTAAAATAAGAAAAATTAAGTAAGAATGAATGATTGAACAATTAATTAATTAAGTTAACTTATTTAAAAAGGCTTGTTTGTTTGAATTTTTTACTAGCAAGCTTAATTTTTATAACCATCTTTCTTTCATTTGAAAAATTAAATCAAAAATCAATCCACTTCTAGAAATTTTAAATGAGTTATTAAAAATAATTTTACAAGATACAAGATAGGTAACTAAAAAATAAAAATTAATAAAAATACTTTTAGAAGCAAGCGCTAATCAATTTATTTGTTAAGAATAAATATAATATCTCCAAAAAAAAATAAATTTATTTGACAAATCAACCAATCATATAAGCTAACTGAAATCAAAAAAATAATAGGATAAATTTATAATTTCATCTTAATTTATGAAAATTAAAACTCAAAAATTAAATATTTATTTTATATATTCGATTATCTCAAATTCATTTGACGATATAGAAAGATATCAATGATTATTTTTAATTGTTGTCGCACTAAAATTTAAAAATAAGACTTTAAATCTAAACTTTAATATTAAAAATAGGAAATACCAACACAGAGATATTTGATAAGATATTAAATTAGAAAGTAGAATTCTAGGGAAATAATTGGAAAAAAGTGTCTAAAGAGGCTAAAGATTTGGTTAAAAAATTATTGGTAGTCAATCCTGATGATAGAATAACTCTAGAATAGGTTTTAAAACATCCTTGGATTACTAAACTACCATAAAAAAAGCCTTTAGGCTCTGATGGAGAGGACTAGAGAGTTTTAAGCATGCTAAGAAATCACTAAAGCACAGCTAAATTTAAAAAGGAGGCCTTAAAAGTTTTAGTAAATTTCTTAGAAGAAGAGGAAATCTAAGAACTTAAGCAAATATTTAGGTAAATTGCAATCAATATAAATGAATTAAGCAAATAAACTTAAAAATAATTTAATATATAGGAAAATTGATACAAATAACACTGGTATGATAAAAATTGAAGAGCTTTAAAGCGCATTAAAGAAAGTAGGATTAAATGATTCTGAAGAAGAAGTGAAACGTATTATGCAGACTGTTCATATAGATGAAAAGAGTAATTAAATTAACTACAGTGCATTTATAGCTGCAACTTTAGATGAGAAGAAATTCTTCAACAAAGAAAGACTTTGGAATGTTTTCAAGCATTTTGATGTTGATGACACTAATTACATCACAATATCTAATCTTAGAGAAGCTCTCGCTAGAGCTGGTAGAAAAGTTGATAACTAAGAATTATAGGAAATCATGAATGAAGTTGATTTTAATTTAAACTAAAGAATAGAGTGGAACTAGTTTGTAACGATTATGACTTAGACTGGTAACACAAAAACCCGTTAACACATAGACAGATCTTTATCATAAATAAGCAATTTTAAGGAAAATAATTAAGAATCAGCTAAAAATCAAAACGAAGAACCAAATTAAACTGGTATTGCTACTTCTTAAGTTACTTATAATTAGAGAAAATCATCTTTTGAAGTTGATGAAGCAGCTAAGCGTTTTAGTGATGACCTTATAAATAATTCACCTTAATAATAGAAAGAAATGTACGTCAATTAAAGTAATAAAATTTTAATTTCAATCTAATACTTATCTAAATTTTATTTTAATAATAGATTAATATGATAAAGAAGATGAGAAAGGTCATAATAAAATAAATTAAATAACTCATAAAAATGAGTAATAATCCAAGATGCAATCATAGCTTAATTGAATTGAAGAAATAATTTGATCAAGGAGGCTGTTTTAAATTTAAATTGTACAATAAAAACCAAAGAAATATTTAAAAATTTTGATAATTACTAAAAAAATATTTATTGATAATGAATCTTGATTAAAAAATTATTTTTTTAATCTTTTGAAGTTTTAAAGAGAAATCAAACATTTAACAAATGCTGCTTTGAAAAGATTTTGTATTTGTAAAAAGTAAGGATAATAAATTAAAAGGATTTATTTTAATTTAAAAAATTGAAAGAGAAATCTATCTATATAGTAAACAAAAGACATTTTTGAAGTATATAAGTAAGGAAGTAATAAAGAAATAAAGATAAAACATAAAATAAACAAAAAACAAATATATAACGAACTAATAAATAACATTTCTAATAATTTGTAAATATATAAATATATTTATTTCACCTGTAGACATAATGGTTACAACAATTTTATATAAATTTAATTCACTCTTTATTCATTTATAAAAATTTATACTTAAAGCAATAAACATTTTTAAGTTCTAAAAATAAACAAACAAGCAATAAAACATATTTACTTACTTATCAACTTGTCTCTGTATTTAATACAGATCCTAAAAAACACACAATATTTTAAGCATTTTATACTTACTGATTAGAATCCAAAGCTTATGTTTATATACTTGAACCTTTCTGTTTTTAATCAATAGGTAAATCAGTATTGAATTCCTTTAGAAGTTAACTAGCTGTTTACTTGTCTCTTAGTTTAGATTCTTAAAGCTGAGCTTAGTTATCAATTAAACCATATTTTGTATTAAGATTTAGGATTAATTAGCTACTTGAAGAATTTGGCTAAATATTTTTTTGAATTCCATTATTTTATTCATTTTTCTGTTTTTCATCACTATGTAAGTAAGACATACTATATTTATTATTCAAATTTAGGATTAACTAACTATTTTAAGAATTAGGCTAATTATTATTTTGTATTTCATATTTTTATTCATTTTTTTCTTAGCTGTCATTAGGTAAGTGAGCCATATTATATTTATTATTTAATGCTTAGATTAGCACACTGCTAGAAGAGTTTTCCTAATTATTATTTTTAGTTTCATATTTTTATTCGTTTTTTTCTTAACCATGAAATTATTAGTTTGGCATACTATATTTATGATCCAGCACTTAGATTAGCTAGCTGATAGAAGAGCTTGGCTATTGCTTCTATTCTGTTTCTTAATTAAAATTTTCTTTATTAATTTCATCATTTTAGTTAGAGATAGTCTATTTTGTGCTTAAAGCATCAAATTTGCTACTAGAAACTTCATTTTTGTGTTAAAGTTATTTCTCTTTATCTTATTAATTAGTATTTAAGGTTAAGTTTGCCTGATTATTATCTTTTAAAACTAAAGAGTTTATTTTATCTTTCATATTATGTGGTGAATTGTATTATTAAACCTCTTTATTATTATTGCTAGTATAAATATGTTCAAAGTTACCTATAAGTGCACTAAGTGATTCAGATTTTTAACTTGGGAAAGGATTTACTGAAAATTTATTTACCTCATTAATTGGGTATATAGAATGTGGGATTTAAGGACAAGTTTGTGCTTAAATTTTTTATTCATTTTTACATAATGTATTTAAACATTTTATGAATTGCGATTCTCCTTATAAATAACTATTAGTCATTTAAATTAGAGGCTGTAAATCTATGTCATCAGATCTTGAAAGTTTTACTGTAAGTATTTTTTCAAATGATTTAAGCTTGCTTAAATTCATTTACTCTTTTTAAGTTAAGAATAATTTTAATTCATTTGACAATCTTTTTTAAAACTCCTTTTAATTATGATAAAAATAATTTTTAAAGTGATAACAATTATTTAATTTAAATCGATAAAAATCTTAAAAATTAAAGAATTTAAAATAAGAGAAAATAAAAACTTACTTCATAAAACTCCTACTTTAGTCTTTAATCTATATTATATAAGTCTTATCCATTAAATTAAGAAATAGCTGAATTAAAACAATCTAAAATTTGTTTCTATACATTTTATTTTTTTAAATATTCCAAAAATTCTGCGTGAAGAGATGAAAAATTATTGACTAAATTCTATAGGTAGGTTTCTTCAAATAGAATCATAAATACTTTAATTTAAATTGATCCTTCTTCCTTGTCAAGATCCAAGCAATATTTTCTTACTCTATCTATATTTTATTCTACTTAATCCTTTTTATGATAATCCATTTAAATTTCTTTGTATAATTCCTTTATATTCTATTTGTTTTAAATAAAGATTTATGGGTATGAAATATAGATGTTTAAAAACAAACTACTTATTTAGTCCTTTGTAAATCATTCTGATTCGAATTATTAATATATAAAAGGCTTTTTATTTCTTCGCTAAGGTCTGTGTTTCTATGAACATAGTTATAATAATCTCTCATAAAAGAATCTTTTAATTCATATTTTCTGGGATCTATTATTCTCGGACTTACACAACCACCCATTAATAAGATTAAACTTCTATATTTGCTTATTTATCTTTTTTTATTTTAATTATTTCTTTATTAATTATTAAATATACTTAGTAATATTTCAAGCAATTTAACATATTAAGAATTATATATCTATTTGATCAAATTTTATTTTTTTATAATATCTTAAATTTTCTATCAATTTATTCTGCAATTAGTGCATAAAAATCAATAACCAGAGATAAACATTTTGAATACATTAAAAAAATAAAATACAAACACCACTATTTTTTCTATTTAAAAATTTTATTAGTCCTATAAATTTTCTTTATTTAAAAATTTTTCAAAAAGTCTACATATTTAAAAAAAATGAAATGAACAGTTTAAATCTAGATGACAATTATTTTTTTTAGTTTTATTAATAGAAACATTAGAATCTAAAATAAGTTTAATTAATGAATAAATGAATTAAAAACATTTATATGTGAAGGATATTTTTAATATACTAGAACATATTTGAACAAGAATAGTAAAATTTTATATGTACTCTATTTAAATTTTTCTAAAATTATGATCTCAAATTATTTAAATTAGCTTCAAAAAAAGTTATAAATTCAATGAAGTTAATCTTTAAAATGATATTTAAAGCATTTTAAGTAATTTTCAAAATATTATTTTAAAGAAAATTAGAAAAAATCATATCATTTAAAATTGTTAATATTAATAAAATTCTGTAATTATATGCAAATTTAACATAATTTATGGATTGCATATTAATATTATGAATTTTAATAAACCATAGAAAACTTTATAAAATGAAAATTTAAAAGTTAAGGAACATAATTTAAGATATTGCTGACATTTTTAAAAATACTAAAAACATTTTGAATTAATATTTCTAACTTGGCATTAGCTTTTTTTTTAAAAAAAATGATTCATCCATAATTAATTTTTTAAAGTACTTTCTTTTGTTATGTTTAATTAAATTCTTATTTTTTATATAAAAATAAAAATTAATTAGTAAATTAATAATCATAATAAATTTTTATTCTATTTAAAATTATTTACATTTCTTTTTTTATCTAAAATATTTTATTTTAGAGCTTTTTGATAAATATTTTTAAAAATTAGGTAATTATTTTTTTTATTACAATTTTATTATAACTAAATATTTTTTTTTAAATTTAGCAATTATCATTTATTAACTGTAAAAACATTAGCTTTTCTATTATTAGATTGTTTTTATTTATATTATAAAATTAAAAATAATTATCATTTTTTTACATTTTTTGATAAATATTTTTAATAATAACATACTTATTTTTTTCTTACAATTTTTTTACAACTAAATATTTTTAAATAATTTAGTAATTTTCATTTATCTGCAAGTAAAAATTTTAATTTATTTTTATTAGATTATTTTTTATTTACATAATAAAATTAAAAATAAACATTATTTTATTTTAGATTTATTTAATACTTAAAAAATAATTGATTTTTTAATGTGTTATAGTCATTTTATTTTAATATTAAAACAATTATTATCTTTTTTATTTATGATTACTTTTTTTCATCTTTTTCTATTACATATTTCTTGATTCATACATTTTAAAAATAAGATTAATGCAAACTCTTACTAACTTATTTCTATAAAAGTCTCTAAATAGTTAAACAATAGTCATTTATTCAGATTGTAAAATGCTTTCTAAGTTGATAAAATATTTTGAATATTTTTACTTACATGATGTTTGATTAATTTGAATACTTTCAAAAGAATTTTTTATCTAAAGTTCTTATTTTTCAGATTTCTGAAGATAAAAAAAAACAATTTAATTAAATATTAATAAAAATATGTCCTTGATGACGTAATTTAAAAGGTGGGTTTATCTATGCAAAATCATTAGATTGAAGTTGAGTTTGTTAAAAATAAAATTAATCTAATATTTGCAATATTAATATTACGAAGAAACAAAACAGTATTATTTTTCATAGCACAACATTAAGATTTTTAGATTTTAAGAATAATAAGTAGATTTGTTTCCATTAAACTGTGTAAAAGAAATATGTAATTTTTGCCTCTAATTAATATTTTATAGTAATTGGGAATGTAAACAGAATTAAAATAGAATCATCATCATAATACTTAAACAATTAATTTTTTCTGCGAGTTTTGATACCTGTTATTTTTTAATTAAAATTAATTTCTAAAATTAGAAGCAATATTCGATTTTCATATTTATTAATCTTTAACCTCTTCTGTAAAAATATAATGGAATATTCTAAAAAGATACTCCTTAAATAATTTTCAAACAATCATAACTTTAAAGGATAGCTATGAATGAACAGCGTTTAATTAGTATTTTAACGTCTATTCCATTTTTTCTTGACTATTTTTGCATTTTAAAATTTCTTAGATATTTTGTCACAAAAATAAAATTCTTGCAAAAGTTGATGAGTATTAATTATGAATCTTATTTGAAATAACATAACAGTAATGTTGTTGAATTAATTGAGTGCAACCTGTCCTTATTAACATGCTTTTAAAAGGTAATCACATAAATATTGTAGTACAAGGATAGGGACGTAGTTCTTAATACAATATATTCCTCTTGTGATGGAATTCATTAATTTAATTAAATACGGTATAAATTTTTGAAAGTTAAACGTGATGATGTAACTAAATAAATTTATTTGCTTTCAAAAACTGCTGAATGCATAAGATTTTTTAAATAATAAATAAAATATTAATATACAAAATAAATTAACAAATCTTTTGCTATTATTGAAATTAGTAAATAGATAAATCATTATCGATATAACAAAAAACATAAAGCCTAATCATAGTAAACAAAGTAGACTTTTTAATCTTAATAAATTATATATTTTCTCCCTTTAGTAAATCATATTATCATAACCAAATAAACAAACATAGTAGCATATAACCTATCTATCATAATTTGAATTATAATAACTTTATGAATTAAGATATATAAGGTTATTTATTATTTAAAAAAACACTGATATTATTTTATATATTATAAATTGCAATAAAATTCAATAAATCTTGAATAGATAGATAATCACCAATCAACATTTGATACTGATTGATATTTTATTTATTTATAGAATAAATCGCAGGTGAATAAAAATGGAAAACACTGAATAATTCTAACGCTTTTCTCCTTAGAGACGTATGTCCAGAAGGCTTTCTACTGGTGGCAGAAATGACTCCTTTAGCTCTCTCTTCAGACCTGAATTCGGTTCTTAGAATAGTCTTATATAAAATGAAAAAATGTGGAAGCTTATGTAGTCATATATTAAGAATGATAAGGAAACTATCCAACAGTCAATTGTGAACCATGTTGAATATACTTTAGCTAAGACAAGATTCGATTTCTCCATATTCCATGCCTATCAAGCCATATCTCACTCTGTTAGAGGTAAAATATTTATTATTTATTTCTTTTTACCAAAAATATTCGTCTGAATAACACATTAGCACAGACTATAAATTTAAATTTTATTTTTTTCAAACAACACAAATATAAGTAATGAAAATTATCTTAAATTTTGATATGCCTTAATTAATATATTATATTTTCCTTATGCCTTTTGCCTACCTATAATCTTACAAAATCATTTTTATTTTATAATCTTCTGATTTCATCTTTTTAATCAAATTGAAGGTTTTAATATTTTTTTTAAATAATGAAATTACTACTTAAAAACTACTTTTTTGCATATACCAAATTAAATTATGAATAAAATTATTTTAGAGAAACAACTTTTTGAGATTGTTTTTGAATTTTGATTTGGAGATAGATATATTTTTAAATAAACTACCATATAAGTCGATAATGCTTATTAAAAACGTTTCTCCTTTTATTATTGGTTGAATGTACTATTCTTAATTATTGAACTTCTCCTAATCTTATTATTCTATAAATTAGACAATTTATTGTTAAGAAATAAGATTTGCTTTTGATATTTTTTAATCCAGCAAATGAATGAATTAATACTTATATTTTGATTTTAATGGAATAAATTAACAAAATATAATTTATTTGTTTAGGAAATATAATAGATTACTAAGTGAATCAATTATTTTAATAAAAAAATAGATAGACTTATTGAAGCTTTTAATGATACCGCTCAGTACTTCACTCATCATGATTGCAAGCGTGTATATTACTTGTCTATAGAATTTTTGATGGGTAGATATCTTCAAAACGCTTTAATCAATTTAGAACTAGAAGATAATTACAAAGAAGCTGTTTTAGAATTAGGATATAATCTTGAAAGTGTTTATGAATAAGAAGTTGATCCTGCCTTAGGAAACGGAGGTCTTGGGTAAATAAATTTATAATACAAATTCACTTAATAAGTCTTAATATATTTAACGAATTTATATTATAAATCAGTCGTTTAGCTGCATGCTTTTTAGATTCTATGGCAACTTTAAATTTACCTGCTTGGGGATATGGTATTAGATATAGTTATGGTATCTTTAGATAATTGATTAAGGATGGGTATCAATATGAAGTTCCCGATTACTGGTTAGATAATGGTAATCCTTGGGAAATAGAAAGACTTGATGTCAACTACCCTATTCGTTTCTATGGATATGTTAGAAAGATCCATGAAAATGGAAAAGAAAAATCTATTTGGGAAGGAGGAGAAGTAAATTAATTAATTATATTTAAAGTTAGTTGATCATAAATAAATTTGATGAAAGAAATATGATGTTATTTTTTAATAATTTGAAATTATACTAATTTTATTGTCTAGCTTGACCAATCATCAAATTTATTTGATAAAAAATATAATTTTTGTTAGCACAAATCTGACAGGTAGATACAAATTAAAAAAAAAAGAAGCAAAAATAAAAATAATAAATTAATTAATTAGCTTACTAGAATAAAGTTAACGAATAAACAATAATTTCAAATGATTTAATTTACTTTGATAAAATAATATTTAATTAAAATTAAGGCAGCATTTATTATTAGTCAACATCATATGATTCATATAACTCTAATTGAAAATTAAATAATTAGTTCTAATCATATCTAATTTTAAACAATAGCTTGTTCTAGCAAGAGCTTACGACAATCCAATTCCTGGTTACGATACCTATAACACAATCAACTTGCGTTTATGGCGTTCATTACCAGCCCGTGAATTTGATTTCAATTCTTTCAATTAGGGTGACTACTTCAAAGCTTTAGAAGAAAGAGAAAAGGCTGAGTACATTACCTCAGTCCTTTATCCTAACGACTCTAACTACTCTGGTAAGGAGCTACGTTTAAAGTAATAATACTTGCTTGTATGTGCTACTATCTAAGACGTTATTCGTCGTTTCAAGAAGAAGAAAAGAGATTGGAAAGAACTTCCCGAAAAAATAGCTGTTTAGCTTAATGACACTCATCCTGCTATGGCTATAGTAGAATTATTGAGAGTCCTTATCGATCATGAAGGTATTGAAATAGAATTTGCTTGGGAACTTGTTTACAAAAGTTTCTCTTACACTAACCACACTATTCTCCCTGAAGCCCTTGAAAAGTGGGGAATTGATTTACTTGGAAATCTTCTCCCTCGTCATCTTGAAATCGTTTATATAATTAACTTTATTTTCCTTGAAAAAGTATCTAAGAAGTTCCCTAACGATCATCATCGTCTTTCTTCACTCTCTATAATTGAAGAAAGTAACCCTAAGAAAATTCGCATGGCTAACCTTGTAAGATGAATTAATATTTTATATTTTTATGAGTAAAATTAACAAAAAAATCTTCTTTAACTAAAGTCAATTATTGGATCACATGCAGTAAATGGTGTAGCTGAAATCCACTCAAAACTTTTGACTACTACTCTCTTCAAGGACTTTTATGAACTTAGACCTAAGAAGTTCTAAAACAAAACTAATGGTGTTACCCCTAGAAGATGGATTAGATGCTGCAATGTTCAACTTGCACAACTTTACACTGAGTAGCTAGGAGGAGATACATGGGTTACTGACCTCACCCAAGTTAGATGCTTAGAGAATATGGTTGAAGATCCTGACTTTTAAAATAATTGGTAGAGAATTAAAAGATAAAATAAAGAATAACTCAAGTGGTGGGTAAAAGAAAACTGTTAAATAGACATTAACATTGATTCATTATTCGATGTTCAAGTAATAATTAATTGGTTTATAGCTTTTAAGTTAGAATATAAGAATTGACATTTCATTTTACAATAATAGGTTAAGAGACTTCACGAATACAAGAGATAATTCATGAATATATTGTATGTCATTCATCGTTATCTTTCTATTAAGAAGACACCAGCAGATTAAAGACATGCTAAATTCCTTCCTCGTACTATTATGTTTGGTGGTAAGGCTGCTCCTGGCTACATTAATGCAAAGAGAATCATTAAATTAATTTGCTCTGTTGCAGATAAAGTAAACATTATAATTATCATTTAATTTTATTATTGTATGTTTAAAACTGCAAAAATTAAATAAAGTAAGCATATACTAATTATTAAAATTAATAAAAATAGGTCAATACTGATAGCGAAATTGGTGATTTAATGAAAATAGTTTATCTACCAAATTACAATGTATCAAATGCTTAAATTATCATTCCTGCTACTGAATTAAGTTAACATATCTCAACAGCTGGTTTGGAAGCTTCTGGTACTTCTAATATGAAATTTGTCATGAATGGTTCCTTAATTATAGGTACTATGGATGGTGCTAATGTTGAAATCGCTGAAGAAGTAGGTAAAGAAAATATGTTTATTTTCGGAGCTTTAGTTGATGAAATAGAAGGTTTAAGAAATCATATGAGAAATACTGAACCAAGCCAATATTTCCCTCCTGAACTTAATGAAGTTCTTTAAAAAATTGATGAAGGTAGCTTAAACATACTAAAATAACTTGCATTTAAATTTATTTTTCATAAAAGGATTTTTCGGAGCTGTTGATGAATTAAGAGAACTTATCAATACTATTAGAAATAGAAATGATTATTACCTTCTTGGTGCTGACTTTAAGAGTTATTTGGAAGCCCAAAAAAAAGTTGATGAATGCTACAAAAACAAAAGTTTATGGACTAAAATGTCAATTCGCAATGCAATTAGATCTTCTAAGTTTTCATCAGATAGAACAATCTAATAATACGCAGACGAGATTTGGTAAAATTTTAAGTAGTAAAATTAATATTAATAAATTATAATTAAAAAGGGGTGTAAAGGCTTTCTAAATTCCAAATCCATCTCAAAATGCAAGAGAGAGAGTAAAAAGCTACGACAATGTAGCTGCAAATTGAAATAATAGCAGAATTACTTAATGCTAAAGATTAAAATTATTCTATTGAATGTATTTAGCTAATTTAAAAAAAATTAAAATAATAAGAAATATTAATATGTCTGTCTAAGTGTTTTGTAATTAATTAGTAATTTCTTAATTAATTCTCACAAGTTTTCATTTCAAAATCTCTTTATTTTAAATTAAATTTATTATTTCAAACAAAATAAAGATATATTTTAAAGAAATAATTTTTATTTTAATTTGTTTTTACATTTTTAAAGGAAGCTTCAAAGAGTTTTTCATAGTAAATTTTTTTAAAATACCGTAAATTCTTACATATAAAATTAAATCTTTGTTTCTTATTATTAGCCAGTTAAAAAAAATAAATTGAAATTCTGGTAAAAATTTTAATGAATTATTAAAAAAATATTCATCTATGTATGTATGAATGAATGAATGTATATTTATTATTTCTTATAAATTTTAGTGATTACTTAAATAGATTTGTAATATTTTGCAATATTTATTTTTTTATTAAAAATTTCAACTAATTTTAATAACTTTAAAAACATCTCAAAGTGTTTGTTCAATATGAATGCTTTTTCTCAAAAGTTAACAAGCTGTATTGATTACTTAAGTGACCCTATTAATGGAGAAACTAACTGCTGTTGTTGTTGTTTAAAACTCAAACCAATGAACATTGTAAAAATCCTAGCTTTATAAGATATTCTAATTTCGGCAGGGCTTATTCTTGTTGGAATAAATGCTATATTGTAAATAAAAATATTTAATTACTACCTTTAGTTATTCTCAACCAATAGCTTGCTCTATGGAATAGTTTTTGTTTCTTCAGGAGGTAAATTTATAATATTTGGTTATTAATTCTTTACAAAATTTTATTTTAATGATCAGGTGTGATTATAGTGAGTTTGTTGGTTTTTTATTTAGCTAATCGTAAGAAAAATTTAAAATGCTTTGGATTATTCTATGTAATCCTACGTATAATACTTTTTTTAGCTATAACTGCATATAGTATCCTTCTCCTAATTTGTTCTTTAAATACTACCAGTTCTTCAGACCCTATTTATGGTTTTGATTCTATTACTAAGCTTAATGTGCAAGATTAAAAGGGTGAATACTATGGAATATTAGCAGGTATTATAGCTTATAGTGCTCTTAACCATTTCTTTTCTTTAATATTATTTCTCAGCTTTAGATATCTAAGTGAAGGTTATGAATATGAGAGAAATATTAATATGAAAGACAAGGAGATAAAGTAAACATTTGCTCCTGAATGGTTCAGAAATTAAGAAGTCTAAAAAAAAAATAATTTAATTAAAAATCAAGAAAATTAGGATCAAAAAGAAATGCTTATTAATTAAAATAAGAAAAACAATGACCTAGAAATAAATAAAGATTAAGGATTTGTGGATACAAAAGATACTAAGCAAAAAACTAAAATTAGTAAGAACAAAGTAGTTCCTTTAAATAATGATTAAAAGGTTAATGATGATGATATCAAATCTAAATCTACTAAATTAATTATACATGATGAAAATGATGCCAAAAATTCAATGAAAATTATAAATATGGATGGTATAGGAAGTAATACATCAATACACCAATTAAATTAATGATTAAATACTTTAAAAAATTATATTAACTAATTAATAACAATACTTCTTAAATCTAATTTAAATTAAACAAAAATATAATATATTTATATTAAAAAATATTTATTAATATTTATAAAATAAGCAATATTCTAATTGTTTAATTTTTATGCTATGACCTTAAAATAACTTCAGAAAAGAAAAGAAAAAATTATTTTTAGATTTTTATTTATTTTAACTTTAGAAAATCATTTTTTATAAATTAATCAGCTTTTATAAATATTTTTATTATTTTTAGCAAATATTTCATTTTTAAAACTCAATTTTGCTTTTGTTTAATTATATTTTAATAGGAATATTTACTTTTTTTAATTTTTCATCAAATGGAAATTTATTACTTTTTAATATAAATTTACATTTAGTTTTAATAAAAAAATAAGACTTAATTAGATTTTACTAAATTTTAAAGAAACATTTACATTTTCATTCAATTACACAACTATAAATCATTTTTGTCTGATATTCATAAAAAAAACAAAATCTTTTTTAATTTATTTTTTTTAGATATCTGATGAAAGATTAAATTGATACTTCTTAAATATTTTTTTAAAACTTATCAATTATGTATAATATTTTTCTTTAAAAGTTTTATTAATATTAATAAATTAATAATATTCTACTTCTTCAATTTAATAACATCGATTTAAAATAGTTTAAGATAAAATAAATGATTTTTTTTAATTTTTATTTACTTTTACAATGAAAATAATTTTAAAAAAATAGAATCAGCTTTTATTTTAATATTTTTGTTATTCATTTTTGATGAAAATTCATTTTAAAAATTCAATTTAAGCTTGATAAAAAAATTTTTAATAAGAATATTTACTTTTTGATTGATTTTTGTTTGTAGATATAAATTTATAATAAAAATTTATAAATTAATTTTTATGATAGAAATGCTACTTTTTAAAATATTTTATTGTACATTAATAAAAAAATTATGATGTAAAAATCTAATAAATTTAATTAGTTTTTACTAAGTTTAAAGAAATTTTTATATTTTAATTAAATTTTAGAAATACAATCGTTTTTTGGCTGATATTAAAAAATAATCAGAATCTTTTTTAGTTTATTTACTTTTAATATCTGATAAAAGATTAATTGAAAGTTTTTTGAAATGCAAAAATAATAGCAAACATAGTAGAATTAACAAAATTCTAATTTATAAAAAGAATTAGTTAACTTAGAATCTATTTCAGTAAAGAAATTTTGATTTATTGCTTTTTATTATAGTAATTTATTTATAAAAGAGTGAAACATTTTAGGCAAATAAGTTCTTGGAATAGTTTTTTAAATAGTAGAGATATAATTTGATAAAGATAGGTATGTATATCAAAAATTTTCAATCTTTCATAGCTTTATCAATACATAATAATAGATAATCTTGAAGAAGTAGATAAGAATGTCAAAGATATCAGCTAAAATTTAGCTAAAATGGAGACTGTTTTAACAGAAATGAGCAATAAAGTAAATTGGTTTTACATTTTTAGATAGATAGATAAATAATTAATTAAATAAATAATAAAAATAACTTAAAAGATTAAAGATGAATTAAACACTTAACTTTATGTAAATAAAATTAAAATGGACTATTAAGCAAATAAAAAAGTGCAAATGGAAAATGAATTTAAGGTATAGATCATTTAATATTTATGCAGAATTTATAGCAAATGTAGAATAAAATATAAATTGAGCATTAAAAAATTTTGTAAAAATAGAATTTAAAAACAGTATACCAATAGATTGAGAAATAATTATCGGTGCTTAGTAATCGTAATCCTATCGAGTAGCAGTTAAGAGAAATTAATCAAGAAAAAGATTAAGTCGTTAGAACTAAATAACTGATAGAGCACTTTAAAGCTTTTAATAAGTAAATAATTTTTTTATTGTAAAGCTTAAAGTAGAAAAATATTGTTTTAGAAAAAACTAAGAAGATCACCCTTAAATGTACAGATAGGTTATTTATGAGAATAAATTAGAAAATATAGAATTAGCAGCAAAGAATATATTGATATTACAAAAAGTTTGTTCAAATATGAATAATACAGGAGAGTACAAACTAGCTATTGATAACATAAGGGATATGTTTTAAAAATTTGAAATAAAAATCGAAAAGAAATTTAAAGAGTTTTATTGGTTGTTTGATTCACCTAACATGGCAGTAATTTTTAAATTGAATTAATTAAATAATAATTAAATTGAATATTAAATAGAGATATCTTAAAATTGTTAATCTATATGATATGATTGGCAAGGTTGCAGAATTTTATATTGACTAGACTCTAGGAGAACTTAAAGTGTAAATTGTTTGTTTAATTTTTATTTGTAGTTTTAAAAGATATTTTAAATGCAGTAACCAAGATTATAGTCTGTAAGGACCTGAGAATATAAAAAGAGAGATTAAAAATCATTTAGACTTGCTTCATGTTAGATTTAAAAAAGCTTTATAGGATGAAAATAAAGAGGATGGAGTGAAGAATTCATTTTGCATTTAGGAAATATTTGGTGGATACAGTAGCGACGTTCTTAAATCATTTATTTGCTATAGTTTTGATGATATTGTAATTTAATATCAATTAATGAAAAAATATATATATATATTATTTTTCTTTTAAATTTACAAAATAGATGGGGAAAATCGTTAAGCAAATTCTTAATAATTTCATAAACAATCCTACCTTATACCTTTAATACTTCTAATTTCTTTATGAAACGATTTAAGCTCAAGTTAATAAAATAGATCAAATTGAAAGCACATTGAGTTCTCAAGCTAGTGAATTAGCTAACTCCTTTTTTATATCTTTATTCCAGGAGTTTTAAGAAAGATATTTTGAAATAGAAATAAACAACTTAACATGCATTATTACAGATAATTCTAATAAAGTAATCGAGTTGATGTAAAGATCTAAAGATTTTGTAAAAATTAAAAAATTTTCAATTTAATTTAATTTTCAATTTTTTTGTATTCAGACAAAAGAAAGAGTGAAAGGTGAAATACAAAAATGGTTTGAGCATCTTATATTTGATAACACAGATAAAGATTCAGTTAGGTTAAGTAGGTTTTAATTTTTTAATTTTGATTTTAAAATTACTTTTAATTTATTAGCAAAATCTGAAATGGCCCATAGACTAACAATAATGAAAGACATACTACATCAAGAATATATTGAGATTATATTTACATCTGTTTAAGAATCATTAAATAGAAGTGAAAAGATTTCATTAAAGGAATAAAAGTATAAAAAAATTTTAATTTTAATAATTATCTAAATTCAAATAAATAAGGATAACAAATAAGTGCCACATACTTGAATTATTTTTATCACATTTCGGAACCAATCTCATCTCTACTCTTATTGAATAGTAATTAATTTAAAATTATATTTGGATTAAATAAATAAATAAAAAATAATAATAGCACAATTCACACAGTTCCAAATTTAAACAGAAAAACTTTGCTTAATGCAGATTTCTTTGAAGTCATTCCTTAATTAAATATTTTAGTAAATAGAATGGATTTAATCTTCTCACAGTATACGGTAATTCATAAATATAATATTTGATTATATACATTTTTTTAATTTATAAGAAAAACAGCTTTGAGAACACTGAACTTCGTTAAATAGTAAAAAAGAAGGAGGAAATAATTTCGACTTTAGAAATAAATATTTTGAAATCCATATAATGCGCTCTAGCTTCTATTTTTATAAATTGTAATAGAATTTTAAATGATAAATAAAAAAGTAAAGATTTTATAAAATCTACTGATGCTTTACCCAGTCAAACTACAGCTTGTACAGAATTTATTGCATTTCTACAGGTTTACATTGAATCTATCAACTAAAGTTAGTCTAATTCAAATAAAACTAGAGTTTTAGAATCTATAGGGCTATAAATAATTTCGTAATTAATTATAAAATTTAATTTCTCAGATAAGATTAATTTATGCTTTTATATAAATACAGTATCCTAATAGATCATTTTTCAAAGTACAAAGTTAGTTAACAAGGAGCAATACAATAGTTACAAGTAGATTTAGCTTAATATGAAAAGCTTATTATTCAAAATTTCAACTACTTTGAGGTTCTATAAAAGTTTGAACAATTAAAGATTCTTATAAATATATTCAAGGTTAGATTTTCTGAAAAATATTTAAAATAAAAAGTTGATAATAAATTTATTAAAATTAAAATAATAGATTGAAAAAAGCAATTTAGATTAGTACATATAAGAAGAATCTCTATTTAAGTAAATAGATCCTGTAACAATCTAAAAATACAGGGATAACAGATAAGATTCATCTGGATCTTATTTGCATATGTTTATGAAATGAAAATTAATACTAGTTATTTTTATTTAGTTAACATCAAAGTATTTTATGAAAATAAATTTTTGTAAGACAGACATAATAAAAATCAATAATTAAAAATTAAATTATAAATTACTGTTTTAAAATGATAATTATATTTATCAAATTAGTTAATTTTATTTTATTAATAAATTAAAAATTTTTTAATGTGAAAGAATTAAATTGATTATTTAAATGAATTAAATGGGGTATAATTGTTTGATTAGAAGTAATTGCTATAAGAAACGAGTGTATAAAGTTTAAAATAGAAAATAGTAGATACTACTAATTCATCAGATAAATGAATTAGAAAATAATGTGTTGCTTTTTAATAAATTATTAGTAAATGATCCAGTGGGAATAGCATCTAAAATTTTGACTCCGTGATATTATTCATGAGCAAGTTCTTCAAAAGTTTTAATACCATCAATAAGACTATTATTATAATTTTTTAATATTTAATTTTGAAAACTAAAATAAAATTATTTATTTGTAATAGATACCCTATTTATTTAGCTTGTTCTGCTTCAATCATACCTTTTTCCAAAAGTTCTTTATTCACTTATTCATTAGATAATTTAAGATCATGGAACTTCTAAGCTCTTGTTTAGATAACAGAACTCTTTAAATCATATTCGCTTTCAAGTAAATAATTCTTCATCCTAAACAATAAATATTAGATAGAATTAATTATTTATTTTTTTAGAAAGCTTTATTTGTTTAATAAACTGTATAGAATTCAAATTAATTCTTTAAAAGATATTTTTCTTTGAATTTTTTCTAGCATTTATTTTAATAAAGTAGATTGATTTATTATTGCTTGGTTATTAGCGTTAATAATTGTTTATTATAAATTACCATTAGGCATCTTCTTATTTTAAATCTTAGAATGGGTTGAGTTTAACCTTCTTTTCACCAGCATGTACAAATTCTGCCTTCACATTATAATTTTCCAATAATCCTTTATAACCAAATCCTTAGTAGCTATAGCCAAAATCTCCTAAGAGTGAATACTTACCTTAAAAATACAAATAATTATTTTAAATACTTGCTAAAAACTCTAATAAAAGCAATTAATATTGTTTTTAAGTATTATATTTACCAGCAAAAACTTTATTTCCTGAACTTAATATAAGATTAGCACTATTTAAAACCATATCTTCAGCGAAAGTGTAAACTGGAGCACTTTTGATCATAATTTATTTTGTATTAATACATGATTATTTTGCGCAGCAAATTTATATATCTAAAAAAATACCTAGTTTTTTATGAGAAATATTTCAATGCAGTACAGATATTCTTTGCTTGGATAAGTGAACCTAGTTTCAATAAAAAAAAATGTGAATAAAACTAATTGAAAACTTTTATCTTAATTTTTAGGTGGACTTTATAATAAATGTATATTTTACCACCATGAGAATTAATAGAAACGGCGATAAGTTAGATATCATAAAGTTGTTTATTCTTAAAAGACTAATGTAACTTAATTGCTCTATTTATTTATTATTTAAATTTTAAAATATAATTTTATAAGCATGATATTTGTATTTATTTTTATTTAATGTAGGATAGGAATTATTTGAATAGCAACCTCTATTATTAGCATTAGAGATCTCAATTTAACTCAAATTAAGAAATAAAACATATTTTTGAGAGTTAAATAATCATTTTAGGCTTTTATTGAAATAATTCCTATTAATATTGCTTCTATAATGAATTATAAATTATTTAATCACAGTGCTTAGTCGATCAAACCGTAAAGCTTAACATGCAAAATTCTTTCCCTGAGATGGCCAAACATTTTTTTATTAAGTAATCTATTCCTTTTTTATTTTTACTAAATATTCTTATTTAATTAAATTTTGATTTTATTTGTTTAATGATTTTTTCTAACTCATTCTAAAAGATAAATAAATAGATAGATATTTACTTACTAATATCATAAAAAATGAGTATCAAAGATACAATCTTCTAAAAACTATCAGTCACAAAAATAATTAATTACTTTCAATAAATTTTTTATAAAATATCTTTTTTTATCATCAATAAAAATCTAAAACTTAAAATCAAATTTTTGCAACTTTAAAATATATTATTTATTTATTTATCATTTTAAAATTAATAGAATAAAATAAATTGCTTGATAAAGTTAAAGCTATGCACTAAATTTAAGATTTTACAGGATATTAAGAATTAATTATTTAACAAAAGTAATTTACTCTAAAAATATTTTAATTATAATATCAAGACTTGTCAAAAATATTTGATCCCTTTTATTCTCAATATAATATTACTCTATTCAATACATGTATTTATACATTAAGAAATATTTCTTAAAATTGAACGCATAAATTTAACTAAAAGATCAAAAAATAAAAAAGAACTCAATTAAATGTAGTTTATAAATGTATTTAAGCAGTAAACAATCTTCACATTATAAAAAATTTGTTAGTGAAAATTTTAACAATTATTTATAATTGAAATGGCTTTAAAAAGAATTATTTATTTAATAAATAAATAAATTAACAGAGTAAAGAAATTTATATATACATTTCTATACTCTATTATGTAACAATATTTATCAGGATATTAAGACAGTTATTTTAAGTAAAAACTAATTTGCACTAAAAATATTTACACCATAAAAACAAGAGTTTCAAAAAAATATTTGATTAACAAAAAAAACACTTCGCCAAAATACTATAAATAATTTATTTAAACAGTAAAAATTCATTATAACTCAAAATAAATTTTTAGTGAAAATTGTTACAACTATTTAAAATTTAAAGAGTAAAATATTTTTAGAAAAAAAAACTTTACTTATTACTTAACAAATTAATTTTTTTAAATTTATTTATCAAAAATGTTAAGAATTAAAATAATTAAATATTTAATGTAAAGTTAAATTACTCAAATTATTTTTAAAAAGAAATGCTGGCTCTTTAATTATGGTGAGAATATAAGAAAAGTATTTATAACAAGGGTTGGTTTTAAAAATTTTTATAAGCTATAAAAAGTAATGAACGATAATAACACATACATATAAAAGTCAACTTAACTTTTATTAATTTGTTAGATAATTTGAGATTTATAAGCATAATTAATTAATTAATATATTTATTTTTTTATAAGATTATAATTAGTTAATTATTGATTGAACATAGTTTGAAAATTTATATCAACTAAAATGAATCGACAAAAATTAGATTCTCAAAATAATTAAAATACCTAAGATAAAAACTAATTAGATGAAAAAGAATAATTAGGAGGCGATTTTGATGAATCTTTAACATAAAAAGTAGTTGAGTAATTATTGAAACAAAAAGATAAATAATCTAATGCTCCTTTAATTGAAAAAATTTCAATTAATTACATCATGAATACAATCGAAAAGGAGCATTTTTCTAAATTGGAAAGTGCGTTTTTTAACTATGGCAAGAAAGGAGTGGGCATTTTAGAATTTATAAAAATATTTTTAGAATTGAATCGATTCAAAACAGAAGAAAATATATATTATTTAATGGCTTTGGTAGATCTCTATCAATAAATTCAATAAAATATGAAGGAAGAAAGGAGTATACAGTTTTCTGATTTTACTGATTTTTACTATGAAGTAACATAATTATCATAAAACAAATAAATATGATTGATTTTTTAATAGTTCTTTCAGGAAAAGTAGTAAATTAGTGAATATAAAGTCCAAACATACTTAATGCCTCCTTAAAAAATAATTGATAGCAACTTCTAAAATCAAAGAGAAATAGATATAGTAATTTTATGATAACTTTTTATCTACTAAAAGATTCATGTTTAATACTCTAAATTATTAGGATCCACCAGTCATAGTAGGATAGAATGAATAAGATTTCTTGAGGCTTAATATAGAAACATTAAGGTTCGATAGCTTAAAACATAGGAGTGATAACAATATAAAGTATTAAAAACTTTTTAAATCATTTATTTTTGCTAAAGAACTTATAAAATAGAATTTTGTTTTTATTTAATTTAAAAATGAAATTTGTTTATTTTTATTAATAGAGGATACTATGCTGAAGATTTAGATTAAATGATCACTTTAGATTCTCTTAGTGGTCTTCTTAATATGTACAATACAAATGCATAAATTACACATCAACTAAAGCCAGCAAATTATTCAGTAGAACTCACTACAGTTATAGTTTCATTTGCTTATTCTAATTCAGAACAAAGAGTAAAAGCTAAATAAATAAAGATTATATTTTATTTGAAATTTATTTCATTTCCAAATTACGAAAAAAAAAATAATTTAATATAGATTGGAGCATCTTTAAAAGACTGCACCTTAGTTTTTTGGGAAAAAGGAGATAATTTCAAGTTTTAGAAATAATTTTCAACTGTACCTTATATTGAAGATTATTCTACTGATATATGGCATTTAGAGCAGTCAAAAATGTGGATAACAACAAATAGATTAAATTAAATTTATATATGGAATCTGATAGATGAGAAGCTGTCAGAAACAATCCAAACTAATACGTTTATTAAAGGAAACATAGTATAGGTTATGGAAATAACGCATGTAAAGTTAATCGCAATAGCTTCAGCTGATAAATAGATTACATTTTGGAATTTTTATAATAAATAAATGATGCTCTGCTTACCTGTTAAAGATTCAGGTATTCATAATTTATCATATTCATATCACCATCAAATGATTATTACTGCTGGCTATGAATAAATTATATACTTATACAGCATAGATCCTGTTAACATCGAATATAAGTAATTTGTTAGATATTTCACTTTAAAAGCAGGCTATTTATTTATGTTTCTAATTATTAATTAAAAGGTAGGAAGGTAGATTAATAGGACATGGTAGCATGGTAACAGCCCTATAATAGATTAAGAATACAGAAATGATAGTTAGTGCAGATGATTAAGGTGTGCTAAAAATATGGGATATTAGATCTTTTGGATGCTTATAGACTATTTAATTATTCATAAAATCAACTATTAATTAAATATAATACATGCCATAAAAATAAGTGCTATGTTTATTGTCATCAAGAGTTGGTTTTATCAACTTTGATATCAAAAGTAATTTAGAAGGTAAAAAAACTATTGAAAAGACAAGCCAAGAATGGCCAATAAATGTACAAATAATTCTCTTAAAATTCTGTTGAAATTAATTTATAATTTTTACTTTTAAAAGGTTGATTTTGATATGAAAAACTAATAAATAGTAGTTTGTACTTCTAAAGATGTTAGGACTTATGATGGCATGACAGGTAGAATGAAAAAATTAATTAAAGGTATTTCAAGAGAGTAGACGGAGATCACTAACTTCTGTTTTGTTAATTAATCAAATCATTTCATCATAACTGATGACAAAGGAAGTAGCCATTTATTTGAATACCCAAATACTTAAAATAAAATAGTAATAAAAATTTTAATTTCATGATTAATTAAACTTATTTAAAATTGATAATTAATAGAAACTTCATAGCCACTAAAGCGATATTACATAAATGAGAATAGATTTTAAGAATAAATTAATTATAACAGTTGCTAAGGATTCTTAAATTATTATCTAAAAGATTAATAAAACAGGATAAAATGAGCTTAAGAGAGTATTTAAAAATGCTCACTATGGTAAAGGAATAAATTTACTTGAATTCTCATATTATCATAATATGATATTTACAGGAAGTGATTCTAATGAGATATTCATTTATGACTATGAATATCTAAAGTGTATTGGCACCGTTATTTTACCAAATAACTAAACTCCCACTTAGATACATCTAATAAATGGCTTTTCCATATTATCTGTTTCTACAACGGACTCTTTCATATACTTAATACACATTTAATCTAACGAAAACTATAATTTAAAGTTCAAGTTACTTTAAATTATAGATTTATAGTATCCACAAAGAAATACTTGTGAGTATCTATCTTAGTATTTTAACTCAAATTTAATATCAAATATTCGAACACCATCAGAAAATTAAAATCACAATTAATCACAACTAACCCTATCCTATAAGCTGTCATCTAATAAATTAAGCTAAAGTATTTCTAAATCTCCAACAATGATTAATTATTAACATATTGATATTTCAAAAAGTAACTCAAGCATAGTCAAATAGTAATTTATTAAAACTAAAAAAAAATATATTTAAAATATTTGTTCATTAGAAATCAGAAAAATTAGTAAGATATTCAAGACCAGACATCTTATCCGATTAAACTAATAACAAATAATTCTAAAGAAAATAAACTATGTTTATATGTGGGACTAAATATTGTAAATAAATAATACGCAATATTTTATTAAACCAACATATTTTTAATAAATTAAAAATAAAATTTAGGGATAGATAGATCTATACGATATATCTTAAGTAATAGAAAAGAATAATATTACAATTAAACCATCTTATGAAAATAGCAAAAAAAACTTTAACCCTTTTAGAAATATTACTGAAGAGTTTAAAGTTTTTTCTGAAAAAGCAGAATAAAATAGATTTTCTATGTAGAATACTCTAACATAGAAAGATAAATAATGGCAAGATATACTTGACTCAACTAGTAATTAGACAGTAAAAATTAAATCTTAGCATGTCCATAAAGTATCTCTTAACTCTATGAAAATTATATCTTTAAATAGATAAAAGTATTTTTTAATTTATTTTCATTTTTAGTTTTATTTAATCAATTATAAATTCAAAATAAAAGCTATATTGTCACTTGCTCTAATGATGGCTACTTTAAAATATTTGATTTAAATTTAAACGAATAAACAAACACAAATGTCAATCATCCTTTACCAATGAATTGGAATTTGAAATTGAGTATTTTATCAGAGCAATAAAGAAGAGTAAATTATTTTTATCAATTTAAATATTTTAGGCTCTAGTTTAAGAGTTATCTGTAAATATCATAAAATATCTAATTCTTTAATTAAAATTAATATAATAACTTTAAACTCTAAAATAAACTTAAAATATGGAGAATTAATTATAAAAAATTATTTATTTATTATTTAGTTTTTCTTTACTGTAAAAATATTGGAACTTATGTGCAAAAAATTTGATTCTGATAAGGTATTCTCTAGATTAAATAGTACTAAACAGTATTTATAGCAAGTTCTCTAAACATCTATCCAAACTATCCAAAATTAGGAAAGTATAATGCTAACATAACCTCCTATTAACTTAAATCCTAAAAGCAAATAAGCAAGTAGAAAAAATTCATAGTCAATGGATTTAAATATTTTAATCAATGAAGAAAATACAAAATAATTTTCAAAAGTTATGACTATGAAAAATTTTTATACTCCAAAAGATATGTAATTTAACAAAATAAAGGATCAGATATAGACTTAAATTAGAGGGCCATCTTTAAAAGAAATGGAAGTGATTAAGGTTAATACATATATAAAATTTTTTTAAAACAAATTAATTTTGTTTTATATATAAATAAAGAGAATAAAGGAACTAAAAAATAAAGGTGAGGAAATGGAATAGCAACTATAAGATAAAGATGAAAATAATGATATGGAAGTTGAGAAAAAAATGAGAGAGTAAGAAGATAGAGAAAATGTTGTCTTTTTGTTGCCTTAATACAGATAAAAGTTGCTTAAAAAAAGTGATGAATTTTAGGATGCATCTGAGTTCCAAAAAAAATTAGAGATAAAATAATAGTAAAATATTTTTAATTTCTATCAATTCAAATTCTTATATTATTTAAATAGCTACTTAGATAAATAGAGACAGTAGTAAATGAATTAAATAAATAAGTTGTAGCATGGTAAAACATCAAATGAAGAATAAACAACTCAAATAACTTAGAATTTGTAAATGAACCGTTAAAAATCTTCTTTAAAAGATATAAGCACAAATTTAGATGTTAGGAATACATCATAAACCATAATTTAAAATAACATTAATATTAACTAAAGCCAAAATGAATCATTTAACAATATGAGCACAACAAATAATTTGAATTCTACTAAAATGCAAAATATTTAAAATAGTTATTATCATTAAAGTGTTAAAAAACCAATTTAATTTAAAAATTTTAGTTCTCAGATTTAATTATTATCTCTTCCTTCTATAAATCAATCAAATTTGGCTAATTAAACTTAGACAAATCAAAAGCAAATTTAAACAAATTAGCAATTAAATTAAAGTGTTTATCCATCAAATTAAAGCACACAAGCTTTTGGGCTGTCAAATTACCCCTCATAGTAAATGTTATTCTCAAACAATTTTTAAAAGTAATAACCTAATTAGTCTATTCTGTAGAGCTAAAGTAAAATAGCTACCTAGTAAGATATTAATAAAAGAGGTAGCACTAACTCTTCTCCTAGAGTTTAATCTGATTTCTTTAACTATGCTCAATAAAAAAATCTATATTAGGAAGGTTCAAGCAGATATTAAAATTAATTGAACGAATTATCCTAAATTTTAACAAATAAAAATTCAATTACTGGTGATATTTCTCTATCTTTAAGAGATGAAAATTGCCTTTAATAAACAACTCAAATAAATTAAATGTAAGCTTGTAAAATTAATTCTCAAAAAAATAAAGTTTAATTGCTGAAGAGAATGGAAGAAAGAAATAAGCTAAATGATATAATAAAGAACTTAAACTAGAAATTAGTTAATTCAAAACATTACTCTCAAAATAAAGTAAAATCTTAAAACATCTTGCCTTAAACTACTAATAACTAACAAAGTATTAAAAATACTAACTAAGCTAGTTAATAAAAAATAGAATTTTTATCTTTTTTTTAGTTACCATCCCCAAATAATAGCGAAATCGCCACATAAAAAAATATAGAATCATATAAAATCAATAATAACTTCAACACTAACACGAATAGGTAAAATATAACTAAATCAATTAGAGCTAGACAATTATAATCCTTAAGTTACAATCCCTCCCAAGTTGCTTCTATTAATAATTTATCTCAAATATGAAAAAATTTTTAAAAAAAGTCTATGCAAAATATACTTAATTACTTTTATTATTACTTATGTTTATTAAATGTTTTATATTAGTTTTTTAAAATAAAACCAATTTAATATTTTAACTAAACCAAAAAAATATTTTTACTTTGATTTTTATTTTTCAATATTAAAGCAGATGAAAACTAAGTAAATAAAAATGTTAATTAATACATTTTGTCTTATTTTTATTTAACTATGGATAAACTTAAAGAGAATCAGAAATCAACCTTTTTAATAATTTTTTGAAATTTTAATGAAGTCTATCTTAATGTATTAACAGTCAGAAATAAAAGTTTTAAATACTTTTAATAAATATTTCTGATATTTTAAGAATTTGTTTTAGAGATATTCTCTTAATTTTTAAAATTAGAAAGTTGGGGTTGGGGTTGGGGTTGGGG